GGATTCCAAGCCTGACATACGTCTCGTTTGGATTCCAAAGCAGCCGCCGAACGGTAGCCCGAAGACCGGAAAGGCCTTTGCTTGAAATGAAAACGTCACGGTCACTGCCACTCGCCGCGATGAACGGCATGCTAGACGACATCGAAAGAGCCCACATTGTTGTGGCTCCAGGTGGATTGACGATGTTTGCGCAGGGGACAGCAAACGAGACGCGTTCGGGGCAGACAACTCTGCGCATTCTCGACCAGGTAAGCGACAAGCCATTAGCTGGGCAAGGGTTCCTGACACGCCAGTTTCGCAACAGCATCCGCGCGCGACAGGTCTCGTTGGCCGCGCTATGCAACGGCGAGTGGTGCAACGCCGTGCACATTGACGGTCGCGTAGCAAAGACGCTTGCTTTTGGTCTCCCTGTGCAGCTCACTTCGAGACCGAGTATCTTGAATTTGGCGTCCTCCCCCCTTGGCCTGTTCCTTGGCATGTCGATCCGAGCGCTGCAGCTGTCGGGTATCGACCTCGCCCGAACACCACCCTGTCCCACTGCACTGGCCCAAGGAGACGACGAGGGAGCAGAACCGAAGAGCAGCGATTCCAATGTTCAACCTGACGCGCCTGCTGCCGACCAACGCACTAGCGACGGCCCCAGCGGCAGCTCCACCGTACCCATGACCAGGCAACACCCCGGGTCGTCTAGCACGACAACGGCACGGCCAGAAGACCAGATAGCCACTCTGCCCACGCCACCACCCTCACCCTCTGGGCTCAACATCGTACGTTTACTGCAACGGGCATTACTAACGGTAGACCGGCAGGGCCGTAGATTGCTTCTGTGGCACCGCGCCCCATCCCCTCAGGTTTCTCCCCCTTGGCAGCGACCATTCCTCCAAGACGGCCCGTATCCGCCTCGGACCCGAGCGCGGCAAGGGGGCCATCTGGAGTGCCTACGACGCAACCGTCGAGACCGACACGGCTTCATACGCTGGCCTGGTGTGGAAGGAGCACATACCCCTCTTTGTGCCAACCGAGGAGGAGAGCCGCCATGTTCGTCGTGCGGTTGAGGCACGAGCTGACCCTCCTCCGTGTCCCCCTCCGTGGCCTCCAGGTCAAGTAGTTGCCTCGCGTCTTCGCGCCTGGAAACTGGCGACGGCCAGCATTTGCGATAACTTATGGAGGATGCGGGCCGGCAGCTCTCGCCCCGCGAGCGTACCGATCCTGCTGTTCAGTGAGGATCCCCCCCCCCCCCCCCCCCTCTCCCCCACCCCCCATCTCCCGGGCGCTAACTGTCACAGGACCGCTGTCACCGAGGCCGTAGATGCGATATTTGCGGCCGGAGTCGAACATGGCGACCTCGAATGGCGGCACATCCGTGTCAAGGAGGGCGGGGCGAGCATTATGGTGATTGACTTCGACAAGTCTGGCGTCCTGGACGAAAATCACGCCTCAGACAGCAAAACCGAGTACCGCGACGAGATACTAGCCGAGCTGTTCGCCTCTGCTCCACCTTAGTACCGTTCCAGGATAATGCTTCTGCTGTGGGTTCGCTAGTGTACATGCAGCTCGACCGCTAACAAGCACCAGCCCTTCCCACCCTCCACAGCCATCTTTGTCTCGCATCCCGTGGACAAGTTCACCTGTTCCCGTGCAGCATATCATGGATGTCTCCTCGTCGCATGCAAGGACCCGAGTGGAACATTAAGCTATCAGTCGCCACCACCACCGCCACCAACCACCACCACCCTCACCCATCAACTCCGATTTGTAGAAGGTCACGAGGGCGCCTGGTCTCCGCCGCCGAGGCGTTCTACTTTCGCCGGCATTATCCGCTTCACCCCCGGCCCGCCCATCCCGTCCCTGCAAACACCACACCGGCGCCGAGATCATCGACTCTCAGTCACCCCACCTCACCGCGCCAAAGTCATGGGTCTCACGAGGGACGTACGTGTAGCTGGGGGTCGATGTACGTTTGCCACCAACTAACCCACACGAAGACGAGGATGCCCGTCCACGCAAGCGTGCTGCGTGGGGTCACAGGAGATGCTCGACAAGTTTATGCAGTTCGTTCAACCGAGAAAAGGAGCGTAACCAAAAGTGGATGCAAATGTAGAGGAGATTCAAACGTTCGCTCCAGAACAAGGAACCTAGTCAAACTGGATACATTTGTACAAATTAAACCTCATGTACAGTGCTGGCTTGTCCAGGAGCACTTTCGAGTTTCCAGAGACAACGACCATTTGTGTAAGAAACGATATGCATGTTCATATCACCTTCCAGTGATTCAGTGAGGATGGCAAGGACTGCGCAGAACTTAAAACCACCAAGGAGTTCAAACAACGGCCTCCAGTCATGCAAGTCACCCTCCGCAGCTCGCCTTTTTTTCAATCGCTGCAGATCATTCTGCTCTTCTGACCTTCTGATGGGGGCGTCGTCGTAGGCATGCTGCATCAGTTGACGTGGACGGGGAAAGATGTCTGATGTGTGATATCTGATGCACTGATGCAAAGCATCAACCTTTCCTCCGTCGCACTTTCAGTCTCTTGCGCAACACCCTCAAAACAACAGGCCACAATGAACCACCCATCACGCTTAATCCCCGACAGCGGAGCCCAGTACGAGAAGTTCCTCTTTACCGCCTGGCCGGGAGTCCACAGCATGTGGACGGGCGACAACAAGGAGTGGGAGGTCGACCGCTGCCAGAAGGTCATTGGAGGTAGGTGCCAACGATACGTAGAACCTACCACTGACTGGTGTCCCAGAGATGGAGACCGTGATGAAGTTCCGGCTGCCCCGCTCCAGCAAGGGATACGCTTGGCCATATGATGCCTCGTTGTTCAAGGTATGTCCAGGTTCGAGGCATGCTGCTGTGGTTACTTCTGATACTTTTGCAGACGGGCACAAAGTGGGGAATCCCAGAGATCTACGCCCAGGGTACGGCGTGGGTGAAGCAAGCCCACAGCATGTGCGGCGAGCCGTGAGTCTGTCTCGCCGATCCCATCGCTGAGGCGCATAGCATTGGAACCACTCCCGATGCCAACCTCAACCCATACACCATGTACCTCCTGGCCGCCATCTGGGCAATTATCGGACAGGGGCCGCTGCCACCTCACAGGCCTGATCCTCTCCAGCGAAGTGTCGGTTAGCTCCTACCCCTCTTTTGCTAACTGTCCAGCGGCACCCCACAGGAACTCACCTTCAACTTTCGCAACCCCAATTACACCATGGCCACAGGTTTCACCTCCCCCACGCCCCGTTACGCTCGCCCAGTGGGTCCCCGAAGAGTGCAACCTCCTCCCCGAATCCAAGTTTGCGTCCTGCTTCCGCCTCCAGTTCCAGTTCCCTGGAGACAACTTTGCGGCGGGCTCCGACTTCCACACCGTCTTCAACCCCCTCCCGTACAGCAACAACCGTGGACTCGTGCCCAAGGGTCCCTTCCGTGACCCTCTCGAGAGGCAGAATGTGAGCCTCGCTCCTCACTCATGTAGCATAATCCGCGGCTGACCCCCATCGCAGGAGATCTTTGAGGCGTACTCGCAAAAGCGCCACATGGCCAAAATGACGATGTGAACAGTCCCCAATCATTGGCATCTCCTCCAAGACAAAAAAAAAAGCACGGCACACACGCTCCCAGCCAACTCTTGACACCCTGTAGATTTTGTAGCTATCTTCGACACACATGTAATGTTTCTCGCCTGTGAGAACCCCAAAGAGCTGTCAGAATGCTGTCTCAGCCAGCAGGCGGCAGCAAGCTATGACACAGTAATGACATACAGGATTTGCTACATACATCACCTCTTTGGCGCAAAGAAGGCCTTGATGCCACTGACAGGCTTCTTGGCCTGTCGACTACGACCACTCCCGCTCCCACCTCCGCCCCCGCTTCCTCCTCCTGCACTGCCGTGCCGACTCGAACTTGCACTTCCACTCCCACCATCCTCCTCCTGCAACGACAGGGCAAAGTGATAGTCGTCGTGCTCTTGCCTTGCGTGTGAAATCCATGCTTTTTGCTCATCGGCAGGTACGCCAGGTGGAGCCGTAAACGTCGTATCGCACTTCGGACACTGCCAGGCCCCCGGAGTGTCTGCAGCAGGCGGCGTGCTCGGTGAAGGTCGTGCATCGGGTGTAGGATGACTGCTGTCCTTGATCTCGTCCTTGACCACCGGCGGAGGCGTCCCCCTGCCTTGGGCGAGGAACGATTCGAGAGCGTTTGGCTTCGGCTTGGTGTGGAGAGTAGGCAACCGAGGTCGCTTGGACGACGAGTCATTTGACAGGACTGTCGTCTCGCGTGGTCGTTTCTCAACATTGCCAGTTTTGAAGAAGCCCTCGATCCCTTGCTGACCTTCCTCAAGCTTGTCGAGGCTGGTGAAGGCCAGACCTATCTGAATGTCAGCTCAACGTATACAATTACGAAGCTCACATTGCTCAGCTTCATGGTCCCCTTCGCTAGCGGCTGGGTCGATTCGTCCCACAGCTTGCGAGCATGCTTGACAATATACTCGGTGCTGAGGTTGCGAGTAAACGGAAACGGCGCCTGACGAGAATGAGATGCTCCTGCACCTGACGAGCGGATGGAGAGAACGAGAGTCTTGGGCCACAGACCGGGCGTCACGCCTCGTGCCTCCCGGAGACGAACGTTGAGCTCGCCAGCAAGAACAGACAGCCAGTGGTGGCCTTGTTCTGCGGTACGGACGTTGGGGATGGTGTTCTTGGATGCGAGCATGGACTTGGTCGCGAGCTTCTCCTTGACCTCTGTGTGGTCGATGCCCTGGCCAGTTAGAAGATCCGGACACGGGGAACTCACCCTCAGAATGTTGTACACCCATATGCTCTCTTCGCCAAACTTGGCCTGTAGGTCCTCTAACGGAACCGTACTGACGTCAGCTATCATAAGTGGCTTGAAGCTCACAGCATGTCGCCAACCGTCTTGGCATTGAACTCGGCAGCCATTGCGCTACCAAGCTTGCCGCCGAGGAATCGGATCTGAGGTGTCAGCTGAGGTAGAGGTGGAGAAAGCTCACATCTGTGAAGTCCATGTCCCTCAGGAACCCAGGCGTCGCTTCAAGTCGCATAACCGTCTGGGCGTTCGGTTTCTTCCAGGCGGAGCAAAGCTGATGGTCAGCTTCAGGACGGGTGGAGTAGATGAAGGTGACTCACCTTGGCAATTGTCTTGTTATGTGCGATACCTGCCGAACACGTATAATGCAGCCGCTTCCTGACCTCCGCTCGAACGTCCGCCATGATCTCGGCGCCGATACACAGTGCGAGATCTTGCCATGTGCCAGCCTCGTCCTCGACGTCGACTTCAGTTTCGTCATCGACCTGGAGTGGGAACACAGATCCGGCGCGCGACCAGTCTATTGCTGGTGGTGGAGGAAGTGGCATGTCGAGACCGTCTGGCGCATCGTCTGGAACAGTGGCAATGTATGGGTATGAGGAGAGGATACGTTCAATGACCATGGGGGTGAGGTCCAAGAACGCCTCGTCAATGGACGCCTTCTCTGGCGAGTAAGCTCCAGTCAATTACCACAGTACCCACCCAGCTCGGCCGTTGGGGCCATCTCCCGGAATACGGCGAGAATCTTGAGGCTCTCGCGGCGGTACGGGTCAAGGCTGACCTGTAAGTTAGCTAGCGGCTCATGCGGATAACCTACCTTGTGCGTCCTTCGGTCGACGTCGTCCCAGTATCCAGCCTCGCTCTCGCCTTCACGATAAGTAGCGACGTGCTGGACCACGAGGTCTGGGCAGAGTTTCTTGGCATCCTCGATAAGAGTCATTCTGTAATGTTAGGCCCATGAGAGGACTCTTGTACCCACCTCTTGATACCGAACTTGCGGGCCGGATAGTTGACCGCAATGATCGAGTTCCACTGTGCGCAGATGATGGGCACGTCGTCGGGGAGGCCTAGCCGTACTTGCTCAAACTCTTGCATGTCAGCACAGTGCCTGTAATACTCGACTCACGAGCAAATGCGGCGTCGATATCGCAGTGTCCCACCACTCGCAAAGGGTTGCTACAGAGGTCAGCTAGGGCTCCAGGGGAGGTCACTCACAAGACGGTCATCGCCGCGGCACTCAGCAAATGCCTGATTGGTAAGCTTTAAGCAAGTCCGTTAGCTCACCTATATGTCACCACATTCTCACCATGCTGCCTGCGGGACGGACCCGCGAACATGGACGCCATGGTGGACAAGGGACCGTAGGGTATGACTGCTGGAAATGGAGATGCAAGGAATGAAAACAAGTCGCTGGACGGCGGGAGGTTGGGTGACTGGACGAACCGTGCCTGGGAAATGACGGCCAGAGTGGAGGTGATCCACCCACTACGGAGGCTGGCGTCGTGTCTCTTCCTTCTTCATATCTTGTTTGGGCCATGGAATTTATCCATCTCACACCTAAACGACCTTCCACAGGTAGCAAGGTTGGTGGCACTTGTTTCAAAACACACCTGACGTTTCCAGCCCAGCTCCACCAAACGTGCCAGGACTGCGGACGTCATTCGCACGGCCGATTCCGGGATTGCTCCTGTCAAGCATCTCGTCATGAAAGATCCATTCCCCAATCACAGCCCAGTTTTGTCGCAGGACGTTGACATCAAGCCAACCATGGATCCCTCCCTTACTCGTATGCCCCCCTCGCCCCCTTACATCTATCGCAGGGCTCCCGTCGCGGCCAAACCCGAGCTCCCCGATGCTCTTTCCTCTCCACACCATGAACGCGTCGGCCCCAGCGACGCAACCTTTGAAGAGGGCGAAAAGGCCTACCAGAACAAGATGGATGAGCTCCTTAACCTCCGTGTCAAGTATCTCAAGGGCAAGATCCAACACGTCAAGTCCAAGACCGCACTGATACGTGTCGAGCTCAACGAAGACGAGTCAGAAAGAGGCCAGGATCAATGAAGCGATGGCGACGACCAAGAACGTCGAGGCCCAGAGCATGGAGTAGGCCAGCAAAATCAAGAAACTCGAGACTGCCACTGAGGGTATGGGAAAGATAGTCACGAGGATCAAGGAATCCGGCTCGTTCCCCCCTTGAAGAAATCGCTTCCCCGGCCTCCCCACCTCCCCGCTTCTCACGGTGCCTCCTATTACATGCCCATGTCCATCATCGTCGGGCCTGTGTAGTGACTTTCTGTTTCTAGTAGTAATGTTGTAGATGTAAGTACTTTGTAGAATTCCAAGCAGGTTGCTGCCTGGAGTGATAACGTTGTGTAAACTCCTCTATTTGTGACAGGGTGAAGCCACACCCCCAAGTCCGACCCAACTCACTTGTTGGCCAAGAAACCGAAACGCGAAAATAGTGCTCAGAAGGAAAAGATCATGAGTGAAGGGAGAGACAGAGGGCTCCAGTCTAAAGCGTTCCCCTTCTTACCTGTGAGGGTACGGACGCTGCCGGCCCAGGACGATGGCAAAACAAGCGCCCTCCCCAGCGTTCGTCAGGATGCTAAACAATAGTGCCTCTCGACCCCCACTCTACAGCGTCACAAGACCACAATTGCCCGTCGGCGACACCAAGCCTGGCATATTACCCTTCGTTGAAAGCCGCCGGCGGGCACAGAACAAAGCCGGGTCGGTCAATTGATCGCCGACGGTCACCAACCTTGTGGCTCAATGCCCATGATCCGTAAGCACCACATCGCGCCACTTTATTCGTATCCGGGTTTTGATGGGGGCGAGGAGGATGTCCGGCGGTGTCGGTCTTACTGGGCGGCAGGAAGGGGTTCGGTGGCTCCTGTACGCAGATCTTCTGGATCTCGGGACCATGCTTCGCGTCATTGACATTACACATTGACAGCGAGCGATATCTTCGGACCGACGCACCGGCGCAATCTTGTCGTACACAACACACTTGCCTTCGGGCTGGGGTCGTCAGTGACGTCAGTGTCAGGACCAGAAAGAGAACCAGAGCCAGAACCATGACCTGCCCCCGAAGCCCCAGTGTGTGCGGGAAGGCGAGAACCGTCTACATCTAATTTGACGAGGCTAGGCGCAAAATGGCCGGGGTAACAGTGATACAACAGGGTAGTTCGGACATGCAAGGTGTTCTCTTGGTGAACGGGACACGCACACGTTGCCGGAGAGTTTATCGGGTCCGTCTAGGGCCAAGCGCTGCGTTACTTGACTTGGCAACCAAACTTCTAGATCGAGGTCGACGCCGACGTCGACGTCTAGATTGCTTGTGGGGTACGTTGGAGGGCTGAGGTCCATGTCTAGGCAGTGGCCGCTCGCTCGAGCGCGCTCAGCACGCGCACCCGCCGTAGCCGCTCGCCGAGTCGTCGCCCAGCGCAATGACCGACTGGGGGTTGCGGACGGGCTGCGGACCGCGTGTCCAGAGGGATGGGGTGGCGAGGATCTGCGCGTACGTTAGGGATGAGTTGTGGGGCACGGACTTACGCGTCGGACGAGCTCCTGGAAGGCGTCTGTAACGTGGACGTTTGTCTTGGCAGAGCACTCTGGAGAGGGATGTCAGCGGCCAGCGGGTGAGAGAGCGACGGGCGCAACTCACCGACAAAAAGCGTGCCCATGCGGTCGGCGAAGGCCTGGCCTTCCTCGGAGGTCACTTGTCTGGAGAACTCCTAGAGATGTTAGTTGTCATGTAGGTTGGCCCACAGTCTTCCCGTGTGAGCCACCACCAGCGGCAACACGGTGTGGCTGCCAGACAGAAGACCCGGTGATTCCAGGTCCACCCACCTTGTCAACCTTGTTGCCGACAATAATCTTGACAACGTCCTCGGAGCAGTACGTGTCAATCTCGCGGAACCACTTGATGAGCTCGTCAAACGAGTTGCGCGACGAGACGTCATAAACTGGATCAGGTCAACTTCAAGTCTATCATCGTATCAGCTGCACCCACCGAGGACAACACCTTGGGCTCCACGATAGTAGCTCGACGTGAGCGTCCGGAAACGTTCTTGACCCGCAGTGTCCTGTTTTGAGTCAGCAGCTTGTATCGTGAACGATACGCTGTCGGTCGTGTACACGCAACAGCTCCATTAAGCACATGGCTTGCTCGACCAGGCAGCCAGGCGAGCCCGTGACAGTCGCTGCGATCCGCAAGAAGACACATACCCAGACCGAGAGCTTGTACCTGTGTCCGTCGAGCTCTATGCTCTTGACCTTGAAGTCGACGCCGATGGTCGCGGTCGTCTCTTCCTCGGACAAGAAGTCGTCATCTGTAAAGCGTAGCAGCAACGATGATTTGCCTGAAAAAGAAAACAAGAGGTCAGCTATCGACGTGTCCTGGATGTTGTCGCTCGCTGGCCGCTATCGCACGTCCGGCGGTGGCAAACGCGCGCAGTTCGTTTATATGTGACACTCACCGACGCTCGAGTTGCCAATGAGCAAGAGCTTGAGGTTTGTAGGGTACTGCTGTTGATCGGACATGGGAGGGTGACGAAGAGAGATGGGATGAGATGTGGGGCGATTGATAGACCTTGTTGTTGCCCGATGAATGCGATGGGGGGCGTGTTGCTTGCTACCCCGTACCCCGAATTGCACGCGCCGTGTCGGCCGCCCCCGTTGACGTCCGTCGTGACGACACACGGGGTGGCAACCAGGGTAAAAGCGGCAGCAGACGGGTAAATTAAAACTTACGTAATTAACCTTCAGGATTCCCACGGTGTCATGGGCTGCTACCCCTGCGGTCACTCCTTGCGGCGTGTCAGTGGCCAGTGGCCAGTGGGCTGTCTAGCATTACGACACATCACGTCCAACTGATCAACCAAGGCTACAGCTGAGAGGCGATACTGTCACATAAATGTACACTTTGTCTCATACTGCAGCTCTACTCTTCCCAGGTCCCTCACTCTCTCCAAAACTCGTTGGCCGTCTCAAGTTTGAATTGTTCCGGAGAGACGGTGGCGGCGTATTCTTCGAGGGTCATAAACTTGAGTGCTGAACGTGCTGCAAAGATACTGCCGGCACTGATGCCTTGTTTGAGGAGTCTCGACTCGACTTGGCGTTGAAATGCCTCGGGCATTGCATCTTTGACTCTGTGCTTGTCCTTGTCCCTAATTCCCAAACCCAATGAAACGGGGTCGACAATGATGCATGACAGGCCCGAGGTGTGCAGGCCTCGTCGTATACTGCCAGCTAGCCATCTGAGCGGTGCCTAAAGTCGCTCAATAGATGAGATACGGAAGGCATTTATTCATTCATATTCCAGCATAATGCAGGTCGCCGAGCTAAAGGGGTTTTTGGTGGTAGCTGACTCGCGGAGCTGCCATCCGCATACCGGGGCGGCCGAAGCGCTCTGGCTCTGGCTCGCCGACCTCCTCCCCGTTGTCGAGTGCCTCCTTGCGCATCCACAACATGGCTGCGTGTTTCCCCTGTCCGCCACACGGCGGCTGGAGGCAGGTGTAGGCATGTTGGGCACACGGGTAAGACCAACGACACTGGCGGAGCTCGTGGTCGAGTTCAGGACGCACGGCGCCGAGTGGGGCGTGCTCGACAATGTCCGAGGCGTGCAGCGACAGTACAGGACCACGAGCCTCGGGGTCAATGTAGTGGACAGGCGCTGGGTTGGTAGATGCGAGAGACGGCACGACGTTGATGCTGACGTTGCCGAGGTGTCCTACCCGTGACCTCCTACCCTCTGATCCGTCCGACTCTTTAGTCACAAGCGAAGGGACCGTATACGCCGTCCAGTCGTCATTGGTGGACGTGGTCTCTTCCGGAATGGCCATCTTCGGGACCCAGACAGGCCACTGCGAGTTCTTCTTGGGCGGAGGCACACAAAGGAACTGGGTGTTGAGGGAAAAGCCCAGCGTCGGGATGATGCTTTCGAAAGTACTTTTCGAAGTGGGCATTTCATTGAATGGGCTGGTAGATGTCAGTGCCACCAGGAAGACAGATAACAGTGTACCCACATGTGCACCTCCATTTCAAAGTTGTAAGAGTCCCGGGCTGTCTCACTGGTCAGATCAAAGTCGTAAACGTAGGTGCTGTGCTGGGAATGGACAGTGAACACTCCCGCATTACGGTCGGCTTGAAGCTGACGGCGTGCGTGAAGCGTAGCGTAGTCGTCGGCCATGAGCATTTCGGTGAATTGAACTCCATTGTAGTGCTCGTAGGCGCGGTGGTTGCGAGCCACGCTGTTGAACTCTTCTTCAGACTTGACTTGATCGCGGGCCCAGGTGTAGGTATGGTTGGTCAGATGGAAAACCTCCAACTTCGCCGGGTACTCTGAGCCGTTACCAGTGCGGGTTACGGTAACGTTCAGAGTGATGTTTGTTCCTTGGAGGTGTCAGCGTGTCAAAATGGGCCTGCTGCCATGCTCACCTTGCATAATCGGTCCAGTCGAAACCTTGTCAAAGGAGACTTGGAACTCGGCCAGGCTACCGTTGTCCTGAACGTGTCAGCAACGCTGTGATACACGTCTAAGGTGTTTCTTCCACTCACACAGCTGGGCGTGGTGCTCCTAAAGTCGTCTTCGGGATACTTGATGCGAGGTGACTCTGGCCTCACTGTCTTGGGCCACAGGTCGACCTCCGCCGGCACCTCGACCGGTCTGGGCAGGAAGGCAGTCTGCGCCACGGGTAACTCAATAACAACGTGGTTGGACAGCGTGACAATAAAGTAGTACTCCAGGAGGGTCTCCAACGTGGTTAACTGAAACGTTAGTGATTGCTCAGCTTCTTAACTTACAGCTCCGTCATTCACACTGAACATGTGGTGTTGCACCTCAATGGCGGGAAACTGGGTTCATCAGTAACTGGACCCAGTGTTTTGGAGGTAACGGACATTGGTGTTGGGCATGTGGATAACAAAGGGGCGGACAGTGTCCAGCCACGACTCAGCATCGGGGACGGGTGGGCTCAGTTCAATAGTAGTGTCAAAGACATCGCGCTCGACGCCGTGCACATCCCACAGGGAGGGGTCGTTGACGTCCTTCGCTGTATGATTGCATCAGCACATCCTTCGCGTTAACCCTTATCACTCACTATACTGAGCTCGCTGAGCATTGAATTTCTCCATCTCAGCATTCATTTCGAAACCACCACCACCTTTGCTGAACATTCCCCACCGGTCCTGATCCCCACCAGAGGCCCAGGCCCAGTTCGTCGCGTTGAAGAACGGCTCCGGACGAGACGGGAGTTCCGCACCGTCAGCCCTGTATTGGGTTAGAACAAGCGTGTTGAAGACAAACTCACTTCCTCTTGATGACTGCGCGTTCCTTGAACCTAAGGCCCACTTGCCACTTGGTGATCATATCGCACTTTGTACCATTGACAACGAGTCGAGCCTCGGCAGGAATAACAGTATCGGGCTGCAGGTCGGGGGCGCGTACCCATCCGTGGAGGTGACAAGGCCAGTCCCCGGTAGACTCTGTAGTGTCGGCGAAGACGATATCCTCCGCCGAGGCAAGAGGACGCTCATCGAACGGAGTAGTGGTGGTAGCAATCTTGTGTGACGATGTGTCGGCGTCCGGGGATGGAGTGGTCAACCGGAACTGGTCGTCACGAGGCTTGATGGGAACGTGCAAGGCGTTGGTGGTTGTCGCCACCACAGGCAACAGCGTCCAGAGGATCGATGCCTTCATCTTGGTGCACAAACGTGTGTCTGCTGTCAAGATGGAGAGGAGTGTGAGACGACGAGTCGGGCGGGAGGCACAGGGCCGTTAATGGCTTGACACAGCCTAGCTAGCCCAGCTAGCCCAGGCTGAAGGGTCACGTGCTGCACCGTCTCCGTCACAGTTGCAGTTGCAGTTGTCAGGGCATATGCGGCAGTGGTGGCTTCGTTCCTCGCAGGAATGGCTTTGCAGTTGATTTTCATTTTTCAACAGCTATACAGTGCACCCTGACATGCTGTCAAGATCAAAGCGCAGCGGTGCGGGAACGGGCCGGAAAGACTGTACGTTACCAGAGGGCAGTGTGTAAACGAAATATGATCCGTGAGGTTAATTGTTGTATGGCATGAGCGCCAAGAGGAGGCTGGGACAAGAATGGGCATCCAGGGCCCTGGCAGACGTCATCACCCATGGCCTAATTAAGCATGTTTGCGTTGATCCCCATAGTCAATTAGGAGAATGACATGGAGTTTGTGTATGTCAAAGCAACGCAAAGGCATGTGCGCTCTCGGTCAATGGTCTACCTCGGTTGAGTGTAGGACGTGTGTAGGAGCGGTACCGGCTGTGCACGTCAATGTCTGTGGTCATCCCCAAGACAATTGCTCTCTATCAGCCGCTGTACATCGTTCCAAGGACGCATGGCCACTCTCAACGGCTGTGCTCGACCACTTATGTCCAAAGACCAGTTATGTAGAACCACGCAGAGATCTGACTGCTTCTTCTTGTTCTGTTTGCAGTGTCAAGTTCCAACAGGATTTGACGGGGCAACAGCAGATGCATGAGACAGCACATATCGTTGGTTACGTAAGCAGATTGGTTTGTCACCGAAATGTGGACTGTCAACACCGGGAATCAACGGTAGAAGTGCGACTCCTCGGCGGTTGGTATTGACAAGACCTCGGCCTGCCGCGCGCTGTCACAGAGTTTCGCGCGCGGAGCTCCTCCGTGGATTTGAATTTCATGTTCCAGTGGCGTAGAAGCGCCACCAGCGGCCTTCAAGCTCTCTAACACCCAGTCCCACGTCGGCGCTTAAAGGACGGCGAAGAGTTGTTGCAGCAACTTGGCGAAGACCCTCCACTGCTGTTCGCTTCCCTGTTTCCAGCGAGTGACAGCGAGGTGGGCATGCATTCTCAAATTGTGGCTAAACTGGCGTTACTCGCGTTTCGGCCAGTTTGGCGACTCGATATTCTTTTCCTGTTGCCCCATGATCAAGACGCCGTTGGAGTGACCCCACCTGCTCACGGCGAGTATACGGCAGTTAGCAGACTGACAACTTGCCGACCACCAATGACAGGTGGGTCAGGTTAGCTACTGTACATACCTAGGCAACCATGCGATCGTCGTCAGGCTGCCGCTCCCCTCCAACCTCGTTCCAACATCTACGGCAGCATGTGGGTGTACCCCCGCCCGCCCTCTTCTTAACTTCCGTGCCGGCGCCAGCATTCGAGGCCCTGCATTGTCTGTAGTTCCATGAAGGTCTGTGTTCATGTCCCTACCCTGTGAGCTGGCGCAAGATAGTGTTCCACGCACGACTTCGTTAGCAAGCACCACTTGAGGACACCGCAGTCATCGAACGTCGGCTTTCACCGACCGCCCACTCTCAAAACTCCGAGCGTCCCTGCCGTTACTACGATAAGCCGGCCAATTGAAAGTTGCCGACCCTAGCGCTTTTTTTGGGTTCCAACGGCGCGGTGCTGCCCCACGCCCAACAGCCCATGCCCACCCGGCCCTGTTGGCCGGAGGAGTTCAAGTAATGAAGCACAGGGGTTGAGTGTTTGTGCTCTTACCACATTACCCTCAAGATGCCCGACATCGAAGCTTCTCCTTATGATGGAGGCGACGACAAGAACGCAAACGTCGTCGTCGTTGACGAGATCGACCGGGCGAAGGATGTCCAGATCGATGTCCACACTCACCTCCGTATGTCTCGGCTGTACGGGGAGTTATACTGATACTTTCAGGCGATGGCGTCCAGCGCCGCATGGAGCAGCGTCATATCCAGATGATTGCGCTCGCTGGTACGCTCGGCACAGGCCTGTTCCTCAGCAGCGGCAAGGTCATTGCACACGGTGGCCCAGTCGGCGCAGTGCTGGCTTACATCCTCACCGGCTCCATCGCTTACTGCATGTGTGAGTTCTCTTCGGTGACCCTGTCCACGCCATGGCTAACTCCTCCAGTGATCTGTGTTGGCGAGATGGCGGTGTACGCGCCAGTGTCCGGTGGATACATTCACTTTATCGAGAGATGGTGGAACCCCAGCGTCGGCTTTGCAGTGGGAATCCAGGTCTGTTTCCAGTACTGTCTCTTCCTGCCGTCAGAGATCATCGCGGCCAACATTCTCATTTCGTACTGGGACAAGGGTGAGTTTCCAGCTTGGGGGCGTGTGTTTGACCGTGACAGCGTTCCCGGCGTCCCATCAAGCTGGATACATGCTGGCTCTCATGATCGGTGCAGCCGCCATCGTGAGTACCTCTCAGAGGAGGCCTTGTGCTAAGTTTAGAACTACTTTGGTGTGCGCTGGTTCGGAGAGAGCGAGGTGAGTAACCCATACCTTAAACCTGTGGCGCGGGCGCGGCTGACCTCTGCCAGTTTGTTTTCGCTGTGATCAAGAGTAAGCCGATAAGCATCAATCCGTCGCTCATCTCCGACAGTTGCTCTCGTTATTGGTCTTATCATTGCTGGTATCGTGATCGACCTCGGAGGCGCGCCCAACCATGACCGCATCGGATTCCGATACTGGAAGGACCCAGGACCGTTCGCTCCCTACCACGGTTCCGGTGACTTGGGCAAGTTCCTGGGCTGGTTTACCGATTTGCTGCAGGCCGCCGGCTCCTACGCTGGCATCGAGAGTATTGTCGTGGCCGCTGCCGAAGTCAAAAACCCACGTGTGGCGCTCACCAAGGCCATCCAACGTCTCTTCTGGCGTATCCTCATCTTCTACGTCCTGCTCATCTTCGTCGTTGGACTGATTGTGCGCTACGACGATCCCTCGCTCCTCCAGTCGACGGGTACTGCTGCGTCCTCCCCCTTCGTTATTGCCATGGAGCGCGCGGGCATCAAGGTCCTGCCCAGTATCGTCAATGCGGCCATCTTGACATCTGCATTCTCGGCCGGAAGCTCGCTCATGTATAGCGCCAGTCGAATGGTGTACGGTATGGCACTTAGGGGCTTTGCTCCCCGTGTCCTTGCCAAGACCACCAAGCGCGGTTTGCCCATTGTGGCACTCGCCTTTGTCACCATGTTCTACGCGCTGGCGTTCATGTCCCTCAACGACGGCGCGTCCACGGTGCTCAACTGGCTGTCCAACCTCAACGCACTGTGGGTACTCTCCATAACAGTTCCTCACTGACCGTGGCAGCATTGGTTACATTGTGTGGGGGTCTATCGCCATCACCTTCCTCCGCTTCAAGAAGGGCCTGGAGGCGCAGGGTATCGACCGCAAGACCTTCCAGTGGGTCCATGACCGTAGAATCGTTGCTGACATTACACAGCTACCACAACCGCTGGCAGCCATTGCCCGCATACTGGGTCATTGGATGGTCGAGTCTCATCCTCTTGTTCAATGGCTGGGAAGTGTTCACCCGCGGCAGCTGGAACGCAACCAACTTTGTCATTGCCTACATCACCATCCCCGTCTTCCTGGTCCTGGTCGGCGGTTACTACATTGTCAAGAAGCCCCGCCACCTCAAGCCCGAGGAGCTCGACATGTTCAGCAACATCCCTACCGATGAAGAGGTGACCCACGAGGAGACGCCGCCAAAGACGTGGTTTGGAAAGGCAGTCAACTGGTTGTTCACTTGAAAGGGTTGTAGAAGATGGAGGAGTGAAGATGTTACTGTGTTGTGAAGCTGGCAAGGTGGTTCTTGTGCGGGACTCTCGTGACTCATGTTCAAGCAAGTCCCAATCCTCATTTTAAGACCATTTATTCGTATTTTCCGTTTCCTCGCCTGTCCAACAATCACGCCCGTCAGCGAGCCCTCAAACTGTTCGTTCATAGACTTTCTATCGTCCCACTTCATAACATTTCCTCCCTCTCTTCATCCTGAGCGCGCATTCTCGTCAAACCGCAGTTCCTGCGGCATTTCCTGTCAGGGATTCAACGCCGTAAACAAACAAGAACAGCCCACCCCGCGGCAGCACGACAATCTGTGTTAGAAACACGTAACCAGATTGCTTCCGCCGAATGATGTCAGCAGTCCCCCAAGCGCTATCCATATAAAAGACCATCTACCGCTAGTATACCATGCATCTCCGTTTCTCTTTCACTCTATACCTCATACCCTCGTTACCTCGCTGGTACTGTCTGCAGCAGTGCTAGCATCGACATCCGATGCTCTCTTTTCTTACAATCTGTCCTCTCATATGATTTCGCTAGCTCAGTTGGTAGAGCGTCCGCTTCACATCCAGTGATTACGCGGAAGGTCGAGGGTTCGAGCCCCCCGTGGAATAGAGTAGAATATCTCCTTTTTGGAGGCCGTATGAATCTGCAGAAGGGTTGGGAGACAACCCTGGAGACCCACAGGGATGAGAAATGCGAAAAATCCACCTTGAAAGCTGCGAGAACCGTGATTTTTTTGCGTTTTCCTGTGACAGCACGCGCCGATCAGTCGACATCGACATTTCGCTAGCTCAGTTGGAAGAGCGTCCGCTTCACATGGTGATAACGCGGAAGGTCGAGGGTTCGAGCCCCCCGTGGAATATGTCCTTTTTGCCTGTTGAGGGAGCCCATCTACATCTGCGGACAGAAGAGGGTTGAAAAAGAGTGTTGAAAGGTGGTTGGTTGAAAGTGCCACTTGGAGGCCCGGAACGACGCGCAGGAAATTTGATCCCGCCCTCCGCCCCGTGTATTGATGGTGACGTCATTTTCACGGGATTGTGTGTCTTCTTACGCGCGTCGCGCCTTGCCGGGCGCCGGACGGGTGGTACGGTGGTGTGGGTCGCGGGGTCGATAACATGTCCACGTTTTTTTATCTACCCCATCACTCAATCCACTCTCATCCTCTTAACACACACGACTGCCCTGCGCCCATGCCCGAGACTCCCCTCAGCGAGGACGCGTCCTCGTCGTCCGCGACGGCGTCTGGCACCTCCACTCCCATTGGCATTGAATTCAGCGCGCCGGCCGGTCTCCGCCAGCGCTTCAAGACGTTTGCAGATGATGTTTCCAGGGGCGTCGAGGACCTCGCAATGAAGATTGTTCCCAACGAGAATGGCATGTTCAAGGTGCGTTTCTGAGCCAGATCCTCTCCTCCCCCAGTTTTCCCACGGCGCACGCAGCACAAGATAGCCAAATGGGACGTCGTGGTTCTTGAGACGACCGCTGCGTGCGCGACGACGCACGCCCCAGGGGCCTATCTGCCCATCCTCTCCGCTGCGCTAAGATTGAATGTACGCCTCACGGATGGCGTGCAACAGGGGCATCTTTTTTCAGCGCGTGCGGTGTGTCTCCCGTCGACCGCTGGCTGTGTGTGTACAGACAGAACGTTGGTGCTGACTTTAGGTTATTGGTGTGTCCTCGTCGCCGTCCCATCCACCGCAGGATGAAGCTAACCCCAGCCCCGGGCACGCCTTACGATGAGCTCGGTAAGTCCCACCTCATCCATGTTGTCTACATTTGAGCTGATGGCCTACCAGAGCTCAGCCCTAAGGAGACCCACAAGCGTCGCCACTCGAAGCGTGGGGGATGGAAGAAGTGGCTCGCGGGCAGGCGACTGCTCATCCCGGCCGCGTTCGTGTTTGGTGCTGCGGCTGTGTGGACTGCCACCACCCCAGACCTGTTCCAGGGCGAGCTGGCCGACCTGTGGCCCATGATCCAGACCGACATGCGCGACTTTATCGGCAACATGACGCTCGTTGAAGGTGAGTTGGGCCGCCGCGTTTTAGGCCCCCATGTTTACCAGGCAGCTGCCCGCAAGACCATGTTCGAGACGCGCGACTTCACCATTGGCGATGACCTGGCCCAGGAGTTTGGCCTCAAGGCTGACCACCCTATTATCCTCATACCCGGCATCGTCTCCACCGGTCTCGAGAGCTGGAGTACTGCGGCGGCGGCGCGAAATCTGTTCCGAAGCCGCCTGTGGGGCACATCGACAATGATCCGCGTGAGTGGACATCCATGCCATGTCAGCTGACAACCCAGAGTGTTCTCACTGACAAGAGTCGCTGGGTGGAGGCGATTGCCATTGACCTCGAGACTGGTCTGGATCCCCCTGGCCACAAGGTGCGCGCCGCACAGGGTCTCGACGCGGCGTCCGAGTTTATCCAAGGCTTCTGGATTTGGCAAAAGGTCGTCCAGAACCTGGCTACGATCGGATACGACACCAACACGATGGACATGGCGGCATACGACTGGCGTCTGGCATACTACAACCTCGAAGTCCGCGACAACTACCTGTCACGACTCAAGATGCGTATTGAGCTCATGCACAAAAAGACGGGTAAAAAAGTCGTTTTGGCCTCGCACTCGATGGGCGGCTCGCTGGCCCTCTTCTTCCTCAAGTGGGTCGAGGCCGAGCCAGACGCGTACGGCTTCGGCGGCGGGGGTGGTTCTGACTGGGTGGAGAAGCACATTGAGGCCTGGGCCAATGTCGCTGGTACCATGCTCGGCGTACCCAAGGCCATGACGGCGTTCATGTCAGGCGAGATGAGGGACACGGTCGAACTCCACCCTCTTGGCTCTTACGTTTTGGAAAAGGTGGGTTAGAAGAACGTTGATATCCTCTAACCCTGCACAGTTCTTTTCGCGCAAGGAACGCGCCAAGCTCTTCCGCTCCTGGCCCGGCGCCTCGTCCATGTGGATGAAGGGCGGTGACCGTATCTGGGGTAACCAAACATCTGCGCCCGATGACGAGCCCGACTCTACCGACTCGTTTGGACGCCTGTTCTCGTTCCGCCCTCAGGACATTGACCCCGAGCCGAGCGAGCCTCAGCACAACCTCACGCTGGAAGAGGTCGTTCCGTACCTCCTCACCAACACTGCTCCGGAATACCAGCGTATGATGGAGTCCAACTACTCTATCGGCTTTGAGAACAATCCGAAGAAGCTCAAGGCAAACGCACGTGACCACCGCAAATGGAGCAACCCGCTCGAGGTCCAGTGAGTGAGCGCTGCTGGAATACAACTGACTCCACAGGCTGCCGAACGCGCCATCGATGAAGATCTACTGCCTCTACGGGTACGGCAAGGAAACCGAGGTGAGTAGGAGTCGATCAATGGGGTGGGGTGTGTTGTGGCACCGTCATATGGTCACCAATCTGCGCGTCGAAGCACACGTGTCCCCTTGTGTCCGAGGGGACCAGTGTTTGTGCACGGCTTTGCCCACTCAGCACCGCTGTGACATTGAGCTGTTGTCGCGGACTGGGTATTGGGGTTATGGCTCTGGGCAAGCATGCCCAAGTGTGAGATTCCATCCACACAGCTGGGCCGGTAGCTCGCAAATCGACCCCAGAATAACAATCCGTTTGGGGATTTGCTATTCTGAGGCTCGTGCACGTGAGAGTCCAGATACTTGTGCACCGCTGTGCCGTGTAATGCCCACGGTCCACTGCCACGTTCCTGTGCCGACCATACACTGACACTGCAGCGCTCGTACTTTTATGCCAAGGGCGAGTACGACCAGGAGGAGGGCCGTCCCGAGGGCGAGGACGAGGACGCTTTCGTATGTTGAACCCGCGTTGACCCAGCTTACACACACCAGTGTAAAGCGGATTCCAATGACTGCGAGCGTGTTCCTCTCGATTTCCCACTTGGACGCGAGCACTGGATCAACAACGAGGTGACTCTCAAGGACACTGTCCCGAATGTGCGTTCAGGCGTCAAGTTTGGTGACGGCGACGGTACCATTGTCACTGCGTCGCTCGGCGCCATGTGCGTTAAGGGCTGGAAGGGCAAGACCAAGTGGAACCCGGCCGGAATCGAGGTCGTCACACAAGGTGAGTGGCAGTGACAGCGCAGTCATTTCGGGTGTCGTCAAGTCGTGTGCACGCACGGTACACGGCACGCGGGGACCCAGACGGGTCCGTAACATGACACACGGATGGCCGCTAGAATCTTGGCTCTGTGATCTTTTGCGGCACACGGTTGCAAATTCAATCTCCCAATCTTCCTGTGTTGGGTGACCGCCATCACGCCCGGCCACGCAATCCCATACCCACGACGTGCCGTGCCCCGAAAACGCACAATGGTGGCTAACTTTGCAACCCCACAGAGTACAAACACCAGCCCGAGAACTTTGACCTGCGCGGCGGCGCGCTGACCGCCGACCATGTGGACATTCTCGGCTCGTCGCCTCTCAACGCCGCCTTGCTCAAGATTGCGGCTGGTCGCGGAGACCTGGTCGAGGAGCAGCTTGGGTCCAAGGTCGTCGAGTACGCCGAGCGGATGCGCTGGGACTGAGTAAGGTCCAGCTAGACGTGGACACCGGCCGGAGCACCTCTTGCGCGTGAAAATGTGGCTGGACCATTGTAGACTTTCGCTGGTCGATGTTGACTCTGTGTTAATTCCCCCCAACGTTGTGTTTCGATGCGATCCAATTAGACGTTTGGCCGTGTCGCCTGACGCACATCTGTGTGCGTTATGGGGTTGCACCGGTTTGCAGAACCGCCACTGAGCGTTGTGGGCAACGTCAAACGGGTCGTCCAGAACTGCCTCGGGACGTTCACCGTTGTAGCTCGGAAAACAACAAACAGACTTCACAGTTCGCTCCACGACACACCGCCTCCATTGCACCAGGCCAGTGTTTGTGCCGGGATCGTCGGCACCCACACACCCCATCCCCCGCTGATCCGCTGAATGGAAGTGTGCCACACTGTACCCTCACTACGCGAGACACATGGATGTCGACGTCTCCTGCCGCGGGTCTGATCTCTGAACGTCTGCGCATGCGTGTGGATGTTCTGGAACTGTGGCACCATCCATCCCACTCCGGCAATTCCGGTGTGCTCACTGGCCACTGGCCACTGGCTACTGGGGTCCATGAGAGGACACTGCAAGTGCTAGCAAGGGCAACTGAGGTGTGCCGAGACCGCTGTTCAATGAATGTGTCGGGTTTCGTGCCCGCCAATGCTGCGCTAATGCCAACAAACAGGGGCCCAGCTCTTGCACGCTCCGTCTGGAGCCGTCGGGGAATCCAGACTCGGGCGAGACGTTACCCCGTGGGTATGAGGTTGTGGGACCTGTGATGCTGTGAATATAGAAAAGAAAAAAAAAAGAGAGAGAAACGCAAGGTCGCTTCAGTGTGGGGGACAGCTTTCGAGCGGTCGTCAGGACCACCTCGTCGGGCAGGTCGTCGGAGTCGTAGTCGTCGTCGTCAGGCCCCAGACTGGATACGAGGCCCCGAGGCCCCGTGTCAGACCTCGCAACTCCGTCGGTCCATGGCTCTCGGAAACTGGCGTTGTTTGTTCCCAAGACATCAGTGTGGCTGGTATACTCACTCCGAAGGTCCGGGGGAGGCGGGATGCTCGGCGCTGGATGCTTTTGCTCGGCATGTCTCGGCGCAGACATTGTATCTTGTCACTAATGGCGGGAGTGCCACAAGCAGTGTTGTCGGCGCAAGCAACGACGTCATGTCATGTCATGCCTTGCCTTGGCTTGGGGCCTTGGCCGATTCGGTCGAGTTGACGACTAGCCACAACGTACCCAAAACACATGTTTTGAGTTTCGTGCGTGCGGCAGCAGGGTATGCTGGTTAGAGGGCGGCATGCCATGCCACGAGCGGGCCAAGACACCGTCCAAGATTCCAAGCCCTTCCAAGACGAGAATGAAAGCAAAAGCATGCACGCCCCTTCGCCACAATCCGGTGCTACACCGGCTGAACGGCCGGGAAGACCGGGGAGATGGATCGTCTGCAGCCTGCGGATCGCGTTGTTGACGCTAATGGTGCACCGCTTGTCGCTATCGTTGCTCCGTTGCGATCCTGCGACCCCTCCATTCCTAGATTCCTACCCACGGCCCTGTGCAGGACGCATGGGGTCCACTTGGCCACTTGGCACTAATGGCCTGCATAGTCCTAGCAACATGACGTTTGGGTGCGCTAGAGGGCGGTGGACATGCAGTCCTAAGCGGAATGCCGGAATGTGGGATCCAGCAAGAAAACGAGGCAGAGGCGAGTCGAGCGTTTGGGTCCAATGGAGCGGTGCAGTCTTGTGCCACGACACAGACGATGATATTATTCGAGAAAGCTACTAGCGCGCCACTGGCCACTTGGCAGCCCCATGATGCGGTGGCTGCCCCCCTCGCCTCCGCAGCGCCAACGACTGTCGGGAGAGCGAGACAGAGAGAGTGACTACTGTGGACAGAGCCGGACATTACTGGTGGCGTTGAGTGCTGTAGTAGGCTGCGTACATCGGGCTTTGTTCTGCCGCACAGCTGCGAAACATGGCGCTGCAAACTGGGACGGACAGAGGAATCGCATCCAAAGGCAGCTCTCGCAGCTCTCACCGCGATCGAACGTCTGTGATATGTTAGGCGTTCCCGCCTCATGCAACCTTGGCCCTGATTCTCCTGTTGGAGGAGAGTGCGTGGCCGGGCTGTTTACGACGAGGCACGGGTGCATTCAGCGGAGACTGAAGCTCGCATTCAAACGCTCGCCGAACATGCCGAACCGACCGCACAACCGGCAAAGAGAAGGGGGGAGAGAGGGGGGACGCAGGAACACGGTGTTGAGAGCAGTGTTTGCCCGCTGTATGTGATTCACCGTTCATGGACGTCAGGCTCGTCGGAGGATTGCTAGGGTCATCGCAGGAAGAACAAGCACAGCGTTTGGTGGACAGTATGCACGCATCAGTCGCGAGGCAGCAGCCTTGTTCGGCATACGTGCCGGGGATTCTCCACGCGCAGCAGACTGAGCTTGTTAGCTTGTTAGCTTGTTTGCCCTTCTTTACTGGCCACTGGTTGGTCAGCCATGTTCGTTGCCTGCGGTCACTCCTGGCCTCCTGGATCGCTCAACCTGCCCTGCACACCCGCGCATGCGGCCCCACCTCGCCCCGCCTTTCGTTGCTGTTCATTCTCCATTGTCCTCATGTATCCTTCAGGAATAGACCTCAGGACCTGCTGGACAGGTCGAGGGAGTATGCATGTGCACATGCGTCCGGCGAGTTGAGCACGAGGCGGCCGCGTACGCCTCATTGCAACCAACACCAGATGCTCCGAAGGGTAAAATATATACCACGAGTGGCCGTCTGGGTCTGACACGGTATGAGAGTTGGTGAGTGGCCAGTAGGGCCAGTCGTGCGGTGACGACGCCCGTGAGCTGCACCTGCAGCAGCGGCAGCGGCAGCAGCAGCAACAAGAAGAAGCATATACCCTGTCCTGGGTCGTCGTTGCCCGCCGCGGACGGCGTGAGGCGCCCGCGGCTGTGTCGCAGAGACCCGCCCGCGGGTTCTCACTCTCTCACACGACGTACCGTATGTATGCACGCCCGGCGACAGTGAGCACCAACGCTTGTGAGGGATCTTGTGATCTTGTTCAGCCGCCGTATATGGATTCATGGCGTGCGGAGGCAAGCAATGAAAAGAGATCCCCCAACGGGGCACAGTATGCGAGAGAGGGACAGAGAGAGAGAACCCAACGATCCGGCGATGCATCGTTCACATTGAAACGGCTTGCCCAGCCGCCCGCCCTGAAATGTACGGCAGCAGGCACCCGGGTGTGCTATGGGGGGGAATCGGGAGAGCCAAAGTGTACAGTGTGTTAGTAGTGGCCACCCAACGAGGACGTCTGGTGTGGTGGACGGGAGAGGGCTGGTAATAATGATACCCACAGCAAGTCACATACCGACAGTGGCAGTCAGTAGCCGCAGCAAGGTCCAACAGCGGTCGTGTGCGTGGTGTGCTGCAGACGGAGGTGCTGCATATGGCTGGCTCAGAGCACAGTTCGTGGATCGTCCTGATCTCTTTACAATTGAGACCCGGCGTGTGTGTGTGTGTGTACCAGCAACCAGCCAGCCTTTCAAGCTTCCCACTCCACAAGCCTCCATCGCTACTGCCGACACAAACAACCTGCGCGCGCAGTGCTATAAACAGGCAGTCGGGGTGTTCCTCTTCCGATCCTCTGTCATCTCGCTTGGAGCGGTGCTGCTCGGTTTGCTGGTTGCTGCTCGGACCGTTGGCGTCGTTGTTGTTCGCTCGCTCGGTGCTGGGCGGGGGGACGCCACACCCTGTGCAAGCCATTGCCCTTGGACGCCACACATTTCGCTTGACGCATCTCGACGTTGCTGGGAAGACGAGGCCTGTGGATAATCTGAAGCAAGAGCATCGCATCGCATACTGAGAGCTGCCAAGTGTTGGGCAGTGCACCGCCCCTTGGGTGTACATGGTGGTGTCTCACTCGGCCCACCGCTTGCAGCTTGTGTATGCCGGGGGGGTGTGTGGGCGTCCTGTGATCCTGTGACTGTCCTAGGGGGGGGACCTTTGGTTGGCTTGGCGGGGAAGGCTGCTTGTTACCCCTTGATCCGTGGGTGAGGTCCTGTGGATGGCCAGGTCTCTCTCCCTTTCTCCCCGCCTTTTTGGGCACACTCTCTGTGGGCATCCGCAGCCTACGCATGCAGAGAGAGTCAGTCCCATTGCGTCAGCCCAGCCGCTCTGCAGCTCTGCAGCATATCCCAGGAAACAAGAGACACATTGCTCTCCCCCTCTGCCCGCCTGCCTGTCCGCATCGAGCCCACCATTCAGTTGACCCAAATTAGTCCGTCACACACATACACAACTCTCATCCATACATCTCTCCTTCTCTCTCTCGTCTTTGTACAAGAACAGGCCACCCCCCCGTCCAGTCTCGAGGCTCCCCCCCGCTTCCCCCACCACCTTTCTCTTTCTCATCTTCATACCCGGCATCACCGCCGCCCGTTCTTTTCGGCCCCGCCCACACCGTTTCGGAGCGCCAGCGACCAGTGCCCAAACAACCGGGCCTGCCCCCCACACCCCTCCCTCCCTCCCTGTTCCCCATCCCACCCCCTTCCCGGGCGGTCTTCCATCTCTCTTCCGCCCACCTTCCTTCCACCTTCCTTCCACCCATCCGAGGTTGTCTGCACCATGGTCGACTACACCCAGGTGCCCAACCCGGCTGCCAACAACGCCGCCGAGGCAGACATTGGCGAGCGCAACTCGTTCATGAGCGCAAACTCGAGCTCGGAACCCATTCATGACGGCGGCCTCCTGGGCGGCAACCTTGCCGCTCCCGCGCCGTCCATCATGTCGCGCGACTCGACCTATGGCTCCCTCAACACCCCGTCCATCTCGGGCGACGGCGCTCGCTCGTCGTGGGGCAGCGGCCAGCTCTTGGGTGCCAGTGGCAACGCAGCACTCCCCGCCGGTGCAGACGTGAGTCTTCTTTCTCCCCACTGCATTTCCTTCATTTCACGCCCGTGCGGCAAAACGGTGTCGAAGAACCTCCAGGCCCCCGCCCCGCCCCAGCCTCTTTCGCCCCCCTGTTCTTCGGATCTTGCCGTCTCCAACGTCGCTTCCACCAGGCGATCAATGCACTCGCCCTCCCTGGGGGTGAATGTATTTGTGATGTCTTGGGTAACGAGGATGGACGGGGGGAGAGGCTGTGGGGGTGACCGTGACGGGGCTTCGGGGCTGTGTACCTTTCTGATCGTTCCTCGGCATGTTTGGCTGACCACCGTGCTCTCAGTATCCCAATGCCCCGCGCGTCCAGTCGGGTCTTTCCCAAGGCTACACTTCTCCCTTCCCCGACGACGTCGATTCGCAGGGCCACTATGCACCCGACGGTGCCGTCCCAGCCACCGACAAGGAGGTCCCCGCTTGGGCCGCGTCAAATGTGCAGCGCAAGCGCAAGAGCCGCAAGGTCATGTGGCTTGCCCTGCTGGCGTTGCTGCTGGTGTGCATCGGTGTTGGCGTCGGCGTTGGTCTCGGTATTTCCAAGCCATGGAAGAACAGTGGCAAGCAAGACGCAGCCGACTCGAACGCATCAGAGTCTGCTGCCGTTGAGTCGTCCAAGAGCGCCAACGGCGAAACTGCCACTGCCACTGCGACCAGCACTTCCGCCACTGCTTCGGCCACCCCTACCTCGGGCACCAAGGGCTCGACTCTTTACTTTGAGGACGGCACAACTGCCACATACGACAACAACTTTGGCGGTACCTGGGTTTGGGACGAGAGCAACCCTACCAACGTGAGTAGAATGACAACACATGAGAGTGACATGCCTGCTGACAAACGTCCTCCAGAATGCCGCACAGTGCAACTCCTGGACGCCAGCCCTCAGCCAGAACTGGACCTGGGGCGTTGACACTGTCCACGGTGTCAACCTGGGCGGTTGGCTCAACACTGAACCCTTCATCGTTCCGGGCCTTTACGAAAAGTATGCCAACGGCTCCGCCGGCACTGCCGTCGACGAGTACACTCTTTCGATCAACATGGGCGACAACCTGACCGCGGCCATGACCGAGCACTACGACACATTCATTACTGAGCGCGACTTTTACGAGATTGCCGCTGCGGGCCTCAACTGGGTCCGTCTCCCCATTGCGCACTGGGCCATCAAGACCTGGGACGGCGAGCCGTACCTCGAGGGTGTCTCGTGGCAGTATGTTCTCAAGGCTATCAAGTGGGCTCGCAAGTACGGACTCCGTATCAACCTCGACCTGCACACTGTCCCCGGCTCGCAGAACGGTTGGAACCACTCTGGCAAGATGGGCAACATCAACTTTATGAGCGGCCCCATGGGTCTCGCCAACGCTCAGCGTACCCTCGACTACATTCGCACCCTTGCCCAGTTCATCTCGCAGCCCGAGTACCTGCCTGTTATCCCTCTCTTTGGTTTCATCAACGAGCCCAACGGTGGCCCCATTGGCCAGAACGCAGTCGGCAGCTTCTACTACGAGGCCTACAACACTATCCGTGAGGTTACCGGCTTTGGTGAGGGCAACGGCCCCATGGTCTCGATGCACGATGCCTTCCTCGGTGTTAGCTCGTGGTACAACTTTGCCCGTGGTGCCGACCGCATGGCCCTCGACCAGCACCCCTACCTCGTCTTCCAGGACCAGCCCACCCAGTCCCTCTCGACCATCAACCAGCTCCCTTGCCAGACTTGGGCCACTGGAAGCTCGAGCACCAACACCTCGTCCAACTCGTTTGGTGTCATCACCGCGGGCGAGTTCTCGGCTGCCATCAACGACTGTGGCCAGTGGGTCAACGGTGTCGGTCTTGGACAGCGCTACGACGGTACCTATGCTGGTTACTCTGGCAAGTCGACCGGTTCGTGCACACCTTGGAACGACTGGACCACCTGGGACGACACCACCAAGGCTGGTGTCAAGGCCTTTGCCGTGTCGTCCATGGACGCTCTCCAGAACTGGTTCTTCTGGACCTGGAAGATTGGAAACTCGACCCAGGGCGAGGTCGCCCAGCCCAACCCCTTCTGGCACTACCGTCTTGGTCTCCAGAACGGCTGGATCCCCACCGACCCTCGTGAAGCCATCGGCGCCTGCCAGGCCCTCGGTGTCACTGGCACCGACTTTTCGGGCACCTACGCCTCGGCTTGGATGACCGGTGGTGGCAGCGGCCTGACCACTCTTGCCAACGAGGCTTCGTACGCCTGGCCCCCACAGTCGTTCACCGACGTCGCCTCGGCATCCATGTCGTCGCTGCCCCAGTACACCCAGACTGCCGACCCCATCACCCTCGCCGCGGCAACTTACACTGCGGCCGGCTCGACCTCGACCGCCAACATGGGCAACGGCTGGCACAACCCCAACGACTCGACCCGCAAGGCATACGCACCCGTCTCAGGATGCGCGTACCAGGACGAGTACAGCGCCGCCACCTCTGGCATCCCCGCCAACGCATGTGGTGCCGGTGTGTCGCAGCCCACGCGTCGCTCCGTCGACGAGCGCGCAGCCATGCCCGGTCCCACTGCCGCCCCCCGCCGCCGCTAAGAAGCAGCAGAACACCATCCGTAGCAGAACCCAGTACATCCCCAAGGACACTCTAGTTTATCTCCTCCCTACTACACCACCACCACCACCGCCACCACACACACACGCATCCATTCGTTGTTGCCTGTTTCGCCCCCCTCTTCCCGCCTCCATCCTGTATACCTCTCATCGTTATAGCACGCACGTCCCCCCCGTCTCTGCCGTTATTAAACGCTGGCTACAACCTTGCCCCCCCTCCCTCTCCCCTCGCTCCCAACATGGGCATTACCCTAAAGCACTGTTTACTATAGTTACCTGGACATTTATGAAAGTGAAATAGCAGCAAAAGGAAATGGAAGCGAGCGAGCGCGAGAGCGGTGTCAGTGGCAGAGTATAGAGTGTGCGCCAGAGCGCCAGAGCGCGCGTAGCCCAAGGCGTAAGGGACGGACATCTGACATCTGACACCTGACACCAAACTAATCGCATGGTGACACGCCGTGCACAGCACGTAACGCCGCGCGGTTTGTGCTGGCACTGGCACTGGCGCGCACTGGCGCTCTCGAGCCCCAGCCGCCCGCGGACGCGGTCCCAGCTCTGGGCGCCGGGCGCTGCGCACCGCATCCGCCGCCGCACGCGGTCCAACACCGGCCGCCGGCCATTTACTTTTACCTCCCATACGGTCTTCTCCTCGTTGGGCCCTGGGGATCCTTGGGCGCCACTGTGCTCGGGGGGATCCTTGCGAAAATGGGCCCGCGCGCGGCGTACAGGAAAGGAACCATGGCGGCGGCGCGGGGGTACGAAGGGATCTCGAGCGGGGGATGGGCAGCGCAGCGGGCACAGCTGGGGCCAAAGCGGACAGTATTGTGGGGGTGTGGCGCTGCTGCTGGTTGCTGCTGCAGGAATCGGCGGTGCAGGGAAAGCAACAAAAAAGAGTCAGGCAAAGAAAGGTAAAGGGCAGTTAGACCGCAAGGGTGAGGAATAGGACCAGGTTGGAGAGAGAGGGAAGGGAGGGTACATGTCTTGGCGCTTGCGGATCATGTCACCTCTGGTTGCGCCTGTGCCCAAACTAAGACTGTATTAACCCTGCAAAGATCGCGTTTGAGTTCAGGCCGGGGGGAGGAACGAGTTCCAGCGCGAGAAAAAAAAAAAAAAACAGCTAGTAGTAGTGGCAGCAATAACTCTGCAAACGCGTGAGGCTGCGCGGGAACAGATCGATCTTGAGCACTGATGCATTGGTCGCGAGCGTCACCGTGCTCAAGCATGCATCCCGTGTTCTGTTGGCTGCGCGACGGCCACGACACGATACGATACGATACGCGACGCGACGCGTCGTGCTCGTACTCTTTGTAACGTAACAAGACGTGTAGATCCGAGTGGCGGACTCTGATCACGCTCAGAGGCAGCCTCGTCCCAAGCACAGTGCAGTAGCTACATACTCGCCACTACCACCTTCTGACGGACAGGCTTGGCAGATCCACAATTCTCGTAATGACGCGCGTCAGCGGCGGCGTGCCGCCAGCTGCCAGTTTTTACTCAATTGCCTCGCTGCTTTGCCGTAAACCTCGTGAGCTTGTGAGGGGGGCCCGGCGGTGCGCGCCCGCACGCTGTTTCGAGTGGAAGGAAGGAATGTATCCAAAACGGGCAAAAACACACAACGACGCGACAAAAAACAGATGCCAAAAAATAAAAAATAAAATCTCAGAAACCCAACTACCCAAAAAGTAGACGCAACAAACAACCTCCGAGGGCTTTCGCCAGGCCAAAAGCATGTTCCAAAGGGAGCGGCGTCGAGCAGTGTCCGCAGTGTGCTGGGCTCCCGACCCCCTGCTGCCGCTTTGCGAACAGGACACCCGAGTCCATGCCCCAGCCTATCTTCGAGACGGGAGGGAATGGTGTCGAGAGAATCGTTACTGTGTAGAGGGTGTCTGGCGAGGGGCCGTGAGCTGTGCGCTTCAGCTGAACGGGCCGCCCCAGCCGGCTTCCCCCGTCGTGTACCATGTACAGTACAGTATGTAATGCGACCCCACAGCGGACCCCACACCTTTGAAGCGTAACACTACTGTAGTAATATCATATGGTGTACTAACTGCCAAGGACTCGTGCTATGGCTATTGGAACCGCGTCAAAAGTGGGGAATAGAATAACCGTGTTCTTTCTCTCGTAAGTCGACCGTGTGCGTCGGGTCGAGGTTACTGTAGTCGTGTCGCAAGTTTGCGTGTTCGCGTATCGGCGTGGGCTGGCGTGGGCAAGCCCACGCCAGGCGTCATGGTGTCGTGCCTCTGGTGTGTGTCGTGTCGCCCCTTCCTCATTCCTATTATGCACACCCCTCCGTATGTGTATCGCTCTTGTGCTTGACCAGACGTGAGTCTAGGTCGAAGCTGGGTTCGCGGGTCCTCCTCCTCCGCCACTTCCACTTCCACTTCCACTCCCACCCCCACCGCCCGTCTCGACCGCCACAATCGACCTCCTCCGCTCCTTGCGGCGCAGCGACCCCTGGCTCCACTCGGGATCTATACCTTTGCGTCAGCCCCCGTTTCTCTCATCTCTGTCCGAGTCGCGCAAGGGTTCAGCCCTGCCAGCCGCGCTTGAGCTCGGCCAGCGTGGCCCCGCGGTGAAACGGACGCATCACACGTTCGGCAATTGCCAGCGCCAGGACGACGGGCCACGTGAACAGCGGCCAGAGCGGGGAGACGAGCGAGCGGCGCGTCGCGTCCATGAGGGCGATGGCGAGCTTGCCGGTTGATTTCTTGGACTTGAGCTTGCGCCTGGGGACCGAGGCGGCCGAGGGCGCGAGGAGGGCGGTAGACTCGGTGGCGGCAGAGCCGTTGGGCGACGCGGCGTCGGCGTCGGCGTCGGCGCCAGAGTCCTGGGTCATGAACGCCGCGAGGCCCAGGAGGGCGGCGCCGTCGGCGTACTCGAGGGCGAAGGGCGCGTTGGCGTTGAAGGGGCCGCCGGTGACGAGGGCGTAGGCCGCAGCGAAGCCGTCTTCGTGGCGGCCGCACCCAGCCCAAGAGCCCGTGTAGCTGATGCGGCGGTACGATTGGATTTCGGGCAGGTGGCGGAGCTTGGGGATGGTGGTTGCCGTCTGGTGCGGGAACTCGGTCGCCCAGCGCTGGGCGCCGGTACGCGACGGGTGCTCCGGGTGCTCGCTGTCGGTGGGCTCGGCGGGCCACGATGGGTTGAGCGTGAGGCGCACAGGCCCGTGCTTGTCCAGGCTGAGACCTTGGATCTTGTTCATGTCAAAGGTGCTGCACAATGGTCTGTCAGTTGACAAGGCTACGGCATGGATCGCCCAACTCACACAGACACCTGCTCGGTGCGCGCCTGGACCTCGTCGTTGTACGGCGGCGGGGCTGGGTGCGCGTCATAGTTGATGGCAGTGATAGCTGACGTCAGTGGACGCCACACTCAGTTGTAACTCACCAGTACGGCCCGTGGCAGTGGTTCCACCGACCACATGGTCGTCGTTGGGGACATTGGAGCCGGCGACCTTGTCGTCCCAATGGAGCTCTGCTTCAAGCGGGGTCCACTTGGTCGAGCCGAGGACGGTCTCTTCGAGCGGGGATGCCCAGCCGCCACGGCGCAGCATCGCGAGGGAATTGTTCGACGGCGTCCTTCACATTGGGTGTCAGTGCGTGGGAAAACAAAGCCCCCCAAACCCCCACACAAATACTTACGCGAGGATAACGTGGTCGTAGATATGGTTGGCTCCGCTAGCCTCGACAAGACGGACGCCATAGCTCTCCGACGTGATGGAGACAATCTCAGTGTTGAAGTGGAGGTTCTCGGGCGGGACAGTGGAGACGATAGCGTCCACGTACGTCTTGGCGCCGCCCTCGACGCTGAGCCACCCGTGAGGCGACTTCCACTTGAGCATGTTGTGGTCGGCGAGCGTGGCGATCACCGTCGCGGCGGGCATGCTGAGCGCCGTCTGGTCATCGGGGACGAGAAGGAGGACGGCAATGAGGGGCTGCGAGCGGGCGTCAGTCCTCCTCACCGAGTCAAACACGGCACTTCGCCCCCCACTGCCCATTCGCTTTACGCACAAAAAGGTAATCGTCAAAGAAACCGCGCGAGTAGCCCTCACGGTTGAGATACTCTTCGAGCGTAATCTGCGTCTCGCCCTCGTCGGCTTCGAGGAGGTAGTCTCCTGCATAGTAATTGAACCGCATCGCGTCAAAGGCCGTACGCCACGCACGCGGATTCAGGCTGGGTGGCACATGTCAGTACAATGGCCATGGCGTCGGTGCCTCCTTGTGTTCCCAGGGGGGCAACTGCGCGGGGAATGTGATGAATGCGATGGGGGCAAGTGGACCGAGGCATGCTGCTTACATGTTGGTGAGGCGGAACCCGCGTCCAAGACGAGTGGCCCACTGCACCTGGCCTTGACGCGATACGCTGAGCGAGGCATCAGTCTGGACGAGCGGGACGCCGAGGAGCTTGAAGAAACGGAGGAGGTTCGGGGATCCACGCGGATGGAAGGACATCTGCCAAGTGAGTACAGCTTCTTGCATCGTTCATGGCCTCAAAGCTCACAAAGCCGCTGTAACACATGTTAGCACTGCCTATCACGTCAGATCACATGTGCAAGCAACTCACGTGTCGACGAAGCATGGCTCCTTGCCATCGCCTGTGTGGGAATCAGCAATGGTTCCCCTTTCCCGAACCATGACGAGAGGCGCATCTCACACGCCCCCGCCGCCGGCATCACTGTTCACACTCACGCCTGAACTCGGCGCTGTGAGCATGTCCGCCAGCAAAGCTGTTCTTCTCGTAGATGTTGACCTCGTGGTCAGAGTACTGCTTGAGGAGCTGTGCGGTGTGAGCTGAGGCTGCGGCGTGTGAGAGAGAGGACAGGGGAGAGCGCACCCATAGGGCCGAGAGGCCAGACACGCCCGAGCCGACGATAGCGATGCGCATGGGTCGTCGCGGGTGATGGTGGTGATAAGAGTGGCGAGCAAGGAGAGCTGGCTGGTGGCGTGGCACCTTTTAGGAGACAGGTGGTGGTGAGCAAGAGAGTAAAGTGGATGAGTGAGAAGACAGAGTGAGAACGAGAGAAAGAGAAGGAGATGTAAGACAACACACGACGGACACGCGACGGCCCACACACGCGCTGCGGGTAAAAGGATATTGTGGGGGAGAAAAGAGATGCACGACGTCTCCTCTCTCCCCCCTTGAATGCCTGGGAAAGCCGCGGGGGCACGCGCTGTGGGTGGGAAAAACAAAAGGACGCGCTGCCCGCAGTGGGGGGGCTGTGGGGTCCCCAGGCGGATGTTCAGGCACACACGCGGCAACGGACCGTGTTACGTAAGAAAAAGATCGCCCCCAAACGGGAGCTTTTATCTGGCACGTGGGACCTGAGTGGAGGCTAGAGCGTAGAGGGTGCGAGCGTGGGAGATTTAAAGTTGGATTAGGAGGATATGAAATACAAAAAGTGTTGAAAATGTTGAATGGGCGAAGCGGATGATCAGATGACACGGGTACACGGGTACACGGGTACACGGGGTTGCAACCTCTTGCTTATATGCCAGTTCGGACGTTCTGGACGACGGGTGCAGTCCGTGGTCCTCTCTTATCTCCCAATGTGTACACACACATTCATGGCCACTGTACCACTGTCATCCTTGACAGCAGCAGCACTGGGATAAATGTCTGCCGTTGTCCTTGCAACGCTGCCGCAGCGTGCCGCACATGCCGCACACATGACACACCCTTTTGGCCTTTTGGCCTGCTGACAAAGGAGGGGTGTGACACCCTCGACACGACGCGTCCAGTCACGTTTGTTGCATTTGTGTACAGGCCCACTCGTGTTGGTGTTGAGCACAGACGGCACTGCTGCCAAGCCGCGCCGCCGCCGCGCGGCCTAGAGAGGGCTCTAGGATCCAACCGAGCCAGCCTGCTCTAGTGCACCGTAGAGTGACAGACCCCTGTACGCCAAGAGTCACCGACAGCCCTGTTGTGCTCGCTGTTCAGCCAATGGCGTGCACGTCAATTGTCAGCCGCGCCATATAGTTTGCCACTCTCACGGCCACTTGAATATCCCCCTGGGCTGCGGCGGCCAGATGGCCCTTTTGCGCATGGCCGATTATACTCCCGCTGCTGCCTGGCTGCCAGACGGGCGCCGTGTTTGGCAACTTTTTTGTATCCCCCCCGGCCTCCCACCCAGCCGAGCGAGTGACGTACCCACACCCACCCCCCGCGCAGAGATCAAAGAGCAGACCGGCGTCTACGCATTCCTGTCGCTCCCCTTTTTGCCCATTCATTCAAATCTCCATTCCTCTCTCTCTATCTCTTCCATCACACAACCACACACACACACTCTCTCTCACTCCTCCTTCTCCCCCCTTCCTACCTCTACATCTCTCTCTTTCTTTCACAATGGGCGCAGGCAACAACGAGCGTACCCCCCTCCTCAAGTCGTCGGGCGGATGCTGTGGTGGCAACAAGAACGGACAGTGCTGTGGTGGCTCTGGAAGCCGCGCAACCTCGTCCCTCTCCCCTCCCACGGACGCCGTCCCCCTCAACCGCAACGTCGACAAGAAGACCACCGGCGAGCCCGTCTGGCCCATCGAGCGTACTTCCTCCCGTTCGTCCCTCCGCTCCCAGCGCTCGGCGTCCCGTCGCCTGCGCGTCGAGGACCTCGTCGCCCACGAGGAGCCTCTGGTCAGCAAGTGTGGTGCCACCGGTGGCCAGTGCTGTAAGTGTTGTTTCCTTTTGGGTGATCAATTGGGTAGTGCCTCCCCCGGATAGTGGCGCGGCGCTAGCCTTCAGTGCGGTCCGGAGCGACTGCGGGCGCGCGCCACCCGACACAACAGGCCCCACCTGGCCACCTGGCGTTTTAGAAAGATAGGGGGAGAGAGAACCGTTTAGCTGACCGTGACACACAGGCAAGGACCTCAAGGGCGAGGACGAGCGTCACCTTTTGTCTCCCGAAGTCGTTCGCGACATTATCGTCGGCCTGTCTGACGGCCTCACCGTCCCCTTTGCCCTGACGGCCGGTCTGTCGTCGATGGGCAACTCGTCCCTCGTCGTCACGGGTGGTCTTGCCGAGCTCTGCGCCGGTGCCATCTCGATGGGTCTCGGCGGCTTCCTCGCGTCGCAGGCCGAGCTCGACCACTTCCACTACCTCCGCAAGCAGACCCACGCCCGCGTCCTTCGCTCGTGCGACGGCGAGATGGAGCGCGAGGTCCACGCCATCCTCGGCCCCCTCGGTGTCAAGGAGGCCCTCTCGCGCCTGGTGGCCGAGGACCTCCTCGAGGTCGAGGACGACGCCTGTGGAGCCCTCGAGGGCATTGACCGCCCCGCCGACGTCGAGGCCGGCGAGTCGGAGAAGAACGACCCCAACGTCGGCCTCACCGCCTTCCTCCTCAAGTTTGGCGAGGGCATGGAGGAGGTCCCCCGCTCCCGTCTCTGGATCTCGGCCCTCACCATCGGCCTGTCCTACTTCTTTGGCGGCCTCGTCCCCCTCATTCCTTACATGTGCACCGACGACGCCAACGTCGGCCTCATCTGGTCGGCCATTGTCACTGGTATCGTCCTCTTCATCTTCGGCGGCGTCAAGACCTACTTCACCGGCGCCACCGGCGGCTACGGCGGCTACATGTACGGTGCTACCAGCATGATGGTCGTCGGCGGTATCGCTGCCGGTGCCGCCTTTGCCCTCGTCAAGATCATGGACGTCCAGGCATAAGCAAACTGTGTACCCCCGCACCCGCTCCCACCACAAAGCAAAGTACCTCCTGGGACCAGCCTCGTACGACGCGCACACCTTTTCTTCTACCAAATACCGACCCCTTTGGCGAGAATACCCAGCGCACACAGCCACAGACACACACATTACTGCTTCCTGCTTCCTGCTTCCACGACGGCCGACTGCACAGCCAGCATTATTCTTTTTGTTACTCCCACCACCACACCCCCATTTCTGCTTCTTGTCGATACCACCTCCGCCGCCACCCGTCTGTGTGCAGGCCTGGACACCCCAACCCCCTCACATGATTCGTACTCGTCTCTCCCAGTGTATCCGATGTAAAGTGACACCATATTCCAGTCAATCAATCACACACCGCGCGCGCCCACCCTGGCGCCTTGGCACTGACGCTGACGTGACTGACCAATCTGACCGCACGCTGGCTGACGGGTGGTGGTCTCTTGGCAGAGTCACAGTGCCAGCCGGCCCGAACACCAGGCCCACGCAACGAACATTCCCAACTTTGATACAACCACGCCTTGCTCCCTCATGCTGTCCTTGGCCTCTTGATCCTCTCGATCCACATCTGGGACGCCGAGCCGGCAAAATAGGATCCGCCAAGACCCCGGGCAACCCGGGGCAAATGTCGCCATGTCTCCATCGCGTCCACGCCGATCGCCCATGACATGCAAAAGGGGGCGAGGGAGTGGCAGACATGAACCACCGTACGCCACATACGGCGCGTCAAGGCCGCGAGTTGGCGCGGCCGTAGGTACCTTTGCCTCTGGTATGTCATGCTCGCTTTCGTAAGAACACCGGGCGGGGCGGACATGGACATGGACGTGGACGTGGCCGCAGAGGTCAGATCAGGATGGCGCACTGGACTGCAGTGTCGCAAAGTCCAGCAGGCCAGCAGCCGCGCTCTCAGACTTGGGACAGAGCAAACGTCACACTGTGACTCTCCCTCTCCACTGTCTACGCCCCAGCGTACGTGACGCAGGGCAGGCACTTTGCACAATCTCAGTGTGGGTCCTGTACCGTTCGTTGCGTTGCGTTCTAGAGGCTTCCAACTGCACCAACAGTGGGCTGGCGGCGTGTACGTACGTACAGTGCAGTACGTAGACGATCAGACGAGACGAAGAAGAAAAAAAAACGGGGCGGCTCCCACCCACGGCCCTCTCGTACCCGCACCCCGTACCGGGTCGTACCTCGTGTTCCCAATCCCCCGTCTTCGCTCCTCCTCGCTCTGTACCTCTGTCCAGTTTACCGGGTTTACCTGGATGGCCCGGCCCCACACCACACCGGTATACACCGAACAACCAGTGTCCAAATACCCCTGCCAGCTGCATACGACACGGCTGTGCACGGTTGATGGCCAGGACAGAAAAAAAGGTACCCTCCCAAAAAAGTGGGCAGGCAGCGTTCTGCGTGTTGCGTGTATGTACGTTTGCGCGGAAGAGGCTGGCAGCTGGCTGGCGGGGGCTCTGGGCGCTCTGACAGACTTCGACGCTCTCGACGGATCGACAGAGTGCGGCAGTGGTAGGGAGGGGTGTGCCTTAGTTGTGTGCGTACCTCCGGGGTCAGGACGTTCGGGTCAGAGTGTGGGTTTTTGCGCTGCGTTTCTGGGGGTTTGCGCTGTGCCAGCTGTGCCAGCTTTGTACATGAGCGCATCTGCGGCCTGCGGCCTGCCACTCGCTGGATCGCTGGGCTCGCGAACCTCTGCCTTATTGTCTGGAAAATGAGCCGTGGGGAGCCGACTGCTGCATCCTGCCAACACGAGACACACACAGCGAGGCGCGAGCGTGGCGTCGTCAACAAGCCAGCTACGCCAGCTACGCCAGCTACGCCAGCTAAGCCAGCGCACGCGCCCCCGCGCTGCTGCCAAGATTCCAGGTTATCGTTTCCTTTCCGCACTCGCATGGCCACATGTCGCAATGTAGCCAACGACGCCTGTAAAAAAACAGTGTGGGTGCGTGCGGTATAGGCACCGACCGGCAGACACAGTACATGTCTGTTGCTGGCGGATAATAAGGACTGTTGTCGTCAACCGGAGCGTATGTACACACACCCCCAGGCACCGACTCCCCGTGCAGATCCCCCCGGGTGGGATGGCTGCGCGCGAAGCCAAAAAAGGCAGCCATCGAAGCATATCGACGGTGACGACGAGATGTGCGATGGAGGGGAGAGGGTGTGTGGGGTGGACCTTCGCACGGTCTGCAGGAACAAGGTGACATGCATCCTCCTCTCTCTGTTAAAGACGCAACGGAACCACCAGCTCTTGATACCTCTCCCGTCCTCTCTCCATCAAACACTGCGACATCTTTGTCAACAAGCTGGGCGGCGACCTGCTGAACCGCTATCATGACGACACCCAGCCCCTCCCTCCACCACAACCTCTTCACCCTCCGCACCGACACGGGCTCGACCTCGTCGCTGTCGTCCACATCCACCAGGCATCCGCTCTACCCGCTGGGCGCTGCGTCCCTGCCTCCGCCTCACCACGGTCACCACACTCACGGCGCTGCCGCTGCCGCTGCGAGCGCCGAAGCGCTGGCAACCCCGGCGACCCCGGCGACCCCGCGCCGGGCGACATGGAGCGTCAAGCTGCGTAACCGCCTGCGGACGATCCTGCTCGCGACGGATCCCAAGCTCGACGCCGCAGCGCTGGCGGGGGACACTGTCCTCATCCCCATCCCCGTCGCTGTGGACCCCACAGACCGCCTGGGACGGGGGCTGGGGCTGGGGCTGGGGCTGGGAATGGGACTGCGTGCCGGCCTCGACTCTCGGTATGCGCTCGGCGCCGCGGGGCTCGAGGGGCTGGAACTGGATCCGCGCGACCGGGCGACGAGCGTTGCGCATAGCATGCGTGGATGGGCTGGGATGGAGGAGGACGAGGAAGAGGACGAGGATGAAGAGGATGAGGTTGAGGGTGGCCGGGATCCACCAGACGAGCTGGACTGGGACTGGCACGCGCTCTCGTTTGGCCTGGACAACGACGGCAACTCGATCCACGACGACTGGGACCTCGCATCGCTCGCGTCGCTCCCAGACGACTTGGACGTGTACGCTCCCACCACCACCACCACCGCGACCTCCTCTCCTCTCAAGATGCACCGGCGGCAGCGGCACGCGGCCCGTGCCCAGCGCCGACCGCAGAGGCGGCGACTGCAGCCTATGGGCGGTACTGAGGGAGGGCATGGCCCCGACCCCGCACGCCCAGCGTCCTTGGCGCGCGAGGATACATTCCGCGGCGGCGGCGCGGGCGAGGCGAGTGCGAGTGCGAGTGTGAGCGGGGGTTCGAGCGCGGAGAAGGAGAGGGCGGGGGCGAGGGACAGCGGTGTCAAGTACCAAGAGTGAGTTTGCACAATGCAAAGTCACTCCCGACGGAAAGGGAGCGGCGGTCGTGTGGCGCGCGCGGGTGTGTGGTGTTGACGGTCGGCAGGTAGAGACCTCATTGGCGCCTTGTCCACCCCGATCTCAACGGTGCTCATGGAAACGACTTTGGGGGCCGCTTGTCAACAAGCCCATAGTAGTAGCATCGTGGGCTGGTGGATCGAGGCCTGCCGCAACCGCCCAAACGGAGCTTCCCCCTGCCACCAACCATCTCAACCTTTGCGTAGATTTCGCCACAACAGGCTCCCAGCCGCGCCCGCTCACCCCAGTCCGCAGCCTGTGGTGCTGAACCAGCGCCAGTTTAGTGTTCGCAGTAGTAATGACAGGATCGCTATAGATATGTACGAAAATGTTATTGGAACCAGTGTATGGAAGCTGGAAGCGGTTACGGCTGCGAGGTGCCACAGGCGCTGGCTCAAGTAGCGATCAGCGGCCAGCAAGCGTTCCCGCAATCTCCCAGCTACCACCGGCGGCCTGGCCAGAGCAGCATGCATGGCCCCTCTACCTCTGGAGCCCCCCAATCCCACTTATCAATGCAAGGTGAAAGGCAGGGAGGGGTACGGAACCAACCCCAACCCCAACCCCAACCCAAACCCAAACCCTCCACGGTCGCCAGCCGGCGCCCGGGCGACGTCACCACTTGAATCCGCTTACGAACTGGATGTCGCGTCAGCCCAACAACCCCCCCCCCCCTTTCCTATCCTTATTCTCTTGGGCCCCGGTGACAGGGCCGCCGCAGAGGGGGCTACGCATGCGATGCAGAGCAAGGGAGGGGAAGGCATGCCGAGGATTAGATAACGCGTGATTAATGCATTGCATAGGGTTCACGATCCTGGGCAGATAGGAAGTGCATGCCGTGGGTGGTGGGTGGTGGAGGTGAGAGGGTGAGATTAGATGAGATTGGGATAACAACAACAACAACAACAACAACACCACACACTGGCCGCAGCACCACCACACCACCACCACCACCACGGGAAGCCCACTGTACTGCCCACTGCGCCATCCTCCATGCCGCCAATGCGGCTGTAGGTCTCGTGTGCGCGCTCAAAACGCAAAACGCAGGCTGAACAAAACGCAGGTTGAACAATAACACCACTAAACACCACTGCAGCCTCCACAACACTCGCACGACGCCCCCAACGCCAGATGCAGTGAACCCTCACCGGTACGCATGGTGACTACAGTATGCAGCGAGCTCGCACATCGCAGGGTTGGACAGTAATGTTCCATAGCAGAGTGGTATGGCGTCTATAGTGTTACAGATTACACGGAGCTGAGATCTATTAAAGTGAGTCCCACCGCGGACAGGGACATAACGAGGGTGTTTGTTTTTTATGAGACTTTTTAAACGGCCATGCCCGGGGTGACGCCGAGCTTGAGCATGTTGTGGTTGCGGATGAACACGCCAAAGACGACGGACAGGGCCAGGGCGACAAAGATGGGCAGGTACGATTTGGAGATGGCGAGGACGTACGCGTGGATGACTCCGGGCTTGAGGTCGTCGCTGAGGGTGGCGATCGCCGACGTCGACTCGCGGACAATCTCAAACGGCGCGTCGGGCGCGTACTCGTGCAAGTACGTGTTGAGGTAGACGGACTGGACCGTGTTGACGATACCGACGCCAATGGCGGCGCCGGTGAGCTGGAAAAAGGACACGACGGACGTGGCCTGCGGAATCAGGGCGGGCCGCTTGGCGTACTCTGCCTGTGCGGACAGGATGATGTTCTGGAACGCGAGGCCGATACCAAAGCCCGCGAGGATCTGGTAGCCGATAATTTTGGCGTTGGACGTGTCCTCGCGGACCGTGAAGAGGAGGCCAAAGCCAATGGCGGCGATGGGCGGGCCGACGATGATAAACGTCCAGTAGTGGCCAAACTTGGTCACAAAGCCGCCAGAGACAAAGATGCCCACGCACACGAGGACCATGAAGGGGATAATGTCGATACCGGACTTTTGGGCACTGTGGCCGCGGCCGGCCTGGTAGAAGAGCGGGAGCTGGTAGGTACCGCCCAGCATGGCGAGCATGAGCATAAAGCACGTGCCCGAGGCCGCGACGATCGAGCGGTTGGTGAGCAGCTCGCGCGGGATGAGGGCGTTGATGTTGTAGTAGTATTCCCAGATGAAGAAGACAATGACGAGCACGCCACCGAGAGTGAAGAGCAGAGGGATGCGCCAGTTGTACCATGGGTAGTCGTTGCCACCCCACTGGAGGGCGAGGAGGAGACAGGTGATGAACACGAGGACAAGGGCCGAGCCGAGCCAGTCCATCTTGGTGAGGGCCTCACGCCAGGTCTTGGGCTGGTCCTTGTGGTGGCGGTCCGGCTTGCGTGCGGGCAGGAGGAAGAGGACAGCAGCAGCAGCCACACCACCAAAGGGGAGGTTGATCCAGAAGCACCTGGCGAGTCAGTACGAGACCCACGTTAGAACACCACGAGCCACACTCACCATCGCCATGAAGCGTGCTCTGTGAAAACACCGCCGAGAAGAGGACCAATAACGGACGAGATGACAAACACGAATCCAAAGCCGGCCATGAAGCCTGCGCGCTGCTCGACCTTTGTGACGACACTGATAATGGCAATGATCGACACAAACATGCCCGACGCGCCAATGCCCTGGACGGCGCGCGCGACGATGAGCATGGTCATGCTGTTGGCGAGCGCACAGAGGAGGGAGCCGAGCTCGAAAAAGAAGATGGCCCAGAGGAGGACCCACTTGGCCTTGAAGACGGTGAGCATCTGGCCGACCAGGAGGATGAAGCCACATTGGGTGAGCTGCGGGGGGTTGTTAGAGGTAGTTCTTAATTTTGGAGGCATCGGGGCGTCAACGTACGAAATAGGCAGTGACGATCCATGCCACGGCAGAGAAGGCCTCAAAGTCGGAGACGATGGAGGGAATGGCAGTGGAGACAATGCTCTGGTCGAGGGCGAACATCTATGAGTGGTGTCAGTGGGTGGTGTCATTGGGGGCGTCCGCGGGGACGCGCGGACGCGAGGACGTGTCGGTGGGTGGAATGTGGATGGTGGCGTGTGGTACCACAGGGCCGGGGCACGGGGGGCTATACTCACAAAGACGGAAAACATGAGGGCGAGGAAGACGAGGTAGAGACGAGCACCGGTGAGGACGCCGTCGGGGATGGACCCATCGGCGGCAATCGACGTGGTGGTGACGGTCCTGCCCAGGTCGTCGTTCTCCTGGCCTTTCTTCTCGTCATCCTCTTGGGCAGCGGTCAATGAACCAGGCTTGGAGGACGGGGTGCCGGTCAAGGTCAAGGCCGACTCGCGCGGTGGAGAAGGTGGAATCACGTCCCTCGTTTTGAGGTAGGACATGGTGGAGTGTGAGGCTGAGCGAGTTGGATGAAAGGGAAAAGGTGTAACGGGGGTGGTGGTGGTGGCGACGTTGAAATGAAAAGAAACGGGAAGTGAGAAAGCTGGAATGGATGAGAGGGATCTCGTGTTGCAGGTGAGTTATAAAACAAAGCGGAGCCACATGTCGGGTGGGAGGGGGTGTGACTGCTGGGATGGTGTGCCGTAGAGCTGAGTCACCGCCTGTGTGCCGAGGACCGAGGTCGGTACCGTTTGCGCCAGTGTACGACATATGGGACCCCCGCCGGCCATTGCTCTCTGGATCTCTCTCGCTGTGCGGTCGGTGTGTGAGGGTGCTGGCCGTGCTCTGGTGTGTGAGTCCCCTCGCCCGATGCTTGGCGCGCGCGTAACCCCGCCGCCACCGCATTTACAGATTGGCACCTGCTGCTTGGATCCGGGCCCTCCCGACCGCCGGCCATTGCACCACAGAAACACATGTGTGTGTGTCCGGCACATGGTATTGCCCATCGTCACATCGTCTCCGCCGTTTCCCCCGCCCGCCGTAACCGTTCCCCGCCGCTAGTAACGAGTATAGCGAACAGGCCCGAGGATGCAGAGATGTACTGTTGCTCTCTGCGGGGGTGGTGGGGTTGCGGGGGGTGTACGTCACGCCCAAACTGAAAAAAAAACAGGCAGCCAGCGACCGGTGCGTACGGTGTAAGGTGGGGGCGGTACGATGGTGCACTCTATTTTCGGTTCCGAACGGGCGAGCAACAGATAGGAAGTCGATTCCCGCCCACCCGCGTGCCCGTCGGCCATGGCGTAGAACCCTGATAATCGCCCTGAGACACCGTCAGATCGCGTCAACCCATTAGACTCATTAGACACACCTGCGCAATGGTTTAAATACGGTATATATGCATTTGTGCATTTGTATTGCATTTTGTATTTCGGTACTGTATTGTCTGAAACACGTCTCACACACGGCCACCCAGATGGATACACACACAATGCCCGCAGGCCACACCACACACAGACCACACACAGACCACACACAGACCACACGCATCTTGCATCTGGCATCTTGAACACTGCAAGCATGTCCCTTCCTCTGCCACTACTCATGCCCCCAAAACACATCCTCTCACTGCCTGCCCTCACACGGCGGTCCGTGTCCCTCCGAGATATATCTGGTATTAGGAAACTCGGCTGCGCACGACGGCTTTGCCTTTCCTTTTTTTATTTACGTTTTGACGCTCACTATGTCCGAGACGATATATGCCAAATGGCCGTGTGCCCGGACCGTAGGCCGTATGCCAAACGGGCAAGTGCCCGTTGTTCCGTGTACCCGTCTGCCATGTTGCTCCTCGCCAGCAACGGCGCAGCGGGAGCGGAGACTACCCCCCGGCCCTCAACGCCGTCGCTTAAGACGCTCCACTCATCAAGGCACTCACCCCGCAGTGCAATCGATCCAACAGCCATGGCTACTCACTCGGATCCCTCCGGAAACGCTGTCGGAGGGAACCGCCGTTCCGAGTCACTACAAGCGCTCTGTCTTGGCGCGTCCACCCGGCACCGGTGCACCGGTACCGAGCGCCAGACAGACACCAGTACGAGTTAGCGCATCTCTCTCACCTAGGCGTCGACCTGGATGGACGAGTGGCCGTCTGCTGTGGCCGTCCTTCACACAGCCCACACACTGACGCATTGGGACAGGACCTTTCCCAGCGTTCACAACGTAACCCCGTCCTCACCGTCGCAAAGGAGGCCTCAAATGACCCCCCGTTTCTACTACCTCTAGAAAGCCTGTCGTCACCATTCGCCGAAAACGCTCCAATCACCCATTCACCGGCCACCCACTACGTTAACGCCAATAAATACAAATATGACCCATCTGAACTCATCACATGGTCGCGGCGGGTGGGAGGCCCTCAGGACGGGGGTCACTGGGTCTCCTGCATACATGAGGCGCTGTCGGGAGCATGCTGTAAGCAGCGGTCTCGCTGTCCTCCATTCCTCGGGTGTAAATCTCCTCCGGCCTCTGGCACTCAAGAGTGTGGACACCTGATCGACCTGTGCACATGCTGTTGCCCTGTTGTGCCCCGTTGACGCGTGCACACTGAAAAGACTGATCTGGCTGAAATTGTCCTCGTTTCAAAATGGAGCGCCAGCGCAAGACAATGTGATGGATGACCCAACAGGCAGTGGCGTTCCATGTCGCCACAGATCAAGCGACCTCACATGGCGTGTACCGCCACACCCACCGTGCATCACACCCGGACGATAGTCCACCCACCAGCACCTTTTGGACCGCTCAACCTGAGCCTGATGGGTACCACTTGTAAACAACAGGTCCCCTGCGGTGGCTTTGTGCTGGTGCCATCAGCGGTAGCCACGGCACACGCGCACTGATGAACGAGCCCCAATCCCACGACGCAGTCGGACATCATCAGCGCCGAGCTGGTCGTCTGGATATAAACGCGCAATGCCCATCAGCGCGCAATCCTCATCTCACACCTTTGTCACTCACCGTTCGCCTCGCCTACTTGGATCCTAGTTTCTCCCCAGCTGCCCGGCTCTTCGCACAATGGCATGTTTTGTGATCTTTGCGGGTGCTGTCTTCTACAGCTACGCCCGGCAATGTAACATCATTGCGACGTCAAAGGAAGTCGAACCCGACCAATCCAGCTCCGCTGCTCGGCCGTTACAGACAGTGTTCACCGTACCAGTGGCTACAGCTTCGAGACGCCGCCGTCGACGACGTTTGCGTGCAACCTCGAGGCTCCCGCTCTTCGACTACAACAGCTTTCCGCATGTCCTGGAGAAACACGTTCTCCCTTACTGCGACAACACCACATTCCTCGCGCTTCGTTCCACCTGCAAACGTCTTCGTCTCTGTGCAGACCGGCTCGAAGCGTTTCATATTGCAATCTCTCCAGGATCAGACGAGGACGCCAAACAACGCAACGCATTAGTTTGTGCGCGCATATCCCCCGCGGACAGACGGCGGTGTCCAACGTTCAAGGAATGTCGTATAACGGCTAGAGTGACAAACGACAGCGAACAATGCACCGTGACATGGGAGCAAGGTCGAATTCTCTTGCAGCGGACACGGGTGATTGACCTCATAGGCTCAGTACCGTTCAAGGCTATGGCGCTTCGGCCCCATCAGTGCCCCCTGCTTCACACCATTCGCTACCGACCCACGACAGTCGGAAGCTTCATTTTGCCGAGCCTCACAGCGCCGACGGTAGTGGTGTTTGACACGCTCCATGCGGCCCAGCCCTACGACAAGACGTTCCGCAAGGTCCAGGTCCATGCCATTCCGTCACCTTTTCTTTCGCCTGTACCGGTCACCAAGCTCGTCGTCAACCTGTCCTACAATGGGGGACGGGTCTGGCCCAGCCTTCGCTTCCAGGCGAACCGTTCGCTTTCAGCCGTCGTGCTCATTTCCACAAACCCCATGCCTCCCATGACCACCACTCTTGATCCTGTCATACACGCCGTCGTCATCAGACACACCGCCCCGCTCCTCCAGGACATTGCCACAGGCATAAGGTGCCGGATCGACGACCACTGCCCAACCCTCACCATCACCTTGGTCGACTCGCACACTGTGCATCCACTGTGCTTTGGCCCCGCGGTGGAGGATAACAGGTCCAAGGGGAACGCGGCCATGGCCCTCGCCATTAGACAGCAGGGTCCAGCGACACCTGTGCGAGTTTGGTGTGTCTGGTGAAATGGCCAAAGAGGCGACCGGGGATGCGCTCCGTTTCATGACTCTGGCCGAGTACCGTGCCACCCTCGACCCGCACCAGGCCAAGCTCGAGACGGTGATGGAGTGCTGGAAGTAGCGTGGGGAAGGCTGTACGCTGTGGTGCGCCGAAATCCCGACCGGAGATCGCAATGGAGAAACACACTACGCCGGATGTCAACTACTGGCGCCCGCCAATACTGTGTTCTCGTCAGCTCGTGGCCGACGTCACTGTACCTCACACCGCAGACGAGAAACACACTACGCGGTTCGTCAACTACTGGCACAGGGGAATACTGCGTTCTGGTGGCGGAGGCAATTCAGGTCTGGCAGTGGCACTGTTGGTCTCACCAGGTCACTGAACGCGCTTCCCAAGGATCTCTCCACCCAGTCGTCTCCCCTCGGCAACCTCTTGCAGAGCACGATCCGACCGTGTCGCCATACCGTCGCTCCATGTCTACATGAAATGCACAGGCTACTGCTCTTCTGTGATATGCACATGTGTGCAGGGGGTCGCCAAGAGTGCCGAGGTCGTTGCGACCAGGTCAAACGCATCGCGCGGTGAAGGAACTGCACATGATTGACGGACCACTAACACGTGTCACCAACGACAAGTGAACACTGCTCCTTGCCTACGCCTGATCGCACTACTGTAGCACCAAACTGTTTGCAGAGAATGAGGCTGCCAACTACTCTCCGTAAGTGGTTGTTGCGGCACTCCTGGTGCAGAACAGAATGTATGGCCTGTCACACTTCCAGTGACACGTTAAAATCCCCCCATCACAGAGGTACAGAGGCCGTGCCACAGTCAATATGGGACCATGGGGCGCCCAGTTTGTCAACATTCGCCCCATCGTAAGTGTGGCGGTCAGTACCAGGTGACTTCCAGAGCGGTGGCACATCAAGGAAAGCGCTGGGGAGAGGGGTGGCCAGATACAGTATGGCAGGGGTGGGGTGGTCGAGCGGCCACTGCGATGCTGTATCAGGGTCGTACAAGCTAAGCAGTAGAACTATACTCCTCGCATTGCACTCGGTTCCTCTTCCCTGTGGAACACTGCCAACATTGCCTAGATATCATCACCATGCCCGCGCACGCGCGATTGACGACTTGTCCATTCCTCAGAATTGCCGATCCCTCCGTACCGGCGGTATCTCCATATCAGGTGACACATGCTCCACCCACACTAGTGGCATCTCAAAAACCAAACAAACACGCAGAAATTGGCACATTCCATGCGGCAAGTTAGTCTGGGGTCGATGTGGTCCTGCACTCTGCTGCACTCTGCGTACTCTGCTTGGTGTATGCTGGTGGAGGACTTGTATTGGGGATTGTGGAGCTGGCCTCTTTATCGGAAGCTGACGCGTCAATTACGTTACAACCTTCCCCACTAGAATCTCTGAATCTCGGACAGCGTACTACACACTTGTCAGAGGTGTTGACATGCTCCTCTCGTCCACCACTCAATTGGGATCGCCCTCGAGTTGGTTCCTTCCATTGTTCTTCCTTTTAACAGCAACATCGGTGCAGCCCCCCTGCATTCAGGTGCGGCCACCTACGGGGCATGCGGGGTCGGGCCTCCGCTCAGGTTCACACAGGCGAGGATGGTCCGATGGGCTCCCGATGGGGACGCCAACGCTCTGCCCAGCAAATAAGCACGCACGATGGCGCTGTTGCTCTCCCTCATTGCAGCGCCAAGAACAACGAATATAGAGAGCAATCGCGGAGGTTAGGATGTTAGGAGAGAACGACCACGCCACACGTGTCCGGTGCAACAAGCGCAGAGAGCCGTGATTCGGCGAATTTACCGGTCTTCTGGTCCACCACATGTCTTGTGACTTTTTCGAGGCACAGCAACCCACTTTGCAACTCGCAAAATTGGGGACAGAGTGCCGCCCATATGATGCAAGAGGTTCCCCAGCGGTCCCCCAGCGGTCCCCCAGCGGTCCCCGAGGCAGGTTGGTGCGAAAACTGACTAGGAGTGCCTGGAGGGCATCTCCGGATCGGATCCTAGACGGAAGGCGTAAGGCGTCCAACCCACCGGGCCACCGACGCGTCGGCACGAGACGGCAACATTGGCGGGGAAACCGCACAGTTTCCGACCTCGCTCACTCCACTTCTCGCCCTCTGCAGCCAGCAGTGGAGTGGTAGTTGACGGTGATACCCGGGGATCAGCCGGAGTTGCGCGACAGAGGAGCAAACCCGCGCCACCGAGGTCGAGAAGCAGCAGGAAGAGTATAAAAGAATGGCGCGAAAAAAGATAGGAGGTGGTTTGAATCTCAGAACCTCCCCTGCCCATCATGACGCTGCCAGCACCACCAACAATCTCCCGCTACAATGTGGCTCGCAAGCTGCAGAAACGTAGCCTGCTTATTGCCATCAACAGTATCGCTGGTCTCTCGATTCTCTTCTTCGGTTACGACCAGGGAATGGTGAGTTGAACGAGTCTTGCGTGCCCAAGCTGATAGGCCTAGATGGGCGGCGTGAACAATGCCGAAGACTACATCAGGCGCATGGGCTTTGGATACACCAAGATGGTCGACGGCCAGCCGACGCCCGTGGTCACCGACTCGCTGCTCCAGGGCGGTATCGTCTCCATCTACTACCTCGGCACCCTCGTGGGCTGTCTCGTCGGCGGCATTGTCGCCGAAAAGGTTGGCCGTATCCGTGGCATTGCCCTCGGCGCCGGTGTCGCCATTGTGGGCGCTTCGCTGCAGTGCTCGGCCATGAACCACGTCTGGATGATCTGCGCTCGTCTCGTGAATGGCTGGGGCACCGGTATCCTCAACGCGATTGTCCCCGTTTATGCCACCGAGACGGCCGACCACACGTCGCGCGGTCAGTTTATCGCCATCGAGTTCACCCTGAATATCCGTAAGTCGAGGTTGTGGCCAGCTGGAGGTGTTGTCGCTGACAGACCCCGTCAGTCGGTGTCGTGATCGCATACTGGATGGAGTATGGTCTGTCGTACATTGACGGCGGCCGCTCTCAAATCCGCTGGCGCTTCCCCATCGCATTCCAGATCCTCATGCTGCTTGTCCTCATCTCGGCTGTCTGGTTCTTCCCCGAGTCGCCTCGCTGGCTGGTCAAGGTTGGACGCGACGACGAGGCAAAGTACATTCTCGAGCGCCTCCGTGGGTCCACTGGTGAGGACAAGCTGGCGGCCGAAGCCGAGTACCACGAGATCAAGGCTGTGGCCGACCAGCAGGTCCACTCGACTATCCCCACCAGCTACTGGAGCATGATCACAGGTCGTGGAAGTGGCAAGCTCCACATCGGCCGCCGTGTGCAGCTCGTCATCTGGCTCCAGATCATTCAGGAGTGGGTCGGTATTGCCGGTGTCACCATCTACGCACCCACCATCTTCGGTCTCGCTGGCTTTGACTCGAACAAGAGCCAGTGGATCAGTGGTCTCAACAACATCTTCTACATGTTCAGCACCCTCATCTGTGTGTTCACTCTCGACCGCATCGGCCGTCGCTGGACTCTGTACTGGGGCTCCGTGCTCCAGGGAATCTCCATGTTCCTCGTCGGTGGCTTTACCCGTCTTGGTCTCAACGCCAGTGCCGCCGGCGACACTGCTGCCGCCAGCCGCTACGGTATCGCCGCTGCGTCGTTTGTCTTCGTCTTCACGTCGACGTTCGGCGCGACTTGGCTTACCGTCCCCTGGCTGTACCCTGCCGAGATCTTCCCCCTTGCGGTCCGTGCCAAGGGCAACGCTCTCGGTGTCGTCGGCTGGAGTATCGGAAATGGATGGCTTGTGAGTGAAAAATGACAGAAAAATGTACCAAAAAACCCCATGGCTGACGAGTCCAGTCCCTCCTTCTCCCTGTTTGTTTCCAGCACATTGGAGAGAAGACGTACTACCTCTTCGGCATTGCGAACGTAATTTCCATTCCCAGTACGTCGTTTCGCACCTCCACCGTGGCACCCGAGATAATACTGACCCAACCCGCAGTCGTCTGGGCGTTCTACCCCGAGTCCAACCAGCGCACGCTTGAGGAGATTGACTTTTTGTTTGCGGGCGACACCCCCTGGAACTGGGTTGCCGAGTCCAACTTTGCACGTCTCAAGCAGGAGAACCCCGAGATCGCGCACGACCTCCACCATGGCGTTCACAGGGACGTCGAGGAGCTCGCATCGGACGACAAGGCCACCACGGTGTCTGTAGCCGCGTCTGTTTCGGACAAGTAAGGGAGGAGATTGTTTGGTTTTGGTTAGTCCTGTAGGAGAAGACTGTGGCAGACATGCATGTGGTTTGTCTAAAATCCATGAGGGACACAAGATGAGGCCGATGGGATCGACGGAAACGATCGCCGGGACTCATAAAAATCAGCCGGGCCGGTGGGTCCGACGGAAGCAAATGTACGGCAGCCTCCGTCTCAACACCTCCACCTCGACACACAATGTCAACGTCTGGTCCTCATCGTCGCCGTCGCATCGCCCACACCACATTGACTTTAGGCCGACAATGAGCACGTATGTGTTCTTCACCTGTGTACATTAGACCTTCAGCTGACACGTTCCAGCTTGAAGCGCGTGAACCGCCGTCCGGGGCCGTCGGCAGCCGCGTACTACAACACTCCGCCAGCGGCGTCGCCGTCGCCGGTCCTCTACCCGCCCTCGGGTGGGCCCAGCTCTGGACGCGGCACGCCAGCGTCCAGCTTGTTGCGACCCACAGTCGGTCCTGGGTCCGGTCGCTCGTCCCCACCTCTCCGCCCGGACTCGTCCGCAAGTCAACGGAGCCAGTACTCCGAGTCGCCCTTTGGCGGAGGCATGAGCTCGAACCAGGCGTTCCCGCGGTCAGGCCACGACCTCGAGACACACAACGACGACCTCCTCTCGGGCCTGATGGGCAAGGTCGACGTGCTCAAGAGCGTGAGTGCGATATCGTCGGTGCTGGGGCGGTACGATAGGAGCAGCAAACGTGGGCAGCGGCGTCACTCCGCAGTCGATGTTGCGGCGTCGTGCCCTGTCCCGGCGGCCGAGAAAAGAACAGGTGCTGACGGCAGCTTACCATCGGTATTGGAGACGAGGTGCGCGCCGGAAATGCCGAGCTCGCAGGCATGGTGGGTACACAATAATTGCTACACATCGGCCCTAGCTGACCCAAACCCCCAGACCGACGACTTTGGAAGCACGTCCAACGTCCTGAGCGGCACGTGGAAGCGCATGACCCGCATGGCCAAGCGGCAAAGCACGGGCTGGTGCTACTTCATGGGCTTTATGCTGCTCGTGCTGTGGATCTTCATCATTGTCTGGTGGCTCCGGAGGTAGACAACGAAGCCGCGCACATGTTCTTGGGACACAAAAATGTATTACAACGCTCACACCGCACACATGCTGGCAGGTCCGTGCGCGCCTAATCTAATGCACCATACTGCTGTGGTGCTTAACGGTGCCGTCGCGTTGCCAGACTCGCCGCGTGTCGGCGGAACAGCTGAATATGGTTTGACTGCTTACATCGTGCTGCTTTCTATATCTACTAAACGTTTTGACGCCAACTACACATATTATCTAGAGAGGACGGAGGGTGACGCCAAAGTCCATCGGGGTGGCCGGGATCTGGTACTGCGGGAGGACACCGGGGCCACACGAGGCAGTGCCGACGCCGCTGTGCTTGTAGTCGACATTGACCCAGACCTTGTCACCGGCCTTGAGGTCGGGAGTGTGCCTGGCAGCCTCAAGCTCGGCGGTGGACCAGCGACGCGCGGTGAGGCCAAAGAGGGGCGAGCCCTCGATCGCGACGCCACCCTCGGTACCGGTGAGCTGGGCGTGGCGGACGTCAAGACGCAGTCCGTTCTCCTGGGGATAGACATAAGGGGTCTGGAGGCCCTCGATGGTCGAGGTGTACGCGCCGACCTTGGACGCCGAGCGGGTGTCGCTGTACGACTCGCCGGGACCCTCGCCGAACCAGCTGACGTTGGAGAGCGAGGCCGGGAAGCCGAACTGGAGACCAACACGGGGCAGGGGGATGCCTGTCCAGGGGCCGTCGGGGCGGATCTGGACGTCGACGTGGACTGCGTCGTTGTTGCCAGTCCAGGTGTAAACGGTCACAAGACCGCGGTCGGTGTTGGCTGCGCCAAGGCGGGTGGTGACAACCAGGGCGTCGCCCTCGATCGCAACCTTGTCGACGCGGGTGTGGCAGCGGTCGAGGCCGGCAGCCTTCCAGATGTTGGCATACACGTGGGCCTCGTTGTACGCCTCGGTGCCTTCCAGGTCGGCGCCGCGGTCGTTGTCGGTGGTCGCGCGCCAGATGGTGAGGCGCGAGTCGGCGACGGGAAGCGAGCCAAGCTTGACGAGGGCACCGAGCTTGGTGAAGGTGGCCGGGCCAAGGGTGATGGTCTCGCCCGAGAGGACGGGGGCGACACCAGCGGGGGAGGCAACGGCCTTGGGAGCCTCGGCGGCATGGAACTGGGTCCAGGCGACCTCGTGGCCGGCAGGAGCGTAAAGGGTCTCCTTGGCGAGCGAGGCAGTGATAATCCAGAACGACTCGCCAGCGCCGACCTGAACAGCCGGCAGCTGGACAGTGGCAGTCTCACCAGCAGCGACATTGGGAACCTCGAGCTTGCCCTCGGCAACCACCTTGCCGTCGGTCTCGACGCGGTAGGTGAAGGCAAGGTGCGACAAGTTGACAAAGTCGTAGCCGTTCTTGATCGAGACGGTACCCTTGCCCGCGTCCTTGATGTGAACTGGCTCGATCACCTTCTTGTACTCGAGGAGACCAGGCGAAGCAGTGCGGTCGGGGAAGAGAAGACCGTCACAGACAAAGTTTCCGTCGTGAACCTCCTCTCCAAAGTCACCGCCATATGCGTAGTACTCTTGGCCGTCCGCGGTCTTCTTGGGGAAGCCGTGGTCGATCCACTCCCAGATAAAGCCACCCTGGCAACGGGGGTACTTTTCAAAGAGCCTCTGGTACTCCTGCAGACCCGCGGGACCGTTACCCATGGCGTGGCCGTACTCGATGATAAGGAAGGGCATCTTGTCGCGGCGAGCCTTGATCTTGGCCTCTTCCTCGGGGCTAGCAAACTTGAAGGCGGCAACGTCGGCGTACTTCTGAGGGGCAAACTCGTCGATGCCCTGGCCGATGCGCTCAACCTCCTTGTGCCAGGTGTACATCTGGGAGTAGACGTCGACGTAGCGGGCGGTCCAGTCACGCTCGTAATGGATAGGACGCGACAGGTCGCGCTGGCGGATGAATGTCGCCATCTCGCCAATGTTGAAGCCGACACCGCACTCATTTCCGAGCGACCACATGACGATCGACGCGTGGTTCTTGTCACGCTCGAGCATGCGGGCAGTGCGGTCAATGAGAGCCGGGGTCCAGACCGCAAGGTCGGTGGGATTGTTGCGCCAGTCGATGCACGAGAAACCGTGACTCTCATAGTCGACCTCGTCGACAACGTACAGACCGTACTCGTCACAGATCGCGAAGAAGTCGGGGTGAGGAGGGTAGTGACTAGTACGGACAGCATTGATGTTGTTGGCCTTCATGAGCGCGACATCCTTGACCATGGTCTCGTGGTCGACCGAGCGGCCCTTGGTAGGGTGGTACTCGTGACGGTTGACACCGCGGAAGAGGATGCGCTTTCCGTTGATCTTCATCAGGCCATCCTCAATCACAACGGTGCGGAAACCAACGCTGAGAGGAACCTTCTCGCCCTTGGCCCCAGTGGAGAGGACACCTTGGTAAAGGCGAGGCGACTCGGCAGACCAGGCTTCGACAGCAACAGTGATTTCCTCGCCAGTGGCAATGTCGATACCAAGCTCAGGGATGGTCACGCGGCCAGACGGGTTGCAGTCAACCTTGAGGGTGCCCTTGCCGGTAATGTGGTCGTAGGAAGCGTGAACAAAGTGGTCCACGACGGCGTCAACAGGACGGTGGAGCAGGGTAACGTCACGGAACTGGGGCATGAGCTGATGATCTGTCTCACTCGGCTCGGGAGATAAGACTCGCTTGGCGCAGCCAAACGTGAATCCCGACCCGATGTTGCTGCACTTACGATTCCGGGAAGCCACCACATGTCCTGACCCTCCAGGTAGGTGGAAGCGGCCCACTGAGTGACACGGACCGCGACGGTGTTGACACCGGGTGTGACAACCGCGGTGACGTCAAATTCGACAGGCAGGCGCGAGCCAGACGAAGTGCCGATCTCCTTGCCGTTCACCCAGACCTTGCACCAAGTCTCAACGCCGTCAAAGCGGAGAACAGTCTGGGGTCAGCTCGTATATTCCGCTTCGTTGGCTCACCTTGCCATCCTTGGGCCATGCCGTGGGGAGCTCAAACGAGTAGCGGTAGTCACCTGTCGGGTTGGCAGTGGGGACGTGAGGAGGGTCCAGGGGGATGGGGTACTGGACGTTGGTATAGATGGGAGAACCAAAGCCCTCCAGCACCCAAGACGCTGGCACAGGAATGGTGTCCCACTTGGCATCATCAAACTGGCTCTGCTCAGCAAAGTCGGTAGCCTCAGCAGCGGTCTCGGACAGACGGAACTTCCAAGTGTCGTTGAGGCTGAGACGCTGGGCGTCCGACTTGTGCCATGCACGGGGCGGGAGGCCGCCGCGACCAGGACGGTAGTCCTCGTGCTCTGCGGGCGAGTAGATGGTGGTCATGGCTATGTTGGGGGGACAAGTCGCAGCGCAGTTGGGGTGTTTTATTTACCCTTCCGTCATCTCACGCCGGCCTCCGAACACGCCGAAGACGACTGGCCCGATAATTTCAACTGCTCTCCACAAGATTCCCGTGATCCCTCGTGGCAAGACGACATCCACATATCCACTGGCCAGTATTCCCGTGATACCATGTGGTCTGGCGCTCCAGAGCGCTTCGGGCGGCTCATGAACCGGCTTTACGTGGCCCGATGACCAGCATCAAAGCCGGTGTTGTCAATGCCACAGGAACGACTGGAGTGCCAAGTAGCACACCGGCCTTGAAAATTCCCGTTCGCGGGGCCACCAGTTGGTCATTTGGGCTCCTGGGGAACGACTTGAAGGTGCAATACCTAAAGAAAAGTGAACGTGTTGGCAGAGAAGTCGGCACGGGCCGAGAGGCTAGGACAACCGGCCAATAACCGTTGAAAACCGCCGCCACCCTCAGGTGGCATGCCAGGACGCGCTACTCGGCAACTCAGGTACGCAGGACCGATAAGGGCAGACAGCCAGGTTTATGCGGGGAACCGCCGCTGCGATGAGCCACATGGGGCCTCTACTGGGGAGGCGGTTGGGGCCAGTCCGCAAGCGGCTGCGGCGCGGACTGGTACCGAGCCTGTGCACGTCTGCGGGGCCATATGGCTATTGTCGGATCAAAGCTCCGGGTCACGGGCCGGAGACTGCCTACCGGTGTTGCCAACGGCCAACTTGGCACCGTCAAAGATTCCCGTTCGACGAGCTCATTCTTCCCGTTCGCGAGTGCCTTCACAAACTCATGTGAGGGAAGGGATGACCGATCCCGGGGCCACATGACAGGAACAAGCCGGATCAAGCGGATCACACAATCGAGAACGAACATAAAACGCCAGCACGGGGCCTCCAACGTTCCCCACACTCGTCCAGTTCACCCAACTTCGCCCATCATGGCTGGAATTGAAGAGAAGACCGACATCCACCACGACGACATGGCGTCGATCCACCGTGCTGAGAGTGGCAAGGTTCAGCGCATCTCGGACAACAACAAGCACCTCAGTGTGAGTGTGGCACTAGGCACAGACGGCTCCAACTTCTACTGCACATTCCCTTCGCAACTAGAAGCTCCACTTTGCTGACTAGATTATAGCCCGAGCTTGCCGCTGCCCTTGAGACCTGCGCCATCAGGCCCTGGTCGAGCTCCAGTCTCCACCTCTATGGTAAGTTGAACGGGTCTTTGGCACTTCTGTTTTTCTGGCACCACGTTCTCAGAGGAATGTGGCTGGCGAAGCACAATGTCGGCTGTTACTCAGCGCGTTGCTGACATGCAGTCTCTATTCTCTGCGCTCTCTGCTGCGCTTACGCCAACGGTTACGACGGTTCGCTCATGACCGCCATCAACGCCATGGTACGTGTTTTTGTTCTCGCTGCTCGCATTGTCCACAAGCTGACCATCACCAGCCTTTCTGGCAGGCACGTTTCGGCCACATTGGCACAACCGGTACCATGGTCTCTGTCGTAAGTACCACCATGCGATGGGGAGACGTCTACATGACTCCATTCACTTCACACACCCTACGGACCACCTTTCTGACTACGCACAGGTCTTCTCGATGTACAACGTTGGTTGCTTCATTGGCGGCTTCCCCGCTGCTTGGATCACCGACAGGTGGGGTCGTCGCGCTGGTATGGCTGCCGGAGCCATCATCATCATCATCGGCTCCATCCTCCTTTCTACCTCGAACCACATCGCCCAGTTCATTGTCGGCCGTCTGATCCTTGGTTTCGGCATTGCAAGTGCCCAGTTGGCCGCTCCTGCATATGTCGTGGAGGTGAGTCATCAGCGGCATGTGTTTTCTGGGGCTAATGTCAGGTCGCGCCGCCACACTGGAAGGGACGTTGCGTTGGTATCTACAACTGTAAGTCACTTTGCTTCAGTCCTTCTCGTACTCTGTCGATGGGGTGGCCTCTTCTTCTGTTGATCTGTTTGCTGACAAGCACACAGGTGGCTGGTACGCCGGTGCCATTCCTGCTGCTGCGATTACCTTTGGCTGCAACTACATCAACTCGGACGCCTCGTGGATCATCCCCATCGTCCTTCAGTGTGCCGCCTGTATCGTTGTTCTCGGCCTTGTCCCCTTCATCCCCGAGTCGCCCCGCTACCTCATGAAGCACGGCAAGGAGGAGCAGGCCCTTGCCATCCTCGCCAAATTCCACGGTGGAGGTGACCCTAACAACGCCCTGGTTCAACTCGAGATGGAGGAAATGAGGGCCGCTGCCGCCCTCGACGAGGCCAACAACACTGAGGCCTGGTGGGACTACCGTCCCCTGTTCGCTACCAAGAGCAACGCATGGCGCATGGTGTCGCCTCTCATGATGGCATGTTTTGGCCAGGAAAGTTCATGCTGGTTCTGGGGATCGCAGGGATGCTGGAGGAGTAGAAAAAGGCTGTCAAAGGTGTAGGAGCAACTTGTGGCAGGTGTTGCACCGACGGCTGCCACCAAAAATTGCTCCCGCTTCGCTTCGACCGCCGATCTCCATCTTCTCCGGCGTCCTAAGCAACCTGGAATTTCCGTGGCGAATTCGTGCTGACTGTATCCACAGTTCTCTGGTAACGGTCTTGCCTACTTTGCCACTGTCATCTTTGAGCAGATTGGTGTCACTTCGGTCACTGCCCAGCTCGGCTACAACCTCATGTACTCGGCCCTCGCCGTTGTTGGCGCTCTTACTGGCGCCGTCCTCACCGACCGCATGAAGCGTCGCTACGTCCTGACGTTTGGTACTGCAGTCCTCTCGATCACGCTCGCCGTATTTGTTGGCCTCACCTCGGTTATCCAGAAGGCCGTCGACAAGGATGAGCCGATCAACGCTGCCGTCGGCAAGGGTGCCATCGCTGTCTACATCCTCTTTGGTGTCTTCTGTGCTTTCGTGTACACCCCTCTCCAGGCTACCGTCACTGTGGAGCACCTCTCCACCAGCATGCGTGCTAAGGGTCTTGCGCTCTGCAACGTCGTCTCGCAGGCCATGGGCTTCATCAACCTCTTCGCCGGTCCTATCGCCCTCGCCAACATCGGCTACTACTATGTCATGTTCTTCATCTTCTGGGACCTCGTCGAGGCTCTCTGCTGGTGGTTCTTCGGTGTCGAAGCCCAGGGTCGTTCCCTCGAGGAGCTCGACTGGGTCTACGAGCAGCCCAACCCCATTGCTGCTTCCAAGAAGCTTGGATAAGTGTGCAAGAGTGTGCGCTCCCGTTACGTTTAATCAAATGGTATATAGTAGAGGCTAGGTAATCTCCATCCAGTGCTGAATGCAAACAAGTGGTTTGCCCCGTTGTTAGTGCTCTCAGGTGTGGATTGCACTCACAAGTGTCACTGTTCGCTCTAGAAACCATAGGTGACAGACAGGACACGATGCTGGCGGAAGTACGGAAATGGGTGTGCTCAAGCGCCACACCGCTCCTGTGATCCTGTGACCCGGTGATCAACGGACGATTGGCAAAAGATATGTGATCACATGGGTTGCCCATGTGCCTCCGAAGCTCCGACGTGACTCCGGCCCCGGTCATGGACGGTGAATTCCACGCGGCCAACGGCGGGCCGCTTCCCGTCAGACCGGGCCGTCAAAAGACTCGGCCGAGAAACAAGGTCGCCGTTCCTTCACCCCCAGTGGCGGCGGGACCGACCGGCGTCTTCAACCTGTGCTGTTGCTGTCGTTGGTTGAGAGCACAGTTGTTGTTTGAATGCCGTTGGGCCTGCTGGCAGTGATGCTTTCCAACCAGGCGAAAGAAGGGCAACGATCCCGACAAGCGTCTCCCCGAGGATTCCGCACGCATGAGAATCCCCAGGGGCCAGCTCAGACTCATTCGAGGGTTGTACTCGCCATCACTTGCCTTGCTCTTTTGTCAGACGGCATCCACTTGCTACCTACTTTTTCTTCGTGTGCAATCGAACTGCCTGCGAGCCAAAACAATCAGTCGCGTCCCTACTGAGGGTCTGAGAAAAGTTCAATGGCCTGCAATAGAGGGTTGTTGACCCTCTGGCCGCCACTGGTATGCACAATAGCTAAATCCAGGACAGTCACTCCTGGTGGCTTACACAATAGCAATGCCGTTGGAGGTGAGCAACAAGATGCAGAAGATGCCTCCCGATACCCCTTCGTGTTGGAATGCTGGTCTAAGGTGAATACAGTATTCTTGTTTAGGTTCATTTGTTGCCCAGACTATGCGGCCGTTTTTAGTTGCATTTCGTGGAATTATTTTCGTATAAACATGTGGGTTCCGTGTTTCTGACTCGCACGCAGCCGGAGGACCATTTGTGGCAGATTCTGAGAGACCCCTAGAAGTTTCCTCTTACACAACGGTACCAATTTGTGCATGCATACATGGTACCTACATACATCTGACTACTACGCTGAGTGCGGTGCTGCACCAACCCTACATGTGACTACCCAGCTGAAAGTGCTGCACCACCAAGCTTTACAATCTACGCCGCATCGTCGTCAAACTCGTCATCGTAACCACCGAACTTGATAAGGCTGGCAGGCGGCTTTCCCCTGGGCAGTCTCGCTGCGGCGGAAACCTCACGCAGCAACTGCAAGTTGTCCCTCTTCATGTTTTGCAGCTGAGTCGCGTTGTCTTCGCGCACAATGCGAATAGCCTCGCGAGCGGCGTCCTTGTCTCCATACAGTGTGCAATTACACTCGGCGAGGGTCTCGATCGCCTCTTCCTCCTTCGTCTTGTCGAACACAAGCACGAGTCCCTCGGACATCTTCTTGATAATTGCGGCGTGTTCCTCCCTGAACGACCTTTCGCGCTCGATGGCGGTGGGGACCGGAGGGACAGTGTTCAGAGCGCTAGTAAAGGTGAAAACCTTGTCCGGAGTGGCGTTCGACGGGAGCGGTCCAACAATGAGATCAGGAAGGGCACTGATGCCCATGTGTTTATCCCTGATGGGGTTGACCACCATGCGCAAGACGACACTGCGCACCGCTGGAGAGATCGGGGTGGAGTGATGGAGGTACGTGTAGTTGAGACCAAAGGGATGGGGGCGACCTTTGGGGTGGGCAATGAGTGCGATCGAGTAGAACGACGAGACAGTGTCACCAAGCTGCATGTAGGCGAATGTCGTGGGCAGGTCCATGGGGTACCTGGACCTCAGGATGGCCGCAATAGGCGCGAAGGAGCCTCTGTCTTTGGCAGATGCAGGGGCGGGGATGGGAACGACCCTGCCAGCGGAAGCCCCGGTCATGCTGGTACGGTGAGACTGTTCCTCTTCGCGAGTAGAGTGGCGGGCAACCAAAAGCTCGAACACGCAAGGCGTCGCTGGCTGGACGTCCCTGTGCTTAACGGTGCCAGCACAAACGCCAGAGAAGAAGAGGCTTGACGACTGGTCTAGAGGCGTGTTGGCGAGCATCTCACAAGCCGTCTGGGAGCAACGATGGAGCCTAAGCATGCTGAGTGGCTGATTCTGTAGTTGAATCGGCTCGTGGTACAGAACTCCCCTCGACATTTTCCCTGCAAGGAGGTCATGAGACACGTCGGCGGTTGTGAGAGCAGAGACGAGTGGGACCAGGCGTTCGACGTCGTGTGGGAGCTTTGCGTCGAGTCGAAAGCGCTCTATCACTGCATGGAGGTTGGGTTGGTCTGGCAGGCGAACTCCATCGTAAAGTGTGTTGGCGTCATGCACCGCCTCTGCGACATTCGATCCAAAAAGTCGACCTGCGTCGTCGCGCATGCGGAGAACCTGGGAGGCGGTGGGGTACATCAACTTTTGGGGAAGCTGGGTGGCGCCTGCGATCACCAACGGGTGGATGCGAATGATGGAATTGTCAAAGAAAAGCGTTTCAGTTGTGGGGACATTGTCTTGGTCGAGGTCACCAACACGCATGGTCACCGACAGGACAAGAGCCTTTCCTTGAGTAGCGCGTTGCAAAGCGATCGCGCCGTCTGCGTCCCAGTAGTCTTGGCGAGAGCAGTCATCGGCGGAACCGAAAAGAAGGTACCGGTCTTTGCGCACCAGACAATTGTGAACCAGGCCGAAGATCCCATCGAGGGTGAGAATGGTTGCGCTGGCCTTCTCATAGATCTGCAGGGACTGGGCAATTCCCACGAAATGAACACTTTCGCCCAGTGACGAGAGGGTGGCTTCCAGTGCTAGCTGTTCTGGGGCCACCTGGTAGAATCCCCCATCGGGAACGCGGTTGTGATGTTCATATTCCTCTGACGCGTCCTTTAGCGCGGTCATCTGGTCTGCCGTGAGAGTCTGCACGACCGGCTGAGAGAAGGGCGCTATGGCGAGCGTGTCGGCGGCCGAACCTGGTTCCCTGTAGAACGCGTTTCCGATGGTGATCGCGGTGCTGGCAGGTCCCAGTTCTTGAAGCTCCTCGGGCGTGTCCTCGTGGTCATCGTTTACGTGGCCGAAGTCGTCCGCGGCTGCGTCCTCCAGCTGCTTGGCCGAGGAGAGTAGGGTTGATGGCTTCTTGGGTTCGCGACCATCGACTTCTTCCTCTTCCTCGAGCCGTCTCTTATGCAGAGGCGCCATCGTACCCTCTATGACGGCTCGTATGTATATGTCGCAAGCGCTGTGTGAAAGAGGGAGAAAGTAGATGACGGTGCGGATGTCGGGTCGCGAGGCTGACACGTGTGTGCGTGTGTGGACCGAGGTCGGTGTGGAGGCTGTGTGTGGGGGTGTGTGGGTGCGAGTTGTGTGAGGTGACGTGGGAGATGGGATGACCCCAAGAGTGGCTGGGGAGGTGTGTCAACCTGGATGCTGTGTGCTGGCGAGTGGAGAGGTGGATGTTTGTCGTGTTGGAGAAGGTGACGACACTGAAAAGGTGTGTGTGGCGAGTCAGCCCGATCAGCCCACCAGTACAGTCAACCAAAAGGAAGGCGAGATCAGATCCCGCCCCCCACCTGGACGATTCCTTGGTCGACTCTGTACTTTGAAAATACCGTGTTTGGACATCCGTATGCAAATCGGTGGTGGCCAGCTCGACCGCTTTTACATCATGTCATACAAGCATGGCTCGAAGCCGTGAACATGTGTACAACCTGGGGGCTTTGGGAACGAGGAGCGCTCAAAGGAGTCTCACTCACCTCCCCCCTGGCCCAGACCGCCGTGACAAACATCAGCCTAACCCCCATCCCACCACCCTCGTCGTCGACTGAATTCAACAGCCCCTGCCTGAAATGCATGTGAGAGGAGTCTATAGGTGATCTCAAGGGAGGCCGGGGTATAGGCTCTGCCGCGGGAAGGGGCATGCTGCAGCTGGCGCGAACCATGTGCGTCCGCTGAGAAACCAGGATACAACACAAGGATACATTGGGGCATGGTGTCATGGTCAGGGGAAGCCCGTAACAGTAATATAATTATACAGGGCATGGCGGTCATTACTCCTCATCATCATCGTCGTCGAGGTCGAGGTCTGCGGGCTGCATTTGTCGTTACTGTCAACACTTGCGACTTACACCACGGAGCGCGTCGAGCATCTGGCGGAACTGGGCACTGAACAGCGCGCCTCCGGTCCGGGTTTGACGGAGGAGGGCGATCTGGACAGGGAGAAGAACGGGGCGATCCTTGTGAAGCTGCCACGCATTCTTGTACAGCTGATCCAGGACAGCCTTGGCTTCGCGTGGTACTCCCTCAAGAGACTGTCGTCGTCAGCGATGGAGATGATCATTGTTGCTTACTTTGACCAGTGCAGAGGCGATGCGCTTACGCTCCTCCTCGGGTAGGAGGGCGTAATACTGCGGAGGGTTGCGGATGACACCGCGAATGCAGCACGCGCACGGGGCGCAGATGGGCTCGCCGTCCTGGTTCTTGACCACGAGCATGCGACCGTAGTCGTGCTTGCTTCACGGTCAGTACCGAACCACAAACACCATCACTCACCCGACGGTCAAACGGCATCCGAAGTTGCGGCGGTGCGTGTCGCCACACGGCACCTTCGCGACACTAGCCTGGTCGGCAGGCAACATGACCTTGGGACGTTAGCAAGGCCCAAAGGGTGAAAACCCACCCGACACTTCGCAGGGAGCTCGGCCACGTCGACGCGTTGTTCGTTCGCCTCCTGCCTGATGCGCGCCACTTCGGCGTTCATGTGTTTGTCTACTTGTCTTGTGCAGGCAGGGCACAGGACAAAGTACGAGCTGCACGTCAACCTGTGGCAAGCATGCTTTTACTTACCCGCCGTTGAATGGGCTCCCGTGACATGATACATGGCAAGGTGGTCGTTGCCACAGAACGGGCCTTGGCATAGGGCGGAGGCCCACGCAAGATGCTCAGGGGTCGCTGTGCGCTTCTCCTCCTCTTCCCCGTACCCAATGATCACCTTGCCATATGTATAGTTGGGCAATGCGCTGGATGTCATCAGTGCATGTGCAGTCAGGGGACTTACATCATGGCCACCGCCGCTGCTTGATAGTGGGCCATGCACATCATGGCGCCCGCGTCCTCCGGCCATGGAGAGGGTACACCGTCCTCGGCGAGAAAAGGGGACCTGTAGTGCAAACACCTCGGGCGCTAGTCTCGTCAGAGCGGTCTTAACAGGTTTGTACTTACGCAGCATCATTGTGCGCGAATCCTTTTGCCCCAGTCCTGCACCTCCTTCTACAAAGCAGAGCTGAAGGCTTCCATCTCGTCGGCCGACAGGGTCTGCACATAGTCGGGTGCGAGCCCTTTGGCGTGGAGGCTAAGGTTCGCGATGTCGCCAACATCGATATCCAAGAAGAGACGATACACGGCGTCACCGGTGACCGAGTCCAAGGGAGGAGGGAGGTCCTTGGGAATTGGCGTCTTGGCGTTAGCTTGTTTTGCAATCGAGTGGAAGTGGCAGGGATTGAGTACCAAGGGATGAGAGAGAGCAGCATGTCACTCCGCAGGGCGAGTAAAGGCATTCCCTGGGGGTGGCGACATAGACAAGACTTTAGAGGAAACAGACTGAATCCAAGGTGGGAGTCAATAACTCACAAGGTCCTTCCCCATGTCCTTCTTCTACTCCTTCCACAACTTCTTGTTCGTGGTGTCGCGAACACCGCCGTTGACGTTTGTTCGGCCGCCGCCCTTGCAGGTCTCGCCCAGTGGTCGAAGCTGTCGGGCACCAGCTTGACGAGGTCGCTCAGGCTGGCGAAAGGCGTGCCGGCGTTGATGGCAGACATTACCGCCTGGAGCATGCGGCACATCATGAACGCGTGTGTACGCGTAAAGATGAAGCCGCTCGCCAGCAACACCGCCGAACCGACGGCAGTATGAATAATCTACGTGCCGTTGAGGACAGCAGTGACGGCAAGGCGCTGGGCAGGAGGCCATCCTGGTACGACTTGTCGTCCCAGCGGTCGACGATGCTGTCGGACCGCGGGTTCTTGCCGATGAAGTCGACGAAGTGGATGCCCGAATCTGGCGGGACAGGTACACCCCAGGCGACAAGTTCCTAAAGGCGCAGGCGTTAGTGGTATGGTCATTGGTTCAAGAGAATTCCAACGTACCTGCTTCCAGGAAGGGAGGTAGACGTACACGGTGCTGATGTACATCTTGCACCGGACTCCCTGGACGTCGAACTCCAGCTGGGAGAGGCGCTTGGCCATCTCCAGAACGGTCAGCTTGAGGACGTCTCAGTTGGCCGGCTGGGCGAGGTATTCCAAGAAGAAGGCGACGGCCGCGTCCCACTGCGCGTCAGGAAGGTCAAGTTGCATTACTCACCATGCTGCGATAAACGGCGCAACCGTTGACATGCTTCTTGGGGAGCTTCGTCGCGAAAGTGATCGGGGTACCATCGCTCAGCCAGCGTTGGTACGCTGGTTTGAGTTGAGTCTCCGAGAACTCGACAAGATTTTTGGATTGACGCTTGTGTATCATGTTTGTTATACTTGCAGGCGAGTTGCCAAGGCCGAGAACAGAGAAAGTGGTCGTAATGTACTGGTCACTTTGAAAGAGGTTGTTCCCGGTGTTGGCGAGGCGTTGGGTCATGTAGTCGGCGGCGAGGATGACCTCCGCGACGTTGTCCTTGAAAGGGAGGATCGTCGTCGTCTAATAGGAGCAACGCGAAGTAGCAGATTGATGGCGTCGCCACATTGCACGAGCTGACCAGAGCGACGGATGTAAATTGGCACGTGTGAGTCACGTGTTGACGTTACGTAAGAAGAACGTTGGCCATGGCCGATGACTCGTTGACCAGTTGGTCCCCATCCAAAGCCGCCTTTTGCATACTGCATTCACTTTGCCTCATCTTATGGCTTATGCTGTTCAGTCCAGAAGGGGATCGCCCAAGAGAGACCTGCAGCGACGCCAGAAATTCATCGAGCGACCAAGTCGATCCGAACGCTGACCCGTCGTCAAGCGAAGATCAAAGACCCATGTGCCCAACACCATCGTCTTTGCGCATTCTCACATGACGCAAAGCCCAAGGGCAGCGCTGCGCTGATAAAATGGGCAGAGCCGTGCACCTCGGGTGTGCCTCGACCTGAGGCTAGAGTCGTTTTTGAGTTAGCAACACGCTAAAAGCGGAATCACCGGGCAAATGGCCGGCACCCCCTTCGGTCATGGCCGTCGATGATGTTTTTGTCAGTGTGGGTGGTTGGCGCCTTGAGCCCCATATGACCGAGTTCCAACGGCTTGCCCACCCTTTCTTTCTCTCACATCTGCAACTGAGCCAGCCACCTTAGCAGCAATGCCCGCGTACGACAAAGAGCAGCAGGCTGTCGACCACACGGAGCTGGGGCACGACTTTGACCTCGACGCTCCCCTCGACGACGAGGACCGCAAAGCCGAGCGCCGCATTCTTTTGAAGCTTGATGTACGGAAATTGTAGACTGAGGGTCTGCTGACTCTCTTTACAGGCTCTGATCCTCCCTCTCACTGCTCTGCTATACCTTTCAGCCTTGTAAGTGCACAGAATGGGTTTGGTGCAGGTCTGATCCCTCCCCCCAGCCTCGACCGTGGCAATGCCGGAAACGCAAAGCTCCAAGGCCTCCTCGGCATCCTTGGCGAGAATGCCGACCACAAGTTCAGCATCATCTTGTCCATGTTCTATGTCACCTATATTGTGAGTACGACGACGACGGCCTAGGGCCGCAATTGTCATTGGTGGCTGTATGCCACATGGTCCTGCATGGCTATGGTATGGACTGGATAACCAGAGCCAGAGCCACGAGACCACATCCGCATACGACCAGAAACGACCCTATACCCTCCTGAACTCACACTCTTTTAGACCTTCAACATCCCCGGTAACATCCTCGGTTCTGTGATCCCACCAAACTGGGCCCTCGCACTCGGAGCTCTCATCTGGGGAATCGCGTCCTCTGCGCAAGCCGGTGCAACCAACTTTGCCGGGGTCGTCGTCTGCCGTCTGTTCATTGGCCTTGGCGAGGCCGGTTTTGGCGCTGCCGTACCACTCTACTATGGTCTGTGGTACCGACGTGAGGAGATTGCTGTCCGCATCTCGCTGTACTGCGGTGCGGGATCGCTGGCTGGCGCGTGAGTTGAACGGCGTTTGTTGAATGCTTGGCTGACTTGCCAGTTTTGGCGGGTTGATCGCATATGGCGTGAGCTTTATCCAGTCGCCCATCGCCACCTGGCGCATCCTGTTCATGATTGAGGGTCTGCCCACGATCCTCCTCGCCGTGGTCATCTTCGTCTTCCTGCCGAGCACGCCGGAAAAGTCGCGATGTGAGCATTGTTGTCATCACCTTGCGCCCCAACATAGCGCTTACACACAGTCATCACGGAAACGGAGCGTGCGGTCATCAAACGCCGCCTGTACGACCGCGGTGTGTCGCATATGCACACTTTTGACCGCTCGGCCTTCCCGCGCGTGTTCAAAACCCACACGACCTACCTCAACGGGCTCATCTACCTTGGTCTCAACCTCAGTCTCGGCTCCGTGTCGGGTTTCTTGCCGACCATCGTCAAGTCGTTTGGCTACACAAACTCGCGCGCGCAGCTGTTCACCGTCCCGCCTTATGCTGTCGCCTTTGTCGGAACGATCCTGTGCTCGTACCTGTCCGACCGCGTGCGCTCGCGTGGACCGTTTGTGATCACCTTGATGCTCCTCAGCGCCATCGGGTTTGCCATTCTCCTCGGTGTTCCGCATAACAACAGCGCGCGCTACTTTGCCACCTTTTTGGTTGTACTGGGTGCCTTTTCCAACATTCCGCTCATGCTCTCGTGGGCTGCCAACACGGCCGGAAGCCACTCGGCAGCGGCCGTCCGTCTTGGCTTTATGAACTCGGTTGGCCAGTGCTTCTCCAGTAAGCTTAGTCAGGCGCGTCTTGTCAGCTTACACATCAGTTCTCGCGTCGTTCATCTTCCCTGCGGCAGAGGCACCACACTGGTACAAGGGCTTCGCCCTCAACTTGACCTTCAATGTGGTGAGTCGTCAGACCCCCGGGGGACACTGTAGCTGACCACACAGGTGGCCGCTCTGACTGCCATTTACCTGACCATCTACTACCGTCGAGAGAACGCCAAGCGCGATGCCAGCGAGGCCGAGGTCGCCGAGGCTGTCCACGAGGAGGAGCACGAGAAGGGCGGCGGGGCCGGCCAAGTCGAGGTGCCACCCAACCTCCACGACCTGGCTCCTGGGTTCCGTTACTTTACCTAGGCAGCGAACAAGTGTGCAGAGGGGCAATGCTGTCTGTCCATGGTCGTCTGTCCGATGCGAGCGATGGCGTGTTATGAGGCCTGGGGTGTCCCTTTCTGGGGCCCACACCTGATAAGAACCCGGGGGATGCGGGGTTGCGGAGCTGCCAAGCAATTAAAGCAACTGGATATCATGAGAGGGGTCATTGTGTCCACTTTTGCCGACATGCGCGCGCCACAACGTTAGACGCGGGTGTGGGGCAGCGCCAAGGCCAATCGAGATTGGTTTAGCCAGGACAAACAACGGAGCGCGGGTCACTGATTGCCAGATTGAACTATCCACGTACGTGGGAGGTTGCTTGGCGTCTGCGCGTGGGGGATATCAGAGCAGCAGACGGGCGCCGAGACAGACGAGGTTGAACGTACAAAAGACGGTTCGTCGCCCTTTTGGACTTCGGCATCTGTTGCGATCGGCTAACTCCGCCTCAACGGCGGTTTCGTGCCTGGCAGACGGGACACCCGAGCGAGGGATGACTGGCCCCGCACAGTGACAGCGGGGATTGAGCGGGGGGAGGTTGAAGCACTCTCTCTCTCCTCTTGTGCTGCATGTGCATTGTTGATGGACGCCTCTTGGCCGCTTGTGCAAGGTTCCCTCATCCCCCCACGTTCGCTGCCGCACGGTGCCCCATTACGGGGGGGTGTGGGTGTGAGAGCAAAAGCAAGTGCCAGGCCTTCTTGGCGGATCGCCCTGGCTCCGGTGCTGTTTTGGGCCCCGCGTGCGCGCAAGAGAGGTGAGACGAGATATGGGCCATGCCATTCGGCTACAATTGTCTCTCTCCACCCCCCCAAGACAGCCGAGAGCGTCGCCGGTGCGAGAGCGGGAAACACAGAGAGAGACGCAGACACCACCACCCACCCACTACCCCGCACCGACCCATACCGCACACACCCATCGACCGCCCCGTTCTTTGGCCCATCCCTGCTTTCCCCCCCACCCCGCCGCACTCTCTTTTGTATATAATGGGCTGGGGACATCTCTACGCCGCCTCCACCCCCTTTGGCACACGCTCTGCCTTTGCTGTCCTCACTCGCGCTTCCCGTTCACGCATCAGCCCTCGCAGAGTCTCCCCCCTACCACCCCACCGCTCCCCCATCTCCACATCGTCCACAATGTCCGTCGCCCACCTCCAGGATGAGGTCCACCAGGCATCGATGGAGAACCCAGAGGCGTTCTGGTTGAACCAGGCCGACTTTTTGCACTGGCACAAGAAGCCCACCAAGGCTATCAAGATGTCCACCAAGGTGCTCCCCTCGGGCAACACCCACCCCACCTGGGAGTGGTTCCCGGACGGCGAGATTTCGACCTGCTACAACCAGGTCGACCGCCATGTCATTGCCGGCTACGGCAGCTCGCCTGCCATCTACTACGACTCGCCCGTGTCTGGCACCAAGAGGACGATCACCTACTCGGAGCTCAAGCACGAGGTCGAGACGCTCGCAGCTGTGCTTGCCGAGAACGGCGTTGGCAAGGGTGACGTCGTACTCTGCTACAGTAAGTCACATTGTTATTCCACCCTCACCACCACCATTCCCCCCCCACGGGACCCCGGCTGAATATTCCGTCCCTCAGTGCCAATGATCCCTGCGGCTATCATGGGTATCCTCGCCGCCAACCGCTGCGGCGCCGCCCACTGCATCGTCTTTGGCGGCTTTGGTGCTCCCGCACTCGCCCAGCGCATCGACGCCGTCAACCCCAAGGTCATCCTGACCGGCTCGTGTGGTCTGGACGGCGCAAAGGTCATTCCGTACCAGCCCATGCTCCACGGCGCGCTCGAGCTCGCCGCCCACAAGCCCAACCGCACCATTGTCTTCCAGCGCCCACAGCACGAGTGGAAGGTCGACGAGAAGATGGGCGAGGCGTCATGGCAGGTCCTCACCGACGACGCCAAGAACCGTGGCGTCACGCAAGAGTGCGTCCCCGTCGCCTCGTCTGCTCCTTGCTACATTTCGCACACGTCCGGTACCACCGGCGCACCAAAGGGTGTCATTCGCGACAACGGTGGCCACGCCGTCGGTCTCCACCTGTCCATTTCAATGGTGTTTGGTGTCAACGGCCCCGGCTCGGTCATCTTTGCTGCTTCCGACATTGGATGGGTTCTTGGCCACGCCTTCATTCTCTCCGCTCCCCTTCTTGTCGGTGCCGCCACGGTCATGTACGAGGGCAAGCCCGTTGGCACGCCCGACGCCGGCGCGTTCTGGCGTATCATCGAAGAGTACAAGGTCAACGCACTCTACTGTGCCCCCACCGCGCTCCGTGCCATCAAGGGTCTCGACCCCGAGTCCAAGTTCCTCAAGAAAGTCGGCGAGCGTAACGGTCTCCGCTCGCTCAACGGTCTCTTCCTTGCAGGCGAGCGTTCCGAGCCGACCCTCATCACCATGTACCAGGAGCTCCTGGACAAGTACGCCGCCCCAGGATCCCACGTCATTGACAACTGGTGGTCGACCGAGGTCGGCTCGCCCATCACTTCGCGCGCGCTCATCCCGCACGCCGGCTTTGACCAGAAGACGACGGTCCGTGACCACCCGCCTCCCATCATCAAGCCCGGTTCCGCCGGCAAGGTCATGCCCGGCTACGACCTGAAGATTGTCGACGACGAGGGCAACCCCGTCGGCGCTGGTGAGATGGGCAACATTGTCCTCGGTCTCCCGCTCGCCCCCACCGCCTTCCGCACCCTCTGGAAAGAGGAGGAGCGCTTCTACACTGGCTACCTGAAGCGCTTCAACGGCAAGTGGCTCGACACTGGTGACGCCGGCTACGTCGACTCTGACGGCTACTGCCACGTCATGTCGCGCAACGACGACGTCCTCAACGTCTCGGCGCACCGTCTCTCGTCCGCTGCCATCGAGCAGGCCATCTCGGCCCACCCGCTCGTCGCCGAGGGCTGTGTCGTCGGCATCCCCGACGCACTCAAGGGCCAGCTGCCCTTCGCCTTCATCACCCTCTCTGTCCCCGAGCACCCCACCTCGCCCATCCCAGACCAGCAGGTCTACAGCGAGATCCAGGCGCTGGTCCGAAACCAGGTCGGCACCATCGCCACCCTGGGCGGCATCATCCAGGGCAAGGGCATGATCCCCAAGACGCGCTCGGGCAAGACCCTCCGTCGTCTCCTGCGCGCCCTCGTCGAGAACGCGTCCCACGGCGACTTTGACGGCGACGTCTCCACCCAGATCCCATCCACCATCGAGGACTATGCCACCGTCGACGTCGCCCGCCAAAAGATCCGCGAGTACTTTGCCGAAAAGGGCGACGCGCACAAGGCCATCGAGGTCCGCGCCAAGTTGTAAGAAGAAGAAGAAAAAGGAGAGGCTACTAGAGGTTTTTCTTGTTATGGTTTTGTAGCTCGTCAGAAGTTCAGATGCACATGACATACGATCATGCCGGCGTGTCGCTGTATGACACTGTTGCAGTACGAAAAGTCAGTCGCGGTTGTGGTGACGCGCCGGCAGGCAGCAGTTCTGTATCTCGGTGTCTCGGACCTGGAGGACGAACGGAGCCGTCTAGATCTCACACGCAAGCCGTCAAGTGGTGAACAGGAGTTCGTCCTAAGTGGTCCACTGGCCTAAGATTCGCTGCGACAAGTCGAGATCTGGTCCCAAAGGCACATGCATTCCCTCCATACACATCCTCCTGAACCGTTCTCCCCCTCCTTGAACCCGAGCCTACTTCTTGAGGAAGAACTGGTTGAGCTCGCCCATGATCGCCGCGTCGATGGCCTTGAAGTCCTTGTCCGGGAGGGCCAGTTTCGCCCTGCGCAGGAGCTCCACTTTGGCCGACAGGGTCGTGGTCTTGAGCGCGTCAGCCCTGTCCTGGGCCTCTTCAGCCTCGCGGCGCGCCTTGGCGACCTCGATCTGCTTGAGGAGAACCGCACTCCCACGAGCCCCGAGTTCCTGGCGCTGGACTTGAAGCTTGGCGAGCACGACTTCGCACAGTTCCGCAACGACCTGGTTGGATTCGGCCAAGGTCAAGGGCGGGAGTTCCGAGTCGTCGAGGTGGTCAAGTTGATCGTCGCCGCTGTGCGAAAGGGTTGGAGGGGGGCCGGGCTTGGTGCCGTTGGCCTTGGCTGCGGTCGCCTCGGACATCTTGACGAGCTGCGCCAGGCGCGACTGGGCCTGTTAGTCAGGTCACCTGCACAGGCTACAAGGACATAGACATACCTGAATGGTTTCCTGGCCATTGCTAGGCTCGCCCATGGTGGTGTCCGTGCTCCAGGCTGGCTCCTCGCGACGCGACTTCTTGTCAGGCTTGGGCGAAGAAGAGGCGGCGGGGTCACCGTCGTTGTGGTCTCCGTCTTCAACACGAGTGCGCTTGGCCGCGAGCTTGGGGTCGATGCCAGGGGGTTGGGGGTCGGACATGTTTGCCGCAGAGACGAGAAGTGAGAAGAGACGAGCTGAAGTGAAAGGGAGGATCAGATGTTGGTGGACAGTAGTATGGTGTCCACGTCAACCGGGGCACGTGCTGTGGGAACAGACGATGATCGCTGTTACCACGGACTGCCCTGCTATGGAGGATTGATCGACAGAGGATGATCCCATGGTGGCAGTCACGGCCGTTTGACCTCCACAGCAGGTATGCAGCAGAGGTGCAACAGTAGCTGCGCAAACAGTCAAATGTCAATGCGTGCCTCCCATATTTCCAAAATGGAGTCTATCGTTAGATAATAGCTCAGCTGCAGAGTCATATATGCACCAGTGGAGTATTGGTTGAGATACAAGGGCCCTGGGGAGACGACATTGTATGAGTGTGGTACGAATTTTGGGCACTTTTTTTTGTTTTTTACTGCCTTTCCGCCACGTACAAACACATCCTCCCAGGCGTAGCATCGTCATCCCGGCGCCAAAACTCAGTACGGTCTCGCCATACCTCTTTGGTCTGCGATCCATAAATGTCGCTCGCCAAGAGCTCATGTGAAGCGTGCATGTGCCGATGGTGCGGCCATACCGCGTTTTAACCGCCCAATGACATTTCGGGGTTTAATCTCGCAATCCCCTGCGGCAAATACGTCGGGATACGAAAACCGTCACTAGATCACTAACTCGAGCTAACTCACTAATCCCATGCGAAAAAACGTGCCATCACAGGGTTCCCGACTTTCCCACCGAGTTCTAGACTGGGGTGCAGGCTGACAGGTGCATGTGAATACGTAGGCTCCTGTTTGTCAGTCCAAGATTGTATAAAAGACGAGGCGGGAGCACTCGCAGTCGGCACACCGACAGTACCAACCTCACCTACCTCAACCAGGCCCACCTAAAAGCCATGCACGCACCACCAGGATATACCCCTGGCAGCTACGACTCCCGGGGCAACTACATCCCCACTGACGATGAGGTGATGGCGTACCAGGCAGCTAGGGTCGCATGGGAGGACCAAGTTGTGTACGGATACTACGCGTTGGCGTTTATCGTGGGCGTGCTGGCGCTGGCGGTTGTCAGCCACTTGTTCTGGGTCCTCCGTGTGAGGTATAACAGGTTGGGCAAAGTGGTAGGATACGCGCGCCTCGCCGCTGCTCTCCGCCTGATGAGCTATCCACGCCTCATGCCCACTTCCCTCAACTGGATTTGGTCATGGGGTGCCCTCGGCCCAAACCTGATCCTCGTGGCTGGCCTCCTGGTCGCCTCCTGCCTCACGTGGGTCAACAAGCTGTACTACTATCCGCCATACTACGGCAGCGCTCCGCTGTATCTTCGCAGCGAGTGGATAGCAATGGCCACCCTTCCGTTTGTCTAGTGAGCTCCAATTGCGGGGGGCGGACGGCTGACCCCAGCGTGCTCGGAGCCAAGCGCAACATGCTTTCAGTTCTCACCGGTGTATCCCATGAAAAGCTCCAGATCCTGCACCAAGGAGCCGCCTTCAACTTTATCTACATGTCGCTTGTGCACACCATTACTGCCTGCATTCGCGCCGATCGGGAGTACGGCCTCGTCCTCACCATCCAGTTCGACGATATTTACATTTCGGGCTTTGTGGCACTTGCTCCACTCTTGGTGCTGTTCGTCGGATCGCTCCCGCCCATCCGCAAGTACCTGTACGAGGCATTCTACTACGTCCACATTGTCATGGCACTGTTCTTCCTGGGTGCCCTCTTTTGGCATGGATATGGCCTTCTGGACAATGAGTGAGTTTAGTAGCTTACCTGGCCAGAGCTGATTCCAGCGCGTACTGCATCACGACAATTATCCTCTTTTTCAGCAGCGTGGCGTGGCGGCTCGGCTGGATGCTCCTGAACAACCCGTCATGGCACCTCGCTCGTATCGAACTGCTCAGCGAAGACACCTACAAACTCACCGTCCCAACATACACCCTCAAGTGGAAGGCCGGTCAGCACGTCTTTCTCCGGTTCATGGCCGTCCGCGCACTCGAGTCGCACCCATTCACCATCTCCAACATGTGCACGGCGGGTGAAGTTGACACCATGGTCTTTCTCGTCCGTTCCCAGAACGGTTTTACCAAGGCTCTCCTGCAACACGCTCTCCGCACCAACACGGGCGAGTACAAGGTCCTCGTAGACGGACCATACGGCCATTCCGCCGACGAGCTGCGCGTGTTCGACTCTGTCCTCGTGTGCGTCGGTGGCAGCGGCATCTCGTGGGCCGTGGCGGTCCTGCAGGCGCTTGCAGCTTCGCCTCGCCCTCCTGCCATAAAGCTGGTCTGGGCGGTCCGTGACGCCTCTGCCCAGGGGTGGTTTGCTTCTGAAATTGCCGCTCTGAACAAGGCCGCGACAGTGGAGATACATGTGACCGGAGGCGGCCACGACTCGCCGGCGTCTGCCCATAGCGACAAGGAAGACTCTCCGTCAATGTCGAGCGCGATTCAACATGGCCGACCAGACTTCAAGGCGATCATTGCTCATCACGTTGGACAAGCACAGGGGAGCGTGGCAGTCGCGGCTTGTGGACCAGAGTCGTTGCTTGCAGACTGCGCCAACGGCGTCTGGCGTGTCGAGCTAGATATCTTGATGGGGAGGCTGCCAGAGGTGGACGAGGTGTACTTTGCTAGCGAGGCCTATGGCTGGTGATGAAACTCGCGTGCAAAGTGACCGGGGACTGCTGCAGCTACTTCTTCTCCTCGTGAAGCCACTGAACACGTCAACAAGCCTGGCTTTCGTGTTCACGAAGAGCTTTGTCGGGCCGGAAACCCATGGGACGTCAAAACAAGCAAATGTGTCGGCAAGATGGCCGAGTGGTCTAAGGCGCTGTGTTCAGGTGTTTCCTCTTCTGAGGTATTCATTCGCAGTCTTCGGGCGTGGGTTCGAACCCCACTCTTGTCAGTAGAGGATTCAGTTCCTCCAAAGTATCCTTTTTGGGATGCTCCTCGACATCCCCATGTCTTTTCCAGCTCGATGGAGGTCTGGATGCATGCAAAAAGTGGATGAAGGAGCGGGCCGACGCTGGACGAAATGAAATTCCCCGACTGCCTCGGCTGATCATCTGTGGGGACCCCAGGCCCTGAAACCCGGTCCGCGGCTCCACATTGCAAAGTGGCTACCAACTGAAATCTCATCTCATATTACTTTACAAGCTTCCTATCAAGTTTCTTCCCACTCCCTACGCTCCCTACGAGTTTAGGAGGTCCTCTGCACACCCTTGTCGTTGTACTTCCACTTGGCGAAGGCAGTAACGGCCAGCGCGCAGCCACAGAACGCAGTGGTGAGGGAGAAGCCCTTGATGTAGTGGGGGGGAGTGTCCCAGAAGAACGAACCGTACACGCTCGCCAGGTTACCAAAGCCATTGATCAGAGCAATGGAGACAGCGCGCTTTTCTCTACCATCAAACATTGTAACCATCCAGCTAAGGAAGACGGGAACAGCGGTCCAAATACCGGCTCCACCGAAGCAGAGGAAGGCATAGCGGACCTTGCTGGTGTCGACGGCAGCCACGATGATGAACGAGACCGTGGCGAGCGCACAGGCGGCCATGACGACGAATGCCTTCTGCTTGGTCCTGTCCGCGACGAATCCACCAGTGACAGAGATGACAAGGGCGACGGCATAGATGGGCACGGTCATAAACTGAGCGTCACGACCCTTGTAGCCGAGCGAGGTCATGAGGGTGGGGAAGAAGTACGAGATGGTGCCGACCATGTTGAGGAGGTTGTAGACGAGGACAAAGACCCAGGTCTTGGGGTCCTTGGCGGCCTCCTTGAAGGCCTGCCAGTGGCCCATGTGAGGCTCCTCGTCCTCCGAGGCCTCGGCGGAGAGGAGACGGGCAGTGGCGAGGCGGCGCTCCTCCTCAGAGAGCCACTTGGTGGTGGCGGGGTAGTTGGGAAGGATGAAGAAGGAGATGCTAGCGCACACCACAGTCATGAGACCTTCGATGATGAACAGCCACTTCCAGCCTGTCGAAAAGTCAGCCTCTGTAGCTAGAAACGGTGGAAGAGAAAATCGGGTAATTGTCCCCGAATTGTTTCGGGGGCAGGCCAATCTTCTTGCCTTCCTCCTCATGTCTGTACTCACCACGAGTGCCGCCCTTGCCCTCAAGACCAGAGATCACTCCGCCCGCCAGTAAACCGCCAAAGGCGCCGGCCATGAGGGATGCGGTGTAGAAAAGAGCGATGCGCTTGGACAGCTCGGCCGGCTTGTACCAGCAGGACATGAGAAGCATGACACCGGGGAAGAAACCAGCCTCCACGAGACCGAGGACGAAGCGGAAGGCGACCATGCCGCCGAGCGAGTTGATTCCCTTGGCGCCAATGGACATGGCTCCCCAGATGAACATGATGGTGGGCAAGAAGATCGAGGGGCGGCTGCGGGCAAGCATCATGTTGCTGGGAACCTCCCAGAGGAGGTATCCCACAAAGAAAATGGAGAGCACCAGCGAGTATTCAGAGGCCGTGAGGTTCAGGTCCGCCTGCATACCGCCAGTCTTGGCGTTTCCAATGTTGGTGCGGTCAAGCTGGTCACGAGTCAGCGTGTTGCTCTGGGCGAAATGTTGCACATGACGCATGTGATTTGGCTTGCCCCCGTGCCCACCGCCGCGCTCGGCATGTTTGCGCCACCTGCCGGAGCTATACACCGGCCCGGCAACCATCCGTTGGTCCGCGCACCCATCCTTCTCGCCTGCCACCATGCCACATCGGGCTCCCACTTGGTCAAAAACTCACGTAGTTCATAATGTACATGACCCAGAGCATGGGGAGGATGTGCAGGTCGATCTTGCGGAGCAGACGGCGCTCCTCGGGCGTGCCCTCGACGTAGGCATAGCCCGGTCCGTCACCCTTGGGGTAGGGAGGGGCATTCTCGAGCTGCTCGAGCGTGGGCTTCTGTCCCTCTGGGAGAATGTCGACTTGGTCGGTGGAGTGACCCATAGTGAAGTGTGGTCGCGGGGTAGTCTGTGGGGGGACGAAAGAAACGCATGCAACCCCTATCTATTTAACCCGCCGTTCCAAGCACGGCAAAACGAACGCACAAGAGGCAACGAGGGGAGCCAAGGCACTGCCACGACGCTAGTGGCAACCAAACGCGGCAGGATGCGGCAACAGCAGGTTCTGGGCCATCATCATGCCGAGACATGTGCTTTCGCCGCTCCGGGGACCCCCCGGCTACTGGCGGCAAACCGGTATTCAAGGTTTATGGGACAGCCGTTACACCTCTGAACAAAACGCGTTGCTGTCGCCAGGGAAGTCGAGCGGTACCCCACGGTAGCTGGTGCCTGCTGTGGGGCTCGGGCGGCCACTCCACCTTGCCCACCGAGCCCCGCAACGCCAGCAAGACCCTGCATCGTCATTCCCCTCCGGTCAACAGATCTCCGGACGCTTTGCACGCTTGCACGCTTGCAAAGCATTCGCATTAGATGTGTTGGATAGCAGGACGAGTGGTGTGGCAAAGTACATCCCCATGCTTGTTGGGACAGCAAAGGCATCCAGACAAGTTAGGAAAACAGCTCCTAGCTGCCAGTGGCCTGTTTTCGCTGCTGAGAGTGTGCCCGACGAGTGCTTCGGCTCTTGCATGTGCACATGGGGGTCTCTGATTAGGCGGCCGGTACAGACTGTCCGGCCCCAGCCAATACGGCCGCGGTGGTACGATTTCGTATTCTAGCCGCCAAGCCCGTGAGTTGCCGACCGTGGTTGCCACCCCCTCCCCCAAACGCCTCCAATCGATCTCGGTTGGAGCATTCAGGCGCACCAACAGTCCGGTTCGGTCCCACGGTCCACGGGTTGTTGCGGGTACAACGGGAAACCAGCAATCGGCAAGTGGCCCCCCCGCAATGGACCCCTCAGGATATCAGGATTCTTGCACTCTGGGGCTCAGCGCGTGAAACGGGGTAATGATGACGAGGCGTGCACTTTCGGTGCAATGCTGCCCCGTCAATTCGCTGTATCGTCGGGGGCCCTTCGGCACCTGCCGTGGAGAAAGGGAACACGATGTGGAGGATGTGGAGGTGGTGGGCGCGTACACTGCAAATCCCAAAAGGGTGTGGAGCGCAGTCTCTTGGAAATCGGCCAACAATGCAAACAAGTCACCGTTTGCCTCGCCACGACGACCGATTGGTATTCATGACTCTTTCCTGCACCCAAAAACGGTCGACCCCCAGCATTGCCATTTCCAAAATCGAGTACCACTCACTAGCCACCCTCAGTTCCCGTTTCATACCGCGAGCTACCGCTCGTGACATTTGATCAACAGCACTAACACTTTTAGCGGGGCAGACCGCTGTGAGGGATTTCCAGCGCATCCCCCCCATCGTGCCTGCCTCCTGAGAGGTGGTTCCCATTTTGATTTATCACTCGAGCACAGGCGATGCACGAGGGACACCACGATTGTCGATATCCAGTGCGGACTGACGCAGCGGTTGTTCCACGATAGCATGTGGTTGCATGTGGTTGTAGAAAGGCACGGCTGCGGCAATCGCTCACCTCACGCACCGAAACCCGGTCCGAGGTCGCGGCAGTGGACGGTCTGGGTGGCAGGATTACGACGTCGACGGACGTGTGGTGCCACGGTGCCGCGGGTCATCAAGGGGTTCGCTCCATCATGTGTTGACGCACGTCCTCTCACGCTCACTGCCAAGGTGCCCTCTGAGCGCGGGTATGGATCGGGTACGGGAATACCAGTTGCTGAAGAACACAATGGTCCCACGGGCAAGCTCGTCTAAGCTCGTCTAATATCCATTCGTCCATTCGTTTCACCCCAATGCACCACCCACCCAAGAGGTCCCGTTTCCCGTCGAAGAAGGCTGGATGTTTGTATGTTTGTTTGTCTCGCTATCGTTCTCCCCGCAGGACAGCAGCTTCCCCTCTTGGTCAACGGCACCGATAAACAGCACAATACCATTTGCACTTTTTGTCTGGCCAACTGTCACAAGATGTGTGGTGGTTCCCCATGGTATGTCTGACTCTGATACTCTGAACCGAATGGTGGACATCAGTCGGTGCCAGTCTGGCCTTATCACAATGACTCAATGACTGCGGACTTTCCATGTGGTATCTGGCTATCCATATATCCATATGTGCACCCCTCCCCCATCTACGCTGTCTATAGATCTATGGAGCTGCCGCCAGAGAGTGTTGCACAGCGAAGGTATGTTTACAGAGCACGCATCGGGCAGTGGTTTCAAAAGCAACGGTCTCCAGAGTCCGCAAACGCGCACAACTTCATGTATGCAGTCACGTAGGGCCAAGGGCCATCAGATGCCAAACCCGCAGTAAGCTGCTTTGCAGTCGGGATGTAAGCGCGATCTTCTCAGCTTCCAAGGAGGCCAAGGAGGCTGTGAGGGATAACCAAACGTCAGACGACTGCCAGACAATGGAGGTGCGTCACGTGACGAGCCTGTGAGAAACACTCTATCGGGGGCACGATGCGATGCCTACCGACCGATAGTGCTGTTTCCGCCAGGTCCGAGAAACACACACTTTCTGGGAGAAGGCCGTTTTGCGGATCCCAGAGCTCTCAGCCAAAATCGACGAAACGGCCGCGAAACGGCCTGGAAGCTGGATGTGCTTGTCTGGACTGTTATCGCCTGGCTCGAAAGATACATACACCACGGACGAAGCCCGACGTACTGGCGCTACAAGGCGGGCTTCTATGCGTTCTGGCAACCAGCTAACACTCAACGCCCGCCAGGCCACTTCCCACTGACCACTGGCCGCTGGTATGTGCACTGTGCAATATCCTTGACGCGTCTGCTGGTGGTGGCCATAAGCACTAGCCCTCACTCGCTGTAGAGGACACTGAGGGCATAGGCATATATGTACCGTGACTCTGGCAGCGGCCCGGTGGCCGGTTAGGTCTATCACGGCAATTATAGCTATCCAGTTTGTATTATTATTCCGCTGTCATTTAGCAAAAAGCTGTTTTTGCCAACACCCTTGTGCTTCCAATCCCTTCTCTCTTTTGCATCTCGCCCCAAGTGGGACGATCACCCCAGTTGGCCAGTTGACTGATGAGGCCGACAGCCGAGATTTTGTCGATGAACAGAAAACGGGGACACCGTCGGCCAGCAGCAGGTGGTACAGGTGGAGGGAGGCGCGGATGACCGCCGGGCTCACGGGCTCTCACGGGCTCTCACCGGCCATGGCCAGCCAGCGTGTGCGGCCAGTCCCACTCTGCCCGTGAAATGTTCTGGCCATGACCTCATTATTCCTTTCCATTCTGTGCAGCCGCCGGCCTCGCGGGCCTCGATGTAGCAGTCGCGTTCCGTCTCTTCGTACAAGCAGTACTTAAAAACGCGGGCAGGTGGGATCTTCCACAACACATCTTCTCACTCCAACCTCACACCACACATCAGCTCCACCGCAACTCTCACCATGACCTCCGTTATCATTACTGGCGCAACGGGCACTGGTGAGCTACACCCTACGGCTTTTGCACCCACAGACCAGCTAACCTCGCCCAGCCGGCTCTGCCGTTCTGAACAATGCCCTCGCAAACCCGCTCATCTCGCACGTCACTGTCCTCGCCCGCCGAGCTCCCAAGGTGACCAGCGACAAGCTCACGACCGTCATCATCCCCTCGGACGAGAACCCCAAGGGCTTCTCAGAGCTCACTCCGGCAACCATAGCCCAGCTCAAGGGGTCGGACGCGGTGATCTGGGCTCTGGGCATTAGCCAGCTGCAGGTGTCCAAGGACGAGTACAACACGTGAGTAACACGGTGCGAGGTGCAGCTGCGTGAAACTGGTGTACTGACGCGCGGCAGCATCACCTACGACTATACCAAGGAGGCGGCCAAGGCGTTTGCCCCGCTCGGCACCAAGGACAAGCCGTTCCGCTTCGTCTTTGTCTCGGGCATGGGCGCCGACCAGAGCGGCAAGTCGTCGACGCTGTTCGCAAAGGTCAAGGGACAGGTCGAAAGGGAGCTCGTCGCGGACGAGACGGAGAGCTTCAAGACGGTCAACCTTCGTCCTGGCGGCATCGTGCCGGCGGCCGACCACGCACACAACCTCAACTTCTTCAACCGCTCCTTCCTCACGGCCTTCAACTGGCTGCTGCCCAGCCAGATGATCAAGTCTGATGACCTGGCAGTTGCGGCTGTCAACCTGGCCGCCGGGCGTGGATGGGACGAGCGTGATGCCGAGCACGTCATTTACAACAAGCAGCTGCTCAAGATGGCGCAGGACTTTTCGAGCCAGATGGCTCCCCAGTAGAGTGTGCACATCGTATTCACTGTAGAGCTCTCATTAGATTTTGGTGTACCATGTATATGACTTTTGTTATCGAGCCATGGCCGACGGCAGCAGCACCAGCAGCACCAGCACCACTGTGTTCCTGGCGGCCGCCGCCGGGTGTCGCCGGGTGACTGGCGCCAGATCTCGCCCAGTCTTTCCGAGCCGCCGTCATTTTCATCCCCATCCTCCTATCCATCCACCCCCATCACCGTCTCCTCGCCACCGCCGTTTTGCGCGTCACACCATGCGCCCATCCTCCATGCGCGCCATCGCAGGCCCCAGCAGGGTCATTGCCCGTCCCACCACTGCCCTCGCTCGCGCCGGGTCCGTCGCGCTCGCACGCAGCCCGCTCACGCCCTTGGCCGCCTCTTCGTCTTCATCGTCGTCGTCGTCGTCCTCCTCGTCCGTCGCGTCTGCCCGCACCTTCTTCTCCCTGCCAGACATCTCCAAGCTCGCAGGTCTGATTCCCGGTGCCCCGGATGCGTCGCAGCTTGCCAATGATGGCGAAAAGACCAGGTTCCATGCCAGCAAGATTCTCCCGTGAGTCGACGGAGAGGGTGTGCTGTTGTTGTTGGTGGGGCTCGAGGCAGATGTGCCTTTTTCGAGAGGCCAGGCAAACCTGCTTCTCGTTTCTTCTATCCTTTGTCCCGAGCGAACCGCGCTGTATTTCAAGCACACGTTGGCAACAGCGCACATCTTCCCAAGCAAAGGACAGAAGCAGGCGACGTCTGACCCATGGCCGGGGTGGGTGGTAGCCATCAGACCCCTCTCCTCCCTCCTTGCACTCTACACCCGGGCCCCCGCTAACGTCCCCTCCAGCTACTCCCCAGCGCAGATGTACGAGCTCATCTCGGACGTGCCCAAGTACGCCGGCTACATTCCCTTCTGCACCGAATCCACTGTCCTCGACAAACAGGGCCGCCCCGACATGAACTGGAGGGTGCCGCACCGCGAGCCGTTTGCCGTCAACGCCGAGCTGGCCGTGGGCTTTGGCGGACTCGAGGAGAGATATATCTCCCAAGTGGTGGGAACGCCGTTTGAGAGTGTGTCGGTGAGTACAAGATCGAGCGGGGGGTGGTGCGAGGGAAGCGGAGGGCGAGGAAGGGAAAGGAAAGGAAGAGCAGGCAAGGATACCCGACACCGGACGTCCGTCGTCGGGTTTCACCGCGGTTGGCAGACACCGAGCGCTTGCTATACTGCGAGCTACGCCGCGCGGTGGCCGAAGTCGCACGCGCGGTGACTGTCGAATGTGGCCGAGGGCGTGGTGTGTGCAAGGACGACAGCGACAGAAACGACAGTGTGGAACAGACACTCGGCGTCGGCGTCGGCCGGATACGACGTTTTATGTCGTTATCGCACAACGCCCCACGCCACAGCTGTGGCAACCAGCACAGTATCACAGCTGTTGGTCGGTGGTGTCGCGTGCAACCGCTGTCCATTCCTGGTCGCGCAGCCGCATACCCAAGGCTGCGTGGTCTGTCTGTTACCGCCCCTCGGTGCCAATGCTCGCAGCTGTCCCACCTCCATGCTCAGCTGGAGCAGGTACCCGTAGGCCACTTTACCTGCCCTCACCCCCACCTTTTCTCACCTCCTTCCCCCAATCCCCCCCATTACACGCGGCTTTGCCCTCCACGGTCCAGCTGACAGTTTTCCCAAGGCAACAGCATCCAAGATGTCCCCACTGTTCAAGTCCCTCGTCACCACCTGGTCGTTTACGCCCACCACAACGCTCCAGCCGGGGATGGCGCCGGGCTCGGCGGGCCCCACGATGCTCGCCATCGACCTGACATTCGCGTTCGCCAACCCTCTGCACAGGATAGCGTCGCAGGCCGTATTGCCACAGGTCGCGGACAAGATGGTGGAGGCGTTTGAGAGGCGCGCCCATGAGGTTTATGGCGGGCGCTAGCGTGTGCGCTGGGCCGCGGGGTATCGCGGCAGTGAGGCAGTGAGGCAGTGAGGCAGTGAGGCAGTGAGGCAGTGAGGCAGTGAGGCAGTGAGGCAGTGAGGCAGTGAGGCAGTGGAGCGGCGAGGCAGTGAGGCCTCTGCATTGGGCGGAAGCGGCGGTGGATGTTCTAATATGGTGGTTGGCGTGCGTCTCTCGTGTCCGGCTCTTCGTTGGTTCCCTCTCGTGTCCCTCTACACACACTTCTCTTCTCTTCCCGCCTGATGGGGTTTGTCTTCTATCGTACGCATGCATACAATTACTAGCTAGCTAGACCTTACACCCCGATGGCGTGACCCCTAAGACTAAGACTGTAATCGTTCAGACAGAGACATAAAAAGGACAAGGAGGGGAGAGGACAGGATCCAGGATCCAGGAGAGAAGACAACCGGGTGAGGAGGGAGGGGGGACGAGACAAGAAAAAAAAGACAAGACTATCGAACAAAACCAAACCACCTGCCCTCACTCAGTTGCCCTCGTCGACCTTCTTCTTGCCAAAGCCAATCTTGAACGCACTGCTCGACGTGCGCGCGAGCTTGGTGAAGCCCGTCGCGCCGGAAATGCGGCGGCTCAGGCCGCCGCCACCAGCGTATCCGTTGGCGTCTTTACCGAGCGACGTGCCCGACGCGGTGGACGCACTGCGGTGGGCGCGCGTGGTGGGCGGAGGCTGCGAGGTGGCCGGGCTGCGGGTCGCGATGGGCGGCTGTGTGGTGGCAGGCGAGGCGGCCTGCGAGGCTGCCTGGGAGGTGGAGGTGTTGGACACGTTGGTCAAGATCTGGGCCACGGGCGGGGCGGTGAACGAGCCCGACTTGCTGGACGAGCCGCCCGACGTGGAGGAGATCATGCTCGACGTGAGGTCCACGGGGTTGGCGTCTGGTGTGGCCACCTGGTGACGCGGGAAGTGGTCGGGGACAGCGGCGTCGGGCTGGGGCACGGTGCTCTGCGTGGAGACTGTGTTGAGCGTGGTGGTCGTCGACTGACGGCGCAGACCTACACGTGCAGACGAGTCGGCGGTGGACGGCAACGACCCGTTGGATGCCGAGGGGCCCGAGTCCTTCTTCTTGTTGAGCGAGTACCATTTGGCCGACTTTTCGGTCGGTGAGCGGGACATGGACGTGTCGCGGATAGAAGAAGGGGCGGGACCGCGGCTCGCGTTGGACTCGCGGCGGGAGCTGGGTGTGGGGGTAGCGCGCGACTGCGGCGTTGCGAGGATCTCTGCGGCATGGCCATTGAGCGGGAAGCTGTCGGTCGATCCTGTCTGGATCGCCAGTGGTGTTTGGACCTTTGCGCTGGCGGTCAGAGGCGGGGTGACGCTCTTCTCCGAGCTCGACGCCATGATGCCCTCGTCTGAGAGCTCGTGGACCGCAGCGGCAACAGCCTCGGGTATGGGCGTAATGACACGCGGCTTGGGCAGCTTTTTGAGACCCAGGTTGAGAAGGTCGAGGTCGACGGCCTGGTAGAACAAGACGTAGCCGGCACCAGTAATGTTGTCGCCAAAGTAGTTTGCCAGATCGCTCTCCTCGATGGGCTCCACGTTCTCGTCGTCGCACATGACCCACTGGTTGCCGGAGCGGACAACTGTGACATAGTGGCCGTGGCTCGGGCCGTTTCCAATGTGAACCACGACGGCAAACAGCTCGTATAGGCGCTCGCCATCGTCAGTGTCCTCGGTGGTACACGGCACACGGAGCTGGAGGGGGAAGGTGACGCGGTAGAAGAGCTTGTGGAGGCGGCCCATTTCGTCTTGCCTGAACCGCTTGAGGTGCAGGCCGAGAATGTTGGGCAGGCTCTTGATGCGCATCCTGCGTTCGGCCTCTACGAGGGAGCAACATGTCTCGCAGTAAAACTTGTTGGTCGAGCAGAGCATCTCGGAATGGGAGAACTGGCGGAGACACGCAGTGAGCGACGAGTGCTGCTCGATATCGATCGAGAGGTCGAGGAACGACTCTTCGCGCCGGCTAGTGGTCTCGCAGTTGAGACAGCGGGTCTCGTTGACGAGGTCGCCGTGGAAGAGCTGCTGCACAAACGTCTTGCGGTCCTTGATGTCGGTCACTTCATCGCCCGTTTCCCGGAGCTGGTTGTCGAGACGCGCAACCTCCTCGTCGAGCTGGTTCAGGAAGAAGCCCAGGAACTCGTGCGCGTCCTGCTGCCCCTGTCCGGCAAACATCATGTGGTGTTTCCTCACAGTTCGCAGCACGTCTTCGGGACGCACCACGCCGCGTCCCAAGGTGCCGGCGGCGTAAGGACCTCCACCGCGTGGTGTCGATGGAGGCGGCAACGACGCCAGGAGCGAGGGGCCTTGCGGCTGACCGGGAACGCCAGGCTGACCGTTGGCGGCCTGCACCAGCGAGGCACTGGGAAGGGAGGCGGCGTTGGATCCTGTCGCGTTTGTCTGGCCATTGGCCGCGACGGGCGTCTTTGGAGCCGCTGGGTGGTGAGGGAGGGATGTCGACATGTGGCTGAACAGCGTCTGGATGGTCGAGAAGAGGGTCATGTCGGGGAAGTTTGGGTCGTGAGGCAGCACGATGGGAGGAGGGGCCGGTGCTGCTGGCTGGAGGGTGGGCTTGGGCGCCTGAGGAGCGGGCTTGGACTTGCCCAGCCCAAACACGCCGCGGCCCTTCTCCTTTGCCGGCGACGCGACGGTCGCCGGCTCCACCGTGCTGGGCTTGGGGACCTCGGGGGCTGGAGGGGGGATGGGCTCGTGGGCAATGTCACCGCCGAGCGCATTGTACGGCTTCTGGATGTCTGGGTACGCCTCGACAAAGTGACGGAACGGTGGGGACGCGTACAGCGCTTGCAGGATCGAGTTGCAGTAGCAGGTATTGCCAAACTGTATAACGTCAGCGAAACAGCACCAAGACAAGTTGTTCTGGCAGGTCATTGTTTCTTACATTCTCGAGACCCCACAGTGTCTCGTCGAGGGCCGCACGCTCTTTGCCCTTTTCATCCGACGAGTCCTCGGAGGCGGACCCGTTGGTGGGGAGCGGGGTATCCTTGGATCCGCTTCCGCTACCGACGGTTGCGCGGAAACGGCGCCAGTTGTCCATGTCGGTGCGGGGGTGGGTGTGGGTGTGGTGGTGGTGTGGTAGGTGTCAAGGAGGATGAAGGTGGGTGGAGGCAAGGAGAGGAGAGGGGGGGGGGGGCCAGTGGGCGCAAATGCGGGACTGGCGGCCGGTTTATAGATTTACGGGGCGATGCGCGTGGCAATGTCGGCGCAAATCAGGACGACTGTGATGGCGAGGAGACGGTGTGTAAAACGATGTGGTGATGACAGATCAGAGCATGAGAGAGTGGAATGTCCAGTATATCTTGGCTGTTGGCTGTGTGGGTGACTGGGTGGGGATGCGTGCGCGGCCAGGGTTACGTGTCGGCGACCAGACACAGGGTGTGGGTGGGTCGCTTGGTGGGCAGGTGTGTCTCTTTCCTATGCGCGCGGGGGTGGGCGGTTGGCAGAGCTGCGCAACGGGGCTGCGGGGTCGTGAGCGCGGGGACGGCGTGTGCGTATGCCCGCAGGGAGGGTGCAATGGTGGGAGAGGGGATGTGTGCAACGTCGAGTAGATGGATGGGAGCGCAATGGATATGGAGCCCAGCGGCGGCGGTGGTGGTGGTGGTGAGCCATGTGCACCACAAGGAGACGACCCCCACACCCCACGCCGACGGGTGGGCGGGCGGGCACCATCATCGTCTCTCTCTCTCTGGCATTCCTCCTTCATCTCCACTCCCCGCGCTGGGGCCCGCGCGGGCTGTGGCGGGCCGAACTCGCCGCCGTGTCGTCGTCAGTGGGCATCCTCTGCAAGTATATGCTGCCGCCTAATGCACGCACGCACGCACGCGCTCGCTCGTTGGCGTCGTACATACCGCGCCACTCTCTGCCGAACGGACAAACGTACAAGCGTAGTTTGGGGCTGCCCCTTTTGCAGATCAACCCAATCTCACTCGCACTCTAAAACTACTTTTGGGCCACCTCGTTGCCGTACATCCCACAACAGTTAAGCTCGGCGCCTGTGCAAGCGGGGCCCAAGGTCTCGCCCAGATGGTTTCTGGTATAGCTCTAAGATCTAAAAGCAGGCCCATATACCCCCTCCCCTCCCCCTCACCATCTGTGCACGGAACAGAGGCTAGCAAAGACGCTTAACATGCACTGCCCAAGAGAGAGCGGTGTGTCCTGTGTTTCCTGTCCTAGCACAGGCTAGCTGCCGACCGCCGCGCCGCCGCCGCCGCCACCCCGCACCTGGTACGCCGCACACGCCGGACCGTTTTGGCCGTTGGAAGAGACCCCATAACCCAGGCACCCATTTCTCTCTCTCTTCAAGACGCCACCGGTCCTCCGTTTCGGTCGTTCGGTCGTTCGGACGTTGCCTCTGGCCTCTGGTGTCGCGGCGCGCAGCTCACAAAGGCATGGAGAGAGCTCAAGGTCTCATCTAAGCAGATCTCCCGCGCAAAACCCAAATATAGCGCCCAAAAAGCCGCCGTAGTCTCAGGCGCGCGTCGGGTACCTGGCATTCGTAGAGAGGAAAAACAGCACAGAGGTACAGAGAGGCAGTCACACAAAGAGACGAGACGATCAACCAGAAGCCATTCAACAAGGCCGCCAGAACGGCCAGAACAGGCGGGGGCAGGTTTACTGGGTTTACTGGGTCAAACCAGGCTGTCTGGGACCCTGGTGACGCCTTTTACTGATTCGGAAGCCGCCAGAGAGGTGACCGTCACCGCTCCTCGGGTCCTGTCTGTCAGTGTTCCAAATTACATGCAAGCGAAGCCAATTGAAAAGGAGGCGAACATGCTTTCTTTTTTTACTGCGACATTGCTCAACATGACATTCACCCAAGCCAGCCTTTTTGGGGCATATGCGGAGCTCGGGTCCGCTCCGGCCTTGTATGGATCTCAAAGCTATCTACATCGCTCACTTCTCGTGGGGGATATATATCTCCGGTGGTCGGTGCAACGACAGGGCTTCATCCTGTACACATGTGCTCCCACAGCCTCTGCCCAGCGGCTTGGCACTGGGAATGTTGCTTATCTAGCGAGTGTGAGAGAACATGTGCGGGCAGCTGTCTGGTGTGACTTTCCATGGGAGCTTTTCGTACATGCGATCAGTCCTCAGATGCAACTTACGTCGCATCGGACAAGGTGTGTTACTCCCGAACTCCCTCCTGACCTCCCGGCGGTCTCATGACATGCCCGCTGGTCCTCATGTACCAGACGCCTCATGGACGCCCAGCGTCAGTGCGCGAATGACCCCCCGCACCCCCACCATCATTCCCCCCATTCCCCCCATTCCCCCCATTCCCCTCATTCCCCCCCCCACCACCACTGCGCACCTGAACGCCGGCCGTCAACGCCACAGGTCCTGCACGGACAAGGTCTCAACTGACCGTCATTAGCCGTACACAGCAATGGGCCACTGCCTCGTGTCCTCATGACCATGTTGCATGTCGCTTCAGCTCGCAGGTCCCAGAAGCGTATAGCCAGCCATACAGCTCACCCACCGCACTATGCTGCTGCCGCCACCAACATGAATGGTTCATTCGCCAATTCCACCGCAGTTGCGCCGACACTTGACACTGCACAGCCGGCCATCAACCGCCAGGTCCCGCCGCTCTGGCGTCCTCGGTCCGTTGGATCCATGACGCTTCTCGGTCACTTGAACACCACTCGCGCCACTCGGCCAGTCATAAGTCTGCCCGTCTTGGAGCATGTGACCTCCTCGCTCCGGCTGTCCGGAATTCAGTTCAATCCCGTTCCTCCCCAAAGACTCGGGCTGGGACGGGTGGGAGCGGCGTGAACGACAGCAACAAGATTGGGGTCGGTCCCAACGTCGTGGCAGTTACGTACGTGCACGTACTCGTACTCGTACCAGAGTTCAGTTGGCCACTCGGTATCGGAGGGTGTGTGTATACCATTCCGACGTCGCTCCACCTGGCCATGGCTGGGCCAATGTGGCAGCAACGCAGGACGGGCGTGAGTCATCGCCCAGTTGTGGAGGCTTAACAAAGGGTGCCCTCCTCCATCTCCTCACGACAGACACCGACCCTCTGGCGGCGATCCAATGGGCCAAACGGAAGCACCATGTACATTCCTCCTTCCCTCATCATTCCAAATATCCATCTCGTCTCGTCCCAGATCCAAATCCTAACGCCAGAATATCCATAAATAGTTTCACAAAGTCCGCCACCGGCTTCACACCAACTGTGGGCCACTTACGCGTCGCCGTCGCCATTCTCATCCGCAAACCGCTTGGTGAGGCGTGTGCGCGCCTCGTGGTCAAAGTGCGGGTGGGACACGGGCCCGACATATGGCTTTCCCAGCGCGGGCCAGAACGAGCCGTTGGCATTGGAGAATGGATCGCCGCCGTCGCTGCCGATCATCCACTGCTCGCGCGCCGCCGCCGCAGCGTACGGCGGGAGATATCGCTTCGCAGGGCCAATCTCGTTGACGTTGGTACCGGCGCACAGCGCCTGCCACTCGCTCGGCTGCTGTTGCTGCTTGATGGCGTCGGGGCGGACCACCACGACGGCCATCTTGCCCACGGCCAGGTGCCAGCCAATGTGGCAGTGGAGCGGCCACACGCCCGGGTCGTCGAGCTTGACGCGCAGGATGGCCCACGACAGGCTCGGGATGGTGATGGTGTCGCGCCGCAGGGGGTTCTTGGTCTTGGGCGAGAACAGCCACGACGTGAGGAACGTGTAGACGCCCGTTCCGCGGCCGACAATGTAGAACGGCCGGCCGTGCAGGTGGAACGGGTGCGACAGGGGCTGTGGGTCCAGGACGTTGATCTGCGAGACCATGTCAGTGGCCATGTACAAAAAGCGGCCTTGTACTCACGATAATGTCCGCGGTGCCGTCCTTGCTAAACGTCACGCTCGTCACCTCTGTCCCCGGGATCGACATGCCCCGCATGACCCGTGCCAGCAGCGGGTTGTTGATGTAGTTTGTGTACGTCACAAAGTTGATGCCAAACCCGATAAACGGCGTCTTTTTCACTTTATCGATAAAGACGCCAAACAAACTGTTAAACGTCGTGCTGGCGCTCACGCTCGTCGGCGCGTCTTCGGGGACGGACGGGGTCAGCGTCACCTTGTGGTCTAGGTCGAGACACGGGGACAGCTGCGGCGACGCGAGGTCGCCCCATGGTCCGGAAGCAGGTGGCGCCGACCCAGCGCCGTTGCCGCTCGCGTCGGTATACCGCAGGATCGCACTGCCCAGGACGGCCGGGGCGAGGGGGTTGATGCAGAACGTGGCGGCCTGGGCGCGCATCCAGAAACTCGAGCCAGCGGCGCCTTGGTCCAGCGTGACAATGACACTGTACCGCTGGGCAGTGTTGATGGGGACTTCGTGCACCGTCACGGGCTGCAGCGGCGTGTCGTCGGCCTCCACGACCGTCAGCGCGTGCCCGTCAATCGAGAACCGGATCATGGCGTGCGAGCCCGTGTTGATGAGCCGGAGGCGCACGCGCGTCCCTGCCGCAGCCTTGATTTCAGCGGGGTTGTTCTGATAGCACGGCACACCGGCCTGCGCATGCAGACAGTCTGTCTGGCCTACACCGTTGACGAGAATCGCGTCGGGAGTGGTCACGATCGGCAGGCCGCGATACCCATGGAACAGGTTGGACGTGGCGTCGACAATCACCTGGCTCTGGTCGTCCATAAAGTCGGACAGGTAGACGATACGCTCGTCGTCGTAGTCCTGCCCGAGCTTGAGCGGCTCCTGCGGCGCGTGCACTATGAGGCCACCGACGATACCGTCCGCCAGCGTGTTGCCGTAGTGCGAGTGGTACCAGTACGTGCCCATCTCGCCGCCATTCAGCGTGAAACGGTACGTGAACGAGCCGCCGGGAGGGATGGGGCACTGCGAAATGCCCGGCACGCCGTCCATGACGTTGGAGCCCATCTGGCGCATACCGTGCCAGTGGATACTCTGCGGGATATCCAGCCCGTTGTGGACTGTAATCACAAGCGTGTCCCCCTGGTTGGCTTCAATCAGGGGACCGGGGTACTGGTTGTTGATCGTCATCATGGACCGCTCAAACCCGCTCGGCGAACCGGCAGAGTAACCCAGGTTGAACGTATACGTCCTCGTCTGCGGCTGCTGCGCAATGGAAGCAGCACCGGCCCCGCTGGCCGTGAAGATGGACGGGTCGGCAGAGAGCACCTGGTTGGGGATCGGGGGCTGCTGGTACGGGAACAGCGAGCCCCACGCAGGCTTGGCCGGGGCCGCGAAGGGGGTGGGGAGAGGTGCGGAAAAGTAGTTTCCAGCAGCATAGGTTGTGACGCGGGCATAGGGGTCGTAGCTCAGAGTGGTGTTGGTGGGTGTGGCGCTCGGCGAAGTTGAGTTGGCCGCCGAGACGGCGGGGGAGGATTCAGACGGTGGCACTGATGTCGGCGCCACAGTGGCGGTTGTCGCAGGCGTCGTCGTGGGCGTCTCCGAGACGCTTGGTGGCTCGGACGAGGTAGGAATGACCGGGGTGGTAGGTGCCGTAGTCGCCGTTGTGCTGGTGACCGGGACAGGGGCAGAGGACTTGGTTGTGGTGGTGCCACAGGAGTCGCCGATAATGCCAAAGAAGCACCACCGCTTGCCTTCTGGGGTCACCGGCTTCGCAGTGGCCGGGGCCAGGCTGGCCAAGATGGCGATGGCGAGGACCAGACGCATGGGTCGAGGTTGACCTTTGGTCGCTGTGAGGGATGTGTGTGATTCTGTACTCGACCAACAGGTTAATGGCGCTTGTATGCCAAGGAGACGGGGAACGAGACGGGCATGGGCGTAAGTGGGGCCTTTTATTCCCTCATGACCACTCTGGACTTGTTGTTGTAGGCGTTGGTCAGTCTTCCCCGTATTCTGCCCATATTGGCCTAAACCAAGGAAGGAAGAGCTTTGGTGTCAACAAACCCGAATGCCATTGAGATCCAGTACCGCGGATACGTGATGTTGTGTAAGCGGGAACGCGGTAGTGAGCCATGTTAAGGGTGCGGCGCGTCCACGCCAAAGGGCAATAAGCGATGGGCGGGTACACTGGCGGCGACGTCATGCATAGTCGTTCTGGAGGAGGCCAGCGTTTCAGCAGACTAGGGGGCGGGAATGATATATCCCACTGTGCTGTTAAGTGCTTTACTGTACATGCTTTAAGAGAGTTTCCAATGTGTAGGAACTCGCCGACGCACAGAGGCCAGGAGCAATGCCTCTCATGAATGTTCTATGGTACCCTCAGTATCCCAGAAACTCTGACGTCCTGGGTCCCTTGCTTGGCATTCTATGAAGCCTGAAACCCGCCAATGGAATCCCCTAACAGGACGACGCGCGACATCATGTGCGGAGACGCACAACAAAAGCAAGCCAACCCCGGGATTCTTGGTGGCAGCGGGACCGTGTTAGGCCAAGAGCGGGAACGGGTCGCGTCAGGTTTCGCCGCCGTTCTTGGTGTATAGGACCAGTAGTTTGGGATGCCGAAAGAGGTCATTAAACGGTACCGTACGCACGCACCGAGAGACGCTCAACCTGTCTGTGGGTTGTGCTGACTTGGACTTGGGGGAACATGCCTGCCGGGATGTGTTGCTTTAGTTGCTTTAGGAAGTCGTCGCCTCCGGGTGTGGCGGCAGAATACCTGTCAGTTGTGGGATGCTATCCCACTGAGAACGGGGCTTGATGTGTCTGGCTAGTCAAGAGCTCTCTGCGGGGGTCAGGTGGTCATATTGGGACGCGAACAGTCCCGCCTGGTGCCAAGCCGTCCAGCGTCCAGCATCATAGTTCCAAAGGAACATTCGTCGGACGGAATTTCTCATCGTCCAAACCTTCCAAGCTTTCCAGAGTCTCCACGGCCTCCAATACTCACCAAACTCGCTGGGAAGCAGCTCTCGGTACTTGCGCATGCTTATAAGCTCACAGATCGCCGAAATAACGTGCAAGGCCTCTCAATAGCATAGTGGTATTGCGCCGGACTGTAAATTGTTAACTGTCTACACCTCCCTTCCGATTGGAAGTTCTCAAATCCGTAGGTCCCCTGTTCGAATCAGGGTTGAGAGACTCCTCTTTTGCCACTGCTGTCGTGTGCATGCATGTGTTTGGAAGGTTGTGGTGGTCAAAAGGTTTGCCGGTGGACATGGTGGTGGGTGGTGGTGGTGGACGATCGGTTGGTGGGTGGGCACGGAATTACTCCGATTTTCTGCCGTCAGAGCGTTTTCGCTGTCGAAAAGCACTCTGCACTCTGTGTACTCCATGTGCTGCTGTGCCGCAGGACTGTGCGATATAGATATGTTAGTGTTTGCTTGCACATCGCCATGGCGCCATGGTTGAAGCGTGACTAATGGGAGGCGCTGTGGATGTGGAGACATTCCGACAGTGGCTGTCAGTGGAGGCCTCCACGGGCCTCCACTGTCTTCTCCACTGGCTTCTCCACTGATCCACCGGCTCCTCCACAGGCTCCTCCACTGCTCCTCATGGCCTCCACTGCCTCCACACCGCAGCGAGATCGCTTGGTCACGGCTTGGTGCAAGTGTGCAGAGTGCCTGCAGCAATGTTGCGAGACAAGGAACATCCTCGGTACGATCACTGCCGCGGATTGATGCGGCCGAGATGGGTGGAAATGTTGATCGGCAACTACAGTGGAGCTCGCCGTTTAGCGCCTGGTCACCGACCACGCCGCCTCCACCTGTTGGATGGAACACGCGCGGTAACAGTCAGAAACCACGCTCCCACACCATGCAAACGATAGAGGAATACGTCTCTGGCATCACTTGTACTCTACAGTGCCAGGCTTGGCTCACTAAAATATACAGAAGAAAAAAACGAGGAAATAGCTCCTCAACATCGTCCCGTAAACCCCAACGCTTCTGGAACACCGCCGGATTCCGGCCCGGTACCTGACAGACTCTATACCATGGCCCCACCCGGCGGCAATCTATAGCTCCAAAGCATGCAAAAGGGTATTCACGCCGCCTGGGCGGCTCGCGGGGTAGTAGATGCGGCAACGGCGTTGGCCTTGCGGTTGGCCAGGATTGTGGGGATCGGGGTCATGGTGTAGTACTGCCATGTCATGGCGAAGCGAGTGAACCCACTGACGGGGGCGTCGGATGTCTGCTGTCCCCTGTTCTTGGGTTTACTGGGGGCCGGAGATTGCGAGCGCGATCGGTTAGGCGATCCAGTGGGGGTCCATGCTGGGGGCTTTGAGCCGTCCTCTACCGTCACTTCTCCGATAAACGGCACACCGACTTCCGCAGCGATCGCTTCGTGGTACGAGTATGCGAGACCACACATGGGAATGTCACGGCCAAGCACGCCAACCTGGGCCTTGAGAAACGCGCGCATGAGATCGGCGCGGTCGCGAAGGAGGATGAAGAGCAGGCCGTGGGGCTGAAAAGAGAGGTGTTAGCAGACATGCCAGTTTCAGGAGTAGGAGATAACAGGGGAATGCGCAGTAGGGGGTGGTGATGGAGGTAAAAAGAGGGCACTCACCTTGACAGCGCTTATCCTGCCTCCCTCGGCGTCGACGACACCCTTGAGTGCACCCAGCTGGCACCTGCATCCGTCAGCGCTGTGGGTCGCTCAATAGCAAAACTCACAAGGCAACGGCGTAGACGTCGTCCGGGGTTATGTCGCGTCCGCGAGTGAATTCAAAATCGATACCAGGGTGCGCGCTGATGCTGTGGCCACGCTTGATGGCGGTTTGCACGCGTTCGAGAGTGGCAGAGGGACGACAGCCAAACTCGGAGCAGTTGACGTTGCAGTATTGTGTGGGCGTGGAAGGTTCACCACGCGTCTGGCTTCGGAGCGCGGCCTGGAAATGGTCAGTCACCTGTCCACAAGGTAGTGTGGCGGCGGCGGCGGCGCCGCAACTCACATCGCGGACCTGGTCCCAGCCGGTCGAGTAGCTTGGTGGCTCTTCGAAGAGATATTCGTTGGACATTGTTGTGGTTGAGAGTGAGTGTGCAGTTGAGGAAGCGAAGGAGTAGGTGAGTTAGGGGCTGTGTTTGGGGGGGATCTCGACGCTCGCTTCACATCTGGCACACTTTAAAGATGTGTGTCAGTCACCCTAGATTGCCGTTTGTCAGCGAGTCAACATCCGGGCCGGACGATTTCCACGTTGCCGCATTCCTCACGTCACATCGCCTTTTCCACGCACAGCACATGCCGCCTGTGCATCTGTCATCCTAAAGGTCAGCTGCTCGTCTCGTGTCAAATGGTCGGGTGACTGTACGCGAATGGCGCGCGCATGCATAGCGCGGCATGTGCCAAGATGGGAACCGCAGGCGGACGCAGGGCGGAGAACCCGTTCTTTTTTTTATCGCCCTCTTGCGGCCGCGGCGGTGCGAAATATCTCAAGAGTCGTTTTCTGGAGATGGGCTGGAGTGCCTGGTGCCATTTGGATTTGTTGGTTGTCCGTCATCGGTTTGTCAGCGCGTCGGTTAGCTAAATATACATTGCCGCGACTTGCTTTGCGTTTGCGTCGTTGCCGCGTTCTCTGCTGGAGCATATGCTTCTGTTACATGCATGTTGACACTGCGTTTAGGAGGCACGTGGCCCGGCAGCAGCCGCAGCGTGTTGCTCTCTTTGAATGCAGCGCATCGGCCGCTAATGTCCAGCGGGGGGGGGGGCATTGGTCTTCACCACTGCCAACGAGCAGTATTTGCTGCGTTGACTGCGGGCGTGTTCCGAAGCCATCACTTGCTGACGCAGCATCGATACACGTCCTTGGCAGACACCACAAGGTGACCAGCAAAGTGACAAACCCATCCCTGCCCACGCATGTGCTCCTGAGAGACCTCTGTTCGTTGCAGCCAACACCCTGTCTACGCCCTGCCTTGTAACATTTGCAGTCCCCGTGACGGTTTTCGAATCTTGTCCGTCGTGACTCGGTTTCGTTCTCGCCAGTTCAGTTCAAACGATTGCCGTCTTGATCTTGACTTGCTCAATCATCGTTACGGCCGCGCCCTTAGCGGCACCCACGGGGATCACAGCGGGGGCCTGAACACGATCAGCCACTCGACCGGGTTCCTATCGCCCACTTACTTGCCGGACAGCAGCAGCAGCGGCAGCCAGTCGCGCCACCTGCGCCTGGGCCGTAGCCTCATGCACCTCCTCGGCCGCCTGGCGCTCCTCAAGCGCTTGCCGGAGCTTGAGGTCGAGGGTGAGGAGGAACGACCGGTCAACTGCAAAAAACGACATGGTCAGCTCGGGGAGTCGCCGGCCGCTTAACACCTGTACACCTAGAGTCCAGACTCACTTTCCCAGGTCTCGGGAATGGCTGCGCGACGTAGGTCGTCTGCGGCGAACAGCATCTCCTGGGACGCGCTGCGGTCCACCAAGATCTGCATGGTCATGCTGTCCACCTCGGTACGCAGCGGTTCCGGAAGTGGACGCGTGGGCGGCAGCGGCACCAGTCCATACTGTCGCAAGATGGGGAATTCGGCCTGGCGCTTGAAGACATAGCCGTTGAACGGGAAGTGGAGGATGGTCATTCCTTTTGGTGCCAACGAGAGGCGATGGGTGGCGTCTGTTGGTGAATACGGGCGACGGTGTGAGTTGATAATAGAGTGGCGAGACGCAGAGATGTGATGCAGCACGAACGATCAGTTCATACTTGAGACGAAGGGGTGTGTGTTCGTACCCATCACCGACATTCATCAGACCACACAGGACGCCACCAGTATCAGGTGATCCGCGTGGTAACGGGGTGCAACAGCTCTCACAGATCTGGGAATGCTTCTCACGGGGTGGTGGCCTCTCAACATGCATGGCGTGTACATTGTAACGGGAGGTCAGTCGTCGAGGTTTGTGTTGAGCCTCGCGTGCCCACAGTTCCACTCCTGTGCACAGAGCCGCAGTCCTTGTGGTGTGACGGAGTGGTGTTTCATCATGGAAGACACACTTGGATCGAGTCGGCCAGACCAGATGGCCATGAGGGTCGAGGACCAGCCGTGAGGGCCACATCTGGGGTCGGCCAATGTGAGCTACATGACTCATCTGCTCCATTTCAGACTACCTTGAGGTGAGAGAGATGGGAAGGGAGGGAGGCCGCTGCGCCGCTGCTCGTCCCATCTCATCTTGCCCTACATCACACCACTCCTGTCCTGGGAGCTAAGGCCTGGCCCAGGCAGGCTTGCATAGCCACATATGGTCATGGAAATCCACAAGGCAGTCATGCAGTCAATAGCGGTTGAAAAGACCATGCTACATGCATCACATTGTCGGCGTCTTGAGGCAACGGCGAGCGCAATTTACCGGTGCTGCTGTCGGTGATCACCGACACACGGGAATGACGCAACTCGACGGAAGCCATCCTGCCCACATCTCCCTCCGTCCATGCTTCCTCTCCATTGCTCTCACATTGACCCACAATGACGCCTAGGATCGCATCCAACTTTCTGACTGGATCGGCGACTCTCCAGCTCGTTCGTGATGGGCAGCTCACAGTTGCGCAGGTAGCTGAAGACCACCTGCGCCGATATGACGAACGAGACGCAACGATCCACGCGTGGAAGGTCCTGGACAAGGAGCGTGTGCGACAAGAAGCAGCACGACTGGACGCAACTCCCGCAGACCAGCGCGGACCACTGCATGGTCTCGTGCTTGGTGTCAAGGATGTATTCTGTGCGTGCGTCACTGCTCCATGCACTCACACACCCAGACACGCGCGACATGCCCACCGAATTCGGCTCCCTCATCTACGAGGGAAACGAGGATCGAGTCGACGCAGCGTCCGTCGCCATCCTCCGTCATCTCGGCGCGTTGGTCTACGGCAAGACTGTAAGCACGCGCGTGTGTCTTCTCGCTGACGCTGGGCGTAGCATACGGCCGAGTTTGCGACCACCAAAGTGGGCCCACCAACGACCAACCCGTTCAATCCCAACCATACCCCCGGCGGCTCGTCATCTGGGTCGGCCGCGGCGGTCAGTGACTGGCAATGTCATGTGGCCATAGGGACTCAGACAGTGAGCTCAAGGCAACTGCGACAGCTCTGACGATCCAGGTCGGTAGCATCATTCGTCCTGCGACGTTCACCGGCATCTTTGGTTTCAAGCCAACGTGGGTAGCTAGGTCTTGCCGAGTGTTGGGACACAGCTGACAGCTTGCAGATGGGGGGCAGTCTCACCCCAAGGTCTCAAGTTTGGATCCATCTCTCTCGACACCTTGGGTGTGTTTGGGCGCTCCATCGAAGACATTCAGCTAGTGTCCCAAGCTCTGGGTGTTCGCGATGATGTTCCACCCCCACTCCGCCCCAAGCCCCTCTCAGAGTGCCGCTTTGCGTACGTCAGGACGGATCAATGGGAGCAAGAGGGCACAGTGCTCGAGGAGCTGCGTTATGCGTGGGCCTCCTCGCGTCGTCGGCTAGTGCGGGCCGGCGCGCATGTCGACGAAATCATACTTCCGCCAGACTTCGACTTTGCCTCTGGCCAGTACCACACAAAGGTCATGGCTGGCGAGGGCCGCTCCATGTTCCTCGCCGAGTACACCACTTCCAAGCCCCAACTGCACCCCATGCTCCTGGACTGGGTCGAGCGGCGCACCAGTCCATCGCGCAAGGAACAGGTTGCGGCATACGACCACATTGCGTCCCTCCGTCCAGTAATTGACGACATTGCGGGACGATATGACGCCCTCATCGCCGCCTCGGCACCAGGCGAGGCGCCGTTTGGCATCGAGAGCACTGGCGATAACCGGCACTGTGGCATGTGGACGGCTTTGCATGTGCCGTGCGTCAATGTTCCCGGGTTTTTCGGGCCCAATGGGCTTCCGGTGGGCTTGACTCTCATTGCCCCAAGGTGGGAAGCAGCTCCAGTGCGTGTTCCTTTGCTGACTGAGTGCAGGTACGAAGACGAGAGGCTGCTGTCGGTGGCATCACAAGTGGCCAAGGTGTGGATGGAGCCTCGACTCGGCCAACCTCCCGCCCCGGACGGTGTCGTGCACCTGTCAACTTGATGCAAAACGTCAAACGAGTGCACGAAAACGACGAAACCATTACAAATAAGTTCTAATGAAGACAAGATCCTGTTAATGTGACAACTCGTGTTCCCATATCAATGTGCTGTGTGGGCTCAGACCGGAATGCGACGGGTTCTGGTATCTGCTGATCATTATCACATCCATGCTATTACAATGCTTTCTTCTAACGTCCCTATTTTTTGATTGCCGTATGAATACCTAGATTTTACAAAGTGTACTTGAAGTGAACACTGCGGTCACCGAGGGCCACGGTGTCGTCCAGAGTGCCACGCTCCTCGGTGAAGCCGCCCTTTGCGGCCTTCTGCTTATTGCGGATGTGCAAGTAGGCCATGGCGATAGCAGCGACGGCAATGAGCGTGGAGCTCATGGCGAGGAGGATCGACGTGCCCTTCTTGTAGTTGGGCGCCTGGGCCTTGGGGAAGAGCCAGGTGGAGAGGATGCCGCCCGCGTTGGAGAAGACAAAGCCCATGACGACGGCGGAGATGCGGCGGTAGTAGCCCTGGTGGTTGTTGGACATCCAGACCGACAGGAGCGGGGCAGCAATGTAGGCGCCCGAGATCATGAAGAAGAGCGAGACGTAGCGGGCGCTCTTGTCGGTGGCGGCTGAGCAGTAGTAGATGGCGTAGCCGATGAGCGAGAGGAAAGTGGAGCCAACGATGAAGGGGCCACGCATGTTGAGCTTGTCCGAGTACCACGAGCACGCAAGCGAGATGACCGTAGAGACCGCGTAAGGGGGAACCGAGTAGAGCTGAACCTTGATGCCGGTGTAGCCGAGCGACGAGCCAACGATCGAGGGAGAGAAGTAGGCCATGGCGAAGAGCGACACACCCGAGCAGAAAAGGGTGGTGGCAATGAGCCACATCTGAGGGGCTGCGAGGGCTCCAAGAACAGCCTTGGCGGAGAAGGCCTCGTGGGTCTCCTCGACCGGGCGGTCGTTGTCGAGGGCGAGAAGGACGGCCTCACGCTCCTCTTCGGTCCAGTAGCCGACAACGGTAGGGTTGTTGGGGAGAATGAAGAACGAGATCATACCGTAGACGGCAGTGATCAGGCCCTCAATGATAAAGATCCACATCCATCCCCTCTTGCCAGCGACGCCTTCCATCTTGAGGATGGCGGCGGCAAGGAGGCCCGAGAAAGCTCCAGCGAGCGATGTGGCACAGAAGAAGAAGGCGGTGCGCTTGCCCAGGTCCTGGCGACGGTAGAAAGTGGCGAGGTAGGTGATGCACGCCGGGATAATGGCACCCTCGGCAGCACCGAGGAAGACTCGGCACAAAACCAGGCCAACGTAGTTGGTGACAAAGCCCTGGCACATGGTAACCACACCCCAAATGACCATGAGCGTGGGCATGAGGATGTTGGGGCCGACAACACGGAGGAGAAGAGTAAGACTGGGTTACGTAAGCCTCTGGAAGCGCAAGTAGCCATGCATTGGCACCCCCAAGACACCCAAAGGTCGTGTCAAAGGAAGTGTGTACTCACGGCATCTCGGCGAGAATGTAGGGAATGTATGTCAAGGTGAGGGCCATCGAGTACTGGTAGTCGGAAAGGCCCAGGTCGGCCTGCAAGCCGGCAGCCTTGGCATTGCCGATGTTGGAACGCTGGTAGTGGTTAGCACACGAAAACTGGCACACCGAGAAAACAGACTATTTATTCTGCCACACTTACGTCAAGGAAAGAGAGAAAGTAGATCATGGTGACGGCAGGAAGGAAGTAGCAGTCGAGCTTGCGAAGACCCGAGGAGAGGGCCTTGGCGTTGGGCTCGACGAAAGTGGTCGACACAGCATCGAGGTTGCCCTTGCCGACTTCGACCTCGTCGATGTGGGTGATGGTGGCCAAGTCCTTCTCTTGCGAAGTCATGATGGAGCAGCGAGGGTGTGTGGGGGGATGGTAGAGGGAGAGGGCTGGTGAGGCTGGAGAAAAAGTCTTGGTCTTGCATCCTCCTGGCCTTTATGTAGCGAGAGCACCGGCCTCAGGAGATTAAGATCGCGGTGTGCAGATTTCATCGCGAGATGGTCGCTGTTGTTCCAGGTCGGGCCACACAGGTCCAGACTGCAGGGAGTTTGGATGGGTTGCCCCGGGGCATTGTGCGGCGGTAGGGTAAAAAATCAGACAAAGTCTTGGCAATTCCCTCAGCGAGCGGCAACGACCCCCGGACGGCAGTGTCTCATCGATCTTGGGCACCAATCGCATCGGCGTCTCCGACCAAGATCGTGCGGTTTGCCGGGGATGGACCGGGGACACTCCGGGGCCGCAACGCGGGGACAACTGGGAGCTGGGGGGCCTATTCGGGGCACCACGAGACCGTCCTGCCAAGACTGCTCCTGGGTAGTGGTCGTCAACGGTGGAGGCGTCAGCCATGCAGACGCTGACCTGATTCATGCAAAGCTGGGGATCTTGGAAGAAGCTACATCCTCGGTCTGTGAGAGTCCAGACCTTCACCCCACAGATGGCCGCCGATATCGGTGTGTCGGTCACCAAGGTGCCGCGGCCTGTGGCATGGCACCGACATCTCCACCTACCAGCTCGCACAGCTGAAAACGTTTACCCGTCCGCCTTTCCCATGCCCACCATATGCTGTTGCAGGGAATATGGCTTCTTCGACTCCTGGGGAGTACCTGAGTGCTGCAAGCCTCGTGGCGTGTGTATGCTGCCGGCGCTGTGCCCAATCGTATTTACTTGTTGGGGTTGACGAGTGCGCGCAGCAAGCTGTGGGAACTGCGTTCAATGCCAAGCCGAACGGTTTCGGTCCGCCAGCTGCGGGGCCGGGCAGCCTACAACATGTTTGTCGCTGGCCTTTGCATTTGGCTTTTCATTTGGCCTGATTCACGGGATCACGGGGCGCATGCGGACCGTGGGGCCGTGGAGATGATGGGTGGCCGTCCGGGGCCGGCGGCGAGGAGTGAGTGACTGCATTCAGACGTGGTTGGCAGCGTCACAGTGGCTGACATGGCATTAATATCCTAGCTGTGGTGACATGTCCTTTGTCCGGCACCATGTAGGGGCCATGGCTCCCGGAGGATCGTACGGTCCTCGTTTATGACTGAAAGATGCGACTGTGCGAAACAGAAGCAAGCCACTTATGCTCGCTCGCGATTTCTGGAGAGTAACAGGACATGGGGCACCCGATGTGTGACCCTGTACCCCGCACGCCATTCCATGGACTACGCTGATATCTGATGGGGCTGTGACCATGATACATGTCACTCAAAGGTCAATGGGACCTTCGTTGAGGCGACAGCGCTGCATACGTTGGACGGTTCGTCGACGTTGACTTGCCGTCCACTGTCAACTGCCACACCTTGTCGCCTGTGGATCACTCTGGCTGTCCGTCCTTCCCTCCGCCGATCGCTGCCTCCTTGCTTCCTTTCCGCAACCTCAACTCACTGATCACTGATCACTGCAGTTCTTTCCACCATCTCCACTCCTCCTCTTACATCTCCATCCACCTGCTGTCTCTCTTTCCTACATCGTCAAACACTGCCAAACGGCATATCCGCTCTACACCCGCCTCTGCGGCTTCCCACGTCATCAATTATGGGAGGAGCGGGGTCAAAAGTATCAACCACCGTGCGCGCGCCTGATCACGACGCGTTTGTTGTGACGGGCCAACATGGCCATGACGACGAGGACAACAAGACTGCGTTCATGCAGTCGTGGATAGCAAACAGCGTTATCCAACACGACAACAAGTACGGTGCAGACCTCGATCAAGTTCACGAGGGCCGTTTCCTTTGCCAAATCACGAACGTAGGTTCTTCACGCGGTAATGCTGCTGACCTCGCAGTTCACCACCTTTCGCACGTCGCAAGACCCCCACGCGATCGTCCACGCTGTTGTCGCGGACCGTACACACTGGGTGAACGTTGCGTTTGACCCAGACGTGACAGACAAGCACGAGCGGTTGGTCGTCTTTATCTTGCCCACCACTCTGCTGACAATCCAGCTCCATCGGCGGCGAGGAACCTGAACGTCTCACATCGCACCTCCGCGCTACCGTTCGCATCAACCAGTTCCAGATCCAGCTCACTGGACCGATCCGTCGTGAAGGGGTTGAGCCACCCATTCCCCGTGTCCAGTTTCTTGTCCTCTCCTGGGACATTGTTGGTGGTGACCGCCGAGACTCGGTATTCTTCCCTGGCGCTCGTGAAGTTGGAACCAGGACAAGGGACACCAAGCAGAGGAAGGTGTTGAGAAAGTGGTGGGCTGGAATGTAGGTACAGGTTACAGGATTCCTGTAAATAGCTGACCATCAGAACAAGCTCTCAAGTCTCTGCCCCACATCCCTCTATCCAGCTTCCCGTTCAAACACCCATCAAACCCATGTCGCGCGCAAGCTCTGTGCGCGCCTCGGTGCCACCTGCCGGCACTGATGGCAGGGGCTTTATCCCAATGCAAGAGGCACTGGCGCGTTCCCTCGGCCCTCATGCCAAGAAACGAAAGCCTGTCCCAATGCGTATGGGCGCCGAGCTCATCTCGCCAGACCAGCAAGAGCTTCTCAAGAGCATCACTGTTTTTGGAGTGAACATTGGCGTTTTGCCAGAGCACGCCGCCATTTCGCAGGAGCAAGGTGCCACCTCGTACGAGCAGGACGTGGCCGACGCCGAAGCGATGGAACCGGATCTTGCCCACAGCAATCCGTCAAATGGTCACTCGCAACCCTCCAACGGCCAGTCGGGAGGCTCGTTGGAATCCCAAGTCAGCTATCCCTCTCCTGCGCCTACCCGTCACACCGAGTCTGCCGGCGGGTCAAGCCCAGCACCAGCCACCCCTTTGTCAAACTTGGCATCCGTGGACTCTCCATCCCCAGCAGCGGTGGATGTGATGGATGTGAGCGACGATAGCGATGCCGATGATGCGGTTTTACAACGTCTCATGATGGAACCGCCCGCCCGACCTGCGCCACGGTCGAGGTCAGTTGCCGAGAGCAGCGAGTGCGAGGAGATACCGATTCGCAAGCCCTACGCTCGCGCGCCAGTCAGGCGCCAGACAGGTGCGGCTTTTGCTGTCGCCCAGCATGAACCCTCTCCTTCTCCTCCCGTGCAAGAGAAGGCGTCTAGCCCAGTGGGTGGCGACACGGACGACGAGGACTTGTCCGACTACGAACTCCAGCAACGTAACGTCCTCAAGGCCACAGCGCGAAAGTTTGACGAGGCAGCGGTCGAAGAGTCGCTCTCCCAGTCGCAAGATTCGTCACAGTTTGATCTGTCAAAGTATGCGCCCACTCCATCTGTCGCCCCAAAGGAGGGAGTCCTTGTCGAGACAACCGACGAGAGCGATCCGAAGGAACCTGCCACACCTGCTCCGCCTGCTACCAAAGCTCGTCCTCCCACCAGCACCGCCCCGGCCAAGCGACCTCGCTGGTCGACAGTTATAGACAACGCGCCACCTGAGCCTGATGCAGAGGCCACACGGGTTACCAAGCGACCTCGTGAGCCTGTCGCAACACCCGAGCAACACAGCGCCAAGCGACTGCGTGCGACCGTGGCCACCCCCCTAGGCTCCGAGAAGCATTCTGCAGGCGACGACAGCCGCGAGACTACTACACTCCACCACAGGCAGTCACTTGTCCAGGCCAGCCGAGCCACCCCCACTCAACCTCGAGCGCCCAAACCAGCAACTTCGAGCACCCCAAAGACACCAGTCGTCAAGGCGGAACCGGCGACCATGGCCAGCTCGTGTGCCATGAGTGTTGAGCCAGTCCCGGACCGCCACCGGGCTACCCAACGCTGGCCCACTATCTCTCCACCACCTCCATCCACGCCGCTGCAACCGCCAATGTCCGTCTCCCGGGCCACGCCAGCCACGTCGCCAGTCCCCGCCGCTCAGGCCACGCCGGCGTTCGTGAGCCAGCAAACACCTGCTTCCACAGCTCGGCCTACAGCTTCCACAGCAGTCAAGCTGAATGGCTGGATGCCGGACCTGCATGTCAAGGGGGGCCTGTCGCGCAAGTTTTTGGCCAATGCCGTGGCCGGTGCTACTGAAGCGAGGAATAAGCAGAGGCGGAGGAGCGGGAGTGCCAAGTCTGAGCTGAAGGGGACGGCGGCCCGAAAGACGCTCACGTGAGACGAGTAATGACGACAGAGGGTGACATGTAAGTCAGATGAAGGGGGAGATGAACCAGCCAAGACAACCGTTGCATGTAAAAAAAAAAACGAAATGAACTGTACTACACACTCTACTTCTTCAGGACGTCGGTGACGTACTTGTCCCAACCCATCTCCTCGAGCACCTCAGCCTTGTCGAGCACCTCCTCCTCGAGGGCCTTGGAGTACTTCTCCGTGTCGACCTGCAGGTCGTTGACGGAGGTACCGAGAATCCTAATTGCCAAGAGCGCCGCGTTGGTGCTGTTGTTAATTCCGACGGTGGCGACGGGGATACCGCGGGGCATCTGGATGATGGAGTAGAGCGAGTCAACGCCATCGAGCACCGACGCCTTGACGGGCACACCGATGACGGGGACGCTGGTCTCGGACGCGACCATGCCTGGCAGGTGGGCCGCACCGCCTGCGCCGGCGATGATGGCGCGGAGGCCGCGCGACGCTGCGGCACGGGCGTACTGCACCATCCTGTCCGGGGTGCGGTGGGCCGACGTAATGGTCAGCTCGTACGCGACGCCAAACTTGTCGAGAATCTTGGTGGCGGGGAGCATGGTCGGGAGGTCGCTGTCCGAGCCCATGATGATGCCGACGAGGGGCTGGGCGTGCGAGTGTCCCGCGACGGGGGCGGCCGCGACGCTGTCGATGAACGTGGCGTCGAGGTCGGGCTGGGCCTCGAGCAACGTGCGGACCGCACCGCGCACCTCGGCGTCACTGGGACCACAGACGGTGATGTGACCCATCTTACGGGCACGGCGCGAGGCGGCCTTGCCGTACAGGTGGACTGTGGCGCCTGGAACGGCCAGGGAGGCATCGGCAATGTCCTCCACGGGACCCATCGAGTCGTCGACACCAAGGACGTTCACCATGGCCGCCGAGGGAACACGGAGGGAGGTGTCGCCCAGAGGCAATGACAGGATGGCACGCAGGTGGTTCTCAAACTGGGACGTGTGGCACGCCTCAATGGTGTGGTGACCCGAGTTGTGAGGGCGGGGAGCAATCTCGTTCAGGAGCAGCGAACCTGGAGAGGGGGAGGAAAAAAGCCGTGTCAGTGAAATGCGCAGTCCAATCAGGTAGGCTGATATCGGCCAGGGGCATACTCACCGTCAGGGAGGAGGAACATCTCGACTCCAAAGATGCCGGCACCGTCGAGGGTGGCCACGGCCTTTTCAGCGAGCTCGCGAGCGCGCTGGTTGACGCCGACCATGCCGGCTTCTGGGCGGAGGGGCGCAAAGCAGACGCGGAGAATCGAATCGCGGTGGATCGTCTCGACAGCATCATACGACCGCACCTCTCCCTTGGTGTTGCGCACAACCATGACAGCCACCTCCTTGACAAACTGTGCCCAGCCCTCGGCGTAGAGAGGGCGGTCGCCGAGGAACTCGAGCGCGGCAGCGACATGGCGGGGCTCGGTGCTCTTGAGGGGGAAGTTGCCGCGGCCGTCGTATGCAAGCGTGCGGGCCTTGAGCATGAGGGGGAGACCGAGCTTGTCGGCAATGGCAACGACATCGTCGTGTGTGGGGTTTGCGGGAAGAGCAGCAAACGGCGCGCACGCGATACCCTGCTCGTGCAGGTGCTGGTGCTGGAGGTACTTGTCCTGGATCAAGCGAATGGTCTTTCCCGAAGGGTGGACCTCGCAAAGACCTTCCCTCTCGACGGCCTCGAGCACGTCGGCGTTGACGTGCTCAATCTCAACAGTGAGCACATCGCACTTCTTGGCCAGGGCGCGGATGTGCTCCTCGCTCTTGAAGGGGCCGTCCAGGTGGTCCTCGTTGAGGGGGGCAAGGAGGGTCTGCTTGGCGGGCGTGTAGTCTCCCTCGTCGAGGATGATGAGGGGAATGCCGAGCAAAGCCGCGGGGTGCGTGAGCATGCGGCCGAGCTGGCCACCGCCTGAGGAATGGAGTTAGGAGCTGCAGAGTGGAGGAGGATGGGTGGAGTATATTGGTTTTGTCGAGAAGCGGAGGGTGCGGGCAGAGTACGCACCGAGGATGCCAACGGTCTTTTTGGGCGCCATGCTGTCTGAGATGAAGAGGGTGTGTGGTTTAAGAGAGTTGAGAGAGAGTGCAACAAAGAGGAAAGAGTCGACTCGCTATCGCTGGCCCCCTGTGCGTGCTCCCACTCCCTTTGCTTTCATCATTTACAAGGAAGGGCCCTGGAGGTGTTGAACTTTTGGAATCTGACCACGTGAATTTGATCCCGCTAGGCCGCTAGCCGCCGCTGGCCCGGCACCACCGTGTGGTGACGGATGACGAGGACGAGGACTGCTGCATCGACCGTTGTTCCTCCACACTCTCGCCGACACCAACAGCTGAGGGCCAACACCAAAACAACATGGAGCAGATCCAGGCGCCCTCCGCGCTGTCCCAGTCGCAGTTCTCGCCCACCGCCAGCGCCCTCCACGTCGCCTCGGTGCAGCACAACATTCGCGTACTCGGCCAGGTCGCAACAGTGAGTGTCTGGCGCTGTCCCGCTGCTGCTGTCACTGTTTCGTGGATCGGCAGCCATGTGCAGTGCTCGCATTTGATATAGAGGGCTTGTCATACGCGTTCTATTATCCTGGAGCTGGCACTGGCACTTTGTTACGTATCGCTGGCCCATACCGCCAAGGAACCAGCTGGACCGTCTCGCCGCCGGCCTCCACGCTCGGGAAGAGCAAGCCTTGAACACAGCCCAACTAACACCTCCACAGCTTACAGCCTGCTTTGCTGGCCTCGTCGCCGGCATCATCGGCCTGACAAATTGGTCCGGGTTCGCGCTCTACCTCCTCACATCGCTCGCCTCGGGAGCCACCGTCGCCGCGCTCAAGTGCCACGGCAACGTCGGCAAGTACTCGCCCCAGGCTCACGCGAGCGCTGGTCCGCAAGGCGCCGCGCAAGTGGTTGCCTGGAAGGGATGGCTGGGCGTGATGGGTATTGGACAGGAAAACCTCTTGGGCTTTTTGCTGTTCTGGATTGGAGGATATGCCCTCATTCACGGTGAGTTCCGTCACCTGACATCCAACCGGTAATAGTGGAAGCTGACATATGGCACAGTGTATGACTAGAAGTGTAGACTATGGGCTTAATGCAGGTACTTACATTGCTTTTGACATCTGTTTACAAGTCTACAACGGGGGCAACGGCGACTGACTATTAGGGCTCCTTCTACATCCTAGTACAGAGTGCCGTTGGGCATACGCGTACGCGAGTTATCCGCACATGACCACGGCGAGCTGTGCTCGTCCGCGTTGATGAGGTCAATGACCGCCGCATACGTTCCCGCGACGGTGCAATAGATGGCGATAACGAACACGAACAGGGCCCAACTTCCGTGGAGCTTGGTCCAGAGCGAGCGGGTGGCCGGGTCCTTGCCACGCCAACAGTCGTACCACCACATGCAGGCGAACGGGATAAACGTCATGATGGGACTGAAGAGCGCGCCGACAAACTGGACCAGGGCGCCAAAGTCGGGAATGGCCGAGGCGACGACGTACGCGATGATGGTGCAGGTAAGGGTGCACGCGAGCCAGGTGAACCAGTGGGTGAACGAGTTGGAGGTGAGATGCTTTGTGCCGCGCAAAAGGCGGACAAAGACGTACTTTGCTGGCAAGTGGGTGTACATGCACAGTGTAACGAGGAGACCCGGGATGGCGATGCCGTAGCAGACTCGCTTCATGACCCGGCCGGCCGTGCCAAGGGCAGGGTTGGAGACGTACTGTCCGACCATGGCGTAGACTGCGGCGGCAATGGACGTGTACAGCAGCGTCACAAAGATTTGCGAGACGAGCAAGGAACGCGTAAACTGGCGAGGCTCGCGCATCTCGGAGATGATGCCAAAGTACGCCGGGAGGGCACCACAGGCAAAGACAACGGACGACACGGCGTTCATGGCGTCGGAAAACGAGGGGTTGTTGATGAGCTTGATGTTTCTGTCCCACGGTCCCTCGTTGGGCGCGTCGGCCGGGCGGTCCTCGATGCCGACAGCCACAGTCAAGGTGAGGATCGAGGCCACGATGGAGATACATCCGATCCAGCCCAGCCACGAGATTTCGCCGAGGGTGCGGATCGAGCCCGTGAGGAAACCGCACACGGCCGCAACGGCGACAAAGACTGCAGTGCACGTTGCGTGGAGGGAGACGGCATTGAGCGAGACGGAGAGCGAGACGATGCCGCCCGCAGCCGTCATGATCATGAACAGGAAGAAGCAGATGGCGAGGCATTCGCGACCGATAGGTCCCCACATGACGGTTCCGACGTCGGGCACGGCATAAACTTCAGGATGAAGGAGCTTGAATTGGCCGAGAACCCAGGCGCACCCTGTGAGACATTGTCAGATACAGAGCATGGTGCAGGTGAGGCGAGGTCGGTGCGACACTTACAAGTGCACAGAATCATGACGAAAACAATGATAATGATACCGGGAATGAACCCAAGCGTGTGGAGCACAAGCGGCAGCGAGAGCACACCGATGCCCACACTTCCCTTGGTCATGAGCACCGTGGACCCAATCCAGCCGACATTGCGGTAGTTGGGGCCCTTGCCCGCTTCCACAGTGCCAAACACTGCGTCACTGACCCCACCACCGCCGCCGCCGCCACCACCACCACCATTGTCATCGAACCCGGCATCGCTCTTGGACACGATAGAGTACGAGTCGTAGTTGTCGAGAACTTCATCGGGCACACCACCGTCGTCCATCAGCGGGCTGTGGCGTCCGCGACGATGGCGGTGGTGGGGCGGGGCTTGCGGGTCCGGTCCGTCGTGCGGGACAGGAATACGGTGGATGTGATGCTGGTGAGGTTGCTGCGGCGTGTGCGACAGGTGTGGCACATCGTGCTGGTACTGCGCATAGTTTGGGTTGTCCGGGTCGTCCATGAGCGGGACGTGGAACTTGCCCTCTTCGTCACGGGGGACACGCCTGAGAAATGGATTGTTCGCGTCCGACATGGGTGCTGGTGGCGGGTGACGGAGTGGCTGGGGCTGCGGGGATGGCGAGGACATCCTGGGGGTGAGGGGGAGTGAGGAGGAGGGGTTTGGCATTGTCTCGTTCAAGAGAGGTGGGTCGTGGTTGCTTTAAGAGGCTCGGACAAGGGGTGTCGGGCTCGGGAGTGGGCAGGCCGGTCACCACCGTCGGCCTGTGTGATCGCAATGTTTACACCGGCTCGCGGCAACATGACGCAATGGTACTGCCGGTCTGCGATCGTGACGACATGTTGAGATGCAACTTGTACCCGACCCGACGTCTTTCGGCTGCATAGCAAGTCCGATCTCCGAACAGTGAGGGCGCCGAGATCCAGAAGGCCGAGGCGGGAGGTGACAGTAAGCGGACCTGGGCGCGTCGAACCCAGGTTAACGCTGTCCTGGTTTGATTCTTCATGTTGCGGCGAACGACTCTGTGAGCTGCAAGAGGATGTGAGTATTGTCAGTTTGAGGACTCCTGTATCCAGTTGGATGGGCATCTGTTTACGCAATCCTGGGTCGTGCAGGCAGTGTACATGCAAAATGCTGAGTTGTGGTCTCCGTCCGTCTCCTCGTCCTATCGCCTGTCCTCCTCGCCGGTCGTCTGAACTGTTCGTTTTTTCTTGCTCATTACTACTCCCTTGGCAGACCGGTACGCGAGTCGACAGCCTTCTCAGGACACAGTGCGGCGCTGATGGTACGGCCTTCCTCTGAGAGGAGGTTGTAGGTGGAAGCAGCGTTACGCTGGTTATTGGTATTAGCACCTGGTAGCCATCGCGATGTAGCTGTCGCAGAGCCTCAGACTCACCGTGTCCATAACGTCGAGCTGGATGCCCAGGCTCGAAATGTAGTCGCGGATAAACTTGGGGGCAGGGAGGACGCGCGCGCCGGTACCGAGCACAAGAATCTCTATGGCAAGGGGTCAGCTCAGTCAATCAATCGGACAGGCCAGCTGTCCGGGCCCAGCACATTTAACACTCACCGGGCCGAGGCACCAGCCTCTCAAACACCTCAAAACGCTCCTTTGTCCACCCCTTCCAAGCTCCTTCCAGTGTGCCTCCAGCCTCGAGGTGAGGCGGATCCACGTCCCACATGAACGCCCTGCCGTCGGCAAAAATCACGCCACCGGGAACCACCAGGCCGTCGGAAAGGAGGAAACCGTCGTTGGTGAGCTTGTCGACAGACAAGGGGGGGTTGTCGGATGCCTCGAAAAGGTTCGTGAGGCCCGAAAAGGCGGGTCGAGTGGTGTGGAATGTGCGCGCGGTGGGGCGAGCAAGACGTGTGCTCGCGAGAGGAGCTCGCAGGAGGGCCGTACGGAGCATCATGGTGAGATGGATGTTGTTGAAGAGATCTGAGAAGAGACGAGGTTGAAGTGGGATCTCGATCGTCATAGCGGAAGCAATTCCAGCGGCCGGCCCCAGGATGCACCCATCTTTACATTAGCCCACGCAGTAAGATGTCTATGTCTATGCATTGAGTTCACTATCCTAAGGCCTAAGCACTCAGAGTTCCACGCAGAACAGTATCGCGCTTGTCGAGTTTTCTCCTAGCCTCCCAAGTCTCGTCAATGGGACTGCCAGCCGGCGTCGCAAGCGCCAACTTGAGGCGGTTGATCAAGTCAACAGCCTGGGTCTGTCCCTGGCCGTCGCCGAGGCGGACGAGGACTGCCCCGGCCTCTGTCGCATCGGCGAGTGCGTTGCGGAACATGTTGGGCGGTTCCTCAACGAAGAGGATGTCGCTGGTAGCAGCGGGGGCGGTGAGGGTGGCAATCTCAGAGTCTGAAAGTCAGCTTCCATATGAGTTTTGAAACTAACCTGTCTCGACCCTCTGCATGGCCGTCTCCCACAGCCATCCCTCCCACGCCAGCCTATGCTGGAGACTAGACTGGACGAGCTGCACCAGCCAGTCCCACCACAGTGCGACGGCCTTGCCAAGGACGACAGGGCGGGCGTTACCCAGTCCAGCGCTGACGATGCCACTGGCGCGGATACGAATATCCGCGTCGTCATCTTCCAGCAGGCGGAGGAGGGTCTGGTGCAGGCTTGCCAGGGTCACCGCATTAACAGTAGCTGCGCGAGCGCCGAATAGAAGCGGGGAGAGGTGCTCGAGGCATCCGAGGGCGGCGGCACGGCATGGTTCCGACTGTGCGTTAGCGGGTTACAACACAATCACAGTCGACCACCCACTCTGTTCTCATCCGAAGCCTTGCTCAGGCGCTCAGCCAAAGCCGAAATACGTTCACCGGGAACCGTAGCCGAAACGACAGCCCGGCCAAGAGCCTCGAGTGCCGCCTCACGCAAAGGTACGCAACGCGAGCGCTCGATAGCGTGCCACAGGTGATCGGCGAGGTTGGCAATCGAACCGTCGGCCAGTGGGGACGAGGGCCACGACGAGAGCACCTCGTATGCCTTCGTGAGAACGGCATCGCCAGCGCCTGCGGTACAGAGGCGGATGAGCGCCCACAGCGTTTCCGTTGTCTGCAGCTCCGTGCTATCAAGGCGCTCAAGGGCTGCGAGCTGGGCGTCCTCGGGCACCGATGTGGTGAGGAGGGCAATGACGTCCTTGGGAGACGGGGCTATCAGGGCCGTCTGTGCTGCCGCCTCATGCAGGAGGTCAATACCAGGAACATATCCCGGTGGCGAGTGGAGGAACGCAGCTGCCGTGCGCTTGGCCTCGGGCACAAGGATGGTGGACACGGGAGTGGTGACGGTGGCGTACGTGTTGACACAGTCAAGAATCTCCTTGGGGATAACAGCGACCTTGCAGTTGGCATACACATGGAGGGCGTCGCGCATTCGCAGCTCCAAGAGTTTCTTGTCCGTCTCATCGATTTCGGCCCATGGAACCACGTCGGCGTACAGCCTACGGAGGAAGAGGAGGCGGCCATGGAGAGTGTTGTAGTCGTCGGTCTCGTGCGATACGCGCGTGACAGTCACCTTGGCCTTCTCGAGGGCACCGCTGGGGGAGAGAAGCGACGAAAGGGCCTGGGCGGCGACTTCACGGACCTGCCACTCGACGCTGCCCAGGTACGGCTCGACAAAGTGGGCGAGGTACTCGGCAGTTTGGCTGCCGTCGGCCGACCAACGCAGCGATCGGACGATGATGAGAATGGGGAACAGAGGCGAGTGTTCGGTAAGGCTTGCTGGGCCGTCCTTGCGCGCGCGACGGAGATAGTCGCCAATGTGTGGGATGATAGATGGGTAGCGAGAGTGCCACGACGCGAGGGTCTGGCGGCCAGCCAGGGCAGCGCGCGATCCAAAGACTTCGTGGCTATGTCCCGTTGCGAGCGAGCGGTGGGCCATAGTGGAGAAGAGGATGAGGCCGACGTTACGAACGTTCCAGCTGGTAGGTTAGTGAAGAACACTGCTGTATTACCCACTTGGAAGAGCCAAATGCGGCCAGGGCCACCATGAGCGTGCGCTCAAAGTAGTGGTTGAAGAACTTGGCCTGCTTGGCGTCAAGGAGGACGATCTTGAGACAGTTCATTGCGTGCACTTTGGTGGTGTCGGGGGATCCAGATCCGAGACGAGCCATCTCGACAAGCTGGTCAACCGCGCGATCCAGGAGCGACTTGTCGCTAGAGACAATCGCCAGCAGCGAGTATGGCAACGCGGCGGAACGGCGCAGCGTCGACAGGTGTCCTTTGGCGATGGTACCCAACTCGTTCTCGAGCCACTCGTCGACGAGGCTCCGGAACTCCGGGTGTCTCTTGACGGAATCGACGACCAGTCCCAATGCAGGTGCGATCTTGGAGAACGTGCCGCGGTGGCGGACCTCGTGCATCCAGGTAAGGAATGTGAGGCCGGCGTGGTGAATGTCGTCGCGACTCCAAATGTCCTGCTGCTTGGCGGCCAGGGGAACAGTAACAAGTGCAGACAGCACTTCGCTGCGCGGGTCAGCAACCACGCTTTAAGAAAAGACCTACGCTGCCTCTCGAGTTGCACGCCAGCAGGCAGACAACAAGTTGGTATGGTCCAGACCCTCGTCACCTCCCTCCTCGTCCCCGTCTCCCAGAACCTCGACAGCACGGGCAATCTCGTGACCAGCTGTGCCATTCTCTCCATCAGTAGGGCCGAGAGACACGACCTTGCGAGTCACAGCCCAGACGCGGTCGACGATCGCGAACAGCTTGTGCAGAACGGGCCGCCAGACGGCCTGAGCGTCGGCAGCCTTCAAGTCTAGGCTGCGAATCATGTCGCTGAAGTCAGCTTGCGATTACTGCGGCAAAGCTTACGCAAGGACGCCCAGGGAACCGTGGAGGGGGAACTCGACGATGCCGGTCGACAGGTTATCTTCCGACTTGGCAATGTGGCTCTCGAGGAGCTCGATGAGGTCAGACACGAAGACGACAGAAGGTTTGTCGCCAAGGGGCTGGACGAGCTTTGTGAAGACGATGGAAATGGCAGCGCGGCCAGCCTCAGCCTGAGTGTTACGAGGGTGGTTGATGGACGAGCGAGCCGAGGCCAGGAGCGTCTTGGCGAGGGGTACATCGAGGGTCTCGTATCCCGGCAGCGGGTGGGGTCCTTGGGCGATACTGCATTGTCAGCTCATATCGTCTCCAAACCAAAGCTCACATTCGCCTTGCCTGTGAGCGGGTGTCGGCAAACTCTGAGGCCTGGCACGCGATGAGCAATGTAATAAGCTCTGGGGTGTACACTGCGGAAACGACGTCGGGCCTGTCACCAAAGACATCGAGGTAGAGCTGAAGGAGACGAAGGCCAAAGAGGGCGCGGACTGGGGGCATTGTTCGGCAGTCGGCAACCATGGGCTCGAGGTACTCATTGACAAACCACTTGTGGAATGCGTTTGCTGAAGCAATGTGCTTCTGGAACGTCGCGGTCGCCTCGGGAGTCTTGGCACGCTTCGCGTCGCGGACAGTAGCCAGCTCGAGCGCCTTGAGGTGCGTGAAGAAGGCGTACATGGCAGACGCCAAATCAGTACGTGCTCTGGGAGGTCAGCAATATTAACGAGTTTGGACATACCCAGCCTGAGTGACCTCCTGGTTCCAACCAAGGGACTGCTTGACGAGCTCCATGATAGCGGGCTCCAGCACATTCTTGTTAATAGCAACAAGCTCGAACGCCAAGATGCGAATCCTGGGGTCTTCGTGGACAATGGCCTCGTTGAGGCGTTCAAGGTCGAGTCCATCGATACCCATCAGGCCTGTCGAGACACCAAACGAGGCGACGGTTACCCAAGCGGCAAAGCACTCATCGCCGCCGGCGGACAGCATTTCCAAGAACGTGGGGAAGCTGGCGCGGCGAGTCTTGAACAGAGGTTCCAGGAGGTACCGCCTGACTACCTGGGTGATGGTGTTGTCGTCGTCCTCCTTGAAGAGTGGCATAAGAGGCGAGACCATGACCTTGTCCTTGGCCTGTTCCGAGCCCGACGCCGCAGCGCGACGACGGCCGAGGAGAGTTGCCACCGCCGCCGAGCGAATGTTAGCATTCTCCGACACGTGGAGGTCGGCCAGCAGATTGTCCAAGAGGTCCGCGGGGATTAGGTCGGCAGGGATAGACTCCAGCATGACGTTGATTGCCACGAGGTTGGGACGAGCGGCAAGTCCATCCCGGCGGACCTCGAGGAACATTGGCAAGAGGAGGTGTGACGAGGACGACGAGGATGCCGCTGGTGGGAGAGCAGCAGCCATGCGAGTGGCAGCCGTCAGAGCCTCGGTCGCGCGGAGAGGGTGCGGCTTGATGGGGTTTGCAAGCGACGAGAGAATGAGGATGGCAAACGGACCGCGAGGGAGGAGGGCGGAGCCGACGACACGGTTGGTGAGGTCAATGACGCTGTCGGCCGGAATTTCCTTTTGCAACACTGCGGCAGTGATCTGCCTGAAGAGCACAATAAGATAGGCGAGTCGTTCCAGGTCATCGTGGTTGCCTTGCGAGTCGAGGACAAGCTCAATGGCATCGGCAAGAACAGATCTGAGTTGGTTAGCGCTACTTAAGGAAACTAGAACCTACCCTGCTGTGAGCTCGTCTACCGATCTGCGATGGAGGACCTTGCGAGCGACCTCAATGGGGGAGGCCGACCTCTTGTCCATTGTTGCTGTCGCTGTTGTGTTGGGGGTTATCAACAAGAGCGAGCTCACCGTCATGAGATCTTGGCATCTCATCTTTGTCTCAGGCTTTCCGAAAAATTGGTTCCGTTCCTCGATCACTGACAACAATCTCCACTTGAACCTGAGTGAAGGCAACTCCGTTCTTCTGCAACAACATCTCTCTCGCTGCGTTGTCCATAAACGACAGGCAACGACGAGCGTCAGAGACAGCCGATCCACCGTCAAACCCCTCTCAACCCATCTCTCGCTTGCCATGTCTGCGCCACAGGCCGCTGCCGACGTCAACGATGGGGACACCTTTGTCCACCAGGTGGCCATCGAGGTACGCAGCTGGCGAGCTCTGCTCATAGCGTCAGCTCATTAACCATTCACAGATGTCTCGTATGATGAACCTCGTCAACCCGAACGATATTCTTGCGCAGCGTGTTGTGGACATTGCGCGGGGCAACCGGTCCGGAGACGCGTTCTGCAAGGGTGAGTCTAGTGTTGCCACCGCCGCCCGTTTTCCTTTACTAAGGCGTCTGCAGCTGTGTCTACGTTTGGCAAGTTTCCCGAGGACCAGCTTCTGTCGCTCCATTCGCGTATTCTTGCCCACGAAGCACTTGCATCCCAGGGGCGGCCTCGCGGCGGCAACGGTGTCAAGGTCGAGGGAATGGATCACGAGGACTCGGATGTGCTCGCCAGCGACGCCCCGCGTCGTGGTGGTCTGCGCCAGTCTGGCGCTCCCAAGTTCAAGGCGCCGGCCACGCCGCGTGCGTCGGTGTTTGGTCTCGACAAGCTCGCTGCCGAGAAGCGCGCCCAGGCGGCAGGCGTCAAGATTGAGCCGCCCAGTAAGCGTATCAAGATGGAGGTGGACGAAGATGAGAACGGCGTGTCGACGTCTGGAGGCGTGTTCAAGGTCCCTGCTATCCCCGTGAAGCGTGAGGCCGTCCGCGTCAAGCCCGACGAGACGCCCAGCCACGGCGGTGGTCTGAGTGATGCCGCGCGCCAGCGTCTCGAGGCAAGGAGGCGAGAGCGCAACATGCCATCGTCGGCGACCACTGCCCAGTCCATGCCCGACCGCAGGGACGAGAAGAAGGGTCTCGGCGATTTTCAGCAGCGTCTCAACAAGGGCTCGTACCAGGACCGCGAGCGTGACCGTCGCGACTGGAGGAATCGGGACGACGACCGCCGCCGTGAAGGCAAGAGCTGGGACGCGGCGCCGACTCCGCGGACCGACCAGCGCGACCGCGGAATGGACGGAAGCATGAGGGTCCCCAACCGCGGATGGGATGAGACTCCCAGTCGTGGAGGTGGTTGGGGCAAGAGCGGTGGTGAGAGCTCGCGGAGAGGGTGGGACGAAACCCCCAGTCGTGGCAGCCGAGGAGCGTCACCCGAGTTCCAGGTGGACGCCAAGGAATGGGAGGAGGAGCAGGTCAGGTTGGATCGTGACTGGTACAGCTATGATGACGAAGGCGCAGTGGTGAGTTGACCGACCGAAATATGGCCTTCCTGAACTGACAACGACTTCAGGCCGGCGACGAAGACCACAACCCGTTCTCGCAGTGGACCAACCTCGAACAGGCTAAAGAGGCTGAGATGCAGGAGAAGGTCGCCAAGCGCCAGACTGCTCGCCAGGCGCAATATGTGAGTTTGCTAAATGCTTACCAGCTGACCTCTCCAGACGGCCGATAACGACAAATGGGAGAACAACCGAATGTTCCAGTCTGGTATCATCCAGGCTGGTGACATTGACCAGGACTTTGAAGAGGACGAAGACTCAAAGGTCCATGTCCTGGTGCACGACCTCAAGCCCCCATTCCTCGACGGCCGCACAGCCTACACCAGGCAGTTGGAGCCGATCAACCCTGTCCGCGACGTCACTTCGGACATGGCCGTGTTCAGTCGCAAGGGCAGTGTCCTCGTCCGCGAGCGCCGAGAGCGCCAGGAGCGCGAACGAGCGGCTGCCAAGGCTGCCTCCGTTGCAGGTACCACTCTTGGAAACCTCATGGGTGTCAAGGATGAGCCCCAGCTCGGCGAGGAGGGCCAAAAGGACGAGGACGATGGCAACTACAAGGCTGGGTCTCAGTTTGCCACCCACTTGAAAAAGGCCGAGGGCGCGTCCGACTTCTCGCGTACCCGTACGCTCAAGCAGCAGAGGGAGTATCTCCCCGCCTTTGCTGTTCGTGAGCAGCTCATGAATACCATCCGTGACAACCAAGGTAGGTTTCTCCTTGTCGTCCTGTCGCTAACCTATCAGTTACTGTCGTCATTGGTGAGACTGGTTCGGGCAAGACGACCCAGCTGGGCCAGTTCCTGTATGAAGAGGGCTACTGTGCCAACGGCTTGATTTGCTGCACGCAACCTCGTCGTGTGGCCGCCATGTCCGTCGCCAAGCGTGTGAGCGAGGAGATGCAGTGCGAGCTCGGCAGCACTGTTGGCTACTCGATTCGTTTCGAGGACGTAACAACAAAGGAGACCAAGATCAAGTGTAAGCTTTGCATGCGTCTTTACAAGCTAACGTTGCAGTCATGACCGATGGTATTCTTCTGCGCGAGTCGCTCAACGAGCCCGACCTTGACCGCTACTCTGTCATCATTTTGGACGAGGCTCACGAGCGTTCACTTAGTACCGACATTATCATGGGTCTGCTGAAGAAGAGTATGTCGTCCCTTGTCCAGCCCAAGCCTGCCGCTGACAAATCAGTCTTGACCCGCCGCCGTGACCTCAAGCTCATTGTGACCTCGGCCACGATGAACGCCGACAAGTTTTCTCAATTCTTTGGTCTTGCCGCACAGTTTACCATCCCTGGTCGTACCTTCCCCGTCGAAATCTTCCACTCGCAGTCTCCCTGTGAGGACTATGTCGACAGCGCAATCAAGCAGATCCTCAAGATTCACCTGTCAATGCCCAAGGGCGACATCCTGGTCTTTATGACTGGTCAGGAGGATATCGAGGCGACGTGCAACGTCGTGGAAGAGCGTCTCGAGACTGTCGATGACGCACCTCCCCTGGCTGTCTTGCCCATCTACTCGCAGATGCCGGCCGACCTGCAGGCCAAGATCTTCCAGCCCACTCCCGATGGCCGCCGCAAGGTCGTTGTCGCCACCAACATTGCGGAAACGTCGCTGACTGGTGGGTTGAAACGGTTCTGTTAGACGCTAACCCTGCAGTCGATGGTATCCTGTATGTGGTCGATGCAGGCTACTCCAAGGTCAAGATCTACAACCCCAAGGTCGGAATGGACGCCCTTCAAATCACACCTATCAGTCAGGCCAACGCTGGCCAGCGAACGGGTCGAGCCGGTCGTACAGGTCCTGGGTACGTTACAAGCGCCGGTGCTTTTGCTAACCTCACAGATTCTGCTACCGCCTGTACACGGAGATGGCATACATCAACGAAATGTTCCCCAGTAACATTCCCGAGATCCAACGTACCAACCTTGCGAACACTGTGCTTCAGCTCAAGACCCTCGGTGTCAAGAACCTGCTCGAGTTTGACTTTATGGACCCTCCTCCGCAGGAGAACATTCTCAACTCGATGTTCCAGCTCTGGGTCCTGGCCGCCTTGGACAACATCGGTGACCTCACCGACGCAGGCGCCAAAATGTCTGATTTCCCCATGGAGCCGTCGCTCGCCAAGATGCTCATTGTCGCCACCGAACACAAGTGTTCGGCCGAGATGCTCACTATTGTGTCAATGCTCTCGGTCCCGTCCGTCTTTTACCGCCCGCCACAGCGCGCCGAGGAAAGTGACGCTGCGCGTGAAAAGTTCTTCGTCCCCGAATCAGACCACCTCACTTTGCTCCACGTCTACACCCAGTGGAAGAACAATGGGTATTCCGATTCGTGGTGCATGAAGCACTTTCTCCACCCCAAGATTCTCCGCAAGGCGCGCGAGGTCCGTGGCCAGCTCGAGGAGATTATGGGCACACAAAAGATGGCTATCCTTTCGTGCGGTACCGACTGGGACATTGTCAGGTGAGTTATGGCGTTGTCAACCATGCTGAAACTCTTTCAGGAAATGTATCACGGCGGGATACTTCCACCAGGCAGCTCGCGTCAAGAACCTGGGCGAGTATGTCAACATTAGGACAGGAGTGAGTTACAAACTCCTGCGGGGTCTCAACTGACAACCAGCTGCCCTGTGTCCTGCACCCAACGAGTGCACTGTACGGCCTAGGATGTGGGTAACTGCCGTCTACAAGCCATACTGACCCACCCAGACATGCCCGACTATGTCGTGTATCACGAGCTCGTCCTCACCTCCAGGCGTGCGTCACTGCTCTCGTATATGTAACGCTAATTCCCTCAGAATACATGATGTGCGTCACCTCTGTCGACCCGTACTGGCTCGCCGAGCTCGGCGGCGTCTTCTTCTCGATCCGCGAGCGCAACTTCGACGGCTCCCAGCGTGCGCGCGCCCACAAGGATTTCAGCAAGAAGACCGAGATGGAGGCCGAGATGGCCCGGCAGCGTGAAGAGTAAGTTCTGCGAAGCCTGTATCCGTGAACTGACAAGTCCCCCTCAGGCTCGAGCGTGCAAAGGCCGAAAAGATCAGTGCGGCCGCACGCGCGCGCTCCACGCCCCAGATTGGCGGCGTGGGAGCGACGCCGGCCAGTGCCCGATCCTTCGGGGCGACACCAAAGTCCCAGCGCGCGGGTATCGGTGCTGGATCGCGTATGAGCTCGACGCCCAGGAGGAGGCCAGGCGGTATCTAGTGGAAAACTCATTGCAGCAAAATGTAAAACTGGCATGTTAGGTGTGCATGTAGCAGTTGGGTCTTTCTACGAGCTGGACACATGGGTGTGCAGCGTCGGGTCCATTGTGGCCTGTGAGAGCGCAAAAGTGAGGTCGGGTGACATGTGCTGTGCGCACAGAGTGCGGGGCTGAAATCGCGAGTCCGACGGCGAGGTGTAATGGGGTCTATACGCGCACTGGTCGCTCGCAGTCGCCTGCTTTGAGTGCACACAAAGGGGCTGTGAGGGCTGTGAGGTGGTGGTGAGTCGGGGTGTGGTAGGTTTGAGTGTACAGCAGAGCTTGGGCAGCTGCCAGGCTGTCGCTCTCCTCCCTCCTGGCCTACTTGTTGCGGTTGACAGCACCCTTTGCCGCGGTCATGGCTCTCTGTCCTGCATCGCGCACGCGTCCGGCACCATGTTGAGCAGCGCGTTTGGCGCCAGACTGCAAAACACGTCAGCTGTTGAACCACGGCAGCGAGCAACTTTTCGATTCAACCACACCTCTTCCACACTCGCCTCCCAGCACCAGCCCCACCACCGCTGCGACTCACAGTCCCGATCCACCCTCTGCTCCGAAGGAAATGGACCACCTTGGGCGTCCACGCGACCGTCAGCCCGGCGCGGATGGGCAGCAGCCCAATCTTGTGGATCGGGTACGCGAGCGCCGCCTCGGCCCAGAGCGTCCTGTTCTGCCACCACCTCTCCTGGGGCTTTTTCTTTCCTCCCGCCGTCGCAATCGCGTCCTGCGCCGCCTCGTCGGCCACGTCGGCGAGCACTCGCGCCGCGTCGGCGGCCTCGAGCGCGTCGGCGCCCTCGACCCCGTACCGGAACTTGCGCCAGGTGTAGACCAGTTTGCGCACGTACGGCTCGATGTGCTCGCGTCCGACGGTGTGGATGACGGCCAGGACGAGGGAGAAGTCGACGACGGACAGGGCGAGATACATGAGGATGGCGTACGAGCCGTATGTCTTGGTCAGGTCTTTGAAGCGCTGGTACGCCGACTTGTGTTCTTCTGGACCGGGCCCAGAGCCAGACCCGGAGCCAGTCGATGACGAGGGGTTGGGGGTGGTGGCCGTCGTGAAGGCGCGCCGTGATGGGATATACAGAGGTGGTGCATGGAGAGCCGCTGCGGTGTGGTGCTGTCGCGGGACAAGGCTCATAGTCCAAGGTGGGGCGGGACGTGCTCGACCTGCTGCGAAGGGGGCCACTGCCAGACCAAAGCCCGGGTACAGCCCCAGGCCTGTACGCGCCACGGCGAGCGCCGGGCGAGCGAGAGTGAGGGACATGGTGGTGGTGGGGTCGTGAGTGTGTGAGAGTGAGAGATGGATGGGATGGATGGATGGTTCTCGTCGATGGGGGCCTTTGGAGTGGCGTGGTGCTAGCTACGTCATCCAACACCGGAACACCTCCACTGCAAGAACGGGCTCTAGGCGCGCGAGGTGGCGACGGGCATGCCGACCACCTCCGAGATAACGAGAGATTGTACGCCGTCTGAAGACAAGTTGCTCTCTATCGCGTGCCAAGCCCGATCGCGAGCCGTGTTTAAACTGGTTTGGAGAAATCAAAAGAGGGGAGGAAAGGGGATCCTGCGAACTGCCTTCGTACCCAGTCCGTCTCGCTCATGAGCTCTCCCCATCCCCAAACGAAATCGGCCATGACCAAGCCAGACAACCTCAGAGCAACATGGCACTTGCACTCTGGCGCATGCTGGCGGTTTGCTGTGGTGATCGAGTAACGAATGAGGCAGTGAGAACAATAGAAGACCAGCCGTGTTTGCTGCCTTGATTGATAAACCACCCGTACCAGTCGACTCGGGGCCTCTCGACGCCACCACCCGAACCACCACCTTTGCGATGCTTGGGTAAGCCGGTCTCTCGGATAAACTGCTCTGCATAGCCTCGACGCGACTCGACTCGCCCCCGAAGGCCCTCCCGCCGACCTCCGGATCCGTGAGGCCGTAAGCAATGCGCGCCGCATGGGCTGACGCTCGGCATGTGTTCGGCACTCGGAGAACCACCGCCGTCTCCGCGTCCGTTCGCAGCAACAAAGCACAGCAACCAACATCGAGAGGGATATACCCTTTAGGATAAACTTTTTTTTTTCTTTCCTTTTTCCTTAATTCCTTTACAAAGTGACACCACGCGGGTGTGTGCCGGCCAGAGCTCAATCTCGGCAACGGCGGAGATGGAACGTCCAACTCCTCCGCACTACTCGGATAACCCATGCGGAGAGAGCATTTCTTGGCGCCACATCAAATCACCGTGACAGAACGGGGGCGCGCGCGTTAAATACACCAACAAGAGCAACGACGACAAAGAGCAAACAGTCCCCCCCCCAGCGAAACAACAACTCACCCACCCCCGACGTCCCCACGTCACTACTCGCCGGCGCCATTGCTTTCTCTCGAGCAGACGTCTTGTAAACCGACAGATCTTATAAACATTTCAATTTTCATCCACATCGGGGCGGGCATCGACGCAACAGCGCCCACCACTGTCTCACCCATCCTTGTTCCCACCCACCCTCCCCCCCACTCTCCCTGTCACTAGACCATGGGCTACCCCGAGAACGAGCTCGGCCCCCAACCTCCAGGTGCCGACCATGTCGTTGCTGCGGTTCCTGCCTCGGCACCTGTTGTTGACGAGAAGACGCTGTCGGCCATCGCCGACGCACCCACACCACCACCAAAGATGCCATGGGGTCTCAAGGTGAGCTTTTCTTGACAACACACGACCACAACACACCACATCGGATCACAAGGGCTGACGTGAGACAGTGGCGATCGGCACCGTGGTTCCTCACTGCAGTGGTGTGCGTCGGCATCATGAGCGACCTGCTCGCCTACGTGAGTTGTGGAGCCCTTATAGACGGGACGCCTTGCTGACCCCGGCGTCTCACAGACCATCATCGTGCCCGTGCTCCCCTATCGCCTCCAGGCGATGCATTACACGAGCGTGGCATCGCTCATGTCGTGGTTACTGTTTGCGTACTCGGCCGGCGTGTTCATCGGCACGTTCCCGGTCGCCTACTACTTCCACAAGTACCCCTACCGCCGTGGCCCGCTCATCGGCGCTGTGCTCATTCTCCAACTGTCGTTTGTGCTGTTCATGACCGCCAACCCGTTCTGGTGCATGGTCATTTCTCGCTTCCTCCAGGGCGTGGCCTCGTGTGTTGTCTGGACAGGTGCGTAAGAAGAAGACTAGTCGGATCCGCCCGACGCTGCGCCAGCTACATTGTCGCTGACATGGTTTCCAGTCGGCTTTGCCCTCCTGTGCGAGAACATTGATCCCAACCAGATTGGCAAATACCTCGGCTTTGCATTCTCGGGCCTGAGTATCGGCACGACCATTGCCCCGCCCATCGGCGGCGCGCTGTATCGCCACATGGGCTGGCACGCGCCGTTCATCTTCGTCATCATCGTCTGTGCCGTCGACACGGTCGCCCGTGTCCTCATCATCGAGAAGCGTGACATTGAGAAATGGAACAAGAAGCACGGCACCAACATCATGACCGTCGCGGCAGCCATGGCCGCCAAGGCCGCCGCTGCGCGTAGGACTGCCAGCGGCACAGATGTCGCGGATGCTGCGGCTGTCCCAGAGCAGACCGGGGCCGAGGGCGAGGTCCCGCGCGTCGAGTCGGGTGCTCTGACGACTGGGTCGCGCACACTTGTGGGCATGGACCAGTGTGCCGATGCTAACGACGGCAAGGTGTCCGAGTCTGCCGACGACAAGCGCCTCGTTCCCGGTGAACGCGCCGCGCGTGCCTCGGACTGTGGCGACGCTGTCGTCGTCGAAACGTCGTCGTCGGCTGTCGACGCTCCCGCCGAGGAAACAGAACTGTCACCGTGGGGCGTACTCGTTGCCCTCGCCACCATTCCGCGCGGCACCGTCGCTTTCCTCATGTGCTTCGTGTTTGGCTTCTCCCTCGGCGCTCTGGACGCGACGCTCACGATCCGTGTCGAGACCATCTGGAACAAGGACTCGGACTATGTGGGCTTGATCTACCTCGCTGCGTCGGCGCCGTGCTTCTTTGTTGGACCCATCGCCGGCCACCTCGCCGACAAGTACGGCCCCGAAATGGTCGTCGTCCCCACCATCCTGTTCTGCCTGCCGTGGATCCCCCTCCTCATCCTCAAGACGTCGCTGCCGGGCTTTATCGTCTATTTCGCATTTTCGCAAATGGCAGGGACCATGCTCAACGCCGTCGCGTCGCTGGAAATGGCCAAAGTGTCGCACTTCAAGCCGGGCATCTCGGAGATCCACCAGTTTGCGTCCATGAACATTTCCTTTTCAGTGTCGTCGGCCGTGGGCGCCATTGTCGGCGGCCAGATCTACAACTCGGTCGACAACGGTTGGGCCGTCGTCTGCTGGATCTGCTTTGCGGTCCTGTTCGTCGCCCTCGTCCCCGGCGCGCTGTGGAGCGGTGCCAACCCCGTGTTCTGGCGGCTGGCGCGCAAGCCTCCTCCCTTGTCTGGCCTCGAGCCCGCCGACCGTCCTGCCGAGATTGAGAAGCGCGCAGCGGCCAAGGCGGAGAGGCAGGCCGTTGTGTCGAGTGCGTAGAGGCGGGTGGCGTCGGTTACATCTTCCTGCAACATCTTTCATCAGCATTGGATCCCACATACATATATAGACTCCACTCCACCACATCTCCACTCCCACATCTCCACTCCACCACCTAACCACTCAACTCCCAACCTCTTATACAGACCAATCGCATAATGTCATATCCTGTGCATCGTGTCGGTACCGAAGAGCAGGCGCACCTCGCTGTCCAGCAGGGCGCCGACTACGTCTGTGTCAGCGCTGTGTGGGCACCTCGGCCAGGGTGACTACAGCGCCGCGCTCATTGACGAGCTGTACAATGTGCGCCCCAACGACGTGCGGACACGTGCAAACGTAGAGGTCTTGTAGGAACGGTCTTAGCACGGGCGGAATAGACACGTGATGGGGTGGAGGGATACTAGATGCATGCAACGCGGCTGGCCTAGGCGGCAGCAGCAGTCGGCGTCGGCAGCGGGGCCGCCTCGTCGTACAGAGCCGGGAAGGGCAAGGCCGCAGTGGGCCGGAGCCAGTTCTTGCCGTCATACTGCGCACCGCCCTCGATCATGTGGAACGTGTAGATCATGCGCGTCTTGTCGGACGGGTTGGCGGCGAGCGGTGCATGACGCTGCCGTGGATGAGCACGAGCGTGCCTGCCGGCAGGGCACACGGCCTCGCACCACCCGTCGAGCTCGTCCCACTTGTCCGCATTGGGCTCGACGCCGGGGACGGGCTCGAACGTCGTGCCGCCACCAGCGGCGCGCACGAAGCGCGACGAGACACGGACCGTCTTGTGCGAGCCGGGGAGGAAGGACTGGGGTCAGTACAAAGGCCCGGACGGATGGCACCGACGGCGCCGACGTCGCCGCGGCGGCTCACCGGGCTATGCAGCACGGACAGGGGGTCCATGTAGAGGAACGTCGAGTCGCTGCCAGGATTCGATCCGCGGTCTTTTGCTAGAGATTATGTAATACGACATCACGTGACTAGCACGTGATTGTCTCTCTAGCAGCTGTCCGTTGGTCCTGTCCGACGGTTCGATTCTTAGTAAGATGGAACGATACTATACTGGTAGTCACGTGGTTCTAACTGGTAGATACTATACTGGTAGTCACGGTTGTTTATTTTCTTCATTTAATGTATTACTCTTAAAAATAATTTCTTTTCCTTAGCTTCATTAAGAAAATAAAAATAAAAAATCTAAGAAATCTTAAATATTTAAATAAATAATGGCGCGGTGCCACTTCTTGTCGACGTCCAGAGTCTCGGTCGTGACGTCGGCAGCGTCCTTTGCAAGCTTGCTGAGGGCAGTAGTGGCAGCCCCGAGGACCTCCTTGAGCTTGGCATCACGAGCCTGCTTGCGGGGGGTGGGGAGGTTGGGATTGACCTTTTTCGCTCCAGTCTCTCTCTACCTCTGTACCGCTGTACCGCTGCGGTCCTCTTTTTTTTCATTGCACAATCCTATTCCTCGTGCGGCGTTCTTAGCTCAGGTGACACAGAAATCAGAGCATACACACACCACCAAACTGCAAAAGTAAGACTTTCGCACGCCGTCATTTCAGTCGGTCAGTCGCTGCACCGCCATTCCGGTCCACGGCACACATATTGTGGCCGTCAGCCGGGGGGAAGACGGTGGACACCTGGTTGGCCGACTCGAACTGGGCACTCTTGGCACCCTTCTTTTCGATGAGGAACGCGTGAATGGCCGGGTCGACACTGACGGTGGCAGTCTCGCCGTCTGGCCGAGTCCGCGCTGGTCACATTTGTCGGTTCCCTCCCGCTGCTTACGTAACATATTGTACACTCTTCCTTCCTTATTGTAGCGAGTTCCCACGGTTCACTTCATGCAACACTTCATTCACCTTCCGATAACATTGACAACGTCAGGATCAATTGAGACGCCTGTTCTGGATGCGTCGGTGGCTGAGGCGCGGTACCGCCGGGATAGCAATGTCTTGGCAGCCCCATTGGCATCGACAGATGCAGCAGGAGCACCGACGGGGTGAACGACTGTGGCGAGTGCGAGTTCGCGAGTTCGCGAGTGGCACCACTCGCTCGTCCCCTCCGGCTGTTTCCCGTCTCGTTCTTGTCTTGTCATTCCACCGCTCCTGCACGTCTACACACGTCTACGTTGTTTTGGAAGCTTCTCGAAGTCGGCCTTCCCGCTCTTGTACCACTGGTGCCACTCGGTGCTGGGGTCGTCGTCGTCGTCGTCGTCGTCGTCACCGCCGTCGTGTCCCAGCCGGCAGCGCACCGCCACTGCCGCCGCCACCCGCGGCCTCGCGACCGCGGCTGAGGCGTGTGAATGCCGCGAAACGCGGTGAAGCGCGCAGACACACCAAATCGTCAATTGGCAGACGCCTCCGCCGCGAGCTTGGCACCGGCCAGATTGACCTCTGCAGCCCATCTCAGCGTGGCCCACGGGTGGAGCCTCTGGCCTCTGGACCGCCTCTGGACGCCTTCTTTCGCGCAGCACATGACTGGCAGCCCTTGTTAGCGTCAAATGTGGACAACCCGCCTTTGCCGGAGAACTGAGCAAGGATATCATCAATGCGTGGGAGGGGGGTACTGATCGCTTCTGGTAATGGCGTTCACTTTGCGGTAGTCAACGCAGAAACGATCCTTTCCTTTCTCTCGAACAATGGATGGCAGGTGAGGCCCAAGGTGAGTCGGATTCCTCAACAATGCCGTAGTCGAGCAGTTCATTGATCATTGGTGGTCTTGTCAATTGTCTGTCGTGACTGGCACCGCTGCCCGCTGCCCGCAGCACCCATCCGGCTCCTCCCCCCCGCCACTCGGATATGCTATAAGAAGGTGCTCCTGCACCGTCCGAAGCAGCACCCACCAGCACGGGCGCCGCATCTATTCCCCCGCCCCCGAACAGACACCCCCCATACCAGCACCTGCGCCACACTACCATGAGGCTCGTACGTACCCTCCCCCTCCTGCTTGGCCTCGGCCTCGGAGTGCAGACCGCCGCGGCGCTGCCCAATGGCGCCAGCGAGGCCGGCCTCCACAAACGCAACAACTGGGGCAATGGCAAGGGAGATGACGACCACGGAGACTGGGACAAGGACCACGGCCACGGCGGTGGCGACCATGGCGAAGACGACGGCGGAGACGACGGCGACAAGCCATGCCAAGACGACAGTGACCAGGCCATTGTGGACTGGATCATGCAAAACCCCGCCGTCAACACGACATTTGTGCTCCCCGACACAGTCAACAACGGGACGCTCGTCTCGCTCGTCAACAACGGCACGATCCCGGCGGAGAACACGACCGCACCGCTGCTGGACGGCAGGCTGCCCGCGCAGTTGAACGCGTCCGAACCTGCCACGTCCAAGGGCGGGATCATGGAGCCAGGGGTGAACGGCACGCTGTTTCCCCAGCAGGGTACCAACGATAACGCGGCTGTCTTTGGCTCCTCCGGCGACCAGGACGACGACGACTACGACTACCGCCGTCGGCAGGTCATCGACTATGACCTGCAGCGCCGCACGCCCAGCGCACAGCCCGACCTCCCGCCCGTCAACTCTGATCCCGAGCTCGCCTGCCACTATGCGTACGAGCATGTGCTTGGTGGCAACAACACCGAGCCCAAGGGGGCCCTCTGGGCGTTGGAGGGGTACGTCGACCTCGTGGCGGCGGATGTCCAACAGGGCGGCATTGGCGACTGCGGGCTCGGCGCATCTGTCATGGCCATGGCCGACGGGGGGTGGACGCCTTACCTCAAGAAGCTTTTGGTGCGCCTCCCGGGTGCGGCGACGGACAAGAACATGGTGGTCAACTTTCAAAAGGACGGGATGACATACCCGGTGCTCATCGATGACCAGCTCCCCATCCTGCAGCAAGAGAACGGCAACTGTTGGAACTACACAGGGTACCAGCCGGTCAACGACGCAGCCCTGCCAGACGCCGACGGCTCGTACCCGGCGACGCCCATCTTCTTCATGCCGCTGTTGGAAAAGGCGTTTGCAAAGTTCCTCGACTTCCAGCCCGACTGGCGCTGGACCCCGTCGGGTCCCCCGGGATACCTTGGGTTGACGTCGGTCAGCCCGGCCATCGCGCTGGCGGCGCTGACTGGCGGCACGCCCAAGCCGGTGTACCGCAATAACTCCGGGTACGACGGCCCCATCATGGAGGCGCTCCTCGGGTGCATGCGCGGGCTGGCGCCGTGCGTGATTGGCACGACGAACGCGACGACGCTCGGCCTCGTGGGCAAGCTCGACACCTGGGGCGGTGTCTGGCTCAACGCCCTGGGCGACGCCGCGACGCCCAAAGGCTACACTCCGGGAGAGACGGCGGGCCTAGCTGCCCCCGACGCGCCCACCAGTAACACCACCTACTCTCTCGTCGACTTTGACCAGATCATCAAGACGGACGGCAAAGAGTACTCGACGTCTATCAGGATGGCCGGTAACCACGCGTACGCGTTCGCGTGGAAGCAGAGCACCACCGGCCCGCTCACGGCGGAGACGGTCAACGACGCCAGGCTGCGCGTCCTCAACCCGTGGGGGTCGAACCCCTGCCAGTCGCTTGACTTCACCTGCGTGCCCGACAGGAGCGAGTGGGACAACGCTGCCCAGGTGACGCACAGCTTCCGCGCGTTGGCGCTGACTGTTGGTGCGGTGTTCACTGTGGAGAATATGCCTGCGCTGTAAGTGTCGGGGGCTACGACAAGATACTGGGCGACGACCGACAAGGACAGGGAGGACAATGGACATTGATAAAATATGGGCTGCGACTCGGTATAAATCCAAAAACAAAAAAAGTGCATGTAAATAGTGTGCACACTGAAGCTGCCCCTGCTCTGTGGGAAGCATGTGGCAGCACCACAGTGGAAAGGACTGGTCTCGTCGTTGGAGCCCACACGGTCGCTTGCTCCACTGACCAAACACTCGGTCGTTGCATTCCGTCGACTCACTCTGTGCGGCGGCGCCCATAACCACTGTCAGTGGCCGCTGCCCACACGCCACTCAGAGAGACGGGCAGCACGGGAGAGAGAGAGACTCGGCAACGTACCACAGTCCCAACACACGCTCCACTACTTTGGCCTGTGTTGTTGCCACTTGTCTTTCTGCATCACCACCGCAGTACCCCGCCAGCATGCACCCGGACGCTTTACTGACGCTCACCCAGCCAACATGCCCCAGCCCGTTCCCCCCCTCCTGGAAGGTGAGTCCCGAGCACCCGAGCCAGGCAGCCCCAGCAGCATCACCGACGCTGATCTCCGCAGGACCTCGGCAAGTCGTCGTCCGACCTCCTCCTCAAGGACTACCCCACCCAGGGCACGTCACTGTGCGGGTGTCCTCAGCATGGAAAGGATTCCTTGTTTTCTTCATAAAACAGCACACGCGGGGGAAAGATCGTCAAGCCTCTCAGCGTCTCCATTCTTGTCAACAACCAAAGCAATGGCCTCCACCTCGGACCTCCACCCAGGTCCATTACACGACAGCCACGGCGCAAGGCTGCACGATGTGGAAGTGCTCCGACCCGTTCCCTCTGCCTGAGGCACCTTGCTCATAACGTCTTCCTCTTCCTCCACCTCCACAGCACACCTCCACAGCTACACAAGCCTCCATCGACCTCCACACGCCATGCCAGTTTGCCAAGTTGCAACAGGGGTGTGGAGTCCCGCCCACTTTGTGGGTACGGCTTGACCACTCGGCTACGTCCTGTGCCGACGCCGGCCGCGGGACCCGTGTTCCGCGGTGTCGGCCACTGCCGACGGCCCCAGACACGCCGCCCGCCGGTTACGCGCGGGCGGCGGCGACAAGTTGGGTCCAACATTTATGTCCTTGCTATCGCTACAGGCTTTGTCTCTATCGCTACATATACCTTGCTCGCAAACACTACCTGGCACGACAGAGCCCCACACACCCCAAAGCGTATCTACGTATCTATACACCATGGCCTGTGTCGAGCACCTCCGTAAAGTACGTATGGGCACGATGTCGACGGTGTAAACAACAAGATGAAGCAACAAGCGCTGACAAGCCTCGTGCAGGTCTGGAACAATGGCCACAACGGCAGTGAGTCCCCCGACTACTTTGGATGGGGCAGTGGGTATCCTCGCGAGAGAGAACGCATCCCCCGCCCCGCCCGCTATCGCTTCAACTGACCATTCCCCGCAGACCATGACGCGAACGTCCTGGGCGGCGACGTGAGTTGGGACGGAGCTGTGACGGAGCTGGGGCGAGCGAGCCAGTGTCGGCACTTGCTACAACTGCTAACGCGCGTAGATTGAGGTCGTCGAGGCCTGGCCCGGACACGCAAAGTGCACCATGGTCATCAAGGAGCGTCACTTGAACGGCGGTAACGTGAGCGCTGGCCTTGGCCCATGTAATCCCGCGCGCCCACAGCTGACACTGATCCCCAGATCGTCCACGGCGGCTGTATCATGACTGTGAGTTGTCCGTTGGCTGCGACCTTGGTCCTTGTAGCCATAAGTGCACAAACTGACATTCCCAGCTCGTGGACGACATGACATGGCTCGTGCTCCAGACGCTGGGATACCCCGTCATCCCGTCCGTCTCCACCAACCTGTCGGGCGAGTTTGTGCGGCCGTGCGGTACCCTCGGCGACGAGCTCACCATCGTCTCCGAGGCCGTCAAGAAGGGTGAGTTGGGAAGTGTGCGGCGTGGCATGGCCATGAACACGGCTGCCCTGGTGTGCCTTCAGTTGCGTCCACCCGACGAGCCGCCCAGCTGACACAACTCCACAGGCAGCCGCCTCGGCTTCCTCCGCGTCACATTCTACGTAAAGGGCCAGGTGTGCGCGTTTGGCTCGCAGACCGTCGCGCTCCTGCCCACCCGGCGCCGGACAACGCACACGTTCACCGCCGACGGCAAGGAGCTCGTGCCCGTCGAGGAGGCTGAAGTGGCTTCGCGGTTGTAGGCCGCGGGCCGGGGTGTGCCGAGCGCGGGCGGGCGCGCCATAGATGCTGGTGGGAGTGTGTTCGTAGAGACAGACGGTGTAGATGCGATTGTTTTGCCTTGGTCCAGGTGGTCACTTTGGGCAGGGGACAAACGGGACAAGCGGCCTGGCGGTCAGATGCGGTTGAACAGGCTTTGCGACTCGCTCCTCCAACCTCCGTCAGCAGTGAGCCGCCGTGACCGTCAGAGTCGTGGGCGTTAGAGTTGCGAAATGATGCATGCAAGTATTGCCCCGTCTCCCCGTCTCCATCCAATCTCTACGCCTGCCGGCCTTTACTGCTTGCCCTTGCCGGCCCACTCAATGACCTCGGGCCACTGCTCCTTCTGCGCGCGCTCGACAGTGCCCGCCGGGGTCGGCAGGGACTGGACACCTTCGCCGAGCCACTCGCCCTGCTCCTTTCCGGCCATGAGGCCCGCCTGGCCCCTGTATGCGACCTTCTTCTTGGCGTCGCGGACGGCGACGAACGCGTCGTCGACGCCGGGGACGGCGCCGCGCACAAACACGAGGTTGAGCGCGAGGTCGACGCGGTGCACGAGCAGGTTCTGCGTCGTGCGCTTCACGGCACCCATGTGGCCGGCCATCTTCTTGCCGGGCAGGACACGTCCGGGGTCCTGGAGACGGGGGTCAGCGGGGAGGAGGAGAGTGAGGACACGGGAGTGGCTCAATCAGACGTCGCGTGGTCGAGCCACACAGCATACGTTCAACTCACCTGGTGCTGACCGGTCGAACCACCGGAACGGTGAGTGAGCGACACACCGTGCGAGGCCTTGAGACCGGCGAAACCGTGACGCTTCATGGGGCCCTGGAAGCCCTTACCGATGCTGCAGCATGTCAGCAATGAACGTAGAGAGAGGGGCAAAGCAAAAGTTGGTACGCTGGCCGTCCTTCTTCCGTCTCGCCCAGCGGGACCCTTTCTCAACTCACCTGGTGGCAGTAACGTCGACATACTGTCCGGGGACAAAGTGGGACGCGCTCAGCGTGGTGCCGACGGGGAGCACGGCGTCCGGGGTGACACGGAACTCCTTGACCGTGTGCTTGGGTGCGACGCCGTTCTTCTTGAAGTGTCCGACCATCTGGTTCGTCACGCGCTTTGCGGGCATGTCGACGGCGCCGAGCTGGAGCGCGTGCAGGCCCTTGGGTCGTTTGCCGCGGGAGGCAGGTGACGCACGACCTGGACGTTGTCGAGCTGCAGGACCGTCACTGGCCACCTCTTGCCCTCGGAATCCCACAGGGCGGTCATGCCGCGCTTGCGGGCAATGACACCGGTGCGCTGGGTAAAGGGGGTCCATGTGGCCGACGACGAGGCCTCACCAGTGGCCTCGGCGGCGGCCGGGGTCTCGGCGGCGGTGGCGAGGGAGCGCACGCCGAGTGGCAGGCGGCGGATCGAGGCGAGGACGGAGCGCATCGGGGGGGAAGGTGTTGGACGAGGAGAGGAAGGGGGCAAGGGAGTCTGTCGAGACGGCGACTACTGTATCTGGAGACACAGACGTATTAGGGAAGAGGGAGGGAGGGAGCAGTAGAGTCGCTGTGCTCTTTGTGTCTGCTGTTGTGGACGGCGAGGACGGTGGTGATGGATGATGGCCACTGGCTGTACGATGAGGGAGACCTAGGTGTACGGAAAAGATCAACTTTCGGGCCATTCGCGATGGGAGGAAAATGTCAGGCTCATGCGTTTGGGTGGGAGTTGGCCATTTGAATATATGACTGTATTTGTGTGAGCCTGACAACACGTGACTTCCCATATATTCAGTCCCCTCCCGTTCAATGGCCCCCCTTGTGCTGCCGTCAGTTCTTTCAGCCGCCGTCGTTCATCGCTGCCGCCGTTGCTGCTGGGGTCGCCGTCGTCGTCGAGCTCACACCCTTTCTCTCACAACCATCACATATCCCACTGCAACTACCACCAACCCTCCCTCCCTCCTCTCCCTCCGCCCTCACGACATCCACCCAACCACTCCTCGTCACGACCGCCCCGCGCGTGCCCTCCTCCTCCTCCCCCTCCCCCCCACGCGTCCCCACAGCCGCCCGCGCACGCAACAGTGCCGGCGCCCGACCACTCCACAGCCCCCCAGGTCGTGTCTCCCGCAACACTCTCGTTTCCCTCGTCATCTTGCTGCTGCCTGCACCTGCGCGGCATCTCCCCCCCGCCCCTCGCCTTTACTCTCCCACTACCGCCAACATCCCCCCCAAAGTAGCCCGACATGGCGCAGTACGCTGCTACCCCGACCCAGTCTGTGTACATGGACGATGGACACGGCTCGGCACGCAACTCGACACGAGCACCGCTCATGGACCAGTGTGAGTAGCAACTCCCTTGTTCCCCAACGTGGGAGGACACTTGTCGAGGCGAAGACGTTTGGCACGTTGGGTTCATTGTACGCGCTTTCGCGTTGCCTTGTTGATCCCTCCGATCCTTCCCCCCCTGGTTTATGCTTTAGTCCACGCGCCCGCCTGTGCCCATCGCTCCTGGATCGTGCATGCGGCGGGCCCTCCCCCCACCCTCTGCTACGCGGCCAACGCTGACCCACTGCCCAGCCCACTTGCGTCCCGGAAAGAGCGCCGAGCTGCTGAGCCAGGACCGCACGCTCGAGCTGTACCGTGAAAACGCAAAGAAGACAAACGACCCCGAGCTCATTTTTGAGTTTGCAGTGTTCATGATCGATGCGGCAAAGTCAATGGTGCCTACGACGGACCCCGAGACGCCCGTCGACATGGCCGTGGGCCGCGCGACCAACGCCACGATTGAAAAGCGCGACGAACTCGTCAAGGAGGCCACGTCTCTGCTGCAGCGTCTCGCGTCGCGCGGATACCCGGACGCCCAGTACTTTCTCGCCGACTGCTACGCGAACGGGATCGGCACCACGCGTGGAAAGCAGGACTTTGACAAGGCGTTCCCCCTGTTTGCGCTTGCGGCCAAGCACGGCCACCCGGACGCGTGCTACCGTGCCGGAACCTGCTGCGAGCATGGCTGGGGTACCAGGCGCGAGAGCGCAAAGGCCATTGGATACTACAAGTGAGTTGCAGGCAAGAGACGCAGAGTTGGCGCCAGACATAGCGCTCTGGCGTGGTTACTTGCGCAGCAGCAGCAGCAACGGCTGCTCGCTTATGACCCTGTATTTCAACTGCTGACACTGCACCGCAGAAAGGCCGCTGTCGGTCTGCACCCTGGTGCCATGTACCGCCTGGGCACTGCCGAGCTGAACGGCTCGCTGGGCCTGTCAAAGCGACCAAAGGAAGGTGTCAAGTGGCTGAAGCGTAGTGCCGAGCACGCTACAGAAGAGTTCCCACACGCACTGCACGAGCTGGCGCTGCTGCACGAGCGCGGCATTGAAAACATTGTCTTTGTCGACTTTGACTATGCCGCCGAGCTGCTGGCGCAGGCCAGTGAGCTCGGCTATGCTCCCTCGGCGTTCAAGCTTGGCGAGTGCTACGAGTACGGCAAGATGGGCTGCCCCATCGACGCGGCCCTGTCGATCCACTACTACAACATTGCCGCACAGCAAAACCACCGCGAGGCGTGTTTCGCGTTGACGGCATGGTACCTCGTCGGCGCCGACGGTGTGCTCCCGCAGTCGGACACCGAGGCGTACCTGTGGGCCAAAAAGGCCGCCGACCAAGGCCTCGCAAAGGCCCAGTACGCCCTGGGCTACTTTACCGAGACGGGCGTCGGCGTCGACGCTAACCTGCCCCAGGCGATGAAGTGGTACCGCCTCGCCGCCGACGGCGGCGACAAGCGCGCCGCCAAGCGTCTCGCAGGCGGCATGAATGGCTCCGCAGCACTCAACCGCCGCCACGAGGCCGAGGCGATGAAGGACGGCAAGCCGCTCCCAGGCGGTGGTGACAAGGACAAGGACGGGTGTGTCGTCATGTAAAGCGGGACACTGGTACACTGATCTGGTGGTCTTACGCCGCCACACACCCAACCCTTCATCGCTTAAACGACACTACTATACACACACACACACACACACACACCGACACCGTTTTAACGCACCCCTCGACCTCACTCCCCCGCACGATCCGGTATCTACAAACACGCACCACGGCTCAATACCAACGACACGTATCCACACGCGCAAGAACTCTCATGGACTCTCTTCCCTCCTACCCCCCTCCTCCCCCTCTCTTATCTTCCTCCCCGTCCCGGCCCCCTCTACATATAGAATTCATCAGGGCGGCCAGCTGTCGCTTGCTGTCGCTTGCTGGCTGTACGCCACTGCGGCTGCAGTGCAGCTGCCGTGCAGCTGTACGCGCCCCGCCGCCCACACCCATAGAATAGGCCACAGCGTGGCACCACCGGTGTAGCATGCACGCGCCCCCAGCCGCGTTGTCTAGAACCAGAGCAGGGACGCACGGGGTGGATGGAGTGTGGTGTGCAGAGGAAAGGAGCACAGCGAACACGGGTGGTGGTCGTAGTGTGCAGAGGCAGGAGCATTGACGTCGGATATGGGACGGCGATCAGACGAGATGAGACGCTCAGGCGTTGCATGCGTGCGCTCAAAGGGTGGGCAGGATGCACAGGGTGGGGATCGTGAACGTGAACGTGCGCATGTCGCCTCGCCTCGCAGGCTCGCAGGCTCGCAGCAGTCCTCGCTACCCTCTCGGTGTCGCGACGGCGGTACGACGGCGAGACCAATGCAAATGCGCAAGTGCGCAAATGGCACGGCATGCGTGGGTCGCAAAATAGCCACGCGCGAGCACTGCCTCGCGCGCTCGCGCCGTCGTTGTGCTGTGAATAGACCGCACCGTGTGGCGGTGAGCATGCCCGCGGACGGGCATGTTTGCCATCCATCTCTCTCGCCAACCTGGCCATCCTCGCGATCCTTGTGACCGGCTCTATGCGCGCTGCACACGCGTGTTCAATTCAACCACCACCACGGTGTCCTGTACAGCAAGTGCGTGCCTTGGTCGAATCTCGAGTCTCGAGTCTTGGCGACAAGCACTACAAACTACAAAACATGTCAGCCAGAGGCCAAAGAGGGAGGCTAGGGATGGGTATTGTTGTGACGGTGCGATGGTGGTGTTTTTCTTTTTCCTGCACGTGCGTGCGCAGTCGTGGATCATGGAAATTGCTGTGCGCCGTCGTCGTCGGTGCGCAAGAACGGGTAACACAGAAGTTGCGCTCGTTGACATGTGGACGGTGCATGGCCGCAGGACGTCGTCAACCCCCGTCCGTCGTCTCACGATGCGCCGACGGAAAGAGACTCCAGATAGCTGGGCTGCAAGGTACTGTACCTACATTACCTACCATATCGCCGCCACATGCGCGTCACAACAACAACAACGACCACCACGTACCACCCACCACCAAACCAACAACCACAACCACCCACAACCAACGGCCACGACCGCCGCCACCACCCCAATGTACCAGGAAGATGTGTGTGTGTGCATACGATATCCCTCTTGTATTGTATTTTATTCCCTAACGTGAGGAGGCCAGAGACAGACATCTACAGTGTCTGCAGCGCGTGTAAAGGCATTTCTATGGTGCGTGCGAAGAAAAGGCGACAAAAAGACAAAAGAAAAGCGGCGGTGGGGAGGTGAGGGTCGCCGGGTGCCGGTTGCCGAGGGGTGCGGCTGTGGGGGGGATGAGATGGATACAATTGGACACGTTGTACGAGGTTTGGTTTGGGTGGGTGTGTGGGAGGCCAGCACGCGTCGAGCGCGCCGCCTCCCCTATGCAATAAAGGTAGAGGTAGAGGGTAGAGGTGGTTGGTGTTGTGGCTGGTTTTAAACGAGGGCAGCACCGACGACGACGCTCAGCGCGGCCGCGAGGACGGAGGCAAGTGCGCCGGCGGGGAGCTTTGCGGCGTACGACTTGAGGCTCGAGGTCGACACCATGCCGTCCGACGAGCCGGACGACGTCGACGATGCGGCGCCGGTAATGGCTCCGGCAGTGACGGTGTTGGTCGGGGCCGACACGCCGTTCATGGTGGCCACGGCGTCAAAGGGTGCGTTGCCGTTCGAGTCGTAGTAGTCGAGCAGGATGATGTTGGGGTAGCGGCCGTACAGCATGATGCAGTTGTCAACGTGGAAACCGATCGAGCCGGTGCCAGTGGCGGCGTTGGTCTCGTTGAGCTTGGCCGTGTTGGGCGTGAAGATGCTCACGCCGAGGATGGTCGAGTACGAGTCGAGGAAGTGGTTGATCATGTACATCTGCGTGCTGGACGAGACGGACGAGCTGGTGCGGTTGATGGCGCAGCCCCAGGTCTGGTCGGTGACGTCTGAGTGGTGTTAGCTTTGTGTGTTGAATTAGGGGGCGAGTCTTGGCGGTTGCAGTGGTCCAGATGGCCAGCAACCTAGCCAAGACGCCAAGAACCACCCGCCCCTTCGTTCGCTCAAACTCACCGTACGCGTCCTCCCAGATGTTGGTAAACTCGTCAATGATGTAAGGGACGGTGGAAAAGTCGGCCGTGTTGTCCATGAACGTGACGAGGGTGGTGCCGTTGTCAATGAGGGTGCCGAGGGTGGGCCACTCGGAGACGGGCAGGTACGACGCAGAGGGCGAGTACGACTTGGTGTTGAGGCCGGTGCTCTCGAACACGGTCGCAAACTCGGTCGCCGCGAGGTTGTCAATGTTGACAATGACGAGGGTGACCACTGGGATGTCAGCGGGGGGCAGGGAGAGGAAAACGCACCATCGTTGGGGTTGGCGGTGATCCAGGTGGCGACGCTCGTGAGGTAGGACTCGAGGCTGCCGCCGTCGAGGAACGAGCACGAGGTGTGACAGACGTGGATCGTGCCGTTGTTGTCGTGCGTCTGGATCTGGAGCGCGCGCACACCGTCGTTCTGCGGGGTTAGCAAAGGGCTGGTCTACGCGGCCAAGAGAAGCACTCGGCCAAACAAGACCGGTCGGTGGCTGCAAACGCGCAGCCACTGGTGGCCTAGCGTTTCGCGCGCCCACGTCGCCTGGAGGTCTTGGCCAAACACGCTCCGGTTTGCGTGCCGCTGCACTCACCAGCTGGGCGGTGACGTCCTTGTCCTGGTTGTCAAAGGACCCGGTGCCGACGGCGTACGAGTCGTGAGCGCCGACAAAGGTGACGTTGGAGTAGAGCTTGGTGCAGAGGCTCGCGTCGCCGTTACAGGTTGTCGCAGCGAGGGCCGACGACGCGGCGAGTGCGGCGGCCGCGAAGAGTGCGGAGAAGCGCATCGGGGGGGGAGAGTGGGTGGGGTGGTGGGGTGGAGGGGTGTGTGGAGGGAGTGTGTGAGGTGTCGAGAGAGGGAGTGTGTTTAAACGAATGGAGTCTCGAGCGACAAAGAGAGAGAGAGACAGAGAGACAAGAGGAATGGATATAATTGTGTTGATGGCGGTGCGCAAGCTCAAATGCACCCTGGAAAAGGCCAAGCACAAACCGCGGACCACGCAGGCGACGGAAGGAGATCTCTGGATCTCTGGCTGTGCATCGGGGCTGTGGAAACACAAAAAGTACAAATCACATGCATAGCTCAGAAGATGATGGAGAACAAGACACACACATTGCTGCTGCGGAGGGTCTAGAACAATCTGCCAGCAGCAGGGCGATGCAAAACATGACCTTGTGTTCACTGCCCCCCAACAACAAGACCCACCCACCCACCGGCCACCACCACCACCACACGCGCAGACGCGACCCGCAGGCACACCCGAAAAACGCGCCAGGCAACCACAGAACAATTGAATGCGACAAGCATAATGTCACCCGTGGGAAAGTGAAAAAGGGCAGGTCGGTGGGTGTGACCGTGGGAGAGTGGCAGAACAGGCAGCTTCAAGGTGGCACACAGGGCCAACAACATAATGTGCGGGCACGTCTGCGTAACCACTCTTTATACCTCTGGAAGCAGCACCATGCCGAGGCCTGATTCCTTCTCGGGATTTACAATTCCGTATCCCTCGCCATCGGGCCATACACCGTTCTCCTGGCTCCTTGTCTTTCGCATAAACTGAGAGCCACACAGCCGGCCTCCGTCTCGTCTCGCATAAACTAACCGCCCAAGACACATGCCCCGAGTGTCCCAAAGGCCGGATCAGAGGCCCACAGTGCCACAGGCCAGACATCTGACGCCTGCGGCGTCTGCACATACGGTGGGTAACGGGATACTCACCCAGCGTAGGGTGTGCGAGTGCGAAATGTAGAGCTGCTCACAACGTTGCTGCCACCACAGGTGCCACGGGTGCCACGGGGGTGCACGGCCCGCCGCCTGTCGCGTGTGTCATGTCCTGTGGGCTTGCGGCCGCTGCAACCCGGCGACCGTGTAACAACCCCCGGACGCCAGGTGGAATACCCTCATACCCCCCTCTCATGGCGACGACGTCCACATGCATCCCATGGCGGGTGGCCACGTTTTTGTTCGTACTCTCGCAACCGTCCACACCACACCACCTCTTGGACGCGGCCCGCGAGGAGGGTGCATGGCGCCGTTGCCGTTGCGTGGCGGCCGATCGCACCCCAGTGGCCAGTGGTCCAGAACGTACTGCCAACCGCTGAGCAGCTGCGCCTGCGCGGGGCTGTTTGTTCGCAAGTTTCATGGCGTCAGCAACGTCAGTCACCGACCGACGCCGTCGTTTCGGCCTGTCGCCGTACCTTCACCCCGTCCCCACAGGCGCCACCACTGGACACTGCACGTCTCCCTGGTCGCACTGGGACCACTACTGGAGGCAGCCTACCACGACCACTGGCCACTGGGCCACGGGGTGCACGGCGTGTCTCCCGGCCCCGGGCCCCGCGCGCGGGGACACACATGGGTGCGGGCAACGCACGCAGCCCAGGCGGCGGGTGCCGCTGGCTCGCTCGCTCGCTCGCTCACCATGTCCCATGTCCCATTGTCAGTCTCTCTGTCGGGATGACGAGATCCCACTTTTGCAATGCACGCTCCATCGTCTGAAACCCCCTAGCTAGGACCCCAGCCCAAAGCCCAAGCGTGGGTCAGACCCCGATCGACCTCATGGCCTCGTGGAGCTGGACGCTGGTACGCTGGACGGGGTGTGGCAGCTGCGTGCGGGGGTGACGGGTTTTTCTGGCCGGCACGAAAAGGTCTTGGCATTCTCCACACTCACCCCCGAAAAGCCTCCTGCGTTCGTCCGTCCCTCCGTCCGAAAGCCTGGATAGGACGGGCGAGGGGACAGGGGGGGGGGGGGGGGCGTGTACACGCCAACCTGCGTGTTTGGCCTCTGCCTCTGGCCATCTGGGCGGGGCGTCGGGGGAGCCGGACAAATCCTCCATATGGGCTTACCATACGAGAGTGTCAGGACGATTCTCGGGGCTTTTGGCCGTCGAGGAACGTATGTAGAGGAACGACACCGGGGGTGGCGGCGAGCGCTGCGTGTAAGGGTAAGAGTGAGTGAGTGAGGTGAGGTGAGGTGAGTGAGGTGCGCATGAGCAATGTTCTACGCGCCCTGATCCCGGGGAGATTGGGGCCCGCCGAGCACAGATCGAAGTAGGCCTGCCCATTCCGTGCCCCCCCGTGTGCGTGCGACATTTTCGTGCTGGGACGCACGAAACGGCCTGACAAACGGGCGATCTGTCAGCCGTCACAACCTGTGGCCTGTGGGCGCGTCAGCGTGGTCCCACAGCCCACAGCCCACAGCCCACAGCCCACAGCCCACAGCCCACAGCCCACAGCCCACAGCCCACAGCCCACAGCCCACAGCCCACAGCCCACAGCCCACAGGCGGGGCTCGGCTTTGGGGCAGGCGCGGTGCAAGTGCAAAGTGCAGTACAGTCAGTCAGTCACCTCTGCGCCTCTGCCTCGAGGACGCTTTCGGCGGTTTCGGGAGGAGGAGTTTACCCAATTGCATGGTGGCCGCCACGGACAGCTTTGATACAATTTAGAAAGACCAGATGATAGACAAAAGAAGGAAAAGAGGGCGCACAGGCCGCGGGGGCGTATAGTACCGAGCCAGTCGATACCGCGTAGCGGCCTGGATCCCATGTAAACATGTGGAAAAATGAGGGTGGTGGTGGTGATGGTGGTGGTGGTGTCGGAGGAATGGAGTGGGAGGGTCGGGGGGGAGAGCAGGGCGCACGCCTCGGACTTGGCTCTGGCTTGTGCGGCTCGCTCTCTCTCCCGACGGGTCCTTGCTCCTGTTGCTCCAGGCCGTTCCCGTTAGAGTAAATCGTCAAGATTCACTCTACTGCCGGAACCCCGCTTAGACGCTAAACTCGTGACGGCGCTTGCCCTCCTTGTTGCCGATGCGACGGACGTGACGCTTGAGGGCGGCGTCGCGCTTGGACACGTACAGCATGTTGGGGCGGGCGATGGGCGCGACGGGCTCGGGCTCGGCAGCGCGCTCGGTCATGTTGAGGGCGTCACGCTTGGCCTTGGCCTCGGCGGTCATGGCGCGCTTGATCTTGCGCTTCTTGTTGCACTTCTTGGTGCCCGACGACGAGGTGGTTGCGGGGACGGCGGCAGAAGTGACGGCAGCAGCGGAAGTGTCGGTGGGGACGGCAGCGGCGTCGGTAGAGCTGGCGCTAACGGCGGCCTCGGCAGATCCAGAGGTGGCAACGAGGTTGTTGTTGTTGACAGAGGTCGTGGCCGACTCGACGGCAGCGGCAGAGCTCGACGACGAGGTCGATCCCGAGCTGCTGCTACCGACCGCGCCGCAGGTACCCTCTGGGGCCGAGGTGGCACCGGTCGACTGCGAGAGAAGGTCGGGGCCGGGGCTGGGGAAGATGACGTCCATGTTGGCGACGGTCGAGCATCCGTTGTTCACGTTGGCGATAAAGTTGGCCGGGCGGGACGAGAACGCGGCTCCCGAGCTGCGCTTGGCGGCCGACGAGCCCGCGATGGTAACGTGCGCGCAGTTCATGTACATTTCACGGTTGCCAATGTTGTTGAACCAGGTCCAGGCAAACACGGCGTCGCCAGAGGGCGCGTCCGAGGGGACGGTAAAGTCAAAGTTGCCCGAGCCCGACACGGGGCAGTTGCCCTCGATGGACTGGACGACGGTGAACGTGTTGCCGCCGTCGTACGAGAGCGAGGCCTGGCACGAGCCGCCGCCGTGGATGGCCGTGCCAACAACGGTAAAGTTGTAGGTGCCGCCCTGGGAAAAGGTAGCCGTCGAGGCGCCCTCTGCGGTGGTAAAGTCGCTCTGGTAGCCCTTGCACGGGTAGTTTGAGCCGTCGGCGAGCAAGGGGCTGGTCATCGAGTAGTCGCGGTTGGGCTCGCTGACATATGTGTTGTACTTTGAGCGGAAGGGGGCGGGGAAGGTCATCTCCATGTGCGCGAGAGCCGGCGCGGCAAGGAGGGCGAGGCCGAGGAAGAGCATTGTGCTTAGGGTGTGTGTGTTGGTGGTGGACCGTGTGGGTGGGGGTTGGTACTGCTTGGACGAGACCTGCTCGACAAGGAATGAGTGGCGGGAAGAAGAGGGTGGGGGGATGACTCGACTTGCGAGGAGGTTTGGGAGCTGGATATATGTAGAAGGCGCCTGGCCTTGTGGAATCCGGGATGTGGGGGAGGGGGTTGAGGAGGATGGAGAGGATGGATGGAGATAGAGAGAGAGAGAGACAGAGAGACAGAGAGAGAGACAGAGGCCCGGGGGTGGTGGTGGTGGTGGTGGGTGCACGGTGCTCGCTGCCTGTTGCCCGTTGCCCGCTGGGTGCACAAAAGGGGGCATGGACCCTCCAGGGGGGACCCTTTTGGGTGCGGTTGATGGGACGTGGTGACTCAGGCACAATGGAAAACAGCGCGCGTCAAGTCTCGCTCTCTTGTTCTCCTCCAGTGCCGCCAGCTGGGGGCCATACACCGGCGGTGGGTGTCCAGATGAGGGTGACGGCCCCTCTTGTTGCTTTGAGGGTGCATGTGCATGGTGCTCCATGCAAATGGTGGGCACGACGCATGCAACGCACTGGTCGCTGCAGCAAGTTTTTTTTTCTTTTCCCCGAAATGACTCTTTCATGTGTCTCTTGTGTGTTCCTTCCCTCAGTGTTCCTCCGTAAGGAGAGACACATTTTCTCCTACACCCAGAGCTCCCTCTCTCCTCTGGCCTCTGGGCTGATCGGCTGAGGCAGGACCCGCGCGCGCGTTTTTAAACCTCTCCTGCCTTTTAGGACATTGGCTTCGGGTGCGTTGGGTGTGCCTCTCGCTGTTTTTGCCTCTCTCCTGGTTTTCACTGTACCCGCGTTCGTGCCCTCTCTCCCCCCCGCCGCGTCTACGCGCGCGTTCGGACAAACCTTATGTGCATTACTGTTCTCTCTTGCACCCTGTGCACTCTCGCGTCGTTTGCCTTTTTACCCATACTCCTGGGTGAGAGAGGCACCAAACCATGTGCATGGTGTTCCCATAGACACACCTTGTCCATGGGTGTGTCACCACAGGCGCACACTGCTCGCTGCACTTTTCATATCCCACCGTTCTCAAGCACACAAGCGCTAGAGAACAAACACATACGCACAGAGTATACACACAGCACAGACGGTCCAGCGCGCAAGCGCACACCGGCCAAGCTCCCCCCTCTGCCCCATTCCGCCTGCTCCCACCGCGCCAGCCTTTCCGTTAGGACTGCCCGGGTGGCTGGTTGTACAGACGCGCGGACTAACTACTAACATCCCTCTCCCATTGCAGTACGCCTTCCTCGTCCTGCACCAGAACCCCCGCAGGCCCTCGCTCGTTGCCCGTGCGCCATCATCATCAATGTACCCGGCGCTGAATGCAGGCCTGGGTCGCGGGTATGGCGTGTGTGTGTCCTGGATGTGCACAAGGGCCAAGCACAAGGACATGCCATTAATAGACGCTGCTCTGGGACATGAGTGAATGGTTCAGTCCGAGCAGATGCACACGCACTCTCACCGCTGGCTGCGCGGATTATGCACTTTAACAGGTGGCGTGTGCGTAGTCTTGTCGGTATGCTTGTTCCCTCTCATCTCACCCTCCGAAGCGCAGCAGGATCAAGAGGTGGGGCCTTTGCACTCGGCCTGTACGAGGCCTAGAGTGTATCTGCTTGTTCCCTCCCACGTCCTTGACTCTCTCGCCCTTTGACGAGCAGCAGCAGCAGCAGCAGCTCAGTCGGCTCTTTGCGGACGACGCCTCGGACTGTACGGAGTGTCTCTTGACCGAACAACCCCTCCTAAAGGCTGAGGCAAAGTGGACATGGGGCCATGGGGGACGCTCAGCCCCGCGCAGTCGCCATATGGCACCGCGGTGGGGCAGCCGGTGGCCGGTGGGCAGCCTGTCGCGGTGGGCGGGGCCGTGACGGCCGTGACGGCCGTGACGAGTGGCCGGTGGCGGGTCGCCGGTGTTGGTGACGGCCCCACCCACTAGATCGCTAGCTAGACAGCACTGCGACTGGGCAACAAGAGCAACAACGTCGTGTGTGGCGATGCAGCTATGCAGTGCACCGGTCTGACAATATGGCAGTGGGCAGGGGTGTGTGTCTGACTCGTCTCTGATCTCTGAAGCTTCCTAAAGTCTGAAGCAAGACCCACACTTTGCCCGGGCCTGTACGAGGCTTCGGTGCGTGAGCACTCTAAGATCTACAGAGAGAGGAGAAGGGGGGCATGTTTCATGCATGCATGCACACAGCACACACTCTTCCATGTACATGACCTTTGTTGTCTGGAACCTCTTTAGATCTGGAATTCTGTAACAAATGGGACACCCACACACCGGTGGCCACAGACCACAGGCGAGCGTCACGTGATCACCCATCCCCCGGATACCGTCCTATGAGTATGGCGGCGACAATGGGACCTCGGCTGCACGCTGGATGCATATGCAGCTGGCACTGGCCCAGTGGCCAGTGGCCAGTGGCACCAGCAAAACTCCCCTCTCACGGGCTCGCGGGTCTGCCCGTGACTGCGACTGCGCGTCTGTGACGTGTGTGTGGTGGGGCGGCGGACACAAAACACCCAGACAGAGCACGTTTGGGGGTATAGTTGCACGCTTCCTTCAGGAGCCGCCACCCAAGCGAGCGAGCGAGCGTAAGCGACCGACGACATGGTGATCGAGCTGCCAGAGTCATGGAGACGGGCAGTGTTGGGGCTGTACCATACCATCATACCTAACCCCATATGACATCAGACATGAGAGAGACAGCAAATGACGGCCCGGAGCATGCTCTGCCCGCGTCATCATCATCATCATTATTAGCATCCACATTCAATGGCATTTGCATTTTGCCACCCAAATTGCAGTGCGAGACAATGCATTACGTAACGCGGTCCCTTTTGCGCGGTTTCCCTAACTCCCCAGTGGAATGCGAGTGGAGCCACCGTTACGTTCTAATGGTTCCTAATGCATTCCTAATACCCCACGTCCATGTCCTAATTATCCCGATCATTCCCGATGTAATCAACTGTTGAATGCCCGCACTGGCCGGCACTGGCGAACGTGTGGGGTGGACGGTGTTGAGCGCATATGGTGATCACATGGCACACGTTCCATCAACACACACACAATATCAACATCGTCCCTCCCATCTCTCGTCTCTTCTCTCTCTCCCACCCACATCGCCACCCACTCACTCGTCATTCCTTCAGCATAGCACTCTTCGGGGCACCAGCTCTGGTTCATCGAGCTGGTCGCCCGTTACACACACAACACACAACACACACACACGCACAACGCACACACTTTACAACCGCTACCACCTCTCCTCACCCCATCCCCACACCATGCCCGCCGCCCTCTCGCCGCTCCGCTACATCCAGCTGGCTCGCTGCGTGATCCAGTGGTGGGTCGACACCGCTCCCATGCTTGCCGCACGCCGCAAGGCAGCACAGGAGCGCGCAGCGAGGCTCGTCTACGCCCCGCGCCTTCGTGCCCTCGCCGCTCCGAGCGTTGCGCAGATGATGCTCCCCGAGGAGCAGTACCAGAAGGTCGCAGCAGCGACGGCGGCTCAAGACAGGCCTGCGTCGGCCGCCGCCATCACGTCCGCACTCGCCTCGCCATACCTCTCCACCCCAGACATTAGCCTGCCGCCATCCAACCTCCCGCTGTCACTTCCCCCGCGCCCTCGTCCCGACGAGGGCCACGACGAGATCTACCGTCTCATGAACGACCCGCGCGCGTTCCTCCCCGGAGCCATGCAGGCGCCCAAGGAGATTGTCGTTCTCTGCCACGGTAAGTCTAGGACACGACCACCTCCACCATGTGCTTCGTGGGGCCAGCCATGGGGGATCCGTGCCACCTCCCCCCATGTATTCGGGTGGCAACGTGGCGCTCGCTTTAGACGGAACAGAACAACACACTGACACGTCCACCCAGGTCTCTACGGCTTCTCCACCGCCACTCCGATCCCGCTGTTCCCGTCGCTCAAGCTGCACTACTGGGCATCCGTCCTCGAGGTGCTGCGCCGCATGGGTGCAAAGGTCGTCGTCGTCGGCGTCAAAGGGTGAGTCTTCCTGGATGACGGAGGTTGGGTGTCGGCGCTTTTTTTTCGAATTCGGCCTGCGCGGGCGGCCGTTGTGTTTTGTTTTGTTGTGGCAGTGCCTGGGACCGTCTCCGTTGCGCATTCAACCCCGTCCTTCCGTCATTTGCTGACTCTTCCAGCACCGGCTCCATCCAGGAGCGCGCCGACCAGATGCACAAGTTCCTCAAAGACTACCTTCCCAAGGGAGTCGGCGTCAACTTTGTGGCACACAGCATGGGTGGCCTCGACTGCCGTCACTTGATCTCCAACATTCGCCCGACAGAGTACACGCCGCTGTCGCTCACGACCATTGCCACCCCGCACCGCGGGTCGCCATTCATGGACTGGTGTGCGGCCAACATTGGCGTGGGAGCCACATTGAAGTCTGATGGCGCCGACCTGGCGAGCGTGTCGCCCGAACTTCCGTTCTCGCTCAAATCACCCATCCTCGCCCGTCTGGACCCCCGCACCGCCAACTCGCAAAAGGAGCAAGACGCCATCTCTTCGTTCACATCGGCCCTCACAAACTACCTCCTCAGCATCTTTGACACGCCCGCATACAACTGTCTCCGCACGTCGTATCTCCGGGACGAGTTCAACCCGGCGACCCCAGACGACCCCAACGTGAAATACATGTCTGTCGCAGGACGTGTCTCGAAAATGTCTGTCCTCCACCCCTTGTGGTTCCCCAAGCTGGTGCTCGACTCGGCCGCCGAGCGCGGATACCCTGCACTGGAGACCCCGTCCGGAGACATGTACCAGGGCAACGACGGCCTCGTGTCCGTCGCGTCGTCCAAGTGGGGCGAGTTTATGGGTGTCGTCGACGGCTGCCACCACTGGGACCTGCGCGGCGAGGGCGGTCTGTGGCCGCAAGCCGCCGCGATGCGCGCCGCGAGCACGGGCCGGCCAGACGCGGCCATGCCCGGCGGGTGGAACTGGGAGTCCGAGGTCGGCCTCGAGACGGGCGGCGCGGGCGGCATGTCGGACCCGCAGCTCCAGCAGGTCCAGCACGACAAAGACCTCGCCACGGCCCGCGCCATGGCCCCCGTGCCCGGAACAGGCAAGCGCGAGTCGTCGTGGGACCTGGCCACTGTCGGCGCGCTTGTCGACTGGGTCGGCGACCTGTTCCCAGGAGACAAGAAGGAGCAAGAGCCCACACACCAGTACCGCGACGCCAAGCGCGAAATGGCAGCGACGAGCACGGGGACGAGCACGAGCAAGAGCTCCTCCACCGACGCCGCCGCCCCGCGCCCCGCAGTCAAGATTGTCCGCGAAAAGTTTGACCTGGCGAGGTTTTACGGCGGACTGATGCTGCGGCTGCGTGAAGACGGCCTCTGATGAGACAAGACAAGAAAGACAGAGACAGAGAGACATATCAGAAGAAGCACGGGGCATACACCGGCCCCCCCTCAACCAACCCTACACCCTACACCCAAACCCCCATACTTAATCAACACCCCGGAACCGGCCTCAACGGCTGCCATACCCATCTGTAGGATAGTGTACGCATGCAGCAGCAGCACATATTGCATTTTATGAACCAGGCGGGCGAAAGGACGGACGGGATGGACAGTGGCTGGACTAAGATGTGCCCCGACGATGCTGGTGTCGCTGTGCGCACCGATCAATGGTGTCCCCCCCGTCCAACAAACGGGCCTCTGCACGCGCAGGAGTAAATGGACACGCCCATGAAAGGTGTGCTTCAGGCCCCCCGAGCCTCCATCATCGCACCCAACACCCCCCCCCGCCGTCGCCGACGTGCAAATGGTGCACGATGGGGGACACACACCGGTTACTCGCGCCACGGCGCCGACACCTCGGCACCTGGACCCTGCGCCGCTGTCCGGCGACCGTGCAGGCATGCCATGCATGCCAGGCTCTGGAGCGTTCGTTGCACTCCGATGTGGTTCGGCGACCGCTTACGGGCACAGAGACGTTGGGGGCGAGACTGTGTTGTACCGTTGCATGCGATGAGGGGTTGCACTCTGTGATCTGTGAATCGCCGCCGGTTACTCTCCTGCCCGCCCCCAGCATACACGTCGAGTGTTTCGGTGGACGACGGCGGTACGGCGGCCTGCGGGCCATGTATACCGCAGACAAGACGTCCAGGCTGGCAGGCACACACCCATGTATACCCATGTATCCCACCCACTCTTGCAGGCCAGAAGCAGCTGCCGACGAGTGTCTGAGAGTGCATCCTGGGGCGGACATACCCGCACCCGCCATAGCCGGGCCCAACCGGCCAAGTCCGTCCTCTCGTTGCCGGGGGTCCCAAAACGCCCACTCGATGCATTCATCTCATCTCCATCGTCGTCCGTCCGTCGACCTCTTCTACTGCTGCTGCTTCACTGTCACTCTCTCACACACTCTATCCATCTTCCTCTCCCTCTCCCCCCCTCCGTCTCTTACACCACCACTTGCCCCATCGCCATGTCGCCTGCTCCCCCCCGGCCCCGCGACGGCACGGTCGTCGGCGAGGTCCGCGCCCCCATTGCCCAGGACCGTCTCCTGCCATACCTCGAGAAGGAGGTCGAGGGCTTCAAGGGTCCCCTCACCATCAAGCAGTTTGGCGTGAGTGTCGCCAGCGTTCGCCTCGTCGCAGTGGGCCTGCAGCCGTGTCACCGCCCGTGGTCACACGATCGCATGCCCGTGACGACAACCGCAACCACTCCCACATCCCACATCCCCCGCTGACACATTTCCTCTCCCAGTTCGGTCAGTCCAACCCGACCTACTTCCTGCAGACCCCGTCGCGCAACTACGTCCTGCGCCGCGCGCCCATCGGCAAGCTCCTGTCCAAGACGGCGCACCGCGTCGACCGCGAGTACATCATCCTCGAGGCCTTTAACAAGTTTAACGCGACGCTGCCGGCCGACGCGCAGGACCGCAAGGTGCCCGTCCCGCAGGTGTATACCTTGTGCATGGACCCCAGTGTCGCCGACGCGCCGTTCTACGTCATGGAGTTTATCAAGGGCAGGATCTTTACGGATATCGAGGTGCCAGACCTGTCGGAGAAGGACCGGTATGAGTGGTGAGTAAGGAAGATGAAGGTGGGCGTAAGGTCGGAGTGGCAGGTTGGTGCAGGTGCACACATCTACAGCACGACTCACCTCTCTCCCCTCCCCTCCCCTCATCCCCCGCTAACACGACCCAGCTGGCGCTCGGCCGTCAAGACACTCACCCTCCTCTCCACCGTCCCCGTCGAGGCGCTGCGCCTGCCGCTGTCGTTTGCGCCCGACCCGCTCGTCAAGCCCTACTTCCCGCGCCAGGTCAACTCGCTGCTCAAGGTCAGCAAGGCGCAGTCGGCCACCCCGTGCAAGACGCTGCCGGACGGCATCGTCGGCGATATCTGGGGCACAAAGGAGCTCCAGCCGTATTTCGAGTCGGGGGCCAAATCGGCCGGCGGCGAGCAGGCCCATGGCGCCAGTGTGGTTCACGGAGACTACAAGCTGGACAATTTGGTGAGTACTGGAGAAGCGGGCACGCAGCCTGTCATTGGGAAGAAGGACGACCATGGCGTCCTCTTGATGCCACTGCCTATACTCACTCCAATGGCCGCCCGCCCGCCTGCCCGCGCTCGTCCTGACCCCGCCCAGATCTTCCACCCGACCGAGAACCGCGTCATCGGCATCCTCGACTGGGAGCTGTGCACGCTCGGCTCGCCGCTGGCCGACCTCGGCAACCTGCTGCTCGCATGGTCCATCCCGCCCGTGACGCCCGCGCAGCTCGCCGCCCTCGCGGCCGAGGGCGGCGGCGGCAACCTCGCCAAGGGCATCCGCGGCGTTCCGTCCTCTACGACGGGCATTCCGCAGGCGCACGAGCTCGAGTCGTGGTGGGCGCAGGGCATGAACTCTGGCAACCTCTTCCACTCGATCGCGTCGGGCGGCGCACAGGCCCGCGAGCCGTGGGTGTGGCCCATTGCGCACATGGAGTGGGTGCGCGCGTGGATGCTCTTCCGCCTCGCGATCATTGCGCAGGGCATCTCGGCGCGCGCGGCCCTCGGACAGGCGAGCAGCGCGAGCGCGCGCCCGACGCGCGCGCCGTTCGACTTCTTCGGCAAGGCGGCGTACGAGGTCATGAAGAATGACGATGACAGGGCCGCAGGCGCAAAGCTCTGAGCGGCGCTGGTTGAGCGCCGGGAGAGAGGGGGGGGTTAGAGAAATGGATGGGGTATTGTAAGAAGCGGCCGATGTATGCATGGTCTCCCTGCGAACAGAGACGCCGGGGTCGGGGTCGGGTCGTTGCGCTGAGTAGAGGGGAGTCGGAAGAGCCGTGTTTCTCGAGGAGACAGTCTGACACGAATACAGCAATGGTCGCATTGCAGCCGGAATGTCTCTGCCGCACCGGCGTCCAGCTCGTATCTCATCTGCAAGGCTTACTGTCAGCGCCGCGAATGGACGAGACATTCTTAGGATAGGCAGCGCTACAGAAGGGAAACAGCGGGACGACGAGTTGTCCAGCCAGGTTGGGAGGTGCCAGTCAGTCAGTCAGTAGCTTGTGAGGGTTGAAGGCTCCTGACAATCTGTCTGACAACCTGTCGGACAAAGGCTCGCACCCTCGGCAACACAGTGCGCGCCGCTTGCGATGTATTGTATAAGGCTTGTCCTTTGTGACAGCTGTAATGCTTTGAGATGTGCTATTGTTGGAAACAGCCCCAGATCCAAGTCCCAAGACTTCGGAATGAAAGAAAGAGAAAGAAATAAAGCAATAAATATTTCGCAACAACCGTTGTAGCATGTTAACGTTGTTAACGTTGAGCACCTCTACTTGGATGGCCTTGGAGGACCGCGATACTACCAGTGTTCTCGTTACCCACCACACAAATGAGTGCTTTGTTCTCTCATGCATGGCAGCAGTGAAACGTGAAACTATGAGAAGCATCACCAGGCGACGCAAATGTACAAACAGAACTCGTGAATCGAAATAAAAGTTTTATTGTTTTATTGTTGTAGCGCCACTGCCCGTGCGTTTCTCGATCTTCGAGACAAAGGGACCACTCGCCACTGACCACCCGGGCCGCCGTGATACAGGAAGAAGCACAAACACACAAACACCGTCTCAGCGGCATGGCGGGCATGACTGAGTGATTGATACATTCGTATGTGCCTTCATTATGTCTGGGTATCGCTGTACAGGCTATATCTCTCACTGATGGTGGGCTGGGTCGTCGTCGTGGTCGTGATGGCCTGCCCGCCCCGTCCTCACATCAGTATGGCACCGTACCGCGGACCATACGTCGGATAGCGGCCGTGCAGCGCAATGTCGGTCATGTCGGTGTGGACGTTGTCGCGGTGCATTGCCTGGGAAAGAATCAGTCTCCCCTGCGTCCACTCTGTCGTTGTCGCCCAGTCGCCACCACCGGGGCGATTACAAATCGGGCACTCGCATGGGCATGCGGAGGCTGACGCGGACACTGCGGACACTGGAGGGTGGCGCGGCGTGTCTTGGGATCTTCCCAAGCCTGCACTGCACGCCTCCCCGCCACAGCGGCGACGACGACCACGGCCGGTGGCGGCGCCACTCTGCCGACGCGCGCAAACGACCCCAAAAGCCATACCCACACCTTCTTCTCTGTTGACTCAAACCAGCGTGCCTTGCGCATCACTCGTGTGCTTCGGCACATCCTCCTCGTCTCACTCCCACGACTCACAATGGCCATGGTGTGCGACGTTGCCGGATGTCGGTTCCAGTACACATCCGTGTATGGCTGCTGCAGGCCCCAGTACCCCGGCTGCGTGGTGTAGTACTGGCCCGCACCTGCAGCGTCGGGGTTGCGCGTCGTGTCGTGGCCCTTCTTGCGCCAGTCGGAGCATTGCTTGTTGTATGCGCTGGGCGCGTCAGCGTCAGCGTCATGCCATGTCATGTCATGTCACCCGATAAGCGTCACCACCACCACACCCACTCCGACTCACTCCCACGCCTTTTCATACTCCTTGTATCCGCGTCCGCGCTCCTTCCGCTCCCGGATGTCCGCCTCCTGCTCGAGCCTGTCGCGTTTGCGGTTGTACGCCGAGCCGCGCTTGGCCCGGCGCTTCTCGTAGCTCTGCGCCGCCTTGACCCACTTGTTGTAGCCCTTGATCGCGTCGTCCCACTCGCGCCGGTCCGGTTTGTCCAGGTAGTCGTAGTACACCGGCCTGTCGAGGTGGCCGAGGCTCATGACCTGTTCGTGCGGGTCGGGCGAGTTGGACTCGTTGCGCCACGGCTCGTCAAAGTCGTACACGACGTCGCCGATCTGCACGCCGTCCGGGACCGCCGGGAGGCCCTCGGTCGGGAAGATGGCTGGTGGGCCGTCGCGGAACCGGTCGAGCCACGAGCGTTTGGTGTAGTAGAGGGGCTGGCCGTAGGGGTAGCCATAGGGACTGGCAAAAGTGGCCATGGCCGAGGTGGTTACGTGGGTGGAGGTGCGGTGGTGGTGATGACACAGCGGTGGCGAGCTAGGACGTAGATGTACGTTGTTTGTCGAGATGAAGTCAGTTTGATGGGAGATGCATCCCGGGGGGAGGCCATCACCTGCAGCCTAATCTTCTTTCCCGACTCGCTACCGGGTGATGGCAATGGCGCGCGGCCACTTTTGTCGCATTCACATACACGGTGCGGTGTTTGGTCTCCATCAAGGGTCTGAGAACTGGGCCATGCTTCTCATCTTCCCCCCTCCCCCCCATCACATGCTTCCTCTGTGCTCCCCTTGGGGACGACCCATCAGTCGGATCAGTGATTGGGGGTGCAAGGGGGGGCAGTGAGTGTGAGGGGGAAGGGTGGGACAATGGAGTAAAAGGTTAGTAGTGATGCGCACAGATCGGGGGATGATCACTCAACAAAAGCGCCACCACAAAACGCTAACAAGGTTTGGGTGAGAAGCTGCAAGAAACTGTAGAGCGGGGTTTTGCTCCTGGTTTGAGGTCGTCCACGGGGTACCAGTCATCCTGTTCATTCGAGCAATCACTCTGCAGTTGTCTCCCACACACACAGATCCATAGATGCTCCACTTGCCTACACATTATTGTCGCACACGCCAGCCCGTTGGTGGCACCTGGTGGTGATTCCGCCCTTCCGTGCTTCCGTGGAGTGTGTCTCATCAGTGTATGGCAAAACGTGGCGCAGGAAGGATCTCGTGGGGGTCGGTCTCGTTGTTGACGGCGTCGTTGACGTGACACTGATACCCGAAGGCGTCCGTATGCTGGTCGGTGGAAATTTACACGGGCTGGGCCACAGTCGGCCACCTGTTGACTGGCAACAGAGTTGCGCGAGTAGCAAACGCAAAAGCGGTCAGCCGCTACCTGTCGCATCAGTACCCGCCCCGACAATTCTATAATAGCACATGAACTCGCATCACAAGCGCGCGTGAACAGAACTGTCGTATGGCCCAGTCTCTCTCTCTCTCACTCTCTCCTCTCTACATAAAACGCATAAAACGCCTCATCATCATCGCCGTCTACTCGCTCTTGACGGCACCGACGGTAGGGGGGAGACCCGAGCTGGCGCCGGTATCCCTCGAGCCGCGGTCACGGTTGCCGCCGCGGCCACGCTGGCCACCACGACCCCTCGCACCGCCACGACCACGACCGCCGCGGCCGCCGCCACGGCCACCGCCGAAGCGGGGCTTATCCGAGCCGCCGGCGGCGCGCTGCTTGACGGCAACGCCGCCCTGGAAGTTGGCGCGGACGGTCCAGAACTCGCGGGTCTCGTCGTCGTTCATGCGCTCAAAGGTGACGGGCTGGCCACCGTAGGTGATGTTGGCGGCCTGGATCTGGGCAAACTCGGCGTCGGTGACGGCAGCGCCCTCGTACTTGGAGACCTGGCCGGCCTTGGTGCCGGGGGGGAAGGCCATGAAGGGCGAGGTGAGACCGGCGTCGGTGACGGCCTGCTTGAGGAGCTTCCAGTCGGCACCGTCACCGGGGGCAGAGAACTTGATGGCCGAACCGGCCTCGAAGGGGATCTTGCTGGGGTCAAGGACCTTGCCGGTGGTGGTGTCGACCTCGAGGGTGACACCCTTGTACTCGATGGTGAGGGGCTCGTCCTTCTTGATCTTGGAAGCACGCTCCTCGCCGTCGTCCTCGCGGTGGCGCTTGGAGCTGTTGCGGGTGTTGGTGGCCGGGGTGCCAACAACGTCGACGGTGGCGGGAATCTTGGCGAGCTGCATGCTGCCGCCAGCGTTGGCCTTGGCCATCTCGCGGAACGCGTTGAACTTGTTGCCGACGCGGGGCTTGCCAGAGCCACCCTTCTGGATCTCCGACTCGTCGATACCCTTCTCCTTGGCCTTCATGCGGACGTAGGCGTCCTTGGTCATCTTGAGCATCTCCTCGTCGCCAAACTTGGGAATCTCCTCGAGGGCAATGAACTTCTTCAGGTCGGCCTCGTACGCAAACTCGATAAAGACAGAGCCCTTGAACTCGCCCTTGCCCTTGCCGGCAGCGGCGGGCTTGCCCTTGGGGACAGGCAGGTCACCACGACGCTTGCGGACGGCGTTGATCTTGCCAAACTGCTTAAAGTACTCCTCGATAAGCTCCTGGACGTTGGACTCCTTGTCGCCCTCGCCAAAGCCCTTGACGTAGGCCGAACGCTCCCAGATGGTGGTGTTGGGCTCGAGGGGGCGCGAGCGGCGGACGTTCTCGCCGTCCTCCGAAACAGCGAGGAGAGCGTCGTCGCCCTGGGTCTTGTTGACCTCGCGGATACCGTGGGCAATGACCTGGACGCCGAGGGGCTTGAAATCCCTCATGCGCTTGAAGGTGAGGATGGTCTTGATGGGGACCCAACCCTCAGCGTTGCAGGCAGTGAGGGAGAAGAAGAACTGGTCGGTGGGGAGGTTCGAGTCGGAGAAGTAGAACGAGACTGGAAGAGGAGAGAAAGAGTCAGTTCATTGCGTCTGCCTCTGTCTTGCAGTAGCAGCCCGACTCACCCTGGGTAACAGCCTTCTCGAGCTCGGACTTGACCTCCTCGGCGGTCTTGCCCTCGACGACGGGGACGCCCTCGGCGTCAACCTCGACCTTGGGGACAGCGACGGCCTCGGGAGCGGCGACAGCCTCAACAGCGGCGACGGACTCCTCAACCTTGGGAGCAACAGCAGCTTCGGTAGACATAGTGGTGGCGAGTGTGTTGGTGGGGTGGGGGGGAGGGAAGGTAGGGAGAGAGAGTGTGTGTGTGTTGTGGAGTGAGGAAGGAAAGGGGACCTGGGTGGATGGTCTTTTTGGGGGGTTGTAGAAACAGAGGAGGGAGGTGTCCAACAAGGGTGGGAGAGACTTGTTTGCAAGATGGAGAGAGGAGGTGTCGACGGGAGGGAGAGGAGAAATAGTGTCGTTGTTACACGGGGGTGGTCGTCGGAGGGTGATTGTACCACACTCTGGCCGCCATTGAACTTTTGATGTGCAAGCACACCGTGGGAAAGCACAAGGAACGGCTGGGAGCTGACGCAGAGCCACGTGATAATTTGATCCCGGGTGGGTCTCGCCGCGGGAAATGGGATTAATTAAAATAAATAAACTCAAAATTATCTTGCGGTTGGGCCCGATCATGTGACGCGACTGTTTTTTCTTTTGTCCCCGTCGTCGGGGTGTTTTGGTGGTGTGCCCGCTGGCCGCTGGCGCCGGGTTGCGCTGCGGTCCAGATGGCCTTGTCCCCCCTGAAGGTCTGCCCAGCTGCCCAGCTGCCTGGCATGCCTGGGCTCCCGCTTGCATTAATGTCACGGCTGCGATTCAGTCAGGAAAGTACAAAGATGGCTGGGCAACATGGTGACACAAACGACGGCGTATATCAGACCATGGCGTCGTTGGCTCTGTCAATGGCGACCCTGCAGCTGTAATGACGGCTCCAGCATGCAGCTTGGGTGGGTGCTCTTGTGCAGCTCTTATGCAGACACAGGACACAGGCCCACAGGGAACAGCAAATGCATGACAGGGAGGACAAGCAAACGCTCATCTCGCCTTCTCCCTAGCGCTCGCTGCCCCCCGCCGCGCCCACGCTCGTTGGCCGTGCACCCAGCCTCCCCCCCCGCAGCCATTTCTCCCATATGACCCGTCTGCTTTCTTTCTCTCTCTTTCTCTTCCACCCACTCATCCAGTCTCCACGTCTTCCTGCTGCTGGTCAGCATCCATCCCATCCCATCCACCCACCCCTCCCCATCCTCGCTTGTGCATCAGTGGCCCCAGTGGCACTTGTGACTTGTTCTCCTCCCCCCTCCCCCAACCCCTCTTGACGAGGAACACGTATAACCTATCACCCTCCCGGGAAGAAAAGCTCCCTTCTACACCAAGATGCTCTTCCTCCTCCTCTCCAACCTTCCCACTGCGCATGCCGCATCCCCCGCCGCTCGCTGGGGTCACCAAGCCATGTATGTCGACTCGGCCCACGCCATGTACGTCGTCGGTGGCGAGGTTGCCAGCGGCGCTATCACCAACGAGGTTATCGTTCTTCCCGTAAGTCCTTCACGCAGAGTGGTTGCTGTTGCTTCGCATATCTGACCCATCGCGCAGCTCAACACGTCGTCCCCTGCCTGGAGCTCGGGTCCCGACTCTGGCCTTCCGGCTCACGCGTTCGCCTCGATGGCACTCTCGTCGGATGGCTCCAAGCTCGTCGTTGCCGGTGGCATGACCTCGTCGTGTTCGTCCGACGCCGTCATCCACTCGCTCGACATTTCGGGCTCGACCTGGACTTCCGCCAGCCCCTCGGGCTTTACCCGTCGTCACGGTGCCGCTGCCACTGTTGTCAGCTCCAGCTCGTCCGAGGGTGAGATGATGCTCGTTGGTGGCCTCGCCGACAAGTACGTCTGCTCCTCGGGCTCGTCGGCCTACTCGGCTTCGGACCTCATCGACCTCCCGGCGTCGTCGACTGCGGCTACCACCTCGAGCCTCCCCTCGGGCCTCACCGGAACCGACCTTGCCATCTCGGACTTTGCCCTCGCCAACTCGAACGGTACTGTGTACCTCGTCGGTGGCCAGGATGCCGATGGCGACCTCGTGTCTCCCGGTACCATTGGCGTCTGGACGTCGTCTGGTGGCTGGAAGTCTCAGAAGGTTACCGGTGACGTCCCCTCTGGTCGTCTCGGCGCCACCCTTGTGGCTCACCCTTGGCGCAACGTCCTTGTCATGTACGGTGGTTCCGTCCAGAACTCGACCGCGTCGTCCGACTTTTCGGCTTCCAACCTTGTTGCTGTCCTCGACACTAGCTCGTGGAAGTGGTCGACCCCTTCCAACATGCAGCCCGGTTCGTCGGCCGCCGTCTCGTACCACACCTCGGTCATTACTCCCTCGGGTGTCATGGTCACTGCCTTTGGTCGCAGCTCCACCGGCAGCCCTACCACCAACCAGCAGTACCTCGACATGCGTGACGCGTCGTCCACCAACTGGGCCTGGACCTCGACCTGGTCGAGCGACATGCTCACGCAGTACACCGTCACCTCGGCTTCGGACCACACCTCCAAGAGCAACAAGTCGACGGTCACCGCTGCTGTTGTCCCCACTGTCATTGGTCTCCTGATCATCATCCCCCTTCTCGTCTGGTTCTTCCGTCGCCACCAGCGCAACAGCCGCAAGCGCCGTCTCGCCTCGCACTTTTCCTTCTCCACCCAGGAGGACAATGGCGACTTTACCCGCGTCGATGGCCGTGGCCGTGGCCGTGGTGCCCTCTACCCCTTTGGCCGTGACGCCAACGAAAAGGAGAGCAGCCAGGGAAGCTACGTCTCGTCGATGCGCAACGCCATCTTCACCGTCTTCCGTCGCTCGTCGCCCACCCACGGTGTCGGCGACGACGGCACCATTCACGAGCAGCAGATGGCTCAGGTCAGCCCTGCCGAGCTGCAGGAGAAGGGCATGAACTGGGAGGAGATCGACTTTGGTCTTGGCCGTGTCGACGCTGAGCGTCGCGACGCCAACTACACCGACCTCCCCCCTCGCGTCTACCAGCCCCGCCGTGCTACCCAGCCCCGCGACTCGTTCCAGGCTCCTGGCTCGCCCAACCCCGAGATCCCGTTCCCCATGGCCATGGGCATGCCTATTGCGTCGACCATTTACCCCGTCGAGATGCCGCCCCAGGAGCCCGTCACTGGCGAGCTCGTCAACGTCAGCGACAGCCCCCGTCTCGGTAGCCCGCGCTACGACGGTCAGGCCTCGCTGGTTACCGAGAGCCGTGTCGCCGAGGCTGGTGCCGATGCCGCCGGTGTGGAGGACAATGACTGGAACATGCTCGAGCAGTCGCTCAACTCGCGTCCTGCCTTCCGTTCGCTCTCGCCGTCCGCCACTCTTCGCTCGCACAACCACACCGTGTCCCCCTCGACGACCTACCACTCGGTTGCTCCTGCCTCGCCCGTCCGCTCGAACTCGTCTCACGCGTCTGTCGAGTCTGCCCCTCCCGGCCCGGCTCCCAGCCTGCCCCCTCTTGCCTTTTCCAACTCGCCCATGATCAAGTCCAACACCGGTAACCGCATCACCTCGACTGGCAGCGCGCGCCACCTGGCCGGCACTTCGCGCCGTGTCTCGAGCGGCAACATGCGCCGTGTCTCGGGTCCCCCCACCGACATGGCTCCTGGCCCCTCGAACCGCCGTTCCAGCCAGAACGCCCTCGGTATCTCCACCTCGGGCACCGCGCGCTCGTCCAACGGCATGTCGCGTCTCCGTGTCGTCAACACCGACGACGAGAACCCCTTTGCCGACCCCAAGGCTTAAAAGAGAGAAATGACTCGGTTACCAGGCCTGCTGGACGGGTTCTGAGGTGGAGAATGGTGTTTATTATATAGCTGCGGCTCATTGGCCTATATAGTCTCTAAATGGAGGACAATGTATGTGTTGCAAAGAAGCCAGAGGGAAGCAGGGTAGTTATGGTTAGACGTGTTGGCGGTACAGTCAGTCGCCAGTTAAGAGTCTCTCAAGTCCAAGTCAGTCTCAAGTCAATGACCCCTCCACGTCCAGCCATGCACGTCTACTAAAATACATGTCGCGGCGCGCGTAGACGCCATGGGTCTCGTTCTACCTCTCTCCACTGCCGTGCAGTTCTCCAGGATGGTCGCCGTCTAGATGCCAAACACTGCCTTGACCTCGTCGCCACCTTCGGGCAACCCGTCAAAACACGTCCGCATGCGCGGGTCGGCCTTGAACACGAGCACGGGCGCGGTCTGCACGGGCTCAAACGTCATGGCTGTCGCTGGGGCAGTCGCTGTGCTCGGGGTGGACGAGTGGCCGCGGACCGTGGTGGCCGACGCGAGCGGGGAGGCGTCCCTGGCCGTGGATGGCGCGGGCGAGAGCGGTTCCGAGGCGCGGATCTGGGGCTGGGTGTTAGCTGAGTTGAGGGTGGGGGGGGGGGGGGGGCTGGGGAGATGCAGCAGGGGGAGGCAGCTGCGCCTGCTGGTGGATAACATGGCATTACCTGCAGCAGGCCACGCGGAAAGATGGACAAGGGTCACGGTTGATCACGCTGCCATAGCACAGGTGTTACGCAGCTTGCCTACCCATCGCCTCGTCCACAGTCATCAAGCGCTGTCCATGCCAGGTTGGGCGGTGAAGGACGTGGCCGAGCTCATTGTATGGGTGAGAAGCCCGCTAAGCGCACCCAACAGGCCAGGCCGTACACCCGATCCACCGTCACCAACCTCTGCCAACAGCTCCCCCGACTCCAGCTCCGTTCATCTCCCTTCCACGCCCTCTTCTAGCACAAACAGCACACTCCAGAGACGCCACTCACCACACTTGCACTTCCTGCGGGCGAAAACGCCAGCCGGGGACTCTGGCTCTCGATACCCCCAATCGTGCCCTTGACAGCCGGCAAGGGAGGAGGACGGCGGAGCGGCGTGCCCGAGGGCGTGGCGGCGCCGGTGCCGGGCTCGGTGGGGTCGGTCGTGGTCGAGCGGGAACGGGAGGCCATGGCTCGTGAGTGGCTTGGTTGGTTGGGTGTTGATGGTGTGGTGGATGGAAGAGGTTGGTGGTGGGTCCAAAATGTTTGTTTGATCGGACGTCATCAGTGGGATCGGCGGACGGAAGCGAAATCGGGTGAGCGGCGAGGATACGTTGTTGTCGACTGTGGTCTGCCACTCCCTCGCCATGGTGATATGCTGAGGAGCTAGTGGGACGGTCTAGAGACCAGAGCAGCATCTATCCATGTCATGCATGTGCTACCCACCGTCGGTCGTTAGAGACAGCACCACGTCCACTCTTCTCGACTGCTCGCACTCTCCCCCAAGCCCATGCCACATTTCACCCACTTGACAAACGATTCATATACACACCCTTCCGCTTCCTCTAAACTCCCATGCAAAGATAAAATGTAGTTCTAAGCCTTAATAATCCATCATCGAGTCGTCGTCCGCAAACGGCGCACTCTCATAGTCTCCCGGCCGGCGCATCTGGGACGTGACCCAGTCCTCGTCCGTGTCCTCGAGCGAGTATCCCTGTCCGCCGGTATAGCTCAGCAGGACGGGGAGGAAGACGAGGCCGTGCAACGCGCCAGTGATGATGAGGGTGAGCCACATGCGGAAGTAGTACGTCTCAAGCAACTTGGACTTTGTGAGTGCCAAGACGGAGATGCCGACGAGCTTGGTCATGGTGATGCCCGAGAAGATGGACGGTCCCACATCGACCAGCGCGGTCCATGCCCGCTCGTCCCTGTCCTTTCGCGCGTCGACCTTGTCGTACGAAAGACCAGAGCCGGCACCCATAAACGCCCTAGCGAGGTGTGAACAAAACTCGACAGCGATACCAAGCGAAATGACGAGGTTGACCAGCGAAATGGCGTTGAGCGAGATGCTCCAGTATCCCATCACGCCCATGACGTTGACGACGATCAGTGCGCAGGTGAACGTGACCGTGGCGCCTGTCTTCCACGATCCAAGGAGGAGCGAGGTGATACCCATCACGGCGAGTAGAGCCGCAGACAGGACCTTGACGGACATGGACGCGATGTACGAGTACTGGTCGAAGAAGACGTAAAAGAGCGAGTATGGGAACACGTCGAGACCCGTGTTGTGGCTAATGTCGGCAGCGATGCGGCGTGCCGAGGCGAGAGCGTTGATAAACTCGTTCTGCGCACGGAGGGGCGTGTGGAAGGTACGGAAGTGGGACGTCTTGACTGATCCGTCCGACTTTTTGGTCTTTACCGCGTGCGAGTAACCCTGCAGACCTCCCAGGGGACAGTTGTCGTCTGCGGGGCTCTGAAGCCACTGGCCGAGGTACCGCTCAAAGTCCTCTCCCTGTGGCAGACCAGCCATGGTCGTGTCCCACTCCTGGCCCTCGTAGCATGGGCGGCAGAGACGGTCCGAGTCGCGCGGGCGGCAGAAGACGGACGGGTCGCGCCTCCTCACGCGGCAGCAGCTCTCAAACAAAGGGTTGGTCCACATGAGGAAATCGTCAATCCATGCCGCTGGCGGGTTGGCAATAAACGATGTCTCAGGCCGCTTGCGTTCCGCTTCAAGCGTGTTGGCGACTGAGAGCTCATTACAGGTGGTAAACCGTCCACATAGCTCTTGCTGGCCATATCGCTCCGTAGTGTTGCCATCTTTGACGACAAAGTAGACTGGCGGGCCGACGTCGAGGTACTTGTCCACGTCGTTGAAGTAAGGAATGAGGTTCGAGTCGGGTGGCAGGGCGAGGCGCTGGTCGAGACCGAGAGTGATCTTCTGCATGCCAATGATGGCAAGGAGGAGCATGCCACCAAATGCCGCGAGCACACCGTGCTTGACTTCCTTCTTCAGGAGCGTCGGCGCGTACCATTTGCGCACAAAGGTTGTAAGGAGGCTCTCGACAGGTCCAGGTCCTTCGTCCTCGAGACGAATCTTCTTCTGCAGACGGATGCAAGGGAAGCAGTCCAGGCGGCTAGCCTCGGCACGTTTAATGTCGAGCACCATGGCACTGACAAAGACAGTGCACTGGAGGATGGCACCGATGAGGACACTGCCCGCGGCGTAGATGGCAAAGTTGCGCACAGCAGGCATTGGGACCAGAGCACCAAGGGCAAACGCAACCACCTCAGTGGTCGAGGACAGGAGGATGGACGGGCCCATACGTGCGACAGCTCGGGCAACACGCTCCTCGGGTGGGAGCAACGAGCTGTGTTGGTCGTGGGTGGATGTGTCTGAGTGGTTGTCGGGGGCGGCAACCTGAGGGGACGGGTGGGGCGATGGTTGGGTGGTTGTGGTATCGGCGTGATGACTGTGGCTGTGACCGTGGCCAGCTTGTCCATGACCATGACCATGGCCGTGGTGTCCACCATGGTGCTCAGCGGAATGCTCCGAGTCAGAGTCCGAATGGTCGCCCGTCTCGGGTGGCGCGGCGTGCATGAGGTTCTGGCGATCAAGCTCGTGGACAAGGATGAAGACATTGTCAACACCAACCGCAAGGACGAGGAAAGGGATAACCTCGGCGATGATGAGGGTTACCCGCACGCCCAAGAGGGAGAACAGGCCAACACTGGACGAGACGGCGACGAGGACAATGACAATCCCAAACAGGCCCAGGCCAAACTTGGAGTTGACCATGAAGATGCGCGGGAGGGCCTTGACCGTGTCCATTATCTTGCCTCCAGGACGGTGGGCACGGAGTCCAACAGCATACGCACAGAACTGGAGCAACTTGTAGAGACGTTTGAAAGCCTTGGCGACATCCTTCTTGGGAACCTGGCCGCCGCCTAGGGTGAGGGAGACGTATAGGAACATGACGAGGTACGAGAGGACAACAATCCTGACGTCGGTGTTTGCGCTCTTGTTCAACTCCTTTTCGAGGCTGATACCCGTCGAGTAGGAGACCTTGAGGTCTGGGTGTTTGAGTTCGGAGAGGAATCGGTCAAGGATCTTCTCCCAGTCCTCGACCTTTTTGACCTTGGCCTCAGCGTTGTAATTGTCCACAACGTAGGTTATGACCAGGGCCTTGGCGTTGACCCAGTCATCCTTTTTGACACCGCCGAGAATCAACTTGGGGTCGATCGGTTGCCCGAATTCCGGCAGACACTCGCCGGGGCTGGTGGCACACTGCTTGATCCGGTCTGTCCATTTCTCTCCCCACTGGCTCATATCGTCGCCAAGCCATGCCGAGACAGATTGGACGACACAGGCTGTTCCGGGACCCGAGGGAGCAAAGCACACATCCTCAAGCGCTACTCCCTTGGCTGAACGCAAGTCACGAATCTGTTGCTCGACATGGAGCACCCACTCGAGAGTGTCGTACGAGAGCGGGGAGAGGTTGTGTGCAGCTGTGATAAAGATTTGCTCTGTGCGGTAAAATGGACCAAAGTTGTCGTCGAAATACGCCTTCTCCTCGGCGGCGGCGCTGGACGGTGACACCCATAGTCGTACGGGGTCCGTCTCGACCTGGAACCAGTGCCATCCAACGTTGAGCAGGGCAACGACGACGCCTGCAATCACAAACGTCTGAATCGGGAAGCGTGCACATGCCAAGCCCAAGCGGTAGAAGAAGCGTCGCAGAAGGGCGTTGATCTGACTCTGCTTGGGCTGGAGGTGCTCCATAGGGTCGAGCAAGGACGCGCCACGGCCGAGACGGAAATGGATAGATCCACTTGGACCCGAGTCGTCGTCATTTTGTCCGTGGCCAACCATACCCTGCACACCCGTGGTGGTAGGCGACTGGGGTGGGTCGGTGAGCGCTACCCGCTCGTAGCGGCGCTGGTGGATACGCTTGGCTTGGCGGAGCGAGTAGTAGAGCAAGACGGCGGCGAGGGCGGCACCGTAGACGATAAGGAGCGAAAAGGTCAGGCAGCTGACTCTGCCGACGCGACACCCTTCGGTGTTTGGTGGAGGGAGGTACGGGAGACTCGGGCACACTGAGGGACAGTCGGCACAGGCGCATCGCGAGTCGATGCCCGTGTCTGAACAGCTGAGAGCAGATCGCGAGTAGTTGCTCGTCTTGCTGAGGGGGAAGTCTATTTGGAAGGGCGATCCCAGTCCCGGTCGAACGTCGCCCATGTACTTGAGAAAAGCCGACGCGTTCTTTGCTCCACCACCGATGAGGTCCATGGCAAACCCGTTGGTCGCGCCAAACTGGACGCCCTTGCACGAGTCGTAGAATCCCTTGGCAAACTGGCTCGAGACCTGGTAATCGACGGCCTTGACGATATCCTTGCCTGTCGTGCTCTTCTGTGTCTGGGTTACTTGCATAAACGTGCTCTGGTTAGGCGAGCAGGTGAAATCACAGTAGAACGAGCGAAAGTTGTTGATGCACGCCGGGCACGCGGCAATGAGAGGTGCGGCCTGGGCGAGCTGGTCCCCAAGGGTCTCGACTTGCTCGGCCGTACAGCATACTGTGTCTGGCACTTGATATGCTGCACCACACACGCTCGAGAGGAGAGTGGCCAGTTTGTCGTCGGTCTGAGCACGCGTTTAGCCATAGGTCCATCCCATATCACACTGGGCAACGGCCGTATCCACCGTGTCGCGTGTTCGTCCGATGCCTACTCACCTCGCTGGCGTCCCCGTCGTCTGGACATGGGAGCTGGGCACCAAAGCGGGACACGCTGCCGCAGTTTCCGCGCATGGCGCAGACGCCTTGTCCGCGGCGAGGCGGGTCACTCGGCATGGTTGTAGCTGTGGAAGTGGTGTAGAATGGATGGAAGGTTGTTGCTGGCAAGCGACGAGCCAAGACGCCGCTTGAACGGCTGCGCGGCTGCAGTGTGTGTGTGTGGTGACCGGGGGGGTGGGACGGCCCCGGCCGGTGTCGTCATGGGTGGGGTTGAGGCTGGCAGTCACGTGACGGTAGGTGTGTTCGCCACCCAAAATAAAAAATATATTACGTAAAGTAATTACGCGGCGCGGAGGGGATTATTTGTCGGTAAAATGTAAATAAATTAAACGCCTCTTTTGTCATTGTTTGAATCAAAGCTCTATACATTGTCACACGCGGGGGCAGCACTGCCTGAAACCGCAATGTCGTAACCCAAACCGGATCCATCGTCATCAACGTCATCCGAGGCATGTGTGGGTGGCCTGGGTGGGTGGTGCGCGAGGTCATGAGATCAGGAGACCCTCGCCGTCTCGGACTGCGCTGTTTTCGCGTAGGAACCTTGCTGCTATGACGTGCCCTCGAGTCAAACACGGTTTGACCCAAAGGCTGAGGTACTTAGGCGTGACTTGAAGCGTGACACAGCAAAATGCAACCAATTGCGGGTATGCATTGACTGAACATGAGGATGAGATCCATTGGGTCATTGAGATTGGGGTGGTGGTTGGGCCAAGAAAAGGCAATGTAAATAGAGTGCGCGCTTCCCCCCCCCCCCCCCCCCCCATCGCCACTACCTTATCTCTTCAAACCCCACTCACGACTGCTCAGCGTCTCCACCCGTCTGCAGGACCTACCAGCCCACCATGGTATAGTGAGCCATCCACCCTCTGACACTCACGACACTGACAACCAGTGTATTGGGCCTGTTCGTAGTCTTCCTCGTAATCTTGGTCATGTGGCTTTGTGCGTTGTGGGCACACAGCGCCCTGTTTGTCGTGTTTCGCTGACGCTTTGCCAGATCGCTACTTGAGGGCACGATGGAACGCCCAGAAGCAAGCTCGCAACGCCTCTCCAGACGACCCAACACTCCCCATCTTCCACAGGCCAAGTTTCGCCTCAACCGCCGACCTCGTTGCAGAACACATTGTCCTCCCACAGCCCGTCCAAGTCAACCCGTATGGCTATGGCATGTACTCTCGTCTCGGTGGCGACTATGGCCGTGGAGCAGGCAACCCCTTGCCTGCTGTCAACCGGGCTCATCCTGAATGCGGTAGCGATCCGGACCTGCCCGCATACAGTAAGTTTGCTACCAGCCCGTGTCGGCACAAAGGTGGAGGTCGGTGCTTTGTTTTGTAAGCCACAGGTAAAACCGGAACATAGCGATGAGGTGATCACGCCAACTCCAGTGCCAGGCCTAGCGTTGGTTCGAGTGATCCTCATATTGTCTCCGTCCGTCTGATGAGAGGTACACACAGACGGCTTACTCATGCTCGGCCGTGTCAACAGCCGGCCGGGAATTGCTGGCCACTCACTCTACTTGGTTCTCTTCTGTTGCTCTCGTTCTCCGTTGTTCCCCGCTGCACATGTGCTGACCCAACCAGGCCAGCATCCGAGCCGTTCCTGCCCCAGACTCGACATCGCGTCCTCGATGTACCTCCCGCCGTGTTTTGAGTCGACCGAGTCCTTCCCCCCGCCACCGCCCACACCACCACCACCTCCACAAGCGCACGTACACTCCCGCACACAGGTGCGCGAGGGGAGGATCGGGTGGCCCCAGCCTTTGAGGTGGTCACAGCAGCGTAACATGCCCAAACCCCAACCCCACCAGCCCGAACAGGTGATGGTGTCTGTGTCAAGCAGCACACCTGTGTGGTCGTTCTCGAACCCCCCCAGGCCATGGTATGCCTGAGAAGTCACCTGGCGTTGGACCAACTTTGACACGAGAAGATAACGAACAAGACGAACAAAACCCAGAACCAAGTTGTATACCAGCTATCTTGTCACTGTATGCCGACAAAACCGCAACAACGCAGACATGACGTTGTACTGTGCTAAATGCAAATATAATCAATCTTCATGACTGGTTCTTGACGAGGAGCTGTGGTTTCTAAAATTGGCTAATGGCCCCACGTCCGTGTGGGGGCTGCACACATACACGCTGAATGCATCCCTTCTGTTCACGTCAAACGTCGATGGCAGGCTACGCACCATGTTTTCATTCCCTTGCACACTACTTCCTACTGATCCCTTCTGGCGCCAGACTAGTACCAGGTGGCGAAGGCGCTGTTAACACAGGAATCGTCGTAGACCATACAAGTCCAACGATTTCGACCAACCTCTATAGACGAGTCGAGGAGGTCTCCGTCACAGTTATCGGGGTCTGACAACCAGAGATGGAAGTCGTTTCCTGTCCAGCCAGAGTAAAGTTGGAACTTTACGGCCTTGGCACACTTCAGCTCACCCGAGCCGGGGTCATACGGGACAAAGCAACTCGAGTGCCCAGCGTTCCCATTCCCGCCGTCAAGCCTAATATAACCGTCGCCGCTGCAGGACGGTTCAGAATAGAAGGTCAGCGTGAACGAATAACCACGCTTCTCTAGCGGAGCAGAGCGCTTGTCGACCAGAGTCGTTACATCGAGGCCGTGACCGGCGAAAGTGCCACTTGCGCGGCAAGCACCATAGTCGACCAGCCGGTGACCGATTTAGCGAGTGAGACAGTCGAGGCCTTGACCATACTGGGTACAGGCTCTGATCTGATGGAGATGATGCAGCAGGTGTTGACGTGTTTGACTGGGATCGCTCGGCAGTGGATGTCGAAGAGTTCGGTTGTTGATTTCCCCCCCTAAAGAGTTCCTTGTACTCTGTCAGCGGGGTCAGTCCCCGGATACATGGAGGAACACTTACAAGAACCACTATAGTGCCTACACTGAATAGGCGAACGACAAGAAGGTGTGGTCACTGGGAGGGAAGGGAAAGTACATTTGGAGGCAGCCGTCTTTTTGTCATTTCGACGCAAACCATCCCGCCAAACTGTGCCCAATCACATTAACAACGCATCAGTGGTAGTCAAGGCTCAGTAGGAACAGCACTACGGAGCAGGGGGTAGAGGGTGCCGACGGTCAGATTTCTGGCTTACACGGCACAACAGCAACAGCAGTCGACATCCGTCGGCTTTGGCCACTACGTACTGCACTGTGTCGTTGAGGAACCAGTCAATTGCCAAATCATGCCGAATCCCGGAACTGAGCGTCACTAACCCAGTATGTGACGTTGGAGGGAGCGAATAGGTATGTACAGTATGTAAGTACATACACAGGAGCGGCCGAGATTTGGCGATAGGTTGTGTGTGTTGTCAGCTGCCACAGTCGCAATGCTGCGGGTGGTTTGCACCCGGACACGCAGAGCTGCGAGAGCGCTCAGTGGAGGACGCGTCCTGCGATTGCAACGAGCTGAACGGAGAACTTGGAGGCGTTATCAACGTACGGGGAAAGGCCCAAAGCACAAAAAAATGCCGTTCTGTACGAGCTGTACGGCACCGCCTCAACCGTTCCCGATGTGGTTGCATGCCTGTCGACATTGCACTAATTGTCACATCCACCCTCCGTATGCACGTACAGTAAAGGGCAACTATACTCAATCCTTACGAGTAGCGATCCCTCATATCTGCACACGTGTTCTGCATGACAATGGGCTTGTGCGGGTCGGGCACAGTTAGTCTTCCTGGACCCCACTCGCTCTCTGTTATTGTCGCACGTCGATGCCAGTCTGCACTCCATCATTCAGTTCATTTCATTCCAATCCAACCACATGGTTACTTATTACTACTGTAATAGTTTGGTCAAGCTCAGAAGTCAAGCTCAGAAAAAGGCGATACGGGTGCTGTCGAAGCAGCTGCTATCCGGAAGGGGATAACAGACAGGCCAGGTCTCGGGGCTAACATTGTCGTGGTAAAAGGAGTGTACTTCCCCGTTGCACTGCGGGTACTGGTACAAGGAGAGGACATAACCTGTGCCCGACCAGGTACTGTGGATTGAAACCTTTACAGCCTTTGCACACTTCTGGTTACCATTGGAGGGATCATACGGAGCGAAGCAACCGGTCTCCCCAGCGTCCGCTGACGACCCGGTGTCACTCAGCAAGAAAGGAGTGCCATCGCAGTTCGCTTCAGAATAGAAGGTCATTGTGAGTGAGTGATCGCGCTTCTGCCCAGCAGAGTGGGTCCTCTCCAGGAGAGGCGTCTCGATCACATTCAGCGGTGAACCTGCCACCGGCGAAAGTGCCACTTGTGCAGCGAGGAACAGCGCAGACCAGCCAGTGGCAGTCGAGGTCTTGACCATAGTGGGCAGCGAGATTTTCGGGGATTGGGTGCAGAGGGTGTCGCACTGGTTTTGGGGTGGCTCGAGTTAGGTGGCCGATTCAGTTGAGGACTTCTGGACTGTGTCGACAGGGTCAGTGTCCACGTATGGGATGAAGGGACTCTTACAAGAGTCACTATAGTGAATAGGTGAGGAGTACGAAGGTGCGGTCGTTGGGAAGGATTTGGGCTTGGGGATGGGGATGGGTGATGGGGTGAAGAAGACCGTGGTTGGAGGCAAATATGAATCCTTTTATGCCATTTTGAAGCAGACCGTCCCCCCAAAAGTGTCGCCAGTCACGTCACACATTGTGGAGCAAGTTGTAGCTGACACAACAGTAGTCAAGACGGAGTAGGAACAGTAGTAACAATGCAGTAGGAACATTACTTAAGGCCCAGTAGGCACAGTACTACCATCAACAGTTGCAACATGGAAACCAAGTCATGTGTGGCACAACAGAAAGGCCAAAGAACCGTCAAAATATGTCAGCAGCCTGCTACGCCAACTTCCGTGGGTTGTTGTCGGGCAACATGTCGCAGTCGCGATCATTGCCGTATTTGCCAACGGTCATTCATGATGCCGAAACAGTCCCAGAGGTCAGTCTCATTATGATCAGTAATTCAAACCCAAGCGCAGTCCGCGAGAATCGACACCACTGATGCCGAACGCCCTACGACATTAACTGCCACGGGTGATGTCAACCGTCAGCTGCCATGTCAACTATCAGCTGTCAGCAAGGGTGGATGTATGGCAACTGCATCCCAAGGGGTGATTGCGAGGTATGTCACGATAGGGTTGCCCCCCGGACACCCTGTGCTGGATGGCAAGAGTGAAAATTCCAGCGGGGATGCACTCTGACCGACGCCCGGTTAAGTGGCGCCGTGTGTGAACGAACGCGGCGAAGTGTTGGTATGGCAGAGCAACACACGCTCCAGGGATGTTGATTTTGTGACTTCAGTTATACTAAATGTGTCCTAAGTGTACCGAATGGATATTGACTGGGTGAGTTCGCAGTTACGCTCGCCCTTGCCTTACTTTGTTCATGGCCACATGCGACCAGCTCCTCAGCATCAATTTGTTTTGCAGTTTAAATACACACTGGGCGTTCCGACTCTCCCTTAGAAGTATACACGCACGCCGCTTGTACAGTAGGGATCGAAGACAATGCAACCTTCGGCCCCAGGCGAGACCACTTCAGAAATGGAGCCCTGCCATTCGTTACATTCCGCGTCGTTGAGCAGTCGGAGCCCAATCTCCCGACCTGAGAACCAAGGGCTGATGCGGTATTTCACGGACCTCGCACACTTTGCCTTTGCTGTGTAGGGGTCGTACAAGGGAGAGCAACCGGAAACCCCATACTCATTCGTGCTCTGCCCCCCTTCCACCAGCAAAAATGCCTCGCCGTTGCAGGACGACTCGGCATAAAAGGACAGCGAGTATCCACGATCCTGCTTCCCCAGCTCCTCTTCAGTAGAGCGCACGTCCGGCACAGTGGCTACGTCCATGGGCGAAGCCATCACAGGCGAAAGTGCCATTTGGGCCGCGAGCAGCAAAGCTGCCCAGCCCGTGGCCCGCTTCGCACTTCCGGTCGTTAAGCTCGGTGCCATAGTGGACTGGATTGATGAAGATGACGAAAGAGGATGTCGAGAGAGGAGAACAGATAAGAGGGGAGAAATGAGGAGAGGTGGTCGGTGTGTACCGAGTTACGAAGTTGGGTGGAAACGAAGCTGATGTTAACGATAACGGCCGTGTGGGTTGTTCGATGCAGCCGGCGTACAGTAGTTTGTTCGCAGTATCAAGAGGTAAACAGGGACGGGTTGGCTGACAGTCAGATCAGCATGCCAACGTGGGAGTGAGTCTCGCAAGAGCCTCTGCAGTTGTACGCACCTAAAATGGGATCCTGTAGTCGTTGAGAAGCAAATGATGGTTGAGGAAGTGGATGAGGGACAAGCCATTCAGAAGGTCTCCACGACGTCCTTTTATGCATTTTTGGACGGCCACAATTCCTCCCACCGCCGGCGGACAGCCGGGTGACAGGATACGGAGTAGACCACAGGTCACAACACTGCATGCGCAAAATGCGTCTGACAATGCTGAAACCCATTACGTCGTCCTCATGAGTAGATCCGTGGGTTGTCGTCGACGAAACCAGTTCCGTGTTTATCGGTGTTTCCCTGACAAACCTTCGTAAACCTTTGGCCGAGGACTCCCAAAACGGCAGCAAAAATGGCGAACACGGCTGGGTCAGAACGACCTCCTATGGATTAACCCTATGAAACCGGTCCCCTCGGGGAAGTCTGGACACACGGGACTGTAAGTATGCACTGACCAGAGTTTTTGAAAAAAAAAAAAAGAAAAAAAAAGGTCAGTATTACCTTAAGCTTTCACGAGTGTCACGGAGTACATAACGATCACAGAAGACACCGCATAGCAAATGTCAAGTACGGCGGGTGATTGCTGGGCTGGACTGCCACAAAACAAATTCCAACACGGGATGCACGTCCATCTGCCCTTGTGTAAAGAGCTGAGAACGAGGCTACGGTAAATTCCGGAGCATTACGAACGCACGCGAAGGGCCTGAATGCCATCTCTTTGGCCATCACCTCACCCGCTCCCGACGTGCTTGTCGATGAAGTTCATACATAAGATAATGTGCTCGTCCTACTCGGCGTCAGCCACTCTGGCAGTGAAATTTACTATATCATCTTCATGAGTGAAGGGACGGGCAGGGGATCGCTCGCCAAACCCACATACTGGTTCTGAAGGTGCATAACACACACATTTCATTTCATCCACACACGCGGTGTACCTATTACTGAACTACATACAAACTTGACCAGTTGATCGCGTAATCACTTGACATACGCGCGGACCGCGTGGGCGCAGTCTGCGCTCGAGAGAGACTGGCAGGCCTTTGTGCCAGGCCAAATGTGAGTCTCATAGTCGAACAGCGCTCCCGTGCAGTCGTTTTTCTCCCACATGGAAAGAAACAACTTGCGGTCTGTGGATTCCCAGGTGTCGTGCTTGTGGATCATGATCGACCTCGCACACTTCTCCTGATTCCCGTTGAAGTTGGTGCTGGAGCAACCGGTATCCCCGGACTGCCCTCCATCAACCTGTAAATACGGCTCACCGGCGCACAACACACCTTCATAATACTCCAGCGTGTACCCGAGGTCACGCTTCTGCGCAGCCGAGTCGGCCCTGTCCAGCAGTGTCGAGGCTGTCACAGGCACAAGGTTCACTTGGGCCACGAGCAGCACTAGAGTTAGCGCGCCAGTGGCCCGTTTCATGATCCCGCCAGTTGAGTTGGGTAGCATGATGCGGAGGAGTGATGCTCGTCGGAGAAGGTGGGTGGGTTGGCACGAACTTGCCTCGAGCGCTGGTGGGGTGGTTGTTTGGGTCCACAGGCGTAGAAGTTGGTGTGGAGATGATGAAGCGGCTCACAGGATTGGCCGCGGAGAAGGGGCTTGGGATAAGGGGATTGGGATGGTGGCAAAATGGGTTATGTACAGACCACCTTTTATTCACTTTCGACGCCGGCGATTCCACAAACCGTTTCCAGCGGACTAAGTTGGAGCGGTGATCAGCTCACATGACAGCCAAAATTTGAAAAGATCTGCACAGCATGGGGGGGTGTTTGGAACAAGGAGGATGCACAAACAACTGGAAAATCCGTCACAAGAGGTTGTGGCAGATGAACTGCGGTGATCCGTGGGTTGTCGTCAGGATGCCAGTTCCGCAGGAGGAGGTGCTGTTTTGAGCGCGCTGACGAGTGTCCCGCTGGTCTCATACCAGACCAGTGGCCGACGGCCGGGTCTTCACAAATCGACTGAACAAGTTGCGAACTCGTGGGATGTGTTGGCTGTGTCTCGCCTTGAACTTTCATTTGGTGCGCGTCGTGTGGTGTCAACACCAACCGACGTGTTCTCTGACTGAAGCGACACTGCACATATAAAGATCCGTCGCATGTGTAGGCCCCCGATAAGGGACTACGGGGCGACGAAGCCCAGCAAGAGTGCCCGTCTGCGCAATGACCTGCAATGCGTCTTGTGATCTTGTGAATAGAAGATATGTACATATAGCAGCAACAGGCTCAGTAGCACACATAAGGCAGAGTTACGCCGCGTGGGCCATCAACCATATTTGTTACATAAGCTCACACGTCGCTGCCAGGCCGCACAACATATCTGCATTCATTTATTGTGACTACTTTGAGCCCCTGGCAGAAGTCGACGTGGCGACTGTTACATCGCGTTGGGCAATAGGGTGAACGCCCTTAATGCAGTCCAAGCCAGGGGCATATATGCACGTCTCCGTCGAGCCCTGCCAGTTGAAAAACTGTCCAGTGCAGTCTCCGTCCCCCGTCATGGCGACCTTCAGCTGCTTCGGATTGTCTGGGTCGTCCCAGACGCTGTGGAAGCGGACCATGATTGACCTCACACACTTGTCCTGAAGCGTGACGGGGTCTTTCATGTTGTTGAGGCAACCCACATCCGTGTAGTCCTCATAAGACATTCCAGTGTCGGTCTGCAAAAACGGGTCGCCTTGGCACCCATCGCTGTCGTGGTACTGCAGCGTGAACCACCGTATGCATGCAGTGGCTGGTCGCTCAAATTTGATGTGCATGCATGGAATATTGGTGGTAATACAAATTGTTTAATGTATGGCTGGTACTGAGACTGGTCAGAAATGTTGGGACGTGATCTGCAACTGCTTTGTAGCCGGGTACTGTATTGTCACTTCTGGTCTACCATATCAGTAGGCTTCAGCATCTGTAAACAAATGCAACTGTACTCGGTCTTGGATCAGGCGGATCACTGCTACACCGTGTTCTCACTGAATCGGCATGTACCTCTCCTTCTTCTTCAGATAACACGTGGGTACATGGCGCATGTGGATCGTCATTCCACGTTTATTGTGGTGCCGTCGTAGCAACCGGGCCGGCGGCGGTCGAATCTCCGGCGTGTGCGGGGTCTACATACCCAAAGACCAGAGCCTGGACGCTGCGGACGCAGTCTGTGTCCTCGACAGTCTGGCAATAGGTCTGCCCAGGCTGGAACCGTATGTATGTGTCCGTGATTATGTCCGAGCAGTCTGCGTTCCTCCTCAGTGTGAGATCCATCACGTTGGTTTCGTTCCAGGTGTGCTGTGCGTTGACCTTGACAGACCTCACACACTTCTCCTCCCGGGTGTAGGCGTCCTTCATATTGTTGAGGCAACCAGAACCCGTGTACTTATCCTCATCCATCCCCATGCCAGTCTCCAAAAAGGGGTCGCCTTGGCAAGACGTCCCTTCATAGTACTGCAGGGTGAACCATTGGTCACGCTTCTGTCCAGCGGAGTGCAATCTCTCCGCCAGACCCGTCGTGGGCATTGGCAGCGGTGACGCGATGACTGGCGAAAGTGCCAACTGGGCTGCGAGCAGGACAGTTGACCAACCGGTGGCCTTCTTTGCGATTCCGGCAGTTGAGCTTGGTGCCATGTTTGAGGTCAATGAAGGCGTGGAAAACGAGGTCGAGAGGGTGTGTACGAAGTTGGTTGGGGGAAAACGAAGGTTTGTGGTGGTCAACGTTGTTTGGGTCAACGTGTCGGTGTTGCAGAGATTACCGAAGCGACTGATGGCTAGCAGTTGGTCAACGTCCCACGTGCGATTGAGTGGATCTCACAGGAGTTGTCGCTGAGAAAGGGATTGTGATGGGGAAAAGTGGAGAATATGGCCTCCTTTTATGCCATTTTCGACGTCGACGTTTCCACCTGTTGAAACGAGTTGCATAGAAGAGAGAAAGAGAGATGCGTGCTCGGAGACTATGAAACCCTGAGCCCGAGCCCGAGCCCGAGCACAGAGCCCTTCCAACACCACCAAGCCTTGCCAACGGATTAACACAGGGTGGAGTCCAAGTTCCACTCATGGAATCCAGGCTCCAACGGGAGAGTTGGGTGGTATTGTACATCAATAAAAACATGAAACAACTAAAGAACTCCGTCTCGTGAGTGTATCTATGGCTATCGCAGAAGGAACCTCCGTGATCCGTGGGTTGTCGTCAAGGAGTCAGTTCCGTACGTGAGGGGCTGCCTCAAGACGAGTGTCCGGGGGCTCGTGAACCAGACCTGTGCAATGATCGAGCCCCTGAATTTCAAAAGCATGTAGACACAAACTGGATTGCGAAATCGTGGGACGTGGTGCGTATGATAGTACTGTATCGCCTTAAACTTTCACCTGGAGGCGTAAGGTTACAAGGTGTCAGTCAATACGGACATACCTGTGCTTTCGAAATGACACACCAGTAAAGATCTGACGCGATATCGTCGTCACCCAGAAACGAGTCACGTGTGATCGTGTGCTGTTGACCGTTTGACAGTCGAGGAATGCTAAAGTTGTTTTCATGGTTTCATTGCATACCCGGTAGACCAAGAAACGCGACTGCGAGGCTCAACGAGTGACGCCCAACGTGCTGTAATATGTCTTGTGCATAGGCATTTATATGTACCAACGGGATCAGCAACATCATATGACAGCTCTTCATGGCACTACTGGATCCCGATGCGCTTGTCAACGGAGTCCATGCTCGGTACAGCGAGCTCCTCCCATTTGGCGCAACTAGTATTCCGCAGCAAGTAAGTGTTGCAAGTGCCACTCTCAACACCGTGGTGACACTTCATCAATGGGGCTTGTTTAGGCGTGTGCACAATTCTGCTTCATGGACCATCCTGGCCTTCTATACGCACGTCTTTGTTGAGCTCACACGGGATAGCAGGTGCATGTGATTCTTCATATTTCATTCCACGATACCAGGTTACTACGCTGGCCCCGTCGTGGTCATGGCAGGGGGACGGGTCCATTCTTCGGGCGCTTTGTCTAGACGGACCGTAGGGTGGAAACCACGGATACATTCCGTGTCCGTAGCCATAGAGCTGCAAACGCTCTCCCCAGGATGGAGCCATATACCGCCTTCGTTAATGATGTTCTTGCAGTTTGCGTCACTGGCCATCGTCCATTCCAGGAGGTTGGCGCCATTCCATGTGTCCTTTGATGTGGTGATCCGGAAAGAACTCATACACTTATCCTCCATCGTGTAAGGGTCCTTCATATTGTTGAGGCAACCAGGATCCGTTTTCAGTTCCTCCCCCATCCCCGTGTTGACCTGCAAAAAGGGGTCGCCGTGGCATGAGTTTTTTTCATAGTACTCCACGGTAAACCACTGGTCACGCTTCTGTCCGGCAGAGTGAGCCTCCGCCAGACTGGTCGGGGCCACGTTCAGAGGTGAAGCCGCCACCGGCGAAAACGCAACTTGGGCCGCGAGCAGGAGAGCCGACCAGCCGGTGGCACGTTTGGCGAGTCCGCTTGTAGAGTTGGGCGCCATGCTGGGTAGTATCGATGAAGATGAGAAGGAAGTCGAGTATTGGATAACGCAAGGAGGCAGTTGGTGACTAGCAGTTGGTAAGCATCTAGAGGTAGGTGGCCTGCCGTGGGCCTCACAAGATTCTCTACACTGTTATGCACTGAAGATGGCGACAATAACAATGAGCTCGGAAGGGCATGAAAGGGATTGGAATGCGAGGAATATTGGCGGGACATGACCGTCCTTTTATGCCATTTTGCGACGCCCACTTGTACCCAGTAAAGGGTCACAATTCTAGGCGGTAAGAGCACAGCATGAGGACCACCTGTTGGACAGAAGCGTTGCATGGCACAAGGGGAAAAATACCGAGCAACGTTTTAAGAGTCCGTGATCCGTGGGGTGTCGTAGGGGGAGATGGTGTCGGTCATCGTTGTTGTGTCCGGAGACCAGCCAACGGCAGCACAGACAGTGAAATCGATTGAGTACTCCAAAAAGTCGAATTCTGGTGATCTGGTGTGGGTCATCGTGAAACGAAACTAGGAGCGACAGGAGAGCCATGGGCATCTCTGGAGTTCGGTCAGTATGTAGAAAATAGAGCTGTGAATTTTCCGGCCCCTTCATCCGCCGGAATGAGTCGTGTTGGCTTTGGGGACATGGTTTCATTTGTTGTATCAGCATCGCCTTGTATTTCACCCGAGTGTCCCGGAGGTCTCAGCGTTGACCTTGTGCAGAATCCAGATCTCTAGACACGACACAGCAAATGTATCAGTCCCGTTGGGTTGTTGCCGAGAATCCAGTCCCGTATGGCTAACACTTGTGGCAGCCGAAGACAGCAAATGCGCAAATGCGAAACGCGGCGGCAAATAATATTGTCACTTGTGGTCTACCATACTACTCATCCGGTTGATCCATGTCTCCCTCCCCTCCATCGAATGTTGGATATTATCCAACCACCCATGCATCCACAGCAACGCTAGGCCACCCCGCCCATGCCTTACCTCGACAACCTGCTTTTCCCCATTTACCACAGATACCCAGGCATGACGACCGAGGTGGATGTCGGCCACATCTCGACATGGACAGACATGGACTGGTTGCGAGACGTTCTCCAACAGCTGTGTCCCCCCCACGCATACACCCCTCGCCCCGACCTTTCCGGGCCCCATGCACGTGTTGCCCGACTTCAATTCCACGACGTTGCGGATGCCGACCGCACAATGGCCATCATGAACACACATCCAGTCCTGCGCGGCCACGACCTCACATTCTGCCGCCCGGGTGACGTGTTCTATCCCGAGCTGCGAGCACTGTTCACGGCCCGCGAAGTGGAGCCAGCCGCGTATGGGGGACCTCTTGTCTCCACAGGGGAAGATTGGATGAGGGAAAGAGGCTGGGACGAGGGGACACCATCGCCAGATCAAGTCTACGACGTCGCGATCAAGTGCGGCCCAGTGCATCACATCACCGTCCGCAGCCGCCCCACTGTTGACTCGCCATGGCAAGCGCTCGTGCAGTTCTTTGATACGGACGCCGCGAACAAGTTTGACGAACTTGACAACGACCTCGTCTTCGGATGGCGCGTGTGAGTCTTATTCCCACTGGACTGCTGCTTATTTCAGAAACGTGTACACACTGTCCAGCGATGATGCGGCCGAGAAGACGCTCAATAGCATCGATCGGCTCTGCGCTGCCAGGGGTCTCCCTCCACTAGGCGGTACCATTGCGCCAGTTGCCCCGGCGTCGGTCCACGACTCCCCATCGTCGTCCCGCAGCTCCCATGGCCTTTCCTGTAACCTGTTGTAGTGTGGCTTTGGGCTGTGAGATGTCATGTTGTAATCTTTGCAGGTTTCATCTTTTGTACAGGACCCGACTTTACTAGCACATTGATGTTGTAATCTAGTCCTGCGCCGACCTGTCGAGGCAGTTGAACAGCTCCAGCACTGCGGTTTCTGTCTGGCCACGACCTCCTCCGGCTGAATACTTGCGACAATGGTTGATGTTATGTATCGGCGGCGCGTTGAACTTTCCCCCGACTGTGGTGGAGTGTGCCGATCAGACGAGCACAGTGAGAAAACGATACAGCTAACGGTCGACCTGCGTCGAGCTTCCGGTGGGTGGCTGTCGCCAGGACAATTTGAACTGGGGTTGGCTAGCCATGTTGACTGCCAAGTGCAGCCCAGTGATCCCAGTGAAGGCCCCATTGCAGACCTGTTCGACCACACAACAAGGAAATGGGTCCCAGCGAGGCTTGTCTGTAACAAGCGGCAACCAGTCTTAGCAAGGTCAGTATGTAGCAACCAGCCGAGAAATATGGACCGAGGTAGGCACATTGGACAATGTGGGCAAGTGCGACAAAATACCATCTCCGTTTGATACAACTTTACGCGGTCCGGATGTGCTTGTCGATAAAGTCCATGCACGGGACAATGTACTGGTTCCATCCAGCATCTGTGGGCTCCTGATAGTGTAAGTAGAGCACGGCAAAGGGAAATGCCAGTGTCCAGCTGGCCTGGCCATCGTGCGGCGCACGTTTTACTCACCTCGATGACATTGTCGAAACAGTGGTTGCCCTCGGGCGAATACGCCTCGCCCACGGGCACACCCAGTGTCCTGAGCTTCTTGGCCATGTTGCGGCTCTGCGCGACGGGCACGGCCATGTCCACGTCGCCGTGGAGGAAGAATGTGGCCGGGTAGGTGCCCTTGATGTCGACGAGGTGGAACGGGGAGTAGTCGAGCAGCAGCTTGTCCAGAGCGTCAGGGTCGTCGAGCTTGCTGTCCTCGTCCACGTCGTGACGCCTCGCGAGCTTGCGGAACAGTTTGCGGTTACGGTCAAGAACGCCTAGCATGTCCATCCTCAGCGTGTGCTCGGGCGTGATCTGGAAATCGGGCACGCCCCAGAACGACCGGAGCGTCTCGAGACTCATGGCCGGCTCGACCTCCCACGACCACGGAACAATGTGCTGCGCCTTGCGCGGGTCCGTCTCGGCCAGCGCAGCGGCAATCTCCTCTTCGGTAAACTTGCCCGACAGCTTGAAAAAGTTCTTCCTCGCCTGCTCGGCGGGCGTGCTCTCGTCGACGCCGCGGCCGGTAAAGTATGGGTCCGTAGCGTCGGTGATGCCGTAAATGTCCAGCACGACCTTGGGCGACGGGTTGAGGTTGATGCCCGCAAGGGTCGACATGGTGCCGCCGGCAGAGTCTCCGCCGACGACAAGCGCCTCAACGTCGACATTGCCGGCGCCGAGGATCTTCGGCAGGTTCTCGCGACACCAGATGTGTGCGTCGATGGCGTCCTGGGCCATGTCGTCGAGGTTGACGTGCGGGAGGAACCGGTACGCAGCCGAGACGACGTGGTAACCCCTAGCACGGAAGGCTGGGACGACCCAGGCGTTGGGGATAACGTGCTTTCCGGCGCTGCAAGTGTCAGTTATACAGTTATCAGTGAAGCGTGAGTCCCGGGGCGACGACGCGCTCTGTATTGTAGGCGGCCGACGCGCTCGGCCGAACCACTACTCACGTAAAGCCTCCTCCGTGCCACCAGAGCAGCCACGGCCTGTTGCCTTGTCCCTCGGTCGCAGGCCAGATCCTCAGTGGAACATCGACCTCTGCGACAGTCTTGAAGACGTGGTCCGAGAAGGGAGTCGGGCAGGGGGAGAAGCTCTGAGTGCGGGTGGTCATGACGTCACACGGGGATGGGTGGTGGGTGTATCCAGCTGGTGTTGTCGATGGAGAATGTGGTGACCACGGTGATGAGCAAGGTAAGATATGCGGGAGATGGGGAGTGGGAGAGGAAGAGGTGGGAACCAGTCAGCAAGACGAAGACGAGAGTGCTCGTTATAGCCGTTCTGGTTGACGGTCCCCGCAGCGCGTCCAGCATATACAATAAAAGGCCGCATGCCCGCCGGGGGGCACCCGTCGGCCCCGCTGCATCCGAGAATCAGCCGTCCGTCTGCCGCTATTTTTCCGCCGTTCCGCTGTTTGCGGTCGACAAGACCGAGCCGCACTGCTCCTGCCGGCCTCTCATTAGCCCGGCTCGACGCAGTCACAATGCCTTACATCATCAGCAGTGACGGGCCCGGTCGATCAAGGTATGTGTGCCCCCATCTGGGGTATCCTTCTGACAGCCGCTGCAGATCCGGGTGCGGGCGGGGTAAACAAACATGACATGCCATCCACCTTCCACCCTTCCCTCTCTCCCCCACGCTCCTGCTAGTAATCTCTATTCACTACATTGATCTCACCATCTGACCACGCGCCCGCCTTGCCTGACATGGGCCCTGTGTCCTCACAGGTCGATCTCAGTGTCAAAGATAAAGGTCGCAAGATACCTCAGGCCAGCACTGACCTCTTCGCCCGTGGGGCGAATGAGGTGTGGTGGGAGGACGAAGCCGTACGTGCCCGTGTCACGCAACTCGGCAGAGTAGGACCATCGCACGTCGGCGACGGCGTACGAGTAGTCGATGGCGTCACCGGCAGAGCTGTGGACGGTTAGCTTGAGGAAAGACAAGACCGGGGGAAACACCGCCATGTGTGCTTGAGCGGCGAGCCGCGTGGGTTCGCTTGGTGAGGCTGCTGTATCCGGGCTACGTCGCACTGGTGGCACTTGCCGCAGCCCACAGACACCACCGCATTCAATAACAAGGAGCTCACGTTCCGCAGCCAACATGCGGCCCCATCCAGGGCACACAGTCCCTCCATGACGCAAGGCTCGCGTCCCACCAGCCAACCAGCATTGTCCCAACTCACCGGTAGGTCAGATCACAGGCCTGGCCAGTCTGGTATCCCTCGCCCTGTGTGGTCATCCTCATAGCCTTGGCCACGCCCAGGCCGGCCTCCATGAGGTTTTCGGCGTCGGGAGGAAAGTCGGCGCACGAGTACGCGAACGGGAACATGACTATTGGGGTCAGCCACTGCGTCGCCTACGCAAACTCACATAACTGGCCGTAGCTGTGGAGGTCGATAAACGCCTTGATGGGGAGGGTGCGGCCGGCCTCGGGGTTGGAGCCGTTGACGAGGTAGTCTGCCATGGCACGAGTCTCGTGGGCCTCAAACGCTGTTTGGCCCGAGTACGACTCGGAGCAGGCTAGACGGGACGGCACAAACTTGTGTCCCCAGTTGCCGTTGAGGTCGATGCCTGGAGAGTCAGCTGTGCGTCCGCTCACATGGAACAGCAATTGGAGGCCGGCTGGCAGCAGCAGCACTCACCTTTGCATAAGAGTCCGCCGACGTCCTGCCTGTTCTTCCTCCACAACCTGCTGTGCTCGTGCGAGTAGGTGAAGCCGTCAGGGTTGACCACGGCAACGACCGTGAACGTGAATGTGCGGAGGAGCTGGGCGGCGTGCGACGTCGAGTCGGCGGTAGCGTCGAGAACGAGCGAGTGGAGAAAGTACATGGCGGCCGAGGAAGACACCCACTGGGAGACACGTTAGCGTGCGTCCAGACACGCCCAACTAGCCGAGGGCTGCAATCTGTGCAGCTGTTTACTCACCTCGCGTGCGTGCTGGTTGGCCTGGATGATAAACTCAAACTTGTCGTTCTCATCGTGGGCATCCCCCCCATCCTCGGGAATGCCAGGCGTGGCCTCCTCGTCGATCTTGGCCGACCAAGCGCGGATCGGCCTCCCTTCGGCAGTCGTGCCGATGTCGTAGCTGGTGACAATGTTAAAGTGCGAGACGAGAGCCTCGCCAAACTGGTACACTTGGTCCAAGGTGTGGTAGCCATCATGGAACGGGGACGCCAAGGTGGTCACGTTCCAGACATCATCGTCGTCGCCGCCATCACCGGGCAGAGGGTCGTCGGCCACGGGAGCCGAGTCGAGCAGAGCCTGCACGTCTGGGATGTATGTTGATACCAGGTCGGCAGGGAGGAGCGAGCGCAAGATGGATTGCGATAAGGGCGGAACGCGGACGTCGAACGTTGTGCTCGATGCGCGCCAAATGTCCAGGCCGAGAGACTGGAGGAAACGGTCAGCATGGTGCGGCGGGTTGCGCACGGATGGGAGGGCGTGAGATCTGGGGGGTGGGGGGGGGGGGGGGGGGAGGAAAGAACGGTGTGAAGAGAACGGACGAGCCAAGAAGTGTATCACCCTGTCGCCAGACACCCCGCTTCATCCGCACCCACGTTCGTTGTACTCACGTCGGCGGCGTTGAGAATGTTGTCCTTTACGCGCGTACTCAACCTAGCCCAGTCGAGGCGCCAGACCTGGTGGCCGTCGTACCGCTCGTGCTTGCCATCACTGTCGAGCAGCTGGACATGGCCCTGCGCTGGGGGATCGGGCAAGGGGGCTTGGCTGCCCGACACGGCGGATACGGCCTGAGCGGCCAGATGGAACTGCTGCTGTTGTGCTGAGCGGGGTCCTGGGCCCGGTGCGCCGAGCGTGGCTGGGGCGATTGCGAGGAGGATGTATGGGAGTGACAGTGCCCGCATGATGGCGAGTGCAGTGTGGTGGATGACAATGAGGAGGAGAGAGTAGTGAGAGTGAGAGCGAGGATGAGAGATGTAAGACACCCCCTTGCTGTGGGATTCCCCGCCGCCCGTCTGCCCGCCCAGCCGGCCCAGCCCGCCGTCATTTTCAATGTGACCCCCATTATGCCCATTATCCCATCTCGTCATTGCACTCGAATTCAGCCTCCGTCAGTTCCGCCCAGCCCCATATGCACCATCCAATGTCCATGTGCTGCGAGTCACACGACCAAAGCAATGTTCTTTGCACGTACCTCTTCTAACGATCCCATGTCTTCTGTGGCCCTCGCCGGAACGTCATGCACACGGATCAATAGTACGTATAGCATCATCTTTCATTGACGGTTTACTCCCCCCCGCCCCTCGCACATGCCTTATCTCCACCGTCACGGATCATTGTTTCTCACACGCCACCACTAATCGTACTCTTGGCGGCCATAACCACCACGCCCACCACGCCCACCACGGCCCCCCTCGCTCTTGCTTTTATAGTAGCCTCCTCCTCCATAGTCCCCGCCAGAGTTGGGGTCGTCGCGGTCACCATAGGTGTGGTACCCTCCGCGGCCGCCCTGGTTCTTGTATCCTCCACGTCCACCACCTCGCGACCCACGGCCACGGTACCCACCACCACCACCCCCGTCTTCCGAGTGGTGGTTGTGGTGGTGGTACTGGTGCTGATGGTGCTGTGGGCTTTCATAGGAACTGTCATTTTCGTACTTTTTGTAAGGAGGCTTGCTGTACGGCTTGTCGTACGGCTTGCCCCCATGCTGCTGGTGCTGGTTCTGGTGCTTGGGAGCGTATCCACTATCGCTTTCGTACGAGGACCTGCTGTTGTCATACGTCTTCTTGAAGGGGACAAACTCCTTTCTAGAATCATGCACAAAGCCAGCACCGTTACCATGCTCGCGGGTCTTGTAGCCGCCCTGGCCCTGGTAGCTTGACGAAGATGGCTCGTCGCGGTAAGGTGCGCGAGCAGGAGACTCGTGCGGACGCTCTGCATACTCGCGACGAGATGGTTCACGGTATTCCAGTGCCAGAGGAGCAGGAGGAGCAGGAGGAGCGGGTGAGGAAGCCACCACCGGGGCAGACATCGTCGCCGGCACAACCAGCTTCTCCAGCTCGGCAATCTGGGCCTTGAGTAAGTGGAGTGTCTTGATGACCCATTCGCCCGACGGGTTAGCGACGACAGTTGTCGGAGTCAGAGCTGGGGCGGGAGCTGGAGCAGCCACGACAGGCTCATACTCGCGAACAGGAGCGGGCCGCTGCTCAATGTACCTGGTGGTAAGCACAGAATGTCAGTACAACCCACGGCACAGCATAGTCCGGACAACGCTCTTGTTGCTGGCGACCACGCTGGGCAGTCTCCAAGCTGCGCTGCTGGGGTTCCGTGTCGGATTCACGACGGCGCGAGTACTCTTCGTGGGTCTGGTAGGCGAGTGGCTCGCCAGCAGGTGGTGGGGAGGCGTAACGGCGGACAGGGGCAGTGCGTGGCGGTGACGCATGACGGGGGGAAGGAGCACGGGCACCGCGGCCAGGCGATGCGGATCGACCACGCTGGGGATACTGGCGCGGAGTCTGCTGGGGAACCTGGCTGTCGCGCGCACGCGCCTCTGCACGCTCGCGAGCGGCCTCGGCGTACGTGCCGTGAGTCGGGACGAGCGGCGTAAGCGAAGCACGCTTGGCGAATGGCGAGCTTTCGCGGGTGGCAGTGAGCGGGGTGGGGTAAGGAGCGTTGTCGTTGGGGGCCTGGCTGGTCTGGATAGGAGGCGCGGCAGGCTTTGGGGCCGAGGTGGCAGGGGACGCGTTGGCAGAGCCCTTGGCAGCAAGCTTCGCTTTGGCCTGCTTGAGCTTCTTGATCTTGTCCTTCAGGACCTGCTCGCGCGGCGTCGTCGACTCGGTTATTTCTCCGTCCTCCGCCTCCCCAACGGGGGTCTTCTTGGAAATATTGGAGGACGCCGGGGGCGCAGCAGCCGGTGATGGGGGCACCGCTCCAACACCGCCAAGGCCACCGCCGCCAGTGCCATTGTGGGGTTGGGAGTCTATCGCCTGCCCGACTGACTCGAGGAACGACTCTGCAGCGCGGTTGAGGTCCTGCGCCTGGTTACGACCGTTGCGGCTGGCTTCCACCTGTTGCTTGAAGAGCTTGAGCTTTTCCAGCGCCGAGAGCTCGGCACCTTGGACCGTGCCCGCGCCTGATGGGACTGATGGCTGGGATACGGCCGATATGGGGAGGGGTGGGGGCGACATGGGACGGCGGATCGGAGTAGGGGTGGAGAACGCGTTCTGCTGTGCAGAAGCGGCAGCGGCGTACGACGAAGACGCTGGTGGTGGGCCCGAACGCTCCTCTGCGGCCCTAGCGTCACGGCCACCATACTCGCCACCGCGATCCGAGGAAGCGTACGCGGTGCGGCTATCCATCTGGCGATTGTTGACATACGTCTCGCCCTGCCTGGGGTCAAAGTTGCCGTTATTGTTGCTATGCTGGTCGTAGTCGCGCTGTCGACTGTAGCCGCCTTGCGAGTTGCCCATGGTGTTTTGATCTGAGCGGTCGTAAGAACTGTGCGCCCCGATGGTGGAAGAAGGACCAGCATAGCCGGAATCAAAGCGTGCTGCTGGAGGGTACGACGAGGACGAGCCGTTCTGGCTCTGATGGGATGGCGGTCCGTTGTGTTGCTTCTGTTTGCGATGGTCGTGCGGCGAGTCATGGTGTTGTTGCTGTTGCGGGTGATCGCGTTTATCATGCTGGGACTTCTTCTTGCCCTCGTACTTGGCCTTCTTCTTTGCTGCGAAATCTGGGTCGTAGCGGTTCCCCTTGTAAAATCCAAGTGGGTCGTAGGACATGGTTGTTCGTGAGGGACACCCGGGGGGGGGGGGGGGGGGGGGGGTGTTGGGAGGCGTGAATGGCTAGGTCACAGCCGCGAGCTTGAAGACTCTTTCAAGGCGAGGGGAGAGAGAGACCGAGAGAGAGAGAGATAGCCGCGTGCAGATGAACCAGCTGGAGGGCTCTGTTCTGACGTGCGATGGGTGTGGGAAAGTCAAACGCGTGCACAGGGGAATTGAGTGTCCGGGCGCGGAGGCGCGATAGAAGGGGAGAAAAAACCCCTGTGGCCTGTGGACTGCAGCAAAAAGTCGGTGCAGGAGACACGTCGCCTTGTGTGCGCTGTCGGAGTGAGCTGCGGGAGTTGGGGGTTTGGGGGGAAGCTGCTTTTGGGGGCTGATAGAAGATGGGAAGCAATCCGATCTACCAAGAGCATTGGCATCGAAGCCATCGAAGCGACCTCCACCTCGATACCGTCACCGACGCGTGCTCGCCAAAAGGGGGCCACAGGGGCCACGGGAGGTAACTCGAGATATCCCCGCATATCGCCGGCCCGCGCCGCGTCGGTGAGGCTTGGGCGCTGTGCCGCTCAGACAGTCACGGTGGCTCCCCAAAAGTGGCGAGTGGCGCATCTCTCGTTCCTCTACGATCTACAACCCGTGCCACTCTTACCATGGACAAGGACCATCGATACGTCGGCACCTACGCCGAGCTCATGCTGGCCGCCGACTACGCTCGGCCTCGATACAAGCAGCGCAAGTCGTTCTTCAAGACTGACGCATACATCGACGTCGTATTCTCCGTCTTCAACCGGCCGGAATCCGACAAGAGCGTCGAGAAGATGATGGCTGATTGCCACCAGAAGTGGTGCGAAGACCTTATCGACTATGTCGACAACCACTTTGGCCCCGCTGTCACGGCGTCCGCCGCCTCTGGAAAGCCGATTCCGGTCTCCCTGACCAAGGAGGCCGGAAAGCTGACCAGCTGGAAGACCTTCGTGAGAGAATCCGATGCTCAGCGGCAAGACTAGGGCTAACTGTTGAAGCGCGTTTCCCTTGAGGCCAAGTTTCTCGACTTCCTCGAGGACTTCCTCGAGGACCCCCAACAAGGAGGCCCTCCATGGCTCTCTCGCAGCCATCATTACACAGCTTACCAAGCCGCAGACTCTCGTTGTCGGTGCGGAGTCCTTCATCGTTTCAGTTTCGGGTCGTGTCATTGAAGACGCGTGGAACAAGCCGTCTGAACCCGACTCCGACGGTTACACCGGCTGGATCGAGGTGAGCACTGTCAGAAAGCAACGTTTGGACATCAGGAGCTAACATGTGTCCAGAAGCTGCGAGATCGTGGCGTCGTCCTTCCCCTTGGAAACGGCGTCGGCGTGTTGGACGGAATCGGCCACAGGCGCGGCGACAAGATCGTCGACAAGTACCACAAGAAGTACGCTTCGCTCCTTCCGGCCGCCCTGCGCACCGCCCTAACAGCAGTCGCATGTGGAATGGACCCCTCCCCAACTGCCCTCGCGTCTGTCATCATGACGCACAACAAGTTTGTCCTGAACGGAGACTCAGCATATCGTCTTAGCCGTGTGATGCGAGCCGTCGCCAAGGAGCTTCCCCCTGGCACTATCCTCAAACATCCCAACGACTTCGCGGCCCACATTCCCTCCGGCTACAACCCGTCGAGACACAAGTCGGGGAAAGGCAGTGGCAAGAAGTCGAAGAGAGCGAAGACCCAGGCCACCCAGCTCAAGAAATGGACGGCGCTGTGGCTGAAAGATACGGTCCCGTTTCCTTCCCAGCTGTCACCGCCATGCGACGCGGTCGTCAATGACCCGATGTACAGGATTTTGCGGGACGTCAACCCCACCAATCGTCTCGCCATGATCCTGCACGCAAGGGTCTGCCTGCCGACCACGTCGCTTCGTTTGGCGGCGCTGAAGATCAGGCCTCATTTGTTGACACGCTGAAGGCCGACACCGCCAGCTGGCGTGACGCAATCCGTCGGAACGGTTGCCCAGTGAGTGCATGTCCGTTAGTAAGGATTATTGTTGACAACGCAGAGGCACGGCTGTCACTGCGGTCAGGGCACTGGATTCCTGGCAGAAGACGGCCTCCCGTCACCTCGGGACGGTCAAGTGGTATCTTACTACCACTTTACCGAGATGTGGTGTCCAAGACGTAATGTTGCTTTACTCCGTTAAAACTTGGCTCACTCCTTGCAGGCTTCAGATGGACAATGTGTACCACGACCTTGTTACGAATCCTACCACCATGAAGTCGAGGAACGCAAAGGGTCAGACTCTCCAGGCCACTGCACGACTCTTTGGTGTCTGCAGTGGACCTTTTTGCGACAACTCGAGCATCGTGGTCTTTCAGCCGATGTCACGTTCTCCAACCACTCTTGGGTTGCCAGGAAAATCAGGCGGGTGAGTCGGCCATGTCTTCATGGGTACCCAAGAAGTTTTTGGCAAATTGGAGGCGGATGGATGCCGTAACTTGTTGCACGTGCTGACTACAGCGTCCACTACTTGCTGTGCGACCGCTGCGCTCGCCGTGACATCGCCCACGTCGCCAAACAAGTGGCGTTCATCCGCCAGGCTGCAACCAAGCTGGGGTCGGGAAAGAGCGTCGAGGACCTGCCCGTTGAACAGCGCGTGAGTACTCATCCTGGGCCAGACCTCAGCAACCCCGCGGACTACCATCTACTCTGAGCTCACGGCTGATGAGCTTCAGATACTCTACGACAGCGACGCCGGTGAGGCCCTCACGCAAGAGACTTGCGGTGACGCCCCCCTCGGTAACTTCGGTTGCTGAGGCAAGGTTGGGTGAGTTGGTCGTTGTAAAAGGTTGGCCGACCAGACGCTGACCTGCAGGATGCTGGCTGACGCGCGCCACCATAAAGTGAAGAACCGTGAAGGAAAACATGTGTTCCCTCCATGAGCGCGGCTCATTCCGGGCATCATTCGCAGCCCCGCCGAGTGAGTGGATGAGCCAGACTGATCCCGCTGGTCGCTCGCGCATCCTCGATTCCCCCGTGGATGTGAGTCCGTCATTTGAGCGGCACTTCACAGGACCATTGGTTGCAGCGTGCTGAGAATGTGGGAACTGTACGCTGACAATATTGCTACAGTCGATCCGAGGAGCTGGAGGAGACGTCAACGCCATCGTCAAGCAGCTGGACACAAACGTCCACACGCTTGACAATAGGTTCGCCATGACTGTTTTTTTGTAGCTTTACATATCTCCTGCGCTTTCCCGGTGTCACCAACGTACTTATCAGTGACGCTGCTGTGTGTGCAGCCCTGGAGCAGCTCTCTCCAATGAGTTCCTGATGTAAACGAAGCCAAACTAGCCATCACATCAACTGACCAATGTAGCCCGTCAACGATGACGACGGCGAATAACCAACTCCTAGTCCGCTTCCTTGTCCGCAGTCGAAGACTTATCGTCCACCCCTGTACATACCCATATTGCGCTTTTCGCGTGGTGGTGTTTCTGGCCCGGACTTGCGTATTCTAATTCCCCTCATGCATATTAGAGTCTGGAATTGTTGCAAAGAGTCTCTCGAGATCGTACAACATGGTGTGCTGCTGCGTAAACCAAGTATTTCTAGCGCCGCCGGATTCAAATGCTCCTGTGTCGGTTTCGTGGCGGCTGGTGGATCCGCCTAGTTGACACAAACATGGATCACCCCGTCGCATCAAAACACCCACTGCCTCGTCTGTGCTTCACATCGTCCAAAGTCGCTCCCCCCCTCACACACCTCAGCTCTAGTCGCACATCCGGCCCCACCAACACCCACAACATCCCCAGGACCGCATACACATCGCCGCCGTTTTAGCCTTCCTGGCTGTTGTGCACTCCTCAACTGGCTTCCCAGCACAGCTATCGTCCTCCCCCCATCTCCCCCCCCCCCCTGTGTTTCCTCTCTTCACAACCTCCTCGCGCCATGCCGGGGGCACCCTCCAAACGCATCCACCTAGATGACCAGGAAGGCTCTCACCAGGTGAATGGGAGCCAGGTGGCGGCCTTGGGACGAGCCGCTCTGGACGACTTTGCGAGACCCGAGGACGACGAAGCCGATGTTCCGACCATCTCGGCAGTCGATGTGGAGACGCAACACCTTCTCACCACCTGCAGGGGTGAGCCGGGGTCGATTATGGATCAGCTAAGCCGTCGTCGTCCGACCACTATCGTGCACCAACAGCAAATCGCTCCCGGTCAGCTGTCAAGCCTCGCCGAACAGGGTCTACAAACGGGCGCTCGTCAGCTCGATCGCGTCCTGGACGGGGGACTGGGTCGACTCGCAAGCGGAGAACTGACGTTGGAGGCTACCTTGGCGACCGATTACATCAGCGAGCACTCCGTGGGCTTCGCTCAGCAGATTGAGGTTCGCCAGCGCGCAGTGGCGGAGCTTGTCGAGTACGAGGACCTCGCCGCCCACATTAGCTCTTGCCTCAGCCACTCCAACCCGTACTTGCTATTCGGGTCACCCGGAGCTTGCAGCAATTACCCATACTGGAACAGCGCGATTACCGTCTTCCTCCAGCGCGGCGTTCAAGGCAAGCCCGCAATCATGTCCGTGAAGATGGAGGTCGGCGACCCGAGTCGCCCCGAGGTCCCGGCCGTCTACGCCATCTTCTTCGATGACTCGATCTTCAAACTGCACTCTTCCATCATTCAAAATTCTGCCTCTGTATCTCCACAGTGGAAGCACCCCCGACCTTCGAAACTCCGTACCCTTCGTCCACTGGCCGCAAACAGCTTCGGAACTGGCGTAGCCGCTGCCATTGCGGAATCGGACCGCCTTCATGACGGAATCGCTTTGAGCACTCGACCCAGCTTGTTTGATTTCATTGAACAACGCCGGGCCGAGTTGACCGTCCACGACAACAAGGAAACGCTTCTCCCTTTGCAGCTCCCCTCCCCCCGTCCGGGTCCCGACAAGAAGATCACTGCGGTGTACTACCACGAGCTCGCCGATGCCATCAACCAACCCCTTTACGTGGCCCGCTTGGACCACTGCTGCTGGCCACTTTATGAATTGGCCGCCCAATCTGACCTAGACGAGCCGGCATCAGTCTTTATCCGTGGTATCGCGGCCGGTTCTGTCCATCCCGACCATGTACCGCCCAACACGCCCACAATCTTTGAAGTCGTCGTAACACGCCAGTCGAGCCTCGCCACCGCCCAGGCCAGTCGTCGCAGCCTCACCGGCGTTACCTCAAGCGACACGGTCATCATTGGGGCGCCTTCCGACGACCAATACAGAGCCGCCTACGCGCCAATGGCGGCCATAACCAAGTCTCTCCTGCCCAAGAACATTCCCACCGGCCTCATGCACATGCTGCGCGGTGACACAACAAGCTCAATTTATACCATCGGTGTTCTTGCGCACCCCCAAGGCTTTTCGAGCGCTATCGGCATCAACTACGTCCATGTACACCGCGTCACTCCGATCCGCTCACTCGTTACCCCACACGTCCTCCGTATCGTCAACCCAATCACGGCTACTCGTATGGGCATTGTTGCGATCGATGGCGTCATTAAGGAGCCCCTGGTCAAGCACTCGGCACCTAACACCGCGTTTAGCTTCCCATGTCACCTGGTGTCTGGAACGCGCGGCGAGACTGAGACCACCGAGGAGAAGGAGCAGTCCCTACGATCCCGACACCAATACATTATCCGGCGTCTTGGTAAACCCGAGCTTCTGATCCTGGTTTCCAATCTCGCTAGCGAGAACGATGTCGTTGACGCCATTGTCAACATGCCCTACTCGCTGTATGGTAACGTCGACGACACTAAAGCCGTTTTGCGCCTCGTACGCCAAGACAACCTTAGCCAGGTCAAGAAGTTGGAGGCCGAAGGCAAATTCGAGAAGGACAAGAAACTCAAGGCGATTGCATCGGGTTCCAAGATGTCCAAGGGAACCCGTCCTACAGGAATTCTTAAGTTTGGAAAAGATCGGTATGGTCTGTGACTGTGCAGATAGTAAAGATAAATGTCGCTTTTTCGTGATACTGAAGTGGAGTAGCAGCCACTCTGAGTGATAGTCTGCCATGTGCGTTGATAGCGAAAGCGCTAATGTGCTTTGCATGTATACTCTTTTTTGTTGAGGATAACTACATATCATGAGTTCCCCGCATCAACCTTCCGAGCCCCGCTGCCCTCTGACTTGGAAGGGAGAGTGCCAGGCAACCTGAGTCCACCAAAACGCTGTTTGTGGTTCATGGAGCATGCATACCAGTGACCGAGTATTCTTGCATCTCTCCCCGTTCCCAGCACTTCACTCGTCCCCTTCAAATTACACTTTTTCAACGTAAAATTCCGCCAAAACCCTTCAAAAAACAACCATTTTCTGACCTATTCACCTTAGGCCTGCTTCTCATCGACCTCGACGACGTGGCCATCGGTCTCGACAATAATTTTGTCCTTGCGCTTAGAGGCGGTGACGGGGTTGGGCTGGTCGTAGATCCAGGCAAGCTCCTCGAGGGTACGGCCCTGGGACTCGACGGCGCAGAAGTAGAAGACGACGATCCAGAAGAAGTCGAGGCCGACGAACACCCACATGTAGTTGTAGCCCATGTTGGCGAGACCGATGGGAGCGGCAAACTGGCCGATAAAGCCAATGGCACCGAGGACGAACGACGAGAAGGCAAGACCCTTGGCACGAGTGGTAGTCTCAAGAGCCTCAGTAGGGACGACGGCCTGGAGCGGGGTGTAACCGAAGCAGTAGGCAATGCCCGACAGCTGGCCGACAATGATGGTACCGATCGAGAAGCCGTACGAGATACCGAATCCGTCGCTAGTGTGCTCGCCACCGCTGTTGATGCGGTCGGCAGCGTACTTGGTGAGACCAGTGTTGAGGAGCTGGAAGCAGGCAACGGCGATGGTACCGTAGATGAGGGCACCACGACGGGGCATCCTGTCGGACAGGAGACCGGCGGAGACAGCAGCCGCACATGAGATGAACTGGCCGATGAGGTTGATCATGAGCTGCTTGGTGGTGCTGGTCAGTCCCACCATGTCGTAGATGAAAGTGTTGAAGTAACCAGTGCCGCCAGTGGTGTACTGGGGAATGAGCGAGATGAGGAAGACCTGGAGCATACGCCAGCGGTTGGCGTGGGAGGTAATAAGAGGTCCGTCTGCGAATCGTCAGCTTGCTGAGTCTGTAATGATCTGTATTTCAAAACTCACAGTCCCACCAGCGCTTGTCAATACCGTCCTGAACGATGCTCTCACGCCACTCGTCGATCTCAAAGTGAACGAGTGGCGACCTGCTGTCGCCATCGCCGTGGTACTCGACGAGGAACTGGAAGGCTTCCTCCTCCTTGCCGTTCATGAACTGCCAACGAGGAGACTCGGGCATGAAGTAGAGGTTGGCAAGAACAAAGACACAGGCGAAACACTGGAGAGCAAGGGGAATACGCCACTGAAGGTTGCTGTTGAGGTACGAGCAACCAAAGGTGATAGCTGCCGCAGGAATGGCTCCTCCGAACCATCCAAGGTTGTAAAGACCAACGCATCGCCCACGCCACTGCGGTGGCGATAATTCCGCAACGTAGGCCGGTGCAGCGTTCGTCATGATGGCGACACCAAAACCGAGCAAGAAACGAGCGACAACGAGTTGAGCGACGGTGTGAGTGGTGGCGGACAAAATACCTCCGACGATGATAATAATCCCTCCGAGACCCATTGTCTTTTTACGGCCGTACCTGTCGTTGAAAGTAGCAGCAATTGGAGCAGAGATCATGGAGCCAGCAGTGTAGATGGAGAAGATGAGACTGGTGTTGAGGTTCGCTTTGGCGTTGAAGTACGATTGGAAGTGGCTCATTGCGAGGACCGAAGACATGACGGAGCCGTCGTAGCCGTTGGCACAATCGCAGGTAAAGGCGACAAACATGCAGTAGAACATCCACAGCGAACGCTTCGAACTGGCCTTGAGGTTGGACTCGGAGACAGCGGCATAGAAACGCGCCTGGACGGTGTCAGCACAGACGGTTGACGTGCTTCACTTACATTGCGGACTTCCATACGCTTGCCCTCCAGACGAGCCGCCTCAATGGCGCTCATGTGCTGGACTTCGCCGGCCGCAGCCTGGGGAATTTCCTTGACATCTTCCTGTTGAATGTCAACAGCCTTGTCGTCGAGGGACATGTTGATCGTGTTGTTGGTGGGGGTGAAGACTCCAGGGCGTGGTCATAGCGGTATATAACGAGCTTCTTGCTCGCCAAGAAGTCGTGCCTCTACGATCTCCCTGCCACTTGCCGGCTAGTTCTGGGACCTGGTGTATGCTGTCGGGCCGACAGGGACGGCAAGAGGTGCCCCGATGAGTCCCCACAGGCCACCATGGCGGTGTATGGGGTGATGATCATCACATAGGACGGGGCCACATCCGTCCCGGAGGGCCATGTCGGGGTCCCGGCACTCCACAAGTTGGGACTCTTGTTTTCGGCCGCTCGGCTAATTTCTCTGACGGCATGAGCTTATGCCCCCCCCCCACCATGCCCACCTCGAGACAATGTGCCTTTGCCATGGCCTCCCTGAGCTGTGCCAAATGAGCCGTTCCTCGGTACACCACTACTGCTGCACTGCTGTGTGATCCACCTCGCCATCGTCTTGTCCTAAAATGAGCCGTTGGACGGGGAAGCGGGGCCCGCCAGTTGCTATCTTTGCAGTATCTGATCTGTTTTCGTGCCGTCCCGCGATCGAAGCGGGGCCCGTAGCAGCACATGTGCCCTCGGCATTGCAAGTCAGGCAGCCGGGAAGGCACAGCTGAGGCTGCTTCGTGAGGAGCTGCACCCCCCGATGTTGGCACGGCGACAATGAACGCCGCCGCGTTCAAGCCACTGCGCCTCCAGTCAGATGATACCACCTTGCGCAGGCACCACACGGCATGTGTGCGAGTGGGAGAGTTTCACGCCTGAGTGTATTGCACGCCAACCACAAGCCGGCGATGTGGGGCCGACGATGAAATGGGGATGGAGAGGAGCCGTCATCAATACGGGCCGTTATTGATCCGGAATTGCATTTGGGGCGAGTTGTAAGTTTCATCAGACTTGCACCCCATTACCATGGTCTCTTTCCATTATGCACGCTCCACGCATCATGGATCATGTTGCTCGTTACCAGCGAGATGCGCACAGGACCACGGTCATGGTGGATGTTGGCCGGGATATAGTTGAAAATGAGCCGATTCCGTCCCTCGTTGGCCGTCACAGCCGCGCCATAGGTGGTGCCTTAGAACCAACCCTTGGCCCTTGGTGTGCAGCGGTCGTGTTCGGCGACGTCGGAGCGAGAGGCGGCGCCATCGTGGTGCTGCAGCGCGCGGGAAAAGGTCAAGCGCACAAGCGGTGGGAAAACCGGCATGTGAAGGCTACGCTCGGTCTCGTCGGCGAGGTCGTTGGATGTAACCGCAGTTCTGCGGAATGCACTGGCCGGCTCACCCAAGCGACGGCCGCGACCCTTTCGGACGCGGCTTTCCGACACGAGCACCGGGAGGAAGAAAGGCATTGCCACTGTTTTGCTTCTATGCCCCGCACAATGCGGGCCGGTGCTTGGGCATGGGCGTGCCGAGGGGTTGAGGTGCCGGCATCGTGTGAACACCTGCTTTTTATTCAACAGGCTAGATGCAACTTCGGCGTGATTGCGGGGTGATTGGCACGCCGTGCGCAGTGTGGCGCCCAAGCCAACAGAGCCTCTGCTGTCCCCCGGGCGGGGTTGAGAATAGTTTGAGAAGCCGGTGTGCAGAGTTCACTGCCGCGTGCACGACGAGGTCAGCTGCAAGCGACGACGGGGTAGCGGCCGTCGCGGGCCGGTACGCCGGGCTTAGCGCGTTTGTCTGAATATGACGACAGGACAAACGTAAGGGTGAGGGTTGTCATTGCCTACCGGCTTCGGCAAGCTCCCGTGCGCTTGTCGCGTGCAAAAGTGGACAGCATGGTGATGAGATGAAGTGAGATGAAGTGAGCGAAGATGTGTGCGTCGACTGTTGAAGACTGTTTCATAGCCTGTGCTTGGGGATACGTGTGCCTTGGGGACCCGCAGTGGAGGACGTCCACCCTTGTGTGTGACTGACCAAGCCCGTCGATGATAATCGGTGCTACGACTGTTGGAGGTCGTAAGGATCTTTCCGTTGGCTATTTGCCCGCCCAAGACGGTCCAATAAACCTTGCGGTCGGTACTGGCAGAGTCCTTTCAGGAGGCCATTGTTTTCCCATTCTTCGCACCCTCCTCCACGACAACCTACGCTCACTTTCAGTCCTACGAATCTACTTGTATGGTAGCTCTACGAATTTCCCTTTCGTGGAGGTGCTCCCACATGGTGCTCAGAATACACGGTTCTCTTGCTACCTTTGTGTCGCCGGGTCTGAGGCTTTGCAGCACCTTGGGCCGTCCGTGGCTCAGGGCGAGTGGCTTGCCGGTGTGTGCGAACGGCACTGAGCTTTGGAGTCTGCCCCTCATCCACCCGCTTGTCCTCGGCAACCCCATTTGCCAGGCTGAACAATACAGAACGCTCGGGGGTGAGGGGGGCCGAACAAGAGTACGGCCTTATTGTGGCGGACTGGGAGACGCCTTGTTCACACTCCCACGGATCTGGTTCTAGTTTTCCCTCCGGCCCGCTCGGCGTGGCCAGTCGAGAGCAAGGTCGTCCCAACCTGAGCCCGGCGAGTTGCTGCGTGAGCTGGAGAACCTTTCCACGGCGGTCCGGATCGCGTATGTCGAATGGCAGAGGGCTGGGAGGAGTGGGTGGCCAACATGGCGCGCATGGACATGAGCCACGTGGCGTCGATGAGGACGCGGGGTAAAAGTATGGGGCGGGCGCGAACGGGTCGACTTCCGCTTGAAGAGACTCCATGACTTCTTCCCACACTGCGTTTTCAGCGGCGATGAGTTCTTCCGTTTCGTATACGTGATCTGCGGTTGCAAGAAGCGTGCCGATGAAGAGCCCGGCGAGGGCTACGGCGAAGACTGGCATGTGGTGATGGTGGAGTTTGATTTTGGTGTTTTGTGGTAAAATGGGCAGTCAGTGGGCTGTCTCTTTCTCGTACCCCATGTCCCATCAGTGTTTGTATGATACCACGCTCTCAGGCTGCAAGGGTGATAGGTATTAGACAGAGACATGTGTGTATTTGATTCATTTTGCTGGTATGGAAATGCAAACAGTGTGCCAGGGAGGACACCGCTTCTCACGTCCACGTCCGGTTACACGGTGCCAGTGTGGTAGCCAAAGAGACGAGTTGCGGGACACAGGCAAGGGGCATGCCAACTTGCTTACATGTGACCAAAGTAACCGCCACGGAGGGGCGACGGGGGAGCAGGGATGAGGAAGGCCGGGTCGTCGCAGCCGAAACAAATGTCACCAAAGGTGGGGCTGCGGGTGGAGAGGCGGAGCACGTTGGGGTTGTTGGCAAGCATGAACGGCGGGGGTGCGGAAAAGGTGACACCGCTGGGAGGCGGAGCAAAGACACCGGGAGGGAAGAATGAGACGTTGTAGGCAGTGGGAGGGGTGCTGAAGGCGGGGACACTGGGGACAAACTCGGCTGCAGAGGGGTTGAGGCGGTGAACAGCGGTGGACGAGCGCTTGGCCTCCAGCATGGCAAGGCGGGCCTCGGCCTCTTCCAGCGATTCGTGGAGTTCTTTAATAACGCGAACAGTGTCGTGGTAGTAGTAGTCATCATCTTTGATGGAGTGGTTGGACATGGGTGAGTTGGGGAAAAGCTCGGCGAAGGTGGCCAGGTTGTCGGGTGGGTCGCAGTGGTCGCAGTAGCAGTGGCCGTGGTTGTAGACGTCTTCTTCTTCGGCGTCTTCGACTGTGGCCTTGAGGGATGACTTTTCGTCGGCGTCGTTGTCGTGCTGGTCCTCGGCGTCGGGGGTCTTGGTCTTGGTGATGAGGGCCGTGACTGCGCCAGCGGTGGCCGTGCCGGCGGCAACAATGCCGGCCAGAGTGAGAGTGACAAGCATGTGAGGGGTTGTGAAGGGGTGGGGAAGAGCTTGGGCTAAGGAGTTGCCACTGGTGGGTGGTGTTTGGGAGAGGGAAGAGTGTGGCAAAAAGCAAATGATGCACGGGGAGAGGGGGGTCTTTTTTAACTTGATTGTGCAACGCCACCAAGAAGCGGTCAGCCGTCGTGGTGCCATCACTTTTGTTGTTCCAGGCGAGATCAGTATCTGTGGTATGTGGTGCGTGACTGATGGACGTTGCATGCTCCATGTCTGATGCGTGATGGGGTTTGAACGAGGCGAAACGAGGCGACAAAAGGCCCTGAGTGGCACGTCGAGTCCCCGGCATACATTGTGGACAATACGTAGGTCGCTTGCCGAGTAATGGCACTGACATGGCAAGTGGTCAACTCGCAGCTACTTCGAAAGCAATGAATAAAAAGAATGGACGATGCAAGAGTGGTGCGGCGGCGATGATGCATGTGCATACATTGTGCAGAGTGTTGGCACAAGGGCAGTGATGGTACTGTACAAAGGAGCCGGGAGGAAGTGCGGCCTCGCCACCGCTCCGTCTTCCCATCACTCAAAACTCCCTGATCCCTCGCAATGGTCGACTGGATAGTGCTCCAAAATGAATGGGTTGATGAGAGGTTTTGGTGCTGGCACGCATCAGCCGGTACGACCAGAAGTTGTTCACCGCGGCAATTAAACGGAGGAAAATGATTTGAAAATCAGTAAAGGAGTGGGCGAGGTTTGACACACCAAGTGGTACGGTTTCTATGCCCCTTGTCAAAGATTGGTGGGGGAAGGGCTGTGCAGAAGCAGCCTTGTGGCCCACATCGTGATTGAGTGGGGCAGGTTAACCAGGCTGGGGCGGGAAGTGGGAGGGCGAGTGGAACTTGTGGGCAGTGATCGGGGCGAAGTGTACACACCTCGCCGATCCACGCTGTTTGTATCCGCCGATCCCAAGGCCCGCGCCGATCTGTGTGGGGCGCACCATCCACCACCACCATCCGTCACGGCGACTTTTCCACAAAATCTTTCATTCCTCATCCGTCCATGCATGGATTGCGTTCGTTGTCGCATGGATCAGTAGCCCTGCATCAGGAGAACAAACATCGCAAGGCAATGTGGCGGAGTGGTTAACGCGATTGACTAGAAATCAATTTCCTTCGGGAGCATCTGTTCGAATCAGGTCATTGTCGAGCGAGTACGAGCCGAGCCATCGGAGCGTCTTCTTTTGGTGGGTGGAAGAGGGGTGGGGGGCGACGTCTGTTTTTGTTGGTGCTAGGGGATCGGAGGGACTGCTGGAGCCCAAGTGAGACTGAAGAGACGGTGGACGAGAACGCCGGCGAGGATGTTGAGCCACCTCCACTTGTTGCCGGCATTGCCGCTGTTTACCGCGCCCACCTCTCCAGTGTTGCTTTCCATTCCACCATCGGCATTCATCGCATGTCACACTTACTTACACTTGACGCACCTGACACACTTGACTTACGCGCGCAGCAGTCGCACCGATGCCGCCAGAGTCCGGCCGCCTGGGCAAGGGGAAGAGGGTAGGCGGTTGAAACGGCACCACACTCACACCCACAGGTAGCAAGTTGTGACATTTGCCGCAGCAGAAAGGTGTGTCGATGGGAGGACGGAGCTGACAGACCAGATCAAATGCATCAAGGTCACTGGGAAGGCCGAGTGCGCCAACTGCACTCAGGCCAAGTCCAGCTGTACCTTCCTTCTTTCCAACCAGCCAACGGTCCGAAAGCCGTGCGTGATGTTGTGAAAGTGCAGGGCTCACTCTCAGATATGGCCGACCGTACGCTCCATCCGAGTCATCGGTAGCAGGCTCAAGCGTGCTCGACGTCCCCGGTCCATCGACGATACGACCCGCCGGCAATGAACCCGAGTCTCCCTTGGCCTCTGTATCCACTGGCGAGGCTATGGAGCTCCTGCAGAACATCTTCCCCACCGGCCAATGGCTGCCAGACCTATTCCCGGTCAACATGTCGATGATGGACAGCGACCAACAGACATTTGCCGCTACAGCGCCATCCGACTTGCCAACGACACTTGCAGCATCAGCGCCTTCCGACAGGTCATTGCGGCGGGCCTACCCGGATTGTCAAGTCGAGGATGTGATCTCGTGGTACTCGTTCATGGAAGTGCTACGCCTGTATCATGAACGTTTATAGTGAGTTCCTCGGCTCAGTCTAACCTGACCGCAGCGGACGCATGCCAATAGTGCACTGGCCAACCCTCACACAGGAGCTCATGAGTCGTCGCGATCGCCACGACGTGCCGTTCCGACGCTTCCTGCTCAGTCTTGGTGAGCTGTCCATGCACACCGACAAACACTGACAGTCAAGGGGCATACACTGTCCTTCATTCGGAACTGGTACCCCACTTTGGTGTCGACTTGGGTGTTGACTGCGAAGTGCTTCATGGGATATTACACCGAGCGTCACGTCAACTGGGCCCAGATACCTATGACGACCCGGGGTTGGACCATGTCAGGTGAGACGAGCATCGATTAGTTGGCTGACCGCCCAGGGCTCTATAGTGGGGATCTAACCTGGAGGCAAAGCTGACCGCAGCTGCGACTATCTGTATCTGCGCTCCCGTGAGAGGGCAGTCGCCGCCGATGTCATTCTGGCGCAGGCGTCACGTTTGGCCATCGCCATTGGGTGTCATCGACCTTCAGACATGCCGGATCACATTGAACGGGAAATCCGGACACGCACGTTTTGGCTCATCTGTGCGTACTTGCGAAAGCACAGTGTCACTGACTGTAGATGGATCCGACAGGACCACCGCCGCCCTCAGGCTCTGTCCTGTGCTCATCAGTGACGAAGACATCACCACTCCAGAACCTTCCGAGGTCGATGACGACTTTATCACTCGGGCTGGAGCCTTTGCACAGCCTCCAGGCGTCACGCCCATCATCGCTGGGTTTCTCCGAGTGACACGTCTATTCTGCATCCTCTCGCGCATCCTCAGACTCCTTCGCGACATGCCACCAGACGTCGGCACCGCCATTCAATCCATCCTCCTCCGGCTCAACGACGAACTCGAGTCGCTGCCGGCCGAGTTGACGCCAAATTCACCCTACGACTCGCCAGGATTCGAAGCGTGCAAGGCAAATATCCTTGTCACGCAGGCCCTGGCACGCTTCGAGTTGCAGCAGCTTGCGACCGCCGCGAATACCCCGCACAAAGACGCCATTACGCAAAGCGTGCTGCGACTACTGGACATGTAAGCCATCCGTGCGTGGCCAAGCTGACACGATAGGACACCGCAAGACTATCTCGCAGCAAATGGATGTAGCATGGTTGGTCTGCGACATCATCGCGGTGGGCTGACGACCAGAGGAACAAGGTGCTCTTCATTGCCAGCTTTATCATTGCACAGCAGGACAGCTCAGAGGTCGACGGGGTCACACCGCAGGTTGTAAGCTTGGTAAGTTGACGTTTGCGGACGGAGCTTACCGACAGCTGAAGAAGACGATGAGAATAATGCCCATAACGGAGTCGGTCGTCTAGGATGTAAAACGACTGCGTGCCTTCCCGATCCAGATGCATTGTGCTATCTAAACGGTCAACTGATAAACGACACCTTGGTAAGGGCTGAGCACTACTGTGTCCTCCAGACAAGCTTCAGCGGCTGGAGCTGTCGACTTGAGCAAGGTCGCTCCCTTCACGCTAATGGGAGGCTGGTAAGCGACTTGGTGGTCGGTAAAGTTGAGGGCGACCAGCAGGCTGTTGGCCCGAACGTAGGCAAACACTTCATTGTCCTCGGGAGACAGGTGCGTAAAGTTGCCATACACCTGACAGTCAGCTTGGATAACGAAACTGAGACGTACCAGGTCATCCTCGTGGTCCTTGCGGAACTTGATGATCTGGCGCCAAAACGAGAGTACCGAGTCGGCATCCTCAAGCTGCGACGCCACATTGCAAACCTTGTGGTCATCTGGAATCCGCATCCACGGCTCGGCCGAAGAGAACCCAGCTCCCGGCTCGGCGCTCCATTGCATAGGCGAGCGCGCATTGTCACGGGCCTTGACATACGCGAGCTTGGTCTTGGCCTCGACGTCGATACCTGCTTTGAAAATGGCCGTGACAACGTTTTGCGTCTGGACATCCTTCCATTCCTCCAGCGGCCAGGTGTTGGGCAAGTTGATCATGCCAATCTCCTGGCCCTGGTAGACGTAGAGGGTGCCAAACATTGTCGCATGCATCATCGCAAGGAGTTTGCCACTGGCGACGCGCCATTCGGGCGAGTCATTGGCATAGCGGGAAATGCTGCGCGGCTGGTCGTGGTTCTCGAGGTACGAGGCATGCCACGCGCCCGTCTCGCGGAAACTCTGCCACCGGGCGAGGATTGCTTTCAGTTCCTTGAGCTCCCAAGGCTGAATCAGGTAACGTTCCGACGGCGACAGGCCAATGTTGACGTGGTCAAAGTTGAACCCCATTTGCAGCTCGTTGCGACTCGGGTGCACGAACTTGAGCATGGTGGTGAAATCAATCTGATTGAACTCGCCGACCGTAAGGACGTCGTATTCTGAATGTGAGCAGGGGCTTTATTGGAGTAGATGTAGCGTACTGGAAAGAACCTCCTTGTGCATTTCCTGGAGGAACTCGTGAACACGGGGACTGAGGTAAGCTTCAGTTGTGAGAGTAGTGACTCACCCAGGCTTGCGGCCAAACTCCTGCCACTTGGCCGTGGGGTCGATGACCGGCGCGTCCGGGAAGGTCGTGTCCTGCTGTCAGCATGGGTTGTTTGGTCCGGACATACTTTGGAAATACGCCCAATGACGTCCATCTAAATACAATTAGCAGTACACAGCTCAGCTCGAGCTACCCACTCGATAGCCATCGCAACCCTTGTCAAGCCAAAACTTCATCAGGTCGTACACGGCTTCACGGACGGCGGGGTTCTCCCAGTTGAGGTCTGCGGTCAGGTCTGGATCGGGTACAGCTCCTCACCTGGCTGTTCGGCAACATAGTAGTGCAGATAGTACTCTTGCGTCCCTTCATCCCACTCCCACACCGAGCCACCGCCAAGAGAGGCGCGCCAGTTGTTCGGTGGGTGGCGGTTACCGTCCGAGTCGTACTTGGCGGGTCGCCAAATGTACCAATCACGCTTAGGCGAGTCCTTGGATGACTTGGACTCGATGAACCAAGGGTGCTCGTCACTGGAGTGGTTCACCTTGTGGGTGAGCAATTAGGCCAAGTGGATGACTCACGACCAAATCAAGGACCAGTTTCATACCCCGGGCATGAAGCTCGGCAATCAACTTATCCACGTCCGCCACTGACCCGTAGGGAGCGTGGACGTCCTTGTAGTCTGAAATGTCGTAGCCCATGTCCAATTGGGGCGACTTGAAGATGGGACAGAGCCATACGACATCCACGCCAAGGTCCTTGAGGTAGTCGAGCTTGCTGGTGATGCCACCAAGGTCACCCACGCCGTCGCCGTTGGAATCACAAAAGGACGAAGGGTAAATCTGACGTCAGCAAACGCCACTTCGGAGCCCGCCCACCTGGTACACTGTAGCGCCCTTCCACCAGGCCTTGGTGATGCCATGTGCAGAAACGATGGTGCGAGTCATGTTGGTGTGATTGAGGTGTTGTGTGCTGAGACGTTCTCCAAGCTGGATCCCACTACTGAATCCCATATAAGCGTTCAGCGTAGCCGGTGATCACCGACAGCCGACAACACGTGCAGGCACATCTCGCCGAATTTCACCCATCTCATCCGCACTCATGACCCCAATCTCGCCGAAATGTTTGTATTCTTGCTTCTGTTTCGGCGAGTCACCGACCAAAAGTTCGGGGCACCGCCGATACTAGCCGTGTGACCACTTGTTAGCCCATGTTCTTTACGGCAACTTGGCACTCGTTAATAGCGCTCGTGTGAGCACATTGCTGGCGCGGGTTAGTTAACCCAGCTTGGCAGTCGTTGGTGACGATGCGTACTCCACCTAGGCCGACTTGGCACCACACAATGCTCACAAACGCACTCTTGGCATTGCCGTCTACGGGATGTGGCGTCCGGCTGTACTCAATAGTTCGCCGAATTCGAACAGTGTTTGGATGCCCATAAATGCCAGTGACCAAAGGGGCTCCCACATCCCCAGAATCTTAGTCGTGGAGACTCCACTTACTACAATGACCCCCACACTCGACCACCACCCCAAGCTCGGCGACAACGAGAAGGGTGATGTCCAACACATTGAGCAAGAGAAGGTTCAGCAAACAATCCTCCAGGATGCCATCGCTGCGGAGGAAGCAGAGGCCGCGATGGGTCTGCGCGAGTCCCTCAGAACCTACCGGTGGGCGGTAATCTGGTCCATCGCCATCTCCCTCGTGATCGTGATGGATGGCTACGATACCGGTCGTGAGCTGGATGTGCACAGATCAGAAGTATCCTAACAGCAGTTCTCTCTCAGGTCACTGGTCTCACTCCCTACCGCCAGAAGTATGGCCACTATTCCGGCAACCCCAAGACTGGCTACCAGCTTTCGCCGGCGTGGCAGACTGCCCTCACCGAATCCAGTGTCATTGGCAACTTCTTGTACGCACCCTGGCGCTTGTACCGTATCCTAACTCTTCAGCGGTATCTTCATCAGCTCCTGGTTCCAGGATCGGTACGGGTACAGGCGCACCATTCAAATCTTTCTGGTTCTTATTACCGGTCTCATCTTTATTGTCTTCTACGCTCCCACTGTGGAGGTTCTATTCGTCGGAATGTTCCTTTGTGGTCTCCCATGGGGAGCCTTCTCTAGTGTAAGCCTTCCAGCGTAAACCCGTCTGATCACGCCAGTCCGCTGTTGCGTATGCGAGTGAGGTGACACCCATCCACCTCCGCGGTTATCTCACCACGTGGGTAGAAACACACACCACGAGGACCCGTACTTACCATCAGCTACATCAATCTCTGTTGGGTCGCCGGACAGTTCATTGCCAGCGGCGTCCTTGTCTCGGTGTCGAGCCGGACCGACGAGTGGGCGTTCAAAATCCCATTCGCCGTCCAATGGGGTGGGTCGAAATAGCCATAACTGTTGCTGACCTGCAAAGTCTGGCCAATTCCCCTGTTCATCCTTGCAACTCTAGCGCCGGAGAGTCCCTTCTACCTGGTTCGCGCTGGACGGCTCGAAGATGCGGAGCGGTCGGTTGCCAGGCTGGCAAAGCGTGGCGCAAAGACCCAGCCCGAGCAGATCGTGGCCATGATGGTGGGTTCGTGGCCGCCAAGACGCGTAACTTACGCCACCAGGTCCGCGTCACAAACCTCGAAAAGGAGCACCAGAGCGGAACCTCGTACTTTGTATGTGCCACGGTATACCCATGACGCTGATAATCTCCAGGATTGCTTCAGGGGGACTGATCTTCGTCGTACAGAGATTGTCTGCATCGCCTGGGCATGCCAAATTCTATCTGGCACACAGTTTGCCAACCAGCCCACATACTTCTTGTAAGCCAAGAGCCTGTGAACAACGTGCTAACGCTGCCCAGCCAACAAGGTCCGTCATCGATGCTCATGTCACAGCATACTAACATCAATGCAGCCGGTTTTAACACGGCCAACTCATTCAACCTGGGTCTCGGAGTTAAAGCGCTTGCGTTTATTGGTACATGTGGCTCGTGGGTCACGATGACCTTCTTCGGCCGCCGGACCATCTTCCTTTGGGGTTTGGGTACGATGACGTTGCTGTAAGTGGCCCTCTGTCAAGGCGATGTGCTAATGCAACAGTTTACTCCTCGTCGGCGCCGTGGCCTTCCCGGCCGCAAACTCGCAATCAGCAGCGTGAGTGCCTGGAAAGTCGAAACGAGCTGACGCCAACAGCTGGGGCCAAGCTGCTTTGATATTTGCATGGGTGTTTGTCTACGACTTTACAACGGGAGTGAGCAGAAAGCATCTTGAGCAGCAGCGCTGACTCCATAGCCTTTGGCATACGCCATTGTTGGTGAAGTGTCGTCGACTCGGCTGCGTGCCAAGAGTGTCGGCCTTGCCCGAAACGTGTACAACATCACCAAGATTGTTGCCGGTCTCCTGGCCACTTACCAGATCAACCCGACGGCATGGAACTGGAAGGGAAAGGCGGGGTTCTTCTGGGTGAGTACCCATACATGCCTGCGGCGTTTCACGACCTGACACCATACAGGCGGGTTCGGCCGGTTTGGCCTTTGTCTGGGCCTACTTTCGGCTTCCAGAAACCAAAGGGCGGTCGTTCCGAGAGCTGGACATTCTGTTTGAGCGACGCGTGCCCAGTCGCAAGTTCAAGGAGACTGTCATCCAGGAGACGGACGAGCATTAGTCAACGAGCAGTAGTCAGGCTTCAGGTGGACCAACCACTGCGATGGATATTGCGGGGCCAGAGATGGTCGGTGTAATCGGAAATTGCCGGCGGAGCATGTTGCGCTGTTGCCGTCTGTTATCTAAACCTCACGTCGTCTTTGTGATCAAGATGTTCCCTCATGCAACCCGTGCAGCCCAGAGGCCGGCCAGAGGTTTCATGCGCAACACAATGCGGGTTCACAGTGCTCCAAAGGATACATGCACAGTCACGTTGGTACCCACACTCCCCCAGCTGATGCCACAATGTGGCCATGGACGCGAGCCACACGGGGATGGTGCGGGGCAACGCCGGGATGGAGAATTCCGGCCCAGGAACCGCATGGCCGGCCAGTACGGCCCCGCGGGTTCCCACCATGTTCCGCAATGCCGAGCCCCCCGCCGAGCATGGCCTTGGAGACCATACGGCCGTCGCTCTCTCAACGACGGGCGCCAGGTCTCGTGCTTAAGACGGCAAAGGCCATCTTGGAGCTACCCATTCATCGATACTCGCATACACCATGTCAGCAAATCGTATTGTGAACCAGCCCTCCATTGACGAGTGTGAGTCACCCAGCGCACAGAGCGTGTCACCATGTCACTAACTTGTGTCTGCAGGTGACAGCCTGTTGTGCCAGCCGGGCACCATCTTCGAGATCGAGACCTTTGAGCTCAATGGTCGCCAGCTCCGTACTTGGAAACACGTGAGTGGTGAATCACTGGGCGCTGCTGCTGGCGAGCACGCCTGTTCGCGCGCCGGCGAAAAGGACGATCACCCCCCCGGCACCTCCGCCGGCTCTATTTCCGAGACTGACAGTTCACAGCAAGACCCCCACTGGCGTGCTTTCATCGAGCCCAGGATGAAGCAGTTTGCCAACCAGGAGTTCGTCTCGTCGCCCCTCCCCCTGCCTGCGACGCACGAGGAGCGTGAGCACGTCTCGTACGGTGAGATGCTCCGTAGGGGCTATGTCATCGGCGCTTGGCTGCGTGCTCGCGGTGCGGGTGTCGGCACCCGTGTCGCCATTGGTGGTATCAACAGCGCCGAGTGGGTCGCTGCCTTTGTTGGCTGTCACCTCATTGGTGCTGTTCCCGTCCTCCTCAACTCGACTCTGCACCCCGATGCTCAGCTGCACTGCCTGGCCCTCACTGAGCCCGAGGTCGTGTTTGTCGACGCCAACCTTGCCAACGTTCTCGGCGGCATTGGCCGGGCTGCTCTGAAGCAGAAGAAGGTCGGCGAGGTGTACTGCTGGTCCAGTATCGCTCACCTTCCCGCCGCCGTGCGCCACGAGGTCAGCGAGCTCATCACCCCCGTGGCCCCTGCCAAGCTTGTGAGCGAGGTCGAGCAGGGAACTGGCCTCGAGAGCCTCGGCCCTGAGAGCGACGCCATCATCTTCTTCACATCGGGGTAAGTAACGGAGGAACACCTTGGTATCTTGCCGCTGACACTCTGGCAGCACCACCTCGCTCCCCAAGGCTGTCCTCACCACTCAGCGTGGCACCCTCTCGCACGTCATCTCGGCATCCATCCGTGAGTTGTTCCTAGTGGCACAGTTAGCTAACCCCAAACAGCGACTGCCCGTGCCATCATGCGCGCCGGTGGCGACGTTGAGACTGCCAGGAAGTCGCACAACCCTCCTCCTGAGCAGGGCGTCGCTCTTCTTGCTGTCCCCCTCTTCCACTGCACGGGAACGCTTGCTTGGCTCATCCGTGCCTTCCTCATGGGCCACAAGATGGTGTTCATGCGTTACTGGAGTGTCAAGGAGGCAGTCAAGCTCATGCAGGACGAGAAGATTCGCGTCATCGGTGGTGTCCCGGCCATTGTTACTGCGGTCATGCAGTCGGGCCTCCTCCCCACCGACCACGAGATTCTCGGTGTCAACTACGGCGGAGCCCCTCCTCCCCAGCGTCTCGCCGCCGAGATCAATTCGCGTTGGCCTGCCGCCAGCATCACCCACGGCTACGGTATGACCGAGACCAACGGCCAGCATGCTGCCATTGTTGGCCAGGACTATGTCGAACGTCCAGAGTGCGTCGGCAAGACCCAGCCCGTCTCCGACATCAAGATTGTGGACCCCGAAACTTTCAAGGAGGTTCCTGCGGGCACGATGGGCCTTCTGTTTGCCCGCGGACCCAACCTCATGAAGGAGTACGTCAAGAACCCCAAGGCTACTGCCGAGGCCATTGACGACGACGGTTTCCTGAACACGGGCGACATGGCCATTGTCGACGAGCACGGCTGGGTCCACATCCGTGACCGCGCCAAGGACGTTATCATCCGTGGCGGCGAGAACGTGAGTTCATGCAGTGGTGGTTCACTTTATGTCAACTAACAGTGTCACAGATCGCGTCCGCCGAGGTTGAGAACGCCATCTACGATGACAAGCGCGTCGCTGACGCCGCGGCCGTCCCCATCCCTGATAAGGTGCTCGGCGAGCTGGTCGGTGTGGCCGTCACCCTCGCACCTGGCGTCCACGCCACTGGCGAGGAGATCAAGGCGGCCGCCGAGCGCAAGCTGCGCTACCCTGCCCGCCCTGTCATTGTCGTCGTCAGCCAGCAGCCGCTTCGTGAGTGCACTCAACCTATCGCGACAAGAGGATTTCACTGACGCTGTGCATAGCCCGCAACGCCAACCAAAAGATCCTGAAGGACCAGGTCAAGACGTTTGTTATTGAGGCGTACAACAAGAAGATGGCGGAGGCACCCAAGGCCAAGCTTTAGAAAGGCGTAAAAGAAAGGAGCAGAGCATTTGTACACTATCTTGGTTCTAGACACAGCAGACATGAAGTCGGTAGAGACTTCCCACAATGTGTGTGCAGCAGAATGGGTGTCAACAGCAGGACGGCACGGGATTCAGGTACATGTCTCGCTCGTCCCTCCCGTTCAATGTGGCGTCCTGGCACCATGGGACGCGTGTCACCTTTCGGAATGGTCGCGTCTCTGCTTAGATTTGAACCAGTCCATTCTCCGGTTCCGCTCGAAAGACTGGCCCGGCGGCATCACTTGACTGTCACCGGCCACCGGACCGCACTTACACATTCAGCTGGCCAGCAGCACCAACTGCCTTGTCCCGCCTACTGCTCCTTTGGTTTGAGTTTTAGGGGCGCCGAATCGCTGCAGACGAATACATGACCAGCAGGCCAGCAGGCTGATGGTGGTACGGTGGTACGGTGCCCCCAGTCTGACGTGATCTCAAAGGCAGGCACCATCGTGACACTATGAATGTCCCAGATCTGCGTACTGTAGTAGGAGGAAACCACTGATCGCTGATCGGCGCACCCACGACCATGGCCGGTCGATTGGAGCGGGACCACTCGTCTACATACCAGTCTCTAGATGGGTACATGGGACGCGTTACATCCAATCTGTGATCTTGGAAAGCGTCTAGCGCACTCACCATTGGGCCATTGGGACCATTTGATCGAGGAGGCCACATCCATCCAGCGAGATCTCTGTCGATCCCTGATCTCCCGCTGCCGCTGGAATCCCCTCCGTCCACTTACCGCTGTACCTCATCAAATCGGTTCAATTATGTGCTTCCCGAGTCAGTTTCGAGGCCCCTACCCCCAGCAAGGAAGCACAGGTGTACACCAGCGGCACTGCTGTACGTGCTCTACTTGCAGACTCTTGACGTACATGGCTAACCTCGGAGGCAAGCGCGCGGCTTGGCAAACCAATGTCAGACACAGCACCAAGACCACTCCCAAAACCTGATGCCGTCCAGCTGATCAGCTACTAGCCAATTGCTTTGGGTGGGGAGGAGCGTTTCAGCGTACCAGCGTCAATAGCAAGCTACAGCAAGGGCGGAGGGTACTGCGGATGCCAAGAACGCGGGACTGCAATTCACACTCCGAGCTCCATGCTCCAAACCCCATCCATCGTCCATCGAGGCAAACCCGGGCCGTTTCTTTGCAGTCTGCTTCTGGTGTCGTCGCGCACAAGGGTACATGCAACTGTGCAATGCAGTATCAATAGCGTCCACGCACATGCTTGCTTACAGGAGTGATCACTGTGTGCGATAAATGAAGTGTGACCGCTACGGCGGAACGGGATGGCGCCAGCGGACTGACACACCCTCTGTCATGCGCGGCACAACGGGCACCTTGGCTGGCACTCGAAGACTTCGACTCTCTCGGGAGCGCGGAATGAGGGGTCCGGCGTACCAGCGGCGCAGCACCCGAGCGGCCTGCCTGCAACTACAACAGCCATGGACCCAACTGGCTGGCCGTTTTCTTTCATTCCCATACGTCACGGACGAGCGTCGTCACACGACGGCCTGGCGGCCCATGGAACATGAGCGCCACCCGCACCAACCGTGTCAAGACACGGGAACGGCAGTTGTCCAACATGGCGGTGCGATGCAGTAGTTTATCAAAACGTGCATGCAGAAGTTTGAGCTGGTACCAAGTTTCCCATCGCCACCCATGGCCATCGACACACACTGCGCCCATGAAGCACCACACCTCGCCGATGACCGTCTGTTGGAGCTGGGCATCGACCCGGCGGCGCTCCTCGCCACGCTTCAGGCGCTGAGGGGCCGTCCAGCAAGGACCAGCGACAGTCCAAAACCAGGCGTCCATTCGTCAGGGTCAGACGCGATGGGCTCCACAACATACTGCCCCATTCACGAGACCTCCACCCACTTGCTCGCCGAATGCCATGTCGTCAACGAGCTCGTCGCCGAGCGCCGACGGCGGTCTCGACCCGACTCGCTTTTCGGCGCTCCTCCAGCATACGAGGACTCTTTTGCGGATGAGCTCGCTGCCATTCTGGAGGTGGACGATGAACTACATTTACCAAAGAAGGGAGCAGAGAAGGAGACACGCGGGCACCCTCTTCTGGATACATTCCATCCTGGCCGTCACGGATCATCAGAGGAATCGTTTGGTCACATTGGCACTCTGGACGACACTCTCGACGGCGACTTTCTGAACCTCTTCCCACAACCGCCGACCAAATCACGGTCCTCCTCTTTCGACAGCTGTCGCACGTTTGGTAGCGGGACATTTGGCGGCAGTGAGACCGATTTGCCTTCTTCTGAGACAGCAAGCACAGGCAGGCGAGAGTCAGCGACGCGTCCAACCTCATCCCACCCAAAGTGGCGCCGTGTCCTCCGGATCGAGCCCACCGGCGACGGCATTCGGATCGAGCCAGCACCATGCACCCCAACAACCCTTCACTGGGCGAGTGCAGCATCAGGATCTGCTGCCCCACAGCGGGCCTGCATCAGCCGGGGCTCCAGCTCTACTGCAACAACCCCGACAACCACCTCGTCCACACTCAACACCCCTCGCAGTTTCGTTTCCGCAATCGGGTCGCCGTGGCCGCCCCAGGCATCTCCGACCGCCGCTTTACCTGGCACCAACCTATCGTCGCCTACAACACTGTACTCGCCCGCACGCTCGCCCCTCGCCAAGTTCTTTCCCGCACCACCACCTCCTTCGTCGTACGTCGGGGTCAAGGAGACAGTTCTCCCAACGCCTCCGCGGGTCACGCAGGTGGCTACTCCACCTGTACTTGTATCCAGTCCACCTCCACAGGTCGCTCCCGTTACTGAAGGTGCACACCTGGAGCGCCAGACGAGCGCCGCTTCGGGGAGCCTGTACAGTTCCGGAGGGTTCAGTTCCACCAGCTTCAATGAGAGCGTCTTCACACCACCACTTCACCCCTTCCTACCTCTGCAACCGGTACCGACAAATGACAGCCATAAGAGCACTGCCGACAAGAGTATGAGCTCGGACAGTGGGCCCACAGGCCCTGAACTTGAACCGTCGCTCGAGGGCGATTGCGCTTCCCCACTGGTCGCTATCGGCGGCAGCAGCGAGAGGACGGCCAAGTCGTTGCCGCGCAAACTCAGCATCACACCTAGCATGGCACCCAGCATAGCGCCGAGCATGACGCACAGCAAGGCACCCAGCATCGGAGCCAGCTCGAACAAGAGCGGCTGTTCCAAAGTCAAGGGCGAACGAGCGCTTCTCGACCAGCCACATACAGGCCACCGTCTCGAAGCCGACAAGGGCAACTTTGTAGACGGCTGTCCCGTGTGCGAGCGCATGGCCGAAGCGTGGAAGCGGCGCCGCGACAAGGCTGCCGCCAGCAAAAAGGGCAAGTCGGTGCGCCAAGCAAGCAGCAAGGGCGGCGGTGGTGGTGGTGGTTGTGACGGCGACACGCGGTCATCTGTGGATACAAACGACAGCAGAACCCATTCACGCACCACGTCTCTGTCGCGTACCACAACGGCGACGTCAGTGGCAGCGGCCCTGGCGAGCTCGCCCACGGCGCCGGAAATGCCGCCACTACCGGACAGTACCTGTCGTGGCTCCGTGCCACCACCGCATAGTACTCACGTCGAGGATGCCAACCGCGGAATGTACCATGCTAGCTGCGCAGCTTGCCAGCGCCTCGCCGAGGTCGGGGCTCAGGAGACGGTCGCACAGAAGAAGAAGGGGGGCTTTGGATGGGGTCGTGGCAGGAAGACATCCATGGGCGTTTCGGCGACGCTTTGAAGAGGGGGAGGGGAGGGGATTGTAGCGATGCCTCTGTTGTAATACCGCGTGCCGTGCATGCTACCACCAAATGTGACGCCGACACCAGCCGTAGGCTACGCTCCACGGTGCCACGTTATCGGAAAAGACACGGGAGAACCGTCCCAAAAATGAAATCACCGGGACGGATAAACTGCGGGTGCAATTGCCCCCGCAAACCCCGCGGTGATCCACGGACGATCGGTCATGTAACCCACCACCCCAGGCACGCAACACGACACTAACGTAATCGGGGGGGCGTCATGTGGCCATTTCATTCTCGCTCGGGTCGGGTGGCATTTGCTCTCTGGTGCGTGTGGCGGTCACGCTGTGCTGTTCGGGTGTCGGGTGTTGGCAAGGGATGAAGCTCCAGCATGACGCGACTCGGCCCCGGACAGTCCGGATGGGATACATATATCGCGAGTCCACCTGGAGTGAGGGACAGTGATCAGTGATCAGTGATCAACCCCGCTTCCCCCCGCATACCTCATTACAACAAAGATGCCGCAGCAAACACAGGCCTGGGTCGTGGACGAACTGAACGGCCCCTTCGTTCTCCGCGATGTCACTCTGGACGACCCCCTCGAAGATGAGGTCTTGATCGAGTGAGTACGCCTGTGGAGTCGGATGTGGAACTGACAAGCAAAGAATGGTGGCGAGTGGTATCTGTCACACGGACCTCCTCGTTGCTAGCGGTCATCTCCCCGATAACAAGTTCCCTGTTATCCTCGGTGAGTGGAGGTGATGGGGGGCAGCTGGCTCATCCGACAGGCCACGAGGGTGCAGGCTACGTCGTCAAGGCTGGCGCGAAGGCCGGGCGTCTGTGAGTCACCGGGTTGTCACCTGGTTGTCACCAACTGCATCCAACATGGTCACTGACACCAACATAGCCAGCCGGGTGAGCTCGTGCTTCTCTCCTTCGCCTGCTGCGAAGACTGCGACCCCTGCAAGACTGGGGCGACGTATGCTTGTGACACTTGGACACCGATCAACTTCCTCAAGCAGCGTGCCAGCGGCAACCCCGCTGTCGGCGTTCTTGGCGATGGCAACCTGAAGGGCAAGCCAGTCGAAGGCTCTTTCTTCGGCCAGTCGAGCTTTGCCCGCCATGCGCTGGTGAAGGAGTCGTCCTGTGTCGTCGTGCCAAAGGGCACCGACGTCAAGACTCTTGCTCCCCTTGGCTGTGGACTGCAGACCGGTGCAGGAGGTGTCTTCAACGCCGCCAACGTTCAGCCCCACAACACCGTCCTTGTCAGCGGCCTCGGTGGCGTCGGAATGGCTGCGCTTTTCGCCGCCGCCTCGATTGGTGCCAAGACTATTATTGTCGTTGACATCAACGAGGAGCGTCTCAAGCTGGTGTGTCCTGTGTTCTGGGCCAGAAGACGAAGGCTAATTCTTCCAGGCGAAAGAGCTCGGGGCTACCCATGCGGTCAACCCAAAGTCTCTTTCTGGAACGACGACGCCAGAGGAAGCCCGCCGACTAACCGACGGGCGTGGCGTCGACTTTGTTATCGAGTGCACAGGACACCCGGCAGCAGCCAAGGACGCCTTCTTGTCGCTTGGGATGCGCGGCCGTATGGTGCAGATTGGCTCTTCTCCCGGAGAGCTCAGCGTCGGCGTAAGTCCCAACCTAGCCCGTACATGGGGCGTTCACTGACGGCCTCAGTTCAACGACATTCTGCTCGGTCTCCGCAGCATCGAAGCATGCGTTGAAGGAAACGACTCTCCGCACCGTCTCGTTCCTCGTCTGGTCGAGCTTCACAAGCAGGGCAAGGTAAGTTGGAAGCGTTGGCAAATGCTCGTAAGTCTTGCTTACACTACAGTTCCCGGTGGACCGTATCGTCAAGACCTATCCTTGGAAGGAGATGCACCAGGCGCTCGAAGACATGCACTCGGGCAAGGTCATCAAGCCGATCCTCGTGTTTGACCAGTAAATAAAGAGGGGAGGGAGAGTCTGCAGTTAGTTCAATGATGATGAATTGTATAGCCAAGTAACATATGCCGTCCCTTGCCTTGCAACCGCTCTCAAGCTCCTGCTGGCTCCCAAGCTCCCTCTACATTTACTACAGGCCAAATCTCCAGCCCACACATTGCGCTATGCATGCACAGGCATCTCGCTATGCATACACACACAGCAGACCGGGGAACAGACACGATCGGCGAGATGGCCGAGCGGTCTAAGGCGCTGTGTTAAGGTTGTTCCACTCCCTCTTCTCAATTTCGTGAAGAAGATGTGTCAATCCGCAGTCTTCGGACGTGGGTTCGAATCCCACTCTCGTCAGAAGGGGCTTCATTGCCTCCCAAGCCAAGCTTTTTGGACGTCTGGGAGGATTGCGAAAGGTGTAGGAAGACAGCGGAGGTGATGGAGAATCTGAGATCACCCGGCAGTGCTCGACGCCTCGCCATACATAGATAGTCTTTCCCTTGACAGCGACTAAGCCATGACCGCCGCCGCCGCCACCATGTGTCGCATGTGGGCCACATCGCGGAGGTCAGCTACCTCCGACCTAATCTGCTGCTGATATCCACACTGTCGCTATCGTGCAAATCTAACATGTCTAAATTTATAAAACCCGGCAAAATCCTACCCCGAAAATCTACTAAAACAGCCAGTCGATGAACTTGCCCCACCAGGTGGTCGGCTCGGGCTCCTCGGGAGCGTCGCGTGGGTCCCAGAGACCCGACTTGAAGTCCATCTCGCTAGCGCGCACAAACTTGGACTTCTTAAAGACCTTCCAGAGAACAAAGGGAATGATGTAGATGGGCAGGCCGATGTAGTTGGCGATAAAGTCCGAGACGCTCCAGTTGCCCTTGAGGAACACACTGAAGCCGCTGAACAGGATGATGACTATAGGGTTAGCGCATGCTCTCGAACACAAACATGAGGCCAAAAGAAACTCACTCAGAGATCCAATGGTGCCGAACCAGGCGGTGTAGGGCTGGAAACGTCCGCGGTAAGGGAAGGTAGACCTGTCGATGCCCTGCACCTGGACACCGCGGTAGAAGCGGATGTAGGCGATGCAGAGGGTCATCCAGGCGAGGAGACCGGCCAGAGTGGACAGGACGAGGATCCAGTTGAATGCCTCAGCAGGGCCGCCTGAACCGAGACTGAGGTAGGCGAGGGGGCCAAACGCAAAGGAGGCAATGACGGCCCAGTGGGGGACACCCCAGCGGTTAACCGTGGCAAAGCACTGGGGAAGCTGGCGGTCGATAGCCATGGCCATGATGATGCGCGCACCGACGTAGCAGTACGAGTTGCCGGCGGACCAGGCGGAAATGAGGACACAGGCATTGACAATAGACGGCAGGGCCTTGATACCCGCGTTCTGGATGGCAATGACGAACGGCGACGCGCTGGCGTTGCCCGAACCGTTGGAGAGCTGCTCGTTGTCGTAAGGAACGATCATACCAATGAGAAGGGCGCCGATCACGTAGAAGAACATGATACGGTAGGTGACACGGCGGGTAGCCTTGGGGATCGAGCGGTGGGGGTTGGCGGTCTCACCGGCAGCGATCACAACAGTCTCGACACCGATGAACGAGAACGAGGCGTTGATAAAGGCGCTGAAGAAGCCGAGGAAGTGGCCAGTGGGTCCCGTGATACCGTTGTACTGAAAGGAAGTCAGCAAAAGGGTGATGGAACGAGCTTCCATGACTCACGTCCGTCCAAGCTCCGGGGTCCTTCCAGTAACGGAAACCGATGCGGTCGTGGTTTGGTGCTCCGCCCAGAGTAATAACCAGCGAAACGAAGATGAGGCCAATGAAGCACAGGACCTTGATCGACGACGCCACCACTTCCGAGTCGCCGTAGCTGGGGTTCCGTATCAGCCACAGAACGCCATTGTTCTACGATGATGCACTTACTATCGGACAGAGACAATGTTGATGATAAAGATCAAGACCAGGCCAACGGTAATTGTCACGGCGGGCGTAATGTCACTCCAGAACGAGACGAGGAGAGCCGCTGCCGAAACCTCAGACGCAATAGAAACCGTGTAGCAGTATCCGTAGCTGATGGCGAGAGTGAATCCCAGAGCGGGGTCAACGAAACGGGTGGCGAAGTGAGGAAAGGTGCCCGCTTGGGGAATCAGAGAGGCAAGCTCGCCAATGCTCTCCATGACGCACCACAGAATGGCTCCGACAATGATGTACGCCCTGAAGCGTCAGACAAAGCCCGTGACCGACAGCACTCACAGAAGAAGACCAGCAGGGCCGGCCTTGGCCAGCGCAGAACCAGTTCCCAGGAAGAGACCAGTGCCGATGCCTCCGCCAAAACCGAGGAAGGTGACATGGCGGGCCGTCAGTCGACGCTTGGTGCGGCCGACACCTCCAACGCCATAGACCTCGAGCAATCCCTGGTCCTCGGTGTCAAACGAGCCGTCCTGCACGGAAGCAGGCTTTAGGTCCTTCTCGGAGCTGTTGGCTGGTGTCACGTCCACCATGTTTGGTGTGTGTATGAGTTGAGTAACGGGGGGGTTGGGTGGTGCTGTTGTTGTTGTGGAAACGGTTTTGCAGACTTTTTGAGCCGAAAGACTTTGTGTGCCTCGTCGCGTATACCCCTATCACGCCATGCGCCATCTCGGTGTACGCCAGCTCGTAGACTGGCAGCCGATTTGCATCGCATACCGCGCTGAGGGGACTGCGCATTAAAGCACGCCACGCCAGAGCCTTGTGGTTGGCGGAAAACGCTCAGCCGACCATATTGACGGGCACACGACTAGGAAAACACGGAATCACCGAGCCTCCGTTACAGGGACTGAATGGGACGTTGGTTCCAGCGTCGACAGGGCCGTGACGACGGCCACAGGGGCCAGGCCACAAGCAGCTTGGAATGGCGGCCGAAAGACGAGAGGCGACGTGAGGCCTCTGGAGATGGAGAGGGAGAGCGAGGGGAGGGCTGCTTGCCGCCGGTTCCACCAGCCCGGCCCACCCAGCCGCAGGCGGCCGGGTCAATTTGAAAATTAAAATGTAATTCGGCCTCTTCCAGCCGCCGCTTGCTCGCCCCCTCTGCTCCACCTCCCACAGAGGCAACGAGCAAGCACACGACGTCTTCTATGGCTCCAACAGCATCCAAGCCACCGATCTCACTGCCGTCTGCCACTGACGCCCCACCCATGGCTTCGTATGGAAGTATGGCTTGCCGGAAGATCGCCAACTGCAGAGGTACTTCCATCTCGACTCGGCTCCACTGCCCTCGAGCCAAAAACTTCTTGGCGCATTCATTTCCGGTGTTCTCGCGGTGGCGTTAATCTGCATCCGATGAAGACCGAAACCGGCTGGGCCGAGCTAATAGCTTGGCCGTGGAGCCGTTCACTGCCGGCGCTCACAGCCTTGGCAGAACCGTCTACCGAGAATGCGAAAGAATGAGGTGATTCGCAGCCATCGTACACGCTCGCCCCAGCCGACTGGAGATGCATTGTGCATCTGCCTTGCGGGGGAGCATCGCGTATCGCGTCAGGCAACGCGTTGTGCCTTAAGTAGTCGCAACTCGACTCGCCGCGACTGGCGGCCTACCGGCGGCCGGTACCGACCACACTGACGTGGTCGAGATTCCACGGGGCCTCCGCCATTCCAAGCAGCTGGCATGTTTGAGTTGCGCCGCGACCATGAACCAGGGCTGACTTGTGCATGCGCAGGGGTGAGAAGGGCCGTAAGTGGCCGTTGTCGACCGATGCTTCCCCAACGACAAGAACTGGAACAACGCGGCCCGTCTCCAGACTGCGGCTGGGTGGGGGTGAGAGGTGATGTGATGGGGATGGCAATAACTGACAAACGAGCGAGACGGTTGCCGACAACCGGCCACCCGTCTGCGGTTTCAAGGTGGAGTACAGTACAGTACAGTACAGTACAAGACTGTCACTAGCGTCCGTCATGACCCGTAAAAGCAAGACATTGGGGCCTAGGGCTCAGACAAAAGACTTAACAACACCCCCTAATAACACCCCTTAATAATAATCCTCGAGGCCTTGGTCGACGTTCGTCTCGAAACGCCCATGTTCAACCACAGGCCTATCCGCCGGATACACCTAACGCGATGCTGGTTGGCGGGCTTGCCAACACGTTGCCCTTGCCCTCGTCCGGGTTCCGGAAAACAAGGCATATAGGCATGGGCATCGCGTGAGCCCTTGCGGAAGGTTTAAGGAAGGCTAAACAAACTGCATACAATATGGCTGTCAGCTGTTGACCAGGTGCCAGCCCAGATGGCAGTTTAATTGATCACACGACACACGACACGTTGGAAATTATTTTGACCGATCCACAATACTGTACCCGAGTGACAACGGTAGCGTGAGTCCAATGTATGCCTCCCTCAGCATGGAGAATGTATCTCAACCTTACAGGTTCCCACGGCTTCGCAGGGAACACCACATAACCATTCCCCTGTGGGTAGTGTTCACGGTCATAAACGGCTACGTGCTGTTTGTTGCGGCTCTAAAAACCACTCACTGGAATCGATTATCGATATGTGTTGACCAACGTGATACATAATGACAGGGACAGACCTTGAGGCGGAGCAAGAACAATATACCGTTGCGAGACAGGTATATATGCAAGTACTGTACGGTCATTGGCTGCTGGGTGCTAAAAGGTATTGCATTTATTCAGCGATCTTCACCAGCAGCCAACCATTGGCCACGGTGTTAGTATTGCGGGACAAGGCTCTGATGGCTGTGCTGGGATTCCGGTCACATCAAGAAGGCCTTTGGCTTCAGAATTCCGCTACAGGTCTACCAAACATCCTACTGATCACGTTGGCGGTTCAAGATGGAAACTTCAAATCGAGCTCATTGTTGCAGAATTCGGGCGGCCGAATTATGGAGCGAGCCAGCAACTCTAATTTTCAGAGATTTGTGTGAAGAGGAGATTTACAGTAAGGTACTCTCTTGAAGAGGTAAAGTACTACTGACGATATTTAGAAATCAATAGAGAGACCGACGAAAGGGAAGTCTAGCAGCACCACGCAGCAGGGGACTCTAATGAGGGGAACTTGACAATAGAAACCCGCATTACTTGGCAATATCCTAATCCAACAATTGACACTGCTCTGATCGAAACACGCTTGCCTGGACGGGTCGAGCTGTGCGCTCTGAGGCGTTCGCTTGTCTTCAGATCTCAGATGGCCCAACAGCATACGCACAGGCATCCAGGCCATCAAGTGTACCTGCTTGCGCGCCTGCGGTGCACACGCCTCTTGCCAAGTCCCAGAGTGCGCAGGGTCTGGCTGCTCGTCACACCACCACATGGTGTAGTGGAGGTCTGAAAAGCTTGGCAATCCAGTTTCGGCACATGGGCTGACTCGGCTGGAGTTGGTACCTCAGCTCGAGCCACCAACATCAACCGACTCCCAGGCCTTATACAGTATATTGGGGGGAAACCGGGACCAGCGGGCCAGCGAGGCCTGGGATTATGTTATGAGCCTTGATCATGTACGAACCCCCTCGATCGATGCATGGAATGTATGGGAGTGGGCCCCGCTCGCAGCCACCGGGGAACCAGGATGACACATGGAACTCAAGACAGTGCTACAAAGCATGGGCCCTCTGTTGACGCCGCCTTCCGGTGCAGAGGCCTCGCTTCGACGCCAATTCCGAAGTGGTATAGCATGGTCACGACACCATCGGCTCAGACGACATGCCTGCGACTGTGAGACATTCCGTCCACTGGGATCAGCCGGACTCTACTGGACACGACGCAGCGACGCTTAAGGCCTGGGGACTGTTAACAAACGACAGCCACTTCAGTTGCTCTTATATGATGACGCGCTGGTGAACTGCGTATGTACAGGCTATCGGTCTCCTTATTTGCGCTGCCTGTTGACGGCCAACTAGCCGGGCAAGTCATTTTTGCCGGTACCGGACAGACTGCCGGGGCAGGCCGTCATGGACACGGATGTCGTAATATACAGGCTCTTCACAGCCGGGCCTCGTCCCCTATGACCCTCCATGCAGTGCCCCTCCGCACGATTACCGCGTTGGCATTGTCGGCAATCGCGATTGTTTGTCTTTTTGTTTCTTTCTGTCTTGGGCTAGGGCTTGGCGTGAATTGGCGACCGCGTGGACAATCATGTTGCTGTAACTGCGCCTTTGCTGGTGACATGGATATGATATGATGCGACGAGGCCCCCGTAGGCCCCGCACAAGTGGGTGGGGTAGCACAGCGATCTCAAACCATGCCAGTCAATGTGAGATTGTTCCCACAGCGCAAAGTGGCTAACAACCGGACCTTTGGAACTGTGGCGTGCACTAAGTTTATTCACAGCAACCGAGAAGTTTGGACCGGGAGGTTGGTGCTTCAATGCTTCTGTGGGACCTGGTGCGCTTGGCAGGGTGCTTGTGTTCCCCAACCACGCTCTCAAAGCAAGAGAGTGACCTGGCTCCGCCCCAAAATGGGTCCCATGAATTAGGAACTGGAGGTGGTTCGACGGACGGAGGAGTACTTACATGTCTGGCGTTGTTGAAGGACAACGGCGGGCATAGATTCACACCTCCCATAAGCCCAAATTGAGACGTCATCATGGTGGGGGATGCCCAAGTCCAGTGGTCGACTGTGTACCCCACAGTCAGTTCCTTCAGCATAGTACACGGGATGCGTGGCAATGCAGCTGATTCACCGTTCCTCAAAAGTCTTCCACCTGCTGGTGTGAGGCATTGCCCCCCGCCATGACGGCTGGGGCTTTCCTCGTCAACATCAGTCGTGGTAGCCTTGTGGGGAACCCCCGGAGACAGTCCTCGTGACCACTCAAGGTGGGGGAGCGGACCATCACTGCGGGCGACGACCCACAGCCTGGTGCGGAGCGAGCACATGACATGAGACTTGAGTGTAGAGTTGAGTTGGGAGGCTCTTGTTTGAAATGACCGTCCTGAATGACACCCGGAAATGCATAGAGTAGCTGCATGTTTGGGATAATGCAACCATTGGAGAGTGCGGCGGTTGACACTGCCATACTGCCGTTCGGACCAAAGGATCATATGTAGGCCAGGGCTATTCTCTGCCTAAAACTCCGTTGCCCCACTGATCTACTGAACGTCTGCAGTACTTCCGTAGGTGTGGCGAGGTTCACGAGTACCTTCGAGGGCGGCAATGCCATCAGAGTCATGCGACGTCACCATCGGCTGTATCGCTTGCGGCGTCTAGTGTCGGGCCGGCCTGGGCACATTGCCAACGGACGACGGAGCGAGCAACTGGTGGGGGATACTGCCATTGCTCTGGCTGTCACCATTGGTACGGTACTCCGTGCACATCTGGCTAGCTCTGAAGACGCTGTGGCCGTGTCGGCCGCCGATATGGAGCCGGCAAACACTGTCCACAGTAGAGTGCGACCTGTAGTAGCACCGTTTTCCATGGTATGCGCACACCTCCACTCGATCACCCGCGGCGGCAATGACCCGGCGTCGGGCCGGCTCGGCCCGGACGCAGATCTTTTTGTGTCCGCTATCTCCGCCCGAGAGATTGCCGCTACGTCTGCCATGTGCCTCTACTTGTCAAAATGCACAGTCGTTGCGAGCCCGAAATAACGAGACCGCAATGGGTTTAGAACAGACTGTTTTGCGCGCCGGCGGCCCGTGTGAGAGAGCACAGCCATTATTTTTTATTTTTTTATTTTTTGGCGGGGACATGGCAAAGACAATAAGCCCTGCAGCTCGCCCTGGACGGTTTACCGCACAACCATTTCCACTCGCTGCAACCAACAACCGTAGAGAGAAACAGGGGGCTGAACCGTATGTGCCGGGGGCGGATGCCGGTTGCGATGAATTATGACAAAAGGGGTGGGAGCACATGGGTCAACACATGGGGCCATTCCTCCGTCAACGCGCCGCCAGCCGAGGCTGTCTGCCCTGCTGATATCCGCCGACTGCCAGCACTGCCAATCAGGACACCTCGTTGGCCTCACAGGCTGTCTCCACACCGCTTAAGCCGCGGTAGGCCGTCGCAACGCCGCAAGGCACGCACACCAGTGGCAAGATTCCCGTTCGAACACGTGCTTTGTTAGCCGGTCTTCCCGTTCATGGGCTGTCCGTTGGCCAAAGGTTCGAAAAAGCTTTGAAACTCGGCCAGTTCGAACGGGAATTTTCAGACTTGGAGTCCCCGGTTGACAGGGACACTCGCCAGCAGGGTGCCCAAATGGGGCATCACATGCACCCCAGCGTTCCCCGGCTGTCGGCCCCGGCCCCCCGCTATCAAGCTCGGCGGGCCTCCTCCTCTTAAAGAACACCAGCTGGGCCCTTCTTTGCCCCGTCGTCTTACCCAACACAACACCTCCCCCCTCCCCAATACCGACAACACACACTGCCCATTATGACTGCAAACGCCGTCTACGAGGACACCAAGGCGGATCTCCACCAAGTGGAGAACACCGAGACCACCAAGCTTGAGATGGAGCGCGAGGCCATGGAGGCTGAGGCCAAGGAGCACAGCATGGGCATGCTCGAGGCCGTCCGCACCTACCCCATGGCCTGCTTCTGGGCATTCGTCATGTCCTTCACCATTGTAAGTGGTCTGCCGGTAGACATCGCAATCCTTGCTGACTGTCATTTTCAGGTCATGGAGTCGTTTGACATGTTCCTTATCGGTAACTTTGTGGCTTTGCCTTCCTTCAAGGAGGAGTTCGGCGTCTACCTGGAGGCTAGCAACGAATGGGTCATCCCCACCAAGTGGCAGTCGGCCCTCACCATGGCCGGCCAGATCGGTGCGCTCCTCGGTATCTTCATCTGTGGTCCCATCTCCAACCGCTGGGGTTACCGCATCTCCACCATGGTCGGCCTCGTCCTCATGAACGCCACCATCTTCATCAGCTTCTTCGGCAAGTCTCTCGCCGTCCTTGTCGTCGGCCAGCTTCTTGAGGGTGTCCCATGGGGTTTCTTCATCGCCAACAGCCCCGCCTATGCCTCCGAGGTTGCCCCCCTGGCCCTTCGCTCGGTCTGTACCGCCTACCTGCAGATGTGCTGGGCCATTGGCTCGATCATTGTTGGTGCCTCCACCTACGCCCTCAACCAGCGCACCGACGAGTGGGCTTACAGGATCCCCTTCGCCCTCCAGTGGCTTTTCCCCACTCCCCTGCTCATCCTCCTCATCTTCATGCCCGAGTCGCCCTGGTGGCTCGTCCGCAAGGGCCGCCTCGACCAGGCCCGCCGTTCGATTGAGCGTCTTGGCCGCAAGTCGGCGCAGAACACCGACGACACCCTTGCCATGATGGTCCGCACTGTCGAGATTGAGACCCAGACCACCGCCGAGCCTACCTACCTCGACCTCTTCCGCGGCATCGACAAGCGCCGTACTGCCATCATCTGTCTCGTCTACGCTGGCCAGAACCTTGCCGGTAACCTCATTGCCAACCAGGCCGTCTTCTTCTTCGAGCAGGCTGGCATGTCCACCGATTTCTCGTTCCAGCTCGGTCTCATCACCTCGTGCCTGCAGATGTTCGCCGTCGGCTGCTCGTGGCTCCTCTCGTCCTGGTTCGGCCGTCGTACCATCTACCTCTACGGTACCTTTGTCAACACCGTCTTCCTCTTCGCTCTCGGTATCATTGCCACTGCCTCGAGCTCGTCCAAGGCCCAGTTCGCTCAGGCTTGTCTTGGTGTGATCATCTCGTTCACCTTTGCCCTCACCCTTGGCCCCATCTCGTACACCATCATTGCCGAGACTTCGTCCGTCCACCTCCGTGCCCTCTCGACCGGTGTCGGCCGCGCGGCCTACTACATTGTCGAGATTCCCTGCATCTACCTCGCCTCGCAGATGCTCAACCCCACCGGCTGGAACCTTGCCGGCAAGTGCGGCTACGTCTGGGGCGGCACTGCCACCCTCTGCCTCGCCCTCGCCTACTTTGGTCTCCCCGAGATGCGCAACAGGAGCTACCGCGAGCTCGACGTCCTCTTCCACCGCAAGGTGTCGGCCAGGAAGTTCGCTTCGACTGTCGTCGACCCCCAGGACATGGACTAGGAGAATTAAAAAAGGGGAGTTGCGTGCATATAGTAGTGTCTGTCAGTGTTTGTAGGAAAGTACCTTATTAGTGCTTTATTATGAAGAATCCAAGGTTTATGACTACAATTGCGCATCGTACAGTGGCTGTCAAATCCTTGAAGCGGTAGGGAGAGGGAGAATTTGACGGTGGCACAAATGTCGACGGGTCTCGCAACGTTTTTGCAACTGACTTTTGGCGGGGGCACTGCAGTTTGCTCCACATGCGTTTCACCGCCATGACAAACAACATTCAACGTTACACACAATTATTATAACTATCTGCGTCTCCTTACGCTGGTACAGCGGTACTATCTTGGAACAGGTCTTGGAAAAGAGTCTCCCACTCGACCCACTCGACAACGGCAAAGTCCGGAATGAAGAGGGGCATGTCCACGGCCCTGCCCGTGTACGGGTCGAGGAGGTCGTGGACCGAGTGGTCCTTGGCCTTGATGATTTGCCGCAGCTGCTCGAGGGTAGCCAGGGCGCGCTCGTTACTTTCGGCCGTACCAGGAAGGGAACGCCGCGAACGAAGAATTCCGATCATGGCTTCAAAGTCGGCCATCTGGGAGGCGGCGGACGGGTTTTCTGGGTCGGCAATGAGCGAGAATGCGAGGACGAGGCCGGCTGTGAAACCGCGCATGCCACAGGTCCAAAGTGCAAAGATTGGCGTGTCCAAGTCTAGCCAGCCAAAGACGACGCTTTGGGTGAGCGCCTTGACGCTCTTTACGAGTTCTTGGGTCGCCTGCACGCCGCGCGTCAGAGCATAGGCGCCAATCGAGACGCCGTTGGACGCCATATCGGTGGAACCAAAGTGGGGTCGGTACAAATGCACCGTCATTTCGGCGCAGGCAATGTCGCTCACGTGAGCCTGCATTTGTGCCCACGACGGGAGATTGGCTGCCACAGAGGCTTGGCCTTGCTGGTGAAGCGGGCGCGCGGTGGTATACTCCTCGACGACCATGGTAGCTGCGGCGAGTCGGTCCACGAGGGGAATATCGGTTCGGGCCATGATCTTGTCACGGCGTTGCAGCATGACGAGAACGTCCAGTTTTGAGTCAACGTACGACCATTCGGTGAGAATATCCCGCGGAGATGGCAAGACAGTTGCTTGTGGGTTCAAAGCAAGTATGTCCAGTTGCGCGTTGGTGAGGTTGAGTGGCCTGGGAACGTTGTGGTTCTCGTGCTCGATTTCGACACGCAGACGGTCGGCAACGAAACTGGCCGATGTCAGTACACTTCTGCTTTCTTCGCGTTTACTCACTGCCGGGTCTGCAGGATATGCCACCAGAGCCTGCGTCTCATCTCCCGCTCAAACTGAGTTTCATTGACGACGCGGTCCTCCTTGTTGATGCCACAGAGCAGAGCCGCATTGTATGCGCGCCCACACGCAAGCCAGCACTTTTGGGGCCCGCCGCCGCGGCCGGCGTGGTTGGTGTAGATGGACAGCACGTGTGCGTGGACGTAATCGATCTGCGAGACACCTTGATACTTGCAATCGCACATGCTGAGGACCGTCCACAACAAGAGTCGAAGGTGGCCTTCGGAGCAGCGAGCGTCTTGCGGGCTCGCGTGGTACTGGGGTGCGATGGTCGCGCCGCACACAATGGCAGCAATGACAAGTGCGATGGTAGGTAGGTTGCTGTTATCCAGGCCGCCAATGGGCTCCGAGTCGACCGAGTCGGCACCATGGGCAGACGAGTTGATCGCCGAGGCAGCACCCGAGCCCAATGACAAATTGAGGGCGCGGCTGATTGTGCGCGATGTAGTGGGAGAATCTTGCGAGTGTGCAACATCGATGGCCGTGATCACCGTCTCGGCCTGTCGGAGGAAGCTGGGCGTGTGGACAAGCCGGAACAAGAGGTCAAAGCTAAGGAAGAACTTGAGGAGGCGACGGCAGTCCTCAGGTGGCGGGAGCAGGGAGAGGAGCGTTGGGATGTCTAGGTCTTGCGCGTGCGGCACACGGGGATCGTGCGACGCGGTCGAGTGGCCGGTCGGGACTGAAGCGCCCGACTGACTGGCGTGACTGTGGTGGGACATGCTGTCGGGGCTCAGGTAAGACTGGTTACTGGATGCCAGTTGCGACTCGAGAAGCTTGATGCGTTGCTGGAGCTCTTGAATATCCTGTGGGGTGGAGCCAACCTTGGGCTCCTCGCCAGGCCAACGCATGTAGACGCACTCGCCATCTTCCACTGCGCCTGCTCCGACGCACGAAGCGCAGGGCTTGCCTTGGTCACAACGGAGCTTGAGACGGCGACAGCGAGAACAGACACGCACCGCGCGTCTGCGCTTACGCTCTGGGGGAGGCGAGTGGTAGCCAGACTCTGGGGACGAACGGTCTTCACGTTGTACGGGAGTGTACTGGCACTCTGCGACGGTGCTCGACTTGACGCAACCCTGGCAGGGCCTGCCGTGATCACACTTGAGCTTGAGACGACGGCATCTCATGCACGTGTTGACGGGCCGCCGCGAGTTGACTGTTGGTGTTTCGGTCATGGTGGAGTGTGTGGTTGTGAACGAACGTTGACTGACATTGCTTTGTGCGAGTTTACATTGCGCATTGCCATTGCATTTGCTTGTCTAAGCAACCCCACGCTCGAGTCAAGAGACGTCGTGCGTGTCCGGGTGGGGCCAGATCGGCCGGCCGACGGTCGTCCGCTTTCGGCCGATGTCGCGTGGGAGCCACGTGGAAGGTAATTCAAATATATTGAAATGGATTGGTAACCACGGACGACAGATCCATTAGACATGTTCTAATGCTATATTGATCTTATTTGAATGCGCCGGATGCCGCCTATCTCCGGGCCGTGACCGGCCGGTTTGACCGGGCTTGGTGATGCGTGAAGAGACGCAGAGATGATGTGCCTCGCTCGTCCGTACAACAACGAGTAGCCGAGAGTCACATGCTGGCACGACACCGTGTGTGTCATTGCTATAAGAAGGAGATGGAGGACGCGATGCTGGTGTGCCCAACCAAACATGTCTCGCCTCTCCACGTCACAACCGCCCAGCATGACAGATATCGAGAAGACCGTCGCCCTCGACAAGACAGAGGTGGACGACCGCTCGTCGCCATCGCCACCGTTCACGACCACCTCCACCATTGCCGTCGACGAGTCGGCAGAGTCAGCAAAATCCTCAGAGGGTCCCACAGAGCCCCCCGCAGCGCCGGCCTCCACCCTCCCCCCTCCTCCTGACGGCGGTGCCCACGCTTGGATGACCGTCGCAGGCTCGTTCTTGGCCGTGTTTGTCCAGTTTGGTATCGCCAACGCGTTCGGTGTCTTCCAAGGATACTACGAGACGCATTTCCTGGCAGAATACAAGCCCCAGGACATCAGTTGGATCGGTGGTGTTCAGCAGTTCTTGCTGTTCTTCGGCGGTCTCTTTTCCGGCCGCGCAATGGACGCGTATGGCGGTCACGCAGTCTTCATCCCGGGCTCCATCTTGATCGTCCTGTCGCTCATGCTCACGTCCCTGTGCACAAAGTACTACCAGTTTATGCTTGCACAGGGCGTGCTCTTTGGCTTGGGCTCCGCACTCGTCTTCTCGCCGGCCGTCTCCATCCCCTCCCAGTGGTTCCTCAAGCGCCGCGCACTTGCCACGTCCATTGCAGTTGCGGGAAGCGGCCTCGGCGGCACGCTCTGGCCCATTGTCCTCAACCGCCTCTTCGCTGAGATAGGGTAAGTCTATTGGCCTCATTTGTGCCACTTTGCGTGACATGGCTGACATTGGTAGCTTTGCCTGGACGCTTCGCACTGTCGGATTCATCGCGCTTGCCCTTCTCGCCGTTGCAAACGCGCTCATCCGCACTCGTCTTCCTCGCCGCAAGCCCTCGCCGCTAAAGAACACGTTCGTGCCATTCAAGGACCCACACTATGCCCTGCTGGCCTGCGGTCTCATGGCATGCACAATGGCCATCTTCAACCCATTCTTCTACATTACCGTCAACGCTTCACGCCTGGGAGCGTCCACATCACTCGCTTTCTACTGCGTTTCGTTCCTAAACGCCGGCTCCACAGTCGGCCGTCTGTTTGCCGGTGTGGCCGATAGGTGGGGTCGCTTCAACGTGCTCGCTGGAGCCTCAGGCCTCGTATCCATCTTCCTCCTCGCGTTCTGGACGACGCTACACTCGGTCCCGGCCCTCATTGCCTTCGCTGTGCTGTACGGCTTCCTCGTCGGCTTTATCATCTCGCTCATCCCCCCTGCTATTGCCATGATCTCAAAGCCGCATGAGATTGGCGCACGTGTCGGCCTCGTGTACACCTGTGGATCTATTTTCGTCCTCACTGGCCCCCCCATCTCGGGTGCGTTCGTCACGGCGTACCCTGGTGACCGCGGATGGCAATACATTGGTGTCTTCAGCGGTCTCGTCGCTGCCTTTGGAACCATCTTGGTCACCCTTGCCAGGTTCAAGGTCAACCCCAAGGTGTTTGCCATCGTTTAACGAGGGAGACCATGAGAGCACACCACACCATAAGAGCACAACACCCTTCAATAGAATCCAGACTAGCACCTGGTAACACTTTCGCATGTAAATAGATGTCTTTGCCACATATGTATGTATGCACTGCCTGGCAGAACGTGTGCGTTAGTTGCCGAAATGCCGAAATCACGCCGTTAGTGACCGATGCTGCCAATGTCCAGCCGTTCACCAACTGTGGGCAGCATGGTTGCTTGAACGAACCACAGCTCGCGGCAATTGTGTCGGCGTTGTATGGTCAACGGTGACGAGGTCATCGGGATATCCGTCATGGGAGCCAGGCAGTCCGAGGCTCACTTGGATCTCATGGATCTCATGTGTGACGCGCCCCTGGCCTCGTCATCGTTCACCCATACACCCGGCTCTCGCTTCGTTCGCATCAACTAGCTCACGTCCAATTATACCATGGACAATACCAACAGGCGTGCATGCTCCAAAGCCTTGGCCAAGGTAGAGAAGGACGCCAACCTGTAGGCTGATGCGGCAGAGGACGTGACATTGGCACACACACTGACACACGTAGACCGAAGGTTTCGTCTCCGGACCTCTCTGCGATGGTCCTCCAGCCCCACATCGCATCGGCCATTGTTGACTACGTTTACCAATCATACAACCTTCCTTTGATTGTCTATAAGCCCGCAGATTTGTGTACGCTAAAGTCGAGAACTCGCACCCTCGGCCGTATCCTTCAGGTCTGCAAGGCATTTTACCACCCAGCAACGAGACACCTCTACTCGTCTCTGAGCGTGGATCTTGCCGGCGGCGAGGACCCGCGCTCAAACTCCCTACTGGAGCCATTGACAGACACTGGAAACAAGACTACTCTCCTGCTGTTCACCAAACATCTCCGCATCGGCAGACACACTGCGAAGGAATGCGGGGCTTTCACTTCGTCTGGAGGTTCCATCACCCTTCCAAACCTGCAGACGCTTGTTATCGATACGACCCAGACGTGTGATGAGGTGGACTCCTGCTATGCAAACGTTTGTGGGCTCACCAGCAAGCTCAAGCCTACCGACAAACTCCTCCTTGTGGCCGACGCTGAGGCTTTCAGCCCGGCAGAATGGCCAATTTCAGACTTGACCAACGCAATCGCCCGTCTCTCCACGGCCGTGTCGACAGTTGAAGTGCAGCTTGGATTAGCAGGCGTCCTGTGGCTTCCCAAATTACTCGGCGTCAAATACGGACCATCAGTCACCAAGCTCGTGTTTGTGGTGGAAACCGACGGACCCTCAGACTATGCGCACTTTATACGGTGTGCTGAAGACGACGCTTTCCAACAGGCGTCCCGGTGTCTCCTCGCCAGGCTGAGGGACCCGAACAACCAGGTCCAGTTCATCACGGTTGTCATTCGCCTGTCGGGTACTGGTACTGGTACTGGGCCATCTGCCGACTGGTTCTTGCTCAAGACTCAAGTTTACAAGTTGATATGGGCCGGCGCCTTGAGTGAGTTCAGCATGGGGACTAGGTCGCGCATGGTTCTCGACATGTAGCGTGTGTATGTGTGTCATGTTGTACTGTACATGTGTAGTATATGTGTCATATAGTACTGCACATGTGTAGGGTCATATGTAGTCACACCATCTGCAAAGGACGGGCCATGTTCAACCACCTTGCTGATACAAGACACAAGGACAAATACCCCCGTGCTGGATGACATTGGTTCAGCCTGGGGGCCCTAGAAGTGGGAGTGGGGGCGCGCTGTCCACGTCAACCCCGCGCGTCATTTCCCGTGCTTCTTCCTTTCACAACATTCACCACTTGGGCCACTTGCATCCAACCAGTCGCTTTCAAGACCGTCCTCCACAATGGACATCAAGCATCCCGATACGGGGAATCGCCGTGCCCGCCAGCAGGGCGACACTGCCATCCCGTGCGTTGCGTTGAACAAAGCGAAAGGATGCGCCACTGACTCGGCCCAGGTTCAAGCTTCCCTCGTCGCAACTGGTTCAACTGGTCCTCCAGCCTCACATCGTCTCCAGCATTGTGGCCTATGCGGCATCCGATTATTCGACTTTCAAGCCTCTCCATCTTCTCACCCTCTGCAAGGCGTTCTACCATCCCACCCACGAGATCATGTATCGCGACAAATATCGCGACCTCTCGTACCAAGGATATTTCAGCTTTGGTTTCCTCCATCACGGGTTAATCAAGCCGACCGGGTTCGTTTACACCGAGGAACTGATGGTATTCAATCATTCCGCCTGTCGCCCCACAGTCTCCCATCCTCCTATTTCGTTCCCCAACCTCAAGTCGCTCACCCTGGTGCTGTTGGACGATCGTTGGTGTCTTCACTGCCCCGTTATTCGCGGCGCGTCTCCCTCAGACAAACTCAAGATCGCCATCGAACAGCGCACCTTTCCCAATACACCAGCCGTTGCAGACCTCATCCTCAGCTGCTCATCGCGAGTTCCCGTTATCAAGTTTGAAGTGGGCTCGGCCGCGGCACTGGAGCTCATCCCTCGCATCCTTAGCTTCCCGCGCGGTCCCAACGTCAGGAACATGACATTTCGAGTCCCGTTGCGTGGCGGTTTTTTCTGCGACGAGTTTCGCCAAGCGTGCCAGTCGTTTATCTCGACACTCAAGAGCCTCCCACACGGCGAGACTTTGATTCTTTGTGTCGAGTTTCAACGGGACAGCGACATTCCTCGCGAGTTCCTTGGACGCCTTTGGGAAGAAATTGAAGACTACCAATCGATTTGGCACGAGGAGTCTGTCGACGTCCGCGACAACATCAAGGCTTGTGTCTCCCTCATCAACAGCGTGCCAGACCCCGATGGCTTGGACAGCGATGAGGAAGGCAGTGACGAGAACATTGAGGAGGAAGGCAGCGACGAGAGCAGCGAGGAGGATGGCAGCGACGAGAACAGCGACGAGAACAGCGACGAGGCACCCAGTGACACGAGTAGCGATTAGGAAGGCGGTATGCGGTGAGGGGTTGCTGCAACTGTACTGCCCAAAAACAGGATTCACCAGGCCAGACTAGGGCGAACACACAAAGGACGTCCAGATTCATGTACAGAAGGTCCATAGCCGTGCTGACCCGTATGCAATACGTTGATGACGGGTGGTGGATGACACACGCTGCATGGAAGCACCTGTTCTGGTTGTGGACGGGATGAAAGACATGGATGGGTGGAGACGCGCGAATGGTGGTGGCAGCGCCCGCCTGGGTGGAGAGGGGCAGGCCAATGGCTCTGGCAGGTCCAGTCAACCGCGCGTCACCCGTTCATCCATCACGCGTCGCACCACTCTCTCCTGCTTCCACAATCCACAATCCACCTTTCCAACAAGTGCAACATCAACACAACACCATGCTATACAAGAATAAGGTCCTTGACAATCGCCCTCCTGACAAGCGTGCCAAGCACGACCAGCACGACAAGACTGCCACCTGGTGCATTACAGTAGGCAGACCTCGTGCTAACTGCCCCCAGGTTCAAGCCTTCCCCCACGTTAAAGCCTCTTTCCAGCGAGCTCTCCAAGAAGGTTCTCATGAACCCCGATATCATCTCCCGCATTGTTCGCTACGCCTGCATGAACCGCTTCTCACACAATGCGGTCCTCTTCCGTCTGCTCAACGTTTGCAAGGCGTTTCACCAGCCGGCACTCAAGATGCTCTACAGCAACCTCCAGTACGATGGCTTCTGCAACCCATTCCTCGACCATGGGGCCAAGTCAACCATCCTTGAATACACAGAAGACCTCATGGTCCTTCATCACAAGGGATGTACCGCCACCGCCGCCATGGGGACTGATTTATTGTTCCCCAACCTCAAGTCAATGACCCTGTTCTTGGTGTGCGGCCCTTCCTGCACCAACTGCGCCGTCATTCAAGCCGCGTTCCGCGCGCCTCCCCAAGGCCTCACTATTGTCACCGAGCACGACTCCCTCTTCGTCAAACCAGGTGTTCCCGACATGATTCTCGGCTGCTCCGCTCGTGCCACCACCATCACCTATGACATGGGCATCAACGGACTCAAGTACATTCCCTTTGTCTTCTCCCTCCCACACGGCCCCAACCTCAACAAGATCACGTTCCAAGTCCACCTCACCGGCGAGTGTGACGGTGACATGTTTCGTAAGGTTTGCAAATCGTTCATCTCGGCCCTCAAGAGCGTCCCTTTCGGCCAGACGTTGACGCTCGTCCTCGAGTACAAGAACCACTGGCGCGACTTTCCTGCCTGGACGACCTGGCAGTCGCGCCTCGAGCGCTGTGCCAAGGAAATCGCACTCCACCAACAGCTCTGGGTCGAAGCGTCTCTCGATCAGGACCGTGTCATGTTCAAAAAGCTCAACTCCTGCGTTTCCTTTGTCAACCACGTCCCCGAGCCCAGCGCCTCTCCCTTCGGCTACCAGAAACCAGTTGTCCGCCACCGCGCGGTTACGAGAGGCATGGCAGCGCGCGCTGGCGGGTCTGAACTTGAAGAGCTCCCCAAGAAGTCTGTCAAGAAGAAGGTGAAGGCTGGTAAGCTTCCCTAGAAGTCTATACACCAAGAGAGGGGTTATGTACATGTACGGGGAGGAGCAAGTGGACTGTGATGGGAGGCGCAAGTAGTGTCATGTTATGCAACGCGTACATGTCGGGGTGACCGTATGGATGGTTTCGGCGGGGGAAGGCGGGGGGCTGTACAGTACGGGGCGCGCGGTCTAGAAACTGAAACCGTCAGTTGACGTGTGTCTCCTCCTTTTTGTCACACACTCCACCATCCTCACCTTCCACGTCTAATCCTCCTCAAGGCCATGCAAGGAGGCATGATGATGGCCCCTCCGTACGTAGACGCAGAGAGCAAGCGAGAGAACTGACAGTCCACAGGAGCTCCAACGAGTGGCAAGGTCCCACCCCCCACTCGCTGTTCCTCCAACCGCACATTGTGTCCAGCGTTCTCGCCCACGCCGACCTGTCCAACGTTGAGCTCGCTCGCATCCTTACCGTGTCCAAAGCATTCTACCACCCTGCGGCAAGTCTCCTCTATCGTTCCCTCACGTGTTGCTTCCCACCTGGACTAGACGAGCAGCGTCTCTTCGTCGACTGTGGATCCAAGGCGACTCTGCTGGCGCACACCAAAGAGCTTGAGATCCAGTTTGCCTACCCACGTTTGCCACCCACCACTGGATCGAACCCCGTCAATGTCGCGGTTCTGCCCAATCTTGAGAACCTCACAGTTACGGGTGACGAGGTGATGAGTACCAAGGCCTGGAACGAGATGGCTCTTCACCCCTTTCTCCACCGCCTCCAGCCCACAAAGGACCTGAAGTTCGTCTTCTACCGTGACGACTTTCATTCCAAGTACATCCCCAACATTAAAACCGCTGTCACGGAACTGTCACGCCTGGCCACCAGCGTCATCTTCGAGCATAAAGACACCACGACACTCAAGGTGTTCTCGTCCTTTCTCGACATCAAACTGCGTCCGCAGGTCACCTCCTTGAAGTTTGGAGCCATCATCACCGCGGACCACTACAGGAAGGAACACATATTCACGAACATTTGTGAGGCTATCATCGCCCTAGTCCAGCGCACTCCGCAGCTGTCAATCACACTCGACATTCGCCGCACCGATATTTTCTGCTGCCTGAAGCGCCAATGGTCCGACGTCAGACTTTACGCAGGTGTGTCCCGTGCCTACCAGCAAATTTGGTTTCTCGAGGAGAGCAAACTGGACGAGGAGCTCCAATGCCGAATCTCTATGAATTTCGAGGAGGCCACTGGCTGCGCCCCCGACGACGCTCCCAAGAGCTGTGCTCACCACCCTCGGTTGGACGACGATTCCTCACGCTGGGGATATTTGGATCCTGAAAGCGATGACGAGGACGGTGCATGGAGCGGTGATGAAGACAGTGACGGCGAGGTGAGCTCATTCAGCGGGACCGTGGTCAACAAGTGATTCCAACAGGCACAGCAGACGGATTGGACGTGGCAGCAGAAGAACCAACTCCTCCGCACCTTCTGGACTGCGGAGCCCTCTGCAGACAACAAAACCAAGTCTATCAAGAATGTGCTCCTTGATATGGTGTATGCCAACGACAGGTTCTATGACATTGTCGCCAGGTAAGCACAGAACCAAGCGATACTTTCAATCTGACGAGGCAAGTGATCCCAGACCTGCCAACTGCCCCCTCTTCCCTGCGGACCGAATTCCTGAGGCGTCGCTGGGAGATGCTCGTACGTCTTCGTCACGCGGCATCTTCGCCCTAGTTGCTCCCTCGGTGGGTTTTACCATTGTTCGATCACCGGCCATTCTAACACTCACAGGGCCGTATCCTTATCGACTCAACCGGCTATCGCACGTTCAAGCAGTGTCTCGACAGGAGGGTCTTTTCGGACCATCCGCTGGTCATCGCTCAGCTCGGTCCGACTACTGGTACGCAGCTCTGAGGCTTCCGAACTGTGACTGTCCAAAGCTGACCTCCTACTGAAGCCGACCAGCGCATTGGACGCAAGGACTACATTCTCGTCGACTTCTCGCTTCCTTACTATCAAGAACTGGTCAAGCAGGTTGATTATACCTTTCTCCGCCAGGCGGCTGGCGCTGCGACCGCCTGGCTGACCATCGCGTTCCGTAGCTGCGAGCCCTACATCGGCTTCAACCCCAGCTTCAGTACCAACGCACCCGTCTTCGTATCTCCTGCCAACACCCTCATGAAGACCGAGTCAGCCGCGGTCCGCCAAAAGGTAGGAGCATGAGCGACGACCCGAAGCTGACCGACAGGGCAACGAGGCTTTCAAGAAGGGTCGCTATGGCGATGCCGAGGCGGCTTATACCCGGGCCATTGCACTCAACCCCTTCGACCCCCTCCCTTACGGAAACCGCTCTGTGGCTCTTCTCAAGATCAACCGGTAGGTACAAGTAAGCAATCCTCCTCCAACATGCTGACGGGTCAAGCTGGAAGGACGCCGAGATCGACGCCACCGCAGCTCTCAACTTGGACCCTACTCAAATCAAGTCGTATGGCCGCCGTGCCGTGGCTCGTGAACGCCTTGGCCGTCTTGACGATGCTATGGCAGACATTGAGATGGCGATCAAGAATGGCGTGGTGACTCAGGAGCTTTCCGACCTCCACAACAAGCTCGTCCAGGAGCGTGACGTCAAGTTTGCATCCAAGTTCAAGGACCTCAAGGTCGACAAGTGATAGTTGTGATTGGCGATGGGCAATGTGGGAGCTGAGGGAGTTGGGTCGACCAGCTCACCGAGTAGTGGTTCGTGTATTGCCCACATGAATACTGTGTCATACTGTGTGTGTCTACATACATCCCTTTGGCCTGGGCGGGGTGATGAAGGCGATTGTGGGTGCGAGGTGTGTACCAGCTCGTCAGACACCACTTCGTAAGACGTTCACCGCCCGACTTTGGTTCCGCTGATGTCCGCCCCAAGGTGTGCCAAGGGCGTATGTGACGTTCTCCTGTGCCCTTCTTTCTTTCGCACACAGGTCCACCACCACATACCCAACTTTTTTATCATGCCTAAGAAGAACAGTAACAAAGGGAAGCGCAAGAACAAGGCCAGAACGACCGGCACCCGCCAGGCCACAGTGGAGCCACCAGTGCCGCCAAACCTAGCCGAGGATGTTGCCACTGTGAATAACGACAACCCTGTCGTAGCTAACACGCTCAGCCTGTGCCCGTTGAGAAGCCCGAAGTCTCACCTGAGGACCATGCCGCCATGCTGAGGCACTGCAGAGATGTGAGCGTCAAATTACCCGCCTTGAGGCCGAGGCTAACGGTATAGGCGAAGAAGGTTTGGGCGCAAGGTGTCGCCGCCGCGTTCGCGGATGGCGCTCCGCAGGATGCCGCCATCAGTTATTTCCACGAGGCCGTCAATGCCTACGCACGCGCAATCAAGGCGGAACCAAGCAATCCCGACCCCTACTCCCTCCGCGCCGGTATTCTGGTGGACCTTGGTGCGCTGAACGAGGCAGAGCACGACGCCACTATTTGCCTCGCACTCAAACCGTCTCAACACGACGCGCGGTTCGTAAGAGCTCATGCGCGCTACGTATTGAAGAACCTTGATGGTACCATGGAAGATCTCACCATTCTGGCCAAAGGACGCAACATGACACACGTTGAGAGAGACCTTCTTGCCGACGTTCAGAAGGCCCAGGCAGATCTTCTGGCGAGACGGATTCAAGCCATGGAACTCCTCGACAGTCACCTTGCTCACATCAAGCCCGTGATTCACTGCTTCATGTTTCCGCACATCATGGAAAGCATTCTGCTATACGCTCCATTTTCAAGCCGCCAGGTCCTCCGAAATACCTCCAAAGACATGCGTAAGCAAGTCGACGCAGTTCCAATTGTGTTGGTGTGCACTGCACGCGATGCAGACCACCTCAATGTGACGGAAACGAAACACCCCACGATACTGGCGACGGCCGACGTTAGCTACGGCAACCGATTCTCCTCCCAGTCCACCGGCATTGTCGTCAGCCCCTCCATGAATTTTCTCTTCCAATCAGTGCAGGTCGTCGATGTCGTCTACAGCTGCCAGGAACAGCTGCTCGCAGAGCTTATCAGGATGTTCTTTAGGGACGACAGCGTCCTCCGTTTTCGCACCGATCCGCTGCGACCCGACGGCCGCATGCCCGGGACCAACTCCATGGACATTTCACTGCAAGATTTCCAAGATTGTCATCTTCCCCTATCCCGAAATCTACAACATGGAAGCTGCACTGAGTGGCGCTCCATTCGTTGGCGCATCGCATCTCAATCTCCGTGGTGATTCGGTCCGCAAAATCATTGTCAACCTTAGCTTCGAGCCTCAGCAGAATGGCTGTGGCGTTTGGTGGCTCGCCCAGCCCTTCTGGGTTCGTGGTCCCGAACGCTGGAACGCGCGCACATCCACCGCTCCACGCTGTGAAATGGTATTGGTCGTGGCCGATGTCGCCCTGCTCTCCACTCCGTCCGAGTTCAACCGTTCGCCCACCTTTGTGGAGCATACATGGTACTACTTTACCCAATCGGTCGTTGCAGCCCTCATGACGGGATTCCATGTCAAGGTCGTGGGGTTTGAGACCATGATCCACCTGTTCCGTGACGCTACAGTCAAGCCAGAGCCGACTCTTGAGGAGCTTGTCGAACTCTGCAAAGACCAGTTCGTCCGGATTATGCACGCCACCGCGGTGCAGCTCTCACAGGCACAGGGCTACCTGCCGCCACCTCTTGACTACGTTGCGAACCACACTACGTTTGTCGCCCGCAACGACTACAAGAGCACCCTCAGCAAGGGGGAATGGGAACAGGAGACTAGGGAGGACTACGGATGGCTTTGAAATTTGGAAATTAGAACATGTACACGCCTGATCATCATCACCCCCAATGAGTCACCGAAACGCCATCACATCGCCACCCTGTGGACAATCCGTTCAGACACGACAGCGCACCGGTAGCCAAGAACCCAGAACCACAATCTGTACAAATGGGCCACCCCTATGCATTCTCTCTATCGCCTCAGCGGAAGACAAAGCCCGGAAACGTCGGGTCCGCGGGGTCGACATAAAACTCGTGTCGGCCCATCAGGTGCGCCATGCCGGTGATGCGGGGGATGCACGCCGGGAACTCTGTCGGGCTCGCCGCCTCCGCCTCGACCACGGCGGTGAACTCGGTGTTGATGATGGAGCGATGCACTAACGTCTTTCCCGGCTGCAGCCTGCCCTGCGCGAGCAGGAGCGCGACACGCGCCGCCGTCCCAGACCCACAGGGGGAGCGGTCGATCTGCCCGTCGGCAAACACCACGACATTGCGCTGCGTGAGGCGCCCGCGCGCAGGGTCTTCGTCCAACTCGTCGTAGAAGCACACAGCATACAGGTCGTGGTTCAGGTGGCGGCCGCGCGTCCCCAGGGCGGCCTTGATCGCGCGGCCAAGGGCGACAAACGCGTCGTGGTTGGCCGGCTCGATGCGCAGGCCAAACGTCTTGACGTCGACAAAGGCGTACGATGCGCCGCCCCACGAGATTTCCACCGTAAAGTCCAGTGCGGGGGAGGAGAGGGAGACTGGCACCTTGGTCGCCCACTGGTAGCTCGGCACATTGATAAAGTCGACGTGCACGACCTTGCCGCCAACCGTGCACACCTGCGCGACGACGCGCCCGGACGGCACGTCAATGACCACATCCGTCTTGCCGTCCTCCACCGCCTTGACGCGACCGGTCTGGACTGCCCAGCACCCGAGCGCAATGGTGCCGTGGCCGCATGCGGTGGAGAAGCCGTCCTTGTGGAAGAAGAGCACGCCAAAGTGCGCGCCGTCGTCGTCGGGCGGGACGATGAACCCGCCGTACATGTCGGCGTGGCCGCGGGGCTCCTGGCACAGGCTCTTGCGCAGTGTGTCGACAGGGTGTCCGGGCTGGGCCATGATGTTCCACCTGCGATCGGCGACGGTGAGGCCCGCCGTCTCGCAGTGCGGTGGGAGCTCGGCGATGATGCGGAAGGGCTCGCCGGCGGTGTGCCAGTCGTCGGTGGACACCCAGAAGGGCGCCTCAAGTGCGGATGGGACGGGGGCAGCTGTTCCGTTGGCCATGGTGGTGGGATGTGCGATGGGGGGTTGTGGGTACATGAATCTGCTGCTGCTGGATAGAAATACGGACAGCAGTTGGGAGCGACGTCGAGATGAGTGCGGAGATAGCCCACCTGCCGTGGAACTGTGGAGACTCCGTATATCCCTCGGCATCGGCATCTTTCGGCGCTCGGAAACACCGAGCCGGCTATCTGCTCTCGCAAACTCCGAGGCTGCCCACACCACACTACCGAGGCTGCCCACAACACACTATACTGATCTGCTGACCTATCTGATCTGATTACCCTGCCCACCGCCGTACCATGTCTAGAGCAACACAGATATGTAGCTCACCTTGTGTGCATATGAAAAAGGTGCAGGGGCTCTGCACAGCGACCAGAATCGGCGCTTACCTCTGTTAGGAGCCGGGAGGCCAAGAACAAGTTGCCCTCCTCATCGAGACAGCTTAAAGGACAGCACTCCCAGCGCCCACAGATGTCAAACTATTCCCCATCACCAGCGCCACCATGCAGTCCGACACACTCTCCCACAAGACGCCTGCAGAGAAGATGGGCGACGCCGACGTGAAACACGATCCCGAGGCCGACGTCAAGGTCCAGCCAGTCTGCGCACCGGCCGTGTCCACCGAGGGTCTCCACCGCAAGCTCAATGCCCGCCACCTCACGTTCATCAGCATTGGCTCCGTGATCGGCACAGGCATCTTCCTCGGAATTGGCAGCACACTCTCCACGGCGGGGCCTGTCGGCCTCGTCCTGGCGTACACGATCATGTGCTCCGTGGTCATCTGCGTCATGGGTTGCGCAGGCGAGATGGTCACGTACCTGCCTGTCGTCGGCGCGCACATTCGCCTGTCCGGGCGGTTTGTCGACCCGGCCCTGTCGGCTGCCATGTCGTGGAACTACTGGTACTGCTGGGGTCTCATTGTGGCGGCAGAAGTTTCGGCGGTGGCCGTCCTGATCACGTACTGGACTGAGAAGGTATGTGTGCACTCTGGCGCTCTGTCTGTATCTGACTGTCCCAGGTACCGGCCGCCGTGTGGATTTCAATTTCGCTCGTTATCATCCTCGCTGCCAACCTCTGCGGCCCGCGCGTCTACGCCGAGATTGAGTTTTACATGTCGACCATCAAGGTCATCACCATCACTGGCCTCATCATCCTCTCCATCGTCTTGGACGCTGGCGGCGGGCCCAACCACAAGCCCATCGGATTCCAGTACTGGCGCAACCCGGGCCCATTCACGCAGTACCAGGGTGTGCCTGGGTCTACCGGCCGCTTCCTCGGCTTCTTCTCGGGCCTCACGGGTGCGGCCTTCTCGTCCATCGGCACCGAGATGCTCTGCTTGGCCGCCGCCGAGACCAAGAACCCTGCCAAGGTCATTCCCATCGCACTCAAGGCGACGTGGATCCGCATCGTGCTCTTCTACTTCTGTGGCGCGTTCGTCGTCAGCCTCATCGTGCCCTGGAACGACAGCCGTCTCGGTTCGGCATCCACGGCTGCCGCCAGCCCGTATGTCATTGCCATCACCGACGCGGGGATCAAGGGCCTGCCGAGCGTCATCAACGCCGCGATCCTCACGTCGGCCATGTCGGCCGGCGTCGGCGACTGCTTCACCGCCGTGCGCACCCTGCACTCTATGGCCGGCAGCGGCCTCGCGCCCAAGATCTTTGGCCGCACGACCTCGTGGGGGTCGCCGTACGTCGCCGTCATCGCGACGTGGCTGCTCGGTTTGCTCGCGTTCCTGAGTGTGTCCTCGGGCGCGGCGGTCGTGTTCAACTTCTTTGTCAACCTCACGGCGCTGGCCGGCATCATCACGTGGCTGTGCATCGGCATCTCGTTCATTCGCTTTCGCGCAGGCCTCAAGGCCCAAGGAATTGCCGTCAGCAGCCTGCCATACAGGAACTGGCTGGGCGTGTACGGCGCGTGGTGGATCGTCATTGTGGTTTCCTCGATCACCTTGTTCAGCGGCTGGCCAGTGTTCAAGAAGGGTAACTGGGACACGGCGACGTTCTTTGGCAACTACCTCCCGATAGGGCTATTCGTCATCATCCTCGTGGGATTCAAGGTGTGCTACAAGACCAAGTTTGTCCGGGCGAGCGAGATGGACGTGACCACTGGCGTCGAGGACTTTGTCCAGCAGTCGGAGGAGGCTGAGGAGGAGGACAAGGCCGACAGGCCGTGGTATTCGCGAATCATTGCTTAAATGCGGTTTTGTGGTGTTGTCGAGCCGGATAAGTATGTAGTTACGATGCATGTATGTTGCTGTGAAGTGCCACATTAGACACTCGCGACATAAGGTGAATACCTTCCCACACATCGCCGCAGTCCCCCGCGCGGACAGTACCGTTAGGGTAGAAAAGCATCGTGGTGGCAGTTTTGGACAAGCGAACCATATTCACATAACAATCAGGAGATTCTGTGTGCCACTCGAATCAGAAGGTTCATCCGAGCTTAAAGTGCTAGTATAGGTTACAGAGCCACAGTATGCAGCTCACACTACTACTTGACCCCTACAGATATCAATAATCGGAATCATCTCTATACCTCCACCCCAATAATACCTAATATTCGTAGTCGACCATATAATGCGGAAAATGAAGAGGAAGTACACGAGCTGCTTGTGGCGTTGACCTGATGGGGACTACATCTGGGGGGCGGGGAAGAGAAAGCTAAAGTCGAAGTCGGGCAGGCCGTGTGCATGCTCCAGGCCCGCAGAGGGCATACTGCTGCTGAACGCGGCGGCGGCGGCCTGCGCCTCGACGAGGGTGGAGGAGAGTGCACCCACGCCGTGGGCGAAGACGGACGGCGGCGCGAGGCTGCTCCCGACCTCCGCACGATCTGCGGGGGGCATCCCACTGCTCAGTGTAAGCATGTCGCCAAGCAGGCCTACACCGCCCAGCTCCCTGGCTGTGCGACTCCGCGCCGCACGGCCGGCAAGGAGCTCCGTGTCCGCGGTGGGGAGGGGGTGCCCGACGTCCATCCCGCACGCTTGCCGTCAGCACCACCCTTGCAGTGGACCTACTATGACACGTCTCGTCGAGCACCTCGGACGCACCGCGCGCGATCGGTAGCACGCCTCCGAGCATCTTGAGGAACATGGACGCAGCCACGATGGTGCGCTCGCATTCGCGCACCTCCTTGCCACCCCCGCCCGCCTGCGCGCCCAGGAAGCACGCGACGAGCAGGCGGCCGGCCACGAGGATCTCGTACGCCACCACTGTGCGTGAGCGGAGCGTGTGCGGCGTGAACTCACTCATGTCACAGTACTGCAGGATGTGCGCGGCGCCGAGCTGGACGTGCGCGTCGATCAACGTCTTGGCCGCCGCGACCACTGGGGCGCGGTAGTGGTGCTGCTTGGGCGCGTTGGTCGCCTGGGCCAGCTGCAAGCGCCGCGCGTGCACGAGGATGCAGATGAGAGTCTGCGTGCACCACACACGTTCGACCGCGACGGACAGCGGCGGGTCCCGCGGGGGCAGGGCAGGGGTCGATGTCGAGGAGCCGCCGCTGCGCCGGAGGCTGGCGGGCAGCTGAGCACGCCACATGTCCAGATGCTCCTCGACGTCGGTGAGGAGCGCGTCATCGCACCTCTGGAGGGCCATGTACTTGGCCAGCTGGTTGAGGAATGGCGAGCCGGGGTACAGGGGGCGGTGGTTAACGGCCTTCAGGGCCATGTTGAGGACGGCGCAGACACTGATGAGCGCATTGAAGACCTCGACGTACTCGGCGTCATGCACTGCGGCTTGCGGGCTGGCGTCGGTGAGCGCGTCGCCGAACGGGACGGGGACGTCGCAGTCAATGTCGCCTAAGGGGAGCCACGGGGGTCGCCCGAAGACTGCTGCCAGGAGCTTGTCCCAGCTGGAGAGGTCAGTCCTGGTGGGCTAAGCGATGTCCTACCAGTAGATCGACCACGCTATCCGCTGGGGGTCAGCAAGAACGCTCTCCCATGAGGGGGACTCACAGCTCTCATCTCCCTCTCTATCGGATCCACAGGGATGTGGCGCGGCAAGTCACTGCGAGCTCGTCAACGACACCGCCGAGCCCAACTCACCGGTGGAAGCCGGCATCGATGCAGTATGAAAACGCCGTGCCAAAGTACGACAGCGCCAGCGGCCGTGGAACGTTGTTCATGCAGAAGAACTGCGACGCGAAGAAGATGGCAATGAGCTCGAACAGCTTCGTGTTCTTCTCGCCGCCGAGCAGCTGTGACAGGAGCGCGTGATACTGCATGCCCGCAGATGTGGGGTCACCTGTATGTTCAGCTGAGGTAGAGCAGCTGCGAGGGCTTACCGTCATCGGCGAGGACGCGGGGGTCGGACGAGTACCGCGATGCCAGCATGCACATGGACACGACCAGGGCGCCGAATGACGGGTCGGACCAGTCTTCCAGTTGCTGTGACAGTCAGTGCATTCTTATGTGCTGTGGACGTACGCGAAACACGGTCGGGGAGTGGAGAATCGGCCAGCTGGGGTGGATCACAAAGAACTGCCGTGTTAGGTAGCCACCTCGTTCATGTTCTCTTACAAAGGTGTCCAGTAGAGATGCAACAAGGTCGAATGGAACTAGCGCGTGAGACCTCCACCCATCAAGGGCTACTCACTGACGGCGGTGACCATGTCGAACACCTTCATGTCGCCGGTAGCCGGCTGGGATGCGGGCTCTTCTGGCAGACCCTGGCCCGGTGTGCCCCCTGGCTCGTCGGACGGCCGGGGTTCATCGTCTGGATCGGCTCGCAGCAGCTGGGCGAGGTAATCCCACGCCGACTGCGACGAGGTCGGGGACGGAACGGCGTTGGTCTGGTCCTTGATCCGTCGGCGCGCCATCTCCCTGATGCGTGTCAGCACTCTCCTCCGAAGACAACGCACAAGACAGGCAATCCCGAGGTGCTGCCGGCAAAGTGCTGAGTCCCATCGCCCGCAGAATACCAGTGCGTGGTGCTATCTGAGAGCAGCACCGTGGCCGAGGGCGACATCTCTCCCGATGCTGGTGCGTGAGCTGCACAGTCATGTTGGTGCCAACTCACCCCTGCGTCGTCGTTTTGCTGTAGCGGGCTTTGGGGGCTCGACAGACCGGCGAGCAGCCGTATGTCCTGGTGCGCGTGCGCTCGGCTCCTCGTGTACCCTGCTGGCAGGCCGTGTCGGATGGGACGTCAACAGCCTGCTCGGCCTATCGCCCAACACGCACTCGTGTCCTTCGGCGGTGCAGCGTCCGCAGGGCATGTTGCTGTCACACTGGCGGCCATAGTTAGCCTACCCCATCAGGCGGTCAGTCTATGCAGACACACCTTGACCTTGCGCAGGCTTCATTTTGCGGTCAGTAACTGATAGCCAGACCCGGGGCTACCTACCGACATCTGTCGCACGCCCGGAGGAACCGCGTGCGCTGGGCCTCGCCGGCCAGCGTGGACGGCCCGGCTGCATGAACGATGGCGCGCGGACTGCATGGCAGGGAAGCGGAGCTGAATCCAGATGACGCGTCTCGTGCGGCTTGCTGTGCGTCGTGGGTGTCGTGGGTGTCGTGGGAGGTGTCGGACGGAGCAGACATGAGTGAATGTGCGGTTAAGAGAGGTTCTCGGCACGCGGCAAACACCGGGTCAGATTTAGGTGGGCGAATCCGGTTTCGGACAGGACGTACTGACGAGCGTGATAGCCGTCGCATGTAAAAAGTGCTCAGCCAACGCACGTTATACTATGGAAGTGCATTGCATTGCACTTCTGGGTCAAGCACATGGACCGAGTCCGAGAGGACAAGCGTCTGCCCGTGGGGACTCGTGGCCCATATCATACCGCGGTGAAGTGCGGTAAATTGCTGGCGACGAACACGATACCACTTGATGATATGAACGCGCAACAGTAATGGAACACGCTATTAGCATCGTTGCCTGAGCACCTAATGGAAACCGTTCCAATTCGGGCAGTGCGCGTTCAAGGCCAACGCAATGCCAGTTGCATCCTGTTCATCGCCCAAGAAAGCATTCTGCTCCCTACTATCCCACCCAGCACTAGACGTGCTACACTGCCCCAGGTACCTCCACGCTCTTTTGATTCGTTGTGTCTCCGTTGTGAGAAACGTTAAGCCTCGTCGACCTCAGTGGTAACACCGGCCTGGGCAGCGCGCTCCTTCTCGACGTCTGTGACGTAGCTAGCCATGTGCCAAGCACGGACCTTCTTCTCAAACATCTCGTCGAGCTCCGCGGGCGAGCGACTGATAGGTTGTGTCAATAGAAAGGCACCATGTCAGATCAGACGAGGCTTGACTCACCCGCGGGTCTCCGGAATAACGAAGTAGGTGGCCACAATTGGGAAAAAGGAGACGCCGGCATAGAAGAAGCAGGACTTAAGACCCCAGTTCCATTGCGCAACGTTGCTAGACGGTGTCAATTGATGCTGGCGCTTGTGAAACCAAGTCACGTACATCATGTAAGGCGTGATGCCTCCCCACGCAAAGCCGATAGCAGTCGCAATGGAGGCACCAAAGCCTGCCGTGCGCGAGCGAAGCCTGGACGATGGGATTTCACCGACGTAGGCCCATCCGACACCGCCGCTCACGTACATGCCGCATGCTGAAAGAATGTCAGCTACACGTTGATGACAGCGACGTACTCCAGAGGCAGGCCAGAGCCACATATCCGTTCTTGACCGCCTGGTTTTGGTCCTTCACCATAGTAAGGACACCGATGAAGAGAAGACAGAACCAACACAGCCAGTACGACACAATGACGAGGACTCGACGGCCGAGGCGGTCCATTGCCCACATGATAAACAAGGTTCCCGCAACGCCGATCGCAGAGGTGATACACGTGATCTTGAAGGGGTCCGTTTGGCCAGCGAGGATGAAGAAGTACGTCACGTAACTTGGATTGTTTAGCTGCTGTGAATCAAACAATGAGGTGCTCACCCCCAGATGAGAGAAGTGCCGATGGTGCCCTGCACGACGAGAACCCAGGCCGTACAGATCGTGCGCCACTGAGGTCGTTAGTTACACATCCCAGCACTGGTGATGACACGACGTACCCCGTCGACACCCTGGACGACAGCAATGAACTTGTTTTGCTTGTTCTCGTTGGCCACCTTCTGCTCGTGCTCGACAGTCAAGCGAAGAATGGCGTACTCTTCCTCCACATCGTAACCTTCGACCTTGCCATTCAGGCGCCTCAGAATCTTCATTGCGTCTTCGTGACGCCCCTTCAGGCAGAGCCACCCTGTTCCAAGTCAGACCAATTACACGCTTGGGCCATGACTTACAGGGAGACTCGGGAATGACGCTGTAAATGATGAACATGATTCCAACCTGGGCCCACTGCGTATAAATGGCAGTGCGCCAAATGCGAGGGTTCTGGTTGTTCATGACCTGTAGGGCGACGGGGCCGAAGAACTGGCCAAGTGCCCACCACAAGTTGTAGCAGGCGAGCATCGTACCGCGGATACGGTTGGTAGGGGACATCTCGGTGATGTACATCTGGAGCTGAGCCTGCATGGCGCCGATGCCAACAAAGGAGAACCACTTGGCCACCGTCTGCCTCAGGTTAGAAAGAAGATCTCAAAGTGGGGAGGGACGTACCCAAACACCCCAGCTCTTGGTTGTACACTCAAGAGCCACACTGATGACGAGCATGGACCAGTACCACAACATGACGGCGCGACGGCCGAATCGGTCGGCGATGCTGGAGGTCAGTCGTGTGCCCCGTATTGCTTTGACTTACAAGGGGGAAATGTTCATTCCACTAATGTCAGCCTGGCCATAGCGACATAAGGGACGTACCACCATTGTCCAAGAGAACCGATGTTGCCCCAGATGGAGAGCACGTTGGCAGCCAGAATGGGAGTGCCGCTGCTGTCAACTGTCGTCGCAAACTGGTTGATAAACCCCTGATTGGCAACTGCACCGTTAGCTGGATGAACTTTCCACCCATGCCGTACTAATGTTGCCAGCAAGCGTGACCTGGGGGATATGTTAGTGGGGTTCAGTGGATCTCGTACCAAAGAAACTCACCTGATAACCATCGGTCGCGGCACTGAAGGCAGCAGCAAAGCACACAAGGCTGGCCTTCCAGAAGAGCTTGACTGTCTGGACGCGGTCCAAGTCCTCCCACTTGGACCGATAGTACTTGGTTGGCGACACAGTCTTGGCGTCTTCGATGAAGAAGTCGGCGTTGCCCTTCTCGGGTGGAGCAATATCGAAAGTGTGGTCGGGATCGTTGGTCATGACGGAGCGAGGAGCAGACGAGATTGTGTGTGAAGGTGGGTCCCCCATGGGGGTCCGTGGGTCACTTAAGTACAGAAAGCAGCATCCCCCGTTCGGTACTGCGGAGCCCGAACCAGTCGGCAAGCGGGGTGGTGGTGGTGGTGGAGAACATTGCACGCCAAAGATGGGCATCGACCCGTCGGGTGTCGGCACTCTTCCGACGGGGAGTGGGAGGATGTATCTCGGCAAAAATGTCACGTGACCCCGCGTGCCAATGTGGCGCGGCTGGCCCGGAAATCGTCAGATGGTGTGTGGGTGGTAATTCCAGCCTACCAAAAGAGCGAATGTTGCGGATAACTGATAGCCTGTTGGGGGTGTATTGTGTGCTTGCGATAGACAGGACGGCTGCTGCATTGTGCCGTTTTGGTTGCCGAAACTATATCCCTTGTCGTGCCCGCATGGGTGATAACGGTAGCCTGCTGTTGACCACCCGCAGGCGCAGCCGTCGGGACATACCTGCCAGTGAGGGGACGTTGGCTGGCGATCCTTTAAAACTGGCTTCCAGGATGTTGTTAACTTCCACACTCGCTCATATCGTCATGACCGTCACTGCTACCCAGTTTACACGCCGTTCGGACGAGGACATTGCCGCCTCTTTCGCTGTCGCTCTTGCTCCGTCCACAGATGGGCGCTTTGTTGTGCGACACAATGCACCCAACGAAAGCTTTTTCTACCTGGGTGACACTGCTTGGGAGCTCTTTCACAGGCTGAGCTACGAAGAGGCTGAAGTCTTTCTCCGCAACCGAGCTGAGAAAGGCTTTAACGTGGTCATGGCGGTGGTACTTGCCGAACAACGGTAAGTGGAACCTCTGCCAGCCGCTCTCACTAATCATCTTAGTGGCTTAGACTTGCCCAACCGAGAGGGACACCTTCCGCTTTTTACGCCACCCGGCTCAGCCTTGCCTTCCCCAACCCATCCCAACCCGGACTATTTTCTGTTCATCGACCGCATCGTTGCCCTGGCGGCATCGCTCGGCATAGCCATTGCCATTGTCCCAACATGGGGCTGCCACATCAACGGTGGCCTTCACCGCAGTCCTGTGCTCTTTGATGAAGAGAGTGCCTACGAGTACGCCAAGTTCCTCGGTCAACGGTACCCTTTTCAACCTTTCGTACTTGGCGGAGACACCAACCGCTGGTGGAATGAAGAACTTCCGTTTGCCGCTGGGGAGGGCCAGGACGTGCGGAAGTTGACGATGACCGACTGGGGACCGATCACGGAAGCGATGGCCAAGGGTATACAGGACGGTGAGGGCCTGGCAAAGCAAACTTTGGCAGGCAGTCTCCAAGAGCGTGCCGAGAGCTACAAGTCGTTTATTACGTACCACTCGACGCAAGGTAATTAACGCACTGCATGACCCAGTCCTAACCCGCCTCACAGGTTGGAACCCGGACTACCCCTGCGCCATGGCTTCGGTTCAATTCCCGGACGCAGAATGGCTGTCGTTAGACTGTGTCCAAAGTGGCCATTCCGACGAGCTTATGCACCCACCCAGTGCGCACATCGACATGTGGTTTGCTCGCAACTCATACATTCCGGTGCGCCAGATGTATTCGCACTCTCTCCCCAATGGCAAGCCGCGGCCAGTTATCGATCTCGAACCACACTACGAGGCTACGCACTATCACTTTGACGTAAGTCTCGATGGCGATGTGTCGCAGCTCACAATTACAGCCCAGCCGCCCCATGTGGAATGCCGACGACATTCGAGCTGGAGGCTGGCAGGCTCTCTTCTCCGGGTGCGTACCTGTCCAAGTTCATGCCGTCTAACCGAGTCCAGTGCGTGCGGGTACACTTACGGTGTCAATTCCATCTGGCAAATGTACAACGCGTTCTCAACCACCCATGGACCAAACCAAGGCGTGAGTGTTGGAACCTGTTTGGTCACCCATCTGACCATCACAGACCACCTCGGCTGAAACCAACTGGTTTTACGAGCTGGATCTTCCGGGTAGCTTCCACGTCGGCGTGATGCGCAAAATCATGTTGTCCCTCCCGAACTACTTTTCCCGTGTGCCAGACCAAGACTTCATTGTCTCGTCGACCAATGAGCTGGACCCCCACGTCCGTGCGGGGGACAAGCTGGTCACTGGAACTCGAGCTGATGAGTGGGCCCTCGTCCATCTCCCTTATGGCGGCAGCATCTCGATCGACCTCGCCAAGGCCCTTCCAGGAAATGAGCCGAGCATTTGGAGGGCTTGGTGGGTAGACACGAAATGTGGAGCCAGAGAGTTGTGCGGCAGCGGCAACCAACGAGGCATCTTCAAGGCAACCACCACAACCAGTGGAACTCTGAAGGATGATTGTTTGCTTTTGGTAGAGACATTTGCGACAGTTATGTAACGTACTCCCTAGTGGCAGTAGAAAAGAACTATGTGAGATGTTACCTTGTGCTCCGACTACAGTCCTATAAGATTTCTGTTACGTCCATGGTTTCACAGATAGCACTTATTAATTTAAGTGTGGGTATGCATATGCAGTTGACGATAATGTATCGAGTGATCATCTGATCATCTGCACGCCACAACCTCTTTGGCCAAATGCATGTTTTTGATTGATTTTGTCAATATTTCATTTTGACTGCCTTTGGGCAACTGCCGCCTTGACGTACGTATGGATTGTGAGAATACTCGGTTGATACAGCGGCCGTCCCACCACCTGGTAAAGCCGGGAGGCAATCCATTCTTTCACTATACAGCCTGTTCGACGGAAGTTCACAGTCGCCAACAGCACAAGCCTGACATGACGCTGTCCGGACCCGTCGGGTCAACCGCCGGTGCCACCGACGGGGGAAATTGTACCGAGTGCCTAGAATGGCTGATCTTCCATTGGGGCAACCTGGTAACTGCCAGAGACACCATTCCTTCCCGACGCAGTGTTAATAAACTGCGTGGCCCCGCGTATCAGCATCGATTGAACTTGTCAACCCCACAGTCGATTGTAGGTTCCTCGGTGCCCCACGCCACGCTAATTATCACAGGTACGCAAGATGTTTCGCGGGCAACTTTTGGCTGCCTGGGGCCTCGCCCTCCTCTCCTGCGGTTCAGCCATTGCCGTTCCACGCAGCGGCACCGACGAGTGTTCCTTGACCACCGCCGGCGCTGTAATCGTCACTCCGTCATGCATTGACTCGGAATATGCCACAGCCATCATCGACTATGAAAGCGAACTCACAGTTCCCACAAGCATTCACCTCATCAGCGGATACTTTGTCAACACCACGACTCGTTTCAATGTCTACCTCCCTCCCAAGTCTGTCTGGGGGGGTCGCTTTTTCCAGCACAGCTATCCTTTGAATACGCAGAACGCAACGGATGACGATATTGGGTTTGCGGCTGAAGCGGGCGCGTACGTTGTGCAGGTGCTTGGCCAGACAGGCTACCGCCACGAGGCCGCGTCTGCCAAACAGTCACGCCTTATTGCGGCCAACTATTACGGCGTTTCAGCAGACAGCATCAAGGGTTACATGTTCGGTGGCAGCGGTGGTTCATTCCAGGTCGTTGGCGCCGCAGAGAGCACGGAAGGTGTTTGGCAAGGATTTGTTCCTTACGTCCTTGCCTTCCCTCGCAGCATCCCCGACGCGAATTCCGCTATTGCTCTTGGGGGCCTGGTTCTGCAAGACGTCACACCCTCTCTCTCGGATGCGGTTCTCCCAGGTGGATCGGGAGATCCCTATGCAGGACTGTCTCCCATGCAGGCTGCCGTCCTTCACGAGACGTCGTCGAACGGTATTCCCTTGTTTGCCTGGGACGCCCTCAACTACACCCAAGCGAGTCAGCTCTTGCGTGGGTTCTGGACTGTTATCCGCAACTTCGACGCCACCTATAGTGACGACTTTTGGAGCAAGCCAGGGTACCTGGGGACGGAGAATTCCGACCTTGGCAACTATTTGCGGGACCACCGCCGCATTGACAGCGTTGCCATTGCCAAGGTCGACTCGAACACGACGGGTTACGTGACGTCGCTCCGCGTCCCCAGCCTCAATCGTCAGAAGGGACTTATCGAGCAGACTATTGTCGCGGGCGACACAGCAGACTGGGTCATCGTGAATAACAAGGACCAAGTCGTTGCAAACTTGACTGGTGTTCTGCACTACAACAACTTCACTTTTGTGCCGAGCAACGCTATTCTCGCCAGCGTGATTTCTGGTGGTTCCAAACTCCGTTACGATAATAGCTATTACATCGCTGCGCACGCCTACCATTGCTACCAGGTTCCCGATGCCGCAGAGGGCTACTATGTCTATGACCAGTACCGCTTTCCCAACGGTACGGACATGTACCCGCGACGTCCTGTCACGATTGGGCCCATCATGTCATCGGCGACGACGGGCGGTGCGCTCTTCTCGGGGTCCATTCGAGCAGGTGCCAAGATGATCTTCGTTTCGAATCTCTTGGACGTCAACGCATACCCGTGGAATGTGGACTGGTACCTTCAGCGGATGAGGTCGAGTGGCATCGACCTTGGCGCTCAGGCCCGCGTGTACAGCCAGCAGCACGCCGACCATTTCGACGGCCGCATCGGTTCATTCGCCGCCCGCAGGGTTGTCCGATATGACCCATACCTGTGGCAGGCGCTCGCCGATGTCGCAAACTGGGTGGAGAATGGCACCGAACCACCGCAGTCCAGCCAGTACACGGTCGACAATGCCCAGATTGCTGTTCCCAACGACCCGGCCACCCGTGGTGGAATCCAGCCCGTGGTGACGTTGACTGCCAACTCACTGAAACGGGTTCAGGTTGCGGCCGGTCAGTTGGTCACGTTCAGTGCAGTAGCGGCCGTTGTTCCCGGAACTGGGTCACTTGTTCGCCTCGAGTGGGACTTCGAGGGGACTGGCGTTTACACCACATCCGATATGACTGTTGCGGCGCAATCGCTGAACGTGTCCTCGTCGCACACGTACAACAGCAAAGGAACGTACTACGCTGCCGTCAGGGTGGCCAGTAACCGCGACGCGAAGCTCAATGAGGAATATGTGCTCAACTACAACCTCGATCGCGTTCGCGTTGTCGTCAAGTGAAGGAGAAGGGATAGCCGCGGCACATAGTATATATCGCATGAATTAAAGTGACGTGGCCCTCTGCAAAGCCTAGAGAAGTGGCTCGGTCATGAGTGATAACGTCAATGGTGGGCTGCATGGGCTGTGGGCGCGTTTTATCTCTGATTGGCGTATGACTGAACCACGTCACATGCAGGTCAGCCAAATACCGACAGGCGCGACAGGCGCCGCATCGTCTATCATGTGACCCCTTTAGTGTTGAGAGGTTCGCCGTCGGAGGCCCTCCTCCCGGTTGTATGTGAGTGAGTGCCACTCTCTGTCTTCGATTTTTGGTTCCGTAGGTGCGAGCGCACTGGTATGTTTGCTCGAGGGTTCTCAAGCACAAGCTCAATCGCATCCCTTACTCCATGCATCGTATCGGTCCCCCAAGCCCCTCGCTCCTCACATCAATAGATACACGCAGAGTCATCATGCGTCACAGATCGCAGAGCCATATGTCGGCCCTCTCGCCAGACAGCCGTCCGAAGGCACACCTGCTCTCCCGACGGGTGGACGGGCCCCGGGGAAAGCGCCCCGCATATATACGCCGAGCGGTAAAGCATTCACCCCGCACACTGATTATGCATGTCGCTACTTAACACCTTCAGCTCTCATCATTTTCGCCCCCATCCCCTGCAGCGCATACACAAGCGAACAAGCGCATCATGGTCTTCAACCCAGTGACTAATCCCGTCATCGGCGGCTTCAACCCCGACCCCTCCATCTGCCGTGTGGGTTCCGACTACTTTCTCGCGACAAGCACCTTTGAGTATTTCCCCGGTGTTCCTATCTATCACTCTCGGGACCTTGTTAACTGGACCGTCATCGGCCACGCCCTCACCCGACCCTCGCAACTGTACATGCCCAGGGTGGAGCCCAGTGGCGGTATCTTTGCACCAACCCTCCGCTATTGGAAGGGAAGGTTCTACATGGCCACTTGCTGCGTTTACAGACGCAACAACAGAATTGTAAGAGCCACGGTCTCAGCGCCTATACAGCGGCTGACGCGATCCCCAGTGTTCCGAGTCACGAGGCTTCTATGTCCACACCGACGACATCTTTGATTCCAGCAAGTGGAGTGACCCCATCTGGTTTGACGCCCTCGGCATCGATCAGGACGTGAGTCATACCGACCGCAGTTCTTGTACTGACGCACACAGCTTTTCTTTGATGAGGATGACAAGGTCTACCTCTGCACCAGTCGCCACTTGGACGTACACAGTCTGTCCCCAGACAACGGTGCTGTGATCACTGGCTGTGAGATTGACCTTGAAACGGGACGGTCCCTCACCACGCCCAAGGTTCTGTGGCAGTCTCTCCACTCCAGCCTGTGCACCGAAGGTCCGCACATCTTCAAGCGAGATGGGTATTATTACCTGCTGGTAGCAGAGGGCGGGACCCATGTCGACCACCAGACCCGCATCTACCGCTCCAAGTCGCCTCTGGGCCCCTACGACGATGCCCCTCCGGGCATTAACCCAGTCATATTCAATGGTCCGCACCCTGTTGTTCAGAACTGCGGGCACGCGGACATTGTCGAGGACGTCAACGGAAACAGCTGGGTCTTCTTCCTCGCTGTCCGCATGCAACCCAACGGCAACGGGCCAATGGGCCGCGAGACATTCATGGCACCACTCGAGTGGAATGAGCAGGGCTGGCCAGTGGTCAACAAGGGCCGCCCCATCACACTCGACGTTGTAGATGCCACCAAACTGTCCAGTCTGAACACATACACGGGATGGCGTGACTCGTTTTCCGGCAGTGAGTGGAATCCATGACGCTCTTTGACTGACTTGTCCTCAGAAGCCCTAGACATCAACTGGTACAATCTCCGTGTCCCTGTCAAGCCGCACCACGCTTTGAAGAATGGCCAACTTACCTTGTATGGCAACGCCTTCACTATTGCCAACACCGACTGCCCCGCAATGCTTCTCATCAAGCAGGTGGCGCTTTCGGGCACCTGGTCCACCACTGTGGATTTTGAGCCCAGCACGTGCGACCAAGAGGCTGGAGCTGCTGTCTACTGGAGCTGCTATGCCTACGCCGCCATTCTAGTCCGCAAGAGCCGTCACCCTGGCGCGGAACGCGAGGTTGTCATGCGGTGGATTGACGAGAACAGCGACGACGTCAAGGTGAGCACACCTCCTCTGATCTAACGCTGACATTAGACGCTCGAGATTATCCAGCCCCTTTCCAGCAAGGGACCTGTCAACCTTAGGATCGAGGCCAAACCCGTGTCGTATTCCTTCTCCTTCCAGGCAGCAGACGACAGCCACGCGGTCACCATCGGCTCAGTCTCCACTGCAGTGCTGGACCGTTCGGGCCCGTCCGACTCGCCGTATACTGGGGCTCACTTTGGCATCTTTGCTCAGGGCACCGAGGGGGTACCATGCTCTGACGAAGGACGCTTTACGTATGCCGCTTTTGACGTGTGATTGACAGCAATGGGAGCTATGCATGCAAGGGTTGTTGTGGAACAATGCTGCCGATGGGCGGCTGGTTGATACACCGCTCGGTCAATTCTCGGACAATGACTTCCATGTACCCGTCGGGCCTTCCGTCGGGTGGGAGCCGTTGGGTCCCTTTGGCCCCCGCTTTCTAGTGATGCCCAGCCCATGGGGCCGCGCACCTTTTGACATCTATCACATCTCACCTCCATGCCGATGGACGACCCGACGGCCAACGATAATCTTGTCGAAAGCGATACGAGTGGCGAACGACCCCCAATGAAGCGGAAGCGCATCCACAGCAAGAAAGCCATCGCCGCTTGCGAGGCGTGTCAAAAGCGCAAATCGCGGTGTGAGGTCTTTTCGGCGACGACGCCAGTCTGCCATCGGTGCCAAGTGCTGGGGACTGAGTGTTCGCTTCAATTGAAAGACCTTGCCGTTGATGAAGAACACGACCATGCCAAGCGTACAGACAGCGACGCCGTCCGCCTTCCGGATCCCACACCCGGCAGCGGTGACTTTAAAGACATTGTCTCGCGCATCGATCAACGAACTGCCGAGGTGGAGCGGATAATGCGCCGGCTCCTCGCCGCCAGCAACAACACTGTGGCCCCGTCAATGCCGTTCTCTTCCTGCGACACTTTTGGCGACCGTGAAGATGGAGTCGGTGATGGTGACGATATGGAGCAGACCGTCTGGGAGCTCTTGCAACACAGCGTCGGAACCTCTCTCCAGGCGATGAGCGGGTTAAACCTGCATGACCGCACGCGGTTCCAAGACCCGATTACCAGTGGCCTGCTGTCCGAGTCTGGTTTTGATGACGTCTGTGTACAGTGCGTTACCCCGCTCGGTGCATCCAGAGCACTGACAACCTTCAGGTTCACAACCCTCGTTCGACGGACCTGCCCCGTTGATGAGCTTCTCCCGGACACGCCGCTCCTGTCCCACCCCTTCCTCCGTTGCGCCATCCTTCACTTCATGTCCTTTACGCGGTCATCGTCTGCTGAGGATGTCGAAGCCCAGACCCGGCTTGAGCAACTACTACACGCGAACATTGCCCTCCTCCCATCCGCAAATCCGTCCCCGGCAACGTTAATCGGCTTGCTTATCCTTGCGCTGTGCCCAGCGAGCGGATTTGAGACCCGTTTTCTGAGAACCTATGCTCCGTATGGTGCTATGGCTCATGCTGCGTCCATCGGGCATGGGCTGGGTCTGCAAGACGCCGCGGATAGGGCGCGACAGGAGTCGGAGAAGGACCTTGTCGAGGCGGCGTGTTTCCGGCCGATGGTCCTGCAGTTGGCACTGGTGAGTCACAATGAGCCAACGTCCACTGAAGACCCCCAGTTTTACACACTTGCGCACCAAAATGCGTGGTGAGTATCTAAATGTGCACGAGAGGTCACGCTAACATCATAGGTCCGACATGTACTCTAGCCCTTCCTTTTCCTGTGGCCACAGCATCGCGACTCCGTTTTCATCGATCCTATCGCTGGGCCAAATCAGAAAGCTGCGCTCGCCACTCCTCGTACATCTCTACTACGAGAGTCAACTTTTGTCCCACGCCGCCCTGGTATCCACCGCATTCCAGCGCCTTCGGACCTCAATTATGTTTGATGTCTCGCGCCTCATGGTCCTTTGGCACCAAATGGACAAGTTTCAAGCGTCAGCGAGCCAATGGCGGTCAGAGGTGGCCGAAGAAGAATGTAGGTGCCGCGCTGCAAAGCTTGCTGACCCGACCATCAGTCCTCGAGTCGAAACACTTTTTAGTGTTAAACTCCTTGTTTCTCGAGTTCTTTATGTGTCTCAAGCTCAGCACCGACGCGGGCACCCTTCTTCCATCGCCGCTTGTGCTGCACGATCGCGAACCGTTTCGCATGGCGTTCGCCGGCCAGATGATGTCGATGTCTGAAGCGTTGGTGAACCACATCATTACGTCCAAACTCGACCTTTCTCTCGTGCCATCCTTCTATCTTACCTTGACATTCCTGCCGTGCAAAGCACTTCCCAACGCCGCCATGATTGACCCGAGCCGCCAGGCGTTTGTCGACTCGCCCACCTTCCGCCGGTTCCGCGGCATTCTACTCGGTGCCCACCCACTATCCGCTGCTATGGTCGAACGGATCGACCAGTCCAGACCACCGTCAGGATGGAGGATGTTGTTTGAGGACCAGGATCCGCAAGCGGCACCAATAGGAGTCAACAACAGTCAAGCGCAGCAATCTAGTCCACCCAAGCACCTGCCCGTGGAGCCGCTCATGGACCTGGCGCACCTCCCACCAGTGGCGGCCGACGAGGATTTGCAGCAGTGGTGGGCGTTTGAGGACGTTACGAATGCGTTTGCCCAGTTTGACGATGCGGCCTCTGGCGAGTCTGCCACCCATGAGTAAAAGTAGATGCCAAACTGTACCACTTGTCGTTGCCGGATGCGCGTACTGAATCGTTTCCTGTCTGTTCGGCGTCTTGGCCTGGGCGGCCCGGAGAAGGCCGACAACCCGATTGCCGGCCGCAAAGCCACTTGATCAGTTGACCATTTCTGTACCCCCCCGCCTGGCGTTGGGGTTTGTGGGCAAACGTCAGGTGACGCACAGTGGTACAGTGGACCAAGTGGGCAATGCTGTTCCATATATGGGCGACGTGGTTGGACTGCGACGTGTACCCAATCACCCAGCAGGCATTATTCGTGCTCGCACTGCACGGATTCCACAGCATCTCTCGCACAATCCACGCGATGGCATGCCGAAAGCCCACGTACCGCGTCGACTTTGTCTCCCAACACGGCCACCGTGAGCAGTTCCACACGTCATCAGAAATCTTACGGGCGGACGCGTACCACGACAACTCGAGGCCCCACGAAGTCTCATCGTCTGCACTGGAGACGTATGGGGACCCAGCGGCCCCCAATGTCGTCCGCATCGGCAACGGCGGGCTGGGGCCAACCGGTCTGCTGCGTGCGCTGTGTGAAACGTACCTCGAGGAGCGTGACCTGTGGGAAAGACTCCGCATCGAGTGGGTATGCAACCACTCGCGTCACACGCAAGTCGCGCTTCAGGCCGGCGTCGTTGACATTGGATTGACGTACGAGCGAGCGGAGGAGGACCGCGCCGAGCTGGAGGGATGGTCGACAACCATCGACATGCTGTGCCACGACCACTTTGTGCTGGTAGGGCCAAGGGACGATCCGGCAGCAGTCACGTCTCGTCTCCACGTCGCTGGTGGCTTTGATGCCATCGCCACCCGCCGTGCCCCGTTCCACACCCGTGGAGACGGGTCTGCAACGATGCATAAAGAACACCAGCTGTGGACCTCTGCACGGGTGACGGACGACCAACGCGACGAGGGTTCATGGTACCAGCGTGTCCCTGGGACGCCCATGGAGGCGCTGGACAACGCCAACAAGCACAACGCATACCTCCTCACCGACCGGGCCACCTACATTGTCGCCAAGCAGCGAGGGCTGGCAGATGGGCTTGCTGTCTTCTTCGAAGGCGGCGATGTCCTCCTCAACAGCTGCGCCATTGTGGTACGGTCAGACGAAGACCGTGATCCAGTGTGCAAGCTGGTCGCGTGGCTCAGGGAACCGGACGCGCAGGAGATCATTGCCACCTATGGCGAAGAGTGGGACATTGGGTTACCGTTGGTTACACCCTCGCACCAGCGGGAGGTAGACCAGAGTTGTGAGTAGCCTTGCGGACATGTACCCAAGCTGACCTCCAAGCATTGCTCCGTACATATAAGCAGTCAGAAGTGGTGTGGAAGGGAGCTCGGCTGTAAGGGATACAGTCATGTGTACGATCAGATCCATGTATGTACAGTGTTAACATTGTCCTACTAAGCGTCGTCAATGTCCACCTTGACCAGAAGCGTGCAGGTCGTCTCGTGGCCGCGCGGGTCGATGAGGCGGATAAAATTCCAGCCCTTGACGGCATAGTGGAGGCGCACCGCCGCTGTCGCGAGCGTCGGGTTGGCGGCAAACTTGTCGTCACTCTTGAGCAGCATGCGCAGGAAGACGAGCTCGTCATCGGCATACACCCACTCGAGGGTCTCGTCCCACAAGGGATCGGTCACGGGCGACTTGTGACCGGGACGCAGGAATGGAATGTGCGCTTGCTTGTAGTGATCGGTCTTGCACTTCGGCGGCTTGCCAGACAAGTCGTCGGGGTGAATCAAGACGCAGGACACGTATGGCTTGATGTCGTCGCTCTCACGGCCCTTGGGAACCGGGACGTCGGTGGCTCCCGCGATTCTCAACCTCAGGCGCTTGCGCTTGCTGGGCAGCTTTTCGCCGCCGCGGAGGTATGACGGCTTGAGAACAAACCCGTCGGTGCCACTGAAGAGCGCTTCGTTGAGCTGCATGCTAGGACCAAACGACTGCCAGTTGAGAGCACAGATCTGGGCACCGATACCCCAGAAGGGCACAGGGTCAAGGTTCTTGGACGAAATGCGGGTGCCCTTGGGGTAGACGCGCATGAGCCAGTTTGCGTTATGTGCTGCAATCATGTCTTTGTGGGGAGACAGCAGCGTGCTGAGAGCTGACTCGGACACGTTGATGAGGTGGTCGTGTGGTCCGTCGACGAGCTCGCTCTCAAACCACGAGTTGTTGGGTGGCTTGCAGCTCTGTGCACACACACCAATATCGGCAAGCTCGGGGATGATGACCGTGGTAGTGGTCGCCTTCTTCTTCTTTGCGTACTCGGCGCGGGCCTTCTTGGTGTCCTCTTGCTCGCCGCTGTCGCCATCGCTGCCCTCGTCGTCGTCATCGTCGTCGTCGTCGGGCACCGTTTCGCCGGGGAAGTAGTACTCGGCGATGACCACAATCTTTGATCCGAGCTCGTCCAGACGGACCTTGGCACCACCTTCCTGCTCCTCGTGGCCCTTGCGGCGCACATCCGAGCTCAAGAGGCGGTCCCCCCAGACCTCCTGCATGATATTGACGAGTCGCTTCTGGCCGTGGGGGTTGCAGTGGTTCTCGAGAGAAATGAAGATGGGGGCGGCTGCGCCACTTTGGGTACTGGCAGCCGATTGAGCCTCCTTGTCGACCACGTCGCGGATGGCTTCGCAAACGGCACGGAAGGAAATGTGCGAAACCAGAGTGTACCCATGGGTGACCTTTGGCTCGTCTGCATTGGCCTCGTCGTCCCAGGCGTCGATCTCGACGCAACGGGCACCCGCCGCCAAGGTCGACCCGTACGCGGAGACTTCGGAGGCTCCAAACAGCTGATGCGCTTTCAGATACGTGTTGTGGCTGGAGCTGAAGAAGTACGCTGACAGCGGGTGGGACCTGTCGGTGAGCTCGGGGGGAACCTGGATGTGCGGTCGCTGCAGGAGAGCGTGAAGCGTTGGGCTGAGGGTCGGCGAATCGGGTTTGTCGTCGCGGATCACTTTCTCATGGGCCAGGAAGCGACGAAGCGCCTCGCTCACACGCAGGCTGTCCTGGAGCTCGGTGTGTCGTCCTGCGTGACCACCACCGGCGATCGAGCCCGAGTCGACCAGCTCACCCGAGTCGTCGGTATCGAGCTGTTGTTTGCGCCCAAAGGGCGAAAGAGACGCAAGGCGCGAAGCGAGGTCGACCATGGTAGAGTGGATAGGAAGGGGAGTGGATGGGTGAACAGGCAGGCGTCTAGAGGAGGTGGATTATAATGACGGGATGGGTGGATGCAAGTGGGAAGAGGCGAAGAAACAAGGACATGAAAGGTGAATCGATGAATCGATCAATGAGGAAAACAAAGAGAGACACCGTCGTCATGCGGGGGATGGGCTTGGCGTTTATAGGCGTTGTCTCACGTGTGTCGCAGCGCATTGGTCGCCATGACGTCGGGTTTGTTCCATACTGTCGAGCCAAACCACTGCAGATTCCCAGCTGCTTCTGGGTCAGTGAATAGCTTGTGTCGGGTCGCTTGGGATATGCTGACATGCTGACAAGATGCAGCCATTGCCTGCCAGGACGTTATCCTTGACTTCACAACAAAGGAGCAACTCACACATGCGGGGTCTCCGAACGGAAGCATATTAAGCGAAAAGGTTTTGCCGTGGCAATGCCAATGACGTCACATTTCGGCACGTCCTGGTCGATGGATATGGGTGATCCATGTGTCAAGTGGTGTGAGGATGGGGAGCGCACAGCCGAAGCGCACTACGGCAGGCCCACTGCGCCAGTGCTGACAGACGGCCTGTAGAGCCTCCATCTTGATCACTGACACCTGTCGTTTACTTTGGGTTTCTTTGCTGCTTTTCTTTAGCACGTGTAGCAGGAAGCGACAGGGGCAAGAGGAAACCACAATCCATGGCATTGACAAGTGGCAGTACAAAACTCTGGTCTTTAATTCCTTTAAAATTCGTCCACAACCACCACCACGTCTTCTACCCTTTCCTTGTCGCACACTTAAACAATGTTGGCGCGGTTCTTCTCAAGAGTCGCGGTGGTGTCGTGCTCAACGTGCTCGGCGTCAAGCTTGTGCTCCTCGGCGTCAAGCTTGGGCTGGTCGGCCACCTCCTCCGCCCTGTCGATCTCGTCGGCGTACTTGTTGCCGTAGCGACCAATCTTGTACCAGGGGAGCTGGAAGAGACGCTCCATGCTCTCAAGGGAGCGGCCACCGGTCTCGGGGATAAAGAACCAGACCCAGGCTCCGCCAATGATGGTGACACATGCAAACGACCAGAAGGTACCTGCGGGGGTGATACCGCCCTGGTGCAGGGGAAGCAAAAGGTTGGGGACGGCGCGGGCGTTGGCGTACTGGTTGACAAAGTGGAGCATCATCGACCACGAGGTGGCGATGGCACGAATGCGAAGAGGGAAGAGCTCAGCAGTGAGGAGGTACTGCATGCTATTCCATCCGAGGGCCCAACCGAAACCAGACACGTAGATCATACCAATGGCGGCGCGGCTCACGGCCTTTTTGCTGTCCGGGAGGTGGAAGTGCTCGTCGACACCGAGCTGTGGGGTCGACGTGAGGAAGGCCGCAACGAAGACCATGGCAATGATCTGAAGAGTGATACCCGAAAGGAGGGCGCGCTTGCGGCCAATAACGTCGACGAGGAAGAGAGCACAGAAGACGGCGGCGAACAGCTTGACGAGACCAAAGACGGCGGTAACCAAAAGTCCTTGCTCGGAGCCCTTGACACCGAGGATCTCAAAGAGCTCGGGAGCGTAAATGGTGATGGAACCAGCACCGGACCACTGAGAGAGGAACTGAACACTGGTGGCGAGGTAGACACGGTAGAGGGCGTTCCTGTCCTTGAAAAGCTCCTTGACCATGCCAAAGAAGCTCAGTCCACGAGTGGCCTCCACCTCAATGTCGTTGGCTGCCTTGATCGAGGAAATCTCATTGACAACGTAGGGGTCGTTGGGGGCAAGGTGACGGAGCCTTGCCATGACCTCGGTGGCCTTCTCGACATTGCCCTTCTTGACCCAGTAGCGGGGCGACTCGAACTGGAACCAGCTGAGGATAAAGATCAGGGTGGCGAACATGATGTGGATGCTGCTGGGGATCATCCAGCGGGCTGCAACGTTGGAACCCAAGTCGAGCTGGGCACCGTAGTTGGCCCAGTAGGCGAGGTTGATGCCGAGGTAGACATTTCCAGTGAACACGCAGGTGCAGAGACCACGAACCGACGCTGGCGCAATTTCGGCGAGGTACACGGGTCCGACAACGGGTGTTTGGCCAATGCCAAAGCCGGCAATGAAGCGACCGGCGTAGACGGCGGCAAGGCTACCGCGGTTTCCGAGGAAGATGGCGATGCCCATGATCCACCAGACGCAGAGCTGGCGAACGGCCCAAAGACGACCAATGCGGTCACACGCGACGAAAGCACTGGTTGTCAGTTTTCTGGAGGGGGGTAGTGTGGCGTAACGACTCACAAGAGGGAACCAGCGACCGAACCGAGGAGAACCATGGAGGTCACGTTGCCCTTGATGTTGGCTTGCTCGACTTCAGAGTACGAGTCGTAGTGGATGAGGTCTTGAAAGTGCTTGGAGCGGAAGGCGCCGCCAATGAGACCCTCGTCGATGCCACGGGCGGCACCGAGTAGGCCAAAGGAAATGACCGCAAACCAGAGGCGCCAGTTGAAGACACCCTTTGGCTCACCCAGGTCGCCCAAGCGGAAAATGTTGATAGGCTTCTTGACACCACCAGCCATTGTTGAAAGGGATTGAAGGGGAAGAGGCTTTGAGTTGAAGATGCAGCAAAACGTTCTAGCTGCAACTGACTTTTATATGCCTGAAGAACAAGACCTCTCGTCAATGGCCGATGTTGTAGAACCCCATGGGGCAAGATGCCAAGAGAATATTGCCGCGGAGGTGGGGGAGGACACGGGATGTGTTGGTGCGTGTAGGCGCCTCTGCAAGCGTCGTCGAAACGACGAGGGTAAACTAAGAGCCAACGTGGGGGGGGGGGGGGTGGCGGCTCCCCCAAACTGCCACAACGACGCCAAGCCCGCCCCCGCAGATTATAGATCTCTGCGCGATTCTCGGGATGCTTGCTCTGAGCACCTGCAATGACTGTGAACTCCCGGCTCTAGTCGCCGCTAGTCGGGCTGGAGAGTGCGCAGGCGGTACACGACAACAGGTGCCAGTGTCGATGTGTAAGGACGTGCGTGCTTCCAGATCTGCTTGGCATTGGCTAGCGTCATTCCAGGGAGACACCAGGAGGAAGCCGAGCGGATCGGCCATTAATGATGGCAATACACGGTTGCACGCGGTACACGGAAAAAGTCCCTCTCGTCATTCACCCATGGCCAAACAAACGAAGGTTTTGTTGGAAGGTCCAACAAAACAAAACAAAACGAAAAATGAAGGTCAAAGAGAACTCACTGGGCCACTGCACAGGTGTCTGTGATAGGGAGATCGTCCAGCAGTCTCGAGGTAGGACGATGTGAAGACTCAGCAGTAGATTCCCGTAGTTACCAGTCGGGCTTGTGGCTGCACATGAAGACTGTGGCAATCGTCGAGTCTGCACAGTCATTCACCTGGACGGGCATTGTATTGGCCCTCGCATCCCTTGTTGCGTTCAAAATCTCCAAAACATTGTAAAAAAGGTGCCACGATAAAGGAAGAATGGAGGATTTTCGAATTGAACGGTCTTCACAGGAACTGTCCCAGCTTGCCGACGGCACACGGTCACTGGAAACAGTTCCAAGGTCGACTCGAGCTGCTCTGTATGCCCGCCGCGGGCATTCCACGGGAGCCAGGCACAAGCACGCACGAGAGATGTATTCGAATCTGTCCCATATCCCAAATGTGCACCCCCACCTGCCGCAATATTTCCGTGTGGGCACATGGGCCCATGCCTGTTGGTAACCCCGGATATCGTTTGTGGGGATCCACTCATTGATAGCCATAACGCCATTGCTGACTGGCCACCAAACGTTTGCCCTGCGGCCAACCATGCGGCGCCAAGACAGCCCCTTGTGGAGCAGGCCCAAGTTGAGCAACGGGCGATTTATCATCCTGTCCTGGTCGTTTTGCAGGCAGCAGCAAGTTACCGATCGGGTGGGACCGGGACGCCGCCTCGTCCCGTCTTGGCATGCACATACGGCCAGGCCAACACAGAGCCTGGCAGCACGTTAGTTGTACGAGCGAAGGGACGGCCGATGAGACGGAGCGTCTCTGCTCCGCAACTCCGCTGGGCGCCGAAGGCCCCAGCGCCTAGCGCCTAGCGCGCGTGTAAGCGCGACGCCAAAGCGTGTGGTGTACGAAGCTCGTAGCTCGGAGTTAGCAGCGCGGTTGGCCGAGTTGAGCGCCGAGTTCGCCAGCATACTCTTATCGAGGCCGGAGCTCCGTCTTTCGGCGGTGAGCGGTCAGGAGGCCTGGAGGCCAGGAGGACGAGGTGTGCTGCAGTTGGTGTCACCACTTCAGAGGGGGTCTCCCTAGTTCATGATGGCGGTCGTTGTTTGCGGCCCACCCAGCCATGGTCCTTCATTCAGACCATTGTGAGTGCTTCTGCAGACGAAGGGAAAGGAACTGGAAGACCATCACAGTGTGTCGTTCGCTCACCAACGCGAGCGCAAGCACGGCGCACCAGCCCCCGTGCAACAACCACTTCGTTGCGCTCGAATCTCTGAACCTGAATGTCCGCTGGACTGCGGCCATTCCCTCGATCCATTCAAAATGTCCGCGGGAGCAGCCTCTTGGTCGTTTCGTTTCCTTCACACATACTTACTCACAGTCAGGACACGTGTCGTGCGCATGTGCGACCTGCGCCAACACCCGAGCCTTGTTGAGAATACGCGCAGCTGCGCCGTGGGTGGGGGCAACTGCGGCCGGAGTGATGTGGCCGACGAGGGGCATCGTCGACTTGCTCAGGAGTCGATCACAACCGCATGAGCAAGTGTCCAGATAGCCACACCGTGGGGCCATCGTGTCCGAGTGTGGGCATCGACCTGGACGTGAATGAGACACTGGCCGCCATGTGCAGCGCTCAAGAGTGCAACCCCATTTGAGCCACGCGCCGACCGGTTGGTACGATCCTCTGTGTGGCATCGCAACGCTCCAGCAGGTAGACTTTCCGGCGCAGGCGCTGTGGGTGAGGGGTGGTCTGTCAGTCAAATGAAGTGGCCAGGAGCGCCCTTCGGATTCAACGGGCGGGCGTGTACCGCACTTTGCCGAACACTGCCCACCCACAACACTGTGCACCGCGTGTTGGCATGCTTTCACGTCCTGCATGCATGCTGCTGTGCTGTTGCGCTGTCGCATGCCTTGACGCATGTATATACAACTTGACTAGGCTCTTGGTTCTTGCTCTCGTGCGCCGATGCCCTCATTCGGGTCGTTATCTGCCCTATCAGGACCACTCGAAGGGCATTCACACCGCCAGCGGTTTACTCACTTGTCTGTATCACACCCCTCGCACCCCCCTAGACCTTGGGAGCAAAGTTGCAGCCGCGCTCGCCCTCGATGTAGTGGACACTGTCGTGGCCCTGGCCGGTGTGGCTGTGCTCGTCGCCTGCTCCGCCCACGCCGCCGTCACGGGTAGGCTCATGGTGACCCTTCTTGTGGAGGCCCGGCTGGGCATCAGCCGTGAGGTGGGCAGGTTCAGAGTGGTGCTCGACCGTGGGCTCGTCGGCGGCCTCTTGACCCGGGTACACAACCCCGTCATGCGCCTGAGGCGAGGCCGTTGGGTGGTTGGGAGCCGCGGCGTCGAGGCGGGCCTTGATGGCGGGCGGAAAGCTGCCCCCGCTCTCGTCGTCCTCGGGGTAGTAGACGCCGTCGTGGGTGGGGGATACGCCGAAACGGGTGGGATAGGTCGGAGCCGGGACGGGGGCGAGGGGGATGGCAACTGGCTGGGAGGTGGTCGCCAGATAAGGAGCGTTGTTGTTGTTGCTGTTGTTGTTGTGCGTCATGATGATGGCTATTACGTCGAGAGCGCCAGCAGAGAGTCGTGACAGGACAAGTAGTGGTAACGAGTTGAGAGGGAGTGGGTGAAATGCGAGAGATTGAGAGACTAGCCCCCCAAACCAATTGATTGCATGGACGCGTTGACTGATGGGCTACACCCACACGCGCCTGCGCGCTCGTCGCCCGCTCGCCACCCGGCGCTTTGCCGACGGCGCGACTGCGGACGGTGCCGAGGGCCCCGCGGACGTCTGCCGCGGGCCGGATCTTGCGCACAATGGTCCATCAGCAGGACGGACGCGTCTGCCTTTGCGTTTGCATCATAACTTGTCCTCGGACACATTCGTCACCGTCTTGTAAGCAGGCCATCGACAGCATCTCACGCACATCACATATACACACATGCACCCACGTCGTCCGTCACCCACAGGGGTAATGCTGACAATCCAATCTCACTCCAGTACGATTTACCGCTGTCATATATTACAGCTACCATGAAGCAACTCATCAAAGGTACCACCTGCTCGCAATGGCCCACTACGCCAGCTACAGCGCTCAGAGCCCGTACGGTCACCCCTCGCCACCTTTCTACCAGCAGCACCCAATCGCCATGCCCGTCGCCATCCCTGTCCTGCAGCCGCCGGCTGTCCGTGTCTACCCCGTCGCCATACCTGCAGCGACCTATATGGAACGCTCCAGATCGGCCCCAGTCTACTACGTGCGACCTATGAGTCCTGTTCCCTCATCCCCCGTACCAAGCTACGTGAACCTGAGCTCTATCCTGGGTGCGCAGTCCACTCCACACAGGCCAAGCTGCCCCAGCCCCCTGGGTCATCGCGAGCGACGCGGCAGCTCGACACAACCCACGCAGCCTCCTTCCACACAAGGGCAAATGCGTCTTGCAAACACACCTGGCCCGAGCCGCAGTCCGCTACCCAGTGCATACACATCCGTAACGACTGCCAAGCAGGATGTGCATGCCAAGCGCGGTGGTTTACAAGGTCACTCCCACGCCAGCCGGCCCCGGTCAGGTAGCACTGGCGTACTTCACACGTCGCACAAGCCACATCCACCAAACCCAAACCGTGTCCGCTTCTCTCGCGAGGAGCTAGGTCCTCACACACCACCCAAAGACCACGTCTTGCTCCCGCCGCCGCCGCATCACCTACTCGTGTATGGCCAGCCGCCGCAGACGCATCCCGTGGCAACGGCAGTCCCCATGTATATGTACGAGTACGAGGGGCGTGGCCTTCGCGAGGGAGTCGATCCTGGGAGTGGAGGAAACCCCAGTCGTCGTCCAGCGAGCCCACGGGGACAGTCCGCCTCGGAGCGCCACCCGCACGACCACCTCGGACATTGGCATTCGGAATACAACCACTCCAAGCGGTAATGAACTCCAGAAAAGCACCCCACGGGATGACGGTTGCGCTGTAGTAGCGCGCCAATGAATGTCGAGCATTGCATAGGACTCTGGTACTCTGCTGATCTAAAGGACGGACAACGTGCGGATTTCGGCGTCCCTCACGTCAACAAGCGAACATCATCCGAGATAACCGACGGAGGCAGATGTGATAACAGGCTGCGCCGATGAGCAGTCCGATATCGGCAGCGACAACAAGCTTTGTCGGGGGTCCGTCAGCTGCTGCCGAGGCTCGTACAGACTCCTTGATCTGCTCTTCAGCTCTGTTCGCTCGTGAATGCTGTCATCCGAACGTGAGGCCCCGCGTGAGGCATGAATGAGAATGCTCGTCCCAATGCCGGAATCCAGATCGTTCAGTGTTCCTGTGGCTCGTGGCGGCAATGTCACTGCATTCTGAACTGATTACCAGACAACAACGCCAGCAAATAAGCTGAGAGCTGAGAGGGTACTGAGGGTGAGCACTGCCCTGCGACCAACGTTGTACTCTCCTCTCCGCACCAGCACGGATCATTCTCATTCCAAGAAACTTTGCCAATCCAGACATCCTTCGTCCAGGGTACCAGGGTGTCTGGATGCCTCGACTCTGACTGTTTCTCACATCGGCATTGGGCTAACCGCAGCGGGGACTGCCGTTAGGTCACAAGGACGCGTGGGGTCACACTGCCCCCAAGTTCCTTGAAGAACAGAAGCCTACCGCGTGCTCCATGTGCTCCCAGAGGAATGGCCATTCCATGCCGTTACGTCCATACCTGAATGTAGCGTGGAATCACACTTGACCCACATGGCGACGTAATGGAGGCAAATCTGTACATTGTTACGTATGTACTGTACATGCATGCTGTGAGGCAAGAACGACGCCCTCGTATGAAATGGCCCGCCACACCCCGTCTCCCTGCTAGTGGAGAGAGGTCCCTTGTGCATCGATGACTCCAGAGGGCGTGGCTGGGTGCCCGAGCATTTATCCTGCCTGGGACGCTCAACTGACCTGACGTGACCGCGTACTGTAGGTACCTCCTGCCCCATGTCCTCGTCGCTTCCCCGTCCCCGTCAAGTCTCTCCCCTCGGCCAGGGTGACCTAGCTTCAGAAGACGTATGCTTCCCCACACCCCAGTCGTCTCGTCCTGCGGAACTTTCCCAAAGTGCTCAACCTCGTGGCCACTGGAGCCGAACAAGGCCTGCTGATCGGGGGTCGGAATGCCTATGCACCAATACCTCAACAATACGCAAACTCCAGGATCCACACGGCCCCCGGTTCCCACATCCTGCTCCGGATCCCGTGCTTCGCTTGTTCTGATTGTGAGGCATGTACATAGGTGTTCGAGTTGGTAATTCACCCGCTAGCATCTCCCGGCATCAGGCACATGTTCGAACCGCGTGGGGTGAGTGCTTACCTTGGGATCTAGGCATTCCAGTGCAAAGGCTGTCTGAACCACGTCAAAGACCGTTAGCGCTACTGCTTAACTGTGCTACTGTGGTGCCGTGGCAGTTTGGAGACAGTAAGACAACGGTAACGCACGCAGTTGAGCAGTCAGAGAAATGACGGATGTTTTTGTTTGTATTTTTGCGCACAGCAAAGTTCAGCCCGTCCCAGTTGCGGCTTCAAACACCCCATGCTGAAGTCCTCGCTTCTTGGAGCTCACCCGACAACTATTCATATTGACGGTGCTGTTCTCGCCCATCTATCCTTGCGGGTCTTGAGCGCCCCATTGTCGCCCGGCAACATGAGCGCAATAACAAGGAAATCCTTTCATTGTGCGGGAAAGCTCTATTTGTACAATGTTACGGATCGACTTTCCTCTCGCTAGCACTGCCCTGCCAGCAGGGATTACTCGCGCCAGCTAACACTTCATTTACAATCCCTTTGGGGCTCGTCGTTGTCAGCCAATGTTTAGGCGTTCGACGTGCAAACAGGTCGTCCAAACCGGTCATGTCCCTGTTTTCACCCTGTTCAGAGACAGAACACGGCAGAATCAGATGTCGCAGGCATTGCCGGCCTCACATGGGCGTAGGGGTGGTAGCTGTGGCTCTGGCCCGTCACGGCTGATAGTGGCAGGGGCAACCCGGGGGGCATGGTGGCGCGGCTTGGATGTGACCGCCGACCGGAATGTTTGCTTGGGCTGGGGTATACGGTATTGTACCTCCGCCGGGCGCGAGGTGATGTGATAGACGGGGCTGCTGTGGGCTGGGCGCCTGTGATGCGAGAGGCGACGCTGCCACTTGTGGCTGTGGCGTGTAAGTCGGCGAAGCGGGCGAGATGCTGATCGTTGGCAACGGGGGTGGGATGTTGGCTGGGTACGACGTCAAGGTGTGAGGCATGTGTAGGGGCCGAGGTCGGTGATGCTGGAAATGCCTGGGTTGGGTATGAGTCTGTGCCACGAAAAGAATGTGTCCCCAGCTGGGGGATCGGCGCCTGGAGCTCGGATTGCTGGGGCAAGGGGACATTGATATGTGGTTGGGGAGTGGTGACCTGCGGGGTCTGGGGAAGAGGCGAAGACATTTCTGGAAACTGTGTCGGTTGTGGCAGCTGAAAGTGCGGGACATGAGTCGAGACAGGAGCACCCAGGTATTGTGGCTGTGATGGTGTGGCAGGTGAGGGAGTGTGCGTTGGGGTGGTTTGCAGAGGAAACTGCCCCATTTCGACAACAGGCATCACGCGTGGCTGCAGCTGGGGGTGGTGACGCTCTGAATAATGTTGCTGCTGTTGTGGTAGTTGGCGCTGCTGGATGACAACTGGCGGCCCTTGAGCACCATGTCTAGACTGTGGGGCGAAGTCCTGTGGCTGGTGATTAATCGTTGACCGCTCACCACTGTATTGTGGCTGCATATACCGATGCGGCGGTGCCGCTCCATATGCCATACCCACGCCAGGATTTTGGTACATTCGGGGCGCGAATTGTCGTGGGTCATATTGTTGTGACATGGGCTGTGGACCAGAGGTTTGTCCTACAGGATACCCAGCTGGGTTTTCTCTCATCTGGCGAGGAAGCTCGCCTGCAAAGTACTCATGTGTGCTGGCAGACGGCCCATGTGGCACCGACATGGCCTCTGGCATAGGCATCGACGCCGGTCTCAACGCGAGTGGTTCTGACATCTGTCCTTGACCGCGAGGTGGTGCATGATGTTGGGGCGATGTGCCGGTAGCCCACTCCCTCTCGACAGGATTTGGGCTCAAAGGGAGCGAGTATGGACAATGTGGGCCGAACGGCGAGTGGTTCCCCTGCTCGAGTCTACCATTCTCTTCCAAGTAGCGAAGGTGACTGAGTGCCAACCTGCTCTCAACAAGCCCCATTGCTGCTGGAAACAACAACGAAAGTTTGCAGATGTTAGGTGTGCACGCGCACAGAGGAAGTGTGGTGCGGGAGGGGGCGACGAAGGATGGAGGAGACTGTCGCGTGGCGCGTCCCAAGTGACTCCAAAACTGATGGATAAAGCGAAACAACGACAAGCACCAAGGGCGGAAATATGGTCGAGAAAGAAAGAATGAACACACGATGGGGAGTGGTGTTTCGCATCACTCAAGGCATACATATTCGATGCATAGCCCAAGGATCCGAGGATCCAAAGAGGCGGTGGTGCGACGCGCGGCTCAGAGCGCCCACCGAGAGAAAGTTGCGGAGTATGTTGGCGGCTGTCAGTGGGAACGGCACCCGAAGCGGACGCGCCGATGGTGGATTCCCCAGCCAGACTGCCAAGACGTGTCGTATCCCCTGCAACCTGAAAGGTGTGATAGGTTGGCCGGGTAGCCAGGCTGTGCGAGGTTGGTTGGTTACTAAATGCTCGCCTTCCAGTTTCGTCTGGCACACTGGAACAAGGGTGGCATTCCCCAGGGAATGCTGTGGGGCATAAGCACGAGGAAGCACGAGAACGGAGTCGGAACGGGCAAGGAACCGGAGAGTCGGTCTTGAGTTCGGTGGAGTGGGCAAAAGGTGGCACGGAAGCTGTGCTGGAGGTGCAGTACCCGTCCATAGCCTTATGCCCTCCTTGGCCCACCGCAGGCCACAGCCCACAGCGTTGGTCGCAAGGGCGAACGTGTCAACCTGCCGTTCCCGGTCGAACAAGGGTCTCAAGGAGAGGACAACAGGATGGCACGATAGTCAAGGAGCCGAACAGCAAATCAGTCCAAAGAGGAACGAACACATTCTGTGTGTTTCGCGGCTAGAACGCCGAAGCACAGACATATATCGTGGGGAATGCCACCAGTTCTGTGAAAGGACGCGACTTTCAAACATCTTGTCTGTTGGCATGCCCCTGGTCGCTGGTATCAGAGCGGCTAGTTGATGCATGCATTCCTGTACCACTCTATCTGATGTATGTGGTTCTATACACCGACACGAAACAGGCCGATCGGAAAACAAATACAAGACAACACGTGTACAGTGAACCAGAGACTATATGGTCATGAGGGTAACTCTCGGAGGCAGAACGGAAGGGAACAGAACGGAAGGGACCATTGCCTCACGCACAACACCACACCAGCGGCCAGCGGGGTTCGGAGTTGAAACAATACGTGCGGGATGTGTCGTGGCAACGTGGGCATGCTGCCATTGTCGACTCGAGCTTGTCGACTGGAGCTGAGGGTCCGTGGCCCCTTGTGACGACATTTGCTGTGGCTACGCACGACGCTTCTCGTCACCGTACAAGCTGTCCTTCTCCCCAGCGCCGTGGAAGATCTCGTTCCGTCCAGCGTACTTTGGCAGACCATCGGCGTGACTGTCCCAAGGCTCGGCACTGCGTGTAGCATACGACGGTGCTGCGCCCAAGCCACGCTGGGCAGCGCCTGCGTTTGTGTACGGGTTCGGGTTCTGCGAGCCTTGGCCATTGGGTTGGGCTCCAACGTACGTGGGCGAGCCGTAGATGGCGTGGCTCGAGTATGGACAGTGAGGGCAGTTGCAGGGCGGGTGGGGCTGAACCTGGCGCTGCTGGTTCTGCTTCTCCATTGCCTTGGTGATTTTGTTGACGGCGGCGTACGAAGTGCCGGCAATGATACCTGTCTTGATGAGACCCATTGTGGAGTGGTTGGTGTGTGGGGTTGTGGTTGGTGGGAGACGTGGGCGTAAGAGCTTTCAGTTGCCTGAGGAGTGTTGAATATGATGTGAGCTGGTGAAGGGCGTAACCTCGACGTCTCAAATAGTCAGATGCATCGTTCTAGACTACTCTGTGACGGGATCCGTAGCCGCTCTTCCGACGACACCAAGTCGCTTGCGACCGCTTACGAGGGTGCATCGCCGGTCGCATGCGTCGGCACCAGACACAAGTACACAATCGTTGTGCGGCACGTGGATCCAGGGACCTGATAGCAGTGCAGTTCGCCGTGCATGAAGGCCGACTGAGGGATTTGTTGTGCCAGATCAGGATACACCGACTGCGCATGCTCCAGCGCGCACCAACGTCCCGTCCCATCGTCGACTGTCTCGCTTCTGATTTGCACGCCAGTTCGCTACAATCGCTACACGTTCGCTTGCCATGTCGGCTGCGGCCGAGTGGCGGTGCCAGCTGCCAACAGACATCGGAGAGTACGTAATATCATGATTATCCTATATCCTGAAGCTTTCGGGACTTTTCTTTTTCATGTTTTCCTTATTTTTGTATTGCTGCGTTCCACGGTTGTTCCAAACAAAAGCATATGCTTAATCGTTTAAACAGCCGGTCACTTGAAACAACCGTGGGGAGTTGTGTGACACCATATGCATTAGGCACCCGGTCTGACCGGCGTGCAGTGCCAACTACCCTTTTTACAAAACCACCTCTGTTCCTTCCAGTTGAATAATGAAACGATAACTACGACCGTGTTGACTGCGATCGCCTGGGGCGTCATTTCAGTTGAACGAAACGAGAACTGCGCTGGACGCCTCCAGGGTAATAACACCGCCGTTGACAGCCTCGTCGCTGACAGTGCCCACGGGGTCGCTCGTGGCCGTGTCAAAGTCCTGGCCGGCCCAGGTGAACCCGGTCGTCGAGTTGGTGTAGGGGGTGGAGAAGCGGCGGAGGGTGGCGCTCGACGACCCTCCCGAGAGAGTGACGCTCTGGCCGGAACGCGCAGACGAGTCGGCAGTGTAAACGTCCGTGTTGACAAGCACAGCGCGGACGAGCTTCTTGTTCTCAAACACACCGTACGCCGACAGCTTCAAGGTGTTGGTCGGGAGCTCGACAATGTAGCTGTTGCCCGTCTTGCCCACGGCCTCGTTGACCACCAGGAAGGCATAGTACAGCGGCATGATGTGGGGGCGGTCCTGGCGGCCGGTGCCGTCGTCGACACCGGTGCCTTCAAGGGCAATAGGCTGGAGGACGTTGTACTTGAACCCGCGGCCGTTGTGGAAGTGGTGACGACCGATGCCCATGCTGGCGCCCTGAAGCATCTGCTGGATCGCCCAAAGGGTCTGCTCGGCCGTGTTGCTGAGGCCCGGAATACCGTGGCTGCGGGAATGTCAGTGGCGGTCAAGGTACCAGACGTGGTGTACTCACTTGGCATACGAGTTTGTCTCAGACAGCACATACGCCAGTCCCTGGCTCTTGGTGAACCGGATACCGTCGGCCTTGGACGAGATGTTGGTACGGATGTTGGTCTTGTCCATAAGGGTACCCGGTGTGACCGCAATGCCGTCGGCAAACGCTCCAGAGTACTGGTGCATCGTCCACTGGCCCGTGTTCTTGGCAACCTGGTTGTCGGCGAGCATGCCATCCATGAACGCCGCCGAGGGGGTCCATGAGAGCGATCCAAACTGAGGACCAAAGTTGACAAACGAGCCAGGGCTGAGCTTGGCACCTGCTTTGGCGATACCCTTGGCGGCGCTCTTGGCCACAGCTGTCCAGGTGGCTGTGTAGTTGCCGACGTTCCAGGCCTCCCACCCGGCGGCTACGCTCGCAAAGCCAGCAAACACGTCCGGCTCGTTGCCGAACTCGACATACTTGAGCACAACGTCCTTTGTGGTGTTGCGTGTAAACGATTCTTCAAGGTGGGAGACCTGAGCAAGAGTCTCGGTCGCGTTGAGCACCTTGAGGTTGACACCCCAGTGGAACAGGGTGCCCTTGGGGAGGTTGCCCGACAGCGCGTAAAAGTCATTGCCGATAGAGATGCTCGTGGCTTCAGGGGCAGGGACGTCTGCGGTGGCCTCAGGGAACACGGCGTCCATGACCTGGACGCTGAGGTTGAGCGTGGCGCGGTCCTCCGAGTTGGCTGGAATTGTCAGCTATACCACTGTTCACGACTCTGTGTCTCAAGCTTACCTCCAACACGGAAGAAGACCGGCTGTCCAGTCCTCTCGGACAGGTGACCCAAAGCGGTATTGACAAAGGCGTTGGACTGGCCCGTATAGTTACCAGCCCAGTCACGCCAGTGGTCCATCTCGATAGAGAAGCCACTGATCTGAGGGTCGAGCTTCTCGGCCCAGCCCGGCTGGGAGGACGGAAGGAAGAGGGCCGTGTCGGTCACATTGCCCGTGATGGCCACCGAGGACGTGGTGGTGTTGCGAGCGAGCAAGAGGGGGGTGATAGGGAGGCGCATCTTGAAGAAAAGAGCTTGAAGGGCGTGCGAGTGAGCTTCTGGGGTCTCCAGCTGCCCCGCTTTTTATCCTGTTCATGATCAGCATGGATCATGGGCAAAACACCTCGGTTGTGTGGTGCTACTTCCGGAAAAGTGTCCTACGTCCATATCCGAAGCCTGCTATATCCATATCCACATGATTCTGCCAGACCTCCGGCCGTCTCTTGTCCGCAGTGCATCGAGGTTTCCGTGCTGTATATCGTACGCAGTGCGGGCCTGAGCACTCGGATCGGGAGATGGAGTTACAGCTTCCGTGGATCCGTGGTTGTCGTTCCGCCGTCCGTTAGTCACTCCCCCACCCCCACGTTTCCGGCCCCGGTCCGGGGCACCTTGCGCTGCTGACTGTTCGAAACCCTCAGATCGAACAGGCAGCCGTTTCTGGCCGTCTGGGGAGGATGACCGCGTGGACACATGCCCCACCCCACATGCTGAGGGATATAGCGAGCGTGGGTTATAATCGGGAGTCATGTGAGTACCGGCACCTCGGTCTGTCAGTGGAGTGGACAAGCGGCCAGTGGCCAGTGGTCTACTAGTCGGTGTCACGGACCGACGGGCCTGTTCAACGAAAGGAATATCCTTGTCATTTCAGAAGAGACACGCTGCGACTGTCTATTCAACTACTCGGGCTTGGTGAGAATACCGTAGAGGTGAGGAGTGGTCGCCCACCACGGCTCGTCGACTGGCATGGCGAGGTCGACATCTGCCCATGCGCCGGCGGCGCGCAGCGACTTTTCGGTCCGGCGGCACAGGTCGCAGCCGCCCATGAACGTGGGCCAGATGAGGTTGAGTGCACCTATTCGTCAGTCTGTGTGCTTTGCAGCCTGCCACCAGACCATTGACTCACGCTGGTACAGGCTGATGGCCTCTCCCTGGGATGGGTGTGACTTGACGTGCTCGTACACAAACCAACGGCCTCCAGGTTTGAGATACTGGTACAGCTCGGCGACGTTCTTCTCTTGGTCAGGGATACTGCAGAGGCAGAGGACCGTCACAATCGCGTCCACGCTCTCCTTTGCAATGTGCCTTCCCGCAATATCCTCGATACCGACGGGCACAATCTCGTAGCGGCCCTCCAAGCCAGCGTCCTTTGCACGGGCGCGAAGGGCAGGGTGTTGACCAGGGTTGGGCTCGATGCCGTACACTTTATCCACGCGGCTACGCTCGCCCTTTTTGAACACGGGCTTGCCGTCCTTGACCTCTGGCCCACCCGTGACGTACTTGTCCGAGAAGATTGAGACCCACATGCCACTGCCTGGTCCGATTTCGATGACTGTGCCGCCCACACCACACTGTGTGGCGACGTCGACGGGAACGACTGCACCAGCACGGACACGGCCTTGGAGGAGCGGAACGACCTTGCTCTCGGCGCCAGCGCGGACCATGGGACCACCGACGGTCCACACGACCGCGAACCATTCCGAGCTAAAGGCGCTCCAGTTGCCAAACGTAGCCCAAGCTCCCCGCTTCACGATGCCCACGATTGTCTTTGGGAGATAACCGGCGGCAAGGGAGAGGAGTAGCCAAGGCTCGAGGAGGCCGTACAAGAGGTCGAACAGTGACGACATTGCGGAAAGTGGGCGCGCGGGCGGCTGTTCCGAAACGAGTGCGATGTCCAGCAGTTACGCTGTATGAAGTGCAAAGAAGGTGGTGGTCGCGAGATGAAAAGATCACAGTAAGTGCGAGAGAGAGGATGGATGATGCGAGGATGCGTCGTCTATCTATTCGAGAGCAACCCACGACGCGGACCGCCCGCTCCACATTGCCGACGTTCACACCATTCACATTAGCCGATTACAGATCTTACAGATCTTGCAGAGTCGCTTTTAATTACATGTTGCATGTTACATTGCGACGGCCCATTCAGCCACTGCTCGTAATCCCAATCATGACATCCCAAAATAACATGCTGTGCTGTACTGCTACAATCCTGTGCTCTACTCTAGTCATCGTCCACAACAGTGATCTTTACCTCAGCAACCGCAACCGGCACCGCCGCAGCCACGGGCGGAGGCGCCGCCGCCACCTGCTCGGCCACAGGCTCGGTAGCGGGCACAGGTCCCACATCTTCCTCATCGTCATCACTCGCCTCCTCGCCAGGCCGCTTGAACACAACGGTACCAGCACCACCAGCAAACTTGCCCTGTCCGTGGATGGTTGCCGAGGGTGCAGATGGGGCCGAGCTCTTGCTGTCCTGGTTGTCACCACGCGATGCCGCCTTGCGCTTTTGGCGGCGAGCGCGGTTCTTGGACGTCTTGGCGTCTGCGATGGCGTCGCGGGCAGCCTGACGGGCTTGGAACGCGGCCTGGTCATCGAGCTGGAGAGTTAGGAATGCAGTCTGGGGAAGGGGCTCGTACGGCCCACAGACATTGAGATGGAGGTCAGACACGAAGCCTGTTGTTTTACCCCGACCAGCTGACGCCGACTCGGTCCACCTAGCACACCAAGGTCTACTCACTGCCTGCGCCTGCTCCTCCATGAGCTTTACACGCTCGAACTCGCGCCTCCTCGAGTGCTTGTAGACGTGAAACTCGCCCGATCCCGCGGCACTGCTCGAACCCGTCACGTTCTTCGGCAGCTCCTTGGGCGCACGCAGAGTCTTGGGAGCACCAAGGTTTTGAGGGATCTTGTACTCCTTGTCCGGGTTGGCAAGGAGGCGCTCGAGCTGGAGAAAAAGTGGATCAGGATTGTGTGCTGTGGATGCTTGCTTGGATGTGGAGATGTCGACCTACCTTGTACTTTTGGATGTCTGTCGGGGTGAGACGCGCCTTCTTTGATGGACCTGGGGCAGCAATGTCCCGGGTGTCGGGTGAAGGAGAGCGCTCAAAGCGTTCTGGGGACTGTGATCCTTCACCGACAACGGGCATGATGGAAAATGGCGATGGAGATGGAGAACGTGGTGGTGATGATGGGCGATTGAAATACACACCATAAACAGCCAAGCAAGCGAGGTCATGCCCGGCCGCATCACGATAGTGTGTTTCTAATCAAAAAATACTCCCGCTTCACTTGAAAGCGGAATCAAATTGACACCGTCATATGACGGACGCGTCCTGGCGTTGAACGCGTCGTGCGAAGTGGAGAGAGACATCATCTGGACGTTGTTTTGTTTTGTTTTGTTTCATCCCACATCCCTCCATCTCTCTCGCTCTCACCATGGCCATCTCCGCTAAAGAACAAGGGTGAGAAGGGCCTAGTTGGAAACTCCCGGTGAACACAGCTGACCTCTCGCAGCATGGCTTACGAGTACGCACACCCCAACCACTCTTCTGGGCCTTTACACTGACCTCCCAGCCCGAGCTCTCCTCAGGTCATGAACGCCTTTTACCGGCGTCTGTTTCCTTACAAGGCCCTTTTCAAATGGCTTAACCAAGCAGACGGTGGGCTTTTCGGCTCTTCTTCAACACAGCGCTGACCAAGATTCTAGTTCCCGGCAAGCTCTGGACCCATCGCGAGTTTGCTTTCACGATCGAAAACGACGTCTATATTCGCTACAACTCGTTCAACACGGCATACGACTTCCAAAAGGAGGTGCTTCGCCTGAACCCGTCACGTTTTGAGATTGGTCCCCAGTACAGCGCGAGGGTGAGTCCCACTTTGTCCTCCTTTGTCTGACCCCCAACCAGCCCCGTGACCGCAAGACCCTTCCCGCCGGCGCGCTCCAGCCCCAGCGCCGCGAGCTCGTCTTTGATATCGACATGACTGACTACGACGAGGTCCGTACTTGCTGCTCGGACAAGAAGATCTGCAAGCGTTGCTGGGGGTTCATTGCCGCTGCTGTCAAGGTCCTCGACAACGCTCTCAGGAGTAGGTATTAGGTCCTTGGCTTGATTCTATTCTAACCCCGCCAGATACGTTCGGCTTCAAGCACCTCCTCTGGGTCTACTCTGGTCGCCGTGGTATCCATTGTTGGATCTCAGACACTCTCGCCATTGACCTCACGGATGACCAGCGCCGTGCCCTCGTCACCTTTTTGGAGGTTATCAAGGGCAGCAAGGAGCAGGTCAAAAAGGTCAACGTCCGTAACGGCAAGGACGACGGCGAGCTTCACCCGGCACTTGAGTGAGTCCCATTAGGTCTGGAACCTGCTGACCTCCCTTGCAGAGATGCACTGGACGACCTGAGGACTGAATTCTCACGTCTCATCCTCCGTGACCAAGAGTGCTTCCAGTCGGACCAGGGATGGCAGACGCTCCTGGCGCTTCTCCCAGCCAACAGAGGTGGGTTTAGGATATATATTGCGTCCAGACCAAACTAACCCCTCGCAGAAGTCACGGAATCCCTCCGCAAGCTGTGGGAGTCCAGCCCCGACCGCTCGAGTGAGGACAAGTGGGTCGACATTGTGGGCATGATCAAGACATACAAGACCTCCAACCCCACCCTGTACCGCAAATACGAAAAGTACATGCAGGACATTGTCCTGCAGTACACCTACCCGCGTATCGATGCCGAAGTCTCCAAGCACCGCAACCACTTGCTAAAGTCGCCGTTCTGTGTCCACCCGGGCACTGGTCGTGTGTGTATCCCCATCGACCCGGACAGGGCCCACGAGTTTGACCCCGAGGCCGTGCCGCATGTCGGCGAGCTGCTGGTCGAGCTGGATAACGCCCCCGCCGCCGACTCGGGAGGCAAGATTCCCGAAGACTACGAGAGGACCTCTCTCAAGCCCTACGTCGAAATGCTCGAGCGCCATGCAAAGGCCATCATGGCGGATGTGCGTGGTGCCCGCAGGCCGGTCAAGGAGGAGACCATGGAGTTTTGAGTGCAGTACGTCGACGAGGTAGCCTTTTTGTGTTGTATGCATACCGATCATGAGAGCTGCATGTGTATCTGCAACAGTAGACGTGGGTCATTAGACATGAACAACCAGGCTGCTAGCCAGGTCTTGTCGTGAATTATGAAAGATACCTCACACCTCCTCTAATCCTCCCGCTCAAAGCACGGGCATCTTGCGGTCGATCCTGCGGTTAATACCACCCAACAGGACCTTGACAATGAGGTTGGCGCTCAGCTCCTGGCCATTATAAGGAACTGTGTCGACCATGTCGCGCACCCCGTGGGCGTGGGCGAGACCCTCGTCAAGCTCCTGGAGCGCCTCACGCGCCTAGACGGTCAGTACAGGAAACAGAAAGTCGGCCACAGCAAACCCCGCACTCACATCGGTATCGTCTCCGATCTGCAACAGCTGGACGCCAACCTGGCTGAGCGGGAAATCGCCCCTGTCGAGACGCTTGGCAATTGAAATCAACACGCTCTCCGGGTCGTCCGTGGGGGCTGTACGCAAAAGAGTGTCACGTTCAAGAGGATCAGTTGTGAATCGGGCACGGCGGAGGACGGGAATGGCAAACGCTGGCGTCAGATAAGCGTCATGGGTTCCTTGTTTTGGTATCAGGAATGTGGTGTTTTCACTTACCGCCGTCGGTGACCACAATGAGGTTCATTGAGCGTATGTCTGCGGCATTGTCGTCGGTGACGCTGCGCTCCAGGCGGGCCATGTAGTCGCGCAAAATAGACTCGATACGCAATCCCGTTGGCGTGGCGCCCTTGGGGTCGAGCCCGGCAAACAGCTCTTCAACGTCGGCCGTGTTGTGCAGGCCCTTGCCGACCCGCTTCGAGTTGAGAAAGTACACGTCGATACCGTCTTCATCGTACCGCACTGCCTGCGCGACCACACCCATGATCGCCGTCTTGGCCTGTTCCCACCGCTCCCCCTTCATCGAGGTACTGTCATCGACGAGGAAGACGGTGTCATACTCGCGCAGCATCTCGAGCGCGTTCTCGCCGCCAATAAGGATCGGAGCAGGGGAGGCGGAGCGAGCTGGAAGAGGTGGCGGCGTGGCCGGTGCGAGGCCGCCGCTGTGCGCGTATGGAGTAGGGAAAGCGGTGACCGTCGGGGTGTGGATGCCGGGAGACTGTGGCGGACTGCTAACCACAAAGTGGGAGCCTGGAGTCATGGGCTCGGCGCCGTGCGGCATGGGGACAGGGATAGGAACCATGCCGGCGCCGTTAGTGGACATGCGGCTGGGGAGGGGAGGCACAGGTGGGACGGTCTGCTGCTGATATTGCTGGCCGGGGACAGGGAGCGGGCGAGGAGCAGTCGCTTCGGTGATGGGCGACAGGGGAGGTCCCTGCCAGCCTGGAGGCGGGCCATCAGGCGAGGCGTAGTCGTCCGTCGGAATAGGCGGCAATTCGCGCTCAAGCGATGGGTAATGGCGCTCAAACGAGGACACTGACCCGACGCGCTCCTCGTGGCCGAGAGTGATGGGCGGAGACTCGGTGTGCGGGGGAGTATGGTCCGCAGGGGGACTGGCTACAGCTGGCTGCTGCTGCTGGCTCAGGCGGTGACGCTCCGCCTCGCTGAGGAACGGGTTGTTGCTCTGCATGCCAGTGCTCTGAGGGACAATGACCGAAGGAGAATCGGGAAGCACCTGGACCGTTGCCTGGCGAGGAGGAGACATTGGCCCAGTCTTGGTCGGTTCAAGGGGTGGAACGCTGAAGCTGACGTTTTCCATCAAATCCATGAGTGACTCGGTGTGAGTGGTGGCTGGCCGAGCCTTGCCCTTGCCGCTTCCGGTGTATGTCGGCTCGCTGCTGAGGCCGAGTAGGTCGTCCTCGTCGTTGCTCGTCTGCGACGCCCCACGGTGCGTCGTCTGAGTACGGCGCATCGCGCCGACCGGCGCCGATCCCGAAGGGTGGTAGGAGGACGTGCGGCGGACGCCATCGTCCGCACCTGGACGTTGCGTGCTGGGACCAGCGGGCGACTCGGATTGGTACATGGCCGTCGATGCGGAGCGGAGCATCGTGTCCTCTTCGTACTGTGCGATACTCTCCTGGATCGCGCGCTGGTACTCGAGACGCTCCTTTTCGGCGGCACGCGACGCGCGCATGGCCTCCTCCAGTTCGCTCTCTTCGCGGATACGCTGCACGTCTGGGTCCTCACTGTCGCTACGCCCTTGTCCACTGGAGCCATTGGCACCAGAAGGCGGCGACGTTTGGTTGCCCACGCGCGCAGCCGGCGTCGCGGGGAAGTCGTTCGGACGCGGCGCGTCGCCACTGAGCTGGCCAACATGCTCATTACTGGGCGTGCCAGGGTTGAAACTCGATGCGGTCGAGGGTGTCCGGCCATGCAGGGATGCCGAGGCACTGGGTATCCTGCCGAGCGTCGCCCGTTGGTTAGCGGGCGACGTCGCAGGCGGTGAGGCCGGGGGTGGTGCAGGGGCTTCATCTGGGACGGCGCTCGCCTGCATAACGGTGAGCATCGCCGTCGACTCGGGGTCTGGGTCCGTCGGCGCGTAGGGAGGAGGTGGGAGCTCGCCATCCCCAGTTTCCTGGCGTGTCACTGCGGGCCGGCGGTTCGCCGCACTCGAAGTTGTCGTTGCAGACGTGGTGGTTGACGCACGGGTGATGCGTGTACCCGTCGACGTTGTACCGCCACTGGCAGTGGGCCCGCCGCCGGACCCACCGGTGGTGGACATACGAGCGAGACGGGCACCGCGCATCATGTGTGTCACAGGCAGACCATAGTACTCGCGAATCTCGGACACGATGGGTTCAAAGTGGGGGACGAGCTGGAGGCGTCAGCGCGGCGGCGGCAGGAAGGGGACAGCGGCGTCCACGGCGTGTTGGCGGCGGTTCTCATTGCTTCGGAACGACCCCTGCCCACACATTACATGCTGTTCATACTCACTTGAGACTCGACAATGCTGAGCTTTTGATCAAGGTCATTGAGCATCTTTCCCCTCGCGAGCTTGAGGTCGCAGTAGCTCTTCAAGATGGCGAACGCGAACGGGGGTTGGTTCCACGCACGGGCGGACGAGAGGTAGAAGAGCACATCTTGTGCTGCGTTGATCGGCCCGACAGGGGGCTGGTGGGCATGTTAGAAGGAGCAATGGATGAGAGAGAGGAAGAGGCCGACTTACCAAGCTGCTGTAGGGCACGCGACGGCGAGCCTGAGGCATGGTGGGAGATGCGGACAAAGTCGTCGGGACGTGCGTGTGTGTCTACGAGTGCGCAGTCGATGGCGACTGGCTGGCCGTGTGTGGGGGGGAAGAGAATGAGGAGAGCGGGGGAAGCTCGCTGTGGGGGTTGCAGCGGCTGTGAATGTGGTTGCTGGTGCTGTCGTTGCTGGTGGTGATGGAGATGGGAGGATGACAGCACAGATGAATGGAGAGAGATGGGAGAGTGAAACGATGAATGACGGAAATAGGATAGACGTCATCTGAGGGCGATGGCAGCATTTGTTGGGCGGGCGGCGGCGGCGAGCACAGCAATCGTCTGCCTGGTCGGGCCGTCGTCTCTGTAAGTGGGTGCAGCGTGCGGGACCGTGAGCGGAGGTCATCGGGCGGCATGCGCTAAAGAGATGTCCCTCATCGAGCAGAGCATATGAACAGTCGCTTGCGGGGGAGAGAATAAAAGAAAAGAGACCCCAGGCAACGCTTTGTTCCGGCTGCAACAACACCAATGAATTGTCTGTACAACCAGCACTTTGGTCATCGGCCCTCTTCTGTGGGATAGGGACGATGAGTCGGGCGAGCGAGGCAGACACCACGACTTCAGCAGGCAACGAGGCAATGAGTTGCCCCGTGTCAACGTCAACGACACTGATATACACCATCACTTGGGCCATGCCCTTTTCACATGACATCGCTGTCGAAACAGCTCACTCCACTCTCCTACAACGCGTCTCTCGTCTCGTAGCTATATAATCCAGACACAGTCTCTCCTCTCAAATGGACAACACACAAATCCCAGTCGTGTACGTCTCGGACGTTTCATTTCTTGTCCTGCTGGCTTTTCCCCCCGCATACTGCACACACACCTCACCCGATCTCTTCCCATCTCCCGTGTTTCCGCTGCGCCACGCTGGGCTGCTCAGCCGCTTGCGTTGCTCTCACTCCTGTCGCGTGTAGCCATAAGAACATGTGGGACGGCGTGGAGCGACAGCAACGAGTTGGTGGGACTCGTCTCGTTTCCCGAGCTGTCCGAGCTGTCCGATCCGGACCGTGACCGCGAACTCTCGCCCAGACGCTCGCCGGGTCCAGCTTGACGGTCCCGTGAAGCTCCACATGTGCACTCGCATGAGCACTCCTTGCCGCGGTAAGGCGGGGGAGGGGGCACCTCGAGCAAGGGAGCTATCGAAGCGGGCTGGGCGGTGCTGGCGGCAACGGCGACAGTGTGGACCTGCTCGCCTGCACCCGAAGGGCGGCGGGAGACTACACGCGAGGGAGCGAGACCAAGCTCGTCGCGGACCGTGCAAAACGTGTTGGCAAAGTGGGGCATCTTGGAACGCCGTCAGCAAACGTTGGCCGGGGAGGGAGACGCAGAGTGGAGCCTCGATCGCGCCATGTTGTCTTTCTTTCGGGCCGACAGGAGCGGCGCGGAAAAGCGACATGCACTCGAGCCAACAACGACTGACAACAAACACAACAGCGCAGCGCCGCCGAGCGCGCACCGATGTTGTGCGACGGCAGCAGCATCATTGCGAGGCTGTGGACAAAGTGTGGTCGGCAGTCTATAGCCAGTGGCCGCTACGCAACTCGCACGTCATGGGCCGATGGCGCCACTCCAATCGCCCCGGGTGTGTCGCCACTCCAACTCACCTCACGCTCCAGCCCTTCCAGCTTGGCCTGTACTTGGGGCTTGTTACGACCACGGCCCAGCTTGTGATGTGCATACTGCGAGATGACTGCGTGTGCATAGCTATAGGGAGACGGTGGTCAGCAGCTGGCGACGGACAAGGGGGGGAGATGTGGGCTTATCACCCGAAGCGCGGTTATTGCCCCGGCAGCCGCGCCCCAACCCCAAAAGTGGGGGACACTCACCCAGGATCCGCCAGTGCGCGGGTTGTATTGAGCGACCGGTGGACATGGGCCGCACGCGTTGGGCTTCCAACGTTCAGAGTCTGCAGAGACAGAAAGCGTCAGCTCTTGACATTGCGCAGGTGCGGTGGGACATGGCGGGGATACATGGCGGTGGCGTTGGAAAGAGAGACGTTGGGCACAGAAGCGGCCCATTTCCCACCGCCTGTTCACTGCTCTCGACGTATTTCCCCGGAGGGACCTCCAACGGTGTCTACTATACTGAGATGGCGACAACGAGTGCCGACGGGGCGAGGACACAGTGTGTGGTGGTGCAGGGGAGGGGTGTGTATGTGTCTGCACTCACGTTGAAGTCTGCAGTCATCGGGCGGGGAGGGACCAACAGTACACGACGGACCAGCCGGGGGGGGGTGGGGGGAGAGAGATAATGGGTGGAAGAGAGAACGAGTGGAGATTACCATTCCTTTTGGTCCGGTCCGACCATCCGCACAGAGTGCAGGCCCGGCTGCCCCCGTTGCGCTTGCATTTCTCGCGATACACATATGCACATATACCCCCTCGCCTTGTACATAGCATATAGCCGGCCCGAGTACGGCCTACCCAGAGCGACGTGTGTCGCCTTGCATACCGGGCCAAGACACACAACCCAGATCCAAGATCTCATTCATCAACAACCGCCGCCGCTGCGGCGGCGGCGGAGGCGGCTCAATCTCGTCGGCCGGCCCATCTACTGTGGTTCTGTGATCACTTCGTCGCCATCATGTTCCAACCGGCCTCATTTCCTGTACTGTCCCAACTGATACTGATCGTTTACAAGGTCGCTTTACCAAAGAAAGCGGGCCCAATTGTGATTGTGTGTTAGTGGTTGATCCATCTGAGACGCGGGGGCATGCAAGCAAACTCACACCAAAAGCGTGCCCCCCGGTTCGTCACGACAAGAATGATGTTCCATCTTCTGTTGTTTCTGTTCTCACGAGAACAAAGAGCAGCAGCACACGCTGACACAAAGTGGTCGGCCCAAGAGCCAGAGCTGAGCTGAGAAATGAAATCAGCACCGGTCTCCACTTAGGCCACTTATCCCATTACCGGCCCCGCCGTAGACATCTGGGGGAAGGGGGGTCGGAATGTCCACTGATGGCCTGCGAACGTGTGTTGCAGCAGCGCGCGTCGAGCGTGCATCGCGGGGCAGTGCTATACATACGTGGCTCGTTTTAGGGGCCCGGCACACGAACGGGAAGACGAGCAAACCGCCGCCGCGCCAATTGCCAAGGAATGTACTGTGACTGTGGGGGTCGGATTCCCGTTTTGCATAACGACAATGTTGCAATGTATAACCCGCACAGCTAAAAAGCCCCGGTCCGGATATTGCACACAGCTGCTAGCCCACGCACGATATGTCATGGTGATATGCGTGAGCCAACGACCTCCCCCCACTGCCCACTCGTCGAGTCCACCAAGCGCACATACTGGAGGTGTGGACGGTACATGAGTATCTCTGTGTCTCGGACATTTCGGACTGCGGCAGGAACCGGGGACATTCCGACCACTGTTAAACTACTGTCGGACGTTGTCGTGATGGGGGGGTCGGTTGCAACCAGGTCGACGTCTCCATCCGGAGGGACACGTCGACGTCTGTACCGGCAGCATATTCGTCGTCGAGGACGAAATAAACTGCGGGGAGTGGAGCATGTCGATGGCATTGGTCGGTGGCAGTCACGTCGAGTGTCGAGATGAGGCGGAGCAACGTCACTCCGCACACGTTGAGGAATGACAAGACGTGCTCTGTCAATATCGCTCACTCTCGATGTGGTCTGGCCTCATATCTGCGCTCATTGTCGCCACTCTTGTCGCCAATACCGCCACCCATGCCTTGCCGTTATCCTCGCGTCAGATAGGACGGCGAAGCCATATGCAGTCCGCTGCGCCACTTATCTATTGTCTGCGGCAACCTCGTTTACCGAATGGTCATTTTTTGGTGGCGATCGGGGTCTACCGATCCGTGCGGCTACGGCAGGTCGTCGTCACTTGGTCCATTACTGATAAGCGATGTCGGCCCAGCGATGCTTGCCTTGCCTGCCCTTCCGGCTGTGGAAACTCCCAACACACAGCCCAGCAGGCCAGCAGGACCAGCTCACGGAATCTTGGTGCTACTGGATCCCCAGATCCGACTCCGTCCTGCTCTCTGGGGACGAAATCACTTTCTGTGGATCTGTGGGAGTGAACTCCGTGGTGCATGATGAAGAAAGGCATTGGGGGTCGCGTGACATCGAATGCAGCACAGACGAGCTTCACATGCTATTCCGTGAATGGCCTTTCAAGCCGTCCAACACGGATTGTCAGCACAGTCACCTCGTGCGGTCCATCCAACCACGCTGGCTTTCGCAGAGCCATCCAGATAGGCTGTGTGGGAGAGGTTGGCTTCCCTTGACTTGGTACGTGTCGTCGCTGTTGTTAACCCAGACCGCGTGACAGAAGTGTCTTGTGCAATAGCACAGGTTGCAGCTGCTAAACCCGCTCAGACGGATAGACACTCGCACAATGCATCCTCCAGGGAGACTGAAGACGCACACTGTCGACGCGCGCGCGCGCCTGGACGTCCGATCTAAGCCTTGGGGCGGGTCATGAGATGTTGGTAATCAGCACCCACTCTGCAACGACAGTTGGCATTGTCATGCGCACCCCCGCATCGCAGTAGCACATTATCGGAAGATATCCGTCATGCATGCCTCGGCTTTGACCACAAATGGATACGCCACGATCGTACACGTCGTACCTGCTGCCATCGGCCATACAGTGGAATGGAGCTGGAGGCGACTGAATTATGAGTGGCGTTTTGGACGATCAGACGCGTCTCTGCACGCGTCTTTTTCATGTCTGCGTCGCGTCTCCTTGTGGGTGGTTGCGACCTTTGAGTACAAGCTCCTCGTCGCTCCGCGCGACGCGACGCGCCGAGGGTCGCTGTCGCGTACCGAGATGCTGTCTTCAGACCTCAGATGGCCTCAGATCTGGGTCTGCTTGCATCGTCCTGACACTAGCACTGCGCCGCATTTCATCTGTGCCCACCTTCGTCGTCGAGCACCACTTGTAGAGATGCGCCACGGGCAGGCGAACGCACCGACCATGAGAGGGGCAGGAATGGAGGCGGTTTGCGACGCGTGCATAAATGCCTTCTAGGCGCCAACATTGCCTGCAGGATGTCTGTACCAGACGTCCAAACCTGCGCACGATCAAGCGGGCCAGCTGGCTCGGATCAGCCACACATGGAAGATTGCCTGCGGCTGGCAAACATCCAAAACCTGATCACCTGAACGCCTCGAGATGCGCCTCGGCCTGCTGCGTACAGGAGTACAGGAGAGAGACAAAGGTACACCGGCAGCCTTGTGGTAGTGAACGAGCCACCACGACGCGTTGCATGTGCGATGTGGCGTCGCTTGGCTGAGCGCCGTCCTGATCACTCCTGACTGCAGCGGCACCCAATTCATCGTGCTCTCCTTCTGTTCGCACCAGCCCCGGCCTCCCCGCGGCCTCGATTACATGGCCTCCCCGCGAACTATTCTGCAGAGGCAAAAGTCCTAGGTTGTTGGCGGGTATGCGCCATGCCAGGCCGCCCGTGAGGCGGATGGACTGCGCCCGCCGCGGTGGATTGTATTCAAAGTGTGTTGAAACCAGGTGGCGAGGGGTAGCGTTTCTGTGGATCTGTGGGTTGTGGCCCCTGCCGAACAGTCGCGTGCATTGAGTGGCCTTGCCCGCTGGTGACGGCTGGGGTGGGTCGTGGTCGGTTGGGAAGAGTGGCACTGGACAGAACGTACTGGTCATTTATGACATGGCATGACGCCTACACTATATATATACTACTGACGGGCATACACAAGGGTCCAAAGTGTCCGTTCACCGAGTGTCATGACACGGCGAGTGGGTGTGGGTAGGTAGGTTTGGGGGAGACTGGGCACACCACGATCCTACGGAAATCGCGGTTGCCAGGGGGGGGAAACAAGGGGCGGGAATGTAATGTCTATATAATGCTAAAATGTTCTTGGTCGTCGAGTGAGAGCCGCAGGAATGCAATGTGGTGGTGAGGTGGACGAGTGCGATAGGCTTGTCGTGCTAAGGGTTGGGTCGTTTGTGGGTCTAATAGGGCTGAACCTAAGCCTCCTCGTCAAGGCGTGATGAACGCTCGGACTCGGATGAAGCTTTCGGTGTATGCCACGATGCGAGAGGCGATAGGTGTGACTAGGGGACGAGGTCGTGTAGAAGGCTGGCTCACATGAGACGACCAAACGAATGCTGCACCGAGACAGCTTCGTCGGGGCTGCGGACGCATGTGCTGCGGTCGTCGCTGATGGTGTAGCCGGCCGTGCACGAAAAGACGACACATGTGCCCTTCTCGCAGCCTGTATGGCGAGCGTTGTCAATGGCAGAGCAATCGCGACTGGGAAACAAGTGGTCAGCACCCCATCTGCACACACGTCTGTCAACTATTGAACTCACCCCTTGCCCAAAGCGAGACATCCACCACACTGGTTGAGCTCTGAATCCAGCTCGATGCACTCGAATCCCACACGGAACCAGTCGGCCAGTGCAGTGAGCGACGCCTCCAGAGTGGCGGCCGACTCGGAAGTGATGCCTTCTGGGTCGTCGACCACAGGACAAGCCACGGCACCACCGGGACACAGGAAGGACGAGTAATCCTTCTTCTTGGGGGCAGTGTCGCGCTTCACGTTGCGCCTGCGCTGGCCCATACGCTTGCTGGGAGTGGCCTGGCGGGGTTGGAGCTTTGTTGGGGCCTCAAGCTTGCGAATGTTTGCTGGTTGCAAGTAGGCGCGTTCGCTCTTTTTCAACTGGGCTGCGGCCGCCGCAGTGGCAGCGCGGACAGCAATGGGTTGCAGTGGCCTGGCACCGCCGGGAGCGGGGAACGCGGCCACAAACGAGGTGGCTGTTGCGAGGGCAAGCAGCAGGAGGAGAAAGCCGTGCGTGAGGCGCGGCATCGTCGTGGTGGTGTTATTGGTGGTGGGAGGAGGGTGACAAGATTAGGGGGAGGGATGATAGGCGTCGACTGCCAGTGGGTGTCGAGCAGGAAGGTGATAGGCGACTGGTGGCACGGAGTTGGCGTTATGGGGGACAGCTGATAGTGGTGGAGAGAGTGGCAAGAGTGAACGGCGATGGGGCTCGATAGATGAGAGAAGGAGTGGGGAGTGATAAAGCGAGAACGAACGATGTTGCGTGGGGAGATGGGGAGGGGAGGGGCTGGCCATTGATGCTATCTAAGTCTTTTGCGCAGTGGAACCCACCACATGTGCTCATCGCTGGACCCCCCGGGACCCTCTCTCGTCCTTCCAGGCTCAGAATGCACGCCGCCAGGGCGGGGACACGGGTGGGGGGTGGGGGGGTTGTGGTCTCTGTTTGCCACCCTCGAAACCACAAAATTCAACTGGGACGGCGTGCCGGCATGCGTTGAAAGGGACCACGAGCGACACCAAAAAAAAACCTGATGGTGTGGTCCCTGGGTGGAAAGGCGAGGCACAGTGGACTGCTGGCGCGCGCTGGCACCCAGGGAACAACCCACTCACTACACGCGCGCGCGCACTCGCAAGCGACACGACACGAGAGCCGAGCGAGCAATCAGCCACCCCAGCCGGGCAGCAGGGTCCAGCGCAAAGTCTATCCAAGTGGAAGACGTCACCGCTCGCCTGCGCGCCTGCTATGTCCTTGGCACGCCATGCCCGCTGCCCCCTCCCACCTCTCTCGTCCACAGTGCATGCTGCCACCTGTCTATGCACAGGCTGCACAACATGTGTATGCGGTTGGGAGTAACAGAGCGCTGCATGAGCACTGCATACATGCTCTCTGCCCTTTTCCCATGGCACCTTTACAACGACAAGCTTCGCAACCCGCACCCGCCGGGCTGATTTTGCCGCGGGGGAGTGACCGGCAGAAACGCGGCGGCGCCACGCACGTCGCTGCCGCCGGCCTTGCCGAGCGCAGCTGGAATGCAGCGATAGGCACTCTACGCAGTGCTGGGGCGGACTGATCGTTCAGTAGCTCAGTAGTGACGCGGCATAGCGTGTGTCAATGCAGTCTGTCTCGGCTCCTGTCCAGAGGCCAGAGGGGGGGGGGATTCTCAGCCTTGAAGCAACAACAACAATCTACCTCTTCCAGTGCATGGGGGTCTCTTCCACACCGCCCGCGAACATTAGAGATATGGTGGGTGTTGCGACGTGGGCTGCACCGCTGTCTCCGTCGACTTGCACTGCCTGCCACTGCAGGAAGGAAGGCCAAGCCTCCCCCCCCTAGAGCCGTCTGTGCAGGTTCATGTGGCTGCTCTATTGCTCCTCTTTCCCCCCATCTGGCGTTGGCGCCTCGCACTCTCCTCTCTACCAGTCCCCTCCTAAACCTTCCCGGCGAGGCAATAAACAACGTGCTATACACACATTGGGACATTGGTACGAAGGATATCGTGTTAGCGTGCAAAGGCGGAGAGCGCGTGAACAAAGGACAGACGTCAAATAGGGTTGCGGTGCTGGAGCGCACAGGTAGCGCGCAGCGCAATTCCGCCAAACGCCTTCAGGTTTGGATAACATGAATTGGACCATCCCTGCTGGCCTGCTGGCCGTATGGCCGCTGGCTCGCTAGTGCAGTACATTGGTGTGATTCCTGGACGAGCATGCATGCGCACTAGTGTGAGAATCCCCGGGCATTGTCCCATGCTTCTAACCCCAGGTGGCCGTTGGCCAGGTCGGCGCCACAAACAACACGTCGTCTCGCGCAAGAAGCCGAGAGATGTGCGTTCAACAGCATCCGATCGCACACCTTAAAGACCCGTAGCGCGTTTTTTCTTCCCTTTATCCCTCTCCTCGCCTCCAAAACCTTGGTCGTCGCTGTTTGCTGTTTGCCTCTTGCCCAAACGCAATCGCGCACAAGCAAACAATTAAAACAACTTACTAACACTACTACTAGCTATACATGCAGGCTAGCACCACACCACCTGCCAAGCAAGGCACTGCATATTCAGCGCAAGTCGTGAGGGGCAGTTTGACTCCATACTGTACGTCGTTGCAAAGAGCACACCAGCAGCGTTCCCGGTGGCAGCTTTCAGTTCCCAGCCGCAGCTTGCAGCTTGGTCTTGCAGAGTCTCTGCCCGACTCTCTGCTAAAAGCGTAGTGAGGCCTGGAGGCTCTGTGCCTACCATGCCGTTTTGCGGGAAGGGCAGCAACTGGGAATCCCGGTGGCCCGGTGACAGGTGCTTGTGCATGTCCACACTACTCTGGCACAACCAGCACTGCCAGCACACCACTCGCTACCTGATATACCTGACTAACCACCTTTGCACCTGAAAAGGCATGAATTGCTGAAACGGAGGACCCACAGAGTGTCCGACACAACATCAACGGGCACCAAACCTTCGGTGTACTGGCTCCCTAGCTCCCTGTCCATCTCTCCCTCCATCCCTCTGTGTGTTGACGTTAATTGCACGTACACGCTCCGCTCTCTGTGGCATACATACCACAACGGGTTCCTTTGACCGGCAAGGCTTTGGAATAGGCTGCAGCCGTGAATCAAAAATACTACAGTTGGCCGGCTTGAACCGGCTTGAGCCCTGGCGGTCGAGAGCCAAGTTACGGGGTGCACCAGGAGATGCAGAGACAAACCGTATGACGGGAGAGGCTTTAAAGTGTGCGAAGGCCCCACAATACAAGCAAAGCCCCGCCAAGCAAAGGAAGTGACCGACCGCTCCAGTCGCCAGTGGCCAGAGTGGTGACGTCGCGTCGAACAGGCCTTCCATTCTTCAACCGGCGTCACTCTGCGTCACAGCAACACGCTGTGGCCTCTTCACTGCTAGGAAAGATTCAACTGGAAAGTCTAATTGAGGTGCCAAAAACACCTCTTCAAGCACTCGTCGCGCCCTGTTGCGGCGGGCAAACCAGCAACGACTGCCCCACGCACCACATTGTCCGGTTGCTCAATGATGATCAAAGATTAAAGCTCTGAGACAGATTTCGCACACCGGTTCTGAACCAACATCACCCTACTTCGGGCACCCGATGAGCTGTGCGCGTTCACTGATCACATCAACGGTGTGCTTGTAGTTGGTGACCCCGATGATGACTGCCTCCTCTCCATCCCGACCGACACATTGCAGCTGACGAGGTCGGCGTCGGTCTGGTTCTGTGCAAAGCTTATCGACGACTCTGTTCCGCGGACACTGTCGAGGAACCTACGCTACGCTCGACAAGCTAGATGTCCCGAGCGATACAAAAATGTAGAAGACGTCGAGCCACTGCAGCACCACCCCTCACAATTGTTACCTGCTAGGGCTCTCAGGCAGTTCAACTCCAACGCGAACCGTGTAATGTTGCTTGTCCCACCAAAGCAATCTGCGGTATAACCACGCGCGTCGCAGAGTAGTGGGGGACATCTTGCTAGTGCTTCCATGACAGTGTCAGCGTGTCAGTATTTGATCAGGGCCCATGTCGGGTTAGGACCAAGATCCCCCCCAGCCACTCGGTCGTTCTGGCTAGTCACTGCCGTTTCACCATCGGACGCTTAATGGATCACAGGATCCATTGTTGGGCATTTGGCCACCCGTCCCATCTGATCGCGGACTGAATGGTGTTGGCTGGGGCTGGGGTGCCAGCCAGCCATAAAATGAACAGACAAAAGGTATTCATGGTCGTCTCAGGTTGTGAATTGACAGTTCCAGCATGGTCGCTTTGACCGTTCCTCTCATATGGCGGCGTTGTGAAACCGCCAGTGACCCATACTAGTACGGTCCATCTGGAGTCAACGTGTTTGCGGACGCGTCTTCATGTCTTGTCCCTCCGCACGATTCTGCACGCCGTCCTTGGAACAAACGCGACGCGACGCGATCGATGCCCCATCACGCCCGTCTCTCTTCCAGATAAGGACGTGGAATCCCTGTGACAGAGCCCGAAACGGATGGGCGTGTGCTGGATGCTTGGATCAGGGTGGCCCGACGCATTGCCCGAACGACCGTCGACGCTGGTGGGTGGGTATCGGGTTAACGGGCGTCGGTTTTGTCGGGAGCGATGGATGGTGTAATGACGAGACCGTTAACGTCATGTAGCACAAGTGGGTGGGACGCGTCGCGACACGTTGATGTCGACATTGTATCCGACTGGTTGCGCCTGCGGCGTCAGCTCATCTTGCGTGCAGAGTACCCCACGACTGGACTATACTTACCTCCATCAGAACTCCAGCCCACCCACCAGTTGGCGCAGTGCTCGTGTGCCTCCGCGTCTGCGCTCACTCATGTCTTGAAATCACACCTCGGCGCTCCTATCATGGCGGCGCCGAGTGTGCTCCCGCCGGAGGACGGACGTAGGGCACTGCGTCCGTACGCCACGCTGCCGCTGGTGGTGGTTGACGCGCACCATAGGTGTTGCCGTTGGCATACACAGTGTTGGGGGCATTTCCATTGAACTCATACCCCCTGGCGTGGTGGCCATCACCACCTCTGTAGCCGCCGCTGCCAGCGTACCCGCCTCGAGGTGTTGGATACCCGGCTCGCGGCGCATACCCTCCTCGGTAGTATCCCCTCTGGCCATTGCCCCTCCCACCACGGTAATACCCCCGTCCCGAGTTCCACTGGCAGTGTTCCGTGCCGCGGGCGGCAGGTCCTTGTCGGCGACGCCATCCTCAAGTCGGGCGAGCACGGCCTCGACACCTTCGTCCCAAGCCGTGATGGTCAGAGTGCGGTCGATACCCTCACCGCGCGATGGGGGCACAAACTGTGAGCGCATGCGGTCGAGCACGCCAAGCGCCGTCTGCGCGTCGGGGAGCGTCGGGTGACCAGTTCTTGTTGACAGACGTTGACGCAGTGTCGCAAGGGGAGGGGAGAGGACAAGACAGAAGACGCGGACGTTGGCGTCACGGGCGAGGGTGATAAAGTGGGCTCGTTGTCTGCTGTCAGCGCGGAGCACGTCGACAAGAAGCTCGCGCTACCGGACATGGCCTGCTCTGCCACCGGTGCCAACTCACTCTGGGTCAAAATCAACTCTGTCCACGACCACATTGTCTCCTCGGCGCAAGCCAGCCCTTGCTGCCGCCTCGGCCTCCGCGCGCCGCTTGCTGGGCGAGTCGTCCTGGCTCGCACGGCTCCATGTCCTCTTCCCAAGACGTGGAGGGAGAGCACATAATGCAGTTGCAAACGTCGTCTTGCCCGCGCCCGGTAGACCGACCAGAATGAGCAGAGTTTGCGGCTATAGAAGGGATGGTCAGTTTGTGGTCACAGTCCGTGGTCACACCAGGTCACGCACCTCGATGGTTAGCTGCCCCGTAGACGCGGCGTCCGGTGTTGTCGTCGCTGCCGCACGAGCTTCGAGTGCGCTTGACGGGCGCGATGGCGGTGTGGCCATGTGAGATATTGGACGGTTGCGCGGTTGTTGTTGGACAATGGAGAAATAATATATGGGATGCGGAAAAACAAGGGCCCACGGTTTCACGCGGTGACGGCGGCGACTCTTACGACGACCAACAAGGGCAGGATGATGTTGTCATTGCCCACATCGCACCAACCACCATGGATGAAGGGACAGAACTCGTAGAGGCCTATGGTGAGTCCCCTCACGCTGCCCGTAGCACGCCGCTCACTGCTGCAGACTATCTGTTCAAGCTCATCGTCATCGGTGCGTTATCCGCGGCCTTGGTCGCCGCCCGCGCGGTCCGCGCGGCGGCGTTCGTGGGCCGAGTCCGAGGAGCACTCGGCGCGCGTCCCACCACCCGGCGTTGTAACATCTGAGCTGACCCCCGCTCCCCAGGCGAGGCCGGGACAGGCAAGTCGTGTCTCCTCTACCAGTGCATCCACGAGACCTGTACGTTGTTGGGTTATGGCTAATGCCATCGCCGCTCCATCGCCCCGTGTTGCCCCACGGCGGAGCGCACCCACTGCCAGGTTGCGCTGCTGACACTCACCAGTCAAAGAGCACTCTGCACACACTATCGGCGTCGAGTTCTCGTCTCGTACACTGCGCATCGGCGACCGCAGCGTCAAGTTGCAGGTGAGTCCCGGGAGCGTCCGATGCGCATGGACCGTCCCGCACACGCCGCGGAGACGGAGCTGCGAAGCCAGCTCAACGCAGCTCCAGTGCCACCTACGTGTGTGAGCACCGTGTCAGTCGCCAGTACGCCAGTGCATACATCCTACATGGTCTTTGAACTGGCAGCGGGCACGACATCCACTTGGCGCCGGGGGTGGACCGCTCTGCGTCACCTCGGCGTGACACCGGCTTCCCCGTCGCTCTCCGCCTCCACGCCTCGCGTTCGTGCCCCACGTCCAACTGACAACTCGCAGCTCTGGGACACTGCCGGCCAAGAACGTTTCCGGTCCGTCACGAGGAGTTACTACCGCGGCGCCGCCGGTGCGATTCTCGTATACGACATCACCAGGCGGTCAACCTTTGACAACTTGGACCGGTGGCTTGCGGATGCACGCGCCCTGGCGTCGCCGCATCTCGTCCTGGTCCTCGTTGGTAACAAAAAGGACAAGGATGAGGACAGGGAGGTGGAGTATGCCGAGGGAGAGCGTTTTGCGCAGGAGAATGGTGAGTCCCAAGAATGTGCGGTTGCTTCAATCGGCGAAACGGGGGCTCGACCCCACGGTGCTACTGCTGAGCTGGCTCTCTTGCCCTCGCTTCTGCCAAGCCTGTCCGCACGCACCGGAGTTCTCTTCTCCCTCCACGTCCAACCACCCGCTAATCCTACCCAGGCCTCCTTTTTGTCGAGACCTCGTCCTTGACGGGCGAGAACGCCTCCACTCCTTTCCTCCTGGCCGCACGATCAATCCTCGACGCGATCGATGCCGGTACGCTGGACCCGGACGGGCCCGGTACAGGAGTGAGCTACGGGGAGCGTCAGCTACGTGCCGTTGGAAGTAGCAGCCAGTTGCGCGCGCCTTGGTCTCGCCGCAGGAGGCGGGATAGCGTGTCCCTCCGCGAGCTCGTAGGCAGCAATCGGAATTGTTCGTGCTAGAAGGGGATATCTACGACTACAACCTATCGCACAGTTGGCGTTTGTGGGCCCGCTAGGCCCGCCCATTTTGTCTTACTCCAGTGTATTTAATCATGTATGCGCTATATTACGCTTGACGATGGGCATGTGTGGTAGACTGGCTGGCGAGCTGGAGGCTCAAAGGTGGAGGGTGGAGGCGGGGGACAGGTGACCGCTTTGCGGGATTCCGTGTTGCCTGGCGATAAAGCACGACAATGGTGCGATCACATGTCAAACTGGTGCCAACCACGCTGCTGATACCAAGTATGACAGCTAATCGTGTACCCAAAGGGAACACCGTCACGGCTAGGTTCCACAACAAGAGGGCGAAAGCGGTGGCGGCGGTCGACAGACAGCAGCTCCACAACTGGCGCATCTCTGTGGCCGGTCACACGCCAAGATCGTCTCCACCAAAAATCGCCTACGGGAGGGCATGCTTGCAAACCCAATGCAACACTCCATTCACACTTACATCTCTGTGCACATGTAAAATGGATGCAAAAGAGAACACCTGATGGTGTACTGCCTTCTACCCGAATTGAACGGGTGACCCTTTCATCGTAGTATGCAACGAGTGCCAAGTACTAGTGAAAAATTCTAACCACTGAACTAAGAAGGCCAATGTTGTTTTGACGCTGATGGTATAGGGTTGCACAGACGTCTCCCCTTTGGACCGAGCACTGGTCCGTGGCGCTGCAGCATGCGAATACTCGTGGTGTAGCAGTCCGACGAGTAGACAATATGGGTGGCAAACCGAATCCACCAGTGGTGGACCGACGGTGGACAAACAATGGACAGCGGACGGTCTGACCCAGATAACCGAGCCCCCTCTCAAGTTCACCATGCTTCCCATCAGGCTTCGCAGTGCATGCCATGCTTCTTCCCCTTCACGGCCCAAATGTTGCCACCCCCAGTCGCCGTCTCTATCCCACCAAACATCTTGCACATCTATCGACCTTGATTCCCCCTTTCACGACACTTACAACATGTCGTACTCAGCCGGCGAGATCCCGTGGAAAACGTACACCTCCCACGTGGGTCTTTGGGTCCCGTGCGACGGTGACGTGGCCGGTATGAACCGTGGTGGTAAGTCTCATGGCAATGCCCGGTGCGAAATCCGAGCGAGGGTGGTGTCCTTTGCTGGCATTCCCAGTCTGTGACGCGGACCCCAAAAAGGGGTCAGTGATCAGTGATGGGGTGGCAAGAAGAGTGGTAGTCCGGGGTCCATGTCTCCCTGCATACTGATCCCACTCCAGAACCCTGCCAGTACATATACTTTTACAGTCGGAGCGAGCACGTCTGTGCTTACTGTCTACAGCGCAACGGGATGGTGGAGCTTGGTGGTGCTTGATGGTGACCCATGAACGATGAGCCCCGGCTACCAAGTGACAACCTGGTGCAAGAGAACTGGTGCACGAGAACTGGTGTACGAGAAACCACTGGTCGGGTTTACCCAGCACCCATGAAACGCTCAACGACTGAAGATTCAGAGTGATGAACATGTAACGGGCCATAAGGAGAGGTACCAAAGGGACCTTGAGCTGTGACAAGTGATGCTTCTCATACGCCGTGATGGGACATGAGACTGGGGTGATGCAAGAAGCGAAGCTGTGCTTCGAAGCTGATGAGATGCTTTATAACCACCCCAGACCTTCGGAAGAGACTGTACACTGCTTGTCCCTGCGGTCCACATTTGCTACACCAAGAGTCTCTCGCCACACTCACTCACACACAAAACCACCCATCACCACATACAGTAGCCATCACGCGACAATGGGCAGAGTCGATATTTGTTCGGGCCAAGTAATGACCGGCAACAATGCAGGCTGTAAGTGATGGCAACTGGACTAGTTCTAATATACAGTCCCATCTGCTTTGTATGGCACTATGGAAACAACCGTTGGGAGTGCGCATACTGCACACGACCTATGCGCAAGCCGTTGCTCTCGAGGCTGCGAGGTTAGCCCCCCCGACTGCACATTTAAAAGCTGGAAGGCCAGCATTACAGCACTACATACACTACATAGACCTACCCTTATGCACACGAGTATCATACGTCACATACCGGTGTCCGCGGTCAAGGTGTTCCCACACATCACTCGACTCACGAACGAGTGGTCCCCATCAATGCCGTGTCGAATGCTTCCCCTTCGGAGTTTCGTCTCCGATAAAACGGATGGGTTCTGACAGGGGTTCGCGGCAGGAGCAGTGATGCTCATTCATATCAGCAACGCATGCTTGCACATGCAGTGCTTCTTTCCTTGCACACACTCTGCACCATGGAGCCTCGACCCGCATGCTCTGGCGATTACAGCGGAAACAATTATGGTGGTGTGTCGCGCTACGGAGCCGGAACGCTGACCAGCAGGCATATGTCAGTACATGATAGGCCACACCAAGCACAAGGAGGTGTGTATCTGGTGTCTGCGAGACAAAACGGGAAGTTTCTAGGAGAGCTTCTAGGAGAGCTTCTAGGAGAGCTTACATGTACGGGGTGATGGAGAGCGCTGCAGAAGCCCTCGAGCGGATAATTTCTTTTGTTTTACCGATTCCGCAGCCACTGATGGCCGTCAACTTCTCACCCGCCAAGCATCGTTGGTAATATTTTAGAGATGGTTTGGGTAGATGCCAAATTGTCAGAGATTTTGGTGGGTTTGGAGAATGTTATATGCACATATTGATTCATGGACATCAGTGGAAGTGTATGGTGACCGACGCCGGGTCGTGACAGCATCCAGTTGAATGAGTTTTCGCTTCCAGTGCGCGCTGCATACTTGATGCGTCTACGGTGAGTCCCGGCGACCACGGCCTTGTAGCTGTCCGGGGATGTCTTGTCCACAGAGGCCACACCGACCAACGGGGAAACCGGCCGGGAAACTTGTAATGGCGGCGTGCTTTGCCACGTAAATACGGCTCCATTTTTCCGCCATGGCATGTGTCTGCCACCGGTGAAAAAGGCGTTGTCTGTAAGTCTCTCGGCGAGGAGCTTGGTGAGGTTGAGGAACACTAGGGTGGCTTCCTACGACTGCCCGAGAAGGCTGAGAAAGGATGAGGAAAGGAATGTGGTCTAGGTCGAGATTCCAGAAGTCAAGCATAGGGCCGTTTATGACCATGGGCCGACTCTTGTTGGTGGCCGAGTGCTGCCATGAGTGTGATGCTGGGAGGCATTGTCAAATGTCGGGCCTGGGCCGGATCTGTCACCTCTATAGCCACAGTTTGGGATGCGACCGTACGCCTACTGAGGGGTAATGTCTTGGGGACGTCTAGCCACAGTGCGTAGGGTACACTGTGCCAACTGCGTCGGATCATGATATGTTCCACCGCCGTGTCAATGGCCGAAGGATGGAAGCTGGGCGACGATTTTGACACCTTGCACCAAATCTCGTACGGGCACCGGACGAGCTTCTCAACTTGATGGTTCAGTTGAGCAGACGACACGTTGGTGGGCAGTGTCGTGATTGGGTTAGGGGCAGGGAAGGTGCTCTTGTCTGGGACATGATGGAAGCCACCCCTGGCCGAGTTGAGCCAAAAGGGCCAGCCCACTGACACTAGACAACGTTCCAGAGCTTGCAGGTCGAGGCGAGGGCGATAGTTGTGTGATGAGATCGGTTGTGTGGGCATGAGCTCCAGAATTGATCGGCCGCCCTCTGGCGCCTACCTGGGTGTCGCCTCTCATACGCTGCAAGGACGCGCCGGTAAACCTTGACTGAGACCTTGGACTGTCTCATGTAGAGCTTGAGCTCTTTGGAGCCCATTGTCTGCTCGTCCTTGACTGCAGACTGCGCCGGGTCATCTGTCGTGTACACGGGCAGAAAGCTGTCCGGAAGCTGCTCGGTGTGGGGGCCCCGCGCGAGCTTGACAAGGTCGGCGGTGTGAGGCAGAAGCTGCTGTGACCAAGAGCACATGGTCCGGCTACGACACCCACTGGAGAAAGATGAGATGGGTCCACACTCTCTTCCACAAACGCCGTGCGCGACTCGTTGACGAAGTGAACGAGGTCGGGGAGGTTCCCTGGTCGTGGCTCGGGCTCGAACCAAGTGTTGGTCCTCCCAGTCATCCTTCATTTCCTGAGCGGTTGACCTTGTCAACGGTCCGCTGTCGTCTGGGAGGGGCTCTATCTTGGCCATTGGCATGTTGTTACGTGTTGTGGATGGATGTGGGTGTGGAAAGGAAGGCTGAGGGACTGATCTGCAGACAGAAGGTTAGTCAACGATTCGCGGAAGCAAATTCCCGCCACCCAGCTGCACATCGTGGCATCCTTCCACACCTTGTTTTCCATGTCTGTCAAGTTGGGGGCTCATACCACACCCAAGAAACGTAGAACCTACCTTCCCACAAGCAAAAGTCGACATGAGCGGTACAGTAAAAGGGAGACCCCCAGGCCCATCCACGTTTTTCGTCTCTAAATCCAACTCATGGCCCAATGTGGCGCAGTTCGCCAACACCTTCCACCTCCAACTTCAATCGTCCGCCTTTCATCCAATTCTTCTTCTACATGCTATCTGATCACATTGCCACGTAGCTACGATGCTGGAGAACATCGCGGCTGCTTGGTCCAGGGGCACGATGGGTTCTTCGGGCTTCACCAAAGCTCAGAGCGACAAGCTCTTGATTGAACTCGACCCGGGTTCGAGTCCCGGAGCGGCCCATTATACACGAATCTTTTGCTGTTCGTGCATCTTCTTTTGCCGGGAGTGCTGGTGGGATGTTTCCTGAGGTCAGGGGGTTGTTTGGGGACTGGGGGTGTGTTGGACGGTGGATGCAAGACGTCTCGGCGGTCCTCGGAAGGTGGGACGTCGGTGGACGTGCAAACTACGGTGAGTTGTTTACTAGCAAAACGGTTTATGCATCCTTAGTGCTGGCTCACAGGTTGTCCTGATGCGCTAGCATACTGTTTTCGCTGCCTGAGGCTTCAGACCTACTGCTGGAGGCTGCGGTCGGTCAACACCACAGTCACCGGTATTAAATCAAGCTGTTGCAGTTGTATGGATCAACGAAGGTGATAGGCCGGACCGCGCAGTGACTCAACGCCACTCCAATTACCCACAGCCAAACGCGGAAGATAGCTTGATCCTAGGAGCGACCAGAGAACTCGGTGCGAGCCTGGGTCAGTGATCAAGTGATCAAGTGACGAGCTCGCGACAGCAGCGTACCTACAGATAAAAGTCCCTAGTCGCGCTCTTTCGTCGACTTCTCCCCCCATCGTCGCCATGTACGGTTCTCGTCCAGGACACCTCCCGTACCCGTACCAGATCTGTCGCGCTCAGTGCAACTTTGGACGTGAGTCGTTGCAGTGAAGACATGCTCACCCCTATACAGACCTGTGTCGCCCTTCACTTTCTGCACCCGGCATGTGGCGTTGCGCGTACTGTGGCAAGGCGCTTCCTCCGCCGCCTCCCTTTGCTGCCTGAATGGCGCTTCCATATGTATGCAAGTAGTTGCAGACTGGCTTGACTCGTCTGCTCGCGTATGCTTCTGCGACGTTTACACATTGACACACCACCTCCGTTGACTGCTAGCTGCCTCGTGGCAGTCTGCTTCTTCTCGCAGTGTATCACCACACACCGCCCCTTCATTCGCACCTCGCCGCATGCAAGCCGGGCGGTCTCTGGAAACAACTAGGACGTTATTCCCCACCGTTACCCACAAAGCATGCCGTACTACATATGATCAGACTTGCTTCGGAGACGCAAAGTTCAGAAACGGGGGCAGTGAGTGACACTGGGTTGCCACTGATGACTGAGGCTGACGGCCCCAGGCTACTGCAGACGACGCCGTTTGTGCCGCAACTGCTTCAGACAGTTACTCGCGGTCTCATACTGGTGGTGGAAGAGCGACGCGAGAAAGCAGCACACTGCCGAGACCTAGCCCCAGATGAGGATGTGGGGCCTCGAACGGGTGGGCTCCGGTCCTGGCTGGACGCGGACGTGTCTAAGAGGCAGGTGATGTGTGATGCACGATGAAACATCGCCACGCTGATTGGGAGCTCGTCTTCACTTCACCGTCTGCTAACACAACTTGCACCTTCGATTCACACTTTGCAATATGCAGTTGCGGCAATGGTACGTCCACGGGGGCCACGGCTTCCTCTCCCAGCTTGGATATGGTTCGCCCAAGGCTCATGGAGATCGGGACGACAATGTGTGCCAAGACTGCCTACCGTGCACGGGAGTTTAAGGGGTGTCAGTATGCCGTTCATGACCCCATGCGCTCCAGACTCATCACCTGGCCAGTCTCTTGCAACCCCCCCTTGCGTCAGCACGGAACGTCAGGCCATTGTCATGCCGAGGCAGGTGACTTGCTAGTTGACTACCTTTTGCAAGCGAGAGCAACGTCCACTCACAATGAGGAGCGGATGGTACCCGCAGAATGGCACGGAACGTCATCGATGAAGTCATTTGTGGCCTAACGATGGCTACAAACAAGCTCAACGCACCAAAGCGGCCAGCGGGGAGTGCATCTCAACCCCGTTGTTTCCCACAGACGCATGTACTCTCCTCGATGCTGGCTGGCTCACGCGCTCGCCTATAACAGTGCAGCTGGTATATAGGCCCCCATCCCACGACCCCCCCCCGCGGAACATCTCCCTCTGCCCACCCATTCTTACATCCATCAGACCACCCACCACCCACACCATCATGCGCCAAGCGATCCTCCGTCCCCTTCGCACTATCGGTGCTCGCTCCATGGGAGTGCCCACACGCTTGTTTGCCAGCACTACCGTAGCCAGCAAGGACAGGAAGACTGCCGCTGCCAAGGACAAGTCGACCAAGGGCTACGACTTTGACAAGATGGCGACACAGGGACCCGAAGACACTGCTCTTCCCACAGAGTCGACGGGCGGCGGCATGTACTCTGCAAGGTCCGAGGCCAACGCCATGGGCAGCTACGAAAGTCGTGACGAGCAAGAAGACATTGACCTCGACGAAAAGCTCTCCCAGCAGGCCAAGGTCAAGGCTGATGCCCGGCACAAGGCTGAAAAGTCAAAGTCCAAGCCGAAGAAGTAGTCGGTAGTATGTGAGTTGCAGTGTTGTTGTGTAGCTAGGGAGGGGTGGAAGCGGGGCTGACGACGTGAAGACTGTTTCGTTTTCATATGCCAAGCAGATGCATCAATTGATCCGCCTGCGACGTGTATGGCCGTCGGAGCTCGCTATTCTGGCACTGCGGTTGTCCTCGCCCGTGGAGGTGCCTGTGTGCCATCGTTTTGAGGCGGGAATGGATGATCCACAGCAGCGGTGGCCCGTCGGCGTTGAGTCATTGTCGCTGGATGTTCCAGACACTGATGGTTCTCCCTGACTGAGCGCGCTGGAACAGTAATGTCCAACACACACAGCTCTGCATATGTGACTGCTGGGAACGACGGTCGTGTATTGACGACAGCGTCATCGTCTCGAGAGGTAGAGGGAATTGGCTGACGCCCGCATGTCCTCGTCCTTCCACCACATGCGAATGTCACTGCAAGTAGTCACCCAATACCCACCCGCACACCCGTTTGACTAGCTGTTCCGAGTATCTCGATACGCCCCGCGAGAGGATGGAAGGCGGCGCGCACGGTACATAGTCCACTTCCAGCTCTTCGGATCAGGTAAAAGTACGCGTTGCTTCTGTGACACACGTTGGCAATCCCGCTATCGTCGACGCACGCAAACCTCTGATGCAACACACGCGGAATGGGCGTGTACCTCCCCCGGGGCTGGAACAAGACACTGTGCCCATCCCATACACATGTGCCAAATTGTGCTCGTGCTCGTCCTCTCCATGTACCCATGTGCCAATTGGTTGCTCTCAGAGGGGCACTGCAATGCCGAACCGTCCTCCTTGGATCCTTGGCGTCTCCTCACACAAACAGTCGCCCGTGCTGCTTCCAGTCTTTCCATTTCTGCCACGGTGAGGATTCGGCAGAACCTGCCCGTCTGGTTCCACCACATGCATATAGGTGGGCGCCCACCACGGTAAGCACGACCCCGAGCTTGGCGTTGTCGGTACCAGGATCGCCATCCGGCATCATCAACCGCTCAGCAGGCGAGTCCATGGGGACGTCATGAAACAAATGCTCCCCAGGTCCCATTGTGGACATCGCCACCGGGGACCATCGTTCGGAACAACCATGGTCCCCATCTGTACTCGCGACTGTCGCCCTGGTTCTCGCGTTCTCGGCGTCCGGCACTGCGATACACACCGCTACAGACTGCTGTGTACGCCAAGTTGCAGATTTTGGTTTGACTTTTATGTTTGTACCGTGTGCTGCAGTGGGTACCAAAGCTGACCAGTATATGAACCCCTCTTGTGCTGGTCTGATACTGGACCATCCCCCCTCCGCATCACTACCTGCACAGCTTGACGCAAACCACATCACTGCTCTCCGGCCTGGCGTTTCACACACCCCACCACACGGCCCAAACCGCTTGTGCGATCTCTCAAGAATGACGCTCCACCGTTCATTGACTTCGTCAATCAATTCCACAAACCCGTCTCCTACACCAATGTCGTCCATCACGCCGCCCAAAGATGGGTTCAATTGCCTAGGCGATCGCAACGGCTACAACCGCGGTCGTAAGTCCAGTCTCGCTCGTTTCCGCAGCACCGCACCTCACGCTGACGAGCCGCCGCCAAGGCTGCTGCCAGTCGGCGTACGGCAAGCTACGCGCAGGCACAATGTTCCAGTGCATCTACTGCTTGACGTACGCGATCCAACCGTCTCCGCCGCCGTCGTGGCGTAAGCGCCGTTAAAAGTTGCGCGCGGGCGCGTATCAGATTGCCGGGTGAAACCAATCCGCCCAGGCCTCGCGACGCGCTGGGCGTGGTGCCAGGGGAAGGGCGGTTCAACGTTGTATGTGGAAGACTGAGGGAGGAGAGGAAAGGCGGACGAGCAGGCAGACAGTCGTCGGTACATCAAGATGCCTGTGGTATTACCCACATAAAGACGTCGGATATGTATGGTATGAGGGGATGATGGATACAGTGACAGCGAGGTGAGAGCATCGGCCAGTGTGCTCATGAGGCACCAACGGACCACGGTGGCTTGGTTCGCAGTCTTCAACTCTTTCGTCGTCAGGAGCTTGCTGCTAGTTGTGGACCATACCGGCGCAACGGCCAGCCGCCGTAATAGACGCCAAGGCACCCAGGTTGTGCGGTAATCTTCTCGTGCTGAATGTCTATTGCGCGGCTTTCGAGAAACTGGTCAAGCGCCTTGTTGCGCCACACGCTGTGGACGTTGGTACATTGTTGCCGCACAAAAGGTTGGCCCTTGGCGGACCCCGGGTCGTCGTCCTGATCCATCCAGTCGCAGTCACTCTTCGGATGAAAGTCCACGCCGTCACCAGCCAGCCGGATCAGCATCATGGGGTGTGTGCTGGCCTCGGCAGCCTCACGGGCATTGGTGGCGAACCCGTGACGGGAAGTGAGGACTCCAACCAGCGGGGTCAGAGTCGTGGGCAAAGGCTTGCTTCTCTTGACCTTGGGGTACATTACTGGACGGTCAGCTGAGCAAGCCATAGCGCTCGTCACTTACGTGCGGTATCGTCCAGTGCCTCTACCAACTCTTGCACACCCCGGTCGGTAACAGCGGCATCCTCAACGTTGCATTGTACAACGATACGGGTGTCGCGGATTTTGAGAGGGTCTGGTGTTCCAAACTTCTTCTTTAGGTCGGGGTTGTAATAGACCCCTGGCGGGTCCACTCTGTGGTCGAATCGATACCAAATGGGCAGCTTGGGGAGGTGAAGTATGGCTGCTTGGGACTTCGTCGGCCACTCACGCGCCACCGTTTTACTCGGGTCCTCAGGGGTCCGTTCAAATCCGTCGACAACCCGCATAATGTGTTCTGTTTGCGTCTTTATTTTGGACATGTGAGGCCTTAGTGTTTGCGCATGGGGAGCAAGGTTGGCCGTCTCGTCGGCGACTAGAATATTGAATGCCTTCTTCAGAGCTGCACATTGGGTTTTCAGTTCGTCCAGGTCAGCGACCAAGCCGCGGTTGAACCTCTCCTGGGCACGCCTGCTGTGTTGGAGATTGTGCTGGTGCACAGCCTTTAGCTCAGTCATCGGCAGAGGAAGCCACCATTGGCCGGCAAGTCGTCCTTGGCCCTGGTTGGAGAGAGACATGCACAAGTCATGGTAGAGGAAGCGCATAGAGTAGCTCGTAAATGCATCTCTAATGGCTGTCGTCGGCCCTGGAGGCATGTGATGCGCGGCGTTGGTGGTGCAGTTGCGAGAGACAACGAGAGAGAGAGAGAGAGAGAGAGAGAGAGATTCAACACACGAGGTACCGTATGTATTATATGAGTGGTTCGCCCTGCTGGCATGAGGTATTATAATTCCGTTCCACCCGCGTTAAGTTCGGCAAGCCGATTTAATGTACCCTTCCGGCCAAATCCCTTCTGTTCCTCACCTGATTTATCTCCTTCCTCAGCAGAACTGATGCAAGCATGCATGTGCATGCATCTGCTTCAATTCGAACCCCCGAACCAATATGCCACTGCCTTCATGCATCTACCTGCTGAAGCGAATTGAGAAGGATGATGTATGCATGGAGAACTGCAACAAAGTATGTTTTGAAATGGTAGTTGTAATCGATTAGAAACAAGTCACTTTCCATTAGAAAATACTTTCTGTTATTCCTCCATGCATACACTGTTCTATTCATTTCGCTTTAGCATGCAGGGGCAGAACATACATGTGCATCTACTGTCAAGAGTGAGCTATGTCGAACAAATGCATGCATGAGTTCTGAGGAGGAAGGAGATAAATGAGGTGGGGAACAGAAGATTGTATGTGGAGGAACGCAAGATTAGTTGGCGGAATGAAACATTAAATCGGTTTGCCGAATTAAAAGCGGGGGGAACGGAACTTTAAATGGTTTCGCGCCCTGCTGACATTCCATTACGTAATATTTTCTACCATGGCGGTGGCGGGCCGTAGCGAGCCATTCTCCGGTCACCATAATAAATACCCGCACGGGAAGCGGCCGGCGCGTCCATGGTCTCGAGCCGGATGCTCATGTCGTGTGCGGCCAGGATGCGGTTGAACGGCGCGTTCCACCACATTGACACAACGTCCGTGCAGCCGGGGGCCAGGTGTTCTTGGTTTGGGTCTGGCCGTCTGCTATCCAGGTGCACCAACTCGTCATCCACGCGTCCGCCGTCGAGATGGACAAGCATGAGCGGCTGCTGGCTCGCGCTCGCATGCTTCAGCGAACCGGGGGTAAAGCCTGATTGCGAGACAAAGACACCAACAACTCCCTTGGGTACGTTGTCGCGTAAGGGCTGCAACGTCTCCCCTTCCAATGGGATTTCATATCGCGGTTCTGAGGACGAGTCAGCCTTCCTGCCCAGTTACTATCCACCTCCCATTACCCACTGCTAAGAGCGTCCAGCACACCTTCAAGCTCGCGGATGTGTTTAGGGCCAGTGGCTTTGGCCTCGGCTTTGCACTGCCCCACAACACGAACAGGGCTGATCTCGAACGGATTTGGCAACAAGTGTCCGTCCTTTTCGATCAGTCCCGGTGGTTCGATAAACGTCGGAGGCGGGGGGTCATCCGAGGTCGTGACCGACGGAGTGGCCATGTATGGATGGTTTAGAGCAAAGTCCATATACTCGTCATCCGCTTCTTCAGCAATGAGGGCGACTTTGGCCACCAGATGCTCAAACTTGGGCTCTGGAGCCGCCGTAGCAACGATTTTGACAAACTCGGCTTTCAAGAGTGCGTCGGCGTGAAGCTGAGCTAGGCGGCGAGCATGGTGTGTCGGATAGCCGTAGCCTCGTGGCACGGGGGCCCTCTGCTGGGTCGGGAGATGGACAGAGTAGTCTTGAAGTGGACGACTGACGAGGCGCAGAGGGAGCCACCAGTCTCCGCGAAGGTCGACACCGCCGTCGCTTTTGCCGCCGACCACGCGGAGGGACATGCGGAGGTCGGTGTTGAGGAAACGAGCGGAGAATGCCTCAAAGGCATCCCCAACTGCACGTGTTGATGGGCGTGTCATGAGGACGGCATGGAGAGCACGGTTGGGAGAATGAAAGATTGGGATGTGGGCAACGCGGGGGGGGGGCAAGAAGGCAGAGACCACGAGACGGGCGGGGAGATGCGTGTGGTTTGTTGACATCGACGTCATAAGTACATTAGTCCTCCCCCCTTTACCATTAGTAACAAGTTGTTAATTAAATTTCAAATGGGTGTTTCATGGCACTTGTATCGTCCTCCCCCTTTAACCCCCCGGTTCTATTTGGGCTATAGCGGAATCAAAAAAAGTCTTTTTTTCTTCCTATGACGTCCACAAAGCACAAGCACCTCTGGGTAGGAATCAACTCGAGACCGTTGTCGTTTCTACTTTGCATCGTCCATCGCACACCCACCAGCATGTCTTTTGTCATTCCGGCACACATGCCCCCACCGTCCGCCTCGGGGTCTGACTCGTCAGACTCCGAGTCCGACGCCGGCGCATCCGACTGGGCCTCGTCCCTCGGCGACGCCCGCCGTTCCACTTCCCTCTTTGACAGCTCCGTCCACCCTTCGCCAGAGCTTGCCCTTGCGGCCGACAAGGCTGCCCACGGCTTTGACCTCAAGGCCACTTCGGAGCGTCTCGGATTGGATATCTACGGTCGTATGCGTCTCATCAACTTGATCCGCAAGGAGAAGCTGTCGGCCAAGGATGTCGAGGGTGTGAACAAGGATGACGAGAGGCTCAAGGACGACGCGCTGCTTGTCCCCGTCCTCGCCGACGACCCTTTGCTTCGTGAGTTTGTCAGGAATTGTCTTCAATAGGGCCTGGTCACTGACGGTCCACCCAGAGCTCGACTTTGACGACGACTGGTCGGACGACGAGGACGAAGCTGGACCTTCGGACAAGGCCGTCGCCCAGACCCCCGCTGCGGCTGCTGCGGCCTCGTCCAGCGAGAGCGCCGAGCTCGAGAAGCTGCGCGCCGAGGTCCAGGCCCTCCGTGCCGTTGTCGAGCGCAACTTTGGCGGCGATGACGAGGACAACGGCAAGGGCAAGGAGCGTGACGACGACACCCACTACTTTGAGTCGTACGCCGAGAACGACATCCACGAGATCATGCTCAAGGACACTACGCGTACCGTCTCGTACGCGCGTTTCATCATGAGCAACCCCACTGTCTTCCGCGACTCGATTGTGATGGACGTCGGTGCCGGTACCGGTATCCTCTCGATGCTCGCCGCCCGTGCCGGTGCCAAGAAGGTGTACGCTATCGAGGCTTCGGGCCTTGCTAGCAAGACTCGTGACAACATCCGTGCCAACGGCCTCGAGGATGTCATCACTGTGATCCAGGGCAAGGTTGAGGACATTGTCCTTCCCGCCGACCTCAAGGTCGACGTCATCATCTCAGAGTGGATGGGATACATGCTCCTCTACGAGTCCATGCTGGACTCGGTTCTCTACGCGCGCGACAAGTACCTCGCTCCCGGCGGCCTGATGGCTCCCTCGCAGACCCGTCTTGTCATCTCAGCAATCACGGCTGATGGCCTTTACCGTGACCACGTCGACTTTTGGAAGGACGTGTACGGCTTTGACATGTTCGGCGCCATGACCTCGCCCTACTTTGGTGACGGTCTCGTCGAGATTGTCGACAAGGAGGAGGTTGTTACGAGCGAGTACATTGTCCGCGACATCAACTCGCACGACGCCACCCCTGCCTCGCTCGACTTCCACTCCGAGTTCAGCATTGCCTGCACCACCACCGAGCCCACCACCGTCCGTGCCTTCCTCACCCACTTTGACACCTTCTTCTCGCCTCTTGGCGGTGCCAAGGCATCGCACGTCTCTGCTTCGCAGGACGTCCACATCCACGAGTTTGCCCACGACCTCTTCAAGACCGCCGTTGCCCCGCTCAACGATGCCGAGGCCAATGCCGTGTCGTTTACTACGGGTCCCCGCGGCCAGCCCACCCACTGGAAGCAGGTCGCCTTCCTGTTGCGCAAGCCCCTCGAGCTGAAGCCCGGCCAGAGCATCCAGGGCCGCTTCTTCTGCCGCAAGGATGTCGACAACTCGCGTGAACTCGATGCCGAGATTCACTTTGCCGTCGTCGAGGCTGGTGCCAAGCCCGCCGAGTTTACCGTCCAGGCCTACAAGGTCCGCTAGTTCATTATCCTTACCCACACGTCATGTATAGAGAGCATCCACTGTGCAACCCAGTGTCGTGAGCCAGTCCTGAAAGGGGCCACTGACCGTCTAGACAGTAAGCCGACTGACCGCAAAGTGGGCGGTTGATTCTCACACTGGCGGTGTTTCACCCGGTCGTCTCGTGGATATGCGTTTCACTAACGACTGTGAAATAAACTGCGGCCATACAACGGCTTTGGACAATATAACACAGTACATGTGTGGATCCTGGCCACAACAGTGGGCTAGAGCTTCTCCTTCTCGTCCACAGTGTCCACTTGCGTGGCCATCGAGTCCTTGGTCATGACACGCGCCATCTCAGGCCTGTTGGCTGCCATGCGTTAGCCGACACTGCGCTCTCCAGCTAAGGACCCAAACTCACCCATGGTCGTGTCATAGAGCGTCTTACGAAACTTCTTGTCCTTGTAGCCCGACTTGGACATGATGCGACAGGCGAGTTTAAAGTGCGCCTCTGAGAGCGGGAAGGGGATACCGCCATGCGCAGCCTGGAGTTGTAGAAGCTCCTCGACATCTGCTTGGTTTGCCGGCCACCCCCAGCATGCCTCCACAAAGAGCTTTGAAGGGATGGGGAGATTGTCACTGCCTGTACAGGTTAGGGCGCCCAAGGTGCGCTTAACTCACTCGGCACAAGGGTCGACCTGTACACTTTCAGCCACAGGTCTAAAGCGCGGCGGTACTTGTTGACGCCGTTCGACGTATGCGTCAGAAAGTACAAGACGTCCTTGAGCTGCGTGAAGTTGGCTGGAGTTGGGACTCCACCGGTGTCAAACTGCATCTTGTGCAGCCGCGGAAACTTCTGAGCCTCCTCACAGGTGAGGAGCTTGGGGTGGATGGGGATGGGTGTGGGCATGGTGGCGAGGGTGCTGTGGCAATACGGAGACGCTGCCAGAGGGCTTGATATAAGGACTACGAAGAGGCTCAGTGGCGATGAAAGAGGAGGTCAGTGGCGATGATCAGACAAATGGCCTTCTGACAAGTACCCGACCGAGCCGAACGCCATTGCAGGATCATACAGGCACCCATCACTGCATTGCCGTCCACAGCCTCACCACGAAACCCTGCATGCATGGCGCGTCCGGGCGAGCACTGCACACTGCTCCTGCTATGCCCATGTCTGCCCATGTTCTTGTGACCACACGACAGGGAACAGTGGGTGGTCCATCTCGGCTCCTGCCGCGAGCTCGTCGACCAGACCGGGGAAATCAGGACTCGTCTTCCATGGCCGCGGGGCGTGGCGCATATCATCGCCCATGAACCGCACTGAGAATGCCCGTCGTCTTGTTTTCGCTCCATTGGCGGCATGGAGCGTCAACATGTGGAAACAGACAAAGTCTCCAGGCTCCATTGCCCACCGGCGGATAGGGAATGCGTCCCTGTTCGAGTCGATGTCAGGCAAGTCGGCCAGACTGCCTTCCGGGAACCACTTGGCCTGCTTGTCCATAAAGGACCGGGGCATAAACCACGGTCCCAGGTGGGAGCCAGCGACAAACTCCAACGTCTGTTCCAGCGGCACGGGGTCGATGGGGATCCAGAAGCTGACATTCTGCTTCCCCTCAATGTTATAGTACGGAAGGTCTTGATGAAACAGCGTGCGCTGAACGGTTCCAGGCTCCTTGATAAGGAGGTGGTCGTGGTACAGGCGGACCTGATTGCTGCCCATCAAAGCAGCCGCTGCGGAGGGTGCCGGCGATTGGGCAATAAAACCACGATACGCAGCGTTGTCTTGCCAGTTGCAAAAGTCTTCAAAGAACCAGCCAGGGTCTTCTGGACGACTGGCCACCTTGGATCGGGGGCTGGGGGAGGCGAGGTTGTCGTCGATACCACGTTTGAGTGTATCGAGTTCAGTGGACGAGAAGAGGCCCCTGATGCAGACGGCTCCGTCCTTTCTAAACGCTGCTATGAGCTCGGGTGTGACGGCTGCAGCAACACGGTCGGCGATGGACGACGCCAGGCTGCTGTCGGTTGCAGGGGATGAGACGAGGTTGCGCGTCCCCACGAGGCTCCGCCGGTATGACCTGGCGACAACAGCTGCTGGTCTCAGCATGAGACGCATGAGCATGGAGGGCTTGCAGGATAGAGTGTGTGAGAGTCAGAGAAAGGACAGATGCATGGGCATGCGATACAAGAGCAACATGTGCTCTCGCTTGTCGCTCGCAATCGGATGTACCGGATATACACTGCACGGATATAGCCTGCCCACCACCGGCCACATCCCCCCCCTTCCGCTCGGAGCTTTGTGTTTGCCGATCACCCCAGCGAGGTTTGCACTCTTCGTTCCAACTTCCACATATGAAAGTGAGTTGTGCATGCAAGAGTCCCCATTGTCATGCAAAGCTCACCACTCTTAGGGCACTCCACCGCCACGACGCGTCGCTGAGATCCTCCTAGAGCCCCTCGGCCTGCGAATCGTATCGTGCACCGAGCTCCAGACACTGTGGGCCGGTTACGGACACATATGCGCGGTCACAGCAAGCGATAAGAATGGCGTGCCGCAGCACCTCGTCCTCAAGCTCATATCTCCTCCGCCAGTCACCAGGCGGCAGAAACAGGACGAAGGCCACCTCCGCAAAATGATCAGCTATGAGGTCGAGCAGTACTTCTACCAAAACATCGCTCCCCGTCTGCCAAAAGATGTCGCCGTCGCGCGCTGTCTTGCCTCGACCAGTGCTCTGCCAGATGGCACACCAACAACAGCCACCATCTTGACCGACTTGCGACCCCAGTTTCCCGTTGCAGGTGAGAAGCGCGCCGTGCTCTCCGACACCCAAGTCCTCTCTGCGCTTGACTGGCTCGCCCGCTTCCACGCCGCGTCCTGGAGCTGGCTCCCTGATCGCAACCTCGATGCCTACGCCCTCCCACCGCTCGACGAAGCCGAGGTAGAACGGGACCAGACACGCAAGCTGTGGCTCAATGGCGGGTACACCTACCTCGCTACGCGCAAGAGTGAGCTCGCGTCTTTGGCACGAAGCAGGCAGTCCGAGTGGAAGGCTGCCCTCTGCGAACCTCAACCCGCCACCGGCTCCAGCATTGCCGAGATGGTCGCAACCTACCTCACACCATCGAGCCGCCCCTTCGAGACATGTATCCACGGCGACGTCAAGTCGGAAAACCTCTTCACTACGCAGTCTGGCGACGCGGTCGCATTCTACGACTTTCAATATGTCGGCCTCGGCCTCGGCGCGTGCGACCTGGCAAAACTCTCCACTTGTTCCATTCCAATCCACATGTTGACCGAGCACGACGAGTACGATATCCCAGATCGGCTTAAGATGGACGACGGTGAGAAGCGGATCTTGGAGCGGTACCTCTCAGTCCTGCTTGCCCGCCGTCCAAAGGGCCGCGGACCCAAGACTTACGACTGGGACACATTTGTGCGCCATTGGGAGACTGCTCTTGTCGATTGGTGCCGCTTCCAGGCCAGTTGGGGGTTCTGGGGTAACACCGAGTGGCTTGAGGCGAGGGCGCGGTCTATCCTGGCTGATGAAGAGTGGAGGAGGTGGCTGGAGAAGGAGGTGACTGCCATCGCCGCAAAACCAGCCTAGCCTACCCAGCCCGCAGACTGGCAGAATGTGTTTAGCTTGGAGTGATTTCGACAGCTCATGATATCATCTTCCTGCTATCCGACATGACCACGCACTGCGGAGGCCGGCCACGTTTGTATTGTATAGCAGCACATTGTGTATACAAAGACATTATGCATATCACCATCCACCGTTGTCTACCGGGGCTGATGGATCGACGTATGTTATGGTGACGCCAGGCGCGTTCTCCCACTTCTGACCCTTGCCCTTGGGGCCCTTCGACCTGTTCGACTTCTTGTTCGACTTTGTGTTTTTGCCGGTCCCAAGGCTGGAAGGCTCGCTCGAGTTGTCCGACGAAGGCGTATCCCAGCTGTTCCCATTTTGCCAACGAGCTGGCCGAGCGTACCCGTTGGACCCCAGCTGTTTGGTGGGCTGCAATGGTATCTTCGCTGCTGCGAATGTGTTGGCGTTGAGCTGGCATGTCAGTATTTCATTCCCAGGCAGCCATTAAAACTCACACTCTTCAAGAGTCCACGGTCGCGAGCATCGGCGACGATCTGGCACCACACGGCATCGCTCTCGAGCGTTGGTACATGGCCGAGGACGAACAACGAGCAACGAGCGCGCGTGAAAGACACGTTCATGCGGCGGACATCGCGGAGGAAGCCGACACGGGTGGTACGAACGCAAGAGAGGATGATAACATCCTTTTCCTGGCCCTGGAAGCCGTCCACGGTCTTGAAGCTGGGAGTGTCAGCTTGTGCGCAACGGGGGCGAGGGCGACTCACTCAATCTTGTGCAAGATCTCTGGTCCGAACGCGTCTGAGAATGCCCTCTGGAGCACAGTGATCTGTTCCTTGTACATCGAGATGACGCCAACCTCGACGTCCTTGGGTCCAAAGCGGTCGCGGAGGCTGTTGTAGAGATTGACGGCTGCCAGGGCCTCGTGGTGGTTGCAGTGGGAGGTTCCGACCTTGAGCTCGTCGCCGTCCCTGGCGTCAAAGAACATGTACGGGCCGAACGGAGCTTGTTGGTGCCATGGAGCCATAGTCTTGACCTGGACAGCAGCCGAGTCTTGCAAGCGGCCGTCGTAGAAGAGTTCTGAGGGGAGACGCGAGATTGTGGGGTTCATGCGGTATTGGATGCTGTTGGGGGTCAATACCCTGGACTCTTCAGACCACAAACCTCAACAGGTGGACATTGGAAGACTTCTGTTGGCTAAGGCGCTCGAAGAGACTGCGGTCGTACTTGTTGTCCTGGGCTGCAAAACTCAAAACAGTTGGTGGCAGCTGGTTTGGGTCTGCGGGTCAGACGGCGTCTTGCCACTGTTTCACCTACCTCCGATCATGATACACGTCGTGCAGCCGTATCTCAACGGAATCAGGCAGCTTGGCTCGGACGCTTGCGCCGCCTCGTCAATGATGACAGTGTCGAAGCGGTGTTTCCACAGCGACCGATGGCCAGACGACGAGAGGGTTGCACACACAACGTCGGCCTCTCTGATGATCTTGTCCTGGGCACCTTGTCGTGTTGTTGACAGTTTCTCTTGAGCGTCGCCAAGGGCCTGCGTGTCATTCTCTAGCTGCTCGCGGACGGCAGGGAAAAGGTGATTGAACGTCATTTCCAGCTCTGCCACAGTTTGGCCAGTACGGCGCTCGGCCTCGGCGGACGGCAGTTCGTTGTAAGTCTCTTCCAGGTCGAGGAGACGGTTGAGCCGCTCAGTTGCCACCTCTACGGCTGTCGACGCATCTCGCACACTCTGGACTTCGTCGGTAACTTTGAGCTTGAACTTTTGATCGAGGTGGATGTGCTGGACGGCATCGTCTACCGAGGTTTCCACTCCAACCCGAACCACGTTGGGCTTGTAAAGAGTACCGTTGTCGAGGAAGACGCCTTTGAGAAGACGCTTGCAGACCTCGTCGGTAGCTGCATTGCTTGGAGCGCAGATGAGGAGCTTCTTCTTGGGGGTGGCTGACAGGGCGCTGCCAACCAAGCCTCGAATGGTGGTGGTCTTTCCTGTGCCCGGTGGGCTGAATGTCAGCTACAGGACTAAGAATCCTGCTGCTTACCCTTGCACCAGCACAAAACCCTTGGCATCCATAGCACCGACGATGGCGACCGCCTGCGGGTCGTTCACCTTGTACGAGCGAATGGCCTGAAGGACCTTGTTCTGCGGCACGGTGATGTTGGTGCTGCGTCCGACGAGAATGTCATTGCACAGAGGCATCTTGTCCATCTTGGCCAAGGCCTCAAGCTCGCGCATGCTTGTGGAGAGGCTATATTATCAGCCAAGATCGGTGGTAGCGGATTAGGTGCTCACTTTGCCTGCTTGCGCATGGTCAACTCGTCGCCCTTCGTGACGGAAAGCCTGTCAGCCGAGCTACGGAGGAGGCGGAGCTTGGCCAAGACGCGGTTATCGTGGTATGTCTTGACCTGGGCAAAGACGACAGCCCCATCACCATCAGTCAGAGTGACAATATCGGAGCCGCAGAGAAAGAAGTCCAGACCAGGGGAAGTCGTCAGGCGGACGGTCAAGAATGCGTCGATGCGGTTTGGAACGCTCTTTTCGAGCACGACGGTGACGGCCGGGTCGGACTCACACTCCATTACAGAGGACCAGACCTCTTGCATGAACACGGGCAGGATGGCTTCCTTGTACCTCTGCACGCTGGAGAAGGTGGAAGGCAGGGGTTGGGGGTCCTTGATCCTGGCGGACAGCCATGGTGGGAAGGTTGGCGTCTGGCTCGGATGCTCTGGGTCCCAGCCGAGGACGCAGTTGAAGAGGTCGTCGGACGTGACGTCTTTTCCTGCGACCATGGTGAAGGTGATGGGAGGAGGAAAGAAAGAGAGGAGGGAGGGAGTGACAGTGATGACGGGGTTGGGCGCGGGTGTTTACTTGACTGGGGCGCCGGGCCGGGCAGTGTTGGGTTCAGCTGTGCAGCACCGCTGATGCTGTCGTCATCAGAGGGGCACAGTGAGACGCCCGTCACGACCAAAAGAGTGGTCCTGGTCCCCACGGCGATGTGGGACGGGCGAACGATGACCAGATGATGGATGGATGATGGAGACTGGAAACGCGTCGCGTGAAACGCAATGAACGCCTGGGGGTGCGGAGCAAAATGGCTCCGCGATGCTGCACGAGGGAGATACGAGTGGCATTATGGGTCTCTCTTCTAACGAGCTATAACGAGGTCTCTTTTCTAGAACACAACCTCGCAGACATTCTTCTTGGCCTCAGCATGCGCATACGACCCCTCAGCCTCATTGTCCAGTCCTTTGCCGTTGCCGATCACAAGCACCTCAAACGGCATAGCCTTGCCCGCGAGGGCGGCCGTGACGCCAACGACCTCGCCATCCTTGGTCGTAGGCTTGACTTCGACGTCGACCGACTTGCCACCACGGAGAGCGACGCTGACGTTGGCCTTGATAGTGGCACGAGACACGACGAGAGTGAAACCCCTGGTCGCAATGGAGTCACGCACGCCGTGGCCCTTGCGGCCAATGACGAGCACAGCGCCAGGCCGCAGGAGCAGTGGAAGGGTCATCATGCCATGCTGCTCTGCCACCCAGCGGCCTGTGCCAGCGTCCACTTCGGCACCAGTGAGCACGTTGGTCCAAGTCCCGGCAGGAAGGTAGTAGTCGACCTTGTTCTCTGCAAAGACAGGGGCGACGAGCAAGTTGTCGCCAAGCATGTACTGCTGGTCGAGGGTCCAGACGTTGCGGTCCTCGGGGAACTCCAAGAGCATGGCGCGCATAAGTGGGGTGCCGGCAGCCACGACCCCGCGGATGGCGGCCGACGTCAAGTACGGCTCTAGGCGGCCCTTGAGATGCGTAAACTTGGAGGCGACGACACAGGCCTCGTCGTCAATCACCCACGGAACGCGGTAGCTGGCAGACCCGTGAAGGCGCGAGTGCGAGGACAAGAGGCCAAACTGCACCCAACGCTTGTAGACGGCCGATGGCGGAATGGCACCAGAGTCGCCGCCGGCCTTGCCCTCGCCCTTGAAACCGCCAATGTCCGAGCTGTGGTATCCAAAGCCACTGAGGCCGATGGACAGGCCACCACGGATTGTCTCGGCAAGGCCGGTGAACTTGGCGTCGACATCGCCTCCCCAGTGTACTGGGAAACGCTGCGTGCCGGTGGTAGCGGAGCGAGCAAAGACAATGGCCTCGTCGGCGCCACGCTTGGCTACAATGGTCTCAAACACGGTCTGCTGGTAAAGCATGCAGCTGAATGGGTTAGCCGGTGACAGTGGGGTGGGGGGGGGGGGGGGGGGGGCGCAAACAACTCACTAGGCATTGTGCATGGTGCGTGGGTCGCTGCCATCGTGGTACACGACGTCCTCGGTAACGATACGTTCTCCAAAGTCGGTCTTAAAGCAGTCGACACCAAGGTCGAGCAGCTCTACAAGGTACCCTTGCCACCACTTCTTGGCGGCCGGGTTGGTGAAGTCAACCGTCGCCGTTCCGGGCTGCCAGTCGTCCGTTTGGAATGTCCGGCCATCGCGGCGCTTGACAAAGTACCCGTTTGCGTCACCCTCGGCGAACAGGCGGCTGTGCTGACTGACCCAGGGGTTGAGCCAGACCGACACCTTGAGACCCTTTTGGTGGAGTCGCTTGAGGAAGCCTGCGGGATCCGGGAAGAACTTGGGGTCAAACTGGAAATCGCACCACGAGTGGGCGCGCATCCAGAAACAGTCGAAATGGAAGACTGAGAGGGGGATGTCCAGCTCAGCCATGCGGTCCACATACTTCATGACAGTGGCCTCGTCATAGTCGGTCAGGAAGGAAGTTGAAAGCCACAAGCCAAACGACCAGTCGGGCACAAGCGGGGCGCGGCCGGTGAACATGGTGTACTTGGACAGCACGTCCTTGGGACTGTCGCCGACCATGATAAAGATGCGGATGCGCTCGCCGGGGACACTCATCTGGACGGTGGTCATGCGGTCCGACTGAACTTCAAAGGAGACGTGGTCCAGGTGGTCGACGAGGACGCCATAGTTGCGGTTTGTGAGGTAGAATGGAATACACTTGTAGCCTGTAACTCGGTCAGCTGACAGTGCAGTCAAGTTGCCTACCAGAGTCGCTGCTCGTCCCTCCATCGTCGTTGGAACTCTCCACCTTTTGGCCATTCTTGACAAAGGGTCCAAACCGCTCGCCGAGGCCATACACTTTCTCATTGACATCGAGGCCAACATGCATGGCCATGTATGGCTTGCGGCGGGACGCGGGCAAGCGGTAGTACGGGTCTTGAATCGCAGTCGCGGCATTCTCTTTGGCGGCGTCTCGAGGCGAGGCTACTGTGTCTAGGATCCACTGAACACTGTCCTTGCCGAGCGATGTGACGCTTTCGCCGGCCGCGTTGCGAATGTCAATGCTGAAGCTGTCGGGACGCGTGTCAACGACGGCCGACGCAGAGCCCCCAGCAGCTGTGAGTGTCGCGCTGTCCTCGGCGACAGTTATAGTCGCCTCGCCGAGATTGGCGGGCAAGCCACCGGGAAAGTGGGGCGCTGTGGGCTCGCGATGCTCGGGCTTGCCGTGAAAGTGGATGGCCTCGATGCCAATGATACCCGGAGCGGGCGATGTGACGTTGACGGTGAGAACGGGCTTGTTGAGCAGGTCACCGCGGTGCTTGATGTGTCGGGTGGTGCAAAGAGCACGGATGAACGGTGCGGTTCCCTTGGGCGTGCGGATGGACGAGGCAGAGTCATCGTCGCTCGACGTGAGCTGGTTGACCTCGACGGCGTTGGTGACGATGACACCCTCGCGGCCGTACCAGACGCCTTCGTTGAATTTCATGGTTTGCTGGTTGTGTGTGGGGGGATGAGATGGGCCATGTTGACCCCGCAAACTGGGCGTGTTATACCTCGCATTCGCGGTGTCGGTCCGGGTGTTGTGGGCATGAGTGACACCAAAACGCTCGGCGACATGCTGATGGTTATCGTTCGGCTGTTCCTCGTCACCGGAGACGCGGCGCCGCGGGCCTCGGCGCCTCGGACCGCGGCACCGGTGTCCTGGCTCCAATCTCGGTGCAAAACAACGATCGTTGCGTGGCCACTTCACAACGATATTGGGTGGACCAGATTGCCATGAAAGAGACGAAAGTAATGTTGAGCAACTATAAAGACACATGAACCACAAATGGAACGATACACTACAGACAGACGGACGCTGCTTGCTCGCCCTCGGCACACTCGGTGCCGCCCTCACACTCGGGTATCCACCAGGGCCTGTGCGGCGGTAGTGCCCACGGAGGGCGTGGTCGGCGACATGCCCCCAGTGCTGCCTCGCCGCCGTTGTCCAGGCGCGCGCCGTCAGCAGAGTTGTCGCCGTCGTTGCTCTGGGACAACCCAGGGACAGCGTCGGCATCGGGGATCGAGTCGTACACGTATACACTCGCCAGTCACATGGTCGAGGGTAAACGTGCCCGCAGTCTCTTCGCACTCGCCCGTGCTCGCCTGGTAGCAGCTCTCGGTGGCGTTCAAACGGGTCGTGCACGCCGAGCAAGGTGTGGTGCTTCTGGACGAGGGCGGAGTGGTAGACGAGCGGATGCGATGGGCGATGGTTCGCAAGTCAATGGGCCATATGAAGGGTAGAGTAAGAGGGGATGATGTTGACCGGAGCGCAACACAGTCACGGATGCACGGAAACGAGTTGTTAACAACAAAAGTGTTCAATCGTCCTCATCCCATCATCTCACACAACATGATCACCCAACTGCATTGGCGGGGCATGTATGTCACAGCCATATATAGCCTATAACCATGACCACCGTTCATGACGACTGGCTACTTCAACCATGGAATCTCGTCCTTGCCATACTTGCTGGCGCGGAAAAGGGCATTCGACTCTCCAGGCCAGACCTTGCGCGCGGCCTCGTCCGGGTCCTCGGCAAAGTGGGGATTCACAAACTCCCACACCACGTCGCCTCTGTGTGTCACCTCAATGAGACGCCCAAATGCTGCCTCGCACAGGAGAGTGTTGCCGTTGGGAAGGCGTTGCGCCGATCCCATGAACGGGGTGTAGAACGTTTCCTGTGGTGGTTAGCAGAGCCGCCCGGGGAGAGAGGGGAAGAAGCTGTATAGGGAGCACCTTTTGCCTTGCAGTCCACTGCCAGACCACCTCCTTGGTCTTGCGATCAACCTCCAGTGCGCGTGAGTACTGATGACTCTCGTGGTGGCGAAATGCCCCGTTGTCGAAGACCTGATGATGTATCAGTTTCGGGAACAGTGACAAGAGGCGGTTTGAAACCCACAAGGATGTTACCATTGGGCAGCTCGTTGGCCGAGTGCTGCTGCGCGACCACCGTCGAGTCCAGGTGCCACACTACCTCTTTGGTCCGCTTGTCAATGATGATGACGGCCGAGACGGACCGCAGCGAGGCGAGAATGTGGTTGCCATCTTCCAAAGGGCTGGAGATGGGCGTTAGCGGTGTTGTCTTGAGGCTAGCCAGAGGTGCACCCCTCTACTCACTAGACGGTATTGATTAACGGCCAGTGTTCGCGCGGGTAGGCGGGCTGCAGTGGAAAGACTTTGGGATCAAGATGCTCGCTGACCTTCCACTCCCACACCACTTGGCCATCCTTGACCTCGCGGATAATGTCGGAGTAGACGTGGCCATCAAACGCCTCTGTTCCGGGCACACCGCCGGGCAGTTCGGCGGCCTTGTCCAGGGAAAGAGGCTCCAGCGAGGCGTATAGGAGGTGGTTACTGCCAAAGGATTGAAAACTGCAGGCCAAAACAAGTAGTGTCAGCACAGACGCAAGTGAGACAAATTTCTGAGTGCTTCGCAATACTCGCTCGTGGTGTCCCAAAGGGTCGCGATACTCGTGAACAATGTGGCCCTCCGGGTTCAACTCGAGGTAGATGCCGCCACCATACTTTCCAAACTGAAACCAGCGTCAGTCCACCATCGCTGCTTCCCAGGCAACTACTTACGAAGAGGAACGGTGCAGGCGCGTTGGGGTCCTTGCACCCGACCACAATGTTGCCGTTGGGCAAGAAGCGCGCAGCGCGGCCGATGCGGTATGGGACTGTCCACCCATGGACCGTCTTCCCAGCATTATCAATGAGGTAGATCTGGACATTGTCAGGTCTGCCAGGGGTGGAATCGGACGCCTACGGTTTTGCCTGTGAGCGGCGCGATGAGGGTGTAACCGTCAAGCGCCTGGTCCTCGTCGAGGCCGCGGGTGCCGACGCCGCGGCGCCTAGTTGTGTTTTGGTCGAGTGCAGGCATCGTTTTGATCGAAGAATGCCAGTGCCAATGAGCTTGGGTGCCGAAATGTAGTGATAACACTAAAATGCACTGTCTGATCAACGCTTTATACTTCGCAGCTGCACGGGGTCACGGGTGGGCACGACCGATGCCACGGACCAAGGAAGATTGCGCCATTCTCCCCGATAAAGATCCTCCTACTGGCCATGAAAGCAATGTGAGATACGAGCGATGTTCATGTTCGGTGCACCGAGGTGACTGTGCTGACCGAATCATTGAACCGTGTTGTTCCCAACGTGCCCAGTGGTCCAAATGACGGTGAAACGCGGCAATGTTGCCACCGCCTCGGTGTTCCGACAGTCATTGCTCGGACTTGCCGGAGGTGGCGGGCTCGTCCGACTGCGCATATACGCGAGTGGAGGCAGAGGTAGATCCGCGAGCGCCCCAGCTCGCAATCTTGCGTAACAAGGAGAGAGATATGGCGATACGTGTGATAAGAACATAGCGGACTACTCGGTTCTTGTAGTCCGGATGCCAATCGCTCGTGTCAAAATGTTGGCACTTCACCACATATAAAGTAACCCTTTGGTGAGGCTTGGAGAACAGACACATGAACACACAGAGCCTCTCATCTTGCGACACCATGGACGACAAAAAGGTAGTCGCTCTTGCGACCACGTCAGAGGTTGAATCAACTGCCCTCCACCCTGGCGAACTCGAGTACACTGAAGAGGAAGTGACGCGCGCCCGCCGCAAGGTCGACTTTCGTGTCCTGCCCCTTGTGGTTTTGATGTTCTGTTTTCTCCAATTTGTAAGCCGCTCTTGATGTTCATGCACTGACATTGATACAGGATCGCAGTAACATCGTGAGCCCGCATTCACTTGAATCTAAGAGGCAAGGCTGACCGGCCACACGCAGGGAAACGCACTGACGGACACCCTTGCCAAGGACGTTGGCATCAATACCTCGGACATCAACCTGGGCCAAACCATCTTCACACTCGGCATCTTCGCCCTCGAACTACCGTCCAACATTGTTGCCCAGCGCTGGGGGCCACAGAAGTGGATCCCCCTTCTCGAGATTGCGTGGGGAGCAGTCACCATGGGTCAAGCGGCAATGCGTTCCCGCTCTGGATTTTTGACTACTCGCTTCCTTCTCGCAGCATTCGAAGCAGGCTTTATACCAGGCATGGCATGGTATTTGACCGGTCTCTATCGCACCAAAGAGCTTGCTTTCCGCCTCGCCATATTCTGGTCAGCCAACAGCATTGCTGGCATGGTTTCGGGTGTTCTCGCGCTGGGCCTGTTGAGTGCAGGTTCCGGGTCGCACCTCGACGGATGGCAAGTGCTCTTCCTCACCGAAGGCGGCGGGACCATCCTGGTGGCCATTCTCGGCGGGCTCCTCCTCCCGGCAAGTGTGTTTGACAGTGACCGCCCCGGCCGCTCGCTTGTAGGCCGCGTGGTGTTTTCGGAGCGCGACGCTGCAGTTCTCGCAGCAGCCCTGACCCACGAGGACCCCAGGATGCTCACGCGCGCAACACAACGAGCCACCCCCAAAGACATCCGGGATACACTGTTGGACTGGCGAATCTACGTTCACGTCATCTCGGCCTTCTTGAGCAGCGTCATGTTCACCCCGTTCAACACGTATGGGCCCTCGTTAGTTAAGAGCCTGGGATACAAGGGCTACACTGCGGTGAGTTTCTTTGGCAAACAAGTAGGTGTGATACAAACTCATTCGACTTGCAGAACGGCATGGTTGCCCCAGGCAGTGCCTTGGCCCTCATCTTTTCGTTCCTCCTTGCATACTTCTCCGACCGCACGCGGGAGCGAGCCCTGTTCATTGCGGTAGCGATGCTCGCCTCCGGTGCTGGCTGTTTATGGCTCGCTCTTCCACCCGTAGGAACCCCCAAGGGCGTCCTATATGCCGGATACTTGGCAACAGTGGGGACTATGGGTTCAGCCCAAGGTATCAATGCTGTAAGTGGCATGGTTTCCCACATGGACCTGGACTTACACCTGCGTGACAGGCGTGGCTTTCATCTCGAATGCCTGAGCGAAAGCGTCCCATTGCCCTTGCACTTTAGTAAGCAAAATATGTTGTGGAAACAGTTCCAAGGAGACACCTGGTGCTGACAACCCCTGCAGTGTGATGGGAATCCAACTCGCCGGATTTGCGGGCTCCAACATATTCAAGGCGAACGACGCTCCGCGCTACCGCCATGGGCTGACCATCTGCGCCGGGTGCGTGTTTGCGGGGGCGGTTGTGGTGCTCCTGGGTAAACTCGCGTATGCGTGGGATGACAAGGAGAAGCCTGCACACGAGAAGGGTCTCCAGTAAAGGCCGTGTGTGACCTGCGGTGGGGAGCAGCAGGATGGGAAAGTTTGGTCATATACAGTGATGTGGTAATGCAACCGCCTTAAGACGCCCCCGTCCCGCTAAGGAGAGCCGCCCAGTCGACGTGCTGCAGCGTGTCCATATTTCCCTCCAAAAAATCCTGCCACAGAGCCTCGTTGTCAAGGAGAGGCTGAATCGTGTCGGGCCCGGGCAGAGCAGTGAGTGTCGGGGTTGGGGCAGGATCCAAGTCGTCCCCTAGCGAGACATGGTCTGCGTCCTGACGATCATCTGGTATCATGTTAGACCGGCCCCAGTCTAGCCTTTCATTTAACTGACGTTGCCCACTTTCGACTGCTGTCGCACCATGTCGCCGTGCGACCAAGCGGCGTAACAATTGAACACCTCGCCGGGCAACGGGACTTCTCTCCGTGGCAGTGCTGCCCCAGTCAGTTTCCATCCCGCTGTGAGAGCAGAACTCACTTCAACAACGATATCGCCAAGTCAATGCCCATACGCTGCCGGTCCGTGTTTTCCGTGGCACGGAACATGTCTGCGGCAAGCACCAAGGCGGCCGTCCAGACGTGCACAAGCACGACCCACCAGAGCAAGAGCTCACGCCGGCTGAGCGCCACCAGATCAAGTAAGGCGTACGCACTCTCCACGCACACCTGCGTGCTGTACGCATACAGCTCGTCCGTATACCCATTGACCATGTACGCGCGGTGCAAGCGCATGAGACGGTTGTGCAGTGTGATGCCCACAAAAAGACGCTGCTGGGCCAGGTATCCTGTGGTCGCCTGCCGCAACGTGAGCGGTTGTGGGAGGTCTTGTCTGAGCGGTGCGGGGATGCCCTCATACGTCGCTCGCAACGCCTTGTCGAGTTCGAGAATCGTTTCGTAGGACGAGTTGGGAAACGAGCAGTTGACAGCGTCGACAAAGTTGCGCACGCCGTGAATAAACTGAATCTTAGCAATGTGGTAAGTTGTGCGTGTAGGTTGGTCCATCGATTGCGGTCGCAGAGGTTGGCCATCCACAATGTCCTCATCGTCGACGTTGGAAGGTAAGCCTGTGCTTGCGTGGGCGAGGTTGATGCTGTATGTAAACCCGCTCGCGGAGGAGGTGTATGCGTCTAGGGTGTAAGCGAGGTTCAAGTGTCAAGTGTCATAAAGCATACCCTGGCCGACAAGAGACCACCAGACTCGTCGCTGCGTCTCGCGCTCTACAACACCTCGCAGCGCCATTGCGCCAACCAGCTGGTCCTCGGATGGGACGCGCTAAAGTAAGTCAACACGGCTGATGAAACGGGTGGTGGACTGAAACTATAAGACTCACAGACATACCCAGCTCGATGGCCATCTTGATGGCGACAGCAAGGTGCATGCTGGCCTTGGCGCTACCGTCGTGGCAGTTGAGGTAAATGTTGATGCAGATGATGGTTTGGATGGCCTCGAGCGAGTGGTGTGAGGTGTAGTCTGAAACTGTGAGGCATTCCACAGCCGCCTGCAGTTTGTCAGTGCTCATTCGCCATGCATCTAGGGCAGTAGCCGCACGGACATGGTAAAGTTCGGTCGCGAGGTCACGCCGCTCGCCACCGAAGTACGCCCCTAGGCAGAGCACGGCATACACCACCGCCATTGTACGCGCTGGGACGTGGTTGTTAGTATCCCATAGACTATTGTACGTCTTGAGTAACGTCGGTAGGTGAAACGGATGGTGAATCTGTCGTGTTAGAGTGTGCTATCTCTAATCCTCGAGTGCCCTCACCCAGTCGGCATAGTCTATGTACAAGAGTAGCTATCGGGTAAGCCGTGCTATTCTCCATGGCATATCTTACCAGACGATCCGCATGTTCTGTCGTTGTGTCAGCAATAGGTATTGCATTGGTCACGCTCGGAGTCAGCTCACCCCTACGTGGGACATGTCCCATCAGGTCCCCTTCACGCTCATTGTTTCCCCGGCGGTGTTGATTTGGCACGTCTAGGGGATATGGCGACGGAGATGGCGGGGCCGGGCCTCGGGCAATGAATGACCCAGTATCTCGGTATTCCCTGTGGTCACTGCCGCCAGCATAGATTGAGTGGTCGTACCGCTCCGCCAAGGCCACATTGCGGAGAGGCGACTCGGTGTCGACGTCGTCAAGCGGTGGGCTCGGCGCTGAACTGGTCTCGTGCGGCCGTGAGACAGATGTTGGTAGGTAGGCGAGAACTGTGGCTACCGGGGACAGCGAGTGGTCTGACGCACGATAAGGCGACTGGCTCATCCTATGTGCTGGTTAGCAAATCTATAGCAATCGTTTGATGATTGTTCAAGAACATTGCAAGAACCCATCAGCCAACGCGACTCACCTAGGCCTGGCATTCTGCGGCCACTCGCAGCGTATCCCCTTGCGCACACAATGTCCGCATCGGGACTGGCGGTCACACCGGATCTTCTTGGAACGGCAAGGTGTGCACGAGTATGCAGTGCGGCTGCTTTTGGGCATTAATTGAAAGTGTGTTGTTGTGGTTGGGAAAACGATGCCGGGGGAGCAGATGGGGGACAACAACTTTCCGCAAGACGCGAGATGGCGTCATGTTCCTTATCAAGCGCCAGTACCCCGTCAAGTCCGAGGGACCGATAACAAAGGGCCCTCCTATCCACATCACGTCACCGTCAGCCAAGCGCGGGTGACGAGTTTACTTCTCCTCCTCTCCATCGTTCTACTCGTCTCCATAACCATCATCAGGAGTACCTATCCTCATACCCAGCCCCTGGTGCATACAAACAGTACGTCCAGCGCTTGCATCTGGCAAAATGGCATTGTCATTGTCCATTTGCCCCCAACCGCTTCGACGCGTCTCTGTCATCGGCAACTCGGGTGCGGGAAAGTCTACATTCGCGCGCAAACTTGCCCTGAAGCTCGACGTTCCCCATCTCGAGCTCGACGCCATCAACTGGCAGCCCGGATGGACACAGCTTTCGCGAGACGACTTTCGTGCAGCAGTATCCTCGCACCTTGAATCGACACAGTACGCAGCTGGCTGGGTCGTGGACGGCAACTACGGAAAGGGGCAAGACCTCGTCTGGGATGCTGCCGACACGATCGTGTGGCTCGACCCACCACGATACATGTCCATGCTCCAACTGTTGTGGCGGTGTGTGGTGCGTACTGTAACGCAACAGTCGCTTTGGGGTACTGGCAATGTGGAGACCTGGAGTCAACTGCTGTCAACGGATCCGACGAGGAGTGTGCTGGCGTACGCGTGGCAAAACTACCACCGACACAGGCGACGTGTACAAGAGCAGATGTGCGAAGTCACACATGTGCAGTGGGTGACGTTGCACAGCAGGTTGGACACTGCCCGGTTTCTGGAAGCAGTGCTTGCTGTTGCAGCAGGGCGAGTAAGATCTCCATAGTGGCATTCTTCATTTTACGTAAGCAAATTAATAAATGGCAATCACGTGATACTCATTGGAGTGTACTAATGATGTGTATCTTAGTGATAATTTGGATACGGAAGCAAATACGGAAGCAAATCCACGTTTCATTCATTTATCGAGAGGGATCGGCAGCTCGTTTCCACCCATCCTACTGTTGCTGCGAGTTGCCGACGTTGCCAAAGTGCTTTTCCTTGTCGGCAACAAAGAAGTCACTGCCAGTCGCCTCCTTGTACTTTCCCCTAATCATATCGCTTATAACTTCGTCTTTAGCTTGTTCGGCGGCCGTCTCGTTGCTTTGCTGGCCTCCTCCCATGCCGTACTGCTGGACGAGGTCGACACCTGCAGGCAGTGTTAGTTGAGAGGAGTGGGTAATATCGTCACGTGACCCGATCACAGCCGCGAGGTGGAGAGCATAGGGAGCACATGGAACTGTGCTTGTCTTGGCGTCTCCTCTTTGCGCTGGCGTGAGGTGAAGGCTCATTGAATCGGTGGGATATGGCCACTGCCCCAAGGGCAACGAACATGGGTGTGGTGGAAAACCGCCTTTGTGTAACCCCCTAAACCACTGCACTCACCCTTGTCAAGGAAATCCTCGTCGGCCTCGCCCTGGGCACCGCCGCCACCCATGCTGTTGAGCTTGTCCTCCATGTTGCCACCGCCAGTGAGTCCCTGGAGGGTGGAACCGAGGTTGACTGTTGCGTTGTCAGCATGACGGCTCAAACATCTCTTGCGCCCAGCACAGCTCCACTCACATCCCCCAGACTGGCCCTGCTGCTGGCCACCCTGCTGCTGCTGCTGCTGGTTGTTGTTCTGGTTGCCACCGACCTGGCCCGCGAGGTTGTTGAGGAGATCCATGGTGAATATGCTTTGAGTTGATGGGTTGGATGGGTTGGAGGAACGGGGAAGGGAGCAACGGAGAAAGGACATTGGATCAGATTGATATATACTGGCCCGGCCCACAGCGCCCAGCGCCCACCACGTCAACCACTGGCTGCCGCCGCCGGGGCTGGTTCCCGCGCTTGCATTCCTCGCGGCCTCGCGAGATCAGACGCACGCGACGAGGCTTTTGTGGGGTGTGACGTGTGGGTGATTACCATGGCAAAAGCGAGAGCCATATAGCGCGTAGTGCACACGGCGTGACACGCTTGGAGGCTCGAGGCGCGACGAGCGTGTGATGGGGGTAGTTTGGCTCTGCGTTTACCCGTGACGTCACCGGTGATCAAACGGGGGACAAGGGAGAGAAGGGAGACAGATGCGAAACAATCGGGACTTGGCGTCGGGGTGTCTCTTGCCCTCTTAATCGCTTAAATGTCACGATGACGCAACATGGAATCCAGTAAAATCCGGTCAGGAGGACATTTAAGCTGGTGGCAAAGGTCTCTCTCTCTATAAGGCATGCATGCAATTTGACGAGTCGTATGTATGCAGCACTCTCTACCCCCGCCTACTTGGACGCAAGAGCCAGCTTGACCGCTTCGAGGATGGCCGGCTCGCGAGGCGTCCAACCAAACGTCTGCGTCTTGCTGCTCACAGCGAGGAACGAGTTGCCGCCAAACATGTACGGGTCACCCTCGCCCTCGGCGATGCTCTTGGCACCCTTGTTGGGGATATCTCCACGCGCGTACAGCTGGTCGCCAAGGAGCTCGACAACCGGCTTCCACGTGTGCTGGGCGATACCAGAGTAGATGAGGTTGGACCAGCCGTGTGAACCAGCCGACGCGGTGGTGGCAGCGGGGTTGCTAAGGGCATAGTCGAGAATGGCCACGTACAGGCGAGAAACGTCGGCAATGTGAACGTTGCCCCAAACGTTCTCGCCCTGGCCAATGTAGGCCGCGGTGCCAGTGCGCTTGGCATAGCGGACGTATGCAGGAATCTGAAGTGAGAGCTCTGGAACCGTCAGCAAAGGCTGCACCGAGGTAAGCTCGACTCACTGTTACCCGGACCAGTGCCAGGGCCGTAAACGGTGGGCGACATGATGTTGTAAGCAGAGATCACGCCACGCTCAGCAGCCTTGGCGGTGCTGTCATGTCAGTGGGTTGTAACGTTCAAGGTGGGCCATGGCAACTCACATTCGGCTGCCGGAGTGGAAGTAGGCAGTGTCTGGGAGAGCCTCCCACCGCTCGTAGTCGGTGTCCTTCCAGACATCCGTACCGGTGACACCATCCGAGCCGTAGAGAACAGATCCCGATCCCGAAGTGTGAATGTAGACCGGCTTAATGGACGAGGTCTTGGCGCGCTTCTCGAGAGTGTCCACAATAGCGTGGAGGCTAGCATCGCCGCCGCCGAACGGGACCGCAAAGTTGATCACGACGTCGCTGTTTTCCACCAGGGAGATGAGCAAAGGAACATCCTCGACGGCACCGACGACGGCATTGACACCGAGAGGGGTAAGGAGGGCCTGCTTCGCTTCGTCGCGGACGAGGGTGGTGATGTTGTTGGCCGGGTGGGTCTTGAGAAGGTCGACCAGGAGGGTGCCTGTTTCGGTCAGATATCCAACAACACTGACAGTGAGTGATCGAGCCACTCACCTCCGATGTAGCCAGCGGCTCCGAGAATGAGGATCTTGGGAGAGGACGACATTGTGATTGGATATGTGGGTGTTGGTTTGGGAGTGTGGTGGGGGTGGTGGTCGTGAGGTGGGAGGCGCTGGAGTGAGGATGTGAGTGTGGTGGCGAGTGAGTGCTCATGCAGGACGCGTTTATATATACCGTGTCAGCATCGTGCGCAGCTTGTTGTTGTTCTGGATCGATATGTCGCCATAGATAGGAGTGGTGAAGCAACAAGGTGTCTGATCGTCTGACGAGAGCATCGTCGTCGGGCCATGGGCAGACGTGACGGAGAAAATACGGAAGCTCCGGTACCCCACGCTGTCGATACGGAACTTCCGCCGCCGCCCCTTGCGCCATGGCGTCACCGTATCACCGTATGACCCACCGGCCACCATATGGACTCCTCTGTACGTCTGTCCTATCTTTACGGAAACACCGGCTGGTCCCCGTCATTCTCATTCCTAAGCATACCCAGCCACGACGCAGCAGCTTGCGCAGCATGGAGCCACCGCCAAAGAAACGCGCTAGAGAACAACAAGGCCCCAAGCCGTCGTCAGGAAGACGCGCACTGAGCTGCACCGAATGCAAGCGGAGGAAGACAAAGGCATGTTCCCGTACCCTTTCATTCAAATGCAATGTGCTGACTCACAACAGTGCAGTGCACTCGGGCAGACGCCATGCGACGCATGTGTCAAGCGCGGCAAGCCCGAAGACTGCGTCTGGGAGGACGCACCACAGTGAGCACGTCACCTTTTGCGATGGTACTGACACCCGTTAGGCAACTGTTCGCCCTCGCTACCGACCTCGATGCTCTCCGCCAAGAGGTCGCCGATCTCCGCGGTCTGATCAACTCACGCTCTACGGTTTCAGCACAGCATGACACTGCACTCGTATCGCCAAGTCTACAGCATCCTCCTCGCCCAGCATCAGCGTCCAGTTTTGACCAACGTGCCCTGTCGACTGGAGCAGCGTCTTCGTCTGTGCCTCCTGTGACGGCATTTGCGTCTCCAGTGTCGTCCACTCACCATCCGTCTGTCGGTCGCGTCGAGTACACAGTGAGCGACCTGGAAGCTGCAGCAATAGGCCCTGCACCTGGTGCACGCAATGTTTTCGACAGCAGTCCGGCCAACGGGTATTGCACGACGGGCCTCGGCATGGGTCTGAAACCCAGCCCCAGCTTCGACAACGTCGCAGACCTGATGCCTCATACCGACGGTGGTACCATCTTGATCAATGAGTACTTTGGCGGCCCGTTGCACAAGGGGTGGTATGTGAGTGAAGGCATGTCCAGAGGAGAGTAGCTCACACCAGATCGTCGAAGAAGGAACGTTCAAGCAGCTGCACCAGCTGTACAAAGTCCATGGACTCCAGCCAGGCACCAACCACTGTTGGTTGGCACTTTACTTTATGGCAGGTCCGACGTTAGTGTTCGCTTCTCTGACTGTGCAGATTGCCGCTCTCACCACCAAGTTGACTGACAAGGCGGCGTACCTATTCCCCAATTACTCGGCTGAACAGTTGAGCCGCATCCCGAACGCGCTGTACCAGGCAAGCGTGGACGCTTTGGAGAGTGCCAACTACATGGCCGTTCCACAGATCAGACACATTCAGGTGAGTCATGTGGTGCACAGTCTCCCTAACTGTCAGGTCGCCCTTCTCTACGTTCTATTCCTTGTGGTGAGAGACTCTATCGCAATGCCCCAGCTCACTGTCAGCATTTCGGCGAGACTCCCGACCAATCGAACGTCGCTTTGCGCCACATCGACCTTGCAGTCAGCACTGCACTCTGGCTGGAGCTCGACTGTCTCGGTGACGACCCTTCAGTGTTGCCCACAGATGATCCCGCCCTCGCAGGCCTGAGTCCCAAGGCCCAACTGGAGCTCTGCAAGCGACTCATACACTTTCTCGCGTTCCTGGATACGACTATCCAGAAGCGTCCCGGTATTTGGCGGTTGGGTGGAGGTGAGTTGAGCTGAAGAGGCATATCTCTTACATCGCAGTCGTTACTCCGCTTCCTGGAAACTATGTCGACCTTACGAGGGTAGACGAGACTCCTCGGCCTTCATACGAGCTCACCACCGCCAGTTTGCCAAGGGTGTGTATGACGGTTGAGTCGTTGAACTTACCTTTACCAGGCTGTAAGCTCGTTCGCAAACGTCATCCGGCAGTACCACGCCGCTGGAGGTAGGCTGCTAGGCAGGATATCACTGACGTTGCAGAATTGCCGTACGAGATCTTGGTCCTGTACGACCAGGCTCTTCGTCAGGTGTTGGACGAAATGCCCCACGCGAACGCACCTTTGGAGTCGGCTTGTGAGCTGACATCCGTTTGTGACGCTGATTTCCAGGGATGATCCACATAATCCGTGCGAGCATCCATAACCGCCTTGTCCGTCTGCATCGCCCTCACCTGCTCAAGGGCTACGAGGAGCCGGACTCGGACCTCTCGCGCGTGGTTGCTGTCAACAGCGCGCGGAGCATCGTCAACGGTCTAATCCTGTTCAACACCAACACACGCATACGGCCAAAGTGGGTGCAAACCGCGATGCTCCAGCTGACTCGGCAGCTTTGTAAAACGCTGGATCCTCGGCGCATGTGTCGTCCTCGCAATTGACTACGTGTTCGGCAACCCCGACAGCCGTACCAGTCTTCTTCAGGCCCTGGACATCTTTGGCGCTGTCAACCCTTATGACCGCGCTCCAGCCACCACACTCAAGTGCAAGGAGACTGTGGAGGCGTTCCTCGCGGCCGGCGATGCCCGTGTGGGTCAAAGTGCTCCATCCGAGGACGCCATGGCCGCCTTCTTTGATGATGTCAAGCAGAGACTGGGTGAGTTATCCGTGGCCGATGACAAGACAAGCTAAACGATCAGAATACGCCCCACCTATTGTTGGACTCGTCGATTTTGGGTTCGCAGCTCCACTGCCATTCGACATTGATTCAATGCTCAACGGCTTATGGAGCTCGTAATGATGGGTGTATCCATGTTGTTGCCATGCATCCCGGCAACCCGGCTGAGTTACATCCACCACGAAGGAGGCACGTTCTGCATTTCCACGACACGCTTCACAAGCTTCTGACATTTGGACTGTACTAACATTACTATCACGTATCCCCCGTTCACGGGCGACGCCTGATGGAAACCATGAGGGAGTTGGGTTTGCGGAAGAAACCCTCGTGGCAAACGAGCTCCTCGCGCAGTGTCGTATCGTAGCGGTTGGCCCAGGTTGCGAGGATGAGTTTCATCTCCATCTCGGCCACATTACGCCCAATGCACGCGCGTGGGCCAACCGAAAATGGGATAAAGGCTTCCTTTTGGCGCTGAGTGAGACTGTCCCAGCGGTCTGGATTGAACTGCATGGCGTCTCGGCCCCAGATATCCTCGTCGTGGTGGATGGTGTACGACGGAACTGAGAGAGTGACACCTGGGGGGAAGTATCGGCCACAGACGGTGATACCGCTGGGACCGACTTCGCGGGGCAGACCTTGCCCGAGGGTCGAGTGGATGCGATGCGTCTCGTTGAGCACCTTTTCTAGGTATGGGAGGTTCTTGACCATCTCCCAGCTCGGTACCTCGGTCCCCTCTGGTATGGCTTCCGCCAGCTCTTCCCTGAGGCGCCGGAGAACATCAGGGTGTTTCGTGAGGTAGTACATGACGGCACACGACGAGTTGGAAGTCGTATCGGAACCGCCAACAATTAGGCCCAGAGCCTCTGCCGTAAGCTCGTCGGCACCGAGTGGGTTGCCCTTGTCATCCTTGGCCTGCTGCAGACGCGACAGGAGGTCCGCACGCGCGTCGGTAGGTGGGTGGGTGAGCCGCTCGCGAACACTGGCAATGCCAATCCTGGTAAGGTTCGCTCTGGCTTCGACACCCTTTGAAAAGAAAGGGTCTGGAATCCAGTGTGCCCAAGGCATCAACTCGGGAATGATGGCAAGAGTCGAGACGATTTCACCCCGGCGGTTGATAATCTGAACAGCCGGTGCGTACTCTGGCTTGGAGGTTGGGGTGTCTTGGAGTCTGGCAATGTCCGCACCTGCTTCAACCATGCCGAAAGGCTTGCCAAAAGCAAGGTCGCCGATCATGTCAAATGCCACATAGTTGAACCACTCGAGGGAGTCAAAGGACGGCTCTGACGTTTGACGTCAGCAGACTTCACAGCTGCGGCCGAGAATCACACTTACCCATGTTCCGGCTTGCAGCCTCGTCGACAAGCCTGTCCCATTGCTTGACAAACTGCTGGAGAATCTCGGCCATGTAAGGCTCAAACTCCTGAACCGTGCGAAGCGCAAAGCCATGCGCCATCATCTTGCGCTTCCGAGTGTGGTCGGCCTTGTTGCGCACATTGAATAGATTACGCGCCGCAGTTGCAAACGAGTCGTAAAACTTGGACTTTACGAGGCCCGCGGTGTGACCGTAAATCGGCTTAATGGCGGCATCGGCCGCGATTGAGATGTGGTCGGGCTGGAGCCGCACGAACGTGCCGTGTTTGCGGTGCAGCTCGTCCACAGTTAGGCTGCGATGGCCGCTCTTCTGCACCTTGAAGAGCCACACATGGGAAAACTTGGCCAAAGTGGGGCCAGGAATGTCGCGCAGAGACGAGTAGGTGACCAGGTATGGGAAGAGGTACATGCCAAACAGGATGGCGGTGGCACCGCCGGCAAGTATCGCCCATGTGGGGACGTCGTCAAGGCTCTCAAGGATGGAAGACGGCATGGTGGAGAAGGGCAGGGAGTGGGGGAGCAAGGCCGATCTCTGGCCTTGATATATATATGCACCTGCGCCGATGCTGACCATCGACACCTGACAACAAGGCCGGGGAAGTCACAGTGCTTGTCGGGGAAGTAGCAGCTACCAACAGCCATGTGACTGACTGACCATCTGATACGGCCGTCCTCGTCCGTTTGGTCTTCCGATACGGACTCATGTTGGAAGCTATATGCTATTGCAAGCACAGTGCTACGGGGCCCGGGTGGGCTCCACACGGCCTCCCCAGCGGGGAGGGCAGTAACCGGGCACACCTGGGAAGCTTGAGGGTTGGAAAAGGACATTATAAAAGGCGACCGGTCGTTCGGCGGATAGCATCCGGCCGTTCCCCGGCTCCGTTTCGGAGGGCAGCCCACGTTGAATAGTTGATAGCAGACGATCCGATGCAACCCCACGAACCCCACGCAATCGTCCTTCTAATGAAGTCCATCCTCCACATACAGATATGCAGCAGCCAGCGATGCACCTTGGCACAGCATGGCTGGCGAATGGCGTTCGCTGCCATAGATTACGTCTACCTTTTGAGTAGAGGGCCGACACTCAGATCTGGTCATGGCAGAGGGACAGAGCGGAAGCAAAAAAGCCCAAGATGACGCAACCCAGCGCGCCGCGGTCTGTTCACTTCTCACAACAACAACATTTTACTCTGCCATTCACCACCGTCCAGCTCCAAGCGATCCACGGCGTCATGCCGCCAAAGCGACAGGCCTCCATCAAGGGCTTCTTTACCTCCTCCGGCAACTCCGGACGTCAGGACGTATCCTCACCTGCTGCGTCGTCTGCCGGTCCAGCAACACCGCTGGCGAGCGACTCGGAGACCTCCACCCCGCGCTGTGGTCGAGCGACACAGGCAGCGTCCCAGGCGAGCTCTTCCAGAGTGAGGTATCAGCGACAGGCCCGTACTCCGTCGGTCGAGTCGGAAGGAGAAGAGGGACTCAACAACATTCGCTTCAGTCCCGAGAGAGCTCACCGGTGGCGACCAACCACCAAGCGGATCGTTGCCGACGACGAGGACCAGTCGGACCAGGTCGTCCGCGAAGTCGTCGATCTCGCGACCTCCAGCGAAGACGACGAACCAGCCCAAAATACCAGCCGCTTGAAGCGCAACGCTTCGTCAAGTTCGAGTGTCTCGGCCTCACCGTCGGCACCTCGCCGGAAGCGCAAAGAGCGCGCTCCTCCTCGACGTGCGTCTCGCAGCAGCGCCAGGGCGGCTTCGGCTTCTTCTGTCGTCGTTTTATGCGATAGTGATGATTCCAGTTCAGCTGCCCCTTCGCCCCCAGCCACGCGTCTCCGTCGGCGTTCAGAGACGCAGACCCAGCGGCGCATCCGACACATCCGTGGCAAACGTGCAGGTGCATCGCAATCTGAGACGGAAGAGGAACGTGGCGAACAGAGCGACTCCTTCATTGTGGATGACGACGAGGTACCACGCATCCGCCGTGAGATCCGTAACGCTCGCACAACCGAGGGGCTTTCGAAGAAGAAGCGTCGGCTGGATCCCGACGATGAAGACACAGCAGATGCGGATACCGCCGAGGAAGACGAGCACGACCTCGAGATGGACGAACCAGAACGCTTCAAAACATCCACTCGGCTGCGCCAACGTATCGAGACTCCTCACCAACGCCTGCTCCGCATGCTGCACAACAAGCGAAACAACATCGTCTCGTCCGGTTCCGAGGAAGAGGACGATGAGGAGGCCGACGTGACCGTCGACGACGGCCCGATCGTTATCGACGACAGCGAAGGCTTCATCACAGACGACGGTGGCGAGTTTGATGACAGTCTCATGCCGGCCGAGTTCTCCCGCGGTTACGCCCAGTCGATGGAGTACAAGTTTAAGGTGTTCTTCCAATACCTCATCCTCCTTACCATTCACGGCCCTGGCATTTTACCCCTCAAGGGCGAGCAGAAGGAATACATGAAGCCCGCCCAGGAGCTCCGTGCGTACTTCAAAGGTATCCGCAACGGTCGAGTGCGTGGACAAATCTGGAAGCCAGAGTTTGTGGCAGCCTTGGAAAAGTACCCGACGTTCCTGGTGAGTTTTGTGACATGGCTTCAGGAGGCTGACATCTTCAGGTGTATGATTTGGCAGAAAAGGAGCCATACTGCGACGCGTGCAATCGCAGGAACCAACACTGTTGGTGCGGCGTCGACCTCAAGGGTACTCCTTACGACCACGAGACGCACGGCGAGGTTACGTCCGCAGTGGGTTCGACCGACGGGAGTGACGAAGATGAGAAGGACGACGACGACGACGAGAGCGACAGCGGCGACGACAACGAGAAGGCAATTGAGCCAGGCCATGACGAAGAGGGACTGTTGATCCGCTTCAATATGGGTGAGTGTACTGTTACTGGTATCACGATGCTCACCCACAGGCCCGCACTGCCTCGTCTCGTCTCGCCTGTACCACAGCCTCTCGCACTGGGAACACGAGCTCTATCGACGCGTGAGACAGCACTACCACGACCTGTTGCGTGCCAAGGACGTGCCAGTCTCCGACTCGTCTGACGCAAGCTCCGGCAGCGAGCGCGACGATGATCTCGACAGTGATACTGCAGCGGAGCGTCAAGTAGACCGCCAGAACCGCTCAGAGTGGCGCAGGAGGAACATGCAGCGCCGAGCCGCGCGCGTCCAGAAGTTGAGGGGCAAACCGAACCTGCCACGCGAGGGCGATGTGAATGCGGTGACAGAGTGGATGGAGGAACAGGGATACCAGAACAAGGTGGGTTGAAGGTTTGTATCATCGTGCTGACCTATACAGGCATTTCAGACGTTTACAGACTTGGAGAACCGTGCCCGTGGCCTTGGTGGTGGTGGCCGCGGAGGCGATTCAGGGGGAGAGTGAGAAGATCGGCTTTAATGTTACCACTGTGACGTGCACGTAGTGTGTTCAGTGCCTGTGACGGGGTATCCCTCGCTGATGCGAGATTGGCATGCCAGCATGGTGATGGGGGGCGCTTACTGTGGGCTGATGGGAAGGAAGCCATCAGTGACCGCTCACCAGTTCTCACTGCAGACTATACCTGTCGCACTCTCGAACGCTCTCATTCCACCATCATATTGATACGCTCAGCCAACCTCATACCACTTCCCATCCTTCAAGTCACACACAGACGTCTCATCACCCATGGGCGATTCTGAAGAGTCCTCTGTTGAGGGGCTCAAAAGCTTTCGACTGACCGACGCCAAGCCCATCCGGTGGCCGACCCAGCGTCGGCATGTTGTGCCCGATGATTCCGTCAGCGACAGTGTGGTCGTCATGGTGGAGAGTTCTAGCGACACCGACACTATAGAGCTGTTTTCGCCGAGGACGAAGCGATACATACTGCCCACAGACTCTGAAGACTCGTCACCACCCCCCACCACGAGTACGCAACATTCTGCTCACCGATTGCGCTCCCTCAGGACCCGCAGGGATCGCAAGAGGCTCCGCCCCGACCCCGATGAAGACGACAACGATGGCGACGATGAGTGCACAGACAAGGATGAAGTGGACGACCTCCGCTTGGATGAACCAGAGCGATTCCAGCGCACGACGCGCCTCCGCCCACGCCTCACTGAAAGTCCTCACCGACGTCTTCTCCGTCAGCTGGAGGACAAAGTGCACCTGAACAGGACGTATTCAGGAAATGAAGACGAGCCAGACGATTCTCGCTCTCCACTGTGTGAACCCCACAGTTCCGATGAAGACTTCATCGTCGAGGACGACAACATCAACGACGACAGCTTCAACGGTCTGGAGGATATGCCCCGCGAGTTCACCCATGCAGCACGCCAGTCGCTCGAGTTCAAGTTTGAAGTCTTATTCCACTATCTCGTTATTCTGGAAGTGCTGGGTCCCAGTGGGCACGCCGTTGATCAAGACACCAGCGACTACCTGCAAGCAAGGCACGAGCTGGGTGAACACCTGCGAGCCATTAAGGAAAGCCGTATTTCTTCCTCACGCTGGTCACCAGAGTTTATGAAAGTGTTGGAGACGTATCCGTCTTTTGTCGTGAGTGATACTGAACTCTCCAGAACACTAATTCCCCCACAGACCCTCTCTTTCAATGGTGATGCGAGCGTCTGTGATTTGTGCCACCGCAAAAGGACGCAGTGTGCCAAGTTCTTCCTTAAGGGTATTCCATATGATCGGGAGACGCACCAGCGACGCCCACAACGATCGATGACCTCACAGCCTGGAAGCAAACTGAGCGATATTGTGAGGCAGTGCGGTGGAAAAGCCGAGTTCGTTGCGGGTAAGTCTGCGAGTAGCGTCCAAGCGCTGAGCAACTAGGAAACTACTGTCTCGACTTGGCATACCTGTACCACAAGGCGTCACACTGGGAGCATGAGGTCTTTCTCAAAATCAGACACCATTATCATGACCTCCTCCGAGCCACAGCTGCTCCCATTGCGGAAGACTCGGACGACAGTCCCAGCGAGTCTGGAGTGATCAATTTGCCTGCCGCCGCAGCTCGCACTCAGCTCTTAAAGCGTCGACAAGATACAGCCATTCGCGTTCAGAAGCTTCGTCAAGACAAGAACTTTCCCAACCGAGAAGACCCGAGTGCCGTTACCGACTGGATGGAACAGATGGGTTACATGGAGCAGGTGAGCTGTGCGCTCTGTAGACATTGATAACCGCAAACACCAACTAATCGACCACCAGGCCTTCCAAATGTTCAAGGGTATCCGACCCCTTGCCCATGCCCGCCGCTTCCCCCTGGATCCCGAGAAAGACGAGTAGATTCGTACTGTGCATGTGATAAATTTCTCCTGTGCAAGTGTGCAGCGTGTGCACAAGTGGGCTCGTACGGACAGGCTGATGGACGGCTGTCATGAATGCAGGTAGCCGATGCATGACACGGGCGCCCCGGAGCGGCAGCAATTGCTAATCACCGGATCAATGCCGACATTGGGCCGGTGGTGTGGGGGCTGTGGGGTAATGTCGCTCTCATCCCCATCCGTGGGCCGCGGCGCAAACAAGGATATCTCTGATCTCTTGGTGTTTTGACTAGTATCCTTGCTCGGACACAAACTATGAACAACGGCGTCGAACAGTCCGAAGAGGATCGTCTGTCAAATCGTGAGTAGCAACACACACACACCCTGCCTGGATCATGTCTGATGCTTGCAGGTGCCTGCGTGAGTCGAGTCGCAATAGAAACGAGCCACTCGTGCTCTTCACTCACCTTGTTGTCAGGACCCATGCCGTCGCATGAAGACGCGATGCATCGGTAAGGAGAATCCACCATGCAACCGCTGCCAGGCTCTTGGTCGAGAGTGCACGTTTGGGCTCAGCACCAAGCGAGCGAACGACTCGGGACCTGGAACGGAGTGAGTCTTGCTTGAGCGATCAGGTGATGCTTGTCCTGGGCTCACAGGACAGACGCATGCAGGCACTCGAAGCGCAGGTTCAAAGCTTGCAGGACAGTGTGGAAATGTTACTGCAACACCACCGTGAGACCCCTCCACCACCCGCAGCCAGCCCACTCGCCAGTTGGCCGCTTTCGCCCGCCCTGGGACCGCATCAGCCCAGCTCGCCGTCACCCGACGAGAACGACGATGATGAGGACCCTCTTGCAGCCGCCGCCATGATGGCCCCTCTACGGCACATGCTAACGGCCGTGGAGACGGCGCGCCTACAGGCCGATACGAATTGTTCACCTCAGAAACGTCATTCACATAAACGCGCCAGGCTGGATGACTCGGCGGGACATCACCAGGCGCCAAGCACTCCAAGTCCTCTTACCGAGGATCCTGTGGAACTGGGCCTGTTTTCAGAAGCAACTGGGCGGCGTTTGTTCGATTTGTGAGTTGACGCGTGCCAGAAATGTAAGCTGACGCTATGTAGGTTCATGGGCAACTCTCTGCAATACGTCCCATCATTTGACGCGACCTCGGATACATTTGACGAGTACGTGAAGCCTCCTCCGATAAGGTTTAACGCATCCAGTCTCCGCCGCCGCTCTCCGTTTGCTGTCAGCGTCATAGTGATGGTGGGCGCCAAGATTGAGAATGCCAGCCGCGAGCCCACTGCGGCCCTCAAGCGGCTGTGCGCTCATGCCGAAACGACAGCCAAGAGTACTCTGTTCACGCCGGTGTCTAAGATCGAGGTGGTCCAGTCTATGAGTGAGTTGCGTGTATTGAGCGGCTCTCTAACACTCAGTCGTCCTGGCGTGTTGGGGAGACACGGCATGGCGTCCAGGATGCCATGCATTGTCCTTGGCGTGAGTTACGCCAAATAGGTGCGAAGCTGATGTCAGAACCGAGATGGGTCTGCACCGCTGTATTGACTTTTTGGCCCAGCGCGGTATGGGACGTGGCAAGACCCCCGCCGAGGTGGAGGAGGAGCGATGCCTGGTGGTGGGAGCAAGAGTGTGGCTTTCGGTGAGTTCGCATATGCGTATGCATACGATGCTAATGAGATAGATTTGCAAGATCATTCTAGAGTATGTTGTGCTCCCTAACCTTATAGGACCTGACAATCCAGAATGTCATTCAACTTTGGCCGCAGCCTAATGTTCAGGGTCGAGGAAACCTTGGTACACGCTCGAGCTCTCCTCGAACACCCACTCACTATTCCGACCGATCGCCGGCTAGTGACCGCGTGCGAGTTTCTCCTGTGCCGGCGTAGGTCTTCAAAAATAATGAGCTCGCTGACATGATAACAGTACCGCTCCAAGGGCTTGGACGACCAGGAATCATCGACGCTCACGGGGTGGTCCAGAACATTACCTCGCAGGTCGATCACCTCGAGGCGTTCTGGCATGACGAGATGGGTGAGTCTAAGCCTCCTTCGACATTCATTGCCGATCTCACTTCAGGCAACCGTGGCTACAGCTTGACGCACCCGATGCGTGTGATGGGTAAGCTTGTTGTTAACCGGCGACTGCTGACAGAAGTGTCCATCCAAGCGGCATACGCAGTGTAGGTCTATTATACGTTACGGAACTAACCCGACCAGGCTATTCACGAACGCGTGCATGCTTCAAGGTGTTCGAGGACGCGAGGATGTGCTGCTCTTATCCCCGGACCGAAAAGAATGCTTGCACGTTGCGCTCCACGCCGCAGTCAAGGTGGTACATGCAGTTGTCCATGCCGACCGACAGGACTTGAAGTTTGGCAACACCGATGCTCGTACGTCATCTGCCGTCGGTAAGTGGATGCTAACGTTCCAGACATCGCCATTGCATTTGCTGCACGGTTCCTCATCCGCCTCGTCAGCCTTCTTCCCGAGGAGGTAGACCTGCGTCAAGCCGGCTCCGACGTTACACTTCTTTGCAACCTCCTCGCGTATTGTGAGTTCCGTCGTATTCTTTAGCTGACGCCATGCCAGGTCCCGGGTTCCAGTTCTCCCAACAGCTACGGTCCATCTTGCGCCGATCCCGCCGAAAGGGCTTTCTACCGGACAGTGCGGCGCCTTCACCACCTCGGATGGTAGACAACCTGCTCTCCACGACCAGCACGGGTACAGCCAATGAATCACCGACTGGATGGGACGGCGTATGTCTGACCCTCGCGCACACACTTGCTGACTGCAGATCCTCAACTTTGCCATGTTCGATCAGCTGGCGGCGCAGGACGCACCGCTCCTCCCGGCCGACGCGAGTGGTGGTGCCCCGCCGCTGTTTTCCGTAGAAGGCATGCCCCAGCAGTTTGAGGGTATGCTCTCTGAACTCTGGAACCAGCAGTTGGCGTCCTCGTTTGGCTTGTTTGGCTTGCTTGAGCCGCAGCCGTAGCAGAAGCGGTGTAGGAATAAGAGTATCTGTTGATCTCCATCCGCAAAGTGTTGCATTATACTTATGTTGTAACCCTCCCTTGTGAGCGGGCCTTGTTGAGGGTGATGACAGTGCGGGCAGGTTATAGCAGGTTCCTAAGGCGGCCGCTCTGTCTCTGCAACAGTTGAGGGTCTGCAACTCTTTGTTGCCTCCCACTTGACATACTGGCATTTCATGCACATGCACGGCTACTCAGCTGCATGTTCCAGCTACAGTGCCAGCCTGTGTGTGTGTTTTTGTTGGAGGGCTCTGCCCGCCGGTGGGCTGCGCTACTGGCTGCGCTACTGACGATTTATTCATCTATTTGTATGCGACAATCGTTTTTGACAATTTATGGCTCTGCTGGGAATCTACGGGTACATGGAGGTGGCAAGTGCGTAGGCGTCCTGAGAAAGTTTTTCCTTGAAGTACTTTTCGGGCCAGATGAAGACCCAGACGCTGATAGCCAGGATGAGCGGCAGTGAGTCAAACACGTAGAAGTACCATTCGGTGGTACGCAGCTGCCCATCATAGCCTTGAGAAAACTCGATGACGCGGAAAACGCAGCGGACCTGAGTTGGGCCGTCAGCGCAGTTCTGCGCGTAGTTGAGTCCAATCTTACCATGAGGCCCAGGCACGTCCACAGCGTTGCCCAGTACACGGCGCGCCAGTCTCTCTTCCACCCTTTGCCCACTTGAGCATTCCATTTGGTCAGGTAGTGTCGTTTGCTGCTGTCAGCTCTAGTCTGGGGGCCATGCACATACACCTGGAAACCGAACCACACGAGTAGGACAATGAAAACAGAGAATGAGACCAGTTGGGCGATAAGACCGATGAGGGCGATCTGAGGTCAGTTGATGCAGATTTGGGTCTTTGATCTACCTTGTCACCGATGGAAGCCATACTAGCCACTGCCCCCATTCCAGAGCCGGACATTTGCAGGAAAAAGGTAACGGCATCCGAGATGAGGAAGATACGGCCCACCAGGCGAGGTTGGAGGAACAAGCAGTCGTCGGCGTCCGCCCACTCTGCCAGTTTTGGTAAGACATAGTAATCTTGGGCGATGAATGCGCAGGGCGAGAGCAGAGTGAGGAGGGTGGACACAGAGTAGGTAGGGATGGACGTCGGATCGTTGTGGACCGGGATGCGAACAGCCATTCCAAGTGCCATCATTATTGCACCAACAGTGACCCACAGCAAATACCGCTGGCGACCGTACCGGAAGAAGTCTGCATCAGCAGGTTGATTGACCCGATGAACTCACTCCATAGAAAGGCAACTGCGACGGCTCCAAAGAGCGCCATTCCGGCGATGGCAGCTGGAATGCTCGGGTAATACCCGGGGCTTCGTATCAACTCTGCAAGCTGCGTGAAAACTTACATGATGACCTTGCCATCTGGTGTGGTGGGGAGGGTCATTGTGGGTGGTTGAGGGTCCTTGTCAATCACCAACGCTACGTACCGAAATATATATGTGCAGCTTTGTTGTAACGACGGTGTACAGCATGCCCAGGCAGCATGATACCGACGGAACGGAAACACCCTAATTCTTCGGCAACTCGGGGAATCCGGTAGGAAAACCCGTGATCGCGTCGCGTGTGGGGCAATGAGACTTCTAATCACGCTGTGGCTGTGCCTGCAGGAGGCTCACCCATCCTGGCAGCCGGCGGGAACCCTGCGGCGCAACACAGAAACGAGGAGACACCTTTTCACATGCCCTTCAGCATGCTTAGTAGTCGGGATGTTGAATCCCATGAAGGCGATGTCCCATGGAGGCGATGCACCATGGCCAAGTGAGACGATGATGGGCAGGAACTCGTGGGGCAAAGTCCATGCATGCCTCGACTCTACGTGCTCGCTGTCCTGCAACCCATCTCGCTATTTTGGGTCATACGCAGCGACTTCGATTTCAACATTCATCCCTGGGAAGGCAAGCTTTGCTACGCCAATGCAAGTCCATATCGGCTTGTGATCCGGTAGCCACTTGTCGATGTTCATCTTCATTCGGACGTATATCTCTTCGTTAAGAACAACGTGGTACGTGGTCATGCGGAAAACCTGGCCAAGGTTAGGTCTTTCATTTGGGTTGTAACGAGGGGTACAGTGGACATACCTGCGACCATCCTTTCCCGATCGCAGCTTTGACGGCAACATCGACATTCTCGAAAGCTTGATCGATTTCAGCGCCAAGATCTTCAGTGATTTTGGAAGTAGCGCGATCCCACCCGCCTGTCTCGTCAATCCGGCACAGCATAACGTGACGCCCAGCGCAACGGCCGCAACTAACCTTGGCCCGAGCATTCGATCCGATCACCAATGCGAACCGCCTGAGAGTACTTGTGCTTCTCCAAGGCCTCTTCTCCGTAGCCCGGGTAAGTGAAATATTGCAAGTTCGACATGGCTCGATATCGTTCACGTCAAAGTATCAGTGAGGACTTGGCGGTGTGTGGGTCCCGGCTAGGCTGGCTATCGACATGGGTTCTGATGTAGTCTGGCGACAAAATCTAGATTGCTGATATTTCAAGATGCGGCACAATGTGTCCCCTAGATTCAACAACCAACCCACATTCCGATGATCAAGTATCGGGATTATTTGTAAGCATCCGAACGGAATCTCCGTACACCTTCCGCGCGTACTGTTATTGGTTCATCATCATCGTCACCAGCATCATCGCCGTCGCCACCACCCATCACCCCACTGAATAACATACACGACGTCGCTGATACACCCAGCCGCCGCCGCCCGCGGTGGGTGGGCACACCGCCGACAAGCCCAAGCTAGATCGTCGACCACCAATCCAGCAACCCTACTTGCCCACCAACCACCTGTCGCGTGCTGCCGCCCGCGTCGCCTCAAGTAGAACCCCTCCATATCCTGTTGTTTGTGCGAGTATTTTGTGTTTGTTTCCATTACCATTTAGTATATGTACAGCGTCACCTCCGTCGTCGCACATAATGCAAAGACCATTCTGTTGCGAGGGTCGTGTCATGTTGCGTGGAGCCGTGTGTGGAGACCCACTGTGTCGGTGGCGTAGATAGCCTACGTGCCTTGAGTCGGTTCGGGCCGATTGTAGAGTCGGTCTAGCCCTATGGCCGATCCGATCCGCTCGTCGAGTGAGGTTTTGGAACTGTCGGGTTTACTGCACCTCGTTTCTCTTCTCCCCACACACTCCAAACTGACTCCAACATATGTACAATGCTCAATCTTGAATCGTTTGACTTGTCCTCGCTGTTCTCGGTAGAGGGCAAGGTGAGCCGCTAATGCATAGCTGTAGCTCACGTTTTTAGACTGTAGTTGTGACGGGCGGAGGTTCGGGACTCGGAAAAGGTGTGTAGTTCCGGATGGCTTCCGCTTTGTCCTTGCTTACATTCCCGTAGCCATCGCCGGCGGCTTTGCGTTCAACGGTGCAAGAGTCTACATTGTGGGAAGGAGGGCTCAGGTCCTGGAGTCTGCGGCAGCCGAGATCAACGCGGTCAGCCGAGGCAAGGTCATACCGTGAGCTTGCCCTGGGGTTGCTCCGCTAATAGTTGAGACTGGCGGGCGATGTCGGCTCTAAAGACAAGGTCGATGAGGTCGTAACTGCGCTCGAAAAATTCGAGGACCATGTCGATGTTTTGATCAACTGCGCGGGAGTGAATCGAGCCTGGAAAGAAGAGGCTGCAAAGTTCGACAATCAACACAACGATCCCGATGCTGTCGAGAAGCTTTTATGGCAGGGAATGGACGATAACGAGTTCCAGTCGACTTATTCCATTAATGTTAACGGTGTCTACTTCTTCAGTACGAGGATGGTCCCTCTCCTGCGAAAGGGAACAGCTCCTACAGTCATCGTCATTGCTTCCATCGCGGGATTGATGCTACAGAGGCAGGTCATCTCGTCGCTTGTTGCCTTTCATGCTGACATCGAGCAGGACAGTCGGAGCGTTGTCATACCCCATTTCCAAGGTGAGCTCAGCCGGGTCGATCGGATCGCTGAGGACCAGGCTGCCTCTCTTCATTGTGCAAGTCTGCTAGCCTCGAGGTTTACACCGTAAGTGTCTTTCCTCCCTTTCCCCGCCTTTGAGGCCACCATGCTGATGCGCTTTGTAGTTTCAAAATACGGGTCAACACGATCCTCCCTGGTATCTTCCCGTCCGAAATGACCGGAGTCTCTGCCAAACCTGATCTGAGTGATCTCATTGAGTCCAACCCTCAAGCAGCAAGGGCTGTGGCTCGAAGCCCAGCTGGCAGAGCCGGGGCGGAAACCGAAATAGTCGGGCCTTGTCTGCTTCTGGCATCGGCTGCGGGAGGATACATGAATAACGCTAGGTTAACCGTAGACGGCGGACGTTTGATGTCGGCTGGATCGAACGACGGCGTTCGGATGGAGGACTGGACGTACGTTTAGTATTACGAATGACGTGGCCTTGTAGGTATTCGCGCCTGAAAGAAGTTGGTTCCCCATGAATTGCGTCGAAGTTACCGATCGGATCGATCGGATCGGGCACGAACGCGCAGCCAGGGTTGACGTCGTCATAGGTGGACAACCCCGCCCTGCTCCCCCAACCCATTGCGTTGCACGTATGCACTAACTGCCGCCAAGTGGAGGTATGTTTGGTGTTCCCCTTGGCGTGTTCTTGTTGGTATTCCCGTGAACTCCGTCTCCCTCATGGTTCGGGCCGAATCGATGCCGACTCATGACGCCAAGAACCATTGATCATTCAAATATCCTCTTCGTTCTCATACCTCCCATCGCTTATCCACTGCACTGCCCACAGTTGACATCATGTCCGCGGAACACGCTCCGATCGTCCCAACGTATGCGAACTGCATTCGCACCGACAAGCCCGCGCTGGTCATTCCTGAACTTGTCTCCAAGGATGATGAGCGTGGTCCAGCGATCCATTGCACCAACATTGCCGTGGCTGGCTGTGTGAGGTATACGACTTGGTTCGGAGGGTCTTACGAGGGTGCAACAGACACTCAAATCTGGTCAGTGTACCTTCATGGCCATCGAGGTGTACAAAGAGTTAACCACCGGCATCGCAGGTTTTCCAAGAATATCGATGGCAAATGGACGAAGCCTCGGGCAATCGCCGGCAACAAAGAGGGCGAAGAGATTGTCTACTGGAACCCTGTGCTCTTTATCCCTGATCGCTCTCAGCCCAAACACCTCCACGTCTTCTTCAAGAAGTTTACGCCAATTCCCGTCTGGGTGACGTTCTGGATGGCCAGCGATGACGGCGGTGATACTTGGTCCGAACCGAGAGAACTTGTTCCTGGTCCGGATGGAGAGAGGGGCAGAGGGCCCCAGAAGAATCCCCCGATCGTATTGAGCAATGGCGATTGGCTTTCAGCGGGCTCTTACGAGGTTACCAATCCGCCAGGCAGTGAAGCCTACGGTGTATGGGTTCGTTGCTATCGCAAACCGTTGTGACACGCGCTGATCCTCTCTTTACAGGACTCTTGGGCTGACGTAGCGCCTAAACCTGGGCCCGCCGACAACTTCAAACAAGGAGATAAATGGATCAGGTCAAAACTCATTGAGCTGCCCAATGACCGCGGAAAACCCTACGGCGGCTTCCCAGGAGAGGGTGTCATCCAACCTGGGACATGGGAATCCAAGGACCAGCCGGGACACTGTCACATGACGATGCGATCAAGTGTTGGGTGCGTCATCCAGGCTGATTCCACCGACTATGGCCGAACATGGGGGCCAGCCTTCAGGACATCGCTGCCCAACAACAACTCGGGTCACTGCGTGACGACACTGCGAGATGGCCGAGTCGTCTGGTGAGCTGCACTGAAGTTCAAACGCTGACAAGTTATAGGGCCGGAAACTATCAAACGCAAAGCTGGGGTCCTCGTACCCCGCTGTGCCTCGCTATCAGCGAAGATGATGGGAAGACGTGGAAACTTTGGGCAACGCTCGAGGACGCGCCGCCGCCCGAAGATTTTAAGCGAGTCATCGCCTTGGAAACGGGCATCGTGAACGATGGGAGATCCGAGTTCTCGTGGGTATCTCGCACTTCCATGAAGAGGCATTGCTGACAGGCACAGGTACCCTTGCCTGACGCCTACAGAAGACGATGACGAGACAGGGGTTTGGGTGTCGTGGACGTGGCAGCGAAGGGGGATTATGACTGCCAAAGTCGTCGAAGGGAAGTAAGCTTTGGAGCCATGGTGTATGCATTGATAAAGAAATTCATCATGATGCACCATGGGAATCTACAGGGGTACACGGCCTGCACGGTCTTCCCCTGGTCGATGACATAGAAGTGCACGAGATGGATAATGACAATCCGGAAGCACCGCAAGTCTAGCTTCCACTTTGAGGCTCCTCACCCTCAATCACTTCTCATTAGAATACATAAGAGTCACGCGGTTGAGCCAACGGCCACCCAGTTATCGGATACGTGCTGTTACAATATGATGCATAGAGACGAAGAGCAATACGGATCGCACTCTAGTTAGTGTGAGCGTGCACGCTCGCACCGAACGGAACCAAAACGCGCACGACTGAGAGTGGCATTTGCAACATCCACGGTTGTCTTCACAGCCGCATTGTCGACTACGCAGCGGTGCAACTCTTAAAACTGTTGGTTATATCAGTCCTCGTATGTCGGTCCGACCGTCTCCTCTAAGAAATCCCCATTGGGGTGTCGATAGAGTATAGTTGCAGTGATCGGCAAGCCTTTGATGTACGGCCTGGGTATGCGCCACTGTCGGCAGGGTAAAGACTCAGGAGACAAAGGCGAGCTTGAGTCACTTGTGTTGAGTACAGACCTCCACGGTTGTGTCTACAGACAACACCGCGTTCTCCCCAGACTACTACGGTCAACCGTTAACGCATATATCACTAACCTTGTAAGCAAGGACAGCGCCGTGGCTACGGATCGGAGACATATCCTGATCGGAACGGACGTACTATTGGAACATGGTTGCTATACAAGTCCCTCGGGCACGGCGGCAACGGCGGCAACGGCGGCAACGGCGGCAACGGCGGCAACGGCGGCAACGGCGGCAATGACGTGGTGAGGAACATCTTGCATCAGGCTCTGATCATGCGGAGAGATGTGGAATTTAGTGCTTCCAATGTATTGGTAAACAGGAGCATCGAAATCAAGACCCGTGAGCTCCTCAAATTGGCTCCTGCCGACTTTGCATCTTTGTTCCGAAGCCTCCGCAGGAATGTCTTGGTTCAGTGAACGTGCAAGCATTTACAAGACTCACCAGAGAAACGTTTGGGAAACGTGCCCGTCTGGCAAGTTAGCGCCGTTACTGCCATGTGTCAGCGAGATGCTGCCCATTTGTCACTCTGTTGAACTTACGCTACAAAGCACGCCCAGAGAAAGGTGTAAGGGCAGGTAAGAGCGCCATCGTGGAATAGAGTGAGGGGATGCAGAGACTGTTCCGAGCTCTGTAGCAAAGGAGCCCCGGTTGTTCGGTATCGTCCCCCACATGTGCGTGTGTGTGTGCCTGTTCCCGGAGCACCACCGGGGTCGTACGGGGCCCACCGGGCCGGGGGTTATGGGTATGAAGAACAGTAGCGTTAAGTGGTTGTCCAGGTACGACATTGTCGTATCGTTCCTGTTAAGAACCGGTCGCTTGCCGCTCATTAGAACAACCGGTCACCCCATCAACCGCGAGACAAGCGGCAGAGAAGGTCAAGGTCCCACCGCCCATGCCATCGACTTGCGCAAAAGCGTCCAACGTCGTAGGTGTCGGCAATCACAGTTATTCTCAGCCCGTGGCTTGAAACGATGACGTTCCTGGCCACCTAACCTTGAGGGTTTGTTTATCCCGAGGCCGACATAACTGCCTGAGCAAATCATGTATCATGTATAGGTTTTCAACGTAAGACTTCAGTCCGGTTCAATTCGTCTGGATCCAGGCTGGCTTGTCAGTGATCAGTGACAACCTACGAATCGGCTGACCTGCGATACCGCCAAATCCTTCGACATCGATTGTCAAGAACGCCACGGGGTGATTGATCTGGAGCGGTTCACTACGGATACCCGGTTGTTAGACGCCCTAGAAGAGAAGCATCTTCCGCAGGGAAGTGGCGCGACATCCCCAAAGTGGTCAGCTCACGAGGTCGTCGGGTGGGCTGAGCCGATGGTTAGCTCCCAGTGACCAGATGGTGCCTAACCCCCCGGTCTATATAAGGCAGGCCCCACCCCAGGGGGTCTCCAAGTAGGCAAACGTCGTCCGACCTATCTCAATGCTCTTCGGCAAACTCCTTACAGCATTCGCCACGACCCTCTTGGCCACTGTCTCAGCCGTGCCCGTCGAGGTCGAGACAAGTCAGATTGGCAAGCGAGACTTCGGCCCAGTAACCATCTTCACCCCGCCTTCAACTTATGTCAACGAGCGAACTCTCTATGCTCGATCGCTTCTGCTCAAGGATGTGAGTGGGCCATAGTTGGCTGAGCCTCATTGACCCTGGCAGGGCTCGATCTTAACCACTTGGGAGAACTATGACTGGTCCGGTATGCCTTGGTTCCCCATCTTCAAGTCGACCGACCATGGCTTCACTTGGACCAACTTCTCTCAAGCCCACGTGGGTTTCGCTGGACACATGAACCGTACTGACCTGTAGGACACCCAGAACGGCTGGGGTCTGCGGTACCAGCCTTTTCTTCACCTGCTTGAGAACGACATCGGTGGCTTCAAGGCCGGTACCATCCTCCTTGCTGGTAACTCGATCCCCGCCGACCTCTCCAAGACTCAACTCGAACTCTATGCTTCCACTGACAACGGGTGTGTCCAGACACGTGCCGCGTATCAACATGTGCTGACCTCCAGCGCTTCCTGGGGCTTTGTCAGCCACATTGCTAACGGTGGCAAGGCTGTTCCCAACAACGGCGAGACGCCAGTTTGGGAGCCATTCCTGCTCGAGTACAAGGGCCAGGTTATCTGTTACTACTCGGACCAGCGAGACCCGGCCCACGGCCAGAAGCTTGTTTACCAGTCAACCAGCGACCTCAAGAACTGGGGCAAGGTCGTCGACGTCGAGGCCAACGCAGTCTACAGTGCTCGACCCGGCATGCCGATCATCTCCAAAATGTCTAACAACCAGTACTTCCTGACCTACGAAAACGGTGGCGCGGCAGAAGTAGACTTTGCCGTCTACTACAAGATTGTCTCCAACCCCCTCAGCTTTGGCAAGATCCAAGGTCAGGCACTCCGAACTGTCGACGGCCACGTCCCCTATGGATCCCCATACAATATCTGGACCCCGGTCGGTCCTCTCCAGCAAGGCACCGTCGTCGTCAACGCCAACTCCGACTCGGACTGCTTCATCAACCACAATTACGGCACGGGCAACTGGACTCGACTCACCACCCAAGCTTATGCCGACTACTCTCGATCACTCGCTGTCGGCCTCAACCCCAAGGACATTGTCATTGTCAGTGGCGGTGCCCTTGGTATGGGTCCAACCAACCACGTCTACATGGCTGCCCGAGACGTCAATGGTTGCTCAACCTGCTAAGCGCAAGGCAATTGCTTGATTCCGTGGGTGCTGGTGTGCTTCTGGAATGGCGAATGAAGGCCAAAACTGTGGGGAAAGAAAAGGGACAAGATGGAAAAGACGAAGTAGTGAATAATTTGGGAAAATGCATTAGCGACACCCTCACGTTCTTCAGCGGAGACGTGGAGGGAAATGGCCGTGGATATGCGCCTCCAGGAGATTGGTCTTGCTGTGTAGCCGTCCCGCTCTACCACCATGTCGACCTGTATCGTGTCCTCTGACAAATATGGAGGTGTAGTTGGTCTGCCCTGCCCTCCGCCTTCTCTCCCCCGACCAAACATGTTTGAGATTCAATCACCCGCTAAACTGAACCTCTGCATACTTGCACTAACACTTCCATCCCCAGCAACCGTCACGAGGTTGCCACACATGTACCCAATTTTATTTGATTATTTGAAAGACTTATGTGTTCAAGGAATAGCCGAGGCTAGGCACACACCCGGTGCAAGTACAAAACTAAAAGCACATAGATCCAATGCCTGCCTATGTAGAGCAAATACGAAGTGTGTTATTCGCTGCAAGAAAGGGCGTTGATGCGGGGTTTACATACGAGTATGTACTACGAGGCCATCTCCGAGAGGTCGCAGAGGCCGCTTGCAGAGGGAACACATGGTGTGAAATTGTCAGCCAGTAACCCACTCCAGAGTGTAGCTCCCTTTGCTTGTCACTGTGCTGGAGACACCCTGTATGCGGTGGAGCGGGTTTGCATAAGCCTGGACATGGTGTCAACCTGACCGAAACAAGGAAGAAAGATGAACTCACTGGAATGCACAAAATCCGAGTACGGTGGTGAACAAGGACGTCTCGTCGTGGCTCATCACGACGACGGTCTGGTAGGCGCTGAACATCCGCGCATCCGAGTGGCCGAAAAGGACCACCATTCAGAGCGGCACCTTGGTCAGGGTGGAATGGTGGAATGGGTGCGCGTCGCTTCCATCTGGTGACCAAGAAGGTGAGGAAAATACTCTGAAAGAGGGTGGCATCGATTCACAATCGTCATCAGCTCGGCCCTCTGGTTATTGTGTTGAGTCAAGCTTCACAAACAACGCTCCAGTATTCACATATATGCAAAACGATCTGTCTACAATGATGTGTTCCCACGTGCATCATGGACAAGCAAGGCGGGAGCTGCATCAGCACGTCCACGCCACTCTTTGATTGGGGACCGCAGGGACGAGGTGGCCGCCGCACGGCCCCACGACTCGGAACGCTGTCCCCAAGCCGGGATGATATCAGCGACAAGCAGAGTCGTGCCGTCTGTTGTTGTGTACCGTGGCTCCACTGGACTGGTGGATGTGGTGACGGTGGATCGCTAACGCAGCCACGGCCAGGGAAGCAGCGTGGGAGGCGCGCGTGCGCGCGTGCGCAGTAAGAGGAGTGTCAGCAACAGGTGATTCAAGACCAGTGTCAGCGACACCACCCATTACACTTTGCTAATGCGCCACGGCCCTAATGCAAGCTAATGTTTTGGACCCTTTTTTCGCTCCTTCATTGTAGACAGGATACGACGAGGAAGCGCAGACTTGGTAGGTGATCGAACCCAGCAGTCAGTCCCCCGGGCTGGGCACGCGGCGGCACTCTCAGAGATGCAGAGAGAGCAGTCTGCAGTTTGTCGATGATGTAGGCGCACGTTTGGGTGAGACACCGAATGGTGCAGTCCACCACGGTAGAATCATGTATACACGCATTGGCGGCTGCGACGAGCCCGGTGTAGCATTGGCCACCGTGGTTGCTGTCCTCTTGTGCTCCGCATAACGTGGAAAGATAACTCGCACATGGCACAGGCCTCCAAATGCATTGGGCGCATAGCAAGGAGCCCCGCAGCTGGAGGTCCGGCAGGCATCACTTGCGCCAGTAGCGATAACTGGTAGTTGCAGACGGACTTTGCGGTCAAGCACTGTGCAACGTCCATGGTTGAGGTGATAGCTGGGTAGTGAAGCGAATTACTCGCCGAAATGGTGGGTGGACGCAGCGGTTTCGCAGGTCACGACCAGTTATGTATTAGGGTCTCCACAATCCCGCAGGCCCGCAGCAAGACGTTACCGCGGATTCGGTACTTCCATACCTCGCCAACGACCAGAGAGTGTATACTCCTCGCAATCGAATTACGTTAAAGGTCATTCCTGGGGGGACTGTGTGGATTTGTTTGTTCACGGCCTCCTGTCTCCGTCCTATGGACCCGCCTCGGTGGAAGCAGAATGCAGGTGCCTTGCAGTGAAGTCCCGGTAACATATGCCCACAGGCCCACAGACTGGTAACCGGGCCTGGAAGCCCCCGTTTCCCCGTTTTTGGCTCAGGCTCGAGCTTTCTCTGCGGCGCATGGAAAGCGGGCCGAGCGGGACTGTTTTCATCCCAGCAAGGGCCGCAATCGCCATTGGGGCCGATTGCCCGATTGCTGTATGTAGTGCACGTCGGTGGCGCAGATGGCGCGGTGGCGCGTCTTGTCGGTGCGGCTGCTCTGCTTCTGGGGTATATACGGGTTATGTACTACCCGTTGAGTGTACCTGAGAGTGGCGCTGGCACATTACGGGGGTGTGCTCTATTTGGGTACTTGGGTGGGGAACCCCCACGTTGAAACTGTAAAAACCACCACCACCACCCCAATACACACATCTCTCTCTCTCACTCCTCTCCCACGCGACGCTAGTTGGTAACCATGTCCAACCACGACACTAGCATCCATTGCGCTACTGGAGTTCCTCGTCTCCTCTCAAACTCGTTGCGCCCGCCGCCAAGGATCGCCTACATGAACCAGAACAGCCAAGCCAGTCTCACAGGCTTGTCTCCTATCACTGCGAATGAACGTCGGTCAACGGACGACACTGATCGCCAGGAGGACCTGAGCAGCGCTTTTGATAGTGACTACACTGGCAGCCCGCACAGCCTCAGCTTGGCTGGCTCACCTGCGCGTTCCGTGCTGCCCCCTCAGTTGCCACAGGCCACGAGGCCCACGTCAACCGTCGACCCTGCGTCCAGTATTGACCTCCCTCGGACGCCAACCAGCGCCATCAGCTCCACCATTCCTGCGTCTTCATCCTTGCGATCCTCTGTGCAGCGCAGCGGGAGTGACGAACTGGGGCATGCTGCAACCAGTGACAAGTGGGGGTCCGTAAACCACGTCGAATCCGGACACATCCATCTGTCGCCGTCCAAGACGACCGCCGATATGGGATGTGACCTGTTGCCAGTTGAAGATTCATCCGAGTGGGAAGATGTGGATGTCATCGATACGACCGTCGATGACCACACCTCGCCCTCGGGGACTTACGCCATACCAACGCGTGGTGTGGTACGACGTGCGGCCCAGTGCAAGATTGTCGACGAGTGGGGTGAGGCGATCTCGTTTGGCGAACTGCTACCCGGCTCACCCTCGTGGCTGTGTGCTAGCAACAGTGAGAAGCCTCCCTCACGCCTCGTCGTCTTCTTTGTTGGACACTGGTGGTGTGGCCTCTGCCACGACTATGCGCTAGGTTCTATTGCAAAATTGTCGCCCGCCTCGTTGATCCGTGACGGTGTACGCGTGGTGATCGTGTCGAGCGGCTCGTGGAAGGTCATTGCAAAGTACCGAGCCATGTTCCACATTCCCTTCCCCGTTTATGTCGACAGGGGCACGCGCCTCTACAGTTCGCTCGGTATGGGGAAGTCCATGCCAAACCCGTTTGCCGAGGCCAGGCTCAAACACCGCCCAAGTTACCACCAACACGCCTTTACGCGGCAGATGGTCACCGGTATGGTGGTGAGTAGTGTACAGTTTAACACATCCATGAACAGCGTTGACTGTCACAGAACGGAGTGTTCCGCCTGGGAGGCATCCAGCTGAAGAGTCCTGGCAGCTTTACGCAGCTCGGCGGGGAGTTTGTGTTTACGACGGGTTTCCGGTGCCAATTTGCGCACAGGATGACAAATCGAGCAGGTGAGTGTCGTGTTGTATCTGTTTGAGCACTCCTCCCACTGTCCTACTGTGGCCGCTCACACATAAGACCACTGTGAGGCTCCAGATGTCCTCCAGGCTGTAGGGTTGGACGGCGTCCTCGACGCACCGGTGTGTAGTATGCCAAGTTTATCGGACCCCGACGAACAGGACTAGCGACCACCAATGGCCGCTGAACGCCAACGAACAACTTCATCTGGGTCGTCGGTTGGGTGAGGCTGAGTGGTAAGGCGTGGTGTGAATATGCGGTCGCATCATCAGCCCAGCGGACTATGGAGTCGCGATGCTCTTCGATGTACATGTCAATGATTGTTGGCAGATATTGCAAGGATGCCAACCCCAATGGCCTAAACGGTGTCGCGAGCCTCCCCTAGCAGTAGCCATTCTCAGGACCTACACAGCTGGTACGGGATCGGGCTGCAGCATTGTTGCAGCATTATCTGTCTGCCGAGGCCACACCGACGCTGGTACGGGATTAGCGGCAGCGTTTTCCAGGCTGCACCGTGCACCAAGTGTGTTGAGGCACCGTGTCGCGAGCCTCCTAACGCGCGGCGCGGGCTCTAGCAGCAGCATTTATGCACCTGGGTCCTGCGTAGCCCGGAGCCTCACTGATGCTGGTACAGGATCGAACGGCAGCATTTTTGCAGCATGTCCTGTCAGCCCAGCTAGGCCTCACCGACGCTGCTAGGGTTAGGGGGTTATAGAACTATAGAGGCCTCGGTGTTGCCTACTCTGTCCCAGAGATGGCCTCGTACTAGCGGGTGTCGGATAGCAGTAGGACTTGGCTAGGCTCGACAACGGTCGTGGGTAGGCAATGTGGAGCTGGGCAAGGGCAAGGATCCTTTCCGTGTCGGGTCAGGTCTCAAGTTCTGCCCAGGCCAACCTGAATCAATTCATGGGCATCGTGCCCTTCCCCCGTTGAGGGCACGGCCAGGTTACAGAATTACAGACGTGGTTGATGCACAGGTTGCAAGAGCCGACGGGAGAGCGGACGGGAGAGGTGTAAGCCCCTGCAGGTTGCTCCCTTTCGGTTCACAGTCTTGTTTACTGTGACGCCCAGAGCTGATGATATCCCGATAAACAATGGACGTCACTGAATCGCGTGCTGTTCACGTTGTGGTAACAATCACTGGGCGCCTAATGGAGGTGTGGTCGGGAGGACCCATCTGTAAGGTGCGAACCCGGTGTTCGAGCCTCCTGTCTGAGAACCTCCTGGGGATCCGGCGAGTTGGGCAGCGTTCGTCGAATTCGACGAATGTGGCGAGCTTACTTTGGTTGGTCGCGCAGACTGAACAAAGGTAGCTGGACTCGGTGTAGATGTGTTCCTTACGTCTACGACGTACTACTATGTTGGGATTTGATGCCGTTTAGCGCCCAAGACCGATGGTCCTTGGCTGGCAGTTTATCTTTCAGAAGAGGATGGGGATGCATAGAGGTCTACAGAGCTGCTTATATGCACACAGGAGGTGGGCCCGAGCGTGTCAGAGAAGCATGAGGACAATGGAGAAGCAGAAAGAGCGGCATTGTTGCAGTACCCTCGTTCTCCGGTCAGCTCGGTGCCACACTGCAGTGGCGCAAAGTGGTTACGTAATCCCAACATCTTACATGGAGTCTGCTCGTGTTTACCTACAACTTAGTCGCCTGTTCGTTGTTTACCTCCTGGGGTCACGTGCTGTTTGTTGGTCCTGTCCGACGGTTCGATTCTTAGTAGGATCGAAGGATGGTTTTGTAGGATCGATTCTCGTTGAGTTCGATAATACTTTTGTGGGTGTCTGCTTCCGTTTTCCCACGGTCGTGTTCGGTAGATCGGTAGTGGGGGTGGGTCGTCCGTGACATATTAGCCGTGGGCTCATTGTTGAGCTCCGGCGAAACACGTGGTTGTGGCGGTCTTCGTCTCTTTGTGGCAATCCGAAATCGCTCATCATCATTTACCGATGCTGACGTGATTGCGCCTCGAGCACTGGTTTCTGTGTGCTTCTCATGATCGGGGCGTCTTATTGTATCGAAAGTGATGGGTTTCTGACGCTTTTCGTGGGAAACGTCGAGGGGCGCATCATGAGAGCGCAGAGTTAAAAGAAACCGTCTTTGGACGGCTATTTCTCTTTTCCCCACTCTCTCTCATTTCTTCTTGTCACCACCCACCCTTTCTTCATGTCCGAGAACCGTTCGTCGAAGTCGTCCAAGTCGTCGATCAAGCGTCGCGAGCATCCGTGAGTCTCCTGTGTGGCTCTGCGCTCGCTTGCTTGCTTCATTTGCTGATTCTCGCAGTACCGAAGACGATCGCGTGATCGTCAAACAGGAAAAGGTTGATGATTACCCTGAGCCTCCTTCTCCCGGTCCTGTTGGTCTCTCTTCGCCAGTTCTGTCACGCCCCGAAGATATGGGCGTCTAAGATCCAACGGCGAAGAGGTCCGAGGGAAGCGAAGGCCGCCGATGGGACCGTGTCCATACGCAGAAAGGTGCTACTGTGGTCCCGAAGGACCAGAATACGATCGTTCAATGATCGTTGACGATCTTCGAGGCTGAAGTAATCTGTTGCGGTGTACTCGATGTATCGGTGGCTAGGTACTATGACTAGGAGTAGAGACGAGTAAACTAGATCCTTGACCGTTTACTGTGATCAGCACGCGACCCAGTGATGTCTATTGTTTGTTGGCACATCATCAGCTCTGGGTGTCACACTGGACCGCATGGCGCTCGACCAATGCGAGCCTTCGGTGTCGTACACACCCTCCGACGACGGAACCGCTATCACTCACGTCGTCGTCACCGCAGCCAACCAGGCATGCAGTGTCGTCGTCCCTGTCACAATCCCTTCCGGCAGCGCCACTGCTGCTGTCGGCTCTATCGCCAGCGACCAGGTTGGCAGTGAGCCTCCCATCCAGTGGGTCACCCTCAACGGTGGAGCCGCAACAGTTACGCTCAACCCCCCAATTAGTATTTGATAGTGCCTCAGGCAACGGACATTAATCTCTTCTCTTTCTTTGTTTTGTTCTTTCTTTGATTTATCTCTTTTCCCCTACCAAGGGTTATCCCTCCTTCACTCAATTTACCCCCCTTATTTCTTCTTGGATGCTTGTCGTGGCACTTGCTCCTGTGCTTTACCAACCCTCGAGTGCACTCCGCAGGCAGTGACATTCTGGTTGGCGTGCTGGTTGGTGGAGGGTGCTTCGGACCCCTCGCAATACCAGTAGAACCAGATGACTGTTCCTGTCGGCTTGTCGGCTACTTCTCCTGAAGTACACGATCGTGGCCTACTGGTTTGCTTTGATGAGTCTCACAAAACCGTTTATTTGAACCCAATTTACTCGAGCGAGCTTGGTAACATGTTGGTTCATGGGATATCAATGCCTGATCGTGGTCACCACAATAGACCAACTGATAGCAAACCTCTCCTCTCCCTCAGCGCTTGCAGTGATACTCAAGCGAGAGCGTTCTTCGCGACCTCCGCGACAGCCGTTTTCATGAGGCGGAGCATGCTGTCCACGTCTTCCTCACTGAGGATCAACGCAGGGATAAGGCGAAGAACTGGGTAGATACTTGTAGTCAACGTAAGCAGACCGCGGTCGTAGCAGGCATCCTGAACCAGCTTGTTGAGACCCGCGGGCAGATTAACGTTATGAATGTTGCCTGAAGTGAGGCGCGATTTGGGGTCCTTGAACTCGATAGCCACCATTAACTGATTGTCAGTGGGTTCAAATGCATTTCAACTTACACCCAGTCCCCGTACCTCCTCAATAATCCAGCCGCCGTTAGCCATGTCAGCCTGCATGTCCTTCAGGCCATCCATTATCTTCTTGGACGTGGTCTGCACGTTGCCAAGGATATCGTGCGACCGCATGTACCGAGTGGTGGCGAGGGCGGCGGCACAGGCGACGGCGTTGCCGCTGTATGTGCCTCCCAGCGATCCAGCGGGCATGGCAGACATCATTTCGTTACTGGTAACAATACCAGACAGGGGCATACCGTTGGCGAAGCCCTTTGCGAAGACCATGATGTCGGGGGTTACACCCGAGTGCTCGATAGCGAAGACCTTGCCTGTGCGGCAGAATCCGGTCTGGATCTCGTCTACGTTGTCAGCGCATATTGCAAAGGCCGAAATGAACGCACCGACAACCAGGAGGATACCGTGCTGGGTGCACAGCTTGCGGAGGTGCTGGACATAGGCAGCAGGGGCAGGAATGTAGCCACTGAAAGTTAGCAGGTCGGGCATAGTCGATATTGAGGCTCACTCACCCCTCGCCGAGCACAGGCTCCAGGAAGATTGCAGCTGTGTCCTCTGGAGCTGACTGCTGCCGGAGAACATTTTCGACATCCAGGATGGCCCGCTGCACAAGCTCCTCCTCAGAGGTATCCTTACAGAGCCCCAGGCTGTGCCAGTACGGGAACGAGGTGGTGTAGACACACGGCATCAGCGGACCAGTCCCGGCGAAGAAGTTGGTCTTGGAGCGAGTGAGGCCCGCGGCTCCATTGGTACGACCTGCGCATTAGCAACAGTCCCATGGACAACCGAATCCCACCATGGTAGCTGCCCTGCATCACAATGATGTTATTGCGGCCAGTCTTGGACCTGGCGACCTTGACAGCTGCCTCGATCGCCTCGCTGCCCGAGTTCCAGAAGAAGAACGAGTCGAGCGACGGGTCGGGCATCATGGTGAGGAGCGACTCGACGAGCTGCACATAAGGCTCCGATAGCGCAATCGCGCACTGCACATGTACAATGGACTGTGCCTGTGCAATAATGGCAGTGGTCACGTCAGGGTGACAGTGGCCGAGCGAGGTGACGCCGATACCGGACGTGAAGTCGAGCAACTGGCGCCCATCCTGGGCGTTAGCAATAGCCGCCGCAGGACACTCACCGAGGTCAAAACGTTCAGTCCCTTGCCCTCCTTGAAGACATGGTTGCGAAGGCGTCCGAGCGCCTTAGTAATGTGTCTGTCCGCTGTTGCCTGGAGCTCGGCAGTGGCGCTGCTTGTGGCCGCCAACTTGGTCGTCAACTCAGGAATGTGGGCGGCAGTCGTAGATATCATGGCGAAAGGGTCTGTTGCAGATGGTTATGGCCATGGCCTCTTAGGCAAAGGTCTCCTTATGTAGCTGTGCGATGCATGCATGTCATTTATGCTTGGGCACATTGCCAAATAATAGGCGACGCTTAGACTCGTCGTCTCTCCGTCGATTCCCGCAACCGCTTATCTTGGCCGCCGGCCAAGCATACAGCCGCAACCATCGCATAACGCCGTCAGTGGCCAGCGGCCAGCGGAGCCTTTTGTATATCATACATACCTCCTTTGCTCAACTCATACATACCTCCTTTGCTCAACTCATCCACATCTCACAGTACAATGTCGTATCCCAGGTCAAGGCAAGGTGGCGGTATTCAAGACGCCGCACGGAAGAGACATACACGAACCAACATCACACAGGCGTGCGCCAACTGTCGCCACCGGTGAGTTTGCCCCGCCGACTTCCGCTCCACCCATCCATCCCTGAACACAAGCAGCAAGAAGAGGTGCGACGGACGGCGGCCGACCTGCGCGACATGTGTATCTCTCGGAGTAAGACGGCTACGTGAGACGCATCTGACTGTGGCCAGGACGAGTGTGTGTGGACCGGGGAACACGACGGACGTAAACCCTTATCGCGGGACGATGGCAAAGCGTTGCGAGAGCGAGTCGCTGAGCTCGAGCGTATGCTCAGCAGGTACTGCGACCAAGAACACCAACCAACCGGATTGGGAGATCAGTCGGACAACCGTGTTGCTGCTGTGGATGTTGATGGCAGCCGCCCTGATCCTGGGTTGGAGCACTCAACGTCATCAGGACACACTGTGTGGGGATCAACGGTGCGGTCCCACGATCTGAATGACGTCGAGGGCATGATGGTGAGTAAGGACGGAAAACGCTAGCTAAATGTTAGGTGCAGGATTCACAAGGTTCTTTCGCTCTATATGGGCCGACAAGCGCTTTCCACCATGTCGGCGTCAGCACCTCGTCTCCCCGGTTGGGTGCTAGGGCCATCCGGAGAGGAAGGACAGTAGGACCTGGTGGAAACCAGGGCTTTTCACGCTTTCTCCCCAAGGTGTATCTCCCCCAGGCACAGCACAATCTCGCAGTGGACCGTTTCTTTCGTTACTTTTCTGCCTGCGGTATGTTCAGTGTAGTTGTCACTCGGTGTGTAGCTGACCATTTCCAGGCCAGCGCGCCACACCGCATCTCTTTCACCGTGACATGCAGTTAGCACTGAATCATGCCGATGAAGCAGACCTGCCCATCATAGCGCCAAACTATTCACCTGGCCTGCACAACGTGATTATAGCACTCGGTCTGGCGTATGCTGAGGAAGACTATCTGCGAGACACGACTACCCGTAACATGTTCATTAAGGAGGCTGACCAGCGGTTGGAGGAGGAGCTTACGAGACCATGCCTTGCTACTGTGCAAGCACTGGCACTGCGTACCAGTTTCTCGTCTACTGCTGGTGAGTATGCGGTCGCGTGGCTTAGGAATGGGCTTTCTGTAAGGCTCTGTTATGCCCGTGAGTGACGTGGTCATCTGCGTCAGCTGATGGGTGATGCAGTGGGGCTCCATGTCGACACTTCCGCCTTGGTAAACCATGGTAAACTGGCACCCGAGGGATATGTACAGGTGAGTATTCCTCGCCAAGTCGGCAACGGCTGACGATGGAAGCGCAACGTCACATTCTGGTCCATTTTTGTGCAAGAGGAAATGTGGGCCATCTACATTGGACGGCCATCATTGATGTCCGTGTTCTCGTGGGTGCTTCATGGGTGCTTGCTGGTATGTACAGCTGAACTCCCAGCACTCAGCTTCCATTGCCAGATTCCACTACTGATGAACAAGAGTGGATATGGCCGGCTGGGCCAATGGCCGCGATGCCACCTCAGCCGTCCTACCTGAGCGTTACGTTTGTATACACGGCCAAGCTCATGGTAATTGCGACCGAAATGACCAACACAATGTGAGGATACCGTCTGGGTCACGCTGACTTGTCAACAGGTACACGGGCAAATTCAACAAGTCGTCCCTCATTCAGAATGGCACTATCCAGCGGTTGAGGTGAGTGCAACAAGGCGCCTTCAGGTACATCGGCTAAGCTACAGTGATGAACTCGACGCCTTGTATCGGGGATTGCCAGAGCAGCTGCTGCTCGACCTCGATTCACAACCGCCAACACTGCCCCACATTATCCTGCTTCATTTGTGCTGGAGCTGGATTGTCATTCTTCTTCTTCAACCAGTCAGCCACGTCTCCGCCGGTGGGGGCACAGTTGAAGAGGACGAGTTCGCAATCTACGCCATGACGGTAGGTTCTAGCTATCGGATATCATGCTGACCTCGCAGCGGTGCTACGATGCCGCACTCAATATTGAGGCTTTGGCAACTCTATACCAGGCACAACACTCCTTGCAACTCACACCACCAACGATGGCCCAAATCGTGTACACGGCCGGCACAGCGTTTCTGTTTGCTGCAGCGCAAGCTGCACACCCGGTACCACCCGCTGAAGCAGTGAAAAAGGTCCGAGGGGCTCTGACTCTGCTGAATGAGATCAGTGCCACATGGAACGCTGGAAGGCAAAAGGCCAACATCCTCGAAGATTTGTTAGCCGCCTACGAAGAGGCTGCACAGGACAGGACGCTGGCTCGAGGAGCCCCCTCAGCTCAAGTTACGCAAGTATCTTCAACAACAGTTCCTACGAACCCCCTCCCCTCAGGGAGTGGCTGGGTGCGTGGCTTGTAGTGCTCCTGAATCGGAGGACATCACTGACGATACCTAGTTTGACGGCACCATGCCGCCCGATATGCTGTCGGGGCAAAAGTAGGTTTTGCAGTATACAAGAAACACACTGACGCTTCAGTCTCTCTATCCCGGCAGCCACAGACATGATATGGGCGGAAACATCAGAGCTGGACGAGTTTATTCGCACGTTGTTGTCGCACAACCCACTGTCTGGCGACTTCAATCTCAACTAGAGCATCCAAGAGCCATCGCTGGACATGTTCTGATTCAGATACTGGGACATTTTCTGCCGGCAAAGGGTATAGCAGTGTACATGCATGTGTGGGGAAGATGTGAGGGCACGCGTGCATGACTATATTTCATAATCGATGTTTATATCGCCGCCAACTCACAATCGAAACGCATTGAATTTTTATCGAATCTCTGAAACTTTTCCACTTTTTCTCTCATCGGATGACCTCGACACTCCCCATTCCATGGGGGAAACCACAATTCACAACGTAGACCACATGAGACGACAGACACGTTTTGCCTCTTACAACTTGTATATAAAGCGAGGGTTCTGCCACTGTCAGCGTCCGCTGAATCAGACGGCGACGAGCCTACCTTCAAATCTGTAAGATCCTGCCATTGGTCAATTTCTGCCGACGCGTCCTGAGGGCCTAGGTCCTGTGGTTCGGGCTTTTGTCCTTCTTTGTCACGGTTGAGGTGGACAAGGTACTGAGGATATAGTCAGTACTAGGCCATAAGGTCGACCCTTGATCACGCGGTCACGCACCATGCGGTAGATGAAAATCAAGACGATGGCACAACCGTAACAGGAGAGCATTGCGATGATACCTGTTTCTGTAAGCTAGCACCGGTGCCCATAAACGCACCACCAGTGTATTGTGGAGCCTGTTTTGCCTTGAATGTCTGTGGGCCTACAATGTTACCAACGCAGTAACCAATGTAGGCTGTCGTCAGCTGGGTCCGCGACCGCTGCTCACCGATTGCATAAACGATCATCTTCTTGGTGTGGCCGGCAGTGTTGGCGTACACGGCGCCCATCATAATAATATAAGGGCCCCTGCTCTGTCAGTCCCATGGTATGTTTGCAGCCGACAAACCAGTAGAAGTAGACCAAATACAGAGAAGCCAAGGATCCACCAGTGTTGGTTCGCGGGATCTTGTAGAGCAGAATAGTGCCGATGAAGGGGATCAAGCAGGATGCCACAGCTGAGTAGCAGCGCTGACCCGTTTTGACAGCACAGTACCCAAAAACGAGTGAGGAGATCCACGAAATGATACCTGTGGGAAGACGTCAGAACTGGACTCTAAAATGGCTAGCGGAGAGCGTACCTGTCGGGATACCGAGAAGGGTGGTCTTCGTCAAACTGAAACCAAGGGACTGCACAATAATGCTGTTGAAACTACCAGCGTCAGTGGAGAAACTCATTAAATGCTCACGTAATCATGCCGCCGTTGGGAATGTTCAGCGCGATGTTGATGAGAAAGTAGAACCACGTCTTTGGGTCGACCAGAGCTTCAACTGCTTGGTGGACCTTGAATGTCTTGTTCTCCATGCCGGTGCGGCTCTCAGTCATGCGACGAGTAGCAATCACACGTTGCCTCATAGTGAGCCACCATGCCGTAGTCGGGTTTGCGGGAAGCAGCCAAAACATCAGAAGAGACCAAGCACTGGTGATGAGACCGACCAAGAGGAAGAGGAGCTGCCACTGGGCGAGGGCAGTCCCCTTGTACTGCACACAGGCTGTGGCGAGGAGGCCGTTCATGACCCTTTGGTGGTTAGGTGGCACCTCTCTCCAGAAACTCACGAAGACAGGGTGGAGAACACAATGGCGGTACGGAAAGGCTGCTCATCTCGGGTGTACCACATGGAGATCTGGGACCATTAGGTGTCATGTGGAGGACGCAACTCACGATAAGTCCAAACCCAGCAAAGATAACAGACTCAAAGAGACCGAGAAGCAGGCGAACACCCATGAGGTCTGCAAAGTTGCGACTTGGCACAAGGCAGCAAGTGATCACACCCCAGGCGAGGACCATTGTTGAGCTATGGTCAGCAGTGCTGACATGCTATTTCTCAACTTACATGTACAGGTTGGTCGGAAGACGCTGCATGAGTACAAGGGAGGGAATAATTGCCACAATAGCTATTTGTTCATTAGTGGCGCCTCAAAGTAACCAGCTCACCGCCAAAGTATATGATTGCCGAGGTCCAAGCATACTCCTGACCGACCAGCTTGGCATCCTTGCGCATACCCAGAACTGCGGCTGAACCGATAGCAACCTTGTCGACGGAGCCCATCACTGTATGGTCAGCGTTTTGTATACAATGGAGGGACCAACTGAGTGCAAACTGAAGCAAGGTGACAATGATGAGGTCCGCCTTGCGAAGAAGAGCCTTCGTCTCCTTTAGGCTTGGAGGAGCGAGAAGCTCATCAGCGTCGTCGCGAGCGACGATGCTGCAGGTTAGCTCTGCCACTGTGACAGCAAGAAACAAACCTGGATATGAAGACTCCGGCTACATCTTGCTGAGCATTGGCCGCTGGTTGGGTAGCCTCAATGGGGCAAGTGTGGACCTTGATGTCTGATTGTTTCTCTTTGTCGACTGACATTGCTGGTGAGTGGGTTGTTTGAGGTGGTGTCGAGAGTGTACCTGCATCCAACGGCTTCATATACCAATCAGCTCTCGAAGCCAAGATAGGCACTTGAGCCACGCAAGCCACCGATCGGGTGGGCAGCTGAAGTCGTCGGAACGGAAGTTGGAGGAGCGCGGAAGTCGGCGGCCACCAGCTGATAAGTCAACTGGCCGACCCACGATGATCGGACGATATGGGTGTCTGGTGCATGGTGAAGCTATAAAGTACTGTTCCACCGGTAGAGTATCGTGGAGGAACGCCACTTGCTCTTGCCCATCATGTCGCCTTTTGACTTTGCCACTGCTTTCCCCAACCCTGCCGAAGCGCGCCCGGCGGTGTGAGTGCCACCACTCTATTGAGCGCGTGACTTACGGCCGTAGACTTCCCGACTTGGCCATTAAGCCATGGGTTCCTGCGGCCCCCCACAAGGCGTTTTGCCTGGTCAATGCCACTGTTATCGATTCGGCCAACGGTTGGTTCCTCAACGGCCCCCACAATGTAATGGTGGAGAACGGCACTATCACCTCGGTCCAGCCTACTGCATCGTCCACTGTCGACACGTCAGTGGAGCAGTTTGACGTGACTGGCAAGTTTGTCTGCCCCGGTCTTATCGATGCCCATGTACACATCACTGCTGTCCCCGGTGTTGAGGTTGGTAGTAGCCTTCGGTTATAGACAGCGCTGACAGTCCTCAGACCATGGCAGACATGGTCCGCTTGCCCGACCAATTAGTCACTCTGCGCTCGACATACGTCCTCCGCCGTATGCTTCACCGCGGTTTTACCACGGTGCGCGACACTGGAGGTGCCACCAAGATGCTGGCGGAGGCACTGAGGGAGGGTCTCATTGAGGGTCCCAGGCTCTTTCAATGCGGCAAGGCCCTGTCCCAAACTGGCGGCCACGGCGACTTTGTCAGTCCTGGCTTGTCGGGCGGTGATGGGTTGGGCTGCTGCGGCGGCCATGCCCTGTCGCTCGGACGCACTGCTGATGGTGTTCCTGCTGTGCTTAAAGCCGTTCGTGAGGAGCTCAAGCAAGGCGCAGACTTTATCAAGGTAATGCTTGGCGGCGGTGTGGCGAGTGAAAGCGACGCCATCGAGACTGTCCAGTACACTGCGGAGGAGGTGCGGGCCATTACGACGACGGCGTCGCAGATGGGCAAGAAGCTTGTGAGTGCAGGGATTCGGGGTAGGGTTCTGACAGGCAGGTGACAGCACACGCGTACACCGTTGAGGCGATTCGGCACGCCGTGGACAATGGTGTGCGGGGCATTGAACACGGCAACCTGCTTGACGAGGCGACTGCAAAGCTGTAAGCCACGACTGTAAACGGTGCTGACGGTCCAAGGCTGGCCGAAAAGGACATCTACCTCACCCCCACCCTCAGCTGCTATGGCATTATGGTCCGCGCGCCGTTCGAAAACTTTCTCAACGAAGAGGGTCGCGACAAGAGCGTGCATGTTATGCAGGAGGGCCTCAACGCCCTGAAGCTGGCTGAACATGCCGGGGTCACCGTCTGCTATGGCTCCGACCTGCTCATCTCCATGCACGCGCTGCAGACAGAGGAGTTCACCATCCGCTCCAAAGTGCTCCCTGCGGCGACCATCCTGAAGCACGCTACAGTGAACCCTGCGCGTATGTTGGGTCAGCAGGGTAAGCTTGGGGTCGTCTCGCAGGGTGCCATTGCAGACCTGCTTGTGCTCTCGAGCAACCCGCTTGAGGACATTACTGTTCTGGACCGTCCTGAAACTTATCTTGTGGCTGTTATCCAGGAGGGCCGTGTTGTGAGTGGTAAGTTGGAGGGCAATAACTAGGAAACATGATTTGTACGTACGGTATGATGCACCCATAACAGTGAACCCATAAAAGTGATTGCCGTTCGCTGAACATTGAAGTCGGGGAGTTGCATCTGCACGAGTTGTGGTTCCGATAGTATTGCGCAGAAGCAGAGGAAAGAAACGTGTGGCTTTTATAGGTGGTTGGGACACAAGGGTTAGAGAGCAAGAGAAGTGACTTCAGTGCTGAGGGATGTGGGCTGTGGTTGCCAACAGTGTTCCGCCATACCTGTTCTTCAAGCTCTGTGTAACTGGAAATTCCAATGTATCACTTCGATGATATAGTGCACGCAAAGGAATGACAAAAGGGTGCAGAAGACGGTGGATAATCTAATCCATGACGTGCTACGAACAAATGAATATGACGGACAGTAGTGTCCTGCAATCTCAAGGGTTAAACTTGGCCATCTCATCCGCAAAGTCAGCCATTTTAAAAAACGTCCAGTCGGGCTGAACGCTCGAGAAGTTGGACACGCCCATGACAGGCTTGGTGGTGGTGCGCGAGATCCAGGCCGCCTTGAGGCCCTTCTTGTGGCCACTGTTACCTAGGTCAGCGCAAAGCCCGGCACCAGTTACCATCTTAAATGTCTGTACGCACGGCAGGACGTCGTGCAGCTTCGAGTTGGCGACGACCAGAATCTGTTCAGGGCCAATGCCAAACTCGTCCTTGATGTGCTGAATAGCGTAGTCAAAGTTGCGGAGCTGGGGCTTGTACGATCCGACTGGCATTGTTAGCCTTTGTCTGGCACTCCAGGCCATGCTCACTCTTCTCGGCAGTGTAGACGGCGTCAAATTTGAAGTCCTTCTCGAGCTTCTGCCTGGAACTGTGCACTTGTCAGCTGCTAAGGCCATGCCAAAGCGCCGAAGAACGCACAGGTCAAAGCTGTCGTTGTTGACGTTGCTCAGGATGACTTGCTTGAGGCCCATCCGGTTGAGGCGCGCAAGCGATTCAGCTGAGTCGGGGAATGCAGGCCAGGTTCCAACCGACTTGCCAAACTCAATGGCTTCCTCTGAGGTTGCTATCAGCAAAGTGTGAGAATTCATGTGTTCCAATGAACGTACCCTCAGTAGCCTTTAGATCAAGGTCCTTGGCGGTGGCGAGGTAGGCATGCTGGAGACTGAATGTCAGCTCTCTCTTCTCCAAACTCCCGGCACTCACACCTCGGGGTAGAGCATGGTTGGGTTCTTGGTTTGGATGCGCGTCTCGTGGGGACCGAAGGTTGAGAAGAACTTGCCACGTGACAGAGGGCCCGAAGGGCCCTCTTGGGTGAAGAGGGCCGAGGCGTTGTTGACCATGCCCTGCTCCCAGTTCTAGAGTCGTTAACCATAATGGTTTAGGTAGCCGGTGACAAGACACTCACGATGAGAGTCTGCATTTAATAAAGAGCTCAATGTCAGCAATAACACTTCCTCACAGGGATGGCAACTGACGCCATAGCAATCGTAGAGGAGGGCTCTGTCGGTTAGCTGGAGCTCCCACGCTTGTTGCCCACTTGTAGTTCTGGAGGGACATGGCGGGCAGTCTGGTGACGGTGTGGTGAGTCAGGAGTTGGATGGAGTTGGATTGTGTGACGAGCTGTGATTGAGGATAAGATGCCAGCTTCAACCTTTCAGCGAACATGTTCTTCATATATGTATTGGGCTTCGAATGTCGGCTAACTACTAGTGCCTGGCCGGCAGGTGGGTTGGCTACCAAAAGGGGTCGAGCGGAAGTTGGCGGAGGTGGCCGGCGGGAAGCGGACCTGCGGCGGTTACCGCCAGATGGCATTCCTTTCCACACCGCACTCTAGGCCCCCAAAGCGCGTTAACTGGCGCAATCTGCACATGGCTAGCCGACGGGAGTTATCATGTCGTTGCTAACTTGGCCGCGGGCGCGGGTCGGCCAAGATTGTCGCGCGATTGAGTACATATCTGACTAATCTCGTTGCTTATTGTCGAATCTATCCCGCTACGCACCTCTCACACAAATACAATGGTCAGCAACACGCGCATGATCAAAGTAGAGAAGGGAGATGGTGAGCATCATTCTGATAGCTCCTTCTGACTCCAGCCGACTCGTTTGCTGCCGCTGTGGACACGGCAGTCGCTGCATTTTCACTGTGTGAGTTGGACTCAAATGACTTGCACTGATTTCAGTGCCAACATGGAGCCGGCTGTATGGCGACGGGGACGTGCGTGTGCGTAGCAAAGTTATCTTCTTTCTTGAGGCATGCCTCGAGGTCGGCGAGTTGTGGGCTGCCATGAGCACGTCCGAGTCGACCTTTGACGGCGTGCTGGGTCTGCTCCCACCCAACACTAGCCTGCTTGATGCGTGCGTTCCCTATTCCTCGCGTTCCCTACTGACTGATCCAGCCCTTCAGCTCAAGATAACTGGGCCATTTTTATGAAGACACTCGGCAGCGAGGCTGCGGCCACAAACCCCCAGGGCGCTCAGCCAGTCATCATATTCCAACAGCCCCAGCATTGCCCTTCAAAGATGGCGGCTGCCTGGAACATTGCACTCATTGGCACCCATCCTGCCTCTGCGGGTTGTGGGGTCGGTGGTGTAATGGTCGATTTTGCCTCTGAGCGGGCGGGAACGGATGATGTCTGGGTGTACACCACCTATGAGACACGAGTGAGTGAAGACCCGGAAGCCTGCGCTAATTGCATGGCAGATGCCATTTTACCTGAAACGGGGATTCGTGCATTGCCAGACCAAGCGTGCTCCGGACCTGTATGGCGGCGATGCCGATGAGTTTGTTATGTTCCGTGCAGCAGTTCGTGATAGTTGATTCCCCATTATTGCACACCTGCCAATCCAATGATTACACACTGTGACAATAAGTACATATCATTAAATCTTTAAACACACTTTGGTCTTACGCACTTGACTGCCTCAGCGATAGCCGTGAGCGTGAGCCAGTAGAAAATCCTTCTCAAGTCTTTTAACGTTTGTCTCTGCTGTGAAGGAAGAGATGGGGGCATTATATCTATTGAGGTAGTTCTAATGGGAGTGCCACACTTATTAGGGTGCCTCACTGTCTATTAGAATTTAATTGCCCGCATTTGGCCGTAAAATGTAATCAGGATATGTCTTTTCATTATGTATAATAGACATCTGGTCCTCTTAATGGATAGTCCCGATTTGCTCCCGCTTATCAGACAGTGTGTCAAAATGGCATTGGACCTCTGTAATTTATGGGGAATCGTGCACATGTATAGGAAACCGAGGATGCCGTCTATGGGAATGAGTTCAGACCCAAAAAAAGAACAAAAACGAAAAGACAGAAAGTATGCGCTGTTACGAGTCCCAACAATTTGGGACTCACGCCGCTCAGACGTGTGGGGATATTTATCATCACGTCAAGGTGATGGCAATCTTGGAAACCATTTGGAAACCTTAAACGGGGTCCATAGCAGATCCGTCACATCTCGCTAACCAAGTCGGCTGAGTACCTAGTTGCATCGCTGATCCTACACAGAACCCATGTGCTGGCACGTATGGACAGCACTCTTTAGTTCAGATGTTACCGACAGTGATGAGCTGAATGGAGTCAACAGTGGCTTTCCAAAGAACCAACTCACCTTTTCAATCATGTACTCGTCTATACCGCTCTTGCCTCCTTCGCGACCAAATCCGCTCTGCTTGACTCCGCCAAACGGAATGCAGGGCTGCGAGATGACGCCAGTGTTGACACCGACCATGCCGACCTGCATTTTCTCGGCCACACGGTACACCCTCGACACGTCTTGGGTGTAAAAGTATCCACCGAGTCCGACGTCGGTGTTGTTAGCCTCCTCGATGACGTCCTCCTCGGTGTCAAACTTAAACAGAGCCGCGAGGGGCCCGAACGTCTCTTCACTGGTGAGGGCGCTCTTGGGGGAGACATTGGTCAGGACGGTGGGTTCGAAGAAGGAGCCGTGACCGGAAACACGGCTGCCGCCGCACACGACTGTGGCGCCCTTGCCCACGGCGTCGGTGACGTGGCGCTCGACCTTATCAACCGCACGGTCATTGACGAGGGGGCCAATGTTGACGCCTTCGTCCATGGGGTTGCCGACCTTCATGGCCTTGACGCGGGTAGCGAGACGATGCGCGAACTCATCATACACGTTCGACTGGACGAATATGCGGTTGGCGCAAACACAGGTCTGACCAGACGCCCGGAACTTGGACGCAATAGTTCCTTCAACGGCGAGGTCGAGGTCGGCATCGTCAAACACCATAAAACTGAGCGTGAGCACTCATTCCGCTCATTTGATGACTCACGCGGCGTTGCCACCGAGTTCAAACGATAGCTTCTTGAGCGTAGAGGCACTCTGCTGCATGAGCAGCCGTCCAACAGCGGTGGAGCCGGTGAACGAGATCTTGGAGACAAGGGGGCTGGCTAGTTAGCATCGACTCCATGCAAACTGTCTCACTTAACGCAAAGTTCCATGCCGCACGCCGCTTCGCGGGGGCCCTTGTCCACTACAACAACATTGATCACGCCTTTGGGAATGCCCACACCCTCGGCCAGCGCACAGATGACAAGTGCACTCAACGGCGTCTCGGCTGGCGCCTTGACGACGACGGTACAGCCGGCAGCGAGTGCAGGCGCGAGCTTTCGAGTAATCATGGCATTGGGAAAGTTCCTGTCTTGTCAGTGCTCAGTGTCATAGCCGGAGTGGACACCTACCAAGGGGTGATCAGGCCACATACGCCAACAGGCTGACGGATGATCGTGTTGCGTTGGTTGGGGATCGCGGCAGGAACGGTGTGACCATACGTCCTTTACGTAAGAACAGAGAATAACTAGTACTGGACTCACCTGAGCGCCTCGGCTGCAAACCAGCTGAGGAAGCCCGCACCGTAGGCAATCTCGCCCTTGGCCTCGGCCAAGGGCTTGCCGTTCTCCGCCGTGAGGATTAGGGCGAGGTCTTCATGATGGGACTCCATGGCAGCGTGGAGCTTGAGGAGGTAGGATTGGCGCTGGTAAGCGGTGAGGGCCGACCACGATGGAAAGGCAGCGTGCGCTGCTTCCTAAGTACGTCAGTGGCGGACGGACTGCACAAGACGGACTGCACAACTCACAATCGCAGCGGTGACTTGGCCACATGGCATATTAGGCACTTCGGCGAGCTGGGCACCTGTGGCAGGGTTAATGACCGGAAATTTGGCGTCATCCGACGCGTCCACCCATTCGCCGTTGATGTAGCCCTTGGTCCGCAGGAGAGAAGGGTTGCTGAGCTGGCTCTGAGCTGTCAGCAACAACAGTGCCACACGGCGCCACTCACAGCTAGATTCTGGCCGTGAATAGTCATGTTGGCGATTCCTCGGTGCGCTGTGCCTCTCACTCTCATCGATGGAGGATTTATAATTCGAAGAACAATAGATGGTGTCAGCTTTCAGATGGCCCATCGAGTCGGCCGTGGCGCAGATTTTGTGCAGCATCGTTGGTGATTCATAACGACGCGCTATCGGAACGGTGGGCAACTTGGCCCGCGGCCAGCACCGTTTCTGCCTGCGGCCAGGATCGGCCCCATACCCGACAGTCTTGCTATAGAACATGACCGGCGGAGATTTCCCGTCTGTTCTGCAAAAAGCAACAGCAAGCCACAAAGCGACGCTTACAGCCTCCGCTGATTTCCGCTAGAGATCTCCACTGGTTGCCGACGGCAGGAAACAGATAACGAGACGGGAAAGTGGCGGCGATTTTTGCACTATATCTCTGCGGGAGTAGTGCTCTCTTAGACCACAGACTAACCAGAAATGAGCCTCAGGCAGCACAAGATCGCAGTCATTGCGGGCGACGGTGGGTTAAAGAACGGTTCAGAGCCTGACGCATTCCCAGGCATCGGCATCGAGGTGACGGCAGCGGCGCTGAACGTCCTCAAGGCGGTCGAGGCGCGGTTGGGCACGTTTCGCCTAGTCTTTGACGAGTTCGACTATGGAAGTGAGTTTCATGAGTACGGTAACGACTAAGCCAGCAGGTGCCCGTTATAAGGCGACGGGGGCGTACGCACCCGAGGGATGGCTGGACCACCTGGCGACGTCGGACGCCATTCTCTTTGGCGCCGTTGGTGACCCGGACGTACCCGACCATATCTCGCTGTGGGAGCTGATCCTACCGATGCGTCAGCGGTTCCAGCAGTACGTCAACGTGCGGCCCTCGTCTGTCCTGCCTGGGATTGCCCCGCATGCCACTGCAGCGGCGGTCGCGGGGCTCAACTGGGTGTTCGTGCGCGAGAACACCGAGGGCGAGTACTCTGGCCAAGGGGGGCGGACACATGTGGGCAGCACGCTTGAGGTGGCGACCGACGTGGCGGTGTTTACCCGCGGTGGTGTGGAGCGGTGCATGCGGTACGCCTTTGAGGTCGCGCGCAGCCGGGAGAGAAAGCTGCTCACTGTGGTCACCAAGAGCAATGCGCAGCGCTACGGCCTGGTGTTGTGGGACGAAGTGGCTGCATCCGTGGCGATGGACTTTCCTGATGTAAAGTGGGACAAGATGCTCGTCGACGCGATGACGGTCCGCATGGTTCAAAAGCCCCATTCGCTCGACACTATTGTGGCGACAAACCTCCACGGAGAGTGAGTACAAGCATCTCTCCGCGCGCTGATAGTGTTAGCATCCTGACGGATCTGGCGGCGGCACTTTCGGGGTCTATCGGCATTGCTCACTCGTCATCGCTCGACCCGACTCGGGCCAACCCGTCTATGTTTGAGCCAGTCCATGGTGCCGCGTTCGATATCATGGGCAGGAACATTGCCAATCCTGTCGCTGCCATGTTCTCCGCTGCCGAGATGCTTCGCTGGATCGGTGAGGAGGAGGCAGCGGTGCTCGTTGAGCGGGCGGCTACGCAGAGCATTTGCGGTGGACAGGTGACGTGCGATCTGGGAGGCAAACTGAGCACGGTGGAGGTGACCCGCGTCGTTTGTCAGATGGTAGAGAGGCTGTAACCCGCAGGATGTTAAAAGAATGGAGTGGCTGTATGGACATGCGGATGCGGGTTAGGGGGTAGGGGGCTGCATCGGGTTTGACTACTAAGAACTATGGGAAGAGGATACTCAAGTAGACATGGCAGTTTCTTGGCTCAATGGGACCAGAGATCAAAGTTTCTCACTCTGGCACGAAGGAGGGTGAGACTGAGTCTGATACAAAGCATCCTGTGGGGTTAGGGGGTTAGGGGGTAGGGGGCTGCATCGGGTGTGACTACTAAGAACTATGGGAAGAGGATACTATAGTAGACATGGCAGTTTCTTGGCTCAATGGGACCAGAGATCAAAGTTTCTCACTCTGGCGCGAAGGAGGGTGAGACTGAGTCTGATACAAAGCATCCTGTGGGAATGGGGAGGTAGGACCTCACCCCAGGTGTGGAGGGCTTGGGCAGTCCTGTGTTCCATGACACCACCCAAAGAAAAGATGAGGGGAGTGAAGGGGGTGGCAGCAGAGCTAGGGAGATTTCTGAATTTCTCCCTAGATACAGAGTCAAGGAATTTGTGGACAGTGGCAGAAGCCCTCTCCAGGGTGGATCCAGTGAACCCAGGTGGGGAGACAGTGGTCCTGGCCTGGACAGAGCCCAGTGACACAATGGAGATGTCATACTCATGGTTGGCCAGCCCAGAGGCATGGGAGCCAGAGATTCTTATGTCATTCCTCCTGTGTGTTCACTGTTTTGGGGGTTGACCCCCATGGGATTTGACTGTGTGCTGACTATTACAGTGTTGCCTGTCGAGTTTTGGGCCTTTGTGGGGTCTGCTGGGCCTGCCTAGACGTCCACAGTGTGCCTCTGTAAGTTGTAACTGACCCCCAAATTTTATTTGGACTTGGCATTTATTATTCATTACAACTGACATTATGCAGTGCATGTTCTTGTAATGGACCTTGAAGTGTAAGTTCTAATGACCCCCCAAATGTTTCTGATCATTGCCAGACCCCCTGCAGCGCTCCCTTGTGTCCATTCCAACCCCCAAACCAGTTTGGGGGTTGACCCCCAACATTTTGCTTATGGTCTGGTGCTGACTGCCCCAGTGTTTGTGACGTCTATGGGCTGCTGGCAACCCCCAAACAAGTTTGGGGGTTGACCCCCAAGCTTCAACGTAAGGGTTAGGGGGTTAGGGGGTTAGGGGGTAGGGGGCTGCATCGGTTTTGACTACTAAGAACTATGGGAGGAGGATACTATAGTAGACGTGGCAGTTTCTTGGCTCAATGGGACCAGAGATCAAAGTTTCTCACTCTGGCGCGAAGGAGGGTGAGACTGAGTCTGATACAAAGCATCCTGTGGGAATGGGGAGGTAGGACCTCACCCCAGGTGTGGAGGGCTTGGGCAGTCCTGTGTTCCATGACACCACCCAAAGAAAAGATGAGGGGAGTGAAGGGGGTGGCAGCAGAGCTAGGGAGATTTCTGAATTTCTCCCTAGATACAGAGTCAAGGAATTTGTGGACAGTGGCAGAAGCCCTCTCCAGGGTGGATCCAGTGAACCCAGGTGGGGAGACAGTGGTCCTGGCCTGGACAGAGCCCAGTGACACAATGGAGATGTCATACTCATGGTTGGCCAGCCCAGAGGCATGGGAGCCAGAGATTCTTATGTCATTCCTCCTGTGTGTTCACTGTTTTGGGGGTTGACCCCCATGGGATTTGACTGTGTGCTGACTATTACAGTGTTGCCTGTCGAGTTTTGGGCCTTTGTGGGGTCTGCTGGGCCTGCCTAGACGTCCACAGTGTGCCTCTGTAAGTTGTAACTGACCCCCAAATTTTATTTGGACTTGGCATTTATTATTCATTACAACTGACATTATGCAGTGCATGTTCTTGTAATGGACCTTGAAGTGTAAGTTCTAATGACCCCCCAAATGTTTCTGATCATTGCCAGACCCCCTGCAGCGCTCCCTTGTGTCCATTCCAACCCCCAAACCAGTTTGGGGGTTGACCCCCAACATTTTGCTTAGGGGTTAGGGGGTTAGGGGGTTAGGGGTTAGGGGTTAGGGGGTTAGGGGTTAGGGG